CTAACCCTAACCCTAACCCTAACCCTAACCCTAACCCTAACCCTAACCCTAACCCTAACCCTAACCCTAACCCTAACCCTAACCCTAACCCTAACCCTAACCCTAACCCTAACCCTTTACGGCTAAAGAGTGATGCAATAAGGTCAAAAAACGGGGGTGAATAGGTCAAAAGTATAAGTTTTGGTCAAAATTAACCCAGCATTAGGCCAGGACTCAGTGGATAGGGTTGGGGAGCGACGGTTGCTTCGCTACGCTCAGCGAGATTCTCGACGAAGAAGGGGGCGTGGAGGGACAGCGGGACAAGAAAAGGTGGACGCGACAAGGTGATTCTCCATCAGTAGGCCCTAACGGAGGTGTGTGAAGTTGTTGCGTCCACTTTGGAGGAGGTCGACCGATTACACCCTGTAATCCGTCGGATAATATAGATAGGTCGGAGTTGTGATGTATTGTAACTGTGAGAAAATGCGAACACTCAGCTGCCTGAATAGGCAGGTCAGGGGAAAGAGGGAACAGGGGCACATTAAATAAAACACAAAGATAATTCCACAGCTTCCTCAGATGGTGGCACAACTCGGCGCAACAACGACCCAGTCCTGGGGGATATATATGGGGAGGTTTGGGGAGCTGTTGCGCCGAGTTGCGCCACTGTTTGAAGTGGCTGGGGCCAGTATGGTAGTTTTGCAGGTAGTAAACGTGCTGCTGGATGATGAGGAAGCGGCGCAACACGGCGCAACAAGTTGTCCCATATACCTTGAGGGTATACCTAGAGATGGGTACTTGTTGCGCCGAGTCGCGCCAACATCCTGGCCGTTGGCACCCTCTTCTCCTCGTACCGAAACGGTATTTGAGCTACAGCACGAGGAGGAGGGCAGATATCTCCGTAGGAATTTTATCAGTATACTCTCCTAACATGCCCGGACATATTTCGTCACCTAACCCTGGGTCGGGGAGCGACGGTTGCTTCGCTGTGCTCAGCGAGATTCTCGACGAAGAAGGGGGCACTGGAGCGTGGGGAAGCGGCGCAACTCGGCGCGACAAGGTGATTCTTCATCAGAAGACCCTAACGGAGGTGTGTGAAGTTGTTGCGCCGCAAACGGAGAAGGTCGACCGATTACACCCTGTAATCTGTCGGATAATATAGATAGGCAGTCCTTAATCCAAAAGATCAAGTACCTAGCTGACATTATCACTTGTAACTGAGCTCTATTGGAAATATACGTGAATCCAAAGCTTCTGCCCCTTAAGTTCCTATCTCTGAAGGCACCAATCCAAGTAAGTTGTTCGATTTCAGGAGAATAGGATAGGATTGCATGCATGAGAAGGCATGGAATCACGTTAGAGCTCTAATACCAAGCCACATAGCTATCTAACTTGGTAGTTGAATAGTAAAATATACATATTTGTGTGATATATAACAGGGTTCTGGCCAATAAGTGATATGATAAGGTTGAAAGAAAGAGGTAGGGTAGCCCAGAAGTAGCAGTTTAGGGCCGACCTAACCCAGCACTAGGCCCGGAGTCAGTGGATAGGAACGTTTACCCAGCCGTCAATACTCACGCTGTTCGGATTCAGCTTAATCCCAGGCTCGTCGACTACATGTGGTCGTATTATCACCGACTCGACGACGTTTGGGAAGCGTTCGCATGTCTGTAGCTGTGAAGAGGGTAAGCCGTGTCCTCCCACTCTTCTTGATTGTCTTGCTCATTACCCCGTTCAATTTCAGAATTCCCTCCCTCCATTAGGCGTTCAAGGCTCGGTGCCTCTACCCAATTTGAAGTTCTGCGCCAGTATCCGGAAAGAATGATCTATGTATTCTCCGTCTTGACCACTGCGTGCACATACCCTCAGAGGTGCACCTCAGATGGCTCTCTCTCGATATTGCGCTACGGTGGCTCAATAAAGGGCGATAAGCGGAGGGCGTGGGAGTGGGCAGGATGCGCGACGAGAAGTGGCAATAGCTTATGAGGTACGTGTGGTTTTTTGTTAGCCGTATATACGATGATGAATATATACAAGTAGGAAGAGCAGCGACGACTGGAATTCCAGTTTCTCGCTACTGCCACGTCGAGCCACGAGGTCATGCTCCGCGGTCTCCAGTCCTCGACTAAGCACTATGCGAGTAGGGAAATGTCGTGAGCGTACACGATGAACAGACAGCGGCAGAAATGGGGGCATACTCTCTTAGCACTAGACGCAGCCCAGCCTTGCACTGGAATGTTTGGTCACCGGGGAAGTAAAGCAGAATGAGGCAGATAGACGAAGACTAGAGCTACTGTGGTGTATCGAATGGCGATTATCGACGTATTCGAGATGAGGAGGGAACAAAAGCGACATGCACGATTTGGGCATCAAAGCTGCTCAAGCCGGCGGACAGTCGACAACTACCAGAGCTTGTCACAGAGCGCTATTCGTGGCATCTGCGTCGAACACTTGACACACGTGGTATTCATATGGTTCATGCTCGGTTGAGCGAATGCTGCAGCGGGGATGGCTTACGGTGGATGCAAGGGGATCGAGAGTCGTATAATAGCCACAATCCCGGGAAGCGCAAGGGAACCGATTCAGTTAGAGGCGAAGCCGAAATCCCTCACGGCGCTCACGCGCTCGCGGCCAACGGTGACGAACTAGCAACCCTACCTTCAGCACGTCAACGGCACATATGCTCACCTGATTGGCAATGCTCGTCGAGTTATGCTATCGCCCGCGAATTCCAACAAATGGCGACATGGAGAGACGGCGAACAAGGACTTCGACGTGGCATCTACCGCACAATATGTGTCGTCAGTATCGCGCCTACAATCTAGCGCTGTGATTGGGAGTTGCTTGACCACGCAGTGAACGGCCTCCGTACAAAGCCTCGACGAGTACCAGCAGGGAATGACGCAGGACTCCAGACAGATGTTTACGACAGTTGGACTGCGCGACGGAGAAACGAGGTGCTGACGCGGCTCTTGTGATGTCGGAAATAGTGGCAAGACGCTGCAGGAACAAGGGAGAAAAAAGTGGCTTGTTTGGTTCGAGCTTTTGGGCAAACAATATGGAATGGTCCGTGCAACCCAACCTCCAGGACAAGGGCCGTGCGCACTCCTGGAGTCACTCCCACTATTTGCTCGCCGATGTCAGAAGTGAGATGTGAATCCATCAGCCAGACCCGCCCTTGTTTTCAAAGCGACAGCCCCAACGAATTTAATGCAAAATCGCAGTGGAGCGCCTTGGTTGTCTACAGCTTAGTCGGGCGACTCAATCAAATGCAAGGCGCAGGAGAGCGGGATACGAACTGTAAGATTTAGGGTGACTGCCGTGCACAGTTTGCGTGGCAGTTATTGAGCACAGCGCCGTCGTCGATGTAGCCAGAGCTTGCGAGGCCAAAGAGCCTGTTTACAACGGCGCGCCATTGCAAGTAATTTCGGGCAAATGATTTGATAGAACAGCTGCTACTTGGCTGCTGGGACGTCGGTCATCGTGATACCGGTCAGTTCCCATTTTTGGGTCTTGGTTTGACCAAGCTGCAATAAGCGCTGCCCCTTACTGTTCTCTTCGTAAACTCAACACAAACCACGACACCAATCTTACCTCGCGATCCCCCGTTTGCTACCATAGCACAGCTGCTATACCTGTATACCCGCAAAATCGTTCGTTTGGAAGCTGAACCAGAGCGGGGACGTATCTCGTTGTCGGTGAGTTCATTGATCTGAGATGCTGTCAAGCTTCTGACGACGGGTTCGTTGGTTTGTCTAGAAGGAAGGCGGAGCTTCTATCCTGTGGTAGATGGCATCCATACTCACGAAGAACTTCCAAAAATCCCTTCATCATTACTAGGAATGGAGGAAGCAAACGATGGGTGGAATAAGCTAACATAGGGCATACCAACATCTGCGCAGATGGAGCCGAACGATACGGCCGGAGACACGCGCGAAGATGAGAAAAATACGATATGGACGCTGTATGACCACTGTAGTGATACCATGAATGTGAGTACTTGTACCTTCCTCCTTGATCAAACTGGCGACGACGGTATGTTCGATACTTAGCATCTAGACGGACCCACCTTCTCTTCTTCCATCATTCGAAACTCACGCTTTCCCTAGAGCGAGGTGACACCACAGTCTGCTACATCCCCCGCTGACAAGCGGCGCAACGATCATTCTGCGCCGCATACGGCATTCTCCGTGGGACCGCAAGCGACCCCGTATCCTGACGAGGAAGTGGTCAATGCAATAGTCATGGGGGAGAGGGAAAAGAGATGTCATAGAGGGCTCCATTGGGGTGTAGAGAAGGGGCGATGGGCTTTCTGTTACATCACTAGTTAGTGCCTCTCTGGCGGAATCAATTTTGCATTTGAGATATATGATTCCTAGCAAACTCTTACATTATATTGTACAACATAGGACGGAAGGAAAATGACGAAGACTCGTAGAGTACGATGACTACGGCTTGTGGACGTAGGCATCACAAGCCGTAGTCATCTGGGGCGTAGTAGTGGCTGGTCATGAAGTTGTCGTTGTAGGCGTCGAAGAGCGCTTGATCAAACGGCACCGCGTACTGCTGGGAGTTAGAGGTCGCACCATTCTGCCCATGTTCGTTCGCTTTGCCGGAGCCGGTGGCACGAGCTTGGGCGTTCGTACGCTCGGCCTTCTTCTTCTGCTTTTGACCCTTGGGGTTCGCGGCCGCCAGGCGCTGCGTAGCGATCGCGGCGAGGTGCTTCGCGGTGAGGCGGTGCTTCTCGAGGTACGAGCGGGTCAGCACCACCCCGCACTCGCACTTAACCTTGTCACGGGCACGCTACACGGAAAGTTGAGAATAAGCATGATGCATTGAGGGGATTGGAATGATATGAGGACTTACAGGAATCGCATCGACATCGATGATTTCATCGGGGGTGGGGGTTCTGGGGGTGCCGATGGTCAAGAGGGGGTTGATGGCGAGCACCTGGGGTGGGGCAGTCTTATTGCCGTCGAAGGGCCTCGGGAACTGGGGCACGACGGTGGGGTTCGCGGCCCTGGGATCTATGTGATGACGCGAGGACATTTGGACTTGATAGGCGCTAATGATCTTTTGAGGTGAGCAGTGAGCGTGATGGGGAGTTCTCAGAGCTGGTGTGCCAATATTTATAGCGATATCAAGCAGGTCCACATGAGGCCACCCAGGGAAGATGTGGCCGAGGATGCCACACTTCTTTGTTACAGCACAATGGAGGGTGGTGTCAGTCCACATTCAAGGAAGAGTCCACGTAGCCGCCACAATCAAAAAGATTCGGAATATCCCACTCGAAGATAAACAGCCACCTTCAATACGTTCAGCATCTAGGTGCAGACGGTGAGTGGCTACCACCCATACTACTATCATCAACTGGTTTCTGATATCGTAGGGCGCTACACGGCTTCAGCGTTATCGTGGCATATCCCGGGAAGTAGGGTGTGGCGGCAGTTCATGGACATCTCGAGTGTACAGCCACCTGTTGTACATTGTGGGATGATCAAGATCGAACGTTCATCTCGATAATCTGACACCGATCCCGGCAGAATGCACATGGCGATCTGGTGCACGCAGATGTTTTAGACGTCGAAGACTTGCAGGGACGGGGCAGGCGACAGACGCAGTATCGACTCGGTGGGATCTATGATGCATCAAGATATCAGAGTTAAAATAAAAGAACAAGTCGTACCGCTCAATGCGAAGTTATCATACCCAATACGAGCGCGACACCCTGGCGAACCCGTGGGCCGGCGCCCCTTCAGCTACCCTCATTGGCACCTAGGGAGCTACATGGGGGCGTTTGGAATAAGCTGGTGAATAAGATTGCTATCCGCGGCCAACAATCACTCAGAATTGCAGGTGATGAGGGGTTGCTTACCTCCTCACAGCGGTTCAGTCTATCGGTACTTCGAGAAGTTGTTATTGTCGTACAGTCGCTTCCTAAGGGATGCTTCATTGACGGCTAAAGTAGATTGTGAGAACTGAGTTGAAGGTAATTCAAACAGGAAGGCATACACCTCGTTGATTACAGGTTGACTGCAGAGTTTTTCTGGACAAGCGCCCGTCTCACCAAAAGTGGACTGGTTGAAGCTCCCAGACCAAGTAGCTCGGCCTTCTGCCACTTTTGTATGCCAGATTCGCGCTCTATCTCGGTCTACGTCACCGCCAAAAGTTGCGAACATATCTGCAAGACAAACATCTTGCAAGTTTATCAGCGCATCAGCGCTATCGGCGCAGAACTCTTTCCAGTCATTTTCACTGCGAGAAACATGTCAGGATGACACCAGCTTCCATCCTCGACGCCCCTCACCGTCACTGTCACTACACCAACTCGCGACCGGTGACAAGTATGATTTCGCTCCTCGCTGACAGTATTCCCTGCTGCACCCCTCTACGCTGGTGAATCGCGAGTCGTCAGAGAGATGAACACGTTATACTTGGAATGGACTGCGATGGCGTGTCGTGCGGAGGATCTCCTCAGAGTCGTGAATCGTAGTGAGCAATGAAGGCAGTGGTAGCCTGAAGGTGAGCCATCGATCTCCCTTTAGCCTCGAAGCTGTTGAGAATTATACTTACAAAGGCGGGGCCCATGTAGATGCCTCACGATTTTTGGTAGATGACGAGGAACAGACGTCTTGAGGACACCCACGCTGAGGTATTCCCCCCTTCCACTCCGGGCAACAGGCTCAGAAGTCACCTCAATAGGGCCAGGGCGCAGCGTGCGCAACACCCACTGAGCCTCGAATACCAGGCAACGACTCGATGTCGTCCTCCCCATCCCTCCCAGTAGTTGTCGTACAGTACTCGAGGGTAGCAACACGATCAACTCGACGATTTCGAGTTGCAAACGTTGTTGTCCCGCTCGGAAGTGGTTGTAACTGACGGCGATACTATGGAGTGATTGGGCTAAGACGTGCTTGAAGGGAGCTCGATGAGATGGCGGTGTGGTGCTTCCATGACGTTGCAAAACCTTCGCGCACGAACGTGCGGCCACCCTCTACGTTCATCGACATCAGTGAGCGGGTTTTCACTCCTCACCTCCACCACTCTCCGCCCTGCCCAAACGCTGCGAACAATGCCACACTGAGTAGGCCCAGTACGTCCTGCAAGTCTGCCCCTCGGCTGGCCCCCCTCTCCACGCAATGGGGCGCATCCGCGATTTGTAGTAAAACGCGTCGCCTATCGTACGCCTCACATGTAATCACGGGCCAGGAGGGCTGAACACCGTCGGGACCAGGAGTCTATACAATACAACCTCCGACTCGGTGTCTATCCTTTTTTCTTCGGAATACTCATGACATTTAGACACCTATTCTCCACGAGGCCTGTATCTACACTGTTGCGTCTCCATTCTCTTTTCGTTTCGCGGACTCTCTCACCTTTCGTACCACCTGAGGGACACTTTTCTCATATACCTTGTTACTTCTGCACATTTCTCTTCGTCTTCTCTACTTCTGATTGGACGCAGATAACTCACTCCCTTTGACTCACTGTGACTCATACACACGACCGCGTAGCCGTACATACATCGATTACCAGTACACCCCATTCTCAAAGGCCTGCGCCACATCTGCCCATACGCATTCGCGCTGGGCCTACGGATCCCTTTGCAATTGCAGTGTGGTGTCTGACACGACTGGGAGATCTCAAAGCGAACCCCGAAACGGTGGGATGCAGTGACAGCGCACATGTTTATGTGAGTACATCCCCTCTTGCACACTCAACCAACGGACAACAGCCGAGTGAGGACAGTCATACCTGCCCTCACAGCTGTTCCTTCGCGTTCATTCCCGAATGCTAGAAGGCAATAACGAGCGGAAGACGCCCAAGGTGCCCTTTGTATGTATCGTCTCTACGAACGAGGTGTCGAGTTTAACATCAACCACCGTCCGTCATCGCGCATTCTCCCCGCCTCGTAGCCCGCACGCCTTGAAGTTCGACTCGACACGCTACAGTCTGCACCTGGTCGCGAGGTATTGATGTCACGGTCTTGCATACATACGAACTAGACACGCAATGATTCTCGGGGCATAGCCGTCATGCCTCCTTCAAGCTTCAATCCTCTTCGAGTTGAATCCTTCTGTGTGACTAATGTAGCACGCGCCGTCCTGACGTGGATACCCTGTTCGCTTCGGCCGCCATCATAAACTTGTACACGTATACGTGTGCCGACTCCTACTTCCCATTCTGCTACCGTCCTTGCTAGCCGTTTCCCTCTCGCTGCACCACTACCGCATGACATTCCCATTTGCCCATTGATCACATTATGGTGCGCACGGGATCGATGTCAAATATTCCACAAGCCGCTTGAAAACTTGGAGGACCCAGACCGGGCGTCGCCACCGTACCTTGACATCTCTGCGTCAATCCCGTACCTCGCTCTCCTCACGACCACTCTCGAAACGCGACAATATGCAAGTCATTGATCCCTCAGCATTCACGTAGGGCTGGCCTATCAACATGCCGGCTTGCTTCCTATGACTCGCCTTCATCAATGTGATCCGTACGATGTATCAAAGTAGACGTGGATTAGCAGATATTCGTGAACATTGCGGTTCACGCCCTCTTGAGGATAACCCGCCGTATCCTGTGTCATATATTTGCGGGCCTATAAGCCGATATTCTCACAAAGGCTTCACACTGACTCGTTCTCGGCCATCAGACCGCCTTGCTACTCCACCGTATCTCACAGCACCAAGGAGTTCTGCCTCAGTGGCGAGTGTTTAGGACTCATCATCAGCTAAAGCGCGAACAGCACTCGATTTTGCAACGCCTCCCAGCTTCCATTTCTTGCCTTCCAACACCCGCTTTCTTGGTTGTCCTTCTCGTCGTATCACGCCGTTTACATGCGCCTTTACGAACTGTAACAATCACAACCACGCACATCAAGCTCGAGTAGGCCTCTGTAATCTCGCTGCACCCAGCTCGTCACCGGCACTACCAACCCTCTATCTCCGTACCCTGTACGTCAACATCCCGCAGTTGCTTTCAAGCGCCATCCACCCTTCGCTTAAGGCAAACACCGCTGCATCGAGCTCGAGACATCTACCATTCATGCACTCGCCACGCAAATACTCGCCGCTCACCACTCACGGCGCCTCTCGCCCTGGATGCAAGGCGGATCCTCCCTTTCCCCGGTGTTCGTTAATATAATCATTCCTTGAACCCAGGAATCGTCACCGCGCTCTCGAGGAGCTCGACGGCTGACTCTCAGTGAACGGCAGCAACTTGCGCGGAGCAACTCCTCCAGAGGCGCAGCCGGCTACGCATTCGAAGTTACGCTCAGACGCGGCCCTCCGTCACGGTCCGGCGCTATGGCACGTACGGCATCGGTCGCTTCCTCGAGACCGTCATCATTCGCCCACTGTTGGCTGAAACTCCGCAATAGTTGATCACGACTACGATTGGCGCGTGAACGGCCTTCCATGTTCACGATCGTAATACGCTCCACTTCATCATCACTCGATGAATCCGAGTCGGCGAGTAGGTGTCGATGATGATCGACAGGTCCCCGGTTTCCGCTTCGTCAATGTCCGTTTGGACAGACCGACATTGGTGAGGACGAGTGTATCGTCATCGTCGTCGAAGCTTAGTTGCGGTTGAGAATAATGAGAGTTGGGCTGGCCGAAAGAAGGTGTATCCGACGTGGCAAACGAATCTGCTAGGGATAACGTTCGGGGAGGTAAATCTGAGTGGAGGCTACATACACCCAAGGTTATGAAGATCGCCTCAGCCTCTTTCCGCCTAGTCTCTGCAAACGTGTTCAAGCCTACACTGACCACCATCGCAGTGGTCCCGTCACACACTCTACCCATCTTGTAACCCGCGCTCCCAGCGATTCGCTTTGACCCTACGGCTTGAGAACGACGACGCCGCACACGAGGCTGCAGTCGACTACTCCCTCGCAGCGAGCGGACGGCTCGAGCCATCTTCCATCATACGGTCGGTACGCCTTCCTACGCAACGGAAACCGTACTGACTCCCGAGTAGGCCCTAGGCCCTTTGCGCTCCCTCGCCGACTCTCCCCTGGGCGAATCTGCAAACTGGCATTTCCTGTCCAGTACCTCGCAAGTACTTTTGCGGACCTCGACGTCGAAATACGAGCCCCTTGACGGGGAATCCATCTATGCACGATGCTCGAGAGGGGTCGATGGCAGCGCTCGGTATCGAGCGAGTTGGCGTCATGCGTGCACACGATCTTAGCGTAGATACCCCATTCGCTGCCCCCTTCGCCGTATGTTAGTATCCCCGTTCCAGTACGCGTCAACGCTCCCTTCCTGCGAGTTTTTCTCTCTAATCTACCACCAACAGCCCAACGCACCCAGGGAGCCTGCAGTATCGATGTTAGTTTGACTACGGCTTCCAACACCACTCGACCACGTAGCGCTTCCAGATCTGGACGTGGACTCACATGTCTCGCGGTGACCATCGTCGTCGTTGTATTCCGACTCACCCCAGCACTTCTCGGCCGTCTTGAGTACCGCGATATTGACAACCACACTACGCACCTTCCTTCCCCGAAGCTCCAGCCGCCCTCGATAGCCCTTCCTATCCCTAGCCTGTCCGTGTCAGCGGCGTCTAAGCGCGTCGGTGTCAACGTCTACCTTCGTACCCCACACTTCCTTCTCACGATATCTCGAATCTTTCTGCGATTATCCCCCGAATTTCATGGCCAAAATTCGCTTCCACCGCTGTTCTCCCAGTCACAGCGGCAATGTTAGACTCGAGGCTCGGCGATTCACCGATCAAGCATGGCGCGAGCTTATCAGTCACCAACGTAATATAAGGCGTCTCCTATCAGTCCCTCCTCGTGGATGTCGTCGTTTGGGATGAACCCTCTGGCTATTGCAGCCTTCACACGGATGCAGACGCTGCGACGCACGTCCTGGGATCCCCCACTCCACCCATGAAGAACATGTCTTGTGTTGAGGCCGTGCGATGACTATGCGTATGCTTGAAATGGAAGCAAGATGGCGGTGTGACAGCAGTGGGAGATAGGCCGGCACGTCTGACCCCGTGTTTTCATTCATCAGGAAGAAGACTGATGGTTCGCGGGCGTTGACAGATTGCCGCTGAGCAGAGGCACGAGGTAGCGTGGGTGTCGAGGGTGTCAAGGATGTCAAGGGTGTAGAGGATGGATCAGCGCTTTTCGACGAGGGTGGGTGGGGAGGAATGTGGCGAGATGGTACTGGCCTTTGTCAGTGATCGTTGCTCGACAGCATTACAACAGATGTACCGGGTAGGACATTGGTTCGATGTACAGATTTATATTTAGATGGCATTTCTGGCTGTGCGAGCTTGAGGCCGAGCTGCGGTTTTGGTGAGGCCTGAGCGCTAGTAGAGTTGTATTTCAGAACGGAAGTTACCCAGCGCCATCTCTTTTGGAAACACCATTCCCCTAGCATCTCGCGTGCAAAGTGCTCACTTCTCAGTACTCAGTCGATACATCGTCGGACAATCCTCGTCACCTCGAATCATGTCTTTTCGGATAGAAGATAGGGACAAGGGGATTCAGTGAGTGCCAAATCGATGACAATGATTTCCAGGGGAGGCCTAAGTGTAGTCCAGGACCTGGTACTCGGTATATCTTCAGGGTTAATATTTCGTTGAATTTGAATCAGGCGGGTGGGCTTACGATTCATTTCTAGGAGTCTCGCTCTACTTTGGTACTAGCTGGACCTCCGGTTCGGAGGTTAAGATTTTCACGAACTACTGGAACGATGAGGATGCGGGGGAAATATGTAGAAGATATGATTGCCCGAGATCGCTGATGTTGGCGCCTTCTACCCCTCGGTGAGCATATTTCTGAGTGCCTAGCCTGGTGCGAGCTGCTATGGGGTCATGTATGCAGGTACGTCAGTGCGGGAGGAGACATACTTGTGCGGTATGTGCAGTGCGACGACGGAGTGTCACACGCTGGTGTCATCGCTCGGTGGAATGATGTTGAGGCTCTTGCGCGGAACGTGGAGTATCAGGACGGAACGGCTCACTTGGAGATCGAACGGGAACTTGCGTTTGTGACGAGCAAAGCGAGGTTTATAGTTATCAAGGTAAGCATGCATCCCATTATGACATGGTCGCCTCAGGTTCTTCAATTGTGTAGAAATTTGAATATGAAGAAGCTCGATTCTTCAAACTGAGTGTTGTCATCGAGAATATCCATTGGGATGACTGGAAGAAACTCCGTGAATATCAACAAGAACGTGAAAATGTAAGTCAGTCTCTCATTCTATATTGACCTCTCTGATTGGTCCACTTAGCTTGTCGATTTCATTGTTAACCATGTCCCTTGTGCATGGCGAGGGAGCGAACACATCATAAAGCAAATTCCTAAGTCCCCCTGGCAAAACGACAGAAGTGACGTGACCAACGACATCAGACACGCTGCCCATGAGTCCTTCCCTCTTGCCTTCAAATATGCCAATGGTGAGCATATATGGCCCCTCGTAAACGGCTACCCTCAAACTGACATTCCAGTCTAGCGCAAAACGAGGCCATTAAACAGGGTCTCTTTCCAGATGACTTTCAATGGGAATTCCCCAATCATCATGAAATGCGCGTTGTGCGATCCCCCTCCGCTCAAACAGACACTCCTCTGCGTGCCCTCAGACTTGACGTACACCTTTATAGTTCCATTATGCCCTTGGAGGAAGTGGCCGGGGTCTACATCAGATCCATCGATTTGATGATAACCCCAATCACACGCTCCCCATCCCTCCCCAACAACCTCTCCTCATGCAATCTCCGTCTCGACGCGCCCTACGCAGCATTGGCAACTGCTACAATCCCTGATTCTTCGTTCCAAATCCTCGACATCTCCACAACTTCGCGGTTGGCCGAACTCGGTATCACCACTAGCGGTTCTGTGGCGACGCTCAATGTCAATCTCGTCCAGATTACGGCTCCTGTAGCCGGCGATGTGTTTGCTGCTCCCATTTACGGTGGGAACAACGGAGGGCGGCACAACACAAACAGTAGTACGTCCTGATCCATCATCAATGGTCGTTGATTTCTCATCATGCTCTATTTATCAGTCGCGGTCCCGCGAAATCCGCCCCCCGCGAGCCGTACAGACACTGGATATCTATTTAGCCCGCTTTCGTTTCAGGCCGGTCTTTACCAAGCAACAAATCTGAGGAGGGTCTGGCCTCTTCTCAATCGCGAAGCGAAGGAATGGCAAAGGACTCAAGAGCGAAGTATCATGCTGCATAACTGTGCGATAGATTGAGAAATCTCTGTCGCGTCTTTAACTGTGTTAACTTCTGTATGTTTGCGCACGCCAGTGTTATGAGAGGTGTAAATTACTGAGTATTCCGTCGATCTCTCCGATGTTCATGTGAAGACTATGAAACCTAAACTAAGCGACGTACATGGCTGTTTGAGATGCAGCACCCTTTGTCACGGTTATGGTCTGAGCTTATGTGCGCATGAGGTTTGCTACGGCGGTACAAGGTCCGTGACTCGCGCAGTGGGCGGGAGGCGCCACGCCAGCCCCATAATGTGGTGGCTGCATCGGACGGCGGCGGGTACGTAGGTGCTATTCCAAGCTGTGCCGCGTTTGTGGTGGTGGTAATGGAGGGATGCCAAGAGGACAGAGCGTGAGCGTGAGCACATGGACGTGTACGACGGACGTCATGGAAAACGGGACATCCACGCATTTGCAGTGCTGCTGCACCGAGCACAGCCTGAGGCATCAGTTGACGCTGACTTTCACTCGCCTCGTTCACGGATGCACCGATATCCGGGTAGAGGCTGGGCTTCTTCAGCGTGTAACTGCGTGGCTCGCAATTCCCAACGCCCTGCGTAGCGACGCTTTTATTCTCTGCCGACTCCGAATTATCATTGCTTTCAAATCGAATCGAGCGTACCAACCACCTCATCTCGGTAAAGGCTGGGTCTGGGACATGTGGAACGAGTGGAGCTCGCTTCAGCGCGGACGGCACGCTGGTGGAGGGGATGGGAGAGTACAACAGCGGCGAGAGGATTGTAGAAGCCCCGAAACGGGTGTTTGTTTGAGCGGTACGATTAATGGAGTTCGTGCAGGTGCAGTAGGGGCGTCCAAGCGCGATAACGAGCACGATTGACGTGGGAAGAAGATCGCGGGATGGACGAAGGAATGCGAGTGGGAACATTGGCAGAGATAGGGACGAGACACATACTTACCCGAACCGCAATGAATATTTGGATTAGACACGAGGGCTACAGTAAATGACATGTGCGTGGTGAGCAGGAACGCACCTTTGCATGAATAAACACCTTGTTCTAGCTCAAAACCCCCCTTCCGAACAACGCAGCTAAGCTGTGGGCATCCTTGAGTTGTCTGTAACGATGTGTTCGCAAGTAGGTGCTACGAGAAATTATAGCGCTCACTGCACCGCCGCTGATTCGATAATGCATCATACGTGGTTCTTGGCGTAGAGAGAGCGGATACGGATACCGCGGTCGATTTATCTATATAGATAAGTTGCTCGTGGCAGCGATCTAGCTCAATACCACGCAAAATTAGCTTAGTGGCGATTAATCGGATGAGTTTGAGGACACACCAATCCAGCAGAATACGCAAACGACCGCTTCTATTACCACCTATTCCGCAATCTTGACCATCACTAGTGTCGCTTCAGTAGCCCTCACCTCTATCGTGGACGACTGACGATATAGATTTCATTGGTTATCCACAGTTTGCCAGAGGATCTGGGGGATAGAGCCAAGTTCCCTGCACTTCACTGGTGAGTCGTACGCGTTGTCGACTTGTCCAAGTCAGGTTCAAGCGCCCTTCTCGCCGAAAGCAGGTGTTTGGTCTAAGCCCCTAATCCAAGCAATGTGACTGACGTTGCCCACGCATCTTGGAGAACAAGGATGAAAGGGAAATCTGACCCAGTGGTCTTCAGGCAGTACCGGTACCTCCCATTCTTTCAAGTATAAACAAGCACCTTCTTTCGCCCTTGTTCTCCTCTAAGCTACGGTACCTACCCACTCTAACCAGTACATTTTGCCCTTCTAATACACAGCCCAGCCCGTCTGAACCTTTCCAAACCCGCCATTTCTACAAGGTTTCAGCCCTCCAATCCACTATAGACACTCCAAGGTTGTATTCCAGACTACGAATTCACCGCTCGATTTCCTCATATATTCATTACGCAGATCTATCTATAGAGGAACCTGAGTCAGCTACTCGAAGGCCGCCACTCTCCATCGCATTTCCCATCTCGTTATCTTGTTGGGTGGCATTCTCGTTGACCCAAATTATGACATCAGGTAAAGGCGAAATAATGTAAGTAGCGAATAAACGGTAATGGCTCCCAGCTAAAGCTTACGTGTGGCTCAGAGCTCATAACTACGTATATATCAAAGGTGGCTGTTTTGTGTGGGTTTGGTTAGGCGAGTGTACTTACGATTCATCGTAGAAATTGTGCTTGACTTTGGTTTCATTTGGAGTCCGCGATCTGTGGTACAAATCCGCCAGACCGAAGATGCCGGGATGCAACCGTACAGAGCTTACGATTGCCCAAAGTCTCTGGTGTGGGCGCCTCCTACCCCCGAGTGAGTTATATCACCCCAGAGTCAAGTCTGTGTTGATATGGGGTCATGTAGGCCCTTCGAGTTCGGAAACATAACTGTGGTGTATGACAGATGTGACAGTGCGCCCGTGTGCGCTGGCGTCATAGCTAAATACAAGGAGGTCATAGATCTCGCGAAACAAGCAGAGTATCGGGCGGGGATTGCTCACTTAGAGATCAAACAGAATCTCGGGTTTGGGACGAGCACGGTTAGATTTATGGTTCGCAAGGTAAGCATGCGCTTAATGGCCATGCTCGCCACGTACGCTGATGCTTACACCGCATAGATAAGCAGCTACGCCGGGGTTGGTACCTTCAAATTGAGCGTCATGATTGAATCTATCGACCGCGAAGACTATGAATACCTTCTTGGATTCCAAGTGATTCTCTCTCATTACAAGTTTACTCTGCGACTGACTCTGGTTTGTTCGTTTAGCGATCCTTCACAACAGTCACTCAGGGCCTGCCCATTGTATGGAAAGATAGTGAAGCCGTCATCTCGCAAATGGATGAATCGCCGTTCAAAAACGATTGTGGCAACATCATCACTGATCTCACACACGTCGCCTACGAAGCCGTCCCTCTTTTGGTCAAACACATGAATGGTATAGAATTAAGCTCGAGCGCAACTTCCAAACTGACACCCCAGTCTAGCACAATCCCAGGCGATTGAACAGGGTCTCTCGCTTTCTGACTTCCTATGGGAATTACCCGGTCATCGTGAAAGGATCGTGCGCCACGAGAACTCCCCTTCCTATCGAGAAGCTACTTCTCTGCGCGGCCTCAGAGTTGACTTGCATATTATGAGTGGTTTTACGCACCTGTTTCAGACTACCTACGCGAGCATCGTCCGCATTGAATTGCAGATCACCTCAATCCCGTCCAATCCCCCATCCTGCCCTCACGTGTTCTCCTCCATTGACAACCTCCATCTCGATGTCCCCCACGCACCATCGGCGAGCGCCAACAACCACGATTGCCCCCGTAGTCGACAGGCTCTCAATATTTCCATGGACGCAACGATCACATTCGATGGTACCAACTCGATGACGGCGGGAACGAGTATCACGGCCAATGGCTCCGTAATCATCCTCAATGTCAACGGTCCTGTGACGGGCGACATCTTTTCTGGTCCTATCTACGGCGGAAACGTCGGAGGGCGCAATAACATCAACCATTGTACGTCTTGATCAGTCATCACCGATTTCATTCTCATTTCAGTCTATCTATTAGTTAAAGCGTCGAATCCACGCCCTACCGTTCGTCAAAACGAGGGCGTATTGTTTCTTCGGCGGTTCGAGTTCCGGGCTGGGCTGGGAGGCTTTTTCAAACCAAGACCAAGAAGGGGGGAGGGGCTATCTCAGGAGGGAGAAAATGGCGTACAATGAACACAATTAAACCACACGCAGTACAATCCTTTTAAATCTACGTGCGCAAAGGTTCATTCCATTATATTCTAACTTCTGTATTTCAACTGTATAACTAAGCCAGGTCACGAAGGCAAGGGTGTAGGAACCGACGGGCGAGAAATTGCTGCGTAGATGCTGGTGAAGTAGGAGAGGATACGAGAACGAGAGCTGCTACGGAGTCCCAACGCCCGTTTCACCAGCCAAGGGACACCATTATGCAAGAGCCAACGCTGCGAGGTAGGAGGTGTGATGCGATGGTGGCGGTGAGAAGCAGCGTCAGACAGCTTTGAATTCTCCGCAGGCGAACAGGCGAACATGCAAACGGCAGGATAGCGAGGTCTGCAGCTAACCTAGAGCGTAGAGGTTGCGTGTCGGATACGGGGCTTGGGAGGGCGGGAGGGAGGGCGCCACCTTGGCCCATGATAATCAGCGTGATATGACAAGGGCCACCAGAGATGGAAGATGCGGGAGAGCCACTGAGTAGTTGAGTAGTTAAGTGTTATTCATATGCTGTTGCAGTGGAATAGGAGGAAGTGTCGATGGCATCAGAAAAATCGCAAAAATGCCTTTCGCGGCTTTTGGATACTTTTGTGTGCTTCCCGTTTCACCGAGACCCTCCAGAAGCCAGGTACTTATCATTTTGCTCCTTTCTGCCCAGAAGCCCTCAAAAAGCCTGTCGAAAGGCGCAAGGATGTGTGATTTTACTGATGGGGCGAGGGCGATGGAGGGGATAGGTGCGCGTGGAGACATATGTATTAGGGCTGACGATTATGACCAGAGGGTACGACGATACTTGCAATATATATTATTCCAAGGACGGAGTTGCATGATATCATCCAAACCGATTTTACCTTGCTTTACTTCTAAGTACGTTCGCCCATGATACAAACAAGAGTAAACAAGTATGTGCCTGGCGCGCGTGTTGAAACACTCATTTTCCACACCTTTTCTCCCTGTTGAACCGCATGCTCCAGTTTTCAAGCTGCTTGAACCTGGTCAAGAAAGCGCGTCTACGAAAATTTGCCGGAAGCGCTCTCGTTATGCCGAAAAGACACCAAGAAGATGTAGAGGTTGATGCTTATCGTCCACGCCCACGCCGTGCTTACCAGCAAGAAGGCGATAGTTATAGCTCGTATGGCCGGGCCCGGGGGTACAGGGACCAACGTGGTGGTGAGACCGAACGCCGAGAAGGTTCATCTCGAAGGAGACATGACGAGGACGACAGACATTGGAGACCTCGACACGGAGACAGGGACTATAGGTGTCGAGACAGTGGTAGCGGAACATATAGGACAACTCGGTGAGTGTCCAATAACGAGATGGAACCAACTGTTTTGATCAATCTCCTACAGCTCGTACCATAGCACCCAGACGCGTCGCGACCGTTCACCTGATCGGTGAATCCACAAATTGCTGCAAAAACTTCGTCGATCTCATTTAGCTCATTGCGTAGACCTTCAACGCGTCGACATACACATCGAGATACGCCGCCGAGGTCAGAACACGGTAGAGAGCGCGGTACAACCCCCACCCAGCCCGCCTCCCATAGGCAGCTACTGCCTCGCGAACCAGCCGCAGATAGGATATCACGGAGTCGACCACCATTCTTGGCACCATCTATTCCTCCCCGTGAGCCAGCAAAAGATAGAATGGTCCGTAATCTTCCTCCACGACCTGCAGAAGAACGACGAGCGAAGTCATCATCGCCCCCTCGTCACAAATCAAGATTGCCGCCTCGAGAACCGGCCGCTGACAGAGCACCCCCATCTCAAGCCCCTGTAAAAGAGCAGGAGCCTACGTCTCATTACCTCGATGTCACTCTGAAACCCTCAGTCACTCTATCGCAACCCACCGACTTGCGTAAACTTCTCGTTTTGGATCTGAACGGAACTCTTGTCCTACGGTCGCCTTATAAGCCGCCTTCGAAGGGGTCGACACACAACCCGTATGCTAACCCGCATGCTCCACGCCCACTTCGTACTGTTCTTCCTCGACCGTTTTTGCCGTCGTTTCGGGAATACCTGTTTCATCCGAGGACCAAAGAATGGCTCGATACGATGGTTTGGAGTAGTGCGCAGCCGCACAGTGTAGAGGACATGGTCGATCGAGCGTTCTGTGACCCTGAGTTAGCAGGAGCGAAGAATAAGGATGAGCTAGTCAGCTCCGGAAGGTTGGTTGCGGTATGGGCACGAGACACTCTTGGGCTGCCAAGTAACATGTATTGTGAGTTCTTCCATCATGCCAACCCGTCTCGCCGCTGAAAATAGCTATCTCACTAAGTCCAGAAAACGCAGACCACCAAAAATCTGGAGACTCTGTGGAAGCATTTCCAAGGGTCCGAGGGAGTGCAGCACTCGGCGTCATCTACCCTGTTGTTGGACGATTCGCCGCTGAAGGCACGTCTGCAGCCTTGGAATCACCTCTGCGTGAAAGAGTATACAAGTGAGACGAGGCTTGCAGATTTACAAGTCGTTTCTGAAGACGTGCGTGATTTGATTCAGAGTTGTAAGCTATGCTTTGCTAACCATGCTCTTCACAGTCGGCGCCTTCTTACGACATCAATACCTACAACAACCTCGATCTAACGCTGCTCGCTGTAATCGGTGCCTTGGATGCAATCAAATGGGAGGCTAATGTTGCTGGATGGGTTCGGAGCGGTGGACTCTCGCTGAAAGGCGCAGATAGCGCTGAACCGTCTCGCGCTGAGAACTCTCAACTTCCCTCAAAGTCGCGTTCTGCAAGCCCCGTCGCTGTCCCGCCCCCTTCCTCGCCTCCTTCCTCCTCGCCTCTAGCTTCTCCTGTCGAAGTCGAGCACACCGCTGAAGAGAGAGTCGCGGGGGGGATGTGGTTCGAAGAGTCTTCCAATGTGATCGCATGGGCTACCCGAGGTCTAAGCGCGTTGAGGGAACTCGGATTAGAGGTTGTGACCGGCATCGTACCGGTTGAAGGGGAGGAAAGGAAGAAGTTGAAGAAGAAAGACAAGAAGAAAGACAGGAAGATGAAGCTTGAGGCGCTGCCCGCTTGATGAAGAATCGCCTAGCTTTCCGCCCCGACTCCTTGTTCCGCAGCACGTCACATTCTTGGGTTACATATATACCGTTCGCGCAAATGATTATGTTTCGGGCAAAGGACGTTGTAGTTATAATCCATACTAATACCGCTGTCTATATTTTATTTGCAAGCTCTGTCAGTTTCATATCGTCTTTCGCATGATCTGTTTCGTATAGTCTCCCTCTTTCTACTTCAGACTGTCATGCTGTCCCACCCCCGCCGCGCGACCGAGAGCGGATACCGCCGTATATAGATGGTAGGGCAGGATTTCGTCGGGATTCGGGGCGCGAGGTAGTACAGGGACGGCTTACTGACTACTTTTAGGTCGCCGCGAAATTCGGTTACTTCCAAGATAGATTGGGTGCGAGGTAGGAGTCATTTATATACAAGTTTGCTTAGCTAACTTGTCTGTCGTCTAGTAGACAATCTCGGTGGCCCAGTGATTCGATAGTCGGGAGCTCTTCGCTCTCACACGCGGCTGGCGCGCTGCTCCAGCGCGGGTTCAGCCAGAAACCTCCTTCGTGGAAGGCCGTTAAGACCTTTGTACTTGTGAAATTCAGCTGTGAAGGCAGCACCAACCCACATATCCGTCGCGCAGCCAACCAAGTACAGCAGACCTCTGAAGACGTAGCCGGACATCGGCGGTCTTCGACTTAGCTATCCACTGGTCAATCCGCCATTGAAGCACGGCTTCAGCCGAACGTATCGTTCATGTGAAGGGTGCGTTTATACGTTCTTTCTAGAAAGGTGCTGAGTCTGCTGGGATCCTTTACTAACGGCGCCCTAGACCATGTGTTTTGTGAACAGGTCAACGCATTAAGTGTCGGATAATAGCGAGCACGCACCAACTACAGGAAAAAGCACCCCCGGCTTCTGGAACCCTCAACGATTGTCACACACGCTAGCCCTCTCCGATATTCACATCCAGTTCCGAACGAGATTCCGAAGGGGCTTATCGCCCGTTTCGGGATACCCCACATCTCCCGATGGCGGCCAATGCTCGTACGACCCTGAGACTGAGACTTGCATGGGCCCTCTGCACTAGTAACAAAGGACGACCCTCGGTGGCCATTCCAGATTATCTGCTAGATGTGGCTTATGTCGATCCACAGGTATAAATAACAATGTCCTGTGGTTAGTTAAAGGTGAAGCCATATTTTGTCCGTCGTCCTTCCTCCTTCCTATTATTACCCACTTGAACCATTTGCTTCAGCAGTTTTCAATTTACCCACCCCGCTAAGATGTCTAGCCCGTTGTCTAGCCCGTTGTCTTCCCCTCCCTCTTCCCCTCAGCGCTGGACGCCGTTGAAGAGGCGAAATGTGAAGCCTTCCACAAGCCGCCCAGGCAAGAAAATGCGGGCGGGTGGCGTGCAAGCCAATCAAGAGAAAGATGATATCCCTGCCACGACTAGGAGCACCGTAAGCCATTAACTTCTCCCAATCATCGCGCCAAATTCACGCCGCGTACCGTAGAACCCCAAAGAGAAGATCTTGTGCGAATGCGGGATGACTATACGTCCCGCCGGCCTCGACAGGCATTTGAAGACGCACCCTAGCCACGCTTCGGAGTTGTCGTCTTCGGAAGACGAGCTGCCTATCGCCCCAACGGAGGCGCCTACCCGCCGGACGACGGGGGGTAAGAGCGTCCCCACGTCCAGGCCGAAGAGAACCCCCACTGCAGATGCTCCCAAGGTGCGCGAGCGGCACATCGCTCCGCTCCCTTCTCGTGTGCGAGTGCCTACCCCCTCCCAGCGAGCCCAAGCCCCGGCTGCACCGCGAGTGGGAGCAAAGCCCGCAGTTCGGCGCCCAAATCAACGTCTCACGAAACGACAGTACCACCCCTGCCTGTGCTTCGACTCGAGTGGCGACGAGGAGGTCTCCGCCGGCTCTAGCACAGAAGACGAGGGCGAGCACAAGCATGGACTGGCCGAATATGACGCGGACGACAGCGACAACGAGGACGACACACCCGAGCAAGAGTTTGACGAGAACGAGGACGAGGACGATGTCCAGTGGAGCGACGAGGACGAAAGCGAGGAAGACGGCGTATATACGTACGCCCACACGCCTGAACCGATCAGCTATACGGCATATGGCTCGGCTTCTGAGGACGAGGACGACTCAGACAATACCCCTTTGTCCTCTTCTTCTTCGCATCTTGCCCAACCCGCTCCTCTTCCCGTCGAACTCACCAGCGTCCCCCAGCCCCACCCGGACACCTTCCGTTCGCTTGAGCCGACCAGCCGTGGAATGTATGGCTCATCTTCCTCGGACGACTCAGATGACGGCTCCTCCTCTTCGTCTTCCTCCTCTTCTTCCTCCTCTTTCGCCAAGCCTGTCAGCGCCCCCCAGCCCCGCGCAGACTCCACTGGTATGGACGTCGACATGGACGACGAGCCCCTCGACCCAGTCTACGCTCCAACAAACGGCTTCTACATGCCATACAGCCCTTGAGGTGCTCTCCGTCTCCTTCACTTCCTCTCCTCGCGCGCATCCTCTCTTCCCTATTCTTCTCGCACCTGATATTGAGTCTCAAGCTTTCAGTTTTGTTTATATGTTAAGTATGCTATGTACGCCATGTCCGTCTCCGCTATATGTCTTCCTCTCTTTTTCGCACCGAATCGCACGTATGTCTTTATATTCAACATAAATCGTAGGTATAGTCCCTCGCTATTGTCCTAGTATACTCTCCCTTAATCGTAGATACACCAATTATTTGTCGCTCGGAGTTTTGTATCGTATGTAGTGTTTGATTCGTGCAATATATCATGTTAGGCTACTTTGAATTCATGATCGCGGAGGATAATGTAGTAACGGAATTATTGCGAGACGTTCACTTGCGGGGGCTCATTTTCAACGTTCAATATCGAATACTGAACACGATAACGAGACGCGTACTCCGCCTTGCACGCATCCAATAGGCGCACCCCCACGAACCCTCCGCATTCATTTAATTGCTACAATGGAATCTGTTGCTGACAATCTAGTTGATACGTAGTTGATATAGTAAATGGTAAATAGCTATAGTAGATACTAAATGTGAATAGTTTTGCTTCTAAATTCCTCCCGTAGTCGCCTATTTGCTTGCCAAGTGCCGACTGTCGCCGTTCGCCATGTTATTCCGGCTGGTACGTCATAGCTTCTCGGTCGAGACTCATAACCCTCCCATACTCGAGCAACAACCTACACAAACCATCGCATCAGTTACTCGTACTTTCACTCCTACGTCCCTCACATGCACACTCCTCTACGCCCCCTATCCCCCAATACACCACAAGGGGGATAAACCACTCACCTAAAAAGATACGCAGTCATATCCTCCTTCCTCCAATACGTCCTGCTCCATTCCCTCCCCGCCTCCGCCATCTTCCGCGCCATCTCGTCGTGGTTCCCCTTGCCGTACATACCGCCGCGAAAGAACGCGAAGATGTCGTAGAGGTCCGAGAGGTCGACTTGGATGGGGACGTAGTGCACCCACGGCTGAATACGCTCGAGCCACCTGTATATAATCGACGTTAAAATGGGGTTGGTGTGAGAGGTGTAAGGGACGAGGGACGAGGATGGGGATGGGGAATAAAGGAAAATAGGACGTACCATTCGGGGTAGATTGTTGCTTTGAACACAAGGGAGTTTGTCGTGATCAGCCGCTTGAACCGACTCGACCAGCCGTTGCCGTCCACCTTTTCGCTACGTTAGCATATACATAAGATAGAATTACTTGGTGAGCGTACGTCGATAAAATATTTATGCGCCCCAACGCCTGGGTCGTTAAATGGCACATGCGGCTTCCACTCGAACTCGTGCTCCAAAAGCTCGCAGTACTCGGGCGCACACGCAATCGGGCTGCCCGCAAACTTGACATCAAAGAACGCCGTATTCAAGTGCCTCCTCGGCACGTCCACAAGCTCATACGGCGGCGATTCGCTCTGCGGGTGGTCATTCCCCGTCGGCACCCTCAGCCGCACCGCGCCCTCCATATCGTTCGCCAGCTTCACGAGCTGCGGGCGCTGCGAGTAGCGCCACAGCGTCTCCGCGCTGAACGTCAGCCCCGTGTTGCTCCCGCGCCAGAACATGCGTTCGTCCGTCTTGTTCGCCCACGGCGGGTCGTTCTCGCGCGGGTGGATGTCGTCTACCCACGAGATGAGGCTCGGGAGCTGGATGTTGTGGTGGACCATCGTGTTGCAGTACGTCGCCTGCGCGGACATGAGGGACTGCGCGTGGGGCGTCGTCGGGGGGTAGGGCAGGAACTGCGCGTGCGAGAAGAAGAGGTGCGGGCTGTGGCAGGGGTCCATCGCGCGGCGGTGGTCGTAGATGAAGGTCTTTTCTTTGCGCGGAGGCGGCCGCTTGGCTTGGTCGATGATCTTGCCTTTGCGCGCGGGCGAGTCTGGAGGGCAGGCAGAGGCAAAGCCCAGCCGTGGCATCTTCGGAGAGATGGCGAGGTTTACGTCTAGAAGGAAACGAAGTCAATTCACGGCTATTGTTGGACATCCACGACTCACATTTCCTAGCAGCAGCAGCATTCAGTGCGGCAGTCTTGACGTCGTAGTCTGATACTAAGTTCGGGCTGTCGTGCGGCGAGACAGGAATGCGAAAGGGCGGGAGCATATGTTCGACAGGCTTCAGGATATTGAAGAGGCCTTGGTACCCGCTAATCAAAGCCTCCATGGGCATCGGATTGATGCGAGAGCGCACGACATTGGCGATTCCTATCGACGCGTTGGGCTCTTTGGCGATAATGTAGGCGTCCGGGATGTTCTCTTGCGCTGCCTGTATCTGCAGAAGGTCGCGCGGGCGTATTCCCCAGAACGGTTCCAAGTCTTCGTAAATAGAATCATACTCATCAGGAAGTTTGACGTCGTTGTCCTGGACGTACTGCCACCTGCCGCCGTTCACCGTAAATCAGAGCCACCAGAGAGTAGAAATCATCGACGTACCAATCGTCGAATCCCTTAGGCGGCAAGCGTTTATACCGGCGTTTATACTCAGCGACGGCCTCGCTCAGGGTCTTGCTCGCCCGCTCATGCTTTCCCTCCCACTCCCTCTCCGCCCGCTCGATAAGCTCGATGACCGGATGTCGCCCTCTGCGCTTATCCTCGAACAGGCCGTCTGCTCGCGAAAAATCCGCAGTGGGCGGGCGGCGCCAGAATATCGGGCCCTGGGCCTCTAGGGCGATGGAAATCAACGACTCGCGGAGGTATATCACGGTGAGGAAGAGGGCGACGGCGAGGAGGAGGCAGAGGGTCTGGTGGCCTTGCCACTGCGGGAGCGCCTTGTGGATCTGAAGCTTCATCGCCCCGCCGCTAAGGCGATATTCGTTGGGATAGAATGTGAGTAATAGTGGTGGTGGTGGAGAGGGCTATGGGGCGCCTCCGTGATCGAAATGGGTGCGGAATAGGGGTGGACAATTTGAAAGGGGGCTTGGTGAGCAATGCGGTGAAATTTCTATCAAGAGATACACATTGAGATTATTGCGCCTGTAAAGGAATGATCCTTTAAGACTCTTCCATGGGTTGTCCAGGGGTAGACGTCAAACGACCAGTCTGTGTTACCGCAAATTCAGCAACGACAACGTCGCGAATATCGGGATAGCGGATTGCAATCCAGGCTCCCCAGGATTCGTTCTATTGGCGAGTAGTTGGCGTTTGCAGAATGTAGCATACTATGTGGAGCACGTCGAGTTTGCGCATCTCTCGGAAGATGCGCATCTATCGAAGTTTGCGCTCAGTGAACTCGTCTGACTGCCCTTGAAGAGGGCGTTCGCTACATCCGAGTACACTCATATGCACAAGATCTGTATATGTTCAATTGTACCGACACTGCGTATATGGAGGGACAGGATATGGGACGGTGGAACGTACCGACACGCTTGTTCTCCCCTGACCCCTATCTGACTTCATCCCAACATTCGGCGAGAAACAACATTGGACTTTGCAAGTTATACTTATACATAGCCCTGTCGCGCTCGAGTTCATAATGATTGATATATTGGGCAAACGGTCATATAAACTACAGATAAACTACGGATAACTACTTGGAATGCAGAACGATACACACGAGGAGACAACAGGGCGATAGCTACATTACTTGAGACAACAAGACAAACACAACATATTTCATATGGGGAGTACAGGACGCTACGAGAAGATAATGTGGATGTTACATATGTACTTACCGATGGATAACAGATAATGATATTGCCGATGATGAGATTCCGAAAGATGCTGAGCGATGCTGGAAAGATATTGGAGAGGTGATGAGGATGAGGAAGTGATAGATGAGATCTTGAGACGTTGGATGGGTCGTAACAATTGTCGTGAACGATAGTCGTGAGTGAGTCAGTGATATGTGGTCGAAGCTTGGAGCGCCGGGCCGCCTAAGCATAAGCATATCTACACTGCTGGGAGCGCTGATGCCGCTTAATCGAATAGTTATCACCACGCGAGATCCTGCACCAAGCAAAATCAGTCAATGAACCCCTTTCGAAAGCACCCAGAAGAAAGTAAAAGGCGCGAAACAGACGAATAGAGTAGAGGAATAAGGAGGAGGAGACGCACTTTTCGCCACAGAGATTGCACCTGGTGATCTTGCCGCCACACCTGCTCGCATGGCGTTTCTCTTCCTTCGTGCGCAGACGCTCGCCGCAAATCGAGCACACACTATACGGCTGCACGTTCAATGTATGTACGCATCAGCACCCACAGCCAGTATCCAGGGGACAGAAAACCACGTACCCCGTCCTCATCGAACCCCTTCGCGTACGTCCGCTTGATCCTCTTCGCCTTCCCGTCGGTGCCAGCGTCCTGGCGCGAGCGTTTGCGTTTGGACTCCCTGGGGGCGGCTTGCACGGGAATCGCAGCTGCGATGTCCCCATCCCCCTCGTACTCCTCGCCACTTTGCTCGCCCTGCTGAGCATCCTGGCCGATAGCAAGTACAATGGCATCCGAGAGGTCGGTCGTGCTATAAAGCGGCTCTGCGCCGAACGACCTGGTCTGCGGCTCGAACGCGCGCCACTTGAACTCTGTCGCCACGTTGGCTGTGTCGTCGCTGTCGCTCTCGGAGGCATCGGCGTCCACACCCACACGCTCCAAGGCATCAGCAACACCCACCGCGCCATCGCAGTCCACAGGGAGCTCCACGAACTGCAGATCCTCGCGCGTGACGGGCGCGAACGGGCCGCGGGGCGGCCACGGGCACGGAAGGCGCTCGGGGAGCATATAAATTCGGGCGACTTGCTGATTACCGCCAGGGCCGCCGCGCACGATGTCGCAAAAGAGGACGTCGGGGAGGCGTTTGATGTCGTCGATGTTGAGTCTGGCGAGGACCGCAGGGGCGTCGGGGTTCTTCCGTTCATTGGAGATGGGAGGAGATACTTCGCGCTGCGGAGTAGAGGCAGGAGTCGCGTCTTCGTCTGAGAGTAGGGCGGGATCCAACCAAGACATTTGGGAGTAGGTAGCCATGAGTGTAAAAAAGATAGACGTGACGCGACGCGAAGACGATTGTAGTGGGAGGAAGAGTACTTGGGTTTGGAGGGTGTGGTAGTAGTTAAAGGACGCGGTTGGATTTGAAGGATATAGCTAAGGATGTGGTTGTGGTTGAGGTTGAGGTTGAAAGATCTGGTCAGGAATCGACGCGCTTTGTAGGTGGCAAAGCCGCAAATCGAGAAATATACAGGAAATTTGAAGGACGTCGTTGATGAAGTTCAAGTTCAAGTATTGGTCTTCACCATTTAATAAATCCAGGCCGGCACGCGACCACTGGACCATCTCACCAACACGACCGTGATTCCAATGTGTCGCGGAGTTCCAGTTAGGTAAATCGTGTTAAGGGAGATAGACGACACGGCCACTGCCTATTTTCGGACTCGCGACGCTTTTGTTTTGACAATGGAAGATTGGCGATCTGGTGGGAATGGGCGCCTATACTACGCCCCATTCTCTGGCTTGGCGCGGATCCGTATGATAAGCAAGAGGTCGATGCTCCGAAATGAATTCGCTGGTCAAACCGTGGAACCATGGATCCAGGCTATGCTGTACGGAAAGACCCGAGGTGGAGCAACAGGCAGTAGCACAGTGTAGAGGTCACACTCCCTTCACCTTTACTTTCGTTTGTTTCTAACACCGTCCGGGTCAACACTGAAGTGGGTATAGGTGAACCTGCCGTCTGGGTAAATAGATTTACTAAGCGTAGTTAGAACGTCTTGCGCGATAGAGCCCACACCGTCATTATGCAGATGAAACCGATAGACTGCTCAACGCCGTTGAAGAGAAATCGTGGGGACGTAGTCCTCGGTTCAGCGAAGGAGAGTCGCGTTTGGTGAGCATTGGAAGTTGATTCTTTTGTTATCATTTCATCCGTTCGCAGTCTTGCGGCCTCTCGTGGCATACGTCGAACGCGCTAGCCGTCGTGCCATCGGCCGTAGACCGCAGCCCGGGAAATTCAGTGTGCTTGTCGTATTTTCAGCTACCTTGGGACCCGGACAGCGTACTCGCGGCGCACCTGCGTATACCTAAGAAGCCACCATGATACATCCCCGTGTAGCGGCGGCAGGTGTAAGAGGCAGATCGATCCATGTCCAAATGACAATATACCTGTCCTAGTCGCCAAAGAAGACACTAGTGTGATAACCCGCAAAAGGATCGAGTCCAACAAGGCGTATCATCTGAAGGGGATGCCAATCCTGGTTCAACGGCTGGACGAGGGCCGCAAGATGGCTGCTGAATTGTATTCCCCCGCACAAGTAGAAGGTGTTCACGGGTAATTTTATATGATTCGACGATAGGGATCCCGCGACCAACGCTCGACGAAATACTGTAGCCTGAGAACAATGTTTTAGCAGTCTTGCTGTTTAGCGCCCATGGGTTGCTAGTAGGCGTTGAAAACAGAATAGGTGAGCCCACCGAGTCCTTGTCTGCAAATCTAGATGAATAAACTCACGAACTACAAGTAGAAGTCTCATATGGTTGCTGAAGAATGACCTGTACGATGGAGTCCATGCTATCGGCTGTCGCCAATGACGATGAAGATAGTCGGTCGCTGTGCCCAATAAGATGGCAGGGGGAGATATAGTAGCACGCTTAGCGCAAGGGATTCAGGCTTGGTGAGCACCGAAGTACTGCAGGCGGGTGTCATTGGCTCATATACTCCATTCGCGGGTAGGTCAGCGTTGAACGTGCTGTCTATTGTACCAAGGTTGGAGGTTGCAGTTCCAGGCATGTCGTCGACCTTTCGGAGTACTCGGCAGGCTTCATCGCGGTGTCTGGACTGTTCTAAGTCGAAATCGAAATGGCTGATTCACAGTGACTCAAGTGGTGCACTGGAATTATCGTTAGCTTTGTCGAACTAGGGAGGGGTGCTTGAAGCTTGATTGGTCAAGTAGATCAAGACCGATATCGCCAACAACGTTGTCACCCGGTATAAGGCCGCTGCGGTCTCTCGCAGCCTGATAAAACTCCTTCAGTGAATAACGTCTCGATCGCGAGCTCGACATCTACTCACAAACGTCTATCGCGGAATAGACAAACATCACGAGCAGGTGCGTGCCAACATCTCCTCGGCCCCGCGCTCCTTGAGAAAGCTGAACCACAGAGCAGCAGGCGGGATTTAGTATTCTCTTGGCGCATAACGGGGGGGCTACTGCCGAATTTTTTTAGCTTCAGGCCTCAGCAACGCAATAGAAGCTTTGGCCGCACAAGAACACTGAGGTCTTCGCATCAAATGGGTCACAGAGACAAGATACACGTACCTCTAGCGCAGATATTCCGGTCTGTGACTCATCCCAGTTCATCATCACGCCCTTTCTAACCCACCCATACGCTGTCGGCCACCCTGAATGGTCATCGACATCCTCCGATGGCATGGCAGCTACCTCAGGCGCGCCTCGATGGTCGAGAATTGGTTCTCGCCTTTTTCAAACCGGCTCACAGGACAAGGTCGTATTGATATGATCAAATGTCTGGCAATGTCTGCGTGGTTTAGCGACTTGGCTGTCCGCCGGGCGCTTGAAAGGACAGGAGTAGTCAGGGGCTCCTCTTCTTCATCATATTTGGGGCAAGCACCGTGCCCGACATGCCAACCTGTTGATAATAGCGTCAGAGCGTAAGCCGATAGAAAGGTTTCCACTGTTTCCAAATCATCTTCTCATCAGCAAGGACTATACCTCGAGAGAGTCGATAGGCTTACGCATCGTTACCGAAGCTACAGCAAACGAATTGGGCATATCGTTGTCCCGAAATAAAGACAATCTACACAAGATACCCAACGAACGTTGATACTCGCAGACAAATATTTTAAGACATCGGCCTCGTCTTGTCAAGGTATGGGTGTGTCTGTGTCTGCTTATCGAGATGATGTAGAGTAGAGTGCGAGGCGGACGTCCCGCCTGAGGCGATATTGGGAATGCCATCATACCTCCGCCTGTATCTGTATATAGACATATGGACGAAACGTTCACTTTTGCCTTCTTAGGAGACATCCCTAGGACGCGAGGGGAACGTACCTTAGCTTCAAAGCTTCTCTGTGTATATATACAGAGTAGGGGGCCTATATATCCTGTGTTTCTCATGAGAAAAGCGGCGCACACTGACATGCCGAAGTCGTAGGGGTTGCCGGCGACAACGATGTCCATGACTCCTCACAACACCTTTCAGTGATAACAGGCGGAATCGTAAGGATAGCAGTCTCCGCCAGACATCTTTGGTGAAACTGTCAACAAGTAAATAAACCTACAAGCCTACGCGCCTAAATCAACATTCCCCCGGCTTGTAGTTTACTCATTACCCTCCTTCTCACCCCAGGGAACCCCGAAGCCGTCACTCTTTCGTTGCTCTCGAGCATATTTCTTCGCCAGAATTCTCGCTCTCCAAACTGCCTCAGGGCTCTCAAGGCCTTCCTTCTTGCTGAGCTTCGCTATCAACCCTTCGCGACACCAGTGGTCCCTCAAGTCGCCTTCGCTCCCATCGTTATACAGGAACCTATTGTCGCTGCCTTCTACCATAAAGCTTCGCGCGTTACGGCTGTTCGTGGAAACGGCGCTCGTCGTCGTGCTCGTCGATTGGACGTGCCCATGAACGGAAGGGCTATGGAATGGGGTGTTCGTAACTTGGTGGCGATTTCCCTGGACGTCCGGAGGTGTTTCCCCACTGACGGACTGCAACTTCGAATTCGAGGAAGACGAACCGAATGGGAGGGTCGGAGGGTCGTTTGGACTAGCGAATGGATCCTCCGCATCGATCGCACGCTTCATCGCTCTGGTCATTTCAGGTTGGTATCTCGCGTCAGTGGTGTTTACCAGTCGTTGAGACAAAGTAGCGGAAGTAGTGTCGGTATTGTAAGTCCGAACGTCTTGAGCGCCGTCGTCGTTTATCCTGCTGTATGTACTGCCCTTCGCCTTGGATTTCTTCGTGTTTGTGAAGAACGGTCCCATTTAGAGTAGTTCGAAGGTGATGTCGCAGCTAGCGAAGATGTAGGTATGAGGTGGGGTGGGTATACGTTCGTGGTAAGGTGGAGGCTTGCTCAGGGAATATATGTAAGAATTCAGATAGTGGCATGTGCGGCGCCGGCGACGGCATTGTGGCCACACATTTGTGGAGGGCCACCTGGCCACTTTGAAGAGTGGCAAAGTGCCTCGTTGATAGGAGTTGGCCGCGCCAGAGCACCCCAAGGATCGTCACCTCGGTTATCCTACGCCTCCTGGAGATGATGGCTAGAGTAACAAATCGGCGTCCCAGACATGGATTCTACCCGAAGTTAATCCTGAGACGATGCGCGTGCTATCTGGGGAGAACGCAACACGGTCCACTGAGTATCCAACGTCGTATACTGCCAATAAGTCACCAGACGAAGTGGCCCATACACACCGTCTTGTCTTGGGCGCATGACACGACGAGCTTGCAGTCTGGTGAGAAGGCGACGCAGCTGACGAACGCTGTGTGTCCGCTCAACGTCAACAGCGCCTCTCCGGTTTCTATGTCCCATACGAATATCTTCATGTCTTCCGCCCCTGAGGTAATGCGGGTCCCATCGGCGGAGAACGCGACAGATACAACAGGTTTTTCGTGTCCGCGAAAACCCCGTTGCTGTACCCCGGCCTCGGCGTCCCATAGCCAAACGGTGCTTTTTCTCGATCCAGACACCAGCCGTCGTCCATCCGGGGAGAACGCCAGTGATATTATCCACTAGTGTCCCTCCATCCAGCTGATTACATTCCTCCCCGTTGCCGCTTCCCCCACTCGGATTGTGCGATCCTCTGATCCAGATGCAATCTTGCGTCCGTCTCGCGAGAAAGCCAGGCTTAGAACTCTACCAGCGTGTCCCTCCAATGTCGAAACAACATGCCCAGTCGCTACGTATCAATGTGTCAATGTGTGATCTCCAGTGTCCACTGTAATCTTCTGCTGCACGAACTCCGGCTTGAGGTGGCCTGTATCCTCTGGCATGTCATTCACCGTGACGTCGATCCAGCCTCCACAATATTTCCTCCGGCACGCACAGCACATGCGTCCCTCAGTCCGCGAGTTTTCCCCGAAACAGGATTTCGTGACGTTCGTCCTGTCCACGAAATCAGTCGTCAGTAATCAGTAACGCGGAATGAGAATAAGAAAAACGTTGAACGCACTTGAAAGACACGCGTGCATTGTCCTTCAGCGCATCTAATACGTTGCGGGCACGTTTGGAATGCTCCATCGTCGGGCCGAAAACATAGAACGTGCCGGAGAACTGCTACCTACGCGCTTTGTTACTCCGCAGGTACGCGTAGAGGTCCTTGTCTGTCCGGTAGACACCGTCGACGGGTGGTTGCAAAGATACGATACGATATAAGGTCGATATAATGACACAGGAGGAGGAGGAGAAGGAGAAGGAGGAGGAGGAGGAGAGATTTGCCTGAGTGAACAGATAAGGATGGATTCCAAAGAACACGTACTGTGATAGACAATTTGGCCTTCTTATTTTTGTGCCCAGATGTCAATTTCGGTCTCTGAGTCTGCACCGAGGCGTCCTTCGGGTTAGAAATACCCATATGTGCTATAAACAAAACAATCCACCAACCTTGTTCAGAAGAAGCCCTGTCGACGCGTCAAGCACCCAGAAGAAGACTCGCCATTATCATCCGTTGATACCATCGGCGCCGCCTTCCTCTTCTTGGTTTCCCTTTACCTCTCCCGTTCACAAAAGCGGGCCTCTTCAATGCCTTCACACGCGCTGCATATGCATATGCCGCTTGAAAGCAGTGTCCGCATTACTGGCAAACAGCAGTAAATGCATGGTTTTCCGAGTCCGTTTTCTCCAACTAGGGGCGGCTCAGAACATCCACTGGGCATCGTAGATGATGGCGCGGTGACGGGAGTGCTTGCAGACGCGTGCATTTGTGCCGGGTTGGAAGAAGACGATATTATGGCTGACGGCGGTGACATGGTCGACGCGAAGGAAGAGAGAAGGCGCGTACGACGCGTGCAGTCACATTACGTGTACGGTTGTGACGCTAGCGTCTTCGCGTCCTCTCCCCGAGAGTACGTCGAACGTGTCAAATCATCGAATCGCGGCGGCGAGCATATCCAACACACGACACTCTGCATCTCGTACTGCCTGTTCAGTGCTCACAGAAGAAAGTCCAATTCCAGAGGGGATAGATTACGACCGTGGTATGTATATGTATATATGTTCGTCTATCGATAATGGTAAGAAGTCCCAAATGGTGGCACAAACTCGCAAACAGTACACAAAATGAACAGTATCAAATATCAAGTTTCAGCGCAATGCAATATTGTAGGTTACTAGGCCACTCAACGCGAAACACCTAGCTCCTTTCCGATGATTTTCAAGCACTCCCTCGCCAACGTCCGGGCATCCATCTCCACGACCGCACCTCCGCGAGATAGTTTCGACGCTCGCGTGGTTTCTCCAAGTTGACTAATGGAGGATGGGCTGGTGGTTGTCGGCATCGGAATCCTCCCAACTGAACTCGAAGCTGACTTCGCTTGCGGGATGGATACCCACGTCGAGGGAGGCTTGCGAGGTATCGCTGCGATATCACACAAAAGGTCGTACATATGGAAGAGATGCGCGACCGTCGAGCGCTTCACGGCGTCGGCTACCAGTTCGGACGGAGGTAGGGTAGTATCTATAGCTGTACACGACGTCAGTAATCAGAAGTCCTTCGCATGAATTGCAATTGCACTGTAGAAACGTACGGGGAGTCTCGGTGCAGCAGCGCGTTGGTTCTTCGGCGAAGGCGGCCCAGAGAGATGCAGGCCATAGCGATAGATCCAGTAGCTTGCGAAGGATATACAGCAGTTCCTCTTCACGGGCTCTGGGAAAGGGCAGCCCGCCGCGTATCATTTCATCGGCGACGTAGCTTGCCAGCGATGCATGACAACGATTCAGCAACGAGGGTAGGCTCAGCGCAGCGACACGTCTACGAAGTGGCTCCCCATCTGAACGCGGGGAGGGGGAATTAGTGCCATCTTGTCCATCTTACTGACACGCCACCAACCTTTGCAGAAGTCCGAGCACATGAGAAAGAGCAGGTCCAGACACCAGTAAGAGAACCGTTCTCGTGGTAATGGAGTGCCGAGGTCGGTGGATCCGTAGCTTCCCTCGGGTAGCCCTCCCTTGCCAAATCCAAACTCCCCCGGTTGGCGAAGGGCCTCGGCAATGGGCGAACTGCTCGCCGAGCTCTTGCTATCAGATTCATAGAGAGCGCTGCCCTGCTGCAAGACCTTCGATAGTTGACGAATGAGCGGGTCTGGAACTCGGGAGTCACCGATGTACGGCAAAACGTCGATTTCCAAAGACGAAATCAGTGCGAGATCAAAATTCTCCTCGGCTTCTTGCACTTCCAGAGGGAATTCCTCGCTAGCGGAGCTACGGTGGAGGGATATTCAGGCGGAAACACAAGGGTACAACGGGATGACATACCAATCAGCAAGGATACCACCCCGGAAAACATCAATAATCTGTCTCCAGATTCCTTCGACTCGGTCGTCAGGGATGTCTAAACACGATGTGAGACGTGTCTCAATGATGAAAAGGACGTCTACTTACTCTCCCTCAGTACGTTCATTTGCGCTAAGCATTCTTTGACGACGCGCAGGAAGTTTGTAGTGGCGGTTTTCCATAGCGGAGGGTCTTTGCCGAATTTCGACGGAGCAGGGCAGTCGTACTTCATCTTGATAGGGATGGAGTACGCCTATCATAGGTACAAGTATTAGCGACGTACACCGTAAAAAACAAGATCGCAAACTTACCGAAATAACCGCCTCAAGTGTACCATCAGCGTAGATATCTGGCGTCGCCTTGAACTGCGAATACAGATCAACGAGGAGCGGCATCGTCTTCTTCATCAACGCTATGTAGGTGATACGCTTCGGGCCTGTCTGTGTAAGCGTTGAGGGCTGCACGTCGAATGCCGCTAGAAAAGTAAGGGTGGCATATTCTGATAGATCACGCATCACGAGGGAGGAGACGGCGGGGGCCGATAGGTCGATGCCATTGACTGTATCCATCACCGATGTCTAATAAGGTGGTGAATCAGTGGAGAAAGAGATCGAGGTCCAGGGACATACCTGCGCAGGGGACAGGGAATCGATATCGGGCCTATAGTCCGGGGACGAAGAATAAGTCAATACGCCTGTAATCACATCAATAACATGAGTTGCATTGCAAAAAAAAAGAAGAGGATCGGCTGGCCTTTCAATATGACCAATAACCGAGCAAGGCGTTCCAACTCCCATTCCTTCGCTTGAATCCCCCGCTCGACTTCCCGTAGTCTCTGAACGACCTCTAACAGGCTCACGAAGCTCTCTTGGCTGAAACTCTTCGTCACCCGCACGGGGATGGCCAGCACAATGGGAGATGATACCTTTGCCGGACCTTCGTTCTTCTTTTGCAGTATCGTATCGCCTATCTCATCGAATGCCTTCCATGCCCTCTCGCACATATCTACCACTCGCTGGCTAAGAACTTCGTTATTCCCTCCGCCCCCACTCGACCCAATAGCCATCCCTGCGGCTTTGATGGCCTTCTCCAAGCACCTCAAGGAAGGTGAACTAACGATCCTGTTATCCCACAGAACGGCTTCCTGGACTCGTGCTACAAGGAAATCCCATATCCTTGCAAACGACTCCAATCGGATCAATTTATCAGCCAAGAAATCATGAAAGATAGACCCTAGGGAGTGGAACGCGAGGATCTTCGAGTCATCCCAGCCCTGTTCTCGTTCTCCGATAAAACTTGGAGTCCCGATAGGAGCGATAGGGGAAGAGGCAGCGGAGGGAGTGGCGTCTCCGGCAGCCCCGACGATCGCTGTACTGAGCTTCTCGAATAGCGGCACCAGAATCCCCCAAACACACTCTTCCCACTCTGCCAAACTCAGCGTCCCACCATAGAACATCAAGGCCCTGAACAATGTCTGTATCGCCCCGTCGCGGACCTCCCGCCGTTCGTCTCCAATACTTATACACAACCCCAAAATCTCCCCTAGCAAAAACAGCCACAAGTCGCTGTACGTTTTATACGCTGGTTGGGTGGTGTCAGAGAGCGACTTGCGTTTCGACTGGATAGCGTCAGAGACACCCCAGAGCAGCGAAGTCGCGGCCGTCAAGGCGATATTCGTGTCTGGTTGCCTGCCGAACTGACCTAAGGTGATGATACACAAGCGAAGATGGTCGGGCTGGAGGGAGGATATAGAGTCGCATACCAACGTCAATGATTGGAAAGCGATCTTGATAAGCGTCGCTGCGTTTCTCTCTTGGTGTCTGTCTCCTGGCTGGCCGTATCCAATGGCAGGAGAGGCCTTCCACCTGCTCGTTGAAGGAGAGGACGGAACACTTCCACTCCCAGCCACCGTCTGAGTTTGCGTATGTGCAGCCGAGCTCGGCATACACACGCTACCCAGCATCTCGAAGATCTTCTCCCACCCAACGATCAGCGTATGCGCCGAGTTCTGGAGGATCTCGTGCAACGTCTCCAATCCCATCTTCCTCAACTCAACTTCCACCATCGTAATCCCGCCCGTGCCCGGCCCGCCGTCTGGAATTAGTATAACTTGCTTGCCCAGAACATCCAGAACGCGCTGCTGCACGTCTCCTTTCTTATCGCCCATCCCTACGCCCGAGCCGAGACTCTTCAGCGCGTTGACCAAGATCTCGTCGAGCGCCTTCGCTGCCTGAATGCGAATCCCCTGCGGCGCGCCGAGTTTCTCCTTCGAATCTTTCTTAGTAGTCTTCTCGTCGCGAATGACCGAGAGGAGGTGCATGGTGGTGGGTTCCCATGCGACGCTAGGTGCGCGATATATCAGCCGATGAATGTTCAAAAGGGACACCGTAAGCAGCTTCGATATGCCAAAGTCGCCTGAACGCTACACCCAATACCCAGTGAGTTGTCGAGAACGTTTTCCGTCAGACGCACGAAGAAACGTACCAGCGTTCGTGGTATATGTATACCACTTGCTCTCCGTCTGTGAGATGCCTCCGTGTTGGGCGATAACGACAACGACTCGAGGCTCTCGTTCCCGCCAGCAGTGCCCGTTGGTAGCGTCAAAGTCGACGTCGACGCCAGCCCCGAATGCACGTCACTCGACGAGCTCTGCATTCCCACCATCTCCCAGCTCAATTTACACAGCGCCCTCACAAATGCGCCGAACGCCTCGTCGTCCAGAGCCCCTGTCGTCGAATCAAACAATCTCTGGATAGCGGCATACAGGCGTTCCCCATCCAGTTCCATCAACAGCGGGTGCTTCACGGCGGGTGGCGCCCCGAGCTGCGGCGAGCCCCCCATCATCGAAACCACCCGACTCCCCGGCTTCGACGCACTCCCTTTCACCATCGGCGGCGCAGATATGCCCGCCCCCTTCGACGTGATGACATACTCCGCATTCTGCATCACCTCCAGCACCCAGTACCAACTCTCCCCCAGACTTCCAGCGAGGAACATCGCGCAGTTCACCAGCACCTTCAAGCACGCGTAATTGCGCTCGGAGAGGCTGGGCGGCTGGTGAGCGCCGCCCGTACCACTCCCGCCCCCGCTGCTAAGATCCGCTATGGTGGACATCGAACTGGTAACCCTGGGGCTCAAGGGAGCATCGTTATAAGAATAGTTCTCCAAACTCGTCACCACTCGCGCAGGGATCGCGAACTTCGCCAAGCTGGTGAAAAGAGCATCTCGCGGCGTGCCTAGCGCGAGGATGCCCGAGACATTGATGAGGCCCTGCACCGCGCCGAATACGACGTCGACGAACAGCCCGTCGGAGATGTTCGTGGAGATGATAAAGGAGAGTGAGGCGAGGAGCGCGGGCCACGAGGCTGATATGATGTCCTGTACGATACGGAGCTGGCTGACAGTGTGCTCGTCGACTGGCGAGGGGGCGGACGCGAGCTTCGCCAAGTCTAGTGCTGGGGGAGCACGCATTGTCGAGTCCCCGGCTTCCCGGGACCGATGGGTGATGATGGTATTGTACAGCGGCGTGGCGTATGACGAGAACCCTTCGCAGAGGGTGCATATCGACTGCAAACCCAGCAGGTAGATGTACGTCTCTGGGATTGGCGGCGCGTCGGCTTTATCGAGCTGGTCGATGCTACTCAACGATCAGCACACTCTCGATCGACAAAACCAGTGCGCGTGGACGTACCACTGGACCTTCATAACACTGCCCTCGACACTCAATCCCGCGCCTCCGCCTCCGCCTCCCATCCCCATCCCCATACTCACCACGCCCGCAACCCCAGAGACAGTCGCACCCACCATCCCCTTCACACCCTCCACGACGCCCCCCTCCACCGCCTGCTCCGGCACACCCACGCCAAACATCTGCGCGCTCACACCCAGGAGCGCCGGCTTCTCCGTGATCAGCCGCTTCAGCGCAGACACCAGCGACGACAGCACCTGGCTCGACGCGTCCTTCTGCGCGTCGTAGCGGTCCCAGATCGTGCGCACCAGGTCGGCGTCGGAGCATAGGCTGCGCGGGGATTGAATGCATAGTTACGGCTATAGTAAAGGAAGTACAGTGAGAGGACGCACCCGCGGATGATCTCCATAGCGAGGACGCGCATCCACTGCGGTCGGTTGATGCCGCCCCCTCCGCTGTCTGCTAGCGCGCCGCCCTCTTCGCCGACGATGCGTATGAAGAACGCGAGGAAGACTTCGGCCTCCGTGTCCAGCTCATGGATGAACTGCTTCAGCAATATGAATACGACGCGCGTGCAGCGCAGCGTCAGGGGGAATAATGGCCGGTCAGAGAGGGCTTTGAGGAGGAGGGGACAAAGGTGGTGTCGTAGCAGCAAAATAAGTTCCTCATGCTATGCAGTCCGCTCCGTCAATTGCCTTGTAGAGACTACGATATCTAGGATTACTCACTTGCCGTATCGGCGCATGCGAGTTCGTTAACACGCTTTCGATGAGCTCCAACGCGAACGTCTTGTGCAGAGACTCGAGCTTCAGAAAGTTTGGTTTCTCAGAGTTGGCTAGTAGGCACAGATCTTCGAAGACGGAGAACGCGTCTCTAGCGGACGGGGCGAGGGACTTGGTCGATCCATCAGGTAGGTGCGTTGGAATGGTGGTCGCTGAACTCCCTTTCAGGTCCTCGTCAACCATCTTATCGACGATGAACATCACGAGCTGACGTAGGGTCGCTGCGGCAGTGGAGGATACGACCGCGATTTTGGATTCTTGCAGTTTGAAGCAAAGCAGCAGGGCCTACCTGTAGTCAGCACTTCGGTCTTCTGTATAACGTAGTAGAGCAAACGCACGTCTCCCAGTAACTCTCCATGCACCTCCGGAAATCCCGTAATCAACGACACCAGCGTCTGCAGCGCCTTCAGCTGGATATCCACGCCTTGGCTCATAGCGTCTGTCATTGTGTTGACGATCATTGGTACGGCGGAGAGAGGGACGGCTTTCAGTACGATAAGGCGCTGCAGGGAACCAAGAGAGATCGCGACGACCTTCGCGTTCTTCGTCGCGCAGCCCATGAAGACGGGGCGCAGCAGATCGCTCGACTGCGGGCCATCTGATGCTAGGCTCGTCGTGGCTTGCTCGGGCGATGAGCGGAGGATGGCAAGGGACTTTTCTGCGGCCTTGGAAGTCGTTCAGAGACTGATGAACCCCGAAGAATGAGGCTCAATACGTACCTCTCGGATTTCAGGATGTCTTCGGCGTGTTTCGCTGGCTAGTGACTGAGACGATGGTTAAGAAGGCGTGTGATGGTGAGAGTTAACGCGTTACCTGGAGTTCAGTGACTAGGAATGCGAGGGAGCTCATGGGTGCGTCGGTGTCGCCGCCGTCGTGGCGGGCTTTTGAGAGCGGGATCGGTGGCGGAGGCGCTCTAACTGGCGCATATCACGTGGACACAGGAGTTCCTCCTATTGTTCCTGTTCACTTGTGAGGTCTTAATTGTATATATATTGTATATATACCTCTCAAAAGGCTTGATTAAAAGGTCCTGCACTTATATACAATGTGAAGGGAAGTATTAATGGCTAATAGTAGGTGGTTGGAACTTGGTAGTATGTATGAAGGATTTATAGATGCAAAAGTGAAGTATAATGATGGTCTCTGTAAAGTAAAGGTAAACGGACGGTCATCGAAGAGAGTAAGAATCCACGTTCAATGTTTCACTTTCACAATAATCTTCTGCTCCTTGAGCCCCGGTGGATGTGTCTCGTTGTCGTCGGTGACACTCACACTCACGCGGCCGTGGCAATTCTTCCGACAGTCGAGCAGAGGTATTCAACAAATGACCAATGCAATCGATGACTTGGCTCGTTGACGGACGACAAGGAAATGTTCGTCCTGTTCAAAGGATATAGCAAATCAGTAATTGTGCGACGCGAGGCGAAAGACAGGGAATAGATGAGAAAGAAGAAAGGGGCGCAGGACATACTTGAACTACACACAACCCCGGTCCTTCACTGCCCCGAACACGGCGTCGCTGAGCTCAGCATTGCGCATCTTCAGGTCCTTGACGACGGAATACGAGCCAGTCGGACTTGAAGTCGCGCTCGGTCACGTCACGTGCATTGTGACTTCGTCTTGGTTCAACCAGGTTGAAGTAGGTTGAAGTAGGTTGAAGTTCGACCTCTGGTCCTCTCCCTCAACTCAAATTTGGGCCGCAAAGGGCCACGCCTATCGCATTCATCGCCAATACGAAGATTTATCTTGAATCTACCAGATGTACGTCTCAATCTTGGAATCTTCGCTGTCAAAGGCGCACAAACAACGCCTCGCTTCTTCTACAACGTCCTCATGGGTGTTTGCTTTTTGATGTCAGACCATGGGACAATCATTAAAGTATCTTCAAGGAGTTCTAGCGTCCAGTATGGTCGATTATGACTGATTTCGTATTTATACAGAGATTCATGGATCACGAGACTCGTAACTCCAGAATCGACGATTAAGTATGATGCATGACCGACGACCATACAGCACGTAGAAGACCTCGATCTATATCAACCCAGCCAACTACCAGCCGCAAAGCCTCTCTCCTCCCTTCAGGTGCGAGAACTCGGCTTGTTCCCTGACATCCGCCTCGAGTTCATCAGACCACTGTAAATCCAACCATTAGTCGGTGCACAAGGACGGCGGAGCGAGAGAGAACATACACGGCCCTTCCCAACATCCTTGGCCCTTCCCCAGTCGATGAGAGTGGGATCGGTGGCAGCCATATCCCACAGAACGTTACCTGGCTGAACGTCCGTATGAAGGATACCGAACTGGTCCCTAAAAGCAGAGTCAGCGGCTGGACACGCTGATGACAACCCGGACGAGACATACACGTAGGCCCTGACCTCTCGGATGACCAGTTCGAGCTTCTCCTTGACCAGTGCCTCGCATTCTGCCACTTTATCCTGACCCGAGACTGGGTACAGCTGTTCTGCGAAGTTCGTGGCGTCAAGGCGGCTCTTGTCTGTCACACCACGGAATACGATGAAGTTATGCCCCTCGTATGTGCCTTCAGCTAACAGCTGGTCCACCTTCCCTAGCCACTTGGCCTCGTCTTCGAACGTCAAACCAGGTGCTGCGAACATCATCGTGAGCAAAGGTTTCGCAGCTAGGATTCCGACATACTTTTACCCGTCTTCGCATAGGCGGTCACCATCTGTTGATTGGTAGGATCAGGCCAGCCACCGTCAACCTTGTAAGTAATCGCCGAATTCCCTTGGTCCGGAACCTTCGTGATAGGACGCGCGTGACGCCACCAAGTGTCAACGAGTTTGTTTCTGCAGTACCGCGGTGTAAGCAAGATATGATGCGCAGAGAGAACACAAGACCGTACGACATGTCGTTGAGAACGCTCGTTTGGATTTCCCATTCGACTTGGCGCCACACTGATCGGCTGCAGGCTTCTGGCCAGGTTGTGTATTTGGTCGTTGTGGAGGCGGCGTGTTGGGTCTCTGAGCAGGAGGGGTGTTCGGCCTCGGTGCGGGCGCGTTAGGCCGTGGAGCGGGTTTATTGGGTCTCTGAACCGGCGGTGTGTTGGGCCTCGATGCAGGAGGTGTGTTGGGCCTTGAAACAGGTGCATTAGGCCGTGTGGGGGGAGGAGTGTTGGGTCTTGAGGCAGGTGCGTTATCAGGAGTGTTAGGCCGTGCGGGAGGAGTATTGGGTCTTGAAGCAGGTGCATTAGGGCGCGGGGCCGGTGGGGTGTTGGGCCTTGGCGCTGTCGCTGGTCTCGCTACTGGTTTCGGTGGCTTTCTGGCTTCTAACACGGCGGCACGGTACTAAAGTGCATTGATAATCAGATGGCGGCTCAGTGAATAGCAACGCGAAAAAAGACGTACGCGGTCCTCAACGTTGTAGCGCGGAATCATGTCTTCTGAGCCCCAATTGCGGACTTCGACGTCTTGATAAACGTCTCGCTCCATCATGTGCATGGGGGAGGGAGCTGGGGCTGCGAAAACGGCGATAGCGCAGGCCAGAAGCACAGAGGTGCACGACAATCGTCGGAATTGCATGGCTCTGGGGTCCTGGGGTCCTGGGGTCGTACGAGAAGTTGTGAGGAGTAAGGAAGACTGAGGGTAACTGTGGACCGGCCACGTTAGAGGTGAGAGGAGAAAGGGGGAGGAGAGACCAGCTGCTGAAGAATTCGGTAGCCCATTTGCTCCCTTTTATACATCGAACCACGAACATAAACATGAATGCGGTGGCGTGTTCTCGAGACATTATCGTTCGCCTGACATGCCGAAGCTGCGCAGAGATATATCAGATACCACGAAGGCAACAGCATAATCACATCTGCTTCCGTGGGGCGGCGACGAAAACATGTGTCTTGAGCATCATTCAATAAGTCAACATGTCCTGTTACTTATCCCTCGGTAGCTGATGGCTGACTTGGGTGACGAACTGGCGACGAATATATCATTTATCACATTCATATGGTCATTCCATTTTCTACTCTGGACAGAGAACCAACGCCGGGCTGTGTCTTACGTCAGTACCGCTGTTTTCCGTCAAGAACCAAAGTGATCGACGTATCCGGTCTTTATGTTGACGTGCGGATAAATGGACACTTTGACCGGCGATTCCGGGTCAGGACATCTTGACTACGGAAGACTTTGACTACGGAAGAGTTGGAGGACGAATAGTGAATGAAACGGGTCTTTGATAGCGCAGAACTCTAATACAAGCCCATGGGACATCAAGGAACCCAAACGGACGTTACATGTATTGATACAAACCCGACTGTAGAGCCGTAGAATCGCATGCGTTCAGCGAGAACTGGAGCCGCATGCGTCGCTAGTACCGACTCTGCACTGCCTGCAAAACGTACGCTGCATCCCGCGCGTCTTCGATATGTGTAAACACCGAATAGCACTCGCTGCCAAACCGCTGTTGTGTGTTGTACATCGTATCATCTGGACCCATACCCTGGACACACAGCGTCGTTGTCCGCCCCCGCCCATTCCTACCGACAAACATTGCCTGTGTGAGGTCGTCGTGTGTCTTGACCTGCAGCAGATGGTAGTCCCCTATGAACGGGAAGCGAAGTTCGGAGCCTGCCTGCGCTGCTGTGGTCGGGTTGAGCGAGGCGAAGGCGAGGAGGGTCTTTAGATCTGGGATGAAGGATGCAATCCGGGCAATGAGCTCCGGTGGGAGTCTGTCCATGTATGTCGCCTGAGGTGCATCGAGTCTGGGCTTGAACTGCCATTTGCTGAGGACTATCTCACTGAGGGCGTCGTTGTATCTCGGCGCGTACGCGAGGCGTAGTAATGCGGTGATCCCAGGAGTGGAAGGCGAGTCGGCAAATCGTGAGGGCAGGAATCGCAATGCAGGTGTATGTTGGAATGAACCAAGCTCGAATCGAACAATGACACAGTGGAAAACTGAGCATATGATGCCGTAGACAACACCGGGCTTGGAGGTTTGCTGAATACTGCGAACCATCCTTCCAACAGCTGCACGAAGATGTTCGTCGTGCTCCAAGTAGAAGCCCGCGCTGAAGCAGACATCCGGCTTCAACCACAGCATCTCCGCCCCATCCCCATCCCCCTGCTCCTCGATCCATTCCTCGCTCGAAAGCGCTACGTCAGGATGGAAGACCATGGGCAGAAATGCACGGAATACGAGAGACTTGGCCGTCGAGACGATATAGGGTGGGATTGTTGATGGCGCCAAGGGCGTTATCTGTGAGGCGAGGAGGGGGGAAACAAATTTGCGGCTGCGCATCAACACCCCTACGATGACCTCGTACAGACGAATGCACACGCGCTCGTCCGGGGAAGGCTCTTCGGCGACGCTCAGCAGCTCGTAAATATCGGTGCCGACGCTGGTCGATCCGCGGAGGGATTCATATGATGCCATGTCTGCGCTGAGTGGCTGCGGGGGAGCAGCGATCCTATACCTATGCCTAGATGGCACGCTCTCCGTCGTCGCAAAGTGGCCGTAGCTGTCTTCGCCCAGCACCTCGAGGAACACCTCCGCCGTCGGCATGCGATCTAGTCGGAATATCGGCATCCCATTCACCCAGAAGACCTCATCATCGAGGTCGATCTCATAGACGTACTCGATTAGCATATCTGGGTACGGCCGCTCCTCCGAGATCTTGACTTCTTCGATATCGAGGTCATCGTCATCGACGTGGTATCGTTCATCCTCGCCATCATCACTCTCTTCCTCGACCACGCCGGCACGCCGAAAAAGCCGCTCTAACAGCCCCCGCATTTTCTCGAGCCATTTTTTGTATGCAGACGGGTTGCGGGGGATGGTCTTCACCTTTTGGACGCCAAAGTTTTCGGGATAGGAGTCATAGTGGTTGTATCTTGCAACATACTTTGCCCGATGGCGATAGACACTGGTAAAACAAGTATATCAGGCTGGAACTTGATCAAGTTAGACGCGTGAGCGTACCAGTAGCCTCTGGTCCCCATCGTGCGATATCGTGAGTTGTGAGCAAGGTACTATCTCCTATTTGCATCTCTACCCACGCCACAAGCAAGATGAAGGCACGTTTTAGCTTACATGACATGATGGGCAGACGAATTTGGACGAATTGGTCTGTGCACAGGACCGGAAGCAGGAAAGGTGGAACAGAAGGTGGCTGACAGTTTCTACGGCCTTTGTATCCACGACACACGAGATTGGTCGAGGTTAAGCAGAGAGGCTCGTAAACCAGCGGTCTACTCAAGAATCATCAATCAAGATGTGTGTCGAGATCGGATCCACAATCGTTAAAGGACGTAAAAGTAGGGACCCGCCAGGACTTGAACTGAGCGACTGAGTCCTGACTAGTTGACACCAAAATGGCACGTCAAGGGGGCGATGGGTTGTCATAAACGGCTATGGGCGTATGGACATTCAAACAATTTTCATCTCTACTACTTTCCGCGCTTCATAGATTTTGTGGCGGCGGGGGTGGCTAGAAAAGGGGACTCTGATCACGTCTGAACGGACCTGGACTTGTAGTCGGTACTCACGCCAATTGGCATCTACCTCGGGCATTCTGTTGCGGGGTGCTAGAAATACATCACTATCAGCACGATCCCAGAAACCGCCAAGGCCCGCTGGTGATACACTCACGGAACTTCTTCTGACGGTCTGCCTCCAGCTTTCCCTCGAGATCATCCGCGTCGCGCAACATCTCCCCAAGCGTCTCCTGTATCTTCTGCACTTGTCCGAGATAGGTGTTGTAGTCGTACTTGCTCATGTTCTGCGCTTCGTACATGGCTCTGATAGTCGCCAGTTGAGTCTTCATGTCCTCTAACGAGTGAGTGATGGACTGTGAGATACGCAGCAATCGCACGGCTAGGTTGTACCTTGCCCGCCGTTGAATATATTGTTGTGATTCCCGTGACCGCCAGCGTTGCCCCCCATTTGGGAGGCTGCATAGAAATCACCCTGGATGTTGTGAGGATGAGGGGGTGGTTGGGAAGCCATTGTATCAGACAATCTGATGTCGAGGGGCCTGCAGTAGGTAGTTCCCTTGGTGGGGGGGGCTGCTCGCATTTATGCCCAACCTCCAAGCGCCGAGTCCCAAAGCCAGCGTTTGCAGATATCCCTAAAGGAGGGATTCATCTCGGTATGTTCAGGCGGTCGAGGGGCAGATTAGGGCTATACTTACGTTCGACATCTCAGACCATATCACGGCTCCCTTACATGCCGTAGTGATAGACGCCCCATTGACGGATGGAATCGAATCCGGGGGAAAAGGAAGCATCCACGTCTCCACGGAGGTGTAGTGTCCTCTAATGCCCGCATTGATATTCACCATTATAGGTGCTGCAGCGTGTGTCTGTGCCAGCTTCACAGTCTGAGAGTCGCCTCGCTCGCAAGGATCGTGGAATTATATGCAGTCAGAGCCTACAAGCCGCTAAACTTCGTACAGACGACCCGACACCATTGATAACAGATTGTGGAAGAGTTTGATGGCCAACAGGCCGCGCCCATCGGAGGGGAAGAGGCTCGACAGCAACTAGGAGGTTGAATAGCGATAGTGTCGTAAACGTCGACTGTCTGCTGACACAGAAAGAAGCCGGGTATGTGGAGCCCACTACACACGGTCTTTGACCGGGGGGAACACGATTGGGCGACGGGAGTATTGCCCCAGGAGCAGGGCGCCAGGGGGATTTGTGGGTTATGGCGCCTAACCAATGCTGTTAAATGTACATTTCTGGCGACCTGCTCGATTTCCATCCTCTCGCGCGGAAAGATACCGAGAATGAGAACGCGCTGCTGATACGGCGGCACAACGCCCGCGTCAATACTCGACGTTCCTTGCTTCCCAAATCCCGAGGCGGCGCGATGTCCTGAGATTGACCATATCTCACCGGCCGATATCCAATCGTCCTGTGCACGTCTAGACATGCGCTCACCAGCCTTGGATCCAGGCAAATAGCAAAGATACGTGTATATCGATATCACGGTTGGCTGGGCCGGGACATCGGATTGTGGGGTCATGGATGAGTGAATCGACGAGTGTGAAGGACCGGGCTGGAGACCAAGCACCACCAACGTGGATTCGCAACAATGGTGGGCTGCTAAAACTTGAGAAGGCGGATAGAAGTAGCTGTCGTAATGCAAAGGCGCTCATATCTGTAGAAGAGAGGAATAATCAGTGCGAGTCGAGGCGTTGAGAGTACAGAGGCACCCAACTGATACGGCATTGCCATAGCACAGCAAGCTGTTCGCTCGCGGCCGTTTTCCAGCTCTTCATATGTGAGTAGTTCCACCAAATATTGGATGTTCCCTGACGTTTCTGTGTGATACCGTTAGTGGAATTTCATTAAGGAGTCGCGTCAAAATGCCATCGAGATGGGTAAGGGGCACGGTCCGGTATGTCGAGGCCCGAGCGGACGGTATGTGCTGTGCGCCGTGCGTGCATCATGGTCGCAATGGATGTGGTTCACCATCTTCCAAGTCACCGTGACACCCGAATTCAGAACTGTCACTTCTTCGCATCGCACGTGATGTGACCAACCGCGTTTCCAAGCACGAGCTGTAACCGTGACGGTAGCGCGCCTTTCTTCTTCGTCCCATCCACCATCGTCGAATTGTCGTGATGTCGCTGCTGCCCCTCTCACCGCTACTTAACTCGCAACCGTCTGCCAGCACCTCTACCCCGAGCGCTTCTCGAACCCATCAACAATCGAACCTAAAGACAGCTTATGCCGCGTTGTCGCAAGAATCGGGAAGGCCTTGCACCTCCTGTCGATTGACTGTGACGCTGAACGCCAGCTCTGTATGCAATGCGTGCTCCTCTATGAAGAAGGCGCGGATCCGTGAAGAGAGAAAGAAGAGAAAATCCCTCCCCGGCCCCTCAACGACTCGGAAGTCGTTACCGATGGTGTCAACGGATATTGGTGGTAAGTTGCTCTGAGTGCCGAACATAGTTACAACTCCTGTTGATACGATGCGTTGATTGAGTTCGCATAGGTATCCCACAGAATGCAGTCGCAGTCGCATCCGCCCAGGCCCCGACTTCGGAATCCAGCGGCCACGTAAATAAAAAGGCCAAAATATCTTCGTCTTCCTCGATTACGGTACATGTCGTGTCCGCTGATCCGATGTCTTCCTTGTATCTCATGCCTCTGTGTACTCTGTAGCCAATCGACTGCATCTACCAGACCGACAAGGATCTCTTCGCACACCTACGACGCATCAAAGCGCGCCATAGACGGCAGTTCACTGGAACGTACTCCGTCATAGCTGACCCGAAGATACGTGCCTCCGAGTGTGTTGACAGTGTGTTCGATGCCCTTGCGCAGCATGCGGGCGTGCGAGGCTGGTACGTTGGATTTTCACATATATGCCCTCATTCAGTGTCTGACGCAGTCCCGAATAGGTTCAATATCGGTTATTCTACCGGTCCATTGGGTCATGGAAGCCAATACCTCTGTTCGTGTACTCAGACTTGCGGCGGCAAGATCGACGTCCGCGTGGACGAAGATAATACCCATCCCCTCTTCTCCGGACAGAAGATCACTGTAGAAATTAAACATTGAAGGAGACGGATTCCCGTGTTTGCGCTTTACATTACTTTCCTTGACCCCTTATACTTATACTAAAGTCTAATCTGCTTATGAATGCCGTAGGTACAACCAGTTACGCCTCGCCGACTACCGGACCGCCTACTCAGTATGCTCAGTATGTACTAACTCAGTTCTGTATTTCACGAATGGCTGGCTTCCTATAGTGTATCGTATACTCACCTTGTGTCCCGTTGTATCATGTCACCCGAATTCCGTCTTATCCCACCCCTCCTGCCTATCCACTGTTTAACCGAACGCCTACCACGCCGGAGTTTCGAACCGCGGCTATTCAGCACGATCTTTGTTACCCTGACCTTCGTCGCGGACCTCCCAGACCCTCGACTTTGTACGTCGATCATGATCGACATCAACATGATCTCAGATATGATTGTCCGTCTCCCCTCTTTCGCACTCCGTGACCCCACCCGCGGTATGTGTCTCCCCTTACAACTAACACTCATGCAATGCTTTCGAAAGCTCTCACCAGAGACACGCCGCCGCCGCCGCACCTGGGATTTTCAGAAGAATACTTAGTGGACGCCCGATATTCTGCTTACCAGGTTGCTACGTCTGAGAAGGAGGGAGAGGGAGGGAGAGGGCTATATGTACGAAGGGCAAGGAAAAGAGACACCAGGATAAGCGGGAACGCCCAGAAAGTATTCGGTCTGCCTCCAATCAGGTGGACTTGAGGTGGACGGGCATAGCTTCCCCAGTCGGCGGAGGTGTAGATTGCGAAGACGTGAACTGGCCGGACCTTGGCAGTTAGAACGGACAATCCCGGACGACCCCCGAAACAAGACCAGCACTGATTATACTAATTATAAACAGCGCCGCAGCCTCCTCTCACCTTTTTTCTGGCCGCTGATTCCTCTGGTCTGGGACGTTCCCGAAGTACGGAACGGACTTACTACCTAATCGTGTCCGTTACTCCAGACTTGGCTGACGACGAGAAAGTATTTCATACCCTTGTGTGATACCACTAAAGTACCGTGCACTCGACTCCTTCACATCCTGACATGCCGCTGATTCTCCGTTTAGAATCACCCTCTTCCACGGGCCGTTTCCATGGCACGGCCTGAGGAGGACTAGCCTGACCATTTCGGACCCTCCTCAACCTCAACAAAGGGCAGCCGAGAGCCGGGTGGCACTAACGGTCCCACCACCGCTTCTACGGAAAACTTCCGAAAGGCCACCCGGAGAGCGCCGCGGTGAAATGTTGTCCACTGTTCTATATGTTGGGATTCAGTCGACGAGGGCAAGAGACGTGCAAGGTCGGCCTGTAACTTCTGCGTGCTCTGCTGGAGTCAATCACCCGGCCTCGATGCTGAACAGTAACGATGGGCACGCACTGCGCTGCGCTGGGACCACCACGACTACTTGCTATAACAGGCTTGAAGAGTTTCGGAATTCAGGGCTGCCAACTTCCAAGAAAAGCAATTGGTATTATCTATTATCACAAAGGCGTGAAGGTCCAAAATTAGCAGGTATCGTCTCTGGGAGCGGTGTACTACTCCTGTTTGAATTACATTCTCTGTGACGGCCCATGGTCCCTGGAGCATCACTCAACGAACTGACCTCGTGTAGGGTGTAGGTCGGACTAGGTATTTTGTATATAACCCTCCTACGTCCCTCTTCCACTTTCATTCCTGGCATCCAACTCATCGTCCATATTCCATCCCCGCCTACGGATACGACGCGTCCACCCCCATCCCTATTCTTCGTCAATCCCCCCGCCGCCCATCCATTCAGCGCTATGTCCCGGACCTATTTCCCCGGCAGCCAAGCCCGATACAATTACTACTGTGCGTTCTTCCCGTGACCTCTGCCATGATTAGTCGCCTGACGTTGCCATACAGTCGCCCACGGGGAACATCCTCTAAAATATTCCGTCCTTTCGGAGGAGCTACTCGGCTGGCGGTGGCCGTCCCCCGACTCTCCTCCTTCTCGCACATCCAAGGCCCCGGACATGCTTGCTCCTCACGAATGTGCTGAGGCGCGCCCCTCGCACAGCGTCGTCCCGCACTCCCGGCCTGTGGCTCCGCGCAACTCGCCACCCAAGTCGCCCGGCCGCGCCTGCCCCAACGAGGACCCCAAACCCAATGCTGCAAACGAGCACGCACACACACCCCTCTCAGCCTCTACGTCACCCAATGCCGCTGCTTCACCTGTCCATAGAAACGCTTCAGCCCCCGCTCAAAACCCCAAGGATCTTGAGAACTTGGAAGTCAGCAAAGGTAAAGAAAACGTCGCTCAAGACTTAAGCTTAGACAAGCTCGTCGAAGGCGTCTCCGGATCCCACAAGGACGTGAATGAGCCTCCTCCATCGAGGAAGCGCAAGGTCATCCTCATCTTACCGAAAATCATCGACGCCAGCGCCCCCCATAAAGCTGGAGACGCCTTCGCCTCACCTCCCAGGAAAAGCAAGCGCGGACCCGCTGCCGCTGCCGATGGAAAGGGAAAGACGAAGAGAATCCGGCGAAAATACACGGATCGCGAAGACGACGACGGGGTGGTGAGCGCTCCCCCTTAGTTCTCAGTAATATGCCGGGGAGTTGACCTTCCCTCGGTGTGCAGAAATATAAGCAATGTAACCTCTGTGAAGAAGCCATATACAAGAGTCATAAGAAGCACGCCCCCGTCTGCGGTAAAGGTCTCCGAAATGGGGCGCCATCCCATGCCGACGCTGCAACAGATAGTAAGATTCAATGCTTCATACTTCATACCGTTGTCGAGCTTCTGACCAAATATTTTCATTCGCCGTAGATTAGAGAGCGCGCGACGATTGTGGTAATGCTCTGACGAGACACGAGGCGACCGTAGTAGCTCCCACCCCTCCTCCTGCTGTAGTGCTCGCCAACGAAGAATAACCGTTAATTCCGCGACATGCTGACTATCACCATCTCCGTACACCGACCAACACCCCACGCAATCTCTTCACTTCGGCGACATCCTATCATCTCGCTCTCGCTCTCGGCAATTATCTCAGGATCCAATTCACATTCACAATATCACTATATCTTGGAGGTATCTATACGGAATCTAATATTCATTCCTTATTCTTGCCTCGCAACGTCTTCTACATAACATAACATATCTCCAATACCTTTTCCTTGCAACGAATGAATGCGGTACCGCCGCCCAGATCAAGACGACCTTGTCTACCATTCGCCATTCCAAGCGCGCAGCCGTCCCATCCCATCTCTTTCAGCAAGGTAGGCCCTCCCTGAGCATACCAAATGCCACAGAGTTATTGCGAGGGTAAGCGTGATCGCCTCCCTCAAACGCTTTCAACGGCTGGGCGAGCAACACGGCGAAGACGTCGAAGGAACCTGGGGAGATCCGAGGCTCGAGGGCCCACGCACTGCGCAGCCGCTCCACCATCGGCCGTCAAGAAACACCCGGAAACACTGAGCCGGCGCAGTTTGACTCCAACAACAACTCCAGACATGGGCGTATAGATATAGCGTATAGATATATTGGAGGTGACGAGGCGCGTATGCGCCAGCGACGCGTGTACACGACATCCGACTGAATCAAAACCTTGTACCTAGTCCTCGTCCATCCTGTCCGCGATACCCTGAGACACATCTGTTATGCTCCGCGGCGGAGATGCAGCGGGCGACGACGCCGCAGACGAAGGCGCGCGTCCAGCCGTATTCCGCATCGGCGAAGGCGTCCTCGGCGCAGACACAGATCCATCCGTCGAGGCAGCGCCAGGCGACATCGATCGTCTAGCCTCGCGTTTCGAGCGCACGGACGCGTTCAGATGATCGCACTTGATGCACCGGAACTCTACACCGTCGCGTTTCGTCAGCATTTCAGCATTTGTCGCCGGGGCAGAAAAAGGACGAAGAACACAGTAGAACACAGTACTCACGGGCGTCTTCCCACATCGCCTCGGGCAGGAGGCCGTTGTGCTTGAAGCACTTCTCGCAGATGAGGGCGTAGCGAGACGAGGGCGGCGCCTGGTCGTCTGCGCCAAGCAGGGCGTCCGCGAGCTTGTCGTACCACTGCTTGCGCGTGGGTGTGGCGAGGAACGGCGGGGCTGGAGATGGGTTGTCAGTGGCAGAAAACGATGATGATGCGAGTACACACGAGAGAGGGTATTCAAGGCAGGGTGGATCAGCGCCGGAGGGCCAGGATTTCTCCCATTCGGTCCTGAAGTGATGGGGCGAGGAGGTGTTGCGATTCGAGCGTTATTGGGTGTCATGGGGGGCTGGCCCGAAGTGGGATTGAATCTCTGGCGAAGGCCCTGGGGAGGTTGCGGTGTGTTGAGTGGCGTCGCTTCATCGTACTTTGAGAGGAGATCGCGCGTAGAGTAGTAGTTTGTCTTTTTCTTTATCTCCTCCACTTTGGTCCGTTGCTGCTTGAGGAGATGCTGCAGCGTCTTCTCTGGGCCCCGGTAAGATCATGATGAAAGGAGTACAGACACAGTAGCTGCGCACCTTCGTTCGCTTCCTTTCGCGAATACCAAAGCTGGACTATCCGCCGGATAAAGAGCACTCTAGGTGACGATCAGCGTATGCAGTGATTTCGATGAAACAACGCACATCAATGGACCGACGACGACTGGTGCTAGGGCTACCCCGCGCGGGAGCGTAAGGGCCTGGAAATACCACAGGCAAACGTAGACGACATACGCTGCGGCGGTATATAGAGTCGAGCAAAGGGTCGAGCGGCGTTCTCGTAAGCGGATATCGGCGAGCTTCTGCTGGCGAGATTGAACGTCGCGTGAAAGAGTGGAAAGGATGGTTTCGTAGTCCTCCTCTTTGGACTGGTGATCAAGCGGTGAGCCATATGGAACGACGAGCACTCTAGATGATATACCTGTTTGAATAAGCGGAGCAAGAAGGACATCGTTGGGTGGACTAGGCAGAATGGTTTGGATACGCCCGAGGGCCGAGAAAGGGGACTGCAATGGAGGTACAAGGAGGAGATGTGCTGATTGTCAACGTGCGGGTGGCAAGTCTGACTCTCACGGTCAGTGATTTGTTCCCACGTCCAGTTGACGATTTCTCGCATGAGTTGGCGTGATATGCTACATATACTGGCGTCGCGGACTGTCCGTTTCCATCGTGGTTGAGGTTTCCTCGCCTCGCCTTTGTCAGATATCAGAGGGTTCATTCTCCCTACGGGACCCGGTGGAGGCCCGCTTAGCATCCTGGCTAGACGATTTCCCGCTGTCGACCTTGCAACAAGTTCGGCGATGGCGGATGCAAAACTTCGAGAGCCTCAAGATGGGTTCATAATGTTGCACCTAGCGTATGTTCGTATGTTCCCCAGGACGGGTCTTCATTGTCGCTACGGAGATTCCTCTGTTGGCGAGCCCAATCCTCCAGGACTATGCCCGATGTACTCAGGATATGCATGCGTATGCATATAGCTCGGTGGGCTGCTCTCCGACCTCGCGAACGAGGAGGTACCGGCAGCATATACGGCGCAGTCTGCGACATTCTTCGCTTCGTATTCTTCATGACCACAGGCACATCGAACGAGCATGCATGCATATGTATATCGTACTTCACAACCCGCGAATACACCCACTATGCGTAGAATCAAGGCAGTTCCTGGCCCTTGAGCCCTTGATCAACTCGACGGCCGCCGCGGCGCGGAGCGCGCTGTGATGGAGCACTTGAAAAGACGAAGTTGCCTAGCGGTTGTTGGCGTCGTACGCCCAGACCATCCGGAGCTTTGCTAGAACGCACCTTGAGACTTGAGAATCCAGGGATCCAATCCAATCCATTGAATGTCAGGTCCAGTTCGTGCTCGTGGCATACAAGGGGCTAACTGAATGAGAACCCACCACTGGCAGGTCATTTGGGCAGCACTTCCCAAGATTGCATGGGGAATCCTGGAGCTGGAGAAGAGTATCTGGAGATATATAAGACGTGGCACTACGCAGTGCACACACAGTAATGGATATTGGGATGGCCGAGAGAACCACACGAGACAAGCTGGCCGAAACGCAGACATATAAATATACTAGATGATGAATGATGAACGTACTAATACAGGGCATGTAATGCTTAATGCTGATGTGATAATGCAATAACCATGATGAGGTGAAGTGCATGCAACGAACAACGAAAGGCGGATATAATCAAATAATCAAATGAAAGCCAAGCCATCCAAGCGTTGGAAGCATGATCAAAGGGACGCGAGCGTGCAGAGGCCAAACCTGGTGTCGAAGGGAGGTTCTCGTAGGCCGTATCGGCATCAAACGGGCGCTCACGCCGTCCATTGCCAGGCGTGGGGTCGCGGGGACGCCCTGAGGCCCGACCGGATCCTGTTGCTTTGCGTCCTTTGCCAATCGTTGCCCTATATCCAGCAGAGGACCGAGAAGAAAACACCGAGCGAGACATAAGATATATATCAGCCCGCACACGCACTCTTCGCTTGGGACTCCTCCTCCGGCCCCAGGTGCCCCGATTGCCGCTTCGTCTTGCGTGCGCCGGCGGCGCTGTGCCGCCCCTCGATACTCGGCGTTACGCACATTCGGGGACCCGCGCGCGTATCGTCTCGTATCTGGGGGGTGCGTTGTACGACCTCGCCCCGTATCAAACTCAAACTCAAACTCGCGATTGCCCGTTTTCCACACGTCGATATGTTGGAGGTGAGGATAACACGCTGCACCGCCTCGTGGAGGTGGAGCGGGCGCGGCGGCGCCGCGGCGGGTCCAGGAGGGAATCGCCCACTCCGGGGAAACCTGAGACGCCAGCGCCGCGAGGAGCGGCCCAGCATGCGCGAGCTCGGGAATGCAATGCAGCCACTCGTTCCACAGTTCGCCTGCAGCGAGCAGACCCGCGCGACTATCGCATATATATATATCCTGCGAAGGGCCGGCCTGATGATCGGCGATATGCCTCCACGCGCAAACCAGCGCGAAATCGTCTGCATCGTCAGGTATAGCTTCGTCTGGGCTTCCCAAGGGCACAGCAACCAGCAGGAACACGACCATGCACCAAAACACGGACTCTGCATCGTGGCGCGGATGGTGCGCGAACGCTGTGGCTATCAGCTCTGGGGTTGCCTCGTACGTCTCCTCGACGTGGTCTGCGTCGTAGACGCCCCCGTGCTTGGTGGAGCGGGCGTCGACCAATTTGCGCAAGCCAGACGGATCATTGGAGTGCGCTGTACGGTATTTCGCGGCGAGGTCGCCTGCGAGTTGGGGCATGCGGCGGAAAGCGAGGTTGGTGACAAGCAGGCGGCCGGCAGCAGGCGAGCGCGCGATGAACTTTGGTGTACCCTACAGAAGGAGGTAATGAGCAGGCGAGCAATGCATTTCAAGGAAAGCTCACCGTCCGAAAACGCAGAGGTTCATCATTCATTCTCAAGGTGTTTCTCCTTGCGACGAACGAGGGCGATACCGCCTTGCGGCGATCAAGCTCTGCCGCGTTGTCCATATCGACGAGGCGAGCCATGGGAGCGGCATCCTTCACACTGAATCAACGCACGAGATATGAGCAACCACAACGGCGGCTATGGTGGGGGCGACCCTACTTCTCCACGATCTCACTGGCGAAAATCGGGCGAAGTCCCTTCCCGGCGAGCTCCTTCTCGTCTTCCTCCCTGAAGTCTTCGGCTCGAACGAAGATATTACCGTGACTAATGTCCCGATGGAGAATAATGCGTTCCAGGACTGCCCATCGGTGGGCTGTATGTAATGCACATTGCATTCAGCATGTTAGCAGGGGTCGAATGAGGATGAGGTATGTATGGCTCGCCTTCGAACCTTCGAGGATGTCGTACTTACATGCATTTGGCAAAGCCGATCAGGGTGGGGCATTTACGCAGAGGCTCCCCCCGCGTATGCATGATGCGTCGGGTCTTGATGCGTGTGGTTTTGCGAACGGCGGCTGTTATCAAACAATGGGACACGACGAAGTGGCCAGTGGCTTCAAGCGGTGGTAAGTAAGAACGAACGAACGAGTGAGTGATTCCAAATTAGGCTGTGGCTTCTTGTCGGAGTGCAGGCGGAGCTGGAATACTCGACCACTTGCCAGTTGCCACTCGTCACGGTGTTCCAACATTGTATTTGAATACCAAACCTGAATTCGAATGAGGTCTGGCTTGGTAGTCGGTAATCGATAATCGACTAGTCGACTAGTCACATCGGGGCTCGTTAAAATGGTCATCGGTCGATCACCCCAGGAAACACGCCTGTAACGACATCACATCGCCCTGTGCGCATGCTCACAGTTGTCGACCCATCTTGAGATTAAGGATCCCGCGCAGGGCGCTGCTCTACGAAGCTCGTGTATCATCGATTCGGTAACTTAGAGGTAGGTACTAGGTACTAGGTAGGAGACACCCAGACGGCCCAATGCTCCTCTCTCAGACTCTCACAAATTTATCACGCCTCGCGCCGCCTTGCCCCCCTTGGGCCTTCAACTCCTTTCCCCGCATGTCCTCAAGCGCAACCGAAGACGGACCTGCTACGCACTCGTCGTCTGGTGCCCGACATCCAGCGCCCCCACGGCACCCCAAGCTTCACCCTCTCTCCACGCTCCACGCTCCCCGTCGTCAACAGCGCGCGGATGCTCATATCCCCGCACGTGCAGTGAACGGAGCCCAGTCCCAGCGCGGAGCGTGATCTCGACGGCGTTGGCTCTGCGTCGCGGTGGAACACGGAACGCGGAACGCCCCACCGCTGGCCTGGTGAGCTGCACCGTCGAAAATCGAACCGCACCGTGTGCAGTGTGCAGAGAGCTCAGGCACCCACGGCACACGCACACTCTCGACTGCCGTAATTCCCAATTTCCCTAACAGTGACGAGGATTCCCGGGCAAACGAGGCAATACGAATACGAGCGCGGTCCAATCCGGATTCCGGTTGCAGGACCCACTTCTGCGGAGATAACATAAGTATACGCAGGCGTTCTGTGAAAGCGAGTGATGCTGGGGAGGGCAGGTGGCCCGGCGGACAGTGAGACGCGGCGATCGTGGCCACTGGCGAGAAAACGGGGGCGTGCGTGCCGTTCGTTGTCAGCGGCCAGACGGGGCTGGGCAATGGTAGATGCGTCGTATGGCATGTCCACTGGTCACTGGGATACGGCATGAGTAACACGGATATGCATGCGAGGGCGAGGTTCGGAGAAGTAAGCAGGCTCACAGGACGGGTAAATCGGCTGCCATGTAGGACCTTCCTGAGCACACAGGCTAGCCAGGCTTTCGTCCTGCAACCTACTCTCCACTTGTGTCACGGATGATGATCGATGATCGATGATGAGCGCCGCGGACTCAAGAGGGCGAACGCTGGGAGGAGATGTATAGTCTCAACGAAGGCTGCGAGAAATGACGCGTCCATTGCCTCCCCTCGCAAAATTCACCTCTAGGGTCCAATGGCACGGTGCGTTACAAACAGAAAACCGAGTTCTGAGAAGTATAACGCGTCCGAATCGTTGACCAGCCAGGATTATGCATCGAGTAGGGCCGTGTTTCCGAGATTTCTTCATCTTTTCCTATCGCGTGTGGTGTCGTCGAATTTGAGTTTGGAATAAGCCGTGCAGTGACGTAGCAGTTATCTATGGGCGCTCGTCCTCCCGTGGGATTCTCCTAGAGGCCGCGGCATCTTCACACTTTCCTTTATGGCAACTGCACAAGTTTCATGTTTCGGATTCCCTTCCCTCCAGCATCTCTGGCACCCATTTCGCTCGCAGGAAACGAGAACAACGATATATTATTTGCGTCTAGCGATCATCGATCATCGATCAGCCTTGCCCGACATACTTGCTGACCCATGTCACTATTGGCAGAGAAGTTGACGCGGCGGAAACTCCTTATCATCGTCATTGGGGTACAGGCGGGAAGCAGGGAGTTGTTGCAATGGGACCTGGGTGAGGATGGACTCGTTATGGCAACATGTGCATGCTAGGACTTGAGATCTTGAGACCTTGAGGATCCCCGGGAGGTAAGCCAGTTGCTTCACTTCGAGGGCCGAGGCTGTCTCGAACATCAGGCGCACTCGATACGTGCTGGATATCGGATACCCTATCAAACACGTAACACGTCTCGACTCCGAATCCACCAGCCGCTAGCCATACCTCGCGCGCCGTCTGCCCCATAATTGGCTGTGCGCCCCAGCAGCCCATACACCTTCAATCAACCTTCAATTCAGGTCCGTTACCGCTGCACCTGATGTACCACCCAAGTATCATGCATTCCCGAAACACCGCCGCGCGCGTGTGGTCTCCGACTCCGCAAACGCGCGCGTGTCGTGACGGCTGCATATATAAGTAAGACCCGCCGACGCTCCTACGTATACGTACGGGCTTGCTTTATACTTTATATCGAGACCCAAGGCCTTTAAGCTTTAGGCCTTGGGATACGCTCCTGGGGTGTAAACGTTAAACGTTAAACGTGTACTTACCTCAGACCACTTTCTCTCGTCGCTGACGTTGAAGCTGAAGCGCTGCGCGGGATCTCGTTCGTTTCGTCCCCCATGAACTCCCCTCTCCCTCTCCCTCTCCCTCTCACCATCCCAACATCACCATCACCATCACCATCACCATCACCATCACCATTCGCTCACGCCCGACTCCATTGATAACTCCCAACCCCCCCCTCTTCCACTGATAACCCCCCCCCATATGCATACCATTCGCACCATGCATACCATTCGCACCATCCGCACCATCCGCACCACTCGCACCATTCGCACCATTCACACCTCGCAGCGACGATACCTGCAACGATTCCTCTAATCCCTAATCCCTAATCACCAGGTCAGTCGCGCGCACTTCCCATGTGCATGTGGGACCCCGCACATCGCATATCGCGTGGGCGGCTGGCGTTCTCGACACGACTCGACACGACTCGACTCGACACGACACGGCACGACATACTACTTACTTACTTACATTGCACTCACTTACTTACTTACTCTTACTTACAGGTGCGCGCATCCCACCCGCAGCACCGCGAGACGCGCGTGCACTCCGATATGGATACGCTGGTGAAGGTGAAGGTGAAGGTGGTGAAGGTGAAGGTGAATGCGGTTGTCTATAGAGGACGCGCAGCGATACCCGTGTTCACGCCGTCCATTTTTTTCTGTTCTCCGCCTTTATCCGCCCTGCCCTCACCCTCGCCTGCGTCGTTAGCTTCGGCGTCGGCGTCGTCGGCATCCTCGTCGTCGCGCAGAGGCAGCAGCAGCAGTAGTAGCATCGGCGGCAGCGGAACCTCGCAGCCCCCACCGACCCCGCCATCGCAGCCATCGCACTCACACTCGCAATCACACTCACACTCACACTCGAAATCGCACCCGCAATCCCAACCGCAATTACGCCGTCGACGGCGACGTCGAGGATGTCCGCATCGCGGTGGGAGAGGCGCGGTGGGAGAGGTGGGAGAGGGAGAGGCGGCCCGCGGCGACCATCTCGAACCAGCGGCTCGGAAAGTATGTTCCCATCGAGAGCGTGGATGCGCTGCAGGACGCGCGGCTGAGGGTAAGGCGCGAGGGCGGAGGGGGTTGGGGTTGCTGTTGCTGTTGCGAGGGTGGATGGGTTGGCGCGCGGAGGGGGTTGGGCCCGTCTCGAGCACGTACACGTACACGTACGACGACAACGAAGTATGATATATGATATATGATATATGATATATGAGGCGGTGCGGTGGATGTGACGGATGATGGATGATGGGCGATGGGCGACGGCGACAGGTGCTGCGTACGCATCGCATCGCATCGCATCTGCTCTACAAGTCCGTCGAGCAATCATCTATTACCTTTCATGATAAATTACGATACACAGCCACTTACATCAGGATGTCCTGTACAATCCATCTCCATCTCTACGAAACTCACAACTCACAAGGTTGATTGCCCCGCGATTCCTCTCCAGCGCGCATCACGATAACCACCGTGCCATCCCCCCATCCCCCCATCCCCCCAGTCCCAGTCCCAGTCTCCGTTGTCCATGTCTTCCTCCTCGCGTTCCTCCTCGCTATCTTCCGTTACACCGTTCTTCCTGTTCCTCCCATAGCCATTACCGCCCCTCGCCTGCACCCGCACACAAGGCTCCCCGCACCCTCGTCCACGAATGCAGAGGCCCGCATACACCCCCCCCCCCCCCCCGCCGCATGCATGGGCGAACACCGAACATCGAACATCTCGTCGGCGGCGGGCTCAGCCGGCCCTCGGGTCTCGGGTCCCGGATCTCGCAAAAACGGGCGATCCAGCGCGTCCCTCGTCCCTCAGCGTGATGCGTCGTGTCGTGTCGTGTGCTCTCTGGATGTCCGATGCAGCAGCCCTTCCCTTCCCGCGACTAAACGCAAATTCGACGTCCTGGGCGTGCGCGTGCGCCGTCGGTGCCGTCGGGTGTAGGCGTAGTGACGAGTGACGGATCGGCGGTTTTGGATTTCGATTTGGATTTCGATTTCGATGGGGGCACGGGGAGGGGGGGAGGGCGCATGGATATACATAGATGGGATGGCGCTCGGTGGCGTCCTGGTATATGAGTATATGAGTATATGGGTATATGGGTAAGTAGTACCGGGCATTAGGGGGGGAGGGGTAAATACGAAATACGTTCAACCGTTGGGATTTGCTTTTCGGCGAATTCGAGCCAGCTGATCCTGATCCTGTCTGCCGTGATAGAGGGGACGCTGCTCACGAAAGTCCGCCCTGCACAAGGGGGGAGACAAGGTTGAGCCTTAGACTCAGACTTGGCTGGGCACCCTTGGAATCATCCGTTCATTGGTACGTACTACGAAGAGTCGCGACTTTCTCCTTTCTCCAGGCTCTTGCGGCGGATGACAACAGCGATCTTCATAAGTAAGTGCTTCGATGTCCTCGTTGGACTGAACAGAGGGAATTTTCCAATCAGGAGAAACAGCAAGATCCTGCCTGTCACGGCTGACTGCTGACTGCTGCCCAAACGTCCACCCACGGCTATTCTGCAGATGCCATACTATTACTCGCGCAACTCAACGCCACGGTATCTGCTTACCCCCGGACTGGTCACGACTCACCGCATTTCACGAATCACGAGGACATCGGGTGCCCGGACCCCCTTGTGCGGCTGCCTGCACGGCTGGCTTTACAGGTAGACGTAGGCCTGCGACACGGTGGAGATATGTACGGGCTGAGATTCAAGAATCAAGACATCGACGATGGGGAGGACGACGAACCGGGGATCTTTCTCTGTTCTGCGTACCCTGCTTTGTCTGGGTCTGAGCTCCAAGCGCGCGTGTTTCTCGCATCCTTCTGCACGCGTTTGCTTTGTTCTATATATGTTGTTGTAATATGTATTCGTTACGCAGCCGCACACGGCCGTGTGGGTCGCTACGGGTCGGAGGGGTATGCACATTGCAGGCACGTATTATTTCCGTGCCCCCCCCCCCCCCTTGCTGGTTCCATGCGCTATCAGCGTCACAAAAGCAAGGTCTTAGGTCAGCGACTAGCGCCACAAGACGCGCTCCCCCCCCCACACACACAGGCTGATCCAAAGTCGCATACCGTGCCAACGCCCGCACGAGGGTCACAAAGGAAATTCGCCGGCTTGACATCACGAGGGATAATTAATAATCCCCCTGGCGTGGATATCGCGTAGAGCGCGAAGCGTGCACCGAAGATACCGAAGATACGCTTTGATGGCGGGCATGTTGGCAGAGATCTCTCGGAATACGCCTGCATCAACGGCGCGCACGTACACACGGCATCAATAGCGCAATAGCGCACCATGGCATAGTGGAGTGCACATACTTACCCTGAAGTCCTCGTTCTTGTGATACGGCATAATCGCCACAACCTGATCTTCATGCCTGAAATGGCAGTAATGAGTTGGGGCGTACACCTGGACGCTCTACATGTCTCCGTTATGGCTATCTCGTTCCGTATGTGTTCTGGACTGCTAGTCACATAGATGCGTTTAATTGCGACGAAGACCCGCCACCAAAATCTGCGTTGACGTACGTACTACGAGGAGGAGAGTTGAGGTAGCGACGCGCGAGTTTTAGGGCTTTGCCAGGGTGTGTTATCCCTTATCCCATTGCGCTGGCGCGAGATCAATGCCTTATAAACGGACGAATATGCACCCGTTCCAAGACGGGCAACGAGCTTGTAGCCGGAAGAAAGTTGGGGGCGGGAGATTGCAGTTCCTCGATTTCGGCTGCGATTTCGGCGCGTTGTTCTGGGGGTTTCGGCGGGTGAATCGTGTCGTCTTCGTCCTCCGGGTCCGGCTCTCCGCTCAGCTGCACGTCGTCGTCGTCAACGTCGCTTCCCTGCGCGTCCTCTTCATCGTTGTAGTCAACCGCAGCGGGTCGTGCGTTGCCCGTGTAGGTGCGAAGTTGTATTCGCTGGTGTGAATGCGAGGACAGGGAATGGTGTGTTCCCACCAAAAGTGAAGTAGGAATGAATAAACGAACGCGATCCGAACGCCACGTGACGAACGGAACGGAGGACGTACCAAGCAGCGCCGCGTGCAACTGCTTGGACTCGCTTTCGCAACGCAACTGAGGGGGAGGAAAATACTTCTTCTTCTGTAGCTAGAGTGTATGTACTATATATACTAGTAGGTAGGTAATACTAAATGCGAGGTATGCATGTATGACTAGGTAAATGAGTACATAAGGAGCCTTGTGTCCGCAGCAACTCATGTTCGAGTACTCGGACCGAACGAAGAAGTAAACGAAACGATTAGGTACGTACAATATACCGTGAATCAAGGCTCGAACAGGGTGCCAACCCTACACCCGTGTCCGGTCTTATCAGCAGCTCGTCGTCGCTCATATCCACGTCCAAGTCTACGCAGGCCCGTGGCGCGAACATCGGTTGTTTCCCTGCGCGGATAGTACTCACGCTTGACCGTCGCCGAATCATTCCGGGGAAGAGTTGGGAGATGTGCGCATGGTAGTCGTCGAGCTCCGGGGGCGATAGCTCCCATTTAAGAGGACATTGGATGACAGGGGATCGTCGCGGCGAGCTTCGTGAGATTTCCTGTATTGTATGCGCGGTGATAGAGGGAGTTTCGGGATCTGAAGAGCCGACCTTGAGCGGATTTGAGGAGTGGGTGGACAGCAAGACGCCGGCCATTGGAGGTGGGGGAAGAAAGGGAACCGTGCAAAGGCTAGGTTACCTGCAGGGCAGGCGCAGTCGAGGTGACCGTGGTGATCAACGCACGTGCACACGATTTTTTTTTTTTTTTTGTTTCTGCATTTATATACCGCAACGAGTATGCTATGCTACTAAGACGCGGTGTAGGTTGGGTACAAACAAGTAGCTACATTCCCTGCTTGGGGGCTTAGCCCATCCAAGCGTCGGCAGCGAGGGTGCATTAAAAAACCTGTTGGCAAAACCCTGTGGGAAAAAGCCGCCAGGAAAAAGCTACCTGCTGTACCCGTTTGTGACGGGACGGTGGGGACGTTATGGAGTGAGGCCGACGAGGAGTAGTTCTGGGTGACAAGCGGCGATATTGACCTGTGGATGATGGCATCAGCAAAGTTGGTATTACACGATGGGAGGCATTAGGAGAGCGAAGGGAGAACAGGCAAATATGGGTGCACGGCGTGTTTCATAGGTATACTTAGCTAATATCAATCATGTCGTCGGAAGGCGGTTGAGTGTTGAATGAACTTAGCAATAGCTGCTAATCCTTTTTGCGTGCCGAGTAAGAAATCGAGGGAGAGTGACGACGATGCTTCCCTAAGGATGTGGCAGGCATGTTCATGGAGAGGGCACTCAGTGAGGACATGTGCTCTAGTTTGAAGTAGTGTGTTGTCGCATGGACACAACGATGGTAGCCGAGGGACAAAGCAGGAGAAGTACTCTCCGACGAATGCGTGGCCGAGGGAGGCCTGTATGGTGTGAGAGTATGTGCGACGGTTGCCGGCAAAATTGCGGTGGAACTTGGCAAGTTTGAAGGACGGAGAATGAGTAAGGGATAGGGCCGAAGGTGATGTTTTAGCAGATTCCTTCCACTGGTTCACCCATTGTTCCAGGACTTCGGCTTTGGCATTAGCTTTAGCCCATGCAATTGTTGATCCGATGAAGGGCCTCTGGGCTGCCGCGGCCTTTGCTAATATATCTGCTCTCTCATTTCCCCGGATTCCTGAATGCCCTGGTGACCAGGAGACACTAACTGAGAGGCCATGGTGAGATGATAGTAGTCGGTCAATGTTTTCGCGGAAAACAACTGACGCATCCTGCAATGGGTGCAGGCTTGTGTCAGATGTGGATACGTTTTACGGTTGGGATGTGTTGGACCACGTCTTGCAGGCGCTGGGAGGCACGAGTGAGGGCATACATTTCACCATCAAAATTATCTGAGCACGTGCCTAGCCCAAGAATCCCTTGGGCTATTTCTCTACCTAGATGAAAGACAGTAAAGGCTGCTCCTGTGCATAGTTCATCACCTACCGGGTGTCTTGAGCCATCTGTGAAGACATTGACAACTGAGGGGTCCGATCTTGCATCTGCTTCGCATTTGCAAATGTTTCTGATTAGCTGTTTGCGAACATTGTTATCTGTCGGGGCGTAGCTTGAGAACGACAGGCGATGCCCCCACTTGTTACCCAGTTCCCAGGGTGGGGTGGCATATGGATTGGTGCGTTCGTCAATATCGAGCAAGAAATGGGCTCGAGTTGCCATGAGCTGCAGATTGGTGCCTTTTTTCCGACTTTTGGAGCGTGTCGGGCCTTGGACTGGGCCGTAGTTCCACGGTTCTGATAAGCGTATGATAGGTTGGGCATGCCGTGGTAGCGAGCGGAGGCGGATTGCCGCGTTAGCAATGGTATGTTCCAAGAGAAGGGGAATTGGCAGAATTGACCCAATATGATGTAGTGCTGCAACCGGGGATGTGCAGAAGGTTCCTAGAATGAGACGAAGACCTGCGTTTTGCACTTTGGTCATTTGTTTAGTTAGCCCTTTCTGACGTATGCCGGTGTACCAGAGAGGGGCGCCGTATGTGAGAACTGGGAGGACAATGGTCTTGTACGCCAGGCGACGATTAGCATGATTCATCCCTCGCACGGAATTGCCAAGGACGTTGAGTGCTTGCACCTTTGACATGGCACGGTTGCACATGATGCGTACATGTTCTTTAAACTCGAGCTTGCGGTCAAGGAAGAAGCCTAACCACCTCATGATTGGGTTGGGAAAAACTGTCAGCAAGTTATCTGGCGCAAGGTGAATGTGAATAGGGAGTAGGTCTGGAGACTTGGCTCTAGTAAAGTGCATGATTTCAAATTTCCCCTGGTCGACCGAAAGGCCGGCCGCTTGGAGAGCACCATTGATGGTTTGAAAGTCAGCTTGAAGTTGGTGCACGTTGTCTGCAATCGACTTGGAGAAAGCCACCAAAAGACCATCATCAACGTAAAAATAAAGTGCTGACGTGTTAGACCTTATCAATATTTCAATTACCGGGCTGGTATAAAGCGCTGTGAGGATTGGGGAGAGGGGAGAACCTTGAGGGATGCCAACTGAGCTCGTCAACGGGTCAGTATTGAACCCGTTGATTCGTATGGAGATTTGGCGGTTTGAGATGAAACTTTGGATCCACGCCCGAACCTGGGAGGGGAAGCCGGCCAGACGTAGGACTTCAAGGAGGCGACCATGGTGAACGTGATCGAAGAACCCCTTAATATCAAACGCTAACGCTGATGCAGTTAGTCCTTTTTTCCAGCCTGACTGAATATCGTGGACGAGGGTGACGCCAGCGTCTGTTGTTGACGAGTGGTCCCTGCATCCAAACTGGTTAGTAGGAATGAGCTGATATTTGCCTACATCAAATAGAATGCGGCGGGTGACCACCTTCTCCAGGAGCTTGGAGAGGCATTCCAGTAGCGAGATTGGGCAGTATGACCGAGGTTGAGACATGTCTGTCTTGCCTGGTTTTGGGACAATGGCAACGATAGTTGCTCGCCATGCCTTCGGGTGATGTCCAAGACGGAGGCAGGCATTGAAAACATCTGCAAGAAGATGGCTGCACATGGGAAAGCTCCATTTGATGAGGCGATAGCTGATTTCAGACGGTCCTGGGGCAGAGATGTTAGACGTGCTGCGTAATGCATCACTCACCTCATCTACCGATATTGGAATGAAGTTCCTGACAGGCTTGGCTTGCGGATCACTCTCTTGCGAGATATCAACTTGCGGTGGCACTGGCGGAAAGAACGCAGTCCTGAGAGTTTCTCCTAGCTCAGCGGGGGACGCTGCTACGCCAGCATCGGTGATGAGTGGCGGGATACGAGTCTTGCGCTTGCCTGCCGACCAGTCTGCCAGACGCCACACATTATCTGGAGTAGCTGTCTCAAGAATACTATTAGCCCATTCTTGCTTAGCCTTCTTGACGACGCGGTGCATGCGGTTGAGGAGCTTGGGCTTGTCCTCACGGGGGGCATTGCGCATCTCCTCAACTGCTTTACGGCAGTCCTCATTCCACCACCGTGTGGCCTTTGTTGTTATGGGCTTGCGATCTGGCATACAAGTGTTAGTAGCCTGAACGTAGCACTCAACTAACCTGTCCACAAGCTGATCTAACTCCTGAGCTGTCTCTGGATTCCTGTAGCTGGTTGTGATGTCTCGGATAGGGGCCGAAAATTCTGCTGACCATTCTTGTTGCTTCTCTGGATCCAGTCGCTTTCCCAAATCGGACGGAGAGTCTTCTTCGACTGGCGGTGGGAGCTGAGCTGTATAGACAATGGCATTGTGGTCCGAACCATACGAGAGGTTCTCGTCAACAATTGGCGCACTAAATGTAGACGCGTCCACGGCCGCACGGTTGATGAATACGAGATCGATAATTGAATCACGCTGTCCCTCGGCACCTAGCCTTGTATGTATGCCCCTGGGATTAGCCAGAAAGAAGAGATTATCGGCTGCCCATTCCAGAAGGTCTTTGGCAGACTGCTGGTTGGTAGACGGGGGAATTGACCAGGCCGAGTGATGGAGGTTGAAGTCGCCAGCAACTACTGTCGGCACCGCAGGACTGAGAGGAAGAAGTGACAGCATTGTTACGGCTTCAGCTTTTGCACCATTGCCGCCGTTATACACATTTACTGTAAGAAAGGTTGAGCCGCCGTAAGTAATTTCAACAGGTAAAAGATTTGGATGCTTAGCAATGTCTGGGTGGGGAGTTGCCTTAAGGCCTGTCACATTGCGTCTGACATATGTCGCAACCTTGGGGCACTCAGGCGTTAGAGGCGCAAATGACTCCCAGGCGTGCGAGGCCGTGAAGCCATTAATGGGCCGACCCTCTGGGAACGTGTCTGCCTTATCTAATCCGATGCAGCCATACCATGGTTCCTGAAGAAGAAGAATGTGAGTATCAGTCAAGTGGTTAAGCATAATGTGGGTGCGCGCCGAGGAGCGCGCTATGTTGACACCTTAGGCTGTAGTAACAATGCAATATGTAGCTACCGTGGTTGCAGGTCCATTACAATGTTTGCCTACCCGGCCAAATTTGGCTTATCTCTGGCTTATCTCTATCATATTATTATCTCTGGCTTATATTATCACTGATCTTATCGTTTTATCACTGATCTTATTGTATCTGGGTTGATCTATGATGATCTTATCATTATCAAGCCAATGTTATCATTATCTACTATCATAGTATTGTTATCTTATCATATTCTTATCATATATTTCTTTTATAGTAGTATTTTCGCACAGTTCGGAACAATTGTCTAGCCAATCAGAATGATTCCTCCGTTCCATATCCCTCGTTCCGTTCCGTACCCCTCGTTCCGTTCAGTACTCCTCGTCCCCCTCCCCCGCCGCTTCTTCTTCTTCTTCATCGTCGTCACCTTTGGTATCTTTACCCCACCATATCTCCTCGAAGCGACTGGCAAGTGCGTACCGAATATGTGCTTGCCGATGAGCATATGCGGACAGCCCAGCTAGGACGTCTGGTGGGCCGCTGCCGTTCGTTGCCTTGCTTTCCCATGTTCTAGCTTGATGTCGAAGGCTCACCAGTGTTCGACGCATCTCTTCTCTCAACAAATCCACCTCCTCCTCCCATCTACGTACACGGGACCACGCCTTTGCCCATTCAACTCTCAGAGCTACAGATCGTCTACATCAGCAAGATTGATAACCACCATGAAAGCTCACTTACCTGTATCCATCCCATCAGACATTGATTCCTCTGAGTAGTCCCCATCCACCCAGATCCAAGAAATTGTCTGGTAACCCTCCTTTGCCACTCTCCTCTCCTCTCCTACCGTCTCACCTTCAACCTGTGCATCACAGGCTACGTCACCCTCTTTGACACCCGTTTCCACCAGTATTGTATCCACTCCATCCTCCTCAACTTGTCGTGCCAGCCTTGTATGTCGCTCTGTTAATGTATCTGGGTCATCCATGCACCGGATGTGCTCCTGCTTCAACTGAGGCCATCCCACGTCGTGTGACATGTTCGTCAAGGCACGCCATGCAGCCTGGTACTTTTGCGTTTGAAGTTTAATGTGATCCTCATTTCGTTCAATCAAAATACGTGCCCTGGTGTTTGCGTGCTGGTGTCTTGCGTTACGGTCCTTGTACCCAATGAGTCGTGCCTTGATGAAGAGGAGGGTGCGTAGCTCGTTGAGCGCCGACCGGCACTGGGCATCCCGTAACTCCTGCTCTATCTGGACGAGGCCTGGAGCACATGTGAGACGTTCCTCGGGAGTAAGGGCAGAGGGCAGGAGCAGAGGGCAGGACTCAGCCTCCTCCTCATCTGGGGTGTCGCGAGTAGTGAGCTTGTGAATGACGCATGGGGTGTAAATGCCCTGTAGGACTCTAAGCCGTGCTAGGGAGCGAGTAAGCTTTGTTCGCATGTCGACTCCGTTGAGTTTTTGAGCAGACCCCGAGGCCTTCTTGACGTATGCAGAAATTCGTCGCCTCTCGAGAAGTCAATGTCAGAATCAGGCACAGTGACTTGATAACGTACTGTGTCTCCTCAATCTCCAAGCCCTCAACGATGAAGCCACTCGGGCCCACTTCATGCAATGCAGGAACACCCTTTCCAGCATCCTCTGATTCCAACTTGGCTAACCGCAATCGAACGTCCGCCTCCGTAATCCCTAACGAAATGCATGAGAAAGGAGCACAGCCAAGAACTGAACTCACCATGGGATGGTATTTCGTACGGGTTTGGCTTGCTCCCATCAGCTTTGAACGCCGATACCATAGCCTTCCATGTATCTATACGTTCGGCCTGCTTGGATGAGAATATCTCAAAGGACTCTTGTTGAACTTCACGCTCGGCAATCGCGAGTCGAAGACGTTTTGCAAAAAGTTGACCTGATATTAATTTGTTAGAGTTAGACAAGGCAATGAACGAGAGCATGCTCACCCATCCCTATAATCTTCTGCCAGTTCCAATGGCTCCAATGGTCGTTCAGCGTCTCAATCCTAGCTCCAGGTCCCATTGCGCGAGTGCTAGTCGAAGTTGCCCCGATGTTTGCCCATGGCCGTTCGATACCCTCACCATCGGTACGCCCAACGCCAGGCAGATAGTTTAAGGAGTACGTTCTTTGGCAGAACTGGGTGTGACCATGGATATGCAGTTTTGGAATTGCAAAGCGGATGGCGTTTGAGGCAATTTTAAGCCTGACGAGTGGTGGAAGTTTTTGAAGTCGTTCCAAAACGTGTTTCGACCATTGACACACGATATCATAGGATACGAGCTTGTTTAGCTTTGGATCATGGTGACGGAGGAGGGATGTGAGGCAATAGTCCATGTTGCAGTATCTGTATTGATTCGGAATTCAACACTGTTAAAAGTCAATCACATAACTCACCTTTCTCCAACTTGCAAATCTGCTGCGCCATTCCTTTGTATGATCTCGTGTCGGGCACACACTCCAAGACATACCTGTTAGGGCAACGCTAATACACAATAAGCGTACGCGGACCCAACAAGAATCGGAGCAAGAAGTGAGAAGACGAGAGGTGAGAGTTGAGGAGGAAGCACGAAGACGCTGACTTAGGCACTGTATTAGTGTGATTCCCAAGAGAACGAGTTAACGTCTCTGGGTGTCTATTAGGGCACTTATATACTACTGTACATGCTACGTCCTCATGTCTAACTACATGCTGCATCCTGTCGTCTTTCCATGGAATGCTTAGCTCAGCTGCATGTGGTATGACGCTTGTTGACTGCGCCCATGCAGTAGCGGCGAGGCGCTGACTGAGACCATTAGTCAGACGGCCCGGATGACGTAAGTAGTAAGTCGTAATACATTATGTGCCTGATAAGATAAGAAAGATAGTTGGAAAAGAAAGAAAGAAACGTCGGACCATAACAATACCCCGGTAGCAGCATGCCCTCATGAAAACTTAGTATTTGCGTAGTCGAGAGCGGCCAACCCACTGCACGTGCTCATCTCATCGGTATGTCAGTACTTCACCCATCCGTCGGGATGACGGTGCTTACCTCCTTTTGATCAGTTACTGTTAATATATACCGTCGGAAAGGTTCATTTTCCACAAAGTAGCTCCAATCGATGCCCAACCCAGGATCTTTCTCGACGGAAGAGACGATGCGACGTTTGAGTCGAAAACAAGCGTCGAGGGCCAGAAAAAGAGTATAGAGAAATCTAGGACTTCATGTTAGAACTGTTCCGCAGTTTAGGTTGACGTACTTTCGGTCTGGGGGTGCTGATTCCCAATCAAGAGGTAAGTTAACACCAGGCGTAGGACACGCAGGGCATTGGATTCCCAGCTCCCCATTACCCGTACCCAAGATCCCAGATGGAACGTGTGCCCTGCCACCTCGCTTCAGGGCTGTAAGGTATCTGTACTGACGAGTCATCCGTACGAACTCCTTGTAGCGCTTCTAGAGATGAATTGTTAGCATCAAGTTCTAGATGAAAAATAAGACCTACGGGAACTGAAGCAAACCCTCTGTTTTCTGTGAGCTTCTCCAATGCCATGTAATAGTCGTACATGGTAACCTTGCTTTGGAGTGCTTGCATGCGGTAATGTTCGAGAAGTGAAAACATTGAGCATGTTTGAGGCTGGTCGATGGTTGCGGGAAATAGCCGGTGTCGAAGGAATTGTTGCCTCATTAAACCATATGTACCGACGTGCTCACAGGCACAGAAGTCGACCGTGATTTGGTGTATACCGTTCGTATGAAGCACAACAACATTGGAGGCACACGCAGGATGAGAGCAAGCGTCCCCTGGTGAGTGTCCAAGCTGAACCCGTAAGCCGATAGTCTTGAGTGAGGTGCGCAGAAAGCATTTTCCATTCCATTTCTAATTTCGTCAGCTGGTAATACCACCAATGAAACAGGAATATTTATGCACCTCGATAATGTGGAAGGGACATTCAACATGCTTTCTGATACAGCAGGCGGAACACAAAAGGGTGGAGTGGAAGCAATCGCGACACCTGAACAGGGACTGCTCCTCTTCGACCGGCACCTTCTTGCAGGATCCGCAAGTATTGAGGGACGAGCAGCCTGGCCCCTCAATCCTCATGAGTTCAAGTAGAAACTCACCAGCCACCGGTACCCATTCCTTGAGAGGATCATCCTAGCCCCAAGGGTTGTCAGCTCCACAAAAACAGTATAGTAAGCCAGCAGTACGTACCGATGATGCGTAGCGTCTTGCCTTTGTTTTTTCATTGCCTTCAAACTTCCATGAGTCTTCGTTCATACAGAAGGTGAAGTCGAATCCATTAGATGATGCGGCCAGGACATTAGGAGGATCCAAGCGTGCCTGCTTCCTAGGCAGGGAGACTACCTCATTCGAAATGGGCAGGGAGACTACCTCATTCCTGACACGGCGTCCGTCAGCAGAGACTCGTCCGATGGATGCAACGAATGGCTCGTTGTTGAGTATGTCGTTGATGTCAACTTCGAAGACATCATTGGCGCGCTTTCGCTTAGTGTTCCTGCGTCGAGACATGGTGGGTGTGTGGATTTTTTGGGTTGTAGAGAGCGCACTCACAGTATGCAGTCAGGTATGTCGTGTATAGCCATTTCACTGATAGGATGGTGTAGAATGGATCGCTGGCGTCCAAATGAGGGTATGGAAACGGGAGATTCAACACACGCTACCCTCTGCGGTGTCAGTTAGTCACGTATTGCAGAGAATATTGCTACTTAGTTCGCCGCTGATCGTTCTCTGAGGAATCCGATCTTCGATGGTAGCAGCTAGGAGGATGCTAGGGGTGCGAGGCATGGTTGTTTGTTGTTGCTTGAGCGGCACCTTGACGCGGACCCGTGACACTATTTTCAACCCACATCGCCAAGTCAATTATTGCCAACAAGCCACTGAGGCCTGAGGTTGAAGGAATGAGCGGCGGTAAGCATTTCTGTTTAAGCTTCACATTACCTCCTTCAAACGCCTCCGGGCTCCGACCTTGGAGCTAGGAGTGCACCTTCCTTCACTGCGCCGGAGCGGCGTTGAACTTTTTCTTTCCCTTGTTATATTAGTTCCCTTTTCTGAACACATGCAATGCAATTTACTAACCTTTGCTGTTCCTATTCAGAGCGCAAGACGAGATCTGGCACCGTATTTTCTCCATGGGAACTGCCTGTGCGGTACGACACATCAGTCGACTTGCACAACTTATTGGACGCGGCGGTCGCGAGGGGAAACCTTGAAGACCCCAGGTCTGAATTGCACGCCTTATCAGAGATGGGCGAGGAATCCGATCTCACCGACTTGGAGTCAGATGCGGACCCTGATGTTCCCGCTGATGGAGCAGAGAATGTTGGTTGCATGGATGACGCGAGGGATGGCGCGTCGAAGGAGAATGTGGCGAGTGGCGTAAACAGTCATGTTGTTGCCCGCAGGGAGATGGATAACGCGAGCGGCACAGATAGCCCGTCGATGGAGAACGCGGCGAGTGGCGTAGACGAACACATCGTTGTGCGCGGAGGGGTGAGCGATCCAGATCGGGTTCAGAAATTGAATTCCAAGGCACGCAATAGGCAGAACAAACGAGCCAAACGCCGAGACCAGCGCGAGAGGCTGCTAGCGCAGGCCGGAACTTCCGTAAAGGCGGTTGCCACTCGACGCAGGGCTCAAAACCACCAAATAACCACGCAGTTTTGCGCCAGGGACAGTAACCGAGCATCCACAGCTTACATTGGTGTTCGCGACCGTATTCACTCCCCCAATGGGCAGGTCGCCGAGCTAGCGAAGCAGGGTTTCAAAGTTCTTCCCTGGGATCCAAGGTAAGCCAAAGCCGCCCCTTCCAAAGCAAAAAAAAACTCACCTAGTTCCACAGGAATGGGTTTCTTCTGGTAGATGAGCAGGGGCGAATTTTTGCAGGCGGTGCAAGCCCCCGAGCCCCCGGATGGTCTCAAGTTACTACGGATGCGTTTGAGGCCGTGATTCACGCACGGAGGGGGTGTCGATTCACCCACAAGGAGTTGAATCACAGGAGGGGGAGATTTCCTGCGCTGACGAAGGGAATATCGTACGGTGGGGGTCAGCGTAGACCTATGCTGTTACGAAGTTCGAATAGAAATGCGGCCACGATGGACGCAATTATTGATAACCCCAACGTCAGACGAATTGCTGGAATGCAATCGAAATTGCTCCACACCATTGCACCGAAGCAAGGCCTATACTATAGGGAAACACTGGACAAGCTCATTGAGTCCCAGCCGGAGCTCAAGCGCAACGTTCAGAACAGCGACTTCGCATGTCTTTCAGTTAACCTTGGCCCCCATACTATATGTGTGGATCACACTGACTGTGTCAATCTCGCGACGGGACTGTGTGCAATCACCGCACTGGGTAACTTCGATCCGAAGAAAGGGGGGCATCTAATACTATGGGAGCTCAGATTAATGCTGGAGTTTCCTCCAGGTGCAACCATGTTAATACCGTCCGCATTACTTCAACATTCTAACGTACCCATTCAACCAAAGGAGGAGCGAGTTTCAATCACCCAGTATATGGCGGGAGGTATATTTCGATGGGTCGAAAATGGGTTCCGGAGAAATCTTGACTGTGCACCTCTTGAGAACCCCGAGCAGGATGGACAGGATCGATGGGAAAGGGGGCTCGATAGATTTGATAGATCCCTGTAGAATGTTGTTAGTAGTGGCAAAATGCAATAAGGTGGCACACAGTGAATTATGGTTGTAGTGCCCAATAATAATGCAACAACCTGGAATGATCCGATTGACCAACTTGACCAACATCATCGGAACTAACTACAAGCTTCCACCTGTACTCTGTCGAATCCAACAGAGATCGCTCACCGTTGTTTGAATCGCGATCGACGTCCCACAAGCCATATGCAGATTGGGTGGCAAGTGTCTAGCGTCTACCTGACTACGAAACAAGGTTCGTGTTCGCAACCTCGTTTCGTAGTCAGTCGCTAACATGCACTCGCACTTCAGATATCGACGCCGTGAAGAAAAATACGCATGGTGGAGTCGAGGGAATCCAATAGATGAAGGGATGAAGGGAAGGGAGGGGGCATTGAAGGTCGAGATAATCCAGGCTCAACAACAGAACTGCGTTCTGTGGAGCATTTCTGTAGGTGAGTGAACGACTCAATAGTTATGGCTGGGATAACCTACTTCGTCATTTTTAACAGTGCCAGTCAAGTGCCAGCATACGTACTTTGAACCCCAGAGTCTCTCGTCAACAATCGTTGGCGTCAAGTTCAGCCTAGCTTCCACCGGCTGCATCCAGTTGTCCTCTCGCAGGAATAAATGAGTCTGGCTCACTGGTACGTAGGGCTTAGGAATGCACATAACTGACGTACACCCCAGTTGACAATACTGAACATATTTGATAGCGAGTACCCCTAATGTGTGATTCAAAAAGGATGCGACTTAGCCAAATTCAAGACTTGTCCCAACCGGGCGACCCTTGAACAGGATCACATAAATACCTCCAGTGTTCAAGACCGTTATCTCAGCACCCACGCTATTCAACATCATCGTCTTTTCTTTTTGACCTACTGCCATCATGTCTCAATCCCCATCGACTTGCAGACTACTCGTTTTTGGTCGCGACAAGAGTGTTCCGTTCAGAAGACTCCCAGGCCCCTTCCTGTATCTGACTTGGGGGAAAATTGCCCAAGTCTTCTTTGAGAAGGATCGGTACGTCTTCTCGTTTTCTATCTGCCGTACTCTGTTTTAACCAAGTGCTAAGTGGAATCATCAACTACCTCGAGTCAAGGGGTGTCCAGGTTCGATCCTTTGCAAACGCAGATGACCTGGGTCGAGCGCACGACGAGTTTTGCCAAAAAAACCACACGGATGGACGGCATGGAGCCCTTCCCAATCGTCACGAGCCGTGGCCGCTCCACAAGATATTTGCACGAATGTGTGAGGGCATCGTGTACGACAACGATCCTCAGGGGTTTATTGATCTCTGGGAGAATGTACCGCCCTCCCCAGAGGCCCCCCCGTCATATGCAACCGACCCCCCTGCTTTGGAACACCCCTCGCTGGACTTGGACGACTCCTCACGTCCCTCTGATGTTGACTTCGATGCACCCACTCCATGTCGTACAGGCCCAAGTCGAGATAGGTTGGCGCAACGTAGTCAACGGATTCGTACGGCACACTACAGACTTCATCGACAGGCAACGTCCTCTGAGGACGACATGGAGACCTGCGTCCAGCCCTCATCCACTGTTCCCTTGTTGGCTCCCTTGTCCCCATTCACAGATATTCAGCAACGGTCGCCTCCTTCCCCCTTCAGTGAAATGAACGTCACTCCCCCACCCGCCGCAGCGCCAGAACATCATGCATCCGATTTCTATCTCTCCTCAAATGCCAATGATGGCCCTTTCTGGCTGGTTCGGCTTGAACCTTCGCGCTCCTTCATGTTCCACGATCAGTAAGTTGAATTCTATTAGGTAGTCGTCATTGCTGAGATTATTGTACAGGCGCTTGGCCAATAATATCTTTGCCCAGTGGCATCAAGCTGGACAAGATGGCGATCGCTTGAAAACGACTGGAGTTGTAGATCCACCCGACCGCATCCTACGTGATAACACAATCAGAAACCCGTTCTATGGAGTTCGTGGTGGTCGTAACCACGGAGTATTCAAGGACGCGTAGGTTTCTATTCAAAGTTCCTTAATGTGTCCTTACCCTGTTGATAGGGAGCGTGCTCAAGCCTTTTTCCTACTCGAATGTGAAGAGTGGAACAACACGTCCATGATCATTTGCAACAATTACAACCAGGCCGTTCACTGGGCTACCGACAGGCCCCCGCTCTAATATCTGCTCAACATGGCACAATAATCTAGATCGCGGTTTCTTTTCGCCAATTTGCATACCATTTACTCTGTCCCCAATAGTAGTTACTGCGTTCCAAAGTTGGTTGACAATATATTGCATTATCTCGATCCAACTTGATCGTATGATGTACGGAGCATATTCTACAAGGACCTACAGCCACAAATTGTCCCTGATAAGTTAAGACTAAACAGAACAGAAATGAGTGTTCCCTCGCACGAACAAATCCTGAGACGGCGAATAGATCGTTAACAGATTTGTTAACAGATCAGGTACAACAACGGAGTGCAAGATCTTGCCTGGTTTGTGATTTGTTTGAGTGGTCACAACGCACCGTCACCACCCCAACTCCGCTTGTCCTTTCTCTCCACCACCACTACTCTCAAACAATGTCTCAGACAACTTCGAGCCAGAAGGAAAACGAACTCACCAACGTATCAACTGGTGTCGTGGGCAAACGAAAGCGTGGCAACCAAGGAGACTTCAAGGGGGAGCGCCTTCAATACCTCAATGACATGCTGCCTCAATACCGGGAGGCCTCAAGCAGCGGCGCCGTCTCAACCTGGTTTACAAATATGTTCTTTCCCAATTACTTTCGGAAATTCCCTTGGTTCATTCCTGCGGAGGACGACATACCTGAGGCATTCAACATTGCTCTTGAAGAATCAAAGCTCACTCCTGAAGTCGCAAACATGAAGTCCGATACCGTCAACAGGCTAGTCAAGGTTCGTTGTTTATACTTAGATAGCACTGGTCACACACTAATTTAACGTTGAGTAGAAAATCAAGAACTGGTTCAACTATCGTCGAGCTTCTTTAGGCTTGAACACAAGCAAGGATCCTTGGGGGCCATGGCTTGATAAGCTCCGTAAATCCGACCGTCCTCGACCACAACGACTCAGGGATTGTCAGTATTACGAACGCACGGAGCCCTATAAGTCAAAGGTTGCCGCAACGCTGGACGAGGAATGGCCGACACTAAACCTGCACGAAGACTATCGTTTGGCAACACGGAACAAGATCGCAGAGAGACTGCTGCGTGCGGAGCCGTCGGACGTTCAGGAGCTCATCAACAAGGAGACGCAAAAGCAGTACGATGACACTCTGAAGGCATACAGCAAGGGGGTCTGGACTGAAGATGTTACGGATCCCGACGAATGTGAAATGTGAGTACTAGTATCGGCTTCGGAAGACTACGCTTACTTGCAAATAGGGCTATCGAAAGTATAACGCCGACTATTCAGCCCCTACTTGACGGAATTCGTGCAATTACTGGCCTTTACATCGGCTTCTTTGCTGTCGGCATGCCTAAAGACAAGGAGGTCAGCCCAGAAAAGCTTCGGGCGGTCTAGTGAGCTTCTCCTTGCTTACTCTATGTGGATTAACTGATCCCGATAAGCCTTGGTGCCGGAAAATCGAAGGACGAGAAGTCGTTCCCCTCCCTCGATCCCAAGGGATTCAAGCAGGCTATGAAACTCTTTGTTCGATTTGCGCTAACCGCTTCCGGTAGTAAGTGCTATAGCTTTTTCAACTCTGTCCATTATCACCACATTACACAGATGGAGCAGAAGCGGGCTCCTCCAATGAGCAGGATCTTGCCGGCTTACTGCCTACTTCGAATGTTTGGACGTCGCCAACGCCAACACCTACCACCTCTCCAACCAAAGTCACCGCTGCCACTGGGCCCGCCAAAACTCCATCACGCCACCCTAGTGGGCCTCAAATCACTCAACCTAGGCCCAAAGCCAATGCAGTGGCCCCCACACGTGCTGGCCGGGCTTCATTATCTGACGAGGCCCTCCTGCAGAAAGCAATCGACCTTGCGGAGCGTCGACTTGCTGATGCTGGAGTTGACGTTGGAGAAGATGGTGTTGGACCCGAGCTACTGGAGGATGTAGCCAAACTTGCGCCGTCGGCACAGGAGAAACAAATCAAGGAACTTGCCAAGCTTTCCAACTACGAGCTCCAGCGCTGCAGCAACATTGCCCGCAATGAGCGGCTTCTTCAATCACTAGGACTCAAGGACCACGGCCTCTTTGACAAACAAAAGAAGCGGCCTCGAGAGCCATCCACACCTCCTGCGGACGACGACGATTATGCGCCAGACTCAGGCGTGCCCGACTCAGGCCATGAATCAAAAAGATTGAGGCCGGCCGCTCCCCCTCGTCGATCGAATAGAGGAGGCAAGTCAGCTGCAGCTCCTGATAAGGACCATTCCCTTCCAAATCCCACTACTCCCCCTCGTTGATCGAATAGAGGAGGCAAGTCAGCTACAGCTCCTGACAAGGACCACCCCAATCCTACTTCTACTCCCACTCCTCGTCGATCAAGCAGAGGCAAGGCGGCATCAGCTCCTGACGAGGACCATCCCAATCCCACTACTACTCCCACTCCTCGTCGATCAAGCAGAGGCAAGGCAGCATCAGCTCCTGACAAGGACCAACCCCATCCCACTACTCCCACTCCCAGCCTGTCTCGTCCAAACTCTCCTCCAAACGACCTGCAGCCTGACGATGACCCCAACGACGACTCCACATCTGAGGCAGGTGGCGATGATCCAGCGCCTGCATCGTCTCAATCCGATGACATTTGACCGGCATGGTTCACGAAAGCCTACAATGCATTTACGGATGCCGAAAAGAAGAACCAGCACCACAACGAGTACTACGGGCCTAGATGGACATCCCTTCTACAGGCTTGGGAAACCGTAGAGGCGCTAAATAACTTTCAGGCAGGGGTGAGTAACAGCATATATATTTCTCCTGCAGGTGCTTATTATTGTTAACGAGTACAGGACGTTAAACTTCCAGATTCATCCACACGGCCAGCAGAGGTAGCCAATTGGATCAAGTCGGCACGCTACTACCACAGAACCCCGGCCAGCCTTACCGATGTTGATGTGTTCGCCAAGCAGTGGTGGAAGTGGTGGGCTGAGCTCAATCCAGATTGGCGTATAAAGGCTCCCGACGGAACGTTGCAGAAGGCTGGCTCAGGGGATTGGGAGTCCATGTGTGCTACTGGGCACAAGGGTATGATCAACGTCATCGTTTGCTTGTGGTGGTGGAGGGGATTGACTCCTGAGACATCCCCTGCATTGAAGAGCTGGAACAAGGCCATTGCGGACGTTACTTGGGTGTTGCACCTGGAGCAAATGCTGTAAGATCATCATTCTATTCGTTTGCCTATTTGTTTGCCTACCATCTGCCCACCTTCGACTCCTATTCCATTGCTACATTCTGCTCACATTCTGCTCCATTGCTGCATTTCGTTCTATTGTCTTGTTTCATTCTGTTATCTTGTTTTGTTCCCGTTCCGTTCCCGTTCCGTTTACATTGTATCACAATCTAATCATGACTTTGATCCGTGAGAGATCTGAAAGATGAGAAAATAAGATAATCACACTGAGATAATCAAGTACTAGAAAATAAGATAATCACTCTGAGATAATCAAGTACAATCAGAGATCATTGATTATCCTTAAGATTGATTAGATTAAGCGTGGAAACATCGCAATAAGCATTAGCAACTCAGCGCGCCTATAAAGACCATAATGCATTACGCAGCGCGCCTATAAGGGCCATAATGCATTACACCAGCCAGCCCTGGCAAACATTGTAATGGACCTGCAACCGCGGAAGGGAATTTAATGCATTGTTCTTACAGCATGAGCTGATGTTGAGCTGCACGATTTTCAATGGGGGAAGGTTGTTCATGTGTCAACCTGCATGTGTGGTGGGGCAGGGGGGTTTTGTGGCTGTCGTTGGAGCTGCAGTGACATTTGCGAAGGAGGGGCCAGTGGGGGAACAGGTCGAGGGACGAATTTGCGCTTTTCCGGGCAGCAGCCATCCATGGCCCAGTGTTCACCCTCACAATTGGCACACTTAGGTGTGCATTTACATGAGCTGGAACCGTCTTTGAGAACCGAAGGACAGTAGACATTATGTTCTGTCGTTGGATGCCTTTGCGCACATTTAGCACACACATGCGGCTTGGCACATAGCTTTGCCGTATGGCCAAGGCCTTGACATCTATCACATTGTGTCAGCCTGGGCTTTTCTCTCCAAGGACGTACCGGGGTGTGGCGCCCATCCATAAAGATGGGGGTCTTGAGTAGTTCTTTAAGTTTTGATCCATCCAGATCTTCGAATGCGAAGACAACTGGCGCGACTGGGGGCAATCCCTCGGCCGGGTTGGACACGAAGCGGGGCTCCTGGGTTATTTTGAGACTCTTGATGATTGGATTGCGTCTGAGGAGGACGCCAAGGGCCTTGAAGTCCCAATAATGGCCATCAAAGCCTACAGAGGGCACCCTCGAGCAAACTGCCTTGGACCATTTCGTGTCGTGCGGTATTATGACCTCGTCGAGGCCATGATCTACAATGGGATGTAACAGATTAATATGATTATATACGGTGTTTGGATTAACGTGGGAGGGGAAGGTAAGGATTATATTACCGCTGCAGTTCCATTCCGCACCAAGAATTTCTAAGCCGTCATTACAAGCGGCAGCATTATTGCTAAAAGCGTGGTTGAGAGCGTGAAATAAAACATGCAAGGATTTGTGTTCGGCTTCGGGGGGTAGGCGACCTCGGAAACGTACAATGAACTTTGTGTTTGACTTCGAAGCCGGGGCCGGAGCGACGGCCTTAGGTTGCTGGGCCGGCTTGGGTTGACTCGAAGGAGCTGACTTTGCAGCTGACGCATACGAAGATGGGGTGGGGGCTTGCGGCCGTGAGCTGGGCGTGATCTGGGTTGGGTTGGGCACGGAAGAAGGGAGTGGGACAGATCCGAGCCGCCTTTCCATGTTTGAAATCCTCGAGGAGAGATTAGCCTCCAGGCTGAGGAAGAGATCCTTAATCTCTGATTTGAATCCGTCAAAACCTTTATCTTGGGCCGGGGCGGGCGCGCTAGGTTGGGACATGAAGATGTCATCGTCAACCGACACCATGCTGTCGATCTCGCGTAGTGTGTTCTTGAGTGCTTTAGCGACGCTAAGGACCTCTGCTACTGCATCGCCGTCATCGGTCCAACCGAGTGTGCGTCTGGCGCCGTCTACTATATCACCAAGCAGCTCTACGCAGGCCCGACTCCATTCTGTGCATGACATATCTCGAGTGCCCCCACCCCGACGGATCGCTGCAAAGTAGGCACGATGGGGCGTGGGGGGCGGCAGGGCGTTGTTTGATTCGATTCTAGCACATTTTCGCGTAGGAGTTGCGTCGACACGGTCGGACGTGGGGACGTAGAAATCATCGAGGTTTGGCACTGATTTCGGGTCTCCGAACTCGGATTCGAAGGCGCTGGGCGGGCGAGGGGGTGGAGTCTGCGGTAGCAGTTGGGGCCAGGCCTCAACGGTTTGAAATCCACCGCTTGGCTGGGCGTTAGAGGCCCCGGGGTTGGGAGGGAATTGGTTAGCTTGAGGAAGCGATATGGTGAAAGCACGGGCGCTAAATGAGTAAGAAGCCAAGAGGCGACCTGGCACGTGCACGCGATCGCGAGGGATATACTTCCGCAAAATGGGAAATTCTGCAAAGATGACCAGCGCAGGACTCGAGCCTGGAACCTTTTGGTGCGTCAGCAATCGAAGCCAAACACGCTACCATTGGTAGCCTTATTGAAGGGCAATTTCTAGATGTTGTGAGAATCCTAGGAATCCACGCAGCCAGTCACACCTTGTAGAGGGTTTTCGTGACAACCCTTCGAGTGAATCGAGTCTCGACTATTTATCTGTATTATTTTTGATTGTTTTCTGGATTGGTTCTGCCCATCAATTGTTTCTGCGTATCAAAGGCCCAAAGGCGGTTGTATATTCCATGTACATATGTTATCATACAGTATCGGTATCAATAAGCACCGCTCCTCTTGCTTTGAATCTTGAATTTTGGATCTGAAACGCCCTGCATCAGCTCTTTCGAATGACTTCAGAGCAACCCCACGCCCTGCTCCGTCACAGCATGCTCATCGAGTGCGAAGTTGCGAAATTACTGGGTATCCATTTATCCATTATTAGAATTTAGTCGCCCTTCGATTCAATTCCATCCAGAGTAGAGCTCGGTACTGATACTGATATATGATGTTCGCGCTCGCCAGTTTCCAAGCGTGGACACTGGACACTAGCCAGCGACGGTACTTCAAGTACTTGTTTATACTCATCATGATCATTCGAACTCCTTATGACTTAGACTTGCTCGTGCTGAGAGTCAGATTTATAGATTCCGATGAAGTAGTAAGCAGCTGTGGGAACCCACGCAAAAGAAGGTTAGCGACTCGGATGGGAGCGATGGGAGCGATGTCGATGATAGCGATGCGTTCGCTCTCGCTCTCTCGCTCTCCCACCACAGCGCGACAGTGGGGCGTTGTAGGTACTTTAGACGCCGATGCTTGATATGCAGTTGCTTAACCTATCTACTGCAAGCAATATTGCAGTACACTGTCCATGCATCATTATGCGATGAAGCTTTATCGAAGACATCGGACTGGGAAAGATGATCGATTGGCGCCAGGCGCCTACAGCTCGAGGTACGATGACGCCTATACAGGCCCCCGGATTGCCCAATCATTGAATCAATCGATCTACTGACTTTGCGCGCTTGCTTGGATTGGAGTGCCGTTTGGGTCCAACCGAGAACCACGGTCGTGGCGATGCGGCGCTTGGGCGTGGGTGGGTGATCTGGCCACATCGATGATCCATCACAAAGGCCAGTGCAGCCACCTCTGTGATTATGCGGTCTTTTGTTCATGGATGGCCAGTGTGGCTAGTGGCTGCCTGACAACCCCGATTGGCAGGGCGGGTTCCTGCAAAAGGGAATTTGTCGCGTCGACAAGTACAAATATGGCAAGCAACGCCAAATATTCAGGGCGCGCTATATAAATAACAATATAACCCGACCAGCGTCTCTGACTCGGCTCCGCAACATCTCTGCAAAGCCAGCTATGGACACCCCGTCTGGCTCCCAATCCTCCTCCTCACTCATCAGTCTCGCGAAAAAGCATCTCGGCCTTACTCGCCGCGCGCCGGTACGCGCTTTTTGCTTCACTTCATCGCGTGGTACAGCTGACCCTGACTTGCTGGTATTCGCGACGCGTCCATTGTTGACGTATAGACGGCCAAAATCCCCCCAAGTTATCTCGAAGAGCTCAAGAAGCTCATTGCATCCAACCCGCACGACACAAATGTAAATACAGTCCATCACTACTACTTCCATCAACTCACTCACTGGATGCAGTACCGTTTGACGCTCGAACCGGGCACAGGCTGTGAGTTATCAGAAAACTGCCAGATGCGCTGACCGGGCATTGCTGATCGCTATGGGATACAGTCGGATCTATCACTTGCTTCGAAGCTGGGTGTGGCCGTGCGGTCATCAAGCTCATTCGCAGCGCGAAAGCGGGGGACGGCGGCAAGAAAGAGGGGTTTGGATCCCTGGCCGCGTACAAGGTTTGGTCGGTCTTGGTGCCCCGGGCTCAAGGCTAAAGTACCCTACCCTTCTGTAGTTTCATATCAAAAACCAGCATGGCAAGGCGCAGCGTCCTGCGCGCGAGGAACCTCGTCTGGCGGACAGGAGAGCTGCTCTCCAGGCTGCGGTGCGCTACCCCAATCATTCTTAGACGGATTGACGCTGATGATAATGATATCCCCGTGCGGCCGACCAGTCGCCCTCTCGCCACGCCCCTGTCAAAACCGAGCGCTCGTATGTTTCGTTTCCATCCTGTTAATATGAGATCAACACGCGCTAAACGTCCGTTCTAGTGAGCTGTGTATAAAGCCTGAGCCTGTAGAGCCATCACTCCCCCGCACACACGCCCCCGACGCTGCTGCAGCTACATCCGCCCCCCGTCCGCCCGCCAACGTCAAGGCAGAACCCATCCCGTTTCAGCCGTCCAAGAAAGCGAAAGCGAAGACTGAAGTAAGCATGGACGCTAAGCGCCCCCTCGCGACGGTCGACAGCAACAGCCTGAACGAGATACATATACACGACGGTGCGCATACGGCTGCAGCCCCGAACCCTCTGAAGCGTGCGGGGGAGAATCTGAGCGCACCGGTGAAGCCGCGCCCGGCTCCCGGTGATCTGCTCTCGCGCCAATCCCGTCGTTCCGACTTCGAAGTTGGCAGCATCAAGCACGAGCCGAAATGGGAGGCGGTCCCGCTTCCGCCGTCGTCGTCGCCGGCGCCCTCCTCGCCTATCGCAGGTCCGAGCTGGAGGCACGGCTCGGAGGGCAGCAAATACCCAGCCACGGACACGGACGACGTGATGGATCTCGACATCGACGGCGACAGGGACGCCGACAGCGACCATGCGAAGATCGTGGACGCCGTGGTGCAGAGATACGCGGATGCGATGCCGCAGCTCCCGCCGATGCGCGACGCCCGCGACGAGAACGGGGACTTCCACGGACGGGGGCGGGATACGTTCCGGGGGCCACAGGCGGCCGCCACTGAGTACGTACCGCCGCGATATTTTTTTTGCCTGAGCAGCTTGCTAATCGCCGATCGCTGCGCGTAGCATCGATAAATTTCTGCTGGCGGCCGGTAACTCCGAGCAATTCGACGGCAATGCGCGGGTCGACACGGCGCTCGAGACGCTGGGGCTTACGGGGCAGTACCAGCTGATCCCTGGCATGCAGATCGCGCTCATGCCGCATCAGATCATCGGTGTTGCTTGGATGATCAATAAAGAGAATAGTTACTTCAAGGGCGGGATCTTAGGAGACGAAATGGGTCTTGGGAAGACCGTGCAAATGTGAGCCCTCTAGGATATGCCTTTTTGTACGCAGATGCTGAGGGGACCGTAGGATCGCCACTATGGTTAAGAACGTCTCGACCAACCCTGCTTGCCGGGCGAACCTCGTCATCGCTCCGACCGCTCTGCTTGAGCAGTGGAAAAACGAAATCGAGGAGAAGACAAATACTGGGTTCAAGGTCCTGATTTATCACGGTAGGGTCTAGGATCTCAGCCAACGTCGCATGCTCATAGTTGACAACGACCATCAGGAAACAACAAACCTCGTCGTAAGAAGGAGCTGTTGGATTATGATGTAGTGTTAACTACGTTCGCTGTAAGTCCGCGTTTTTCGAGCGTGGTCGGGGGCTCATTCCTCATTCCCCACCCACAGACGATGGCCTACGAATGGCCCGATGCCGAGGCGGAGCAGAAGCGCAAGAAGGCGAAAGCAAAGCGTCGGAAATCTGAGGGCTTCATTGTCGAGGACTCCGACGAAGACGAGTCTGATCGCCCCACGCGCCGCCGAGGTGCCCGCCGCGAGTCTGGCATTCTATTTCAGATGGACGTACGTCGATCTTCTTGCCTGGATACCCTATCTGATGCCCCATCCCGCAGTGGTACCGTGTCATCCTTGATGAAGCCCAATTTGTTCGAAACAAGACAACCCGTGCGCATTCCATTTTCCTGATGATAATCATTGTGTAGTGACAGATCGGAACGAACGCATAGGCGCTTCGCGGGCTGTGAGCGAGCTGCAGGCGACGTATCGGTGGTGTCTGACCGGCACGCCCATCGTAAACGGGCTGGCGGACGCGTATGCGTATCTGCGATTCATCAAGCTGCGACCGTGGTATGACTGGTCGGAATTCCACGCTCATATTTCGCGGCTGGAGAAGAAGAACCGTGGGTGGCGATGCTTGGTATTCGTTCTGCGCCATCTCATTGTGATGTGTTTTAGCCGCCACTGCCGTCGTGCGCCTCCAGGCCATATTGGCTAGCTGCATGATTCGACGCACGAAGTCGTCGGAGCTGGATGGCAAACGCTTGATCGAGTTGCCTCCCAAGGAGGTCGAGCTCATCAAGCTCGAGTTTACTGCAGAAGAACGGGAGATCTACAAGATGGTAGGCAGTTATGTGTGTCGTTAGCCCTCCGGTACTTGTCTCATTCATACAGGTGGAAGCTAAGACCCAGGCGACTTTCAACCGCTACTTACGAGCGGGCACAGTCCTCAAGAATTACTCCCAAGTGCTCGTGTTGCTCCTACGTCTGCGACAAATCTGCTCGCATCCGAATCTCATCCAGGAGGACGGTGACGGCTTTGTGCATCCCGACGAAGTCGACGATGACAAGCCCGAAGTCCGCACGGAGTTGACGCGTGCTAGGTACCTTGTTTCGATGGAATTCGTCGATGGGCTGAAGGCAAAGTTCAAGGAGGCGGCCCTCAAGCGAATCGCTGCGGAGAAGGAGGTTAGGCCTCATACCTTTATTGTTGGCATATTGTGTCTCATTCCTCCTAGTCCGTGGATGCTATATTCGAAGACGAAGAGTGCCCGATCTGCTTTGATCACTACACGAACGCGGTTATCACTCCTTGCTCTCACACATTCTGCAAGGAATGCATAAGTAAGTCCTCCAAATACCTGGATACGCATTGCCACGCTGACCAGCCCCCATAGCCGATGTCATCAATGGACCTCTGGCTGATGGAGATGAAGCCCATTTCAATCAAGATCGTCCCTGTATGTCCGATGCGCCAGTACTTTCACTTCTTGGCTGAAGTATTGTTAGGCCCTGTGTGTCGCAGCTCCATTACCGAGGAGAAGCTCTTCTCTCGCTCTGCTTTCGAGCCGTCCGAAGAGGATTTGGATCCCTCCTTGGCCAAGCCCAAGCCCAAGGCGGACACAAACGAGGACCCGAACTCTGTCTTCTGGCGTACCAACAAGGGAAAGGGAAAGGCAAAAGCAAAAGCAAGGGGTAAGCCCAAGCCCAAATCAAAGCGCGTCACCGTCATCGACAGCGGGGACGAATGCTATTCCGAAGAGGAAGAGGTCTCCGACGACGACGACGACAATATGAGTGACTTCATCGTCGATTCCGATGAAGACGAGGACTACGAAGAGAAGAGTGCGAGTCGGGCTATCAAGAAACGTCTAGCGAAGCGCACGATCGTTCTTGATTCGGACGACGAGATCCCGGATGACCAGGTTATCTTCGGCTTGAAGCCGGCCACGACGCCCACTCCAGCGGCGCACGACGGTCCGGTGGTGATGATGCCCAAGTTCTTGCCCTCGACGAAGATGAAGGTGCGCAATACATTGCATAGTGCGTAGCGACGGGTTTGACACGAACGGATGTAGTACATGATGGAAATACTTCGCAAGCTGGCTCAGGACCATCCGGACGAAAAGGTGTGTCACGAGTCCTACGCGATATGCAGGTTTGTTGACTCCCGCCTGTCATAAAGACCATCATCGTCTCCCAATGGACGTCCTGTCTTAGTCTTGTCTCGAACTACCTAGGGGAAGCCGGGGTCGCACATGTAAAGTAAGCAACGCCGCAGTCAGTTTTGAGCGCACGCGTTTAATGACTATTCTCAAGATATCAAGGCGACATGGATCGCAACAGTCGGGACACGGCCGTGCGGGTGTTCATGACCAAGGACACCGCTCGGGTCATGTTAATGTCCTTGAAGTGCGGAGGTGCGCGCGTCGTCCCTTTCAGACGCTCCCCCCACGGTGGCTGACCTTATTCTCCTGCAGGTGTTGGCCTGAACCTCACGCGGGCGAATAACGTCATTTCGTTGGATCTGGGATGGTCGCAGGCCGTAGAATCCCAGGCCTTCGATCGATGCCACAGGCTCGGCCAGATGAGAACCGTCAGTATCCAGCGCCTGGTCATCGCCGACACCGTCGAAGACAGGGTCCTGACGATGCAGGAACGGAAGGTCCGTATCCGTATACTCTGCCCTCTACGCGTACTATATGTGCAGCCACTGACTGGTGCGTTTTTGTCTATAGCAAACCCTGGCTGATGGAAGTCTTGGAGAGGGCAGCGGCAAGAAGATTGGCAGTACGTGGCGTTGTTCGGCGCGTCGTATTGTGCGGGACTGATTTTCGTTGGTTTTGTTTGTAGAGCTTACTGTCCGTGAACTGGCGAACCTCTTCGGGCTCGATGATCGCGGCCGACGCCTACAAGAAGACTAGACCCCGTCGCTGCCTCAGCCTTTTAGAGGTATTTTCTCATTCCCTGTGTTCCCCCTATCATTGTGTTGTCTCCATCCGTGTTTTCATCATCTCTTCTTTTTTCTGTCATCTCCCCGAATTTTCGACCGCGGCCGTACGTTTTGCATCTCGTCTCCCGTCTCCTGGGTATTTAGTTCCTATCTTATGCGTTCACATATTTTCGTTCACATATCCACCCCTCCCTCCCTGCCTCCCTCTATCCTATCCTATCCATGTCTTGGATAACCGGATAGTGCATACAGTATCTTTATGCCCTACTTAGTCATGTATCGTAGACTTCTCGTCTGTTGGGTTACACTAGATTTCATTTATATATGTATGATATGATATGCCCGATTACACCGATGTGCATGTAGGTGTACTCGTGTTACTGTGTTCGCTTCTTCCCTCCTTCCTTCTCATTCCTTCCGTTCATAGCATATTTAGTCCATACGAAGAAATACAGAGATTTACATTTCCACCGCTTCGACGCTCCGCCCCGCCCGCACCTACACCCAAACCGCCTTGTGCTTCTCGATAAACGCATCGCACGACACGAGCTTCTTCCCAGTAACCGCCGCCGCCGCCGTGTCGAGTTCCTTGTTCGGCGCGTGCGCCTCCAGAAAGGCCATGAACTGCGCGAACCCCGCGGGGATCCCGGACTCCGCGAGCATCGCCGCCCGCTGCTCCTCCGTGAGGCTGACGTGCTCGATCGTCCGCCCGAGGGCTCTGCTGAATTTCTCGGCGAGCTGTGATACATACATACGTACATACATCATTAAACATCGTTAAACAGCGGAGGTGCGGGTAAATGCGAGCGGGTACGGACCTGGTCGTGCGTCACCAGCTCCGGGCCGTGGACTGCGAAGTCGCGGTTGAACGGTTTCTCGGCGGTGAGGCCTTTGATGGCGAGCGCCGCGATGTCCTCCGCGCTCACGAAGGCAATGGTCGCGTCCCCGGCGCACGTGTAGATTTTGTTCTCGTTCTTGAGGGGCAGATAGAACCAGTCCAAGTAGTTCTCTACGCACGCAATGTAAGCCGACACCTCCGAGGCCCTATCACCGACATCGCACTCACCCAGGAACCACGTCGGGCGGAGGACCATGTACTCTGCGCCGACGTCCTCGAAGTGGGACCACACCTCCCCGACGAAGGGGCCGCCCTTCTTCAGCGACTCGCCCGCGCACATCACGAACCGCCGCACGCCCTGCGCCTTCAGCGCGTAGTCGACGAAGGCGTTGATGGCGCGGGACGGGTCCGCGACGGGGCCGGGCACGATGTAGACGGCGGTGATCTTCTCGCCGCTGGGGAACGCGTGCTGGAACGGGAGGGGGTAGGTCGACGCGTCCGTCCAGTCGAACTTGACGGCGTCGGCGCCCGGCGCGGATGCGCTGGCGCCGCGGGTGGATCCCACGACGAAGGGGATCCCAGCAGCCTTGAGCTGGGGTATCACTGCTTTCGACGTCTTGCCGCCTGCGCCTGTTACAAGAATAGCCATGACCGCTGTGAGTGTCGGGGCAGATGCATGTCGCCCGGACAGCGACGGCTGTTTATATAGTTTATCTGGAGGAGGTTATCTCCAGCTTTGACCCTGACGAGTTTCGTGCATAAAGCGGAATTATGAGATGTTGATTTGAATCAGATAAGATAAGCGAGCGATGGCGCGATTTTGACCGTGGTACACTAAGCGATCGACACATCGTCATCTCGTAAAACTCACAATGCCTTGGTGTTACGAGCGCCGAGGACCCCGGAGGGCGGGTCATATATTTTTCAAGGCCAATAATGTCAGGCGTAATTACAAGACAAGGCGCGCCAGCGCTCGGCCATCAAGCTAATGCTAATAACCACTCCGTTCCTAATATTATATGGCGGTCACTAAAGATAGCTGATGATATTGTCAAGTTGGCGCTGCTACGTACAGTCATATATACTCAATTATCTCCAGGGATGCATTCCGACAATTCAATCGCAGGTGGGGCGAGCGCTACTGCGGATGGTGATGACCATGCCGGTGAAGGGCAGACTTTGCCGTTGATGTCACTGGAGGGTATACAATGTTTGCGTTAGTGAGGAGAGGACCAAGGTACCTCCGAAGTCAGATGTCCCTGGCAGCCGCCTGCGAGGGAGTATAAAGCGTGCCTGTAATGGAGGGGAGGTCAAAGGACAAGGAAGCCCACCTCTCTCACTACCAACACACCTCGCAGCCCGTTCTCTGCATCCCCCCTCATAAACCCATACCATGGTCGCTCTCAACCATCTTGTCGCTCTCGCCTCCATGCTCGTCTTGGGCTCCGCATTCTCCTCTGTGTCCGCCTCAGCGATCAACGCCCGAGAAAACGGCCTCGTGAGCCGCGACGACGCTGGGTGCTGCAGCCAGGTGTGCAGTCATGGTCCAGTGAACGGTCCGGCCGGCTCGGGATTCTGTGAGTCAATATCTATCTTGTGGCTATACTTGCTGACGGACGTGAACCGCTAAACATAGGCGTATGCAGGAGTAGCTGCGTGTCAGTAGAAGCGGATTGCGATGACCTGTGCAGGGACTTGGCGAAGTATTGAGGGGCGCCCATTGTCGATGAGGGATTATCTAGTACTGGGACGAGTACTAGCGAATTCATAGCCGTACAACCAGAGGCCTGATGCCAAGTTCAATGCTGTGCAAAGGAATACACAATACACAATTAGGGAGAGATTTTTAATCTTACTACGGAGACGACTCCGCTGTAACATTTATATGCAGACCTTTGCTTTATTGATATGAGGGACACATCCGTATCTTTGGAGCGCGTGTGTAGGTAACATCGATTGTCCGAAGTCGGTGGTGAAATTTGGCGACACCTCTGATGGTACGCGGAGGGAGTTCGGTAATATCGCCAGGTATTCCATTCATCCCACCATGCTGCGCTTCCTGCCCCTGAGTCGCACTGGAGGCGTATACATTGATGTCCACCAACTAGAATTAACGTAAACTCACCATCATCCAAACGTTTTGACACGGAAGCCCAGTGTTTTCCCATCCTAACTTCGTAGGCCTTCAGAACAGAAGAAAACATCGGTTCAGAGTCAGGATGGGTGGAAGCGAACGCCCGTTCTAGCACATAGAGGTCGACGGCTTTATCCTCCACGAGTCCTGAGTGATAGGAAAGCCCGAAATCGATGAGCACCTGCAAACAAACCAGTCAGACTAGATATATTGATATATTGACGGCGGCTGTACCAGTCGAGGTGATTGCGAGGATTCTAGAATCATATTCGATGTCGTTAGGTCGCCGTGAATGATGCCCGCTAGATGCATCTTCGCAATCTCCGTTCCAATCAAGCCCATGAGCGCGTCTATTGGATGGGGAGTCACGAACAGTCAGCGAATAGGCGGGTGATCAGGCATACCAACACCAGTAAACGGTACAGCGTCGGCATCAGAAAGCTCCGTCTCGGCCTCCGCACCACCAGGGAGTAATTTCCTCACACACATCCCCTCTATCCATTCGATCCCCAATATGCCTTCGGTGGCATCCACCATCCGAATCCCAGGCACGTTTACGCCTGCGCTGAAGATGCCGTATCAGCCACTCGGTTGTCACTGATGGATAGCCGCCATAACGCACCGGAGACATTTCAGCAACGCTCTGGCCTCACCTGCTACGCGTGATCGCGTCAAGGAAGCATCTAACGTCGGATGACGGTATCCCTTCCGAAATCGGTGTTTTACAAGGATCGGCACGGTATCAGAATGTATATGTGCTTTGTACACTTTCTGATTTATCGTGGTCAACTTGTGGGCTGTTCACCTTCAGAGAGCGGGACATTTACAGCTTCAGCCCCTTGGGATATCAGCTCTGCGGAGGCGATTAGATTTGATGAAGCAGACGGCATCTAGTCTCTAGATATAGGTCGTTGAGTATGTCAAAGGAGTGAGGAATTTGTACGCGTACCGTTTGACTGTGGCCGTTCTCGTCAACTATTGTAAATTTATACAAGTGAAGCTCTGGAGGTAGAGGTGTAACGGAACTAACTTGGGCGCTTGAGGATGCTGAGTATAATGCGAATGCTCACGATCACAATTCGTGACTGACTTGGTAGAGCGTCACGCCATCATTCATGTCACATCGGATTCAAAGGTACGACCGCAACCACGACAATGCCTGAGCACTGTACGCCATGTATTCCCTCGAATTGGCTATTTTTTATTGAGTATAAATGCAGCACAATACGCGGCCGCAGCCCATGTACCTCTTATCAAATCGCCAAGTCTACGCGTTCCTCGGCCTGTAAGATTGCTGTATTAGCTTTCATAGCGGTGATTCATCTCTGGCGCGGAATGATTCAGGTTGAGCTTCCTCCCGACATCCATCCGCTACCGGATAGCATATCACCATATGTAAGCATTGTTCTCCCCCCTCGACGAGCTAGATTCTAATTATCCGATTCCTTCGTGTGATTGGAGCGTAGTTCGTCTATCCTTTCACTCTAGAACCACACATCCTCACCATGGAATCAGCGCGCCGCAACACCCTCGCGGCACACGCTGCACGCAGAGACGCATACTTACAATCCCGCGAGGAAGAGAAGACGCAGAGAAAGCGAGAAGCACTTCGCCGCATCGCCCCGGGGTTCGAACCGCAGGGTGCCCCTCTGGTTCCGACGAAGCGTGATTCAGCGAATTTAGGACAAGGCCAAGGGTTATGGCCCGCTGGCTCACCGGTGGGAAGTCATGAGGGTGGTGCTGACGCGTCAAGACCGAGGTCGGCGATTGAGGATTTGGTAGATCAGCTCGAGGCACTGGACGCGGCGTCGTCCAGCAGACGGTCATGATGTATCGGTAAATTGTGCGATCCCCTATAGTATCTGGAACTTCTGATGTGCTTCCCGTGCGTAGAAGATGTGCCGCGAGAATGGTAAGAGCGAGACACCCATGCCACCTCCACCTGGGAGTGAGCCCGCTGACTTCCCGCCGCGATGTTCCTGCATACTAGGTGGCAGTGCGTGATGTGAGAGAAACCGATATCTCCCACTTGTTTCCCAGCCTTTCCGGGCCTGATGACGTGAGTGGGGAGTACACTGTTCAGATTCCAGATTCTGGCTTATGACACAGCTAGTTTCGATCATCAGTTCTGATGCATGCGTGTGAGCGCAGCGAGCACTTGAGCAGCAGCATGCACCCACCACCAGGAACTGGCTCGGTTATTTTATCACCGTCGTTTCTCGGCATGTCATTTCACGGTTCAATCAACAATTACCACAGGGAGGTACGACCATCATAAATTGTTTAAGATTCATTATCGTCCCGGACACAGCCTTCCACCGGTTCGTGGTGGTCGGAATGATGGCTGAAGATAACCGGGGATCGCTTCGAGGAACATCATCGGAACGGTCGTTCGTATTTGGCGCCGACTCACCAGTGCGAAAGCCTCTCTCGAAGTCCACCCTCAACGTATATCGGGGAGATATAAACTCCTCTCAGCATCAGATAAGCACGGCGGCAAAGACGAACTCGCGATGCGACCATTTGCTCGAATCTGATATCTGAATAGCTTCCCGAGTGGCGGTCGAACGTATGGTGTCGTTCATTTCCGATGCGACGATGTTGGTTGGAACTCGTCGAAGTTTGCTTCCATTTCTATTTTCATTGCCAGATTATTTGCCGCCGGCCATTGCGCCACGCATCCCCTACGGGTCGCCTACGCCAGGTCGGTTAGTCAACTCTGGTTATAATGATAACCAATTATCGGACGGCGTTAGTCTTCTACCGTCCTTGGGGGTCACCAAGCAAGCAAGCTCCTTGCAGGAAGCCTCAGACATCTAGTCTAGATGACGACGTCCATACATCGACCCCCTTCCGCATATGCGAAGGCTCGCACTCGCACTTACTAGAAGGCATTCGCTCTGCGACCAACGGGGATGAAGCAGACGTCCGAGTGCGTTGCTCATCATATGATCTGGAGCGCGCATCGGGATTGCGAGGTGGTGTGCTGTCACTTGGCCACAATTTTGAGCTGTCCGAAGGCCGTTCTTCAGAATGCTGATTCCAGACCCAGATCGGATCGTTGTTGTTTTTCGTGCACTTTTAGTGCTCGAGGGAGAGTTATTCTAGGATGCCCACCAGATGGAGCATGTTTCGCCTCGTTCCCAACATATCCCCGTCTGTAGATACCAAAAACTCATCCTTTCAATCCCGCATACTTGGCATTGACATTGTCACCGTGGCATATCGTATACGATCTAAACGGAAGTATGTACATTACTCAGAATATCTAGGACGTGCGTGGTCTCCTCGGTCGACACTATCTGTCTGGACATGTCATCAATGCTTGATCACGAACCTCGAATACATGGGAATAGGGGACAGGGGTTGCACTTGCCTATGTTCATCTAGATAGGTAGATCTATCTGACAATCCTAGCCGAGATTGTAAATCGGTCGGTGAGCTGGAATGCTGTTACGATACGTAGCAGTTTGGCCTTTCGGGCCTTTAAGCTCAAGGCCTCAGGGGTGATATGGGAAAAAACATAACATCGCTTCACGCGAGGCTACGACCGGGGCTGGGGCTGCGATCACAGTGGAGACTTTCAATGAAATTTAGAAGCAAAGCATAAAATCACCTCGCATGTTGCGGCAGCGCCATGCGGCTGTAAAGCAGAGGTTCGGGAAAACTATACAACATATAGTTTACCCTGTCGTGTCCATAATTAGAGTATGTAATATACAAGGGATGCGGGGTATTCACTCGCTAGATCCTGTATCTTATCTTTCCAATTGACCAGACTCAATAGGGCCTTTCCGGTTGGTAGGTGTAATAAAGAAGGCCGAAGCCGTAGAAGACCCGATACCACTCGCAAAGACGACCGTTCCTGCATGCCAAGTCAGGATATATGGAATATGCTTCGCGACGCAGAAAGGACAACGGTATGTGCGATCCCCCATTAGACGTCAAGGAACATCCCATCGAGAATCGCGATTTCCTTGCTTCTGAAGCTTCTCTAACAGGATGGCGCATGTGGCAATCACATCCACATATCGCGCGCCAGTCACTCAGTCTTTTAAGCATGTTCCGGGATATGTAACGATGTAGTCTCCACGACATTGTCAGCCAGGCACCTAAATCCGATTCAAAGTCAGTGCGAGACTTTCTGATGTTACGGGGTGTAGAGAACAAGATCAGCGACTATGGCGAGGCGACGAGGTTCCATGCTGAGAAGACAGTGATCTTCATGATTCGCGAGGCAGGGGGCCATCGGAGTGGCTGCATAATGGAGTTGTCAAGGCGCATGACTGTGCTGAGGAAGAAGTGCACCGTTGGCCGTGAGCAAAATGAGCAAAATGTTTGGGAAGGGAGTCGGTCGATACTATCCCCCGATGTTTTGGTGTATTTGGAGTAAGTTCGACTGATCCATCCCAATTTGGTAGTAACCTTCCAGGGTTATTTCCCCGGCGCTGCGCCACCCTTGCAACTCTTCCACTCGCACTCATCATGATGCGTATAAGAACCACGCGTCCTCACTTTCTGCTCAATTTCGTCCGCCGCCATGCATCCTGCGAGATATAGGGCCCGCCTCTTCCTCGACGTCTGCCGCGTCTTCATCCTACCCTCTACGGTCCTCTCATGCATCCTGCGCATCGTCCGGGTCGACCTGGGGCTCTTCGCGTTCCCCATCTACCCCGCTTTCATCGTCGCCTGGGCCATTGTCAAAGGCATAACGACCAACGTTGCTCAAGCCAGGGAAGCCGCGCAATTCGGCGCAAAGCCAATTCCACGCGTGCAGGGAAAGTGGCCGGGGAATATCGACGTGTTGCTAAGGATGATGGCGGCGTTCAAGACAAGCTACGTCTGCGACGTCTACCTCCAGCTGTTTGAGGAATATCAGTCGACGACGCTGAATACGAGAATATTGTGGTGCGATACCGTGAGTACTATGTTCACTTGCTGTTTCATTTCTCTTTGGGGTATCTTCTTCCCCGGGCGCAATCTTTCCATTTCGTGGCTCTCGCGGTGGAATTTGGGCCGGCGGTCGCTGGGGTCGGAGAGATCATCTCCGGAATGGGACGATTTACAGGCGCACTCGAGCGCCGAGGTGCTGGCGCTATAGACCAGGTATGTCGGCGTTGCCTGTATACGTGTCGGAATCAGCTACTCACAGTTTTACCGGCGTGAGATAGCTGACGCTCTGCCCGCGCCCATCGGAACGTATGGACCGCCGCACCAAACGGGTATTGCATGGGAGATTTGGTGGAGGGAACGCGACTTCGATCTGATCACCGTGCGCACGAGCCCCGGGACATGACCATCAGATCACACCACACCCACTCCCTGCACTGCCGCAGAGCCCCGGGCCAGGTTCTCGTGCTCAACCGTCTATTCTTGTGCGCAGCGTATGCCAAAGGACTGGTGTAAGATTGGGATCGATCCCCCGCATTCCCCTGCGAGCCTCATGGTCGCAGAGACTTGCGGCCGTGCGTCTATCCTCTGCGTCGAGCTACCTGGCCGAGTCACAGGCAGACTCCTCATGCTCAACCGACTGTTCTTGCGTATGTCAAAGAATGTGTCGTGTCGTGGTGCAAGTGACAATACATATGATCCTTCGCGCCCCATAGTCGTCTGTTTCGACTGCCGTGCGTCTATCCTCGAACGTCGCTTCATTATCAACGCTGAACGAGTTCCTATAGGATGTTGATCCCATTACCAGATTAACCATGCGCAACAGCTCCGAGGCGTGTCCATCGATCGCACCACATCTGCTGCTCTGCGTCTGCGCTGCGTCAGACCCGTTATCAGCCCTGAACCAGTTCCCATAGGATGTCAGTCTAGGACCAAACGAGTAGTGCCGGCCACAAGACCTCGATCTGATCAGCACGAAACTGTGACCACTAGATCACACCACTTCCGCTATGTGCATCAACGTAGAGGCGCAGACTGAGGTGTCGCGTCTAACTGGATAGTGGGGTATGCCTTGGTGGTATCGTGTCGAATTCGATGGTTTCACATTACCCTGCGAGCCTCGTGGTCTCATGGTCTTGCTGTTGTTCGTCTATCCTTGACGTTAGACCTATGATCGCCGCTAAATGAGTTTCCATAGGATGTCGGTCTCACACCAGATGGGTATTACATGGGAGATTAGTGGAGGGAACAAGACTTCGTTCTGATCATCTCCGCGCACGAGCTTCGGGGCGTGCTGAACAGCTTACAGCTGCCTCTGCCGCCTGCACCGCTGCCGAGCCACAGACCGGCCTCTCGCTTTCAACCGACCGTTTTGAGCGCAGCGTATGCCGGGGGACTTGTTTCGCGTTGGAATCGACGATCTTTGAATCTGAAGCTTGTGTAGTTGTGCTGCTGTGCGTCTATTTGCTATGTCAGTCCGTTTACCAACGCTGATGATGCCGGTCTCGACTACCAGATGTTTCTGAGATTATGGATCCCCGTTTCCTTTTTCTCTTAGGCTATCGTTGATTGGGGCCTTCGACTGACCTGGATTTCGTTGTTAGATAATCACGATGGATCAAGAGCATTCGAAATTCGTGCTCTCGACTGGATTCCAACGATTCTGGCGAGGCACCGCTCAGAAGGAACGAATGTGAGCGCTTTTACATCGCGCTAGCTATGCTATACTGACTTCTGGAATAGGGAGATGTTCCTTGGAGAAGGGATTTTCAATCGAGATGATGATGTGAGCAACTTGTTGTATCATATCATGACCATCGATCCTCATACAAGGCTTTAGGTGTGGAAAATGGTGAGATACGCGTGATATGAGTGGGAGAACCGTTCAAATCCATCATCTAGCACCGTTCTACCGCCCGCCCGTTCTTCGCTAGAGATCGCATTTCCGATTTCGAGATCTTCGAGCGCTGCGCTACCCAGACGCTCGCCATCATCAACAACCTCTCCGCCTCGTCGCAGCCGTGCGAAGTGCAAGATCTGTTCTCCCGTTTCACCCTCGACGCCGCCTCTGAATTCCTCTTCGGGCACAACCTCGGCACGCTCTCAGGCGCGCTCCCGATCGCCGGCAAAACCGCGATGGGGCCGAAAGGGTCGGCAACGCATGACTCGTGGGGCTCGTTCGCGCAGGCGTTCGAGATGGCGCAGCAGATCGTGACTACGCGGGCGCGGCTGGGGTATTTCTGGCCGCTGTTTGAGCTGTTCCGGGATAAGACGAGTCCTCATACGGCGGCGATTCGGAGGTGGCTGGATCCGCTGGTGAGAGAAGCGTTGGAGCAGAAGAAGGCGCGGTCGCCTGACGGAGGGCCGTCGCCGTTGGGGGAGAAGAACTTTATGCAGCATCTGGCTGACAGCACGGAGGATCCTGTGCTGATCAGGGATCAGCTGCTGAGTATGTTGCTGGCGTCGAGGGATACGACGGCCTGTCTTCTGACGTTCGTGGTGTATTTCATGGCGCTGCATCCCGAGGTCGCGCAGAAGCTGAGGGCGGAGGTTTTGGAGCACTGCGGGGTGGATGGCACGCCGACGGTGGATAGGATCAGGAATCTGAAGTATAGTAAGCGTGTTTGTTTGTTGGTTTTGCGTTGTTGATGACGCTGCTCAGTGCGGGCGGTCATCAACGAGACGCTGCGTCTGTTCCCGCCAGTGCCGCTGAATGTGAGGGAGACGCGGGGGGCGGCGTGTGCGCTGCCCCCGCCCGACGCTACGTATGCGAATGACGGGGCGCCGTTGTATATGCCGAGCCGGACGTTGATCATGTACTTTCCCATCCTGACGCAGCGGAGCAAGGCGCTGTGGGGCGCGGATGCCGACGAGTTCGACCCGGAGCGGTGGGTCGACGGCGAGCGACTGGAGCGGTTCCTTGCGAACCCGTCGATGTGGGCGCCGTTCAGTGCGGGGCCGAGGATAGTGCGTGTGCTACCGCGACTTTTATATAGTGATGGTGGGGGCTGACGTGCTGACGGCGGGCAGTGCATCGGCCAGGAGTACGCGTACAACGAGGCGTCGTACATCCTCGTGCGGGTGCTGCAGCAGTTCGACAGGTTCACGCTGGCGCTGGATGCGCAGCCGGCGGGGTCGCTGCCGCCGGGGGAGTGGAAGAGCCGGACGGGCCGCCAGGCGGTGGAGCAGGTGTGGCCGGGGTCGGCGATGACGCTGTATATTAAGGTGGGTTCGCTGCTGCTGCTGCTGCTTGGGTGGATGGTGGATGATGGATTGACGATTTGATATTACTGCGCAGGGTGGGTTGTGGGTGCATTTTGGGAAGAGCGATAGGTGAGGCAGCTGTGGGGGGGCGAGGAAGAGGAGGAGGAGGAGGAGGAGGAGGGCGGGCGAGGTGACATAGCGAGGTATACATAGCGAGGTGATATAGGGCCCGCATGCTGGTGTGTGTGTATGTGTGTGATGGTTCCAGACGATTAGAATAGTGTATTGACGGTACGACGGTACATGTCGTAGGTAGTACTCGTGTAGAGGTGAAGCAACAGGCTGTTTCGGACAAGGTCAGTAAGCGCACGCAATTCGGTGTTCAGCTCCGTAATGCCGTAATGTATGGGCCTTGTACATGTTCCTCTGCCAATCTCTCCCTACGATACTAGTGCTGCTCTGCTTTCCACTGTCCAGCCGAGGTTATTCCCGCTCTCGACTATGTCTGGATGTCTGGCACTGATAGTTCTTATTATTATTATTATTATTATTATTATTGTTATTGTTATTACTGGCGCGCCGTAGTAGGGTCTTGTACGAACGCGTGTAGGAAGAACAACACCACTGGAATATTTATTGGTTGTGGTTGTGGTTGTTCGGTATGGGGTGAAGGAGTACGGAAATCTGGCCAGCGCGACTCGAAAAGACACTTGTCGTCGCCCTGCTTGGTACAGGCCCCGCGACGCCCTCGCCAGAAATACCCTGTTTCGAGTCCAGAGATATCTAGCCAAGCCCAGTGTGCCCACCCAGTCGGAGTCAAAGTCAACGACCTTGAGCTGCAGGTCAAAATTACATTGGCATCCTCCAGCTTACTCGCGTTGTTCAGCTCGATCATGACGTTGTTTGCGCGGAAAACTCGAATACCGTGCGCTATATTTTCAAATTCATAAACGCGTAGGACTCTACAGTATTCGCGGCTCACGGCGGCCTTGATGCGGTCCAGCGCCGGCGGGTATTTTGGGCTCAAAGGATGTCTTTGCGGATAAACGTTATGTAAACCAAATCAAATAGAGAATAGAGAAAAGAAACCTAGCCGTAGTCGAGGTGTTCGGGATTCCGTCACAGATGCATTTGGGGGGCAAGGGGGATCTTGTGGCCGTATAGCTGAGGAGCGTAGCAAACCCTCGAGCCGCGAGACGGGCGTGCACTTGTGGGCCGTAAGCTAGGCCGCATATCCACCCTGTCTTCAAGATTATCGGGGATCCGTCAGTGCCGTCGTCGAGGAACTTTGTGGTTATTTTTATTGTTAAATCGGTCGCGCGAGTCACGGAGTGTTTAGACCATCCGCCGCCAGAGTCCTCGGACAAAGTGCATATTGGTTCGAACATGAGGTATGTTGAAGGGAAGTATTGCCTAAGACGTATTGCTACATGTACATGTGTCGCGGGGAGCGGGCCAAGTTCGGTTTATTTTTGAAGGAACCTAGAAGTAAATGAAGGTTCCCACCGTCGTCAAAGCTTGCATGCCGTCTTGCTTATCGCTCTCTTGCATGCCCGCCCATAGATGGTCGAGTATGTCAGCATTCGCATTAACAAGCAGCCAACAGATTGGCTGACTGCCTGCGCCATTTCCAAAGCGCCCCAAATCATAATGATACGTACGGTAGGAACATAGTACAAACTAATGGTATCCCAAATTAACGGTAACTGAATGTGAAACTTGGGGAGAAAGGATAGGGATCCGCATGCGTAGAAAGAGTGTAGATTGTGTCTATAGCCGCGGAAAGATTCGACTACAAGACAGGTATGCGTGGAGGAAGGAACGTCAAAGGGAACGTAGATAACGTCAGGAATAAAGAAAGGAAGCACCGGATTAACAGGAATGCAAGCGGGACTAGATATCAAAGAAAGGCTTGTCGGCGCCCTGTTGCTGCTGCTGTTGCCGAGCGAACGGATTGTGGCCTCCAGTTTGGGCGGCAACGAGCCTGGCGGCGTCCGACTGACCGTACCTAGACGAAGGTCAATGTTGAACTCACATGCCCCACATTAAGAACAGGTTGAAGCGTACCTCAGTATTCCGGTATTCCCGAAAGTATCCATCCCGTCGTCTTTGTTCGCAAATAAACTGGCGAGTTGAGCGTGCTGCTCGTCGTTCTTCGTTTTGACTATAGGCGGCCTGCCTTGACCTGGCCCCGATACCGGGCTCGAGGAATGCGATATGGATGGCGTGATTGAAGGGCTTGAGGTGAAAGATGGAGCCGAAGAATTAGCGTATGTCCCCTGGAGGTTGAACGATGGCCCCCTTGAGGCAGTGGGGGATGGACCCAGCTGAGCAGGCGAAAACGCTGATGGAGATGGCGCGAAAGGATTGTTGGTTCTAATTAGGTAGAGTAAGTATATAAGCGGATAGGATGTAGACGTTACCCACCCAAATCCAGTCGGCTGTGGCGCGAGAGGTTGTTGAGGTGCGAAGAGGGAGGTGTTCTGCTGTTGAAGCTGGGCCTGTTGGGCCTGCTGCTGCTGCATCTGTAGAAGTTGTTGCTGCCTCAGCCACTCTTCTTGCTGTTGCTGCTGCTGAGCAGCCTGTTGCTGGGCAAGGAACTCTTGTTGCTGACGGAGGTATTCAGCCTAGACGAATCGTGGTGAGTAGCACGCCAGGGGTGGTTACCCATTACCACTTACCTGGAGAGCTTCCTGCTGTGCTTGTTGCTGGTAAGGGTTGAAGGAGGTGAACTGGGGTTGTATTGCTGCAGTGAATTGAGGCTGCATCGAGGTAAACTGAGGCTGGAGCTGGGTGTATTGAGGCTGAAGATTGGCGTAAGGATTGGCGTCATTGAGTGGGAACGGGTTTGTTGTGGTTGGCGGGGGACTATGAGCGCGGTAAGGAAAATCAGTCGCATCAAAAGGGGAACCACACACAGTTGGTTGGTGTCGTCGAATAGCGCGCTTGAATTCGAGTCCTCCACAGCTTTGTGCCTTTTTGCTTCTTCCTCCTCGCTGAGTTTGATGGCCTGCTCAAGATCCCGTTCCTCCGCAGCTTTGGCTTGCTCCACCGCATGAGACCTCTTGCTTTCCTCGATGGCGCGCTTCAATTCATCGTCCTCCTTTGGGGCACCAGCACCAGGCCCGCGGTTATTACGCCGCCTTACTACATTTTCGTCTTCATCGAATGAGCTGGGACCACCTTCCTCGCCGCCGTTCGCCTTGATCATCCGATCCCGCATATGAGCCCGCGACCGTCGTTCTTCCCGTAAACGTGATTCGTCTTGCAGCAGATTGGTGATGTCTTTGGCCTTCTGCCTCACGTTGGCGCCTTGATCCTTACCTTCTTCGTCAATATACTGAAATTCCTTTAATGTTTTGATAACGTAGAGGTTGTCGCGGAAGTAGATCACGACGTTTTCCGACCCCGCGTGCAGACAGTAATCAAGTAGAGTCAACGACTAAGATAAATGATCAGACTTCACCGCTGAGCCAACCGCCGAGGGTGCCCACCTTGAATACATGTCTCCAGTTCTTGCCCTTGTCGTTGAGGCGCTTATCCAGCATCTCCATTATCTCAACGAAGTCCCCCCTGATATTAGCTTTCAGGAGACACGAAACCTTCCAGGACCGGACGAAGCTAGGTTGCAGACACGTACTGATTATACGTTAGCTGCGCAATCTCGTTCATCTGCGTGCCCGATGGCCCCCATGGGTCGTTCGACGTGGCCTCGCGGACTTTGGCCTGCGTATCTGAGTACCCCTTCGTGTAGTTCTTCGTGACTCGCAGCGCGGCCTTGCCCAGGTGCTGCATCGTAGCAGGACGTTTCGAGGTGAAAGTACGGCACGATCTCGGAATGCTGTACAGCAATCACGGGAATTCGCATGGTGATGAATTCTGATCATAACATGTCACAACAACCGTTTAGGCTCTTGCGTCCACACTGGAAAGACGGTAGCTTGCTTACAGTATGCTCAACGCGCCACTAGAACGACGGCTGCTTGGCAGAAGTACAGAGATCTGCCTTCAAAAAATATGAAGACACAACAAGGCCATGCTAAACATTAATCAGCTAGCTTGGAGGCATCATTAATGTCAGGCGTCTCTGGGAGCGGCGAAGAATACGCCGGAATGGTGAGTGCTGGTGCATCGGGAGTGTCGTTAAAAGTCAGGGCCACGAGTCTTGTGCGGCCCGCCAGAAAATAATTTGGAACCACGAAGGGCTGCGTCGCTGTCGTCTTGGACTTGGCCTCTAGCCAATAATATACCAACTGCGGAAAGAAAGACTTTGGCAGCCTCTAGGGCATCCGCAAGTGTTATGTCCCTCCTCTTCTTTGATGGCCTGCCGGACTCGTGGGCCGATGAAGAGGAGGGTGAGTTCTTTCTGCGGCCGGAGGACATGCTCAACGGCTGAGCCAACGCTGAGCGACGGTTCGCACAGATGTCATAATCCCGCCCCTGGCACAGGCGGTCAGTAAATGTCAGATTCCTCCGTGGATTGTGCTAATGCTCCTGCCATGTCTACAATGAAAAGCAGCGTAAATTACAGTATTCCTAAGAATTAGCATGGTGTCCATATCTACGAATAAATACATAGCGTGGATGTGCTGAGATAACGTCCTTGCAATGAAAAGAGTGTACGAATGAACAACGAATGAAAGTGCTACAGTTTCTGTTCCTCCTCCTCTGCCTCCAGCATCATATCTACAGCACGGCGAATTAGGTGCTGCTACTTTCAGAAGACCTAAATGGACTCACCGCCCCACATGGCATTTTGCATAGTTGAGAACACCCCGTCGCTAGCTGGAGAAGAGTCACGTCTAGAGCGGAAGGGAAGATCAACCGACATTCGCTCGCAACATCAAAAAAGCAGACGCACGATTTCAGTGTTACATCCATGGTCGAAAGAAGGCTGATATCACTGATCCGACGACTACTGCGCTGTAAGCCTGCGCCAGGACTAGTATCGAGAGCAAGCGAGAAGTCAAGTCCAGCTGATGAACTGCGATGGTGAGGAGGAGGCGTAGATTGCCAGGGTGTCCCGGAAGGGGAAGGACTATCGTATCCCGCACTGGATATATCTCTTGTCGATGTTGGCGGCGTCTCAGGCAAACCGTCCACAACAATCGAGGGTATCTCTGTAGACAAATCAGTACAAGGAGATATGCAGGATGAGGATTTCGTGCCTTGGTTTTCCATCCTCTTCGCTTGCTGTTGCGCCCGGTATGCCAAGAAACGGCGGCGGGCGGTGATTGAGCGTAGTAATGATCGCACGCGGTCGAGGTTAACAAGATCAGACACGAGCTTGTTGGTCTCTGTGCGGACGACGAGATCCTTGAGACTACGAAGGGTCTCAGCAAAATAACATCGCCAACTAAAGGAACACCTACACAAGGGCGTCGCGATCCACGATCAGCTTATGATGCGCCAAGAGCAGCAGCATCTCCGTGAACGAGATACCTCGGCCTTGATGATGGGAAATCGTGGTCTCGTGGTATAAGCGACAGTAGATAGCTCGACGTCGTCTGATTGCACCGTAGTCGATCGTATTGAGCAGCCCTTCCAACTTATGGAGATCGATCCCGTCACATACACGGGGAGGCCAGACGGTGCCATCCGGGCTCTCGCGACATGCAGCGACGATGTTCCGAATGTTGTATTCCTCAGGATATATCTTGACCTCAAACACACCACGTAGTTTCTAGAGGAGTCTGTTTTTACGACGTTCTGGACGGAGAAGAGAGCGGGGGCAGACGTACGGCGAAGAAAGGAACGAAGCGGTTTCGCTCCAGATAGCCCGTTTTCTCATTTGCGAATTCCGCCCAAACTTTCTTGAAGGCTCGCATTTCCTGACGCGTGACCGACTTGGCGCCCCCTTTAGAGGTTTGGTACACATACGAGAAACTCTCCACAACAACACCTGGCGTTCCTAATCAGCTGACGAAGATAAAAGCAACAGAAGTACGCACCAGTGAACAGGTTGAGGAAGATGTACTGCGAAAGAGGGAAATGACAGTGAGCAAAGGGCGATGCACGGAGTGCGATACTCACCATGCTCAACAGGTTCCAAGCAATGAACAAACTGAATGCCCACCCTTGGCTACCACAATCGTCCTCTTCAGCAGCGATTGTACAGCGAGGATAGACAAGAGAGCTACATAAAATGTAAGTACTTGTCTATGAATCGTCGAAGGCTCGCTCACTAGTCATGCATGTATTGGTTCCAAGCCTCACTATAAGGACAACAATAGTAAGCGCTGGTAAATTCGTGCGGTGACAGGGTTAAACGTACCCAGTGCTCATGAAAGCGAGCATAACGAGAGCGCCCCCCATAGACGAGAAGTTCTGGTTCCGATCCTCCGAAGAATTCCACTTGGTGAGACTGAAGACTTCCAGGAACAGAATGGCGAAGAAGAGGAATAATATGAACCACAATCCCAGCAAACTCAGGATGACCCGCAGACTTGCCCTTTGGCCAATGTGAGTTGATTTATAGGATAAGATAATGTCAGCGACGTACATAGCAGTTTTGAAGAGTTTGTTGAGACTATCACTTCGTTGTACCAATTTGAATGCGATGCTGACGAGGAAGAGCTTGTCGAGCTGTTGAACGGCGAAACTGGCCGTATCGGGCTGGAATCGGACTATGAGAGTAGTAGTAAAACAGCCCCATGCAACGACGATGTCGAAGAGATTCCAGCCGTTCGCACGGAAGCTGCGCCAACCAAGTCCGAAGCAACGAACTACGGTGTCTATGACGTAGATGAAGGTGACCGCAAGGGCGAACATATCTACAAAGGAGTCAGACAGAGAAAGGGGAAAGAGGACGCATTTGACGGGCCTTGGAATGTGTCGACTGCGGGGTTCGGATTGAACGTCTGTGTCCTGCAAATGACTTGTCATTCAAGTCAATTTTTTTGGCAACGGGCTTAAGCTTACATCAAAACCACAATGTGAAGGAAGAAGAGAACTGTCATAGATCTTGACCACCACCCATGCTTCTGAACGGCACGATCGTAGCACCACGCACGAAAAGACCAAGTAGGACGAGTACGAGGTCTCTTTGAGGGTTTCTGCCGCGTCAAAAGTTTCTTGAGATCTATCCATTCTCTTTGGGGTTTGGTCAGAAAGGCAGCGCCGGTCTTGGAGCTGAAGTTGCCGATGATGATACTTTACAAAACAGGTCGAGTCAGTACGGTACTCAAGAGGCGGGAGTCATATAGAAACCATACCTAACGAACAACGTCAGAATGACAACGCCGCCGAGTAGGTTGTAGATCAAGAAGAATATGGCGTTGATCTGTGAGGCGTTCGTCTGCGGCTGTTGGCCCCGACCCGTCACACCCATCGCGGTAACCATGACGTCTATCCATCCTTCCAGAGAGACAACCTCAAACAGGATGAGAAGCGACGAACTAAAGGTATCGAAAGAGAACGTCGTAGAGGGCGAAGGATTGTCCCAGACTCTGGGTACCGGGAATCCAAGAGAGTTATCATCAAGGGCATTATTTGTGAATTCGCCAATGCAGTCGGAAATCCCCGTAGCGTCTCCGTCGTTACACATGTTCATCTGCCCGGCGAATATATTCAGTCCCCACACTGCATATGGGATCATGTAGAGGATAGCGAGGATGGCCGCGTCCATGATACGACTGGCCCCAGACAGGATCAACGACTGAAACGTGTCTCGACTGATCTCGAAGAGCGTTATCAAGCGCAATGCCCGCAGAGCCTTCAGCGACCGAGTGAATCGACTGAGGCCACCGATGAAGATGAGCGTCGTGGTCACGTTGACGAGCAACCCTATCATAATGGTGAAGTCCAAGATGTTCCAGATGCTTCGGATGTATGCGTTGGGAGTGAACAAAAAGCCGTCGGCGATGACTTTGATAACGAACTCCACGAACAAGGTAAACCCGAAAGCAGCCTCGGCGAGGTCAAACCAAGCACCCCGTTTCAAGCCGTTCTCGACATAAAACTGGCGTCGGTAGAGGGGAGTAGCGATGCTTTCAACGACGATTCCACCGATAACGGCGCAAAGAAGCAGGGTCTGGAACACCGGATACGCAACAGCGGAAGGAGGCGATCCAAAGATTCGTTTCCCACCAGCGGGCTGAACTAGTTTCTGGCAGCCGCGACGGAGTAGGTTCTTCTGCGAGAAGATCCAGAAAGGTTTGTCAAATGATGGATGGTCACGTATGAAGTCCGCCTTCTGCATCAGAACTTCTTCCTTAGCATCATGAAGCTGCTCAGCGGTTGTCTCTTGATTTACAGCGGCAAGGAGCTCCCTTGGTTGGACGTGAATACGGAACAATGAATATATATGAGAAGCTTACAGGTGTCGTTCGATTTCGTCATCTTGTGGGTCGACGCTGGCGAGGGTTCCAGCACGGTCATGCCGAAATGTAGTGAGGGGGACATCGTTAGACCTCACGTCGCCAGCGAATAGTCGCTGAAGGGCTGAGAGGGACTTCGAAGTGTAGTGGCGGGCTCCGTGTAGGGATCCCTTCGTAGACCGTGTCTAGAGTGATGCAATATCAATATACCAAATCATCACCTTCGTGGAGTAAGTTTACCAAATTAGAGCCTTCTGTTTTCGGTAAGCTGTAGTCTTGTACCAACGCCTTCTGCATAGGCAGAACGAGATTCGACGGCAAGTTCTCTACTTTCACCTTCACGGGGTTAGCCTTGAAGAGGCGATATGGATTGAACTTGTGGATCCAAGCCACACCGGCATCCTGAGTAGAGTGATGGTTCGCCCAGTAATTAGACGCTTGCTTCCCCCTCTTGGCTTCCTCGGCAACGTCGAAATTCTCGTTGATCACGGCAATGAACATTTGCAGCATGATGACTGGGTACAACGTTATTCGAATCAGATGGCGCAGGTGAAAGAGGAGATTTTGGCACGTATACTCACAATTCGAGAACAACAGCCAACCCGCAAAGAATATGGCGACGATGACAGTCTGTCCCAGCCCACCTTCAACACTCGTTGCTCCGTATAGGATACTCTGCCAATCCTCCGACGAGAATACTTGGTACACACCAAGGAACGCATTGTAGATCTCTCCGAAATTGATAGCTTCGTCTGCACTGTAATCTCCTCGCAGCAATTGGACGGCAACGAGCGCCGCCAGATAGTTGACCATGAGCAGAAAGAGAGTCATGTTTCCGAGACCGTACATGTTGCCGAAAACGGCCAGCTACACAGTCCGGCAAATGATCAGTTTACATCAGAAGGTAGGAGAGTCAATAGAAGACACACAAGCAGCGGCTTCATCCGCGGAAAAATCAAGATGACTCGATAAAACCTGGCGAGTTGAAATATCGTAAACCAGGGGTAGACATCAGAGTCGTGGATCACCGGGATTTGTATGATACTTGACGCGATGGCCAGCGTCAGATCCAACAAGTTGCGTCCGTTTGTGAAGAACCTCCTCCAATCTGGCAGGCTGGCCAGCAGTCTCAGCACGATTTCGACATCGAATGCGATGGTGATGACCAGTTCGGCGTAATCAATGATCATAGTATGAGTCGCCGAGACGTCGACTGTGCGAGTGCCTTGGATAACGAGCGAGACTAGGGCGAGGAGGGTCCAGGTGTGTTGAATGTAATCGTAGATAACCTTGGCGGGGTTCTTCTTTGGCGGTCGTCGTCCACCGTTGTCCGACCATCCTTCATCTTCAACCACTCTGGTTAATCTTGGCATAAACACAGTTTGAGCGCATGAGGACAAAAGTTGGAGAAAGAAACATACGGAGCGGCACCAAAAGCGCTCTTGCTTGTCTCCTTCCTTATGGCTGAGAAGGTATTCGTGATCACGGCGACAAACAAATTGATCAGCCAGAAGTTGAGGACGATGATGCAGACGATGAAGAAAAAGCACGAGATGAAGAACTCGGAATCAGCCATGGCGTACATCAAGGGCGACCACTACATGAAGAATTAGCAGGCAGACTCAACGATACGAAAGACGCAAACCATACCCCATTGGCCGAAGCTACGATGAGAACTTGCAAAGCGGCCATGTATATCGTGTCGAAGCCTTGCACGCCACTCTCCGGGTTTTGATCCTCCTATTAAACAAATGTTATTCGCCAGGTACTCGCTTGGGAGATTCAGAGTTTGGCCTCACCTTACATACTTGCCCCAAGGGACATGTATAACCTTTAGGCGCGGGGGCGTTCTCCCCATTCAGCAGGAGATATGGCACTCTCTCCAATGTGGTTGGATCAATGAAAGCCCCACAGAACCGACCCTCCAGCTGAATCTCCTCCGCAATGATTACACCCAGGGTGCTTGGAGTATCAGTAGCCTGAACGAAACAAGTACGCCGCAAAGAACCTTTGAAGGACTGTATCCCTATAATCCTGTGGATAAACATTAGCAAACTTTCGCTGTGATGCAGGGAATGGATCCATACGAAAATAAAACCATCGCGAAGAGAACAAAGTACGCGACACTCGCTAGAAGAGGTCTGGCGGTTTTCAACGAGTGCATAATGGTCTGAATGTCTCAACTCAATCAACATGATCAATGTCAGGGAAAGGAGGACGAACCGTAGTACCCGAAGTAATCGTCAACAACCTCGCTGTCCTGATAACGCTCATAGCCCTGAAGACCTCAATGTGGTTCCCGGCCCCTCTTTCAGCCCCTCCCGTTGCCAACCAAAAGCTTATCCAAAAGCTGACTATGGCCACCGCATCAATCCTACTCCAACTATGTCTCAAATACGGGATGTTGCGGTCCGTCTTGCCTCTTGCGTGCTGGATGCTCAGCTTGAAAGGGAGCGATAGAGTCTCGGGTCGTGGACGATCTGATCTAAGCACGTTGCCCAGAAAGCCAGTGTCGCGCATGTTCTTTTGCGCACCGTCGGCGGTAGACAACATTTTTTCTGCGACTGGCGGAAGGGGATACGCTGGGGGAGGATAGGTCGATGTCGATGTTAAGTCGATGTCGGAGGGTACAGACTGCGATTGGAGTGTCTGATGAGAGTATAGCGAGAACGGGCGTTTCAAATTATCGTTGAATCGACGAAGACGCTGCGTAAGCGTCAACCCACGAGAAAGAGGTCCGGGGGCGGATAGGTTGGTCATACTGGCGCTCGAGGCTGAAGGAGGGAGAGAAGGTGGGTGTGATGAAATGGGCGGCGGGGTATTCGTTGAAAAAGGAGACGTGAGGAGCGACGATACAGGGATTTCGGGATCGAACAGAAGACCAGATACACATATTCGCGCAAAAGCCTCCAGGGTATACAAAGCAAAGAGGACGAAAAGCGCGTAATCCTCCCAGCTCTTGAAGTAGCCCTTCACTGGCTGGGGAGGCGCGTCGGGGTCGTCGAGGGTCAGAGAATCAGCGGCTTGGATTGTTAGTACAACAGCATTGATGATGATTAGCAGAAGAATCGTGGGCTCGGTCCATCTGATGCCGCAAGTCAGTCAACCGTAGCGCAATACACTGTGCGGCACTCACGGATACACCAGAAGTCGGTAGAATGCCCGCCTCAGCGGGTTATCCGGCCCCATGACGCCGAGCGTGCGCCCTCGCAACGGGAGCGTCGACAGCCCCTCATCGCTCTCCTCCTCGATCTCCCGCGCGTCCGTCTCCCCACCATCCTTTTCATCCTCGTCAGTAAGCCTGATCCGCGCATGGTCTCCCAATCCCGCACCACCGAAATTCACGACCCTCAAGCTAACCCGCCTCATGCTCTTCTTCATCGCCTGCAACGCCGAGCCCGCACCTTTTAGCGGCGACGGCGATGGAGTGTACCGCGTCGATAGTCTATGTTGCCTCCGGGAGCTGGCGCTGAGCTCGGGATCGACCAGACCGCCTGTACTGCCTACACTGCCTCTCCTATCATGATTGTCCATGTCGAGTGTAATGAGCGATGCAGTGGAGGGGGCGGCTTGGGAGGTCGTATATGCATGATTGCTGCTGTCGTCGTGGCTCATGTCGCGCGGCCGCCTTGCAAAAAACTCTAACGCTTCATCCGTGGGCGAGTCTGAGAACGGGTCGTCGTCGGTGAACGAGGGTCGCGTTAATGGAGGAGGGTGCGAGGTATCCAGCTGTAACGGGTCCTGCCCAAGTGCCAAGTTGCTGCCCACTTCTGCTCGTCCCCAGCTCGTGCGCCGTCGAGAAAAGGAAGAGCTTGCAAGGTCTTGAGAATCCGAAGGTGTGAGGGAAGGTGAAGGCGGTACAGAGGTCCTCAATCCAGTGGGTGTACCAGTCAGGTCTACTGCTGAAGATGAAGAAGAACTTCTGCTCGGGTACATTCAGCACGTCGTTCAGAACGACGCTAGCGACGGCGGCTGAAATGGTGTAAATGAATGAAACGCCGGGCGCGCCGGCTTAGCAATCGTCGGTATCATGTGATCCCGCCTGCGGATCAGCGCTGGTGGGTGGCTGTGCATTAGCGCTGGTTCCCATATCTGGTCAAAGCCGTAATCACCAAGAATCACTATCATCTACGCCGTCAGTCATGGATCTTGTGAAAATCACACAGATACTGCAGATATGGTATTCATTGCGACTTCAACAAACCTCATGACTGCACATGAGTCACCGCAGCGAGGGTTAGGAAACGTATGCTGCACAGTGGCCAGAACGAGTGGCGCGTCAATATATGACGCTATCTCAAGCAGTGTCTACTCGCGCCAGTTCCATAGCTAGTGATAGGAAGAAGAGAATAGCCAGTGCCATATCGCCACCATGGGGACAGATGGGATTATTCAGAATAACCTGTCGACCATGAGGCACAGGCTACGCCGAAAGTGCTGATAGCAACATTTCAAACGGCGGTCATCAACCTATGTTTGAGACTGAAGCGTCGGCAGAAGATGTCAACCGGATGTTGGATGCTTTGGATGCGCGTAGCGCAGGGGAGCGTCACGGTTGTTGCTGCGGGAACTGCAAGAATTTGGAGAACGCCCAGGGGCCATCATCAACTCAATAACAATGACGAAGATGGTTTTCATATGCGGCAATGTGGCTTCGACATCGTGTTGAATGGGGTAGAAATGAGCGAGTTCAATAGTCTCGCGCACTGGCATTCCCCGTAGTTGGAGTACAGAAGGAGACGAGAATAGCATGTCCTCGAGAGCCAGGTGCGGCAAGTGAGGAATGGTGATCCAATGGGGAGCGCCGCCGGTAGCCCGTCGGTACCGTCAAGGTGCTGAGCATGCGGGTATGGCATCGCTCAGGTGAGCAGCTGTGAGTGCACAGTTTGCGGTCAGGTTAAACGTGTCGTAACGTGGAGGCACCGTAGGATCATTGTGGGGGGCTGTAAGTTCGGTGGTAGTGTCTTCCAGACGCCTTCTCCGCGCACGTCGAACATCTCGATCTCAAAGACAGATTGCCAGCGCGCTACAGTCCGTTCATCGTCGAAGCTTCCACCATAGGCAGTGTTTGAGGGCGGTCTTGGGGCGGGCAAACATTAGAAGGAAAGCGACAAGGTCGCTTATCGATCATCATTGCAAGGGTTTTATATGCGAACTGTGAGCCGGTGGCTGTTTTGAGATCACCACAAGCCTCGGGCGCGGAAAGACTACGCTTGCCCTTAGAATATAGCACGAGCGATCCGTTCGAAATATGGGCGACCTAACACCTACCCAAAATCAGCGTACAAATCAACCCTTATACGACAAAAGCGAAAGATAGCGCAGCCTAATCCATCATTCCTCCCATCGTGTCTAAGCTACAGCTTAAATAACAAACTGGCTGCGCGCTGGCCTGGGTTACTTGATGGCCGTCGCCGGCCTAAGTCCAAAGGGGAGGACGTGCCTCCAAATGAGTCTGCGTCCACATCCCGTGAGCATACACACGAAAGCGAGCAGCAAACGCAAACGCACCCGGGCCTCGCAAAATCCCGCCTCTGCACTGGCCCGTGCTCCAATCCCGCGATGTGCATTAGGCAGTATTGAGCGAACGTCGGGGAGCGGCGCAGAGAGGATGGCAAGCTTCCCGTAGAACAGGCGCCCCCGAGTGGGTATATCGCGCTGACTGCCAGGTTTAACATCAGCGAAGGAAGGAGCGAAAGTGATGCTGGACATACTTGCAAAGCAATCCGGGCAATAGCTACACCATACGATGGAGCACCTGAGCGACCAAACAGCTAAAAGCGACGTTAGCGGCGGGACTGAGGGCGGGGGAAGGACCTTCAGTTCGATAAGGAAGAGGAAGATGAGATCACTCAGTTATAAACAAGCGCCCGAGCACGTGGTACGGCCTCGATCACAAGGTTGCTTCGGCGACGGTCACCCCGACGAGGGCATTGCTTTCGCGTTACAAAGGAATCCCTAAACACAGCGACTACGACGGGTCGAACACGTCCACGAGAATCCTCATAATTATACCACATGATTAAACGTAAAGAACGATAGGCAAGACTATAGCATAGCGAACGGATGTCAAAGAGGGTGAAAGTCACGTATCGAATGTCCATGTACTGTCCGATGACTGTCTATGTGGGAAAGAAGAAGCAGAGGCACCCTCGTACTCATCGCCAGCGAGGAGTGCCCCGAAGGAGGCTGAAACCGGACAGGAAAATGACCAAGAACGTCGTCAGGATACCGACGAATGCCGGATGGGCCACATATTGTGAAAGTGCACCCGAGCACGCAGCGCATGACCATCCTATCGTCGGCGACTCAGAATAAAGGAATGTGTACAATCGAAGCGAATACTCACCGCTACTGATGGGTGTGTATGCCTGCGGTGTGTACAGTGCGAACTTGAGCGCCGTGTTGGGCTGCATGTAGCCCCCGATTCTGGGGGGATTGGGTCCGCGGTCGTCCCATATGTGCAGCGTGTAGCTGGCCTGGGCCAACGGCGTATTTGTGCCGGCCTGCTGCCACGCCCACGGATCCCACACCACCTGCGTCGCCGTCCCGTCTATCACGCCATCCGTCGGGCCCACAGGGTACGTGTTCCCGTTATCGCAGACGGCGCTGACGGTGAGATGCGTAGGAGTGATGTAGAGCGACGTAAAGTTCCATCCGAAGGTGATTAGTTGCCCTTGAGCGACTTTGAAAAACGAAGTGGCGGTTTGGGGTGGTTGTGTGATGGTGACGCCCCCTACGGCTGCTGTCGCTGGAATGGATATCGTAGAGGTGTTCTGCGCCGGTGAGGCAGAGCTGGCTTGGTCGTTGTTGGGCGCAGGCGTCGTCTGCGGAGCTTGCGACATGGCGGCGAAAGGAAAAGAAGCAAACTTTGCTAAGTCTGTCACATCACTAAGGAGAATATCAGGATAACTCACTTAGCAACGGTAAGTTATTATCCCATTATTTTCACGATTTGATGAGTAATCCACCCCTATACTCCAAACGCCTGCCCTAACCTAGAAAGCACATATATAAACTCTGCGACGCTATCTCCTTCTCTTTGTTGAGCGGAGGATTCTTTCCTGGTAGGTTCCCCGAGTCCTTAGCATAGCAGTACTTACTCAAATTGATTTTTAGCTGTACGACCGCTCAGGCGACTCTATCGTGTGGCCTCGCCGTTGATTGCATTGCATGTATGTAACCGTCACTATCTTCTTGACCTTTGCTGAACTATGCATACAGTCCATGCGGCGGGACTGTTCAGGAGTCGCTTGTTCTATGTACGGGAAGCTTGCCATCCTCGTGCCATTGTCAGTTGGCGTCTGGGCTGCTAAATACTGTGGGATTGGACAACAGGGACAATGTGGCGATGGGATGATGCGAGGCCCGGGTATATCTTTTTACTTGCTCAATTCTATGCAGATTTTGACTCGCGTGCGCCCAGGTCGGAGACGGCCATTTTCACAAATTAATTACCCAGACCATCGCACGATCATTTCGTCCTGATAATAATAATACGGAATGTGCTATGCCATTTTTTTTGGAAATTGGGCTGCCAACGCGCCAGCATCGCACACCTCGTTTGTAGGTTCATTTAATAAACTACGACCAAACTTCTCAGCAGAACAGGCGCAAATAGCTACTGTCTGATCGAGATACTAAATCAGCAGTGTCATATATTCGCCCACGGTTTGTTCGACTTTTGTGCTATACGTCGAACTGATGCTCGTACGGGAGGCTAACGAGATAAATACATGGCAATGCGCTTCGAAACGCCTAACTATTGTATTCGCTATTTAACCGAATGTTCCCCATTCTAAACAGGAATTCTCATCCTCGCCTTTCTCTCATCCTCCAATCATCTCTCAACTATTTTCGATCATCCCTCCTACCTTGATTCACATATTTGCTTGCATGGCAATCCTACCGACGTGTCTTTGAGGCATGGCAATTCTGGGATTATATCCTGGGAGGTAAGTCGTTGCTACTGAAGTCTAGTTAGCGCGGGTTCACAATCTGTGTACTGATTTCCCCTACTACCCGCCATTTTTACTCATCGAGTGTTCCCAGTATTGCTGGATGAGCCGTAAGTTCCCCTCCATGCTCTCTTGTACCAACGAGGCCCAAGGGAAAGTGTAGTCGTCGTTCCACGCCCGAGATCTAAAACAGTCTGAAAACGGCTACCGGCTCACAGTTTATAGGTAAACGTGACCAAATGAGAATACTACTCTTTAAGATACCGTGGAGTATCAACGTCTACGGGCGACGCTTCGACGACGAGCGGACTATAGCGCGTTGGCAATCTGCCCCCGAGTGTATCGGAGAGTAGCGCAGATCAACATATTCGGCGTGCGCGAGGAAGATGCCTGAAGATATTATCATCGAACTTACACATTCTGGCAGCAAAGCTCCAGCAGCACTCATCGTTACTCCCGCTCAACCTGCGCACTTTACATCTGAAGGCATCGCAGGGCTACCGGCCGTGATTCAGATGGACTTCCCCTCCCTCCCTCACCTCACCTTGAAGCCGGGCGAAATTCTACCCTGACCCAAACGACGACGCGGCGACCGCGCCTCGATAACACGACGATTCCCGCGTTCGAATGTGTTGCCACACAATTAATGGAGACGGGTCTGCTACCAACGCTCACGATCAGCGCGGCAGCCTCTTGGACGCCCTGGAAGTCAGTCTCGTCAACTCACGGATTACCGACTATCTGGCAGCAGCAGTGTTTCGGGAAGCCGAAGAGACGCTATGTATCTCCAACCAGCATGGGCAGCGACGGCCGTTCTGGTCTATTCTCAAAGGGTCGCCTACTTCCTCTCGACGTAGAAGGCGGTCCGCAGCCTAGCGTTTTAGTGCCTCGCAATGGGATGGCTGGTCGACCCTCCTGCAACTACCCCCAAGAATCGAGGGGCTTGTCATCCATCAACTCGAGCAGTGGCGATTCACTGCATTTCTTGACGGCTGGATTTCACGGTTTCTGCCAAAGTTTAAGAGTCTTCAGCTGTATGTAGTTGAGACCTGGTTGCAGCCAGGGATTGCGGAAGGGGTGTACAGGAAGATGAAAGACCTGACAGATTCAGTCGACTGGGGGTGACTGCTAATGATAAACCGATGTTCTAATTGGTCTATGGTTACCTATGAATTCCACGTCATTCCGTAGCCGTAGCCGCCACATCGCATGTTCTGAGCCAGGAATTGTAAAGCATTTTGTGTCACGAAGCAAATGCTTAAGCTACGACGTAGACTCGATGACTGACTCGATATGCGTGCCCAAGCTACGGCGCGGCTATGCCCTATACTTATACGTAGCCTCCGCATTTTACACTCGTGGCACCGCCTGGCACCCTGGCACGAACCTATCTTCACCGATGACGCTACTCGAAGGTTCAAAGTAGGTTCGCTAGAATTTAGTAATGATCAACTCATAGGTGTCAAGTCCCTTAGAGCGCATGTAGCGAGCGGACGATAATATGTCCTGTCGAAACGTGATTCCAATCGGTGGCCCGCCAAATTTGTTTCTAGATTCTGCAAAAGTACAATTCGGTGCTACGCATCCATCAGGAATCCCAGATCGCCCCGAAGGCTGGTATACCTCGACTCATCATCCCGTACACGACCTTCTTTGTGAGTTTCTGGTTTGAGATGATACAGACTGCCTCCGCGTCGAATTCCCGAACAAGGCGGTACGTCAGCTTCACCATATCTGGTTTACCATGCTTGCGAGTATCTATCATGTGGGTAAGTGAATATTCCTAATGGATGACAACAGAAAACCGTACCGTATATCACTGCATCGGGCGACGCACTGAGAATCGAGTCGACGAGTTTATCGCCGAACGTCTTGCGGACATCTGGAGAGGTCCAAAGTAGCTTGATGGGCAAACGCTGCTCGAGAATACACGGCGTGCAAGGACCGATGCCGCTGCCAGTCGCCACAAGGACAATGCGCCGGAAGATGGGAACAATACGCAAAACACCACACGTAGGTATTCCGCGAACCCACAATTCTTTCGGCGGATCTGCGATTTGTTTGGACGTCCAATCGCCGGCACGAGAGACAACGAGGGAATACCCCTTCTTTCCTGGCTCGGGGATAGTGGCGAAGCCATGCCATTCGAACAGGGGGCTTTCCGAGATACGGGTGAATGATCCAGAGACGGGCGTAACTATGGTGGGTAAGTCAGCATGCGAAATGTAGGTGAGGAAGACGCGTCTCACCGTAGTCGAAGTAGAGCCGTATGGCATGTGTAGAGAGAACCTCCGTCCGCACGGGGACCTTCCGCAAGCGAAGCCATGGAAGAATGATGGAGCACGTCATGATAACGACCAGCCAAAATGGTGCTGATTTGACGAGAGCCGAACCGAGGGCAAGCCCAGGTTCTTTGTAGTCATTGGTTAGGAGGACAACCTGCCATAAGATTAGCCAGCGAATAACCAATGCGAAAGGTAGACGTACCTGAACCCACACCAGCGCCGTACATGACCATCCAAAGAAGCGATGCGTGCGCTCGAAGTTGTCGTGCTTCGACGTACGCAAAGCTGGGTATGCAAAAAATATAATGAGGAGAAGTAGGAGGAGAATAGAATAAGTTATCGTGACGGTGGGGATTGAAATCTAGCCAATAGTTGGTCAGTAGTCTGTCGAGTGATGGCCGCAGGGTGACTTACTGGCCCCCCCTGAACCAGCTCCCTCGTTGCTTGAACGGTAAACGCCACAAGCCACATAGTCCCTGAGATCGCGCAACCAGAATGCAAACCGCCAATGCTATACACCCTGGCGCACACTCGACGAATCGCCATTGGCCAGCTATGGAATCTATTGAGTAACGTACACATAACAAATCAAACGGACTTACGATGGAGGAACAGAACAAAAGAGGGTGAAGAACGCATTGATAACATAGTCTTGCCGCATAAGGATTGCGCAGAAGAGGTTTGCTATGACGATCTGCCCCAATTGCAGAGAGTTCGGTTCCCCCTGAGCGAAGGTAGCGATGAGAACTGCTATGTTCGTCACAAAGACCACACCAAAAAGTCGACGATACAATGAAAATATTTGGTGTCGTATGTTCCGAACGAATTTCCCTTGAGTTTTGTTGGGGACGTCATCGTCTTGGTAGCCAGCCCAGGAGACTTCGTAGCCTTTCTCGATGCTCGAGGATGACAGGGCAGAGACAGACACTTCCAGCCCAGGAGCATCCTTCTTCTCTTTCTCCGAAATCTCGCGTTCTTCATAGACAGGAGGTGGCGAAAGCGTGGAGGAAGAGTCCTTGCTGAGAAGTTCTCTGTCGATTGTTGGCGAACTTTCAGAAGCTCCCGTCGTAGCAACGCTCTTCGGGGCGTCGCTATGCGTCGCTACCTCGATTTCTTCCTCAACCTTCCGGCGGAGGGCTCGCTTGTCCACTTTTCCATTGCTTTGATATTATAATTTCAGAATACAGGTCTACTGTGGGGCAGAGTGACTCACGTCGTGTTCGGGAATTCTTCCATATGAATGAATCGACTTGGGACGGCGTAATATGGTTGAATCTTCGCCACTGCCGCCTGTACGTCCTTCGGTTCGACTGTAGAGGGCGTGAAGAACCCCCAAAGAACATCATCAATAAGGAGGGCGACGGCAGCCTTCACCCCGGAACAGGTCTGTTATCACTGAGTTAGGAACGCTGGGTCTTACGAGATAGGAACCGCCACTCACCTCCATTGCAGCACCGACACCATCAAGCTCTACACGGAATCCCTACGATTGGACATGAATTCCCCTCAAGAACATAGAAATACTATGGCGAACCTTGATCTTAACCTGATCATCTATGCGGCCGAGATGTTCCAACGTGCCATCTGGACGCCAGCGTCTGCAGGGGACGACATTTAAGCTCAAAACGATTCGAGTCTGAAGCCTCATGCTTACCCAAGGTCACCAGTATTAAACATCAAGGACCTAATTATTTAGTCAATAAGACTATTTTTTTCCGCGGATGAGGCATGTGCCTAACGTACCCATCGTTGACGAAAGGATCTAGTTTGTACCTCTCCTCCGTTTTGTCGGGTAAGTTGAGGTAGCCCCTCGTGATGCCTGCACCACCAGCCCACATGATCCCAGGCTGTCCAATAGCAACGGGAGCGAGATCTTCTGCATCACGATGTAGTACGTATACGTTGTTGTTTGGAGTAGGCTTTCCGATGCTCAGCGACTCTCCCGATACGTGATGATGAGGCACCATAGTATTGACGATTGTGATCTACAAAACGATCAGACAGGGTAAAAGTCCATACGGAAGATCATAGCTTACCTCCGTAGGTCCGCAGCTGTTATAGAAATGGGTGCCATTGCTAGCCCACTTGTCCGCAAGATCTAGGGTTTGTGGAGTGAGTATGGCTCACAGCGACGATGAACCTGATGACGTACTCTGAGGGCATACTTCTCCAGCAACGGCAACGACTTTGATGTTCGGATAATCAACAGGATCATGTGGAAAGAGCATGGAAGGTGTGGCAATCACCACGTCCACCATCTTCATCACCGCGCGCCAGTCCTTCGAGGATTTGCCCCGCAAGAACAACGTGCACCCGTTAGCGAGGCTGCCAAGAATTTCCTAGATCCCATACGTCAATAAACAGCAAATGACGAAAGTGACATCCGGTCCTACCCAAGCCGCCATGTCAAACGCTACATTCATGAGCTGGGAGACCCCGCGACCTGCGCGCATCTCGATGTTACCAGGAGCAAGACACACGACTTCGATGATCGCATGAGTGTCGGCGAACAAACGAAGCAACGATCACAACTTACGGTTTGTGACGTTTCGGTGCATCACATCTACGCCTTTGGGAACGCCTGTAGTGCCTATTGGAGCACAAGGCTTAAGCATTGAGTGTCTTCTAATTCACGAGGGGACCGAGCTCACCGCTGGTATAGACAATGTAGGCGCTGTCGTCAGGATTAGATAAATCAACTGGTTTGCCGCATTCGTCATCCGTAATGGTAGCGAGAACATCATCTAAGCAGATGGATGTCGCGTTCGCTGAAATGACCCGGGATGCAAATTTGCGCAGTGAAAGCACACAGTTTGCCTCCGAGTCTTGAATAATGTGGCTGAGGGTTGAATCGGCAACGATGTTTCCGTCCAAAGGAATATAGCTAGCGCCGCTCTTGAGAATCGCAACTATGCCTATAATCATGAAGATCGACCTCTCGATGAGGAGGCAAACACGTTTTCCGGGCACGACGCCATGGATATTGCGGAGATGTCGAGCAAGAAAATTGGCTTGTCGATCAAGCTCTGAGTAGGTAATTGACTTCAGATCGCTGGGCGCGAACGGGTCCACAACGGCGAGAGATTGGGGATGAGATTCGACATGAGACTCGAAGGCGTGATGTATGCAGGAGAACGGAGACTGCTGTATCGGCCCAAACGAATGCTTGCTGAAGAAGAGCTGGTCCGAAATGGTTAGAGTGGAAAGAAGGCTTCCAGATACCGCTCGGCCGTTAGATAGAGATCCTGGCATCTTCCAAGCCCGCCTTGGTTAATGGAAAACTGGGGAAGGAAGGAAGTAGGAGCCAAGGTGGCTAGTGGAGGAGAGAGGTCTTTAATAGCAATGCTTCCGTGTGGTGTCGCCGAGCATCCATCTGGAAGCTGGAGGCATGGGTTCTCAATTATGGAAGATCTCGACGAACAGTCACATATGAATCTCCAGATGCGTATACCGTTTGAGAGGTCTAGGTTGATCTGCTAAGACAATACCCTTGAGGTTCTGGAGAACTGAGGAGGTGATCACCGGTGCATACCAACTATACCGCGAGGTAGCATACTCAGCTCCGTTGGTGACGATTGGGAGCTAATAGCAGTGATTAGATCTTGAGCCTGATAATCTTATCGGATAACTCGAAATATGTACATGCCTTTGTCGACGATCTTCCATGTGTGTGCAGGTAATCATGCTATGCTTTTCTCTTTCGCCTTGTGCTTGCTGCCCGATGTCCGGAAGTACCTTGTCGGTCAAATCGCTTTCCAGTATCGAGGCAGCATGCTGCTGGGATGGTGCCACTCGAAGAGCATTGATGCAATTTCCATGTCGCGTGGAGTTTATACTCTCTACAAGCTGCGGTATTAAACATCAGTGTGAGTCGAATAACAATTATTATCAAGAAGCTGACATTATTAGACTCGTCTCAGCGTGTTGACCGTAGCTGAAATCGTCTGAATGCCGTGGAATCACCGCCGGTGTACTGCATGTGAAACAACATCCATAGAATATTATCCACTCCAAGGAACACGATATAGTTGCTGGTACGGTTCGGCATAGGCTGAACCACCACGTACGATCTGATGGTGCGCCAAGCTTCTGGTAAGAACCTTCTCTTTGAATGCGTACCTGCTGATGGTGAGATACAGCATGGTTGCCTACAGAAGTAGGAGGCGGGAGGTACGTTGCAGCTGACGGGTACAGGGAAAGCCACGTTCTGTTCAATTGACTATATTGACCGTGGGAACCAAACTTTCCGGCTTGGCAACTTCGCGCGACGTCGACGCCCTTGGCACTATTGCCCGGCTTTCGAACTGGTCGATAATGTGGTAAATTTGCATTGAAGACGCCGCTTCAAACGTGATCAGAATTGGTGATAAGTTACAAGCGGTATGTTTACAATTTCCAGCCCCCCTTCCATACTTCCAGAAGATTGTCGGGGTCGTATTTACTCTTGATTTCCCTCATCTTCTTCAGGTTCTCTGCGCCGTAGCTCTCCAGGACGTTTTGCGTATCCAATGCATAGTTCAAGTAGATGTACTTGTTCAGCAGTCCACGTTCGCGAGCCAACTCCGTCGCTGCTTTGATGTACTCTTGGGCTTTGGCCTTCATGACGGCACTATCTTGAGGATCGTTCCAGAAGACGCAGCCAAGTAGAACTAGGCAACGAATGTCAATATCTCGCGGAATTCATACAGTTGTAACCCATACGGAGTTGATCGCCATCCTCGACCGAGAGGCCTAACGGGTTTCCCCCTCGCTTGTGTCCAGCGGCAATCATGCCTTCGTTGATGGGCTGAACGGTGATCGCCCATGCGGCACCGGGACGATCGTGGTACGGCTCAAAAATTTCCCTGCCCTTCAGCTGAATATCCCAAGGCAGCTCTGCATCATTCTTGAAAACAACAGAAAACCACTGCGAATTCCGCCCACCGGGCGAGAGCATGTCTACTTCGTCCGTGATCTCGCCTAGATCCGCAACGCGCATCGTGCTTTGGAATGGCTCGATATCTTGGAGGCCATCGAAAAGGGGGGAGGGGTATGCTTGTGGCGCGAGGTAGACGTTGGGGGACCAGATAGCGTAGTCTTTCATTTCAGGACTCCACGCAACGGAGATGGCGGACATGCCGTGAGGATCCTCCTTGAGACGATCGGTGAACGTAGCAAGTTGCTTGAATAGCCTGGGACCCGCACTCCCGTGATAGAAGAGCGAGCCACCCCATATCTGAGGGCGGGGTATTGTGGGCATCAAGAAACGGGTGACGATCCCGTAGTTGGTGCTGCCGCTTTTCAACGCCCAGTAAAGATCGGAGCGTTCTGACTCGTTTGCGTGGACGATGGATCCATCAGCAAGGACCACTTCGTAATCGAGAACATTGTCACTTCCGAGACCCATTTCCGTTGACAGGAAGGAGACACCACCTGTGGCACGAGGGTGAGAGGCTCTTCATGTGCCACGAAGGATATGTAAACTGACCTCCTATAAGGAAACCACCGACGCCGACGCCTGAGGAGCGTCCACCCACCGTGTGAAGCCCGTGTGGCTTCAGGAATCCATAAACTTCTGACCATTTCAGACCAGGAGCGATAGAAACCGTCTTCCCATCATCCTTCAGTTCCACCTCCTTCAAGCCCCCAAGGTCGATGGTAAATCCGTTTGGACCGATATTCGACGAGCCTTCCCAGCTCATGTGTCCGCCAGCGCGGACGGCGAACTCGCACCTTGTGGCAGTCGCGAATTTTATTAATCGGGAGAGGTCTTCGGTTGTGGCGGGGGCTATGCGACACGCTGGCTTCTGGGCGGCTTGTTCGAGGGAGTAATATGTAGATGACTGCGCGGAATATTTAGATGAGGCGGGATATAGGATGGTAGAGGAAGTTAGGATGTCTTCGAGTGCGTTGCACTGGAAGGTTGGTAGATTATTACGAGTTCAAGCAGACGAAACGGGTGTCGTACGTACACATTGTAGTGCTGTAGTCCGCACTCCTTCGTCAAACGTTTGTGTCTGAAGTGGCTGCTGGGTGGTGGCGAACGACCTTGTCGCCAGTGCGAATAGAGCAAGGTAAGCCCCGGTGTGCATGACTGCTGATGTGATTGGTATACCTCGACCGTATCATTTTAAGTACTACTTCCAACCCCAGTTAGCAGGCCTTCGGATTTCGCGCCCAACGGTACATGATCGATGTGTCTACGGCATGTCTGGGCATCAGAAAAGACTCGAATGGGGATGAATGAAGAAAGGAATCGCCGAGCAAGATTTGTATCAACGAAGATTGGCAGTGCGTTCCTTGTGGTTCAGTTCGGTGTTTTCATAGAAATTCGTCGATGCTAATCAGTGATACTTACGGTATGCAGGAGGTAAGGCCGAGAGAAGTGTGGCTGCAGGACATGCTTGTGCCAGCTTTGGAGAGACCGTCACAGAAAGCCACCGATTGCCATGTCGGTGTAGGCTCGTGTACAGAAACCAGCGCTCTTGTATGATACGCTATATGATACGTCGATGAGGATGATCTGAGAAGAGATCGGGATCCGCGATACTGGATTCGGATAAGGGAGCAAACACGACCAAAGCGACTCCGCGACATACGCGTGATCAGGAGTGCGCACTACTGTAACTCAACACGAGCGAGGGACTATGGACGTGCCCGAAGCTGGCCATGGCCCATGCCTCACAGAGAGGATCCACCCACCGAGTGCCCTTTAGACTTCGTACGAGACGACATTACACGATGCCAGCTCGCTGTCGAAGCGCAAAGCGCGTCAGCGTCCAGTTGCATCGTTCGAGCCTCGTAAACGATGGTCTCCTCGACCTCACCAACTGAAGTTCGCCGGCGGCTTCAATAGGACAATCTTTAGACCCATATCCAGCAGAGCGATGGTCAGCGGCTTTTTGAATCGTGGTGGCAATAATTCTGTACCCCGTCACTCCATAGCAGACAACCCCAAGCCAATGTTTATTTGCTCTCTAAACAAGACAGTTCATACACACGTCTCTATGCTAACTAGGCTATACAAGCAAGTAACGATATCTAAATAGGCAAACCATGACGATCCTTCGTCTCAGCGAGGATAGTCTCGACTTCAGGCGACCTAGCGGTAATGGAGCACAGGAAGGGTGCTGGACGGCTGTAGAAAAGTGAGCATGCTGGTTCCAGGCAGATTTATGTGTTCAGACTTACACTACAAGCCCCTCATCGATACTATTCTGCGGGTCCGGCATAACGATCTCTCCAGCCTCGTTCTTCCCAGGGCGAATATCGCACGCCCACAGGATAGAGGCGATCTCGATGAACATGCTGTTATTGGAGACATGGCGGCCGACACAAATCCGTCTTCCGAAGCCATAGGTTACGTGCCCTTCGTCCTTGGTATCTGTTGGCATGGCCTTCAGCTCCCCTTCTTCGTTCAAGAACCTCTCCGGGCGGAAATCATCGACGTCAGGACCGTAGACCTCCGTATCGTGGTTCAATCCCCTGAAAATGGTAAAACTCCGTCAGCTATCGATCTCTGAATGTGAAGCACCGATACCTACCAAACATTCACCAAGCAGATCGTGTCCTTCGGGATGAAGTGCCCCTCGTACCAATCGTCCTGGGCCAGCCTGTGTGGGACACCCAATCTGCCGACTCCGTTCCACCTCAGCGTCTCCTTCACCATTGCCTTGATGTATGGAAGATGGTCGTAGTCCTGGAATGTAGGCATCCTATCGCGCCCGACGACGCGATCAATCTCTGCTTGTGCGCGAGCTTGGACCTCGGGGTAGAGAACCATTGCCTCCATAAACCAGGCGAGTTGGCCCGATGTCTAGAATTGCGACGTTCAGAATGGAGAGGGCATGCAATGCTTAGAATGGACATACCGTCTCAGCACCAGCGGCACTGTAAGTAAAGGGAATGATGAGTACAAGTATTACGAGATGTCGGCGAGGGTGTCGACTCACTAGAGCGTAGCAGATACCCAGGCAGCTTCTTTATCCGTGAGGTTCTTCTTCTCTTGTTCGGTGATGATGGTGGCAGCGACGCTGGGGCGTTGGTCACCGCTTTTCTACGGGCGAGTGTACGGCATCAGCACCTGTGAAAGAAGCGTGACACGGGAGAATCGTACGCACAAGGCGAGTCACAACATCAGCGAAGAGGTTTTCGAAGAGGACGGAATCGCGCTTGAATGCATCCTCAGCATATCGTCTCCAGGCACACATCCACCGCGGCAAATGCTCCATCCACGTGAAGTACTCCACCAAATACGCGCCCGGGATCGCCGCCTTCAGCGCCCTCTCCGTGAAATGATTCACCCGCAAGATAACGGGGTCCCTGCTGTCTTCCATGGGAGGCAGCCCGTAGATCATGGATAAGACGAGAGACGTGGATGCGCGGCGGAGGTGGGAGTCAAAGAGGTCCGGGGAAGCGAGGAGCTCAGAGACAAGGAGAGACGATTCAGTCTCTTGGAATGGGAAGTAGGACTTGGCAACTTGGTTATTCATCGCTCTACACGCAGAGAGATTACGATGGTGGAGCAGGAGGAAAGGAGAAGACCTACTCATGCGATGCCCTTCTCATCCGCTTCCAGACATCGTTATGCTGAGCGAACGCAAATACCAAACCGCCCGTCAGCAGCTCTCCTGCGACGATATTTCGTGGTCGGTCAGAGTAGATGCCCGCTCTACGATCGAGGAGATCGGCGGCGGCTTTGTGCGTGCCAAGGACGATTGTGTTTTGGCCGGCGATATTTAGATAGACTACGGGGCCTATCGCCGCGAGCGTCAGATATCACTCGTAGGAGATAACGGGGAAAGAACATACCGTATTGTTTAGTCCACTTCTCGAGCGTTACCCAGAGCTTATCTGTCAGTTGATGCAGATTTCCTATGACGGGTAATCCTGGCGGCCCAGGAGGAAGCTTCCCCTTAGGCCTTGCCATATAGGAACGCGCTGCTACAAGGAGCACTATGGCGACCGGAACACTGAGTGTCCATGACGTGAGAGAGGGGTAGAGCTCAGCGTATGAAGAGGAAGAGGGCGCTGCGCTGGAGATGTTGGACCATGAGAGGTGGCTCATGATGAATGTGAGCGACTTGTTGCTTGGTGGAGATTTGGGTCAGCAAGTACGAAGAGGTGGGAGAAATGTTGGTATTAAGTACTGTATTTTGAACGCAAATATAAAATCGGCGGGGCGCGAAGTTCGGAATCCGGGGTGTTTGGACGCTCCAGCCCAGGGAAGCACCAGGTAAGACGTGACTGATTGATGTCAACTCGAAAATGTCCTTCAACGGACGAGCTGAGTTGAGGCTGGTTCAATGAAGTGACTCATGCTTCATGCATGTACGTTCACATCGTATTGTGGATGTTGTTGGAATTATTCCTTGGGGTAAGACAAAGATTAGCTGTGGAAGTACGGATTCGATCAGAAGATGGTTACACACTCAGATCATGGCCTCAGACAAATCACAACGTTGAGCTTATGCACCATGCATGTTCCTTCCCCAAATCGAGTTGAGACAAGCGATGACTACCACCGTGTATTGCAGCAACGGCACAAGCGAAGGCGCTCGATCACTGCAAGATTACTATCACTCTAGATAATATTGGCATCCTCAGGCCTATCGAGATCAGCTTATATCTTCCGCGATTGAGATTCGATCGTGCTCCGAAATTTGGCATTTACTTTCATGATATCAGGCTTGAAGGGGGTCTGTCATACTATTGTGTAGTGTTGTGGGACTCGGGAGATGCGACGGAGGCGCCGGGAGGAAGACGCGCTGTTGTCGTGAAGGTGGCTGTGCAACAAGATACGACATCTTTTCGGGCATCCGGCGACTCAACCCGTATCACGCTTCGAAGCCCCTGAGAACAGATAGGGTCGCTCTATGGCTCTGCCTGCAGGGCACAGGCGTGTAGCAAGCTCCACTGCTTAGCGAAGGCGCGTTTGGCGGAGTGGTGCACTCGGTTGTAAGAGCAGCAAACTATAAGTTCACGTTTGCGCGGGCAAAGATAAATTGTATTAGTATATACCTGTAAGAGCAGCAAACTATAAGCTACGCGCGCGAGTAAGCAAAAGGGAAGTATAGAAGATAGGTATAGTACTCACTTCACGTTTGCGCGGGCAAAGATGAAGTGGTCGTTAGCGTGAAAGTAAACTATAAGTAGTATGATATGATTCGGAACGCGTAAGTAGGTAAATATCATATGCATTAGATAACGAAGAAGCAGACGAGAGGAAGAGAAAGGGTCACTAGGGTCCATGGAGCATGTAGACAGATGTCGGGGTTGTGGTCCATACACAAGTCCGAGATTGGGTTTGAGCTTGACAGGCAATTAGTTCTCGCGTTTACGGTTTGCCATTCCAACATCGGTCCCCAAAGACAGAGAGTCTTTTAGTACGGCAAAGAACTTGTATGTAATGTGACGAACTGACAACGGTAATCAACGATCTAGAGCAAGTGACAGCATATTGGGCTTTGAAGCAGGCAGACATTTGCTTCTGACCGTACGCTGTCATCACGTCTGGTCATCCTAGCTTTGTCCGCTTCTTGTTTGATTTCTACTCGCGAAACCATCAGCGTAAGCAACCGGCCGACTTAAACTAACCAACAAAGTAATTTCGTATTCATAATCAATCTTCAGGAGTAAACACATCTAAGGATAATTGAAGCACATCGTCCCGCCAGATATACAACACATATTGTCGTTCTACGTCCTACGTGTAAGGAATACATATCGTTCTACGTCGCGTGGCGTAACTCAAATTTGGCCGTAATTATTCAACTCAATGGACTGGGCAATGATGGACGGAACTTCGGGGAACCTTGGGGTTATATCGCAATCGAATGGGACGGTGTGCCTATCAAACCCGTAAAGTCATACCAATCAGTAAATCAGAATCCCATCTCAAACAAAAATAACACTGACATCGTCAAATCCGACGTGCACTTATCCGCATCAGGCATGATCGGGTTCCCCTGCGCATCCTTCTTCGCCTGGATATTGCATGCCCAAGCCATGCTCGCGAACTGGATGAACAAATTGTTGTTGGCAACGTGGCGCCCGACGCAGATGCGCCGGCCGAAGCCGTAGGTAACATGGCCCTCGTCCTTGGTATCTGAGACCGAGGGCAGGGGCTTTCCAGATCCTTCAAGGAAACGGGCGGGGTTGAACTCGTGAACGTCGGGCCCGTAGACTTTCTCGTCGTGGTTCATGCCCCTGAAATAACCCAGCCATCAGCAACTGGCTACAGGTAACAACAGCCGCCGTTTGGGGCTCACCAAATGTTTGCCACAACCAATGTTCCCTTCGGGATGAAGTAACCGTTGAACCAGTCATCCCTTTCCACGCGATGGGGGACACCGAGGGGTGTTGCGGGTCTCCACCTTAGGACCTCTTTGACCATGGCCCTGCAGTAGGGGAGGTGGTCGTAGTCGTCGAAGGTGGGCATACGGTCTCGGCCTACGACGCGATCGAGCTCTTCTTGGGCGGCGCGGAGGGCGGAGGGGTAGACTACCATGGCGGTTATCCACCAGCCGAGGGATCCGGCAGTTGATTCGGAGCCTCCACCGCTAGAGAATTGGTAGATCAGCATTTAGAAGGTGATCGTAGGAAAAGGCTAGGACGTACTACATAGCCGCTGCCAGCCAGACTGATTCCATAGTAGAGAGGTTTTTCTTTTTTTGTTCTTCGATAAGAGTCGTAACTGTGCACGGCCTGTTGTCTCCATCGGCCTACAACGAGTCCTCCACAGTTAGTAACAATATCTAGCCGGAACTGCAGTCGCGCATACCATCCTCTTCTTAACTTGGTTGTAAAACCCCTCGAACATCTTGCTGTCCGTCTTGAACCACTCCTCGGCCTCCACCCTCCACGGAGCCAACCACCTTGGCATGTACTCCAAAAAGTGGAAGAACTCGACCCAGTACTTCCCAGCGGCCGCGCCGAGCGATCTCCTCAGAAACTTGTGGAGGGTGATGAGGGTGGGGTCGGTGGAGGTGCGCATGGACTTGGTGCCGTATACGACGGACATGATGAAAGATGCCGCAGAACGCTTAATGTGATCGTTCCACATAGAAGGCGCTTTCATGAGGCTGTCGGCGAGGAGGTATCCTTCGACTTGCATGAACGGACGGTAGGTTTTGGTGATTTGGTTGTTCATCGCCCTGCGCGATAGCGCATTAGCATCAACGTAAGTATCGAAGAGACGTGTGATGGCTCACTCATGAGAACCTCTCCTGACACGCTTCCACTTATCGTCGAAATGCATGAATCCGAGTAGGTATTCGCCTGACATGATCTCAGAGGCGACGATATGGCGGGGTCTGTCTGAGTAGATGGACGACCTCTTATCAAGGAGCTCCGTGGCGACTTCGTGGGTGTTCAAGACGATCATTGAACGCCCTGCGAGGTTCACATAGAAAATCGGTCCTACAAAGCGCACACATCAGACTACGTGCTTGCCATCCCAGCTCATATCCAAAGTGCTCACCATAGTGCTTCTTCCACTCCGTGAACGTGAGCCACATATGTGGTCCAATATCGAACACACTCCCAATAACGGGCCACCCCCTTGGCCCGGGGGGCAGCTTCATGTTCAACGACGCCGACTTGTACAGTCGATGAATGATGAAGGTGGACAACGCCAACACAGCGAGCTTAGGCCATGTAGAGAATTGGTCGTTTGGTGAAGACCAGAACGTCGCCGGCGCTGTGGGGATCCATGATACATTCGCGCTCATATTCGACGTGTTTTCCGAGGTGGGTGAAGAGGTGGGAATGGAAAGGACATCGTTTTCTGACGTTTTATGATTGAATTAGCTCTACAGGAATGTTGATCAGTACCACTGACTCCACCCCCGGTGAATCGTTTCTTTCGGGGTATTGAACGTTACAGAGCTGATCGAGATCCACGTTGGAAGATCCTCGCGCGTTCCACAGCCACCGGTGTCTGTGGCGCGTGGGAATACGTGGGAGTTCAGTACCACGTTGTTCCATGATCCTTGTCAAATTCCATGAATTTCTTACGCAATTGGGTGAGCTGCGAGTCGCGTCAATTCCGCACGCAAGTCAGGTTCACTGCGTAAGGACGGGTTTCACTTGGTGCGTGGCACTGGAGTTCATTCAATGATAGATGATATATCCCCGCTAGACTATCGACTATAGTTCGTCAAGCTTGTATCCACCTTTCCACACTTTGAGCAGACCCTTTGGATCGTACTTCTTCTGCACAGCCTTCATACGCCTGACGTTCTCGTCCCCGAAACTCGCTAAGACTGGCTGCGTATCCAACGCGTAGTTCAAGTAGATGAAACGATTGAGAAGGTTGCGCTGCTTGGCAGTGTCCGTCGACCATCGCAGGAAGTCTTGCGTCGTAGCCTTGATCTTTCCGTCGTCCTCTGGGTCAGTCCAGAAGATGGATATCAAAAGAACTATATGGAAAGGTCAATACGATGTTGAAACGCCGAATTTGCAGTGGTTACTTACGGAATAGATCGCCATCCTTTTCGGTGAGACCGAATGGGTTTCCTCCACGATTCGCAGCAGCAGCGATCATGCCGACATTAATGGGTTGTAACGTGAGCGCCCACGAGGTCCCCTCCTTCCCAAGGAACGGCGCCATAATATCAGCGCCCTTCTGATAGATATCCCAAGGCAGCGTCGCGTCTGCCTTGAACACCAAAGCGAACCACTGAGTTCGGCTTCCGCCTGGGGATGACATATTGATTTCGTCTGTGACAGATACGAGGTTTGTGATGCGCATGGTATCGCGCACCGTCGGGATTTCCTCGAGTCCATCGTAGAGTGGGCTTGGGAAGGGTGTAGGTGCGAGGTAGGCGTTCGGTGACCAAATGAGGTAATCATTATCGGCTGCGTTCCAAGCGATAGACAGCGCGAATAGGCCATTGGCATCGACGGCGAGTCTCTCCGTAAATCCGACGAGATAATCGAGGAGGGTAGGGCCCAGGCTGATGTTGTAGTAGAGAGATCCTCCCCACATTTGATCCAACGGGAACGTCACCATGTCAAAGCGGGTAACTATGCCGTAGTTCGTGCTACCACCTTTGAGAGCCCAGTACAGGTCGCTTCGCTCGGCTTCATTGGCGTTGACGATCGAGCCATCGGCTAAGACGATTTGGTAGTTGATGATGTTGTCGCTTCCGAAACCGTGCTCGAGGGAGAGGAATGAGATGCCACCTTAGCGAGTAGGGGGGATGATTAGCGAGGCATACATCATATGCGTGATTGCGAAGAAGGATATTTACCTCCAAGAAGGAAGCCACCTACACCGACGTGGGACGACCGGCCCCCGGCAGTATGCAGATTGTGGGGACGTAAGAAGGTATAGACATCGGCCCAGGTCAATCCCGGGGAGATAGAGACAGTCTTCGAATCGTCCAGAAGCTCAATCTGCTTCATGTCCTCCAAGTCGATAGTAAACCCTTCGGGACCGATGTTCGATGAACCAACCCAGTTCATATGACCGCCCGAGCGTACGGCAAAATTGCAGTTACTTGTGGTAGCAAATTTGATTATACTTGAGACGTCTTCGGGACTGGTGGGTGCGACTCGGCAGACAGGGAACTGTAGGACCTGTTCGCCGGAGTAATAGGAGGCCTCCTGAGCCGCATACTCAGGGGAGCCTGGCAGAAGGACTTTAGAAGGGTCTAAGATACGCTTCAGGCCGTCGCACTAGAGAAAGAAGGTCAGTCCGATATATCACCAAATACAGACCTAATGCATGACTTACACATTGAGCTGGTGAAAGGTCTTGCTTTTGGGTGGTGTTTCTGGGCAGAAGATTCTCTACCGAAGCACCAAACGTGAATGTTAGCGGGATAATCGCCGCGAGGATTGCAAACGAAGTACGCATCATTGATAACGCGTTCAATACAGCAATTGCGCTGATTTCACGCGGCCTTTATAGCTTTTTCCGGCATTTGCGCTGACGAAGGGAGATGGCGGGCCTTGGAGCAAGTGATTTGGACTTGGAAACAGACGAAACATGAAGCAGTAGGTCAAGTCAAAAAACCAAGCGCGCCCGAAGAGAATGGCTGAGCAATGAATTGATAATCAATGAGGAACGGGCCCAACGCATAACCCTGGCGGAGAGGCACCGACGGACGTATTGTCCCCAAATGATCGATTGATCGGGGGCTACCTCCTGATTGGGCTCTTATCTAGATTGGACATTCTGAAATCCTTCTGGCATATTACGTTCTGCTATATATAGCTATGGCAATGGATAGGCATCTCTTTGCGTTGCGATAGGGTTTGATTATTATCATAGAAGACTGACAGCCGAAGGGATGGGACTCCGGGAATTTGTATCGCGATGGACATGGTCTTGAATAGCAACGTCGGTGAGGGTCGCCGATAACCGACCCAGCAAGTGTACGATAACCGATCCCCAAGGACGTACTGATCTCGAGTTCCTGACCAGGCTCGCTTGCGTTTCATTTTAAACCTAAGGATCAACAATATCGCATATTGTATACCCGGGCGCTATTACACAATATCTAGTACACGCTGCTCTTATGATACACCGTCCGTAATGAGAATAATAGGAGAATCACAGAATGAGGATGATGGATGGGGAAGGAGCCGTAAGTATAGTATACGGACATCATTCTAGGTAGATTATATCTTTGAAGTGAGTGGGTCGTGATATCATCACGATGATATACGACCTTCAAGTTCTATCCGGAAACCCGTTACCTGTCACAGGGTGTATCTATGCTTCTATACAGCAAAAAAGCCCATTTCCAATCTAGAAAGTATCATTGTTCTGAATAGCCCCGAACTGAGCATTTGGCAGCCACGGCTGGGCTATTCCCTCCATTTGCCTTGTCCAGAAGGGGAGGATTTGAGCAACGCACAGCCAGAACTGAACAGCGTATCGGGTTAGGTTGGGGTGAAGCGGGTGCGTTCGGGGGATGACAACGTACCATGTATATTCGCAATGAGACCTTATCTTCGTGCTCGGTGCGCTGCTGGAGCACTCTGAGGGCAACGTACATCCCCAGTGTGACGAACCACGGAGATGCGACGCTGCTTAGGTTCCAATACGACGCGAGGCCGAACGACCACACTGCGACGATGAGGAATGTCATGCGCCTAGAGAATTCGGGCATCACGACGGGGAATGTGACTCGTCCCTGTTTCCTATCTCCTGCCTCATCGCGGAAGTCTTGGATATGTATCGTCGTAGCGATAAGAAGCGTGCTAACGTAAGGCGCAAACCAGGCCCGCTGGTCGAGGGAAACATTCTCTGTTTGAATAGAACCGGTTAGCGAGACTAGATTAGGAGAGCGTTGAGGGGGACAGCGTACCTGCACATGCGATCTTAGCCGCGCCGATGTTCCAGGAGACGAGGCCCACAGCGTTGAGGAAGTTCTTTGTATACCAGTAGTTATCCAAGCCGAGCTCGTTGTAGACGACGAACGAGATGGCTAGACTGATCCCTGGGTAGATAACGTCCAGCGTCCACGAGAGCGCCAGGCAGACCGGGACGAGGAGCCAACGAAGGACTCTGGCACCCCGAATCGAAATTAAGCCCGCTGGGATGGGTCTATAGGGCTTATTCAATGCGTCTTCTTCAGGGCTCAACGCCTGATTCGCTGCACAGAACTGCAGAAGGTGAAGCCACACCCATACCGCGAGGTGAGGAAGTCTGGTGATGGACATCTGTGGAGCAGCCATTATCCCATAGCAGATCTATTATGTAGAGCGTTAGACGATGTGAACGGTCGAGAAGGGCCTGGTGTGCTCACGACTGGGAACACGACTGTCTTGTAGTCAGACTTCGTAAAAGCGTATGCCGTACGCCAGATGTGTTCCAAAGGCTTGAGAGGAGAAGGAAGACGGCTAGAGTACGTGGCCATGACGAGGAGTCTGACTGTACTGAACTTCGAATGATGGTGGTGAAGTCAAGGATTTATCAAGAGTGAATGAAGTTGGATTGATTAAATAGGCAGAGATGGCAGTTCCATAGATATGTATGAGAGCTCCATGGAGGTCTTCCGGGGATCAGTTGATCTGTCTACTGCATCTACAGGAGTCCTGAGACAAACGAAGTCAGAAAATGTGCGTTGCAATTACTCGTTTGAAGCCTGAAGGGGCAAGCCGAGAACCCCCCGCGCAAGAAAACGATGGAAGTTTCTTTCCGGCATTGCCATGATTGACATTAATGGGTGATTAGCATCACGATAGTAATATGTTGCTGAAGTATGGGATATTTTCTAGCATGCGGCGATTTGAAGTCATTGCAAGGGACCGTGATGAGCGGTGCAATGTCCCAACGGCAACGCGTGCTACGCCTGCTAGAACAAAGCACGGGGGTCAGGATACGCAGCATAGACTATAATTTATTTTCTTACTGGACGGATGAAAAATAACCCCGTCTTTGGTTCTTGCGCGTGCAGCTCGCGAGTCGCACCGAGTCGCGTTCAAAGGCGTGGAAGTATTTGCTCGTATTTGCATTCAACAGCCAATGATACGTCGGACTCGCGGGGTTGGAAATCTGACGCCGGACGACACCAACGGAGGTTTCTGACTGGTCTGCATGAGTCTGCATGGTTTCCGAATATCCGGGGATATCGACTGTAGACCTGCATCAACTTTCCTGTTCTCCCAAGAACGAGGTGCTCAACCTTGGTTTCACCGCAGCGATAGAGATCAAGGTAATAAATCGATCTGATTCGAAGGCCGGCGTAGTACTTCGAAGTCCCACACCGCCGTATTGTATTTGTCAGACTTGTCAGACACGGTGTGATATTGAATCATCAGATGGGTCTACTTCAAGTTGCCTGTTTGGCCCTATTGTTGACGCCTTGCTCACTCAGCACATCCACTTCGCTCGGCTGTGTCCTCGACTTAAAAGGCGAGCTCAATGATACTGCTACGGTATCAACATGGCTCCTCAAGTTTGGTTCAGTAGGTTCTCCATACACTCTCCGCCATGCCTTTGCTGACGTTGGCGAAGTTACTGGCGCATCTCGCGGTCTCGGCCGCTCTGTGACTGAGACAGTCTTGCAGAACGGCGATATCGTCGTCGCAACTGCCCGCAGCACATCCGTCTTCTCCGATCTCACATCCAAGTACCCCGAATCCCAACTCCTTGTCCTCTCTCTCGATGTCTCGAACGTCGATGCAATCAAGGCTGCTTTCAAGGCTGCGACCGACAAGTTCGGACGCATCGACGTTGTCTACAACAATGCTGGTGCCTTCACTGTCGGAGAGGCCGAGGCTATCCCCGAAGCCGATGCCCGCAAGCTGTTTGATGTAAACTTCTGGGCTGCTTCCAACGTCGCTCTCGAGGCCGTCAGAGTCCTCCGTGAGGTGAACAAGCCCCAAGGAGGTCGCATCATCACCATCGGCTCTGCTACTGGCTTCGCACCGTTGCCTGGCTCGAACTACTACGCCGCATCCAAGTTCGGTGAGTAGGCACTCGTCCCATGACTTGTCCCCAATTATGACGTCATTGTTTTAAGCAATTGAAGGGTTCATCGATGCGCTTAGCATGGAACTCGACCCTGCCTGGAACATCAGGGTACGTCCACTTTCTCTCGCACACGCGTAATTGGTTTAACGGTCATTCATTTAGCTCACCCTTGTTCGCCCGGGTGGATACGACACGGGCTGGGAAAAGGGCGCCCAATTCTACCCCGCCCACCCTGCTTACACTGCTCCACACATGCCGACAGAGTTCGGTCGCCAGTACATGAAGACGTTCAAAGGTTACGAGGGCGACCCAGTCAAGTTCGCGCAGACTGTCTACTTCAAGGTCGCCAAGGCCGAGAATCCCCCGTCGAAATTGTCGCTTGGATTGGACTGCGTTGGCATGGTCGAGGGAAAGTTGAAGGCTATTTCCGACGAGGCCGAAAAATACAAGAGCTGGTCTGCCGGGCTGAACAAGTCCGACCCCCCTTTGAACTTCGCTTGAATGTAAATCACGTACACCACAACCTTTGTGACAATTTGTTATACAATACCTGTTCATACATACCTGATCTGAATGCATGTTCTCCACGATGTTTACCCACACTGATTGCTCGTGAAATGAAGGAAGCCTGATCAACCTCCGTCGTCAACGGAGAGAAGTGGGCTGGGTGATGTTTATCAACCCAAATTGGTCGAATGGCACATGAAGCCATGACGCACGTTGATGGTATAGTACACCACACTATGTAGTCGGTTGGGGAACTGACCTCGGTGCCATTCACGAGGGTTAATAAGTGCCTGATCCATGATGAAGGGTGCATACTGCGAAACGGAGTTTATCAGCACTAATCTGTGAAAATACATTCGTTGTGAATATGGTTTACCTCATGTCTATGTGCATAAAGCAAGGAACCCAGCGATTGGCAGAACCGTGACAAGTCTGTCCAAGTAATTTTCCAAGTGCAGATGGAGACAACGAGCATCTAAGACTTGGTCTATATGTATCAAAGGGCTCAGGTGCCTTCTCGTCCTCGACGAAAGAACCTAGGCCTTTCGGGATTTGCCTAAGTCCCCCATGGGACCTCAGGAGAGGATGTTAGGAATCAGGAAGGGGTTTGCAGACATACAGAGTCTGAGATAAGTCACTCCAAACAGCTAGTTGCATGGGAAGCTCATGCTCCAAGTTAGGACGGTATATAGTGGCTGATGGCTGGATGCCAGTGGGCGGCAGGACACGCAGTGAAATAGGGAACACCACATTGTATTGGTCTAACTTAATCTATAGGCATATATAAAAGAAGAGAGCGACTCAAGTCCAAATTATGTTAATGATATACTACGCAATAGGTATCGACACGATGAACGAAAGAGCTGGAGAAGAACGAATAAAGGAGTGATGAGGATAAGGGCTCTATAGTTTGAACCCTCCCTTCCAGAGCTTTCCGAAGGTGTTCTTCGGGTCGAATTTATTCTTGATCTTGAGAAGCGCATCGACGTTTGCTTTACCGTACGACTCGTAGACCTTCTGGTCGGGCAGCGCATAGTTGATGTAGAGCCAAGGGTGGAGCACGTTGCGCCTCTTGGCCTCTTTAGTTCCCCAGTTGATGACATCGCGGACAGCTGCTTGCATCGCTGCGTCATCCGATTCCTCGACCCAGACGGTGTTTAGGTTGAGCACTAAATTTGCGAGTCAGTCGTGTTCAAGGGCGAAGAGCGTCAGCGAGATGTACTCACAGATGAGGTCACCGTCTTTGGGAGACAAGCCCTGTGGCGTGCCGCCAGCCCGCTCAGTAGCCTGGAGATGGGTGATGGAAATGGGTTGGAAGGAAGCGGTCCACGAGACGCCTGGCTTTCCTACGAGGCCAGCGAAGGCGTCGTGGCTCTTCCGGTAGATGCCCTCAGCGATTTCCCTGTCCACCTTGAGGGTCAAAGTCGAGAAAATGCGTCTCAGGCCGCCTGGGAATGCAACGTCAACCTCGCTGTCGAGCCATTGCTGGTCGGTGTTGGTGCGAATGGTGTCGAAGGTGGGCGGGACGTCGAGCATCTCGGAGAAGAGCTGGGCCTTGGACTCTGTGGCATCGGCACCCAGGTAGGCGAATGAACCAAAGATGGTGTCGTTCTTCAGATCCTCGCTGTATCCCCAAACGACGGATCCGCCGCCGAGAGGCTCCTGGGGGAGCTTCTTGATGAATTTGATCATAGCATCGAAGATGGCCGGGCCCTGGGAGACGTTGTAACCCCTGCTTCCACCCCACTTAGGGGTAAGGGGGAAGGCGTTGACATCGTAACGAGTGATGATACCGAGGTTGGTGCTCCCTCCCTTGAGACCGTGGAAGAGGTCGGGGTTGGAAGTCTTATTGGCGTTCACGATACGGCCGTCTGCGAGGACGACTTCGTAGTTGACGACGTTGTCAGATGCGAAGCCGTGGGCAGGGGAAAGGTTTGAAAAGCCGCCTTAGCGAAATAACGTCAGCATCCTAATTAAGTGTGAGGATCGACCAGGGCTTACCCCCAAGGATGAATCCGCCGACACCGACGGTGTTCGAACGGCCACCGACAACGGTGATGTTGAAGGGGTCAAGGGCATCGTAGACGGGGCCCCAAGATCCTCCTGGACCCAAGCTGACTACCTTCTTGTCCGCAGAGACATTGACTCCGTTCATCTGCTTCAAATCGATGGCGACACCGGGGGCTTGAATGTTGGCGGCGCCAGCCCAAGTCATGTGCCCAGCAGAGCGAACAGAGAACTTGCAGCCGCCCTTGGTGATAATCTTGATGGCGTCGGAAACATCCTGAGCACTATGCGCACTGACGCGACATTGGGAGATGATCTCTGACTCTTGCGCACTGTAGTACGAGTTCACGAGCTGTTGGAAGCCCGCTGAACCGGGGAACAGAACCGCTGTCGGGCCTAACTGGCTCTGCAACGTCTGACACTGTTTGAGATTGGTGTTAGCAGAGATATCTATGGGTCAGAAAACAGTACTAACGCAGTCTCTAGCCGCTATTTCCTCCCGTAAGTCATGTGCCACAGTCGCTGCGCGAGAAGGGGCAAGAAGACCAAAGAGAAGCAACGAGGTGGCGTAGGATCGCATGGCAGAGAAGCTTTCTGAGGGCGCTGGGTTCTGCTTCTCTCTGGGCGTGCTCCTTTTATACGAAGTATGCCCCAGTATGGCCGCGAGTGTCGCTGTGATGACTTGGTAGCGTAAAAGACATTTACCAAGTCCACGAGTGTGAGGCGCCGCATAGCCGACGGAGGAAGTAGGTTGAAACACCACGAATCTGGACTTGCTAGGTGAAAGCAGTGTCCCATGTCATCCAAAATTTCCAAGGGGTGGCGGGAGGGTATGTAGCGACGCGATCGATATCGGAGGGTAACAATATCACTGAAAGGAACAATCATTTTCCCCGACTCGAATCAAGATCGGGAGCGCACACGCGGAGTAAGTGTCCATACATATACAACCAAAATACACATACCACATACAGTTGTGCAGGGGTGGACTTCGCCTAAACAGACCCTGAAACGCCTAAGAATAATACTGTACTGAAGACATTGAGTGTTGACTAGATAGCAAGACGGGACAAGTATTTGCGCGCCAGTGCCGATCCAGCGCCCAATATACACGGAGGCTGCGCTTTGGCCCGGCATAGCGCAAAATTCATATGTGCGCATCTATAGGAGAGAGAGTCCGCCGTCCGAGAGTGTCTTCAGTTGTCCAGCCCAGCCTCGCTCTGCTCAGTTGAACGTTTGAGCACTGATAGAAATCACTTTGTCAACTATTATCCACATAGTTACGGACAGATGTGCAGATGTGATGAGGTATGTGCAAGCTGTGTGATGCAGCACCGATATGGGCGGGCAGTTGATGAGCTTCTCCAAGTGGTCAGCGCCGGACGCCGAGAAACCAGAGAGGTCGGCTGCGACTGTCATCCAGGTCGAGAACAAGTCTTGACCAACAACTCGTCGTGGTCCAGCAGCCAGATTTGAAGATCAACCCGAAACGCGCGAGCGTGACGCGTGGGCACACTGGATGAACCCTCGTCCACTGTATATTTGATAAGAATCAAATCTTCGCATCTTGTTGCCACGAGATGCGACTATCGCGCTCAAGTTGGAAGTCGTTGAGGACTCCGAGACACTGACAGTAGCCGACCGACCGATTTACTTTGCTGGATGATGCGTTTCAGTTGTGTCGATAATTAGAACAGCATGGTTCGGTCATAGAACACCATCCATCAGCCATGTACCATCAATTAAAGTGATAGGCATCGTCGCCCGCTGCCAGGGACGCCAGGTCGCAGCCTTCGTCATGGACCCATGGTTGGCCAGAATCCGAGAAAACTGGGATATTCGTGATCCCAACGGATTTTTGAGAGTCGGTCATCCTCTCTGGCTATGAGGACGGACGGTTCGGGATGTCGCATTGAAGTTGGTGGAACGACAGTGATGGAAAATAAGCTGCTGTCACGTGTTGGCTCCTTTCCATTTCTCACAATCAACAAGACGGCGCGATAAGATAATAATCGCTTTCTCTCTGATCTAGTGGCATATTCATGGTACGACGTGACCGAGCGACAGAAGACATAGAACATCAGTGATACTAATTTAACTTTACTGATGTCGAAACCGCAGAGTTTCGGCCCGATATTATGATATCAATGTACCAATATTATAGAAGTAGGAACGGTCAGTGCTTCCAAAATACGCCCTGGGCTGTGAAGCTTCGCAGATCTGGTCAAATGCCAGGAGACCGGTGACAGTTTTAGCATTGGTCTGGGCTCGACCCACATGAAGAACTGCAGACAACTAGAAATAAACGGAACGGCGGCAGGACCTCTACTACGCCCTGGATTTGAGGCGTTGAGTGCGGCTTTGGGGCGCAAAAGAACTTGCAACACTCACACTATAAGTCGTATATGTTATTTTGGAGCATGGCATATTGATAGGCGAGATCCCCCATACGGAGCCTGCGGAGGTTATAGAGCCTAAGTCCATATCATTGCCATACCTCCGCCGACGAGTTCCGTAGCTGGCCGTGCACCATGGCGCACATTGATGATATCTGACGTGAGGAAAAGATGGCGGCCCGCGAGGAGCGTCTCTCTCACACGTCGCCGAAGTAACTGACAGCACCCACTTGCGAGCGAGATGTGGGTCCTTGGAGAGATACTGATTGTCAGAGTGGAAGGTCGACATCTGATTCTGACCACAATATAGACCGATGTTCCTGCACCATGCGACATGGATCCAGTTCTGCGTCCACATGCTTACGTTTTTCCTTCTGCATGTGCCTTTCAAATAATCGTCGAGGATACGTTGGGGATGGCGTGGTCCATATCTTCAGACCGTCGAATGGCAGTCAACAATGTCTATGGTCTCCCTTCCCTGGATCGTCGAGCCTTGAGTGTGGATGTATACACCGCTTAGACGTCAATTCGACACCACCTTGGAGCTGGCAACTCTCATGATATGCTAGTCGGTGGCAAATGGTGGGTGATACGAGAAGAAGAGCAAGTGACGAGGTTTGCGTTCCAAAGCAGACAGGCTCGAAGGGTAGAGAGCATGCCTTGTGTCCTCCATCACGAGTCGAATACGGCTACGAGCAAGATACGATATATGGACGCGGCGGACGGTGTACATTGAATTCTAAACAGGAACGTAAGGAAAATCAGGACAAAAGAAAGGGAAGGGTGAATCTATATAATTCCAAAGCGTCTCAGAACTGAACATCAGAACTTAGCTGATTACATCATGAATCCCAAATGGCCCCAAAGGCAGGTATCCCTCTACTCATCATCCCGTATACGACCTTCACAGTAAGCTTCTGGTTGGAGATGATGATAACAGCCTCGGCATCAAACTCGCGAACAAGGCGGTATGTCAGCTTGACCATGTCTGGTTTTCCGTGTTTACGAGTGTCTACAAGACGTTAATGAACTTGATGAACTTCGTTGAGTGGTAATTACAGTATAATGCTCACCATAGATGACCGTATCCGGGCAAGCGTCCAAGAGCGAGTCCACGAGTTTGTCTCCGAAGGTCTTCCTAACGTCAGGAGCCGTCCAGAGCAGCTTCACTGGGTGCCGACTTTGAAGGATCCACGGAGTGATAGGGCCAATACCGCTGCCGGTTGCAACGAGGACCACTCGTCTAAAGATGGGGACGATACTCATTACTCCGCAAGTAGGGATGCCCCGCACCCAGAGCTCCTTTGGTGGGTCTCCAATCTGCTTGGACGTCCAGTCACCTGCGCGAGAGACGACCATAGAGTAGCCCTTCTGTCCGGGTTGGGCGATGGTAGCAAAGCCATGCCACTCAAATAACGGGTTATCTGACACCCGGGTGAATGTTCCAGGGTCAGGGGTGACTAGGGGAGTCAATAAGGATGGGCTATATAGCTGTGCCGCATCACTATGGCTCACCGTAGTCAAAGTAGAGTCTAACGGCGTGCGACGACAGTATTTCCGCGCGTACTGGGACCTTCCGCAGGTGCAGCCACGGGTAGATGATTGAGCACGTCAACACCACTACTAGCCAAAATGGCGGTGAAGAAACAAGCGCAGAGCCAAGGGATGTCTCTGGGCTTTTGTAATCGTTGGTTAATAAGATGACCTATAGTTGAGATGATTAGACGATGTATACTAGGCGTCGGGTGTGCAATCAGCAACTTACTTGCGCCCAGACCAGCGCCGTTACTGTCCAACCAAAAAACCGATGTGTACGCTCGAAGTTGTTGTGCTTTGCGATGCGGAAGGCTGGATATGCGCAGCATATGATGGATATGAGCAAAAGCAGGATGCAGTACGTCACGACGAGGGTGGCTACCGAAGTCTAGTTTGGCGGAAGGTCAGAAAGTCTAAGACAAGGATAGACAATTAACGCACGGGTCCACCCGATACAAGCTCCCTGGTCGCTTGAACAGCAAAGACAATGAGCCACACTGTCCCTGATACCGCAGCCCCAGAATGGATGCCTCCGATCCCGTACACTCTGGCGCACACTCGACGGATAGCCATCGGCCAGCTAATACATCAATCAACACCCATAATCCAGGTCACGGGACAACGACGTACGATGGAGGTACTGCAGTAAACACAGCAAAGAACGCGTTGATCACATGTTCCTGACGCATCAGGACAGAACAGAAGATGTTGCCTATCACGATCTGGCCTAGCTGCATGGCATTGGGTTCGCCTTGGACGAAGGTCGCTATGAGGATTGCCATGTTGACTATGAAGACGATCCCAAACAGCCGACGGTACAAAGAGAAAACCTGATGCCGTAAATTGCGCATGAATTTTCCCTGCGTCTTGTCTGGAATACCATCGTCCTCGTAGCCCGCCCAAAAGACTTCGTGACCTTTCTCAATAGTAGAAGAAGAGGCTGACGAATCCAAGCCCGCGGCGGTCTTCTCCGATGTCCCGTAGCCGACGGTAAGAGGTAGGTTGAAATGCTGATGGCCAGGAGTCTGGAAAAGTGTGTTTGTAGAATCCTTTGCCAGGAGTTCTCTTCCTATCGTCGCCAAGTCTCCATCACTCGTCTGAGAATAAATTAAAAGTCGCTCGGCGCCTGAGAGAAAGAACGAACCTCAACTTCACCCACCATCGTCTATGAATACGAGTGAAGTTAATATTAAATCAAAGAGAGCAGATGGCACGACCCACTGTCGTTTCAGAACCAAGGCATTCTAGAGTTCCATCTGGATGCCAACGGCTGAGATGTACGTTGTGAGATACAACGACAATAGATAAGGGGCTTTTAACTTACCCTGACTTCCCAGTATTGACCATGTAGGATCTATACGATGTTTAGTACGGCGTTCGCGGGTGGGAAACGTTACTCACCCATCGGCAAGGAAGGGATCCAACTTATATTTGTCGTCGTCGATATTAATGGAACTCCTCGTTAATCCCATTCCACCTACCCATATGACGCCGGGGTCACCTAGTGCTAGTGGCCGCAGTCCATCGGCACCTGACTGTAGCACATATACATTATTATTAGGTAGTGGTTTTCCGATGCTCAAAGCCTGGCCAAGAATGTGATACTCCGAGGCCATTGTATTAATGATTGCAATCTAGATGCACTTTAGACTTTCGTTTCCGGCAAGTTGGAATCGAGGCGTACCTCCGTTAAAGCACACCCAACGTACAGATGGACACCGTTGGCAGCCCACTTGTCAGCAAGAGCTAGCATCATCGAGGACACGTCGGTAAGCCTGAATTGGAAGCAAAGATTCAACACTCACCTTGGGAGCACCGGTCCGATACGACGGCGATGACTTTCACGTTTGGATAGTCCGCTGATTCATAGGCCGCGAGCATTGAAGGTGTCGCAATCACAATGTCGGCCTTCCTCACCACAATCGGCCAGTCGTTGGAGTCGCGGCTCCCCAAGCAGAGCGTGCATCCATTGGCGAGGCTACCAAGTATTTCCTGTATCATCCGTCAATCATGAGCAGAAGGCAGAGGCAGAGGCAAAGGACATACCCAGGCGGCCAGGCTTGTGGAAACGTCCATGATTTGAGAAACACTACGGCCCGGCGCCATTTCAATGTTACCAGGAGCGAGGCAAACAACTTTGTTACGCAGGTTTAATGACCAGAATAACAAAAGTACTAGATGAATTCTTACCATTAATGACGTGTCTGTGTAAAACGGGCACACCCTTGTGAGCTACTTGGCCGTCTTCTGCTAAGCCTTCATGTCAGCCTGCTACTTCGAAAACCCTTGGAAAGTGACTTACTGCTTTTGTAGAAGATATACGCGGTATCGTCAGGCTTTGAATAATCCGCAGGCTTAGCACACTTCGAATTTTGGTTGGCATTGAGGACATCCTCAAGACAAATCGACCCGGAAGTGGTTGTCGATGCCTTCGGTAAGAATTTGCGCGAGTATAACGTCACATCGGCGTCGCGAAGGACGTGGTCAAGGGTCGAGTAATCGACGACGTTTCCATCCAAGAGAATATAGGCCGCGCCGCTCTTTAAGATGCCGAGTATACCAACCACCATGTCTACCGATCGCTCGACCAGGAAGCAAACACGGCGACCCGGGACGACGTCATGAACATCGCGAAGGTGCTGGGCAAGTACATTTGCCCGACGATCGAGCTCTGAATAGGTAACGGACTCTGAGGCGCCCGAGACGTCCGAAGTCATGATAGCGAGGGATTCGGGGTGCGATGCAGCATGGCTCTCGAATGCGTGATGGATGCACAGCGAGGGGGGTTCCTTGGTGGGCCCAAATGAATGTGTTCTGAAGAACAGCTGATCAGAGGGGCTCAACGCGTCAAGAGAGTGAGCTCCTGCAGCATGGTCATGGGGTAGTGAACCTGGCATTTTGGACGATCCCGGTATGGAGTGGGTTCATGGCTTTTTAAGAAAGCCAAATCCAGGGCGGTATGACCTTCGATTCATCGGGGAGGTATGTTCGCGAACGCAGGATATCTGTAGCAACGGAAGCATGACATGGGAATTGTGATCTGATAAGATGGGTGGCCTCACGGTCCCGTAAAAGGAGTTCGGGATCTAATTCACGTCGCTTAATCAAGCTGCCACGAGGGAGGGAGAGACGTTCTTGTTGTTAATGGCGCCTTTGACTGGCGTGATTGGATGGCGCGTAGCTCTTATCAGAGGTTGGCGCAAGCCAAGGGACACTTCAGCGACAGAGACTTGGCTGGGTGCTATATTCCACGCGTCGAAGGCGGACATACCAGCTTCTGGGTGGTGCCTCCATATGCCATACCGATTGTCTGGACATGCCCTGGCAGCAGCGATCAACGGAAAGTGGAAAATACTCTTCTCAAATTGCGATCTGTGAGAAGCCGCAGGTGGCAATAGACTCGGCCGTACACATGTCAGTGATAAGCGAGGCATGGCTTCAACTACATACCTATCCTACATGCAAAAATGTCACAGCATCAAAACGTCCTACTGAGAAAGTCTTGTATATCAAGCCCAACGTTGAACGATAACACTATTAGCCAGCCCAGCAGTTTGGATCGTCATGGAGCTCTCATCGAGGGTTCTATTCGGGAATGCGGTCCCAATCGTGTACGGTCGGGTAAGGTTTTCCGGCCGAGAGCTATGTCCAAACTTATCAGCAGGAACTCAAACGCCGAGGCGGGGACACTTACGCGTTAATGAAGTTCCGAATGTCCTGGATTGTGTGGGTGAGGTTCATCCTGCATACCATCCTTGAGGAGAACAATCAGTTGGAGGTTAAAGATAATCACGGGCAGGCCTGACCTAGTCCCATCCGCTAGCCTGATTTGAACGCTGGTGGTAGGCTGTGACTGGTCTACTTCGAACTTGGTCGTTAAATTTGGCCGTTCACCGGAGCCACTTGAAGATGCGCTCGCCGAAGGATCAAGGAACGTCCCTGGCATCGACGTCGACGCTTCTGAAGTAACCGAGGGTACTGGAGCGCCTAAGCGATGTCCTGATCCTTGGAACGTGCGGACGTGCTTGGGAGGAACATAATTTTCATTTGATCGTTTAGTTATGCGCAGTTCAACTGGCTGGCCCGGGTGAACGTTTAGAATAGACGGTGGTGCGCGTCTTAATTTCCAACATCATCGAATCTTCCTCCACTCCAGAAGAGGGGGGAAGACTCACCCTTCATTAATGTCCTTTAGGATCTGTTCGTTGGCAGGATCGTCGTAGCGCATCAGATCGCCGTCTTCCACAGTGAATCCATCTTGCCAGAATGTGAGGTGCCGAATCACGGTTTCCTGTCGATCTTACGATGATCATTCAACACGGGGGCCAACGCTCAGATCCCCAAAGCTCACCTGCAACGGAGGGGGAGCTTGGATCAGGAACATAGGTGCTTTCCACCTCATCGCTGCCCAACCGATGTCCGCCCCCTACGAAAGCGGTAGACCGAGAGTTTGCCTGTGCTGGAATCGGCGCAGGTCCGGCTCTGTAGCAGACGGCATTGGTCTCCTCAAGTACTAGAGATTGCAGGAGACTCACTCTGCTGCCCTCTGTAGCAAATTCCTCACAAGATCGCCTCCAGGTACCCCTCCTCTTGATCGTTCCGGGTTCTGCACTGAAATGCCACTAAAATACTTTTTGAGATGCCTTTGACCAGGGCTCGCACTAATCCCACCTTCGCTCTCCACCAGCAAACCACGTCTCGCGACGATCATCCTGGGGCTGATTCTCGTCGTCACTATCATCGTCGGGTTGAGCCATAGGGCTATCACCTGCCGCGCTTGCACTGACATTATTCACGGCGTGAAATCTAACAATCGGGACCTTCATACCTAGGTCCACTGCTCCATGCACCGATGCGGCCGATTCTTGGTGCGGTGTTGGATGGCCGATTCCAAGTAGATTGAGGGCGTCGTGAGGTGGAATTATCTTCTGACATTTCTTTGTGGAGTTAAAGGGAAATTCTTAGGCTTCAGTACAATGCTTCGAGTCCGACGAGGGCAACGCAACCCTCAATGGTACACGTGATCATCGTTTACAGGGGAATTTTACAGGGGCCTCCTGAAGCCACGACCTCAACAGCATCGCGATTGAGCAGGCTTCGCATAGAACGAAACATTGGTTGGACTAGCCCTAAAAGTTCTGTGAGAACGATATAGAGTCCTTGAAGATATGATAGCCCGGATGTGGAAAGATACGTCGCGAGTGCAACTGTCCCGGAGACACCGATATCTTATCAGCCTAATTCTGGTATCAAGTATTTGACGATACCGGAACGACCATGTGTACCAGATACCAAGCCTCCACTAGACCCCAGAGAGCGGGATGGCGTGTTTCCCCACCCAGATCCACGACAGAGGTTAACTGGCTCAAACATGACCCACGTACGACTCTAGATACAGGTACGATCGTCTAGGCGTGGGTGCGGTCGAGGTGAAGTATTGTTGAAACCAAGTCCACGCACGGCTTGCGGAAGTCCTGATGGTGCAGTGTAATCTTACAGCTTGTTTGCATCAGGTTGTATCTCTAGATCTAGGCACACGCATGGGCGTCGGGTGGGATGAATCAACGTCGAAATGTGGCCGAAGCCAAAAAGATAGGACACGACTCTTCGTCTATTGGGAAACAAGGGGGCGGGATGGAGCTAACTGTGCTGTTGCTGTGACGGTTCCTCTGTGGTATGAGAGCGCAAAGACCAGGTTGGACTCCAGAAGTTGAACGTGCGCAATCCCTCGATAACGGCGGTGGAGCCACAACGGATTGGAACATAGTGACGCGATCCTAGAGAAGACTAAGGTCGAAAGTACTGTACCACGCCGATACCAGAGAACCACGCTCGCCGGTTCAGTTTCCGCAATAGTAGACCACAAAGGACGTGCATAAGGTGACGCATTAGGAGAGCAGTACATAGATCGTACGCACATCATACATACAAACAAGACAGAAAAAAAGATTACCGCAATTGCCGAGGCTTCCATACCTTTTTCTCGACCTTTTGGAAGCCATCTTCCTCCGCCTTATCGTCTCTAGCCGGAGCAGGGGAAGAGGGGCGTGAACCCCCGGATACAGCAGCAGAGCTTCTGGAAATCGGCGACGGGGCGCTGCCGCCTGCCGCCTCTCTCTGCGCACGCAAGGCACCTGGGGTATAGCGCTTGACGGGGGCCGCACCACCCGCAGGGCTCTCTGGTCTGGCGGGAGGGATAGTCGAGGAGCGTGAAGACGCGAAGGGCGTAGAATTGGCAGAGGGGGTAGATCTTCTCCACACACCCGCGTCCTCCTTGCCGTTCTCCCGGGCTGCCGCGAAGACAGGTTTCCTGACGGCCTGCTGAGAGGCAGAAGCCTTCTCTGCAGCACGGGCTGCTCTGCGGGCTTCTGCCTCTTCCTCGCGTTGGCGTTGCAAGCGGGCCTGTTCATCAGCCTTGGCGCGCTCCTCCTCACGGGCCTTGCGGATGGCTGCGTGTCTTTCTTCCTCCTCACGTTTCTTGGCTTCAGCTTCTGCACGAGCTGCTTCTTCTTCCTCACGAAGTCGCTCCTCTTCAGCGAGGCGTTCTAAGAACATGACCGTCAGCTATGCACAACGCGTGTCCAAGCTTATAGGTTCACTTACCAGCCTCAAGTCTAGCTTGCTCTTCTTCCTCTTCCCTACGTATTCTCTCCTCCTCTTCCTGCTTCTTCTTTTCCTCTTCCCATTGCAACAGAAGGGTCCTCTTCCTCTTCGCTTTCTCCTCCGCAATTTTCCTAGAAGCAGCCTCCAACATCTTTGTATACTCCTGTTCTTTCTTCGCGGCTAACACTTCTTTCCTGGCCTTATAGTCGGCCAGCATCCGCGACAGTCGTCCCTTCGTCTCCAGGTTTTCGTCGTGCGTGTGTTTCGCAGCCTCCTTGACAGATTTTTGCACCGACATGAATGTTTCACGGTCATTACTTTGTTGCTCTTCGTAATCCCTATCAAGGAGAGGCCGCTCGTCTTTGCGATAAGCACGCTCGATGTGATCCAGGCGCTTGGAGACGACACGCAAGCGTTCAGTCATCTCCTTCTTCTCCTTCTCGATCTGCGCGACCTGGATCGATATGAGATTCTCCTGGTCCAAATTCTGCATATTATCCACATCAACACCCTTGAGCTGACCACGTTCCACCATCGCCAGCGCGAGCTTCTTCGCCTCCTCAGCCCGTATACTCTCAATCTCTCGTTGTGTCCTCTCCCTCTCCTTCTTCCGAGCCTCCTCCCTCAACCGCCTCTCGTCCTCCTCTTTCTCCCGTCGGGCAATCTCGGCTCGTCGGCTCGTCTCTTCCTTCTCCTTGCGAACGGTCAGCTCGCTCAGCAATTCTCTCCGCCTGGCCACCAGGGCACGCCGCACTTGCAGGGCCTTGCGCTCTGCTTGGGCCACAGCGACAAGAGATTTGACCTTCTCCTGCTGCTGCTCCGCTGTCAACGCAGGCGGAGGCGGGTCGATCACAAGGAGCGAGTTATGAAGGCATGTAGCTATCGACGAGAGGCGTGTTCGCACAAGCTCAGCGGCAGACGGCTGAACGGTCGATTCCCATGACGAGCCAGACGCCGCTGAAGACGTGCTCGCTTCTTCATTAGAGCTGAAAGCATCGTCGACGAAGGTGATGCTGCCAGCGGCATGGTCGACCCTGATGGCTAATTCTCCTCTCCTCGCGCAACCCATCACGTACGCTTCCACCTGCACTTCGTCAAACGTCGAATTGTCATCAGCGCTAGACTCCTTGAGAGGGGCAATAAGTTCGTGGAGTTGTGCGATTTTAACGGTCGAGTAGACCTGGGAGAGTTGGGAGAGAAGACGAGAGAGGAGAGCGCGTTGAAGGAGGGTCAAGTAAGGAGAATACGATGCATCCTCCGATAGTTCGTGGAAAAGAGGTGCGATGGATGAACAGAGTGACAGCGGGTCGAACGTGACTTCTAGAATGTTGTACAACGATTTGACCGAATTAGGGGAGAGTCGTAGGACGTCTCTCGAAAGCTGAATATTATTACGCATGAGTCGACATCAAAATCAGGCTCAGATGGCCACTCACCGCGTCCTTAAGCAAGCCAGAACGCGAAGGCATCTTAGTGAGCCCTAGCAAGGCGCTCAACCGAGCGTTCTTCCCTTTCAGCTCATCCTCGGTGTGAAGACCCACAGGGACGGCTAGGGCGCTAACCAGGACTTGTGCGGCCAATCGACTCATCTCCTCTGACGACTTTCCACCGATGCTCGATACAATGGCGTAGTATCGGCTCCATGCAGCAGCATGATAAAGCGCGTTGCCGCTCATCAAGAAAATCCTGGTCAGCTTCTCGTAGTAGCCGGCCATCATAGCAGGACGCGGGGCTTTCTTGGCCATCGTTAACAGATTGTGGACATCTTCGACAGAACGGAAGGCTTCCTGCCACAACTCCAGCTCAACGGACGTATTGAGCTGTGCGAAGCGGGTGTCGAGATGGTGCTGAAGCGTGTCGGCGTCGGAGAGGTTGATGGAGTGGGGCTGTTGCGAGTATTTGCCGACATTCGCAAGGTGAAGTCGCAGAGTCTCACAGAGACGACGGAATTCGACCTTACGCTGGTATTTCAAGCAGAACTTGAACGCTTGTTGGGCAATTTGCTAGAGGGGAATAATGTCACCGTCCAATACTTGAGTAACCTGTCCATACCTGATAGATTGTCTCCAGTCGCGCATTGTTCTTCAGCGTCTCCAGCGACGTTCGATAGCTCTCCCACAAGAATTTGAGCCAAGGAGTGACGAGCGCCCTGTCTGTCCTGTCCTTGCTCTGGTCGCCACTGACGGCGCCCAACAGAATGCTCTCCGGAGTCTCGCTCGCCTCCAGATCATCGACGTCTAATGCAACCTTGATCGCTGCTTTCTCCTGCGCCTCCCTGACCTTCTTGTCCGCCAGCTCTACGAATCTCGTGATCACATTCTCAATACTCTGAACGCTCGTATTCTGGGCAATGTTTTTGTACTGCATGAGCCCCTCCTTCGCCGTTCTACCCTTGCGCATCTCGACGCACAGCTCGACGAACCGGTGCATTATCGGTTCCAGAGAGGTGAGTGGTGTCGATCGGAATTTCTTCGACGAGAACATTTCGGTGAGAGATTGCAGAGCCGCATGCGTCTGTCCAACTGATACGAGGCCCTCTGCCTGTTTGAGGACTGTTTCTGGCCGTGTAGCAGGCGCCATTTTGTTGAGTCGAATTTCACGACACGAAAGTTGCACGAAAGCAAGAATTGATCGATTCTTTGTTTAGGGCAGGCACTGTCTCAGCGCTTAAGCGCTTATGTTCTGTGATCCCGTGATATGGCCCTAATAGGGGAGCTCCTGCTGAGCCCCTGGTACTCCTGTTACAAGTAATCCCATCCATTGTTTCTTTATTCGAGGACCGCGTAAGATCTCCCAGTATGATAGTATATCCTTATTGTAACTGCCTTACATCGTAAGCTCAGGGGATGTGTGAAGAGCCTCGGCTTTTTGAACAGCTTTGTCGCGCGCCGACACCTAAGGCTCAGTGGTCCCGGTCAGCTCCCACTTCTCTCTCAACCGACTCTGCTTAACTGAGCGAAGCGACACGCACATGTATATACCCATCAGTACCTCCTACACTGTATTCTTTGTCATCGTTTGCTGCGACACTGTGAGCGAGATATATTATAATTTGACATCACTTGGTAAGCGTTGCGTCGCGCGATGCTTGTTGGCGGACACTGATCTATCTACGAAGGGCGCAATAGCAAAGAATACCTTTGCTCATCGTTCAGACGATCTACGAAGGACGGGGATAGCTCATCAGAGCGGGACCCTCTGATCGCTCGATCCACCCAACCCCTGCCTCAACGACCCATGGACCTTACCCATCATACGAAGCAATGCCTCTGGTGCGATGGGCATCGCCGTCGGCCACTCCATTCGGTGGAACTACGTATTGCGAGATTCACATCGGAATATCGTGGGGTGTGACTATGAAGCAAGCACTTGGAATTGATCATGTTTATGGAGTAGCGGCGAATTTAGACCTACCTATGTCCGCAGTGTGTCGACACGCAATGTCGACATTACACGGCCTCGACGGCTTCACATTCCTGATTTTCTTAGTCACAACCAAAGCACATTGGCTGTGGCTATTATTTTCGGACTTCACATACATAGTCCTCGAGCAACCATAGTAGAGCATATACACCATAGTCAAAAGCAAAAATTACATCGCGCCGTTGCCATCAGCACTACTTCCCTACTCTGCCTTCTTAAAGACATCCAGCACGGCTGCGCCTGGCAAACTAGTGGACGCGGGGACAGCTCCCGACGCGTAGTGTTTCTTCGCCTCTTCCTCCACATCAGCACATGGGACGTCGTCGTAAAGCTTTCTCGCATCGAGGCGCCCCATCGCTTCAGCGTTCGCTAGCGTGTTGTCCCCGCGAATATACAAACTCTTGAAATAATCCGCTACGATCCGCTTCACCACGTTCTGCATCTGCTGCGTCCCTTTCTCCAGCTCCTCGTCGGGAATCTGAACACCAAAAGACAACATAAGAAATAGAATAAACGATCAGCGGATACTAGCATGCTCTCATAACGAAGGTACTCACGTGGTAGTAATCAGAGAAGTCCTCCCCAGTGATCCTTTCGGCAATTGCCCATATTTCACCCAGGCTGATCTCCCCGTCATACGCTACGACCGCCTGGTTGAGTGTTCGTGGATCGGCGATGATGCGCGCGACGAGCTTTCCGATGGTCGGCATCGTCGAGTAGATTGTTTTCTGCTTCTTGTCCCCCGGGTAGCTCTTGTGCGTCAGAAGAGTGTCCGTTGCAGAGTGCAGAGGCGGGAACATGACGTGAAGCCAGGTCCCGACTTCGATGAAGGTATACCCAAGGCCGAGCTCTTTGATGTAGTCACGGATCCCGAGTTTCTGATTACACATGGGTGTACATCGTTAGAGCGAACAAGACATCTGACGAGAGCATGGATGGAACGTACGATGTCATGCATAAACATCGCCCCCTTTGGCGCGGTCGAGGCAAAGTCAGATGGAATCACACGTCCAACCCCAGCATTCTTTGCTGCCAGCAACAGCGGCTTCTGATCCACCATCACCAGCACCGTAGAAATCAACACATCCACGCCCTTCAGGTAGGACTCCAGCTTCTCCGCAGGATCAGAGATATCGCCCACCATGACCTCAGCGCCGGCGTCGGTGAGCTCCTTAATGGCTGGTTTATCCTTGGATGCTTCTCGGACCAGGATAGATAGACGCTGAGTCGATTGAAGGCCAGAGGAAGGACGTCAGTTAGTTGATGAGTCGATGATAGGTAGCTAACTAACTCACGAATTTGTTGGACTCCTGGAGGATTGCCCTTGCGATTGGTCCTCCAGTCCGCCCAGTGGCACCAACGATGAAAACATGGACTTTCGACATCTTTATGCAAAGTTCTTGCTGATTGGGCAGAGGGTGCAAAATGTTATTGAGGGACTTGATGCTTGTTGAATTCAGCAAAACCCAGGGGAACTTGCTACTTCGGAGTCATACTTATGAGAGATATGCGGTACCGAGAAATAAGGGATGCCGATGGCCAGAGATTCGTGTATGTTGTGGGAGAGTAGGACGGTAGGGCGTCTCCACGCACAACAGCCGTCCGGCGCGCTTATACGCGTCCACATTATAAGTTGGTTACTGTAGGTCACTGCACTTGGCTACACTAGCCTATCATCGACGCCGATGCTGACTTCCCCAAGAGCAGCTCTGATGAGACCTCTGATGGTGGTGCTTTGCACCCCTGATTCATGATTAAAGGAGTTTTATGCGCCATACGCGCACGAGGTAATGATATCAAGATCCTTGACTAAGTTGGAAACGTCAGCGTGTAGGGCACAAGGAGGCCACACACCTACAGCTACATTCACAGTCGTGAATGATTGGATTCCACGGCCCTAGGCAAGGCCAGTTGGAAGTTTCATCGCCCCCAGGTCTTCTAGCCCTGTTCATATCTATATACTGACCTGGCCACGGATCTTCGCCTGCCTGAACATGATTACATCAATATTCAGGTTGTCAACCCGCATACATATGAGTCTGATACAAACTTTTCATAGCCCCCCCGCGGGGCGTCGACGGGGTCGAAGAACTCTTTGACTCCATCACCACTCATGCTAGATACCCTGACGGCCTTCAGATATTCATCCAACACTGGATTGGTTCGCCCTCCGGGTCGCGAGCCCCGTCATGTGTAGCCAGAGCTGCTCCGAACTCTTCAAAGTCTTGCATCTATTCCGACGCAAACTCATTAGGTTGGAGATCCGCTTTGTTGAAGACAAGGAGGAACCATAGCTTCGTCTTGTAGAGGATGCTGTGATCGCGAGAGTAGCGCGCGTCCCTGCAAGCATGTTCGACATGAAGGTGGCAGGGGCGGTCGTGCGCGGAATGTCCACCGAATATGCGACTACGGTATGGCGTCGGTGACGATTGTCCCCGACGCCGACCAAGTAAACTTTTCAATTTGTCCTACCGTATCCAGAATCACATAGCTAAGGCCCTTTAGCAAAGAGGGCGATACCAAGAGGCACACAACTCACTCGACATCTCCGCCAAATTCAACACCTGATCAAACTTGGTCACAAACAGGTTCATCATCGCGGTCAGAAGCCCGCCGCCGCCGGGAGGCTGTATCTTGACACCGCGTCTCTGGAGAGTAAGCGAGCACCAACGCACTGCTTCATGACCTCCTGGTAGTCCGGTGCCTCTAGTGTGAGGATGTACGGCAGCCTGTCGAAGTCCTTCGCGTGAAGAAATGAGTTAATCCGCTGGACGAAGCGAAGGTCGACTTTCTGGCCCTGGCCATTCCAATCGTGATGACCAGGGTAGGTTTCTTTCCCCGAGAACTGCTCATGCTGGAGAAAGGAAAGGAGTGAAATTCCTGCTTTTTGGCGGGCATCTCATGCTCGCGCACACAAGAACAAATAGTCGATTCTCGGATTTCCCGGCCTTCTGCCTTCTCTGCTCGTACCGACGCGACAACCACACTCACGACTCGCGTAGCGACCAATCCACGGCAATAAATGGCCAGGGATTTGCGTTAAGAGGGCTCAGATTTGTTGAAGAAGGCCGTCTTGGTAGAGGCATCTAGTAACATTTGAAACACGTATTCCAGTCACAGCCTGGGCACCATCGATGGCTTCATGCTTTCCGATATCAAGCTGCAACATGTTCCAACAGTCCTGCCGTTCCCTTCGGTTTCTAGGGGTTTTCAGACGATGCAGTCGAGGTGCAATGCAGACCGACGTACTGTATGTCGTCGATATCAGTGACAAAGCATTGAAGGAGCTTGAAGTCCCCAGGTGATACACATGCTGTACACAGCATTTCAATATTCGATAGTAGGCGATGGTGAAAATGATAACCTTGAGAAGACCAGCCACCTCTTTCCCGCAAGGCGCAGCTTGCACATGAGGCGTCTACACTGACAGCGCCTACTGACTTGAACCAAAGAAACAGCCATGGGTTTCCGGGAATTCGAACTCACTGATGGTGTCTGTAACTGGCTCTACCACAATGACATTAACGAGGTGCACTGGCCGCCAGCTCACATCCCCCGGTCGTGCACAATCCAAATTCTGTCCGTCAAACGAGCAGGTGAACCGCCCAAATTTCGGATAACCATATCGGATGGTGCCAACATCATCCAAGCCGTGTTGCGGGACTCCCTCAACAACTTGGTAGACAGCGGTCGAATTCGCAAGGGCGCCGTCGTTAGCTTCAGCTGCGTGTCGTCGGACTTCTTACGGGGGAAGCGGTGAGTAAGTTAAACCTATTTCATATTCTCCATCACTAATCACGGCCTGTAGACTCGTGATCATCCACACGATTGATAGCGTGCTCACAAGCGAAGTAGAAAAAATTGGGGATCCCACATTCCTCCCTCCACCAAGTTCTGTAGCGAGCGGGATCGCTCGGGATGCTGCGATGGCGGGATCAAACATTCCGGCCGAATTGAACCCAGCGCGCACACAGCCATCGTACCAGCCACAGGCCGGCCCCTCCAGGATCACACAGCCGGAGCCTCGCACTCGCGCTCAGGTTCCTGCGACTGGATCGCAAGCCAGTACCTCTCGCGAGCTCATCACCGTGCCCATCGCCTCCCTCAACTCCTACTCAGCCAATTGGACAATCAAAGCAAAGATCGTCAGTAAATCTGACATCATCACTTCCAAGAACTCGAACAATCTCTTCTTCGTCGAACTGGTGGATGATCGTCGTGATGGCCGCAGCCAGAGTCAGACAACAATCAAAGCGATGGTCGTGAATAGAGTGGACGAGTTGCACGGGAGCATGCGAGAGGGTCAGATTTATTATGTTTCTGGTGCAAAATTGGAAAAGGTAGACGAACGATATCGTCGCCCGAACGGGCATGATTTCAACCTTGTGTTTAATCGGGGAACGAAGCTTGAGTTGGTATGGTTGATCCTTTCTGTTGCAGGGCTCAAGTCTGATCATCGATAGTGCGCTGACGCCCCGCCGCCAGCACCGCTCACATACAACTTCGTGCCCATCAATTCGGTACCCCAACTGCCCACAGGGTCAACATGCGGTAAGGACACAACATCCTCATCGTCTCACTCTCACCATGCGAAACAGATATCCTCGGCGTACTCTACAAGTGTGACCCGGTGAAAGAACAAGAGTCCGCGAAAGGAAAGGTAAGTACGCTTGCACAGCTCCGTATCAACTCACGGCCCATTGTCTATCCATAAGTTCAAGCTACGATATCTTACAATCGTCGACAAGTCCCGCGCATCCGTGCGCGTCACCCTCTTCCGTGGGGCGGCAGAAAAATTCGAAGCTGACGAAGAGGAAATCATCGCGTTCAAAGGGCTAGAAGTACAGGACTTCCGCGGTGAGCCTGCTCATCAATCCCAATCCAGTCCTCATATCTCGCTTCTCTCCTCTGATAATCTTAACACTGATGGTTATTTGTATACGGCGTAGGCGTCTGTCTGCAACTCAGCTCTTCAAGCTCGATGACTATCCACCCTGATCTGACTGAAGCGTCTGACTTGCGCGGATGGTACGACTCACTGGGGTCCTCCCAAAGCTTCCACCCCTGCAGTTCCGCATCCGCCTCCGGCCTGCGCAGCGCCGGCAATTCCCCCCAGAAGCAAAATCAAAGGCAAAATCCAAACGGCGTCAATAACACGGATGGCGACTCTATAGGTGGATTGTCGCCAGCTAGGCCGCTGACGATCAGGCAAGTTCTCGACGAGGAATACTTGTCCATGCCCGAATCGCAGTCGCAGTCGGCAGGCCGATACGGAGGCGGGAAGAAGGGGCCGAAGTTCTCCTTGCAAGCCACGGTTGTGTGGATTGACCCAAGCAGGGTGACGTACCCCGGGTGCCCGACGTGCTTGAAGAAGGTTGAGCGCAAGGACGGGAGCTGGGTGTGTCCAAGGAGGCATACGTCTGCTGAACCGAGCTATCGGTGAGTATTTCCATTATATCTTCCATCGGTAATAGCTAACAACCGTGTTGAAGGTACCTAATGTACCTCAAAATCGCCGACCCCTCTGGAGAAATTGAATTGCAGACATTCGATCAGACCGGGAAAGCCCTCTTGGGTACTTCTGCGAACGAGCTCGAACACCTCCGCCACACACCCGGCTTGTTGCCCCAGTTTCAAGCTATCTTGCGGGCAACGTGTTCGCGGGAGTTCACGTTCGAGTGCCACATTGATCAGTATGATGTGAGTCCGCATAGTTCCTCCTAGTTCCTTCGTTGACGTATTCGATCTCATAGGGTAGGACTAAGTATGTGATCGACCAGGCGATGCCGCTCGACTATGCTAACGAAGCGGACCAATTGTTGACTCTTCTTCGTTCGCGCTGGGCTACAAGTAAGTAAACATCAAGATACCCTATTAGCGTGCATGCGTAATTCCCGAGATTAATGTGTACCATATCCCCCTCATACCACTCACGCTGCTCTGCACCCGCCTGTCCCCGCTGTTCAACACTGATAGATGTTACTGGCTTGCAATTTCATTGCTTGTTGTCTAAACAGTTATACTCATTTGTTGTTTATGAATGAACTGGTTGGTGTATCTGTATTATAACAATGCATGAATTCTTCAGTGCACGTAGGGGCTATATAGAAAATGAAATACTGCAGGTATAGGAAGCTATGAAAGACAGACAGCGTATGTAGACGGTAGCTAGACGCACACACGCACACACCGCGCGAACTCTTCAGCTTCGCTTTCACCGAAATGAAATTTCTGACTGAGTCGGCAATCCCAACAGAAGTGAAGCGCACTGGATCATCTGGTGTATCCGGCGAAGTAAGGGTGTATCAAAGCGCGTTTTGCTAAAAATATGGCAAACAGAATGATACTGAGTATCTCAATGGAGGGGCGAAGATCAGTGTGTCTCTACCTGAGATGCGCTTTGCAGAATCGTACGCCAAAGTTTTCTATATAGCACAGAACAGATCAGACAAATACTTGAAACAGCAGAGGGAATCAATGATTACCTTCAGCATGTCGAGCCCATCTTCATCCAGCGTGCTCACAATACGGCCTAGGTCCTGCTCCGACCACTGGGGGAAGGTCGGCTTATAGTCCGGCAGCGCGCTGACACCTGGCCAAGTCTCGTCGTTCGGCGTCCCGAGGATCCTGACCAATATCGTTGAGTCAGATCAAGAGAGGAATGATGAGTGAATTACCTGAAGATCTTGAATATTTGATCAATCTCTGAGTCGCCAGGGAACAGGGGGTGGCCGTGCATCGCCATCTCCGCAAAGATGCAGCCGACAGACCACATATCAATCGCGGTAGAGTAGTGGCGCGAACCAAGGAGGACCTCGGGGGCACGGTACCAAAGGGTTACAACCTGAGAAGTGTAGTTGAGAAAATCGTTTGAGAATGAAAGAGGAGTGTGCGGTGAACGCACTTCGTGCGTATAAGTCCTCATCGGGATACCGAAGGCGCGAGCAAGACCGAAGTCCGCTAGTTTGAGGTTGTCCGTCTTGTCGATGAGCAGATTCTGCGGCTTCAAATCACGGTGCAGAATACGATGAGAATGACAGTACAGCAGACCCGAGTTCATCTGATGCGTGAACTTCTGCAGAGATAGGGAACAACATTAGTGACATGCGAACTAAGTAAAACATGTCAATCCGGCTCGGTTGACCGAGAGAACACGAGAAAGGCAGTAGATGGTCGCGGCGACCATTGTGGGGCTGATGAAGGGTCACGTGGGGTGCAATCTGAACCCGGAGGACAGTCGCGCCGGACGTGAACATGCGCTGTCAGAGGAACACGCCGGCGCATATATACACATGCCAGGGCGTCGTTGACCTCGCTAACCTCGACGCGTTCCCGAGGGCGCGCACGGTTAAATGGCGCGTCTATCACGCGTTCAGAGCGCCATAACCCCAATCACATACCTTGAGAAGTGCAGGTGACAGCGGGGTGTTGCGCTGATTGCCGTTCTCCATGTATCGTTTCAGATCCACATCCAGGAATTCAAAGACCAAGTAGAGTTTCTGATCTGCGTGCACGATATCCAGGAGCCTGGTAACGCCATGACATGGACATGGGAACATGGTGCGCAAGATGAGACATGCAGGAGTCAGAACATCGGATTTGAAGGAGAGAGCATAAGCACGCACTTGACAATATTGTCATCCCGCAGCTCTTTCAGCAAGCTGATTTCTCGGATCGCAGTGCTTGGCACGCCTTCGTCTTCAGCTTCGAGGCGGATTTTCTTGAGGGCGACGATAGCATTGCTGGTCGTGTCTCGGGCTTTGTAGACAACACCATACGTTCCTGGTCACACTTGAGCGATCCCAAGTATCATGGACAGCATTAACGCTACCGAATCCACTCACCTTCTCCTGTAAATCCGTACCGACGCTTAGGATGGGACGCCATCGCTTACGCCGAGCTGAACTTTGATAACACACCGACTTTCTCAATCTTGGCGTAGCTAGACAAGCATTCAGCCTCATCAGCTTCAAACCAGCGGTCTAGTCTAGGTGCATGTCGCTAACCGATCCATGATTGTCCTAGAGGCCCCGAACGTTGAATGACAAGAGTGTAGGTAGAGGCGACGATGGGGGATGCAGACTGTTAATCTGATCAAATGACCTTTGATGAGGCGTAACGAGGGCACAATTCAGGCGTTGTGAGTGTTGTGAGTGAAGAGGCACCTTTTGGCCTTTTTAGTCCATTATATATGGGCACAGCTACAGCCACATTTCGGCAGAATGCTTTTCAAGGTAAATTATTTGATTTCTTATTGTACTTTTGACGTCTGGGTTACAGGAAATAACCAATGACTCCCTAGGATACCAGGTACTCCCCAATTGGCCAAATTTTACGTCTCTAATTCCACGATCTCAAGTTTGAGTATGGGAGGGAATTTACAGGGGCAACCCGCGAGCACGGAAATAGGCTAAACCGGCCGAACGGGCGGTGTCGACGCTCAGGCAACCTCTAGAATATAAGTGAAGTGAATGAAGAATGAATGAAATACTACGTACTCCCTGAAGCGAGCAGGTGAAGTGATGCGTGACGGTCATTATCGTCGGCCAGCATCTGCTTAGTGTCATCAATGAAGAATTTCTAATGCATGGTCAATACAGATGATAAGGCAGGTAATCAAGGAGACGTCCCAGGCTGGCAGTGCGTGAAATACCACGTTGTGTACTACAGCTCCATACTAACCCTGGTTTCTTGGGCGACCAGTCTAGAAGTGACCAACGTAGACATGGGCGCATCAAAGTCCTCGTACTGAAAGTCACCTTTACGCTGAGAGACATGTTAGCCGCGGGAATAGATAAGTGTGAAGGGCGACGCACGGTGAGATACTGCTTTAAGCTCGTAAGAATCACTTCAATAAATCTTCGAGGCCCTCGATGAGTTCAATCCGAAGCGTGAAAGATACGGCCACCGATCACGAGTGTATTCGCCGCCACTGTGACGTACAAGTCGACGAAACCTTCGACGTGAATCACTGCCTCGTTCCTGTTGTTGTCTCCTTGCGATCCACTTCCCCCCGCGATGCCGATGCACACATGCGTGTCGGACATCCACGGACCAACAGCGGACGAACAACAATGCCGGCAAGGATTGGACCATTGGTCACACGCAACTCCAACGCAGCAAGGTCTGTCGGAATTTCAGGAATAGATCTCCCACTTATCGGCGTCACGTTCAAATTTCGCCGTGAGCCCAGGAGCCAGGACTGTGAATGTGCGTGAGTTTTCGGGGGGACGAGAGGTTTGTGCGGCTTGGTTGACGGCGTCGAATACGGCATTGATCACTGACAAGTGATTTGGATCGGCCATGACGGGATGTGCCACATCGTCCGGTGAAATGAGATGAAGCCATGGGCTCCCCGTCAATAGGAGACTAGTAAATTTAGTCAGCCGCCACTGAAACAAAGAATCCAAGAACACCGACCTCTTCCTGGTAAAGACTTGACTTCTGGAGGTACAGTGGACGATATCGCCTGCGGGATACAAAGCTTTGATTGAGAGAGTTCACGGAACCCAGAAGCATTGCGAAGATAATAGATGAGCGGGCCTTGAGATTTCTATTGGTCGAGCACGCCCAAAGATAAGAAGCTTCATAAGAATGCACGCCACTGGGTGGTGGCAATGAGTATGTAGCAAGAGTGATCCATTAAATGGTTTGCAAGGAAGCTACATCACCTCCAGAAGCATGCGTGCCTTTGACTAAATGGAAAGACTTCTCTACTCGCAGAGGTCAATTAGGTAAAGCTTACGACCATCCTGATGCTAGAACTACTGATCAGTCCTGATATATTGCGAGAAGGGGCGACGAGACTTACCCAGGGGTGAACAAGGATCGTGTCGATGCTTCATCCTACCGAAGATGCGACAAAGCCGGCCTGATTCTATGAAAGACAGTTAGCTTGGTCTGAGCCTGGTACTGGACAACCTACCGGCGATCGAACGACCGTAATCGCCACAGAGTCCATATGATGAGAGCACAAGTCTCCGGGTATCACAGGAAAAAGTGAGAAGAAAAATAAATAATATTTATGTTTGAGCACAAGCGAAACGGTAGTATATCCATCATCGTCCAAAAAAGTCAAGATGCATAACCAGGGGCAGGATAGAAGTGACAGCAAAATCGTGCGGCTGTATGTAGATCATCCTTAGGTTCCACCTAAAAGCCGTTTCCTAAAATGCCAGCCTCTACGAGTCCCAGAACGGTGGAGCGAAGTACGAGACGCAGGCGTCACAGGCATACTGGGTCAACAACGAGATGGGTGATGTGATTTCGAGACCCGAGGAACGTTAATCTGTACTCAAGGCGAACAATCCAACGGGGGTCTGAGCGATGCCAGGACTTTTGACTTCGGGCTGAGACGGAGGCCAGCAACTACGCATCGGATGCGAGGCGATCTCCACTGAACATCTGTATAGCTTTGTTCTGCTGCGTGGGGAATCATGGATCGGGTTCCAGCTTTTCACCGCGAGCGAGAACACGGACAACTTTGCTGTTCGGCTGTGCGACCATCTCCATCATCGCCTTGACGGCTGGGGGACGCTCTACCAAGCCACCTCCATTGTCGCCTCCGTCCCTGTCCCGTCCTAGTGACATTCGTCGGCCTCTTGTTGGTCCGTTTCCTGCGCCCCTCTTCGGTCCGGGGCCACCCTTGAACCCACCTCCACCCACGAAGATGTTCGGAGAAGCGCTATTTCTGTTGCCGTGTCTTGGTTCATCCTCAGAAGCGTCTTCGGATTTAACCTCAAGAACATCCAGACCTGAGCGCTGGCCCCAGTACGCAACGAGACTGCCTGCAACTCTCAATTCATGCTTGCTCGCCTGTGCCAAAGGGATTGGTACGGGAGCAAGGGTGGCTCCGTCTGGAAGTTTGCCCGCGGGCGATGTTGGAGACAGATGTGGCGCTGTGGTGATCACAGCCAAGGCAATCTTTGGCTCTGTCGATTTCGTCTTCTTGAGCACTTCATCAGCTTCCCAGCGGGCGCAACAGATAGTTCGGCGAATCCACTCGGGGGATCCCATCATTGCTTTGTCGACGACATCAGGCTCGTCACGAAACTTGATTTGATCCCAAAGTACATAAGCATCATCTTGCTGGACGCGAATTCGGGGATTTACGCCAACTTGGGCTTCGAGGAGGCGAGATGCTGCCCGTGCTCGTACAGCGAGGGAGGTGGTGCCTTTCTTGAGCAAATCCAAGGTGTTCAAAACTGAAGATATATTAGGAGGGTAGTTAAGGCGGGCGACTGCTCGGACGCACCTTCTAAAGGAACGATCACAACCTCCTGCCTTCCATCCCGGCACCACTTCTTGACCTGAGATAAGGCATGAACAAGAACGCTAGCATCCACTATAATTACGTCGGCGTCTTTGCTCTCTTCGTAATCTTCGTGGGACCGTCGTCTCCTGAAGTCGACATCTCCGTACGATTCTCGACCATTCCTTCGGCGTTGGTCCGCCTGCTTGAAGGGCGGTAGTCGCTGATTTGCGAACGTGTTCTTCTTCTCTCGCCATGCACCTTGCGGTGTGTTTACGGACTTCTCCAATTGCTCGACCTGGTGGCTGAGGAAGGCGGCACCCAACGCACGAGACATCGCCATCTTATTTGCAGCCATCGTAGGTCCCTGGTAGAAATGGGTGAGTGAAGGATGTCATAATAGCCATCGAACTCACCTTGTCAGACATTGTATGTAGTGGAACGAAGTAGAGAAGCGCTTCCGGAGCTGTACCAGCCTTGTACTAGTTGCCACGGCAGTACAGCTTATGTCAGCCGCTATATATACCTGTGCCTTGATAAGATAAGATAGTGGCTTGGGCTTGAGGGCCGATGCTAGGAGCACGGCAGGCTCCTAGAACCAGAGCGACTCGTATCGCTCGAATGAGCTCATTCGGTTTTTAATATGACTACACGTGGGAAAAGTCAAACAAGGACAAAGAGTAGCTAAGAGCTCAAACTCGCGATAGAGCGGCTGGCAAGACTGTCATAGACGCCGGAGTTAGTCGGTGACAGGATGGTCACAAAGGGTTTTGATTGATTTGCAGATAAGTAGTAGATGGGAATGACCTAACTAATTGGGATAGTGATCAGGCTCAACAAGGCTATAGGTTACTAAGAGTACGTGGTAAGTATGGAATGCGTAGTGTAACGGTATCGTGTCACGAGGTGAAGTATTTTGCACCGCTGAGGTCGCGAGTTCGATTTTCGAAGAGGTCACTTTTTGCTCTGACTCTTTTTGAAAGATCCTGACTCAGACATACACACACTAACTGAAGGTCAGCCATTGGCAAGCTAAATTCATTAATGAGATGCGCAGAGACACTTAAAAAAGCGCACAACAAAAAGTGATCACCTCGAAAATCAAACTTGCGACCTCAGCGGTGCAAAATACTTCACCTCGTGACGCGATACCGTTACACTACGCATTCCATACTTACCACGTACTCTTAGTAACCTATAGCCTTGTTGAGCCCGATCACTATCCCAATTAGTTAGGTCATTCCCATCTACTACTTATCTGCAAATCAATCAAAACCCTTTGTGACCACCCTGTCACCGACTAACTCCGGCGTCTATGACAGTCTTGCCAGCCGCTCTATCGCGAGTTTGAGCTCTTAGCTACTCTTTGTCCTTGTTTGACTTTTCCCACGTGTAGTCGTATTAAAAACCGAATGAGCTCATTCGAGCGATACGAGTCGCTCTGGTTCTAGGAGCCTGGGAGCACGGCATGTACGAGACCGTTGAAGACTGGGGCATACTCAACACTTGGGCCACATGTATTTGGGTCATGTGCAGAATTCCCAATTGCAACTATCTGAACTTTGGTGCTTCATACCTTGTTTTGTGGCATCTTGCACTGCATAAGAGATGTTGGCAACTATTGTAGGCCATCCTCACACTAATTACTCTCTCTCAAGCTGTTCTAAGTGCTGTATTGCAAATTGGGCCTCATCGCCCAACCTACAGTTGGCCTCATTCGGCCCCTGGTTAGTTTTGGGTGCCCTCTTTATGCCCTTTGCTATCAGGGGTTATAAAAGGGGCTCACATGACCACTTACTTGTAGCACCAAAAGTCTGGCGATGTTAGGCGCTCACTCCAGCCAATCAGAAGAGAAAGAGCTTTTTTCAAGCAAATAAAGACAAACATCCAGACAGCCAATAGCAGGCTGAGAAATCCCGGCCGAACCAATGAGATCGCTGTTCCTAGTGTAAGGGCAACCTCAAGATGGCCGCACAGTGCAGGCCTAGATCCAAAGATATGAATAGGACTAACTACAATACATGAGAGAGCTGCTCACCTAGCAGAGGGAGAATCCAAAGAGAACAGGATAAGGATTCTCCATGCTAGGAAGCGAAGTATATACCGTAGTAGCATGGGAGGAATGAAGGGTAACTGTACAGTACACCAGCCACAAGTCCGAATGAATATCACAAGGTACAAGGAAACATGTGATAATGAAGTGGAGGGTAAATGCACAGGAGTCGTGCCAGCGACTTGGGGAAGTAAGTGTAAGGGGACACTCCTATTTTCTCCTATTCCCCTGTCCCCCTCCTTTCCTCCTCGTTCCTTTCTCCCTTCCTTCATCCCACGGACTATTACTTACATTCCCTTTGTTCCCCTTTGTTCCTTTTCGCTTCCTTTCCTTTCCACTTCCTTTCCGCCCACTCCTTTCACATCCGAGCTACATCCGGTGACTCCGAAGTCTTCCTGCACTTCGGACTCGCCTCGGACGCTTCGGACTCGCATATACACCTCGGGGCTCATCCGGGCTACCTCCATCCTCCTCTCCCACTTCGTTATCCCTTGTTCCCACTTCCCCAGGTCGCCGGCACGACTCCTGTACATTCCCCTTCCACTTCATTATCACATGCCCCTTTGTACCTTGTGATATTCGTTCGTACCTGTGGCTGATGTACTGTACAGTTACCCTTCATCCCTCCCACGCTACTACAGTATATACTTCGCTTCCTAGCATGGAGAATCCTTATCCTGTTCTCTTTGGATTCTCCCTCTGCTAGGCTTGCACTGTGCGGCCATCTTGAGGTTGCCCTTACAGTAAGGGCGAAGAGTAATGAAGTGGGAAAAGAGGATAGAGGTAACCTGGACAAGCCCCGAAGAGTATAGACAAGTCCGAGCGAGTCCGAAGTGTCCAAGCAAGTCTGAAGTGTCCGAAGCAAGTCCGAGCAAGTCCGAAGTGTCCGAAGTGCGGGAAGACTCCGGAGTCACCGGACACGGCTTGAATGCGAAAGGAGTGGGCGGAAAGGAAGTGGAAAGGAAAGGAAACGAAAAGGAACGAAGGGAAACGAAGGGAATGTAGGTAAGAGTCCATGGGATGAAGGAAAGGAGAGAAAATAGGAGTGTCCCCTTACACCTAGCTCCTCGTTGGACCCTGTCCCAAAGTTTCAGAGCACTTCATACTAACGAGCCTCCATTCCATTCCGGTCTCATAACATGTAAAGGAACACCCCTATTTCCCCTATTCTCCCTATCCCTGTCCCCTCCCCCTCATTCCTTTCTCTTTTCTTTCGTTCCACAGACTCTTATTTACCTTTCCCCTTGTTCTCTTTTTTTCTCTTTTCCTTTCCTTTCCTTTCCACCCACTCCCCTTGTGTCTGTGTTGTATCCAATGACTTCAAGGTGTTCCCATGGTCCTGACTTACTCAGACTTGTACATACACTTTGGGGCTTGTCTGGACAACCTCTACACCCTTTCCCCACTTCATTACTCCCCATTCCCACTTCCCCAGGTCAGCTATCCCACATTCCTCCCACATTACTACAGTATCTACTTCGTATTCTAGCATGGAGAATTCCTATCACTGGGTACGTGTGAGCATATCTTGTAGCAAAACATTGAGAAGTGAAGAAAGAGATAATCCAAATAGAGTAAACATGTCCCACCATTGTTAACTAAAACATATTCCAGAGATCTTTCTCAAATGGTAGCATAGAATATTGTACAATAAATGTAACTTTATCCTGTATATCTTTCCATATATGTTCCTTATATTCATTGACTACATATCATGGCCCCTCCTTTGCCTCTAGTTCCAACTCCACATAAAGCCCTTGAGGCAGAACTCCATCAGACTTGATGGAAGGAAGGAGAACAAGGAGAATATAGGTGTAAGGGGACACCTCTATTTTCCCCTGTTCCCCTGTTCCTCTCCCTTCCTCCTTGTTCCTTCTCCTTTCCTTCATCCCACGGACTCTTACCTACATCCCTTTTGTTCCCCTTTGCTCCCTTTCCTTTCCACTTCCTTTCTGCCCACTCCCTTCGCACCCGAGTCACGTCCGGCGACTCTGAAGTCTTCCCGCACTTTGGACACTTTGGACACTTTGGACTTGCTTGGACCCATCTATACACTTTGGGGCTCTCTGGACTACCTCTATCCTCTTTCCCCACTTCAATACTCTTCGCTCTTACTTTCCCAAGTTGCTGGCACGACTCCTGTGCATTTACCCCCCACTTCATTATCACATGTTTCCTTGTACCTTGTAATATTCATTCGGACTTGTGGCTGGTGTACTGTACAGTTATCCTGCATTCCTCTCACGCTACTACAGTATATACTTCACTTCCTAGCATGGAGAATCCTTATCCTGTTCTCTTTGGATTCTCCCTCTGCTAGGCCTGTGCTGTCGGCCATCTTGAGGTTGCCCTTACAGAGTGAGCGGAAAGGAAGTGGAAAGGAAAGGGAACGAAGGGGAATGAAGGGAATGTAGGTAAGAGTCCATGGGATGAAGGAAAGGAGAAAGGAATGAGGGGGAAGTGAGGAGGACAGGGGGAATAGGAGAAAATAGGAGTGTCCCCTTACATGTGGCATAGATCAATTACCGGATATAGTAACGACAGATTAGACAGTGCTATCACCACACTGTTGCCACACACTAGAATCTTCGTTTGCTCCCACTCCAATACACTCATTGTAGCTTCGTGAGCACAACACAAGCAAAACTAGGTGGTGGTGCCTCTTGCTCATGGCAGCATGCACACTTCTACGACCCCCTGGGGCGCGCAACCAAGCAGCCAGATGTGTACTACAGGTAGGAATATTTCAAGGCTGCGTGTAAATTATGCTTTGATTGCAAGGTCACAGAATTACAAGAACTTGACAACGCAAATCAAGTCCCCATCCCACGCACACAAGAAATCATCGAGGCACAATGTGTGTACTGGAATCACCCTATTAATCAACCACTAACATTTTGCAGTGTGGGCTGGTAATCACAAAGGCAACCTACTATGAGTTCAGTCGCGGCCACTCACATTGGGGAACCACCTGAAGGTCTGCCCATATCAGCAGCAGCAGGTTCAGCAGTGTGCTGTTGATGAAGGCGCAAACAGCCCTTGGACAACACAATATCTCTTGCGCAATCAAACTTCTGGTCCAGTTCTGACCCAACCAATCTGTATGTGTGGTGAAATGTAGTAACAAATTTATAATTGATTTCTCCATAGTCATCTCAGAGGAGCAGGTGACATTCCTTCACCCCATGCCAACCCCTGGACCTCCTGTACCCCCCTTTGTACCATACATTCACCAACCCATTCCAATTCCCTCCAGTGTCATTGGTCGGAGTGGGAGTGCTTCATCTATTCTTCTAGCAAATACAATGCCTTCTGCTTGACCCTCATTTCCAGTGCCACACCCTCCTTACTTCCAGCGTGATCAGTTGTCTCCTGCAGTTTCTTTTCCATCTTCTGTAGGATGTCTATAATTGAGTCGCCAAACCTGACGGCACTTCCCTCTGGCCCTCGTAAACATCGTCGAGATTGCACGCAGTCACGTCCTGGAGAGCACCTTGTCACCCCTTTTTCTCAGGGGCTCTTCAAAACCTACATTGCATGTATCACTGCAAGTGCTGGCTTGCCTCTTTGATCGGTAGAGAACCCTCAGTGGCTCAATTTCCTGTCCATATTCCTTCCACAGGCAGTGCTGGTATCACACAAGGTGTTAACAAAGTGTCTTCTCCCTGAGCAACATCAGCAGTACCTCTCTCAAGTCATTGACAATATCTGCAGGTTGGATGTTACCCTGCAGTGTGATGGTTGGTCAGGCTTGAACATGCATCACTACATTGTGTTCAGAATTACCACCGCGGTGAATCAAGATGTGAGTTCTCTTTGGTCAAAGATATGAATAATGCTACCTACAATACATGAGAGAATACACACCTAGCAGAGGGAGAATCCAAAGAGAACAAGACAAGGATCCTCCATGCTAGGATGTGAAGTATATACTGTAGAAGCATGGGAGAAGAGTGAAAGAACTGTATAGTACACCTGCCACAAGTCCGATGAATATCACAAGGTATGAGCGGAAGCATGTGATAGTAAGTGGAGGGGAATATGCAGGAGTCAGTGTGGGAATATCTTCAAGAGGTCTCCTTAATCTCAAATGGAGTCTTGGTGCCTTCCAGATAGTGCCACCATTTCTCAAGTGCCCAGATGATCAAGAGCATCTCCTTGTCATGTATTTCATAATTCTGCTCTGAAGTGTGTAGACTTTTAGAGTAGAATGCAACAGGATGGCATTTACCATCATCTGGATTGAGGCTGTGACAAGACTGCTCCTGTAAGGAGACACTCCTATTTTCTCTTATTTCCCCTGTCTGTAAGGGGACACTCCCATTTTCTCCTATTCCCCTGTCCCCCTCCCTTCCTCCTCATTCCTTTCTCCCTTCCTTCATCCCACGGACTCTTACATACATCCCCTTTGTCCCCTTTCCTTTCCACTTCCTTTCCACTCACTCCTTTTGCATCCGAGCTTCGTCCGGTGACTCCGAAGTCTTCCCGCACTTCGGACTCACCTTGGACTCACTCAGACGCTTCGGACTTGCTCAGACGCTTCGGACTTGCTCGGACTCGTAGATACACTTCGGGGCTCATCCAGGCTACCTCTATCCTCCTTTCCCACTTCATTACTCCTTGTCCCCACTTCCCCAGGTCGCCGGCACAACTCCTGTACATCCCCCTTCCACTTCATTATCACATGTTTCCTTGTACCTTGTGATATTCATTCGGACCTGTGGCTGGTGTACTGTACAGTTATCCTGCATTCCTCTCACGCTACTACAGTATATACTTCACTCCCTAGCATGGAGAATCCTTATCCTGTTCTCTTTGGATTCTCCCTCTGCTAGGTGAGCAGCTCTCTCATGTATTGTAGTTAGTCCTATTCATATCTTTGGATTCTCCCTCTGCTAGGCTCGCGCTGTGCGGCCATCTTGAGGTTGCCCTTACACTGTCTCCATCCTTTCCCCTTCATTTTCTTCTCTTTCCCTTCATTATGGCATCCTGTTGCATTCTACTATAAAAGTCAGGGATAGGGGTGTCCCCTTACAACATCCAAGAAACTGCAAAAAACTGGCTATTTTAACATGATATACTGTACCATTATGGCCAAGTGCTCGATCAGGCATCATGGACACTGAAAATGAACACTTCTGGAAATGAACACTCAGTTGTGATGGTACAGTACTATAGTGTACAAAGACACAAAGAAAGAGGTAGGAGACATGAGAAAAAGAGGAGCTGGTGCTTCAAATCAATCTACATCTTATCGACATAAGAACTGTGATAAGATAAGATAAGATAATGTCATCTCACGGGCGCTTGTTGTGCTATATAAAGCGAGTTGCCTGCAGGAAGCATCTCTGACTCCTCTCATCTCTTCAGTTCATTCGCTTTTTGGGGGATTCAACAATGGTATTCGACGTCGTTTCCGACGATGAAATTCAGTACATGGGCTCAAGACGCAATGTATTACCTTCGCCGACCCCCTTTACCCACCATCAAAGCACCGTCGCAGGTCGTTCTGCCTGTTTATGAAGCCTGGTCCAGCAATTAAGCTAATGATGATACTACAGGTATTGTATTGCATGTTGCGCCAGGGCACAATGAGCCCGAATTCAGCCTAACGTTTCATAAATCGGTGGCCGTCGTCCACATCGGTCGTAGACCGGGGTCTGATGGTGATGCCAATGATCGCTCGCATGAGAAGGGTCGGGCGCTGTTCAGGTGCGCCGTCGTCAGTAGAAAGCATGCAAAGATATCTTTCTCGGACGACGGAACCGTATGCCCACCCCCCCTCGTCGTGTCGGCAGCTAATTGACCCGTACATTTCAGATCCAGCTTTGTGACATTGGTTCGCACCACGGGACGCATCTGCGCCATGCTGGGGAAGCTGATTCGAGAATGCTGGAGGCTGGGCAGCCATCGACTATTCTCGATGGCGATGTGATCACATTCGGCAAGGCTGTGGGACGAAACAATGAGATCGTCCGACCAGTTGTCGTGCGTGTCGAGATCATGACCTCGACACCCTTACAAAGACACGGCTCGGGGCGATATGGGCTCTATCCACCTAGTGTCGCGCCGACGCCAACGTCCGCAGATAGCACATCTTCGTCGGAGGAGGACGACTCCTCGCACAGTAATTTCGACCACTCCGATCATGATTCTGACATTGAGGAAATTCCATGCCCCACCGGCTCGCAAAGTGCACCGTCGCAGCGTATGACTGGCAGCGCGATGGCCCTCAGACTCTTTCAGCGTCTCTTGCCGCCCATGCGTGTGCTTGAGAAGGACGAGGCAGCATTTTGCACGCTGAGTCCGATTAACTATCCGCCGCAGGGTCCGCAACTAGAAACGAGCGCTCCCGTTGTAGATCTTCGTTCAAGGTCCCATTCACCAATGATGTTAGAAAGTCCGTCAGGGACTCCACTCCCCACACCGTCGCCTTCTCTGCCCAGCGCGCAACCGCCGTCTCCCCCTCGGACCCCTGAACCAGCTCAACGGGCTGCGGAAGACGCAAAGGCCAATGAAGAGCCCGCCCCGGCCAACAGCACCCCACCAGCCCAACCAAGTTTCCCAACGGTAGGCGTTAACAATGCATCTGGAGTACTACTTAATGATCCTCGGTTCCCGATTTGGCAGATGAGTACGCCTCCAGCAGTGCAGCCTTCCCCCTCTTTCCGCCGCCTTTTCCCTATAGCTGCTCGTCCACTGCCGCTCAGCATTCCACCGCACCCCCTCCTCGCCACCAGGTCGGAATTGAAAGAACTCAAAGACGCGATCAATAACATGAAGGTAAGTCCGTCGCTTTCCCTCCGGAAGCTGAGAGTTGACATCACAATGTACTAGGACAAGCTCGCAGATCCTGAAGATGCGCTTGATAGTTTACGCGAGAAGGTCGCACTGCTTGAGAAAGAACAGGCGGCGCTGCGGGTTCGTGACGCCGAGATGTCGAAGGCTGTAGACGACTGCAGACGGGCTGTTGATGATCATCAAGAACAGATTGTTGACTTGGAAGATCGCGTTGCCGAGCTGGACTCCATGCGACCGGACGTGAAGGACATGACTGACATCGATGAAGACACGCCCATGTCGAATTCGTCTCTCCATGCTTCAATCAGTGAAGTCCGTGAAGACATTGAGTCCCTGCGCCGCAGCTTTTCTGAGCGCAATGCATCCATGGACGTGGACACAAGCACCTCTGCGAAGGCGCTCGAGACGAGTCAGCCCTCTTTCTCCTATTTCCCAGCTGCAGACCACTGATATTCGCCCGCTTTAGACATGAGCTCTCTTTGCGGCGAATTGGAGGCCCGGGCGGCGGACATGCTACAGAATCTTCGCACTGAATGGGAGGACCAAAAGGCGCAGTATACGCTCCAATTGCAACGCACGCAAAACGACGCCATGCAGGACATCGTACTCACGTCGCAGGTATGTGCTTCTCCAGACTTGCGCACCGTATGCTCACTCCAGCCAAAGCGCGAGGCCGCCGCGTTGGTGTCTCTGAAGCGCAAGCGATCGCTTGAGGAGGTGGACAGCACTCAAGAGCGTCAGTGCCCTTCTCGTGCCACGCTGGCCGCCACATCGGACGGCGTCGACGTGCCGTCACCCAAGCGCAAACGGGTCTTGGCCGCCGTCGCCCATACCGCCACTGTCATGACCCTTGGAGCCGTAACCGCTTGGTCTGTCCTCGCATTCACTTGATGCCTGGCGTGGCGCCTTGCATTGCTTTCACCGCTGCTGCACTCGAGGGGAGTGCCCGGGTCTTGTTGTATGTACTACTGTATGCTGGAAGAGATCAGATAGGGAATGTATTGGCTCAATTGTGAATTGTGTACACTGTAACTCGATGTATTTATGTGACCTTTGTTCAATTGTACCTAGCTTTGAAGTTTGGCGAAGCAAATGAATAGAGCATCGTACACCGCTTGAAAGTTGCCCCGAGTATGTCAGCGTCATCATCGATTATTGATCAAATTGAGTAAGGAGCACAGCGATACGGCGAGGAAAGGGTTTCTCACTCTGTGCGTAGATCTTCACTCATTTTCTTCGATGCAGATGCAGGCGTAACAACACCTGCTTTGGCCCGATATTCTCCAACGCCTGAAGCAGAGAAATGGGCCCCTCTGGTACTCAGGGGCACTGATCAAGGGCGACGAGTTTGTAAGACCCTTTGGGCTTCTCTTCTCTTCTCATGATGCGATTATTAGCAACCCACTAGATACGCCGTCCCATATACAATGCCTCGGAATTGAGTGGGATTCGAGTGGCATATTCGAAAGGATATAAGACCGCCATGAGCGTCACGATGTAGATCAGTTCACTCACTCCCCAGGCCACATCACAGCTATGTCGAAGCCACTAGTGCTCGTCGTCGGCGCGACCGGATACACCGGACGAGCCATTGCAAATGCGATTCTCGAGGAAGGCAAATTCGTACGTACACTTTGATCTCCGTATCCCCTCCGTGGTTATCCTCTTCCGTATTCTTATCCGAATTCCAAATTTACTATAGCGCCTGGCGATCCTTGTACGCGAGCAGTCGATCAACAAGCCCGTCGTTAAAGAGCTTGTCGCTGCTGGCGCAGAGCTGCGGGTGGGGGACACCTCCGATCCGCCTGAGAAGCTGGAAGAACACCTCGCTGGCGTGGAGACGCTGATCTGCACCGTCCTTGTGTGGGTCGCCGACCAGAAGCCCTTGTTCGTGGCTGCCAAGAAGGTTGGCGTTAGTCGCGTAGTGCCATCCGATTTCGGGCCTGTAGCACCCAAGGGTGCCATGTGGATGAATGACATCGTGAGTGATGCATCTGGTGCTACCCCAGGTCAAAGGTGCCCATACTCATCCTCTAAAAGAAAATTGGCATCCACGAATATATCAAAGAGATCGGGCTGCCATACACCTTCATCTACGTCGGATGGTGGCTCACGTTCATGTGGCCAACGCCCCACTCCGAGAAGAACACCCTCGCCACCCCCAAGTTCTATGCCGGCAGTAAAGACCAGAAGCTCATATACTCGACATTCCCGAGCATCGGTAAACTTGTTGCGCGCATCATTGGCGATCCTCGAACAATCAACCAGACCGTCGTCGCCCACGATGGTGAAATCACGCTTGGAGAGACATGGGCGATCGGAGAGAAGGTAACCGGCGAAGACTTCTCAGATTATTACAAAGTGAGTTCTTTGCGTGCCGTCTATTCGTGACGTTTAATGCTGTCGAAGGCTTCCGAAGCAGATTTGGATGCAGCCTCCAAGCAATCGATCAACTGGATGAAGAAATCTACTGCCGATTATTACAGGAGCTTATACATTCGAGGAGATAATACCATTGAGAAGGCGGAAGCAGCGGGGGCGCTTATTGCCAGGAAGCTCTACCCAGACGTCCCTTACCCGGATGTACTTGAGGAGGCGAAGACGCGTTACGCGACTTCGTTTGTTCCTGAATACGGTGTTCCCTTGGAGGAATTGCTCGACGTATACAAGCCGGAGTAGATCTATATACAGGGAATTATGTAACTGTTCTTAATGAATGCTAGAATACCGATATGTCGGGCTTTGCTTACGCCGGGCTTTGCTTACGCCAACCATGATTAAGACTGCGCGTATGGCATTGAGAGTCTATAATATGCCGTTGCTTAAGGCAATTGCTCCATAATGCCTGACGGAGTGCAGTCTTATATATAACTTCTCTCCGTTGATCCAGATGCGAACATACCAATTCAATTACCAATTCCAAACATACACGAACATGGCTGGCAAGACACACGTCTTCATCGTTGGCGCCACGGGGTATACTGGAGGCGCAATCGCCAAAGCCCTTCTTCAGGCGCGGACCTTCGTGAGGATCTACTCTCGCCTTCGTCGGAGCGACATAGACTAACATTGCATTCTCGTAGCGTTTGTCCATCCTGATTCGGGAGTCATCTATTAACAAGCCCGTCATCAAGGAACTCACCGAAGCTGGCGCCGAGGTCGTAAGAGGAGATATATCCGAGTCCCCCGAGAAGCTGGAGTCCTACCTGAAGGGCGTGGATGTCTTGATCTCCACAGTCCCCGTGATGGTGGATCAGAAGGCCTTGTTTTTGGCGGCCAAGCAAGCTGGCGTCGGACGCGTCGTTCCGTCCGACTTTGGGCCTATTGCACCCAAGGGTGTCATGAACATGCACGATATCGTACGCAGTCACAACTCGTCGTCGTCGTCGTCAAATAGCGCCTGACGCTCATGAACAGAAACTTGGGATCCGTGACTATATTAAGGAGCTAGGCCTGCCACATACTTTCATTGAAGTTGGGTGGTGGCTTTCGGGGATGCTGCCCCCTCTACATTCGGCGGCGAACACGCTTCTGACCCAGAAGTACTACATTGGCAATCGTGATCAGAAGCTCGTTTACTCCACATTGTCGACCATCGGTAAAATGGTCGCGCGCATCGTCATTGATCCACAAACGTTGGGCCAGACTGTCGTGGTGTATGACGGAGAAATCAGCATCAACGAGACATGGAAAGTCGCAGAAAAGGTCACCGGAGAAGACTTTTCCGACTATCCCAAAGTGAGTTTTGCACTAATTCGCTGTATCTTTCACGTTGTTGATACGTGTCCACTTCGTAATTAGGTGTCCGATGAAGAGATAGAGAGAGGCTGTCAACAGACGGGTAACTGGGCGAAAAAGATCCTTGCTGAATATTACAGGAGCTTGTTCATTCGCGGGGACAACACCCTTGCAAATGCGGAAGCGTTTGGTCACCTCGATGCTAGGAAGCTGTACGATGACATAGCATATCCCAATGTTGAGGAGGAGGTGAGGAACCACTATGCGCTGGGCTTTGCGCTTGAATACAGCGTGCCGGAGGAACTTCTGTTGGATGTATTCAAAACGATAGTGTAGATGCTAGTGACGCTTGGCACTTGACCAACTTGACCTCGTTGAAGGTCCCTAGTGTTTAATCACACTTCGCAAATGTCGCTTACCCAACAATGCTTATGCTGTTTGTTTGGCTTTCGCTGGCGGATGCAACTGGCAGTCAGTAATATGCCGTGGATCATGGCGATTGATCAATAATTACCGACGGAAACCAGTCCTATAAGTAGCTCACTAAGCGCAATACGGTACCAATCCGTCGTCGACTGAAAGCACACTGTAACATGTCCAAAACGCACGTCTTCATAGTTGGCGCTTCTGGATATACTGGAGGGGCAATCGCCAACGCGCTTCTGGAGGCAGGGACCTTCGTAAGCATTCCCTTTCCTCTGTGGCAACAGCATGTATAAGACAACATGTCCCCTTGTAGCGCCTGTCGATTTTGGTCAGAGAGGCATCCGTCAACAAACCCGCTATAAAGCACCTCAGAGAGGCCGGGGCTGAGGTCGTGATAGGAGATACCTCTGAGTCCCCCGAGAAGCTAGAAACCTACCTCAAGGGAGTAGACGTCTTGATCTCTACGGTCCTCATCATGGTGGATCAGAGGCCCTTGATTTTGGCAGCTAAGAAGGCCGGCGTCGGGCGCGTGGTTCCCTCCGACTTTGGCCCGACCGCTCCCAGGGGTGTCATGGAAATGCACGATCGCGTACGTATTCTTGATCCCTCCTCCGTAGAATGGTCCCTAATGTACAACAGAAACTTGGGATCCGTGAGTACGTAAAGGAACTTGGTATTCCACATACCTTCATTGAGGATGGGTGGTGGTTGCTATGGATGTTTCCCCCTTTGCATTCGGCGAGAAATACGGTCACGAGTCAGAAAGCATACGCGGGCAACCGCTCCCAAAAGCTCATATATTCGACATTGCCAACCATCGGTAAGATGGTCGCGCGCATTATCGTCGACCCGCGAACCTTGAACCAGACCGTCGTTGCCCATGATGGGGAAATCAGCATCGACGAGACATGGAAGATTGCGGAAAAGGTCACCGGAGAAGATTTCTCCGACTACCCCAGGGTCAGTACCGCATCGATCTTTTGCACTGGTCATGCGATGATGCTTCCGCGTTTAATCAGATATCTGATGAAGAGATAGAGGGAGGATGTCAGCAGACGGACAATTGGGTGAAAAAAGTCGCCGCTCAGTATCAAAGGACTTTGTTCATTCGCGGAGACAACACCCTTTCGAAGGCGGTAGCATTGGGTCACCTTGATTCAAGAAAGCTTTACGATGACATACCGTATCCCGACGTCGAAGAAGTGGCGAGGAACCATTATAGGTCTGGTTTTGTACTTGAATACAGTGTGCCTGAGGAACTTCTGTTGGATGTTTTCAAGACGGTGGCGTAGGACGTAGTGATACTTCGTTCATCACGATATCTAAATAATTTCAAAGCTACCCATTGTGTCCTTCAACGACGTTCTAAGAAGTAAATATGGCAACGATACATTACGAAAGTTGCTTACCCAGTAATGCTTATGCCCGTACTACTCTGCTTATGCTAGCCCCTGGTCCCTTTGTTTGGCTTTCGCTGGCGGATCAAACTGACAGTCAGTAATATGCCGTTGATCATGGCGATTGATCAGTAATTACCAACGGAATGCAGTCCTATATAGCTTCTTTACATTCGTCGCAATGTGATACGAATTCATCCGCTAATTCGAAACATCCGAGAACATGTCTAAAACTCACGTCTTCATCGTTGGTGCTTCCGGATATACTGGAGGAGCAATTGCGAAAGCACTTCTGGAAGCGGGGAACTTTGTGAGTATCAAGTATCTTTATTTCCATCAAAGCAAGTAAGGACTTATATTGTGCTTCATAGCGGCTATCAATCCTTGTCCGACAGTCATCCATTAACAAACCAGGCATCAAGAAGCTGACCGATGCTGGTGCTGAGGTCGTGATAGGAGATATCTCTGAGTCTCCTGAGAAGCTGGAATCCTATCTGAAGGGCGTAGACGTCTTGATCTCTACGGTCCTTGTCACGGTAGATCAGAAGCCCTTGATACTGGCGGCCAAGAATGCTGGCGTTGGGCGCGTGGTTCCGTCTGACTTTGGACCGACTGCGCCGAAGGGTGTGATGGCCATGCATGATCTGGTAAGCCCCACTTGCCTCCCTTCTTCACCAGACAACCATTGATGCTTAGTCGTAACTAGAAACTCGGGATTCGTGACTATATCAAAGAACTTGGGCTTCCGCATACCTTCGTTGAAGTCGGGTGGTGGTTGTCGGGGATGTTTCCCCCTCGCCACTCAGTGAGGAATACACTTATGACACAGAAGGCCTACGTCGGCGATCGCTCTCAAAAGCTCATTTATTCGACGTTGCCAACCATTGGTAAAATGGTCGCGCGTATCATCGTTGATCCGCGAACCTTGAACCACATCGTCGTTGCCTACGACGGGGAAATCAGTATCAATGAGACGTGGAAAATTGCCGCAAAGGTTACCGGCGAAGACTTCTCCGACTACCCCAAGGCCAGTAACGCCCCGGGTTTCTACTTCGCTCAAGCCGTTAATGCTTTCTTTTTTTCACTAGGTGTCCGATGAAGAGATAGAGAAAGGCCGCCAGCAGACGGACAACTGGGTGAAGAAGGCTGTTGCTGATTATTACAGGAGCTTGTTTATTCGTGGGGACAATACCCTTGCGAAGGCGGAAGCGTTAGGTCGCCTGGATTCCAGGAAGCTTTACGACGACGTACCATATCCCGACGTTGAAGAAGAGGCGAAGAACCACTACGCATCGGGCTTTGTGCTTCACTACGGTTTCTCTGAGGAGGATTTATTGGACGTATTTAAGACAGGAGCGTAAGAGTTAGTGCCACTGTATTATCATTCCTAGCGACGTTCATCACGGACTCGAATTTATCGTGATTTGATATCTACATCATCTTCTCAACCTACCGCATCGTGCCCTGCAGCGACGTTCTAAGAGGCAAGGAATGTCAATATCGCCCAAATCAACCCTGACTTCTGACTGTAGTCCAACCTTAATCACATTTTGACTCGACCAATGCACTGAGGTCGTGTGCGAGTTTGCTTTGCATAGTGTCCGCATTTGGGCGTATTGGGCGTCTCTCACCACACACGTTCGAGGTACCAGGTTCTTTTACTATTTAGATTCATCAATTTGATGCCGGGACGCTCGGTTTCATTATGAGGTTGCTCACCGTATATAAAGATCTCACTCAGTGCCGCTGAGCCCCCCGCAGCTGCCTTTTGCATTGCTCCAACTTAGCATGAATTCGCCCGACAACGAAGGGATGGACATGTCACTCGTCCGCCGATACTGCCCTAAATTCCGCGTACTAATCATTGGAAAAGCCAACGCGGGAAAGACCACTATTCTTCAGAAAGTTTGCAATACGACGGAGAATCCGACCGCCGTCGATACTACAGGAAGAAGGGTGCGTCGCAGCCATCAATTTCACACTCATAGCACGAATATTAATCCACACACCAGATGAGTCTTTCGCTGCTCAGACCAAGCGCTGGGGTATGATCATAGATCCTCCGCTCGAGAGGTCGTCTGACAACAAGCCTAGCGAGGACAACACGACATAGAGCAAGGATACGTGTTCGGTGGCCGTGACGACTTTGTCTTTCACGATTCGCGAGGATTTGAAGCAGGTACCGCAGCAGAGCTTGAGCGAGCGAAGGCGTTTATTAGAAAACGGTCGAGCTTCTCGCACATAAAGAATCGGCTGCATGCCGTATGGTAAGTCGTCGTGGTCTCCAGCTCGTTTATCTTGACTGGTGAGATGCTTCTTGTAGGTATTGTATTCCGTCAGATACCCCACGTTTGTTGCTAGAAGATGAGACGAGCTTTTTCGAGGAATGCCGTAAAGGAAATGGTGAGTTCACAGTACCATATGGACTGGACTTCCCTGACACCCCTGTCTTGCGTGATTGCTAGTCCCGGTCGTGGCTATCTTCACCAAATTTGATTACCGTCATAAAGAGGCTATGGCGCAGCTAATAGAAGGCGGAATGGACCGCCCAGCTGCCAGACTCGCAGCGCCAGCTCGTGCCAAGGAAGATTTCGAAGCCAAATATATCAGCAGGCTCTACAATCGGCCTTACCCACCCCAAAACCACGTATACGTATACGGTGCGTATTCTCATCGCAAAGTTTGAAAACGGTTAAACCAACGTCTGGTCAGACATGCACTTGCCCATGACGAATTGCGACCAACTCATCAGGGCCACTGTCGACTCTCTCAGCGACCTTTCTCTGAAGCAACTGTTTGTCTCGACACAAAGGAATCGTATTCACCTTTACGTCGGATATTCAATAGAACAGTGAGGAGTCTTCGTATTTCCTCGTGCTGAAGGTTCTCTTTGACAGATGTCTCATAGCGTCTTGAAGAACCAGCAAAGACGAAGGAACGGGCTGCGAAGGCACGAGATGAAGAACATTGTACTTAATTGTATCAACTGGTTCCCAGTCAATCAGGTATGTTCCTATTTATTGAGTAATATACGTCTAAGTACTGAGCCGCTCTTTCATTGGTATGTTGTAGAGGGTACGTGTGCTATTTTTTGTGAGCGACGATAATAATGTGCGGTCGCTGTCCCTTCGATAGGATGTAAGTTTATCTCGAGGTTCTCATTGTCCCTGATTACTGACGCGATTTTCGACTAGCTGGTAACAATTTCATCCTATGGACACTCATACAGACGCTAACTTCCCCTCCGTAGGAGGTGAGTGGCTTAGCGCTGTAATGTACTCATAACTACCCTTCATTCCTCATGGTGCAGATAGTTCGTGTTCTCCCTTCCTTGTTGAGTCTCGTGTAGCTGACGCCTTTATTGAGAGCAGGCAGTAACTGTGAGTGATATTCTACCTATCAAGCTTTCCTTCCCTACCTAGAACACTTCACAAAATGTCGTTACTAGAAAGCGGTGAGTTCAGCTAATCGAAATGTATATCGCAATCGATAATAACCATTTATCAATGTCACGTATTCTAGGCGGTAAGCTTAGTGTTAGGTATCCATATAGCTATCAACTTTACTCTCCCCCTCTTGAACAGAACGCAGAAGAAACCGTATGTCATCTACTTCGATGGTCTTGATATACTTACGCTTTTGATAATTAACAGGGAAGTGTAAGCCTTTGAACCCAACTGTTTCCATCGAACTTGATGATGCTGATGGAAGGCAACTTTGGCCCATTACTACAGCATATGGTGCGCGCTTTCACATTCGGTCGTTGTAAAGACTGATCCACCTCCAGATTACGGTAAATGATGATTTTCATTTATGGGCGCAGCCTAACGAAGCGTCTTATTGTCCCCAGAAAATCGTGGGCCCAACTCTACTCTTCGCTTTTTCTATCACTCATTCTTACGTATATCGGGTTGTCGCCTTCTATAGTGGGTGAGTACTCTCGCTTGTTTACTGTTTCCCAAGCTGATGATTAATGGATATAGAAAGTAAGTTACTCCCTACATATTGTGTAAGACACAAGTTCATAGGTGTTTTGCTTCGTACTTGTAGACAGTGAGTACATATACTCATAAGACCATACCACCGGTGACAAACCAATCATTTTCAATCGCATCGCGCGTGTCTTAGTTCGTGAGTTCCTCTTCCTTTTGTCAATTAACTGACATCTCTGATACAATCGCACAGAATGTCAGTTCCTCATGCTACCTTCCTATCGAGCATAGCTGATCCTTTCGACGAATGTACCGACTCCGTAGCATGTGAGTCGCTTCACGATTTGGGCCTACCCCTGACCCCTTACACCCTATGTTATCCAACGAAGCCCGTGAGTTGATCCTACACCTAGGCGCATCTGCCTCTGACACATATGACGGGCGGGAACCTGTAGTGGGTATGTAGCTAAGTCTACCTCTACTGCTTAGTACTGAGACGACCAACACAATTCACCAGGAGGTGAGTTTGCTACTGCACTGAGAGGGGTAACACTGATTCGACGGAACGCCGGCTGCGTTCACCACAATCGCAAGCATGTGAGTCGCTTCAATACTCACCATGCCTTGGATCCTAAACTTGTTCCTTTTTCAGTGGGTCAGTTTTGATTTCTCTCTCTTCACGAGTCTACTCAATGACGATGGATTGACCCGCCAATGTAGTGGGTGAGTATCTATTCTGACCAGACTATCGGTCCTTTCTGATTTAACGAACCATTTTATTACAGGAAGTAAGTCAATGTTTCCTGATTTTCATCCTGTGGCTCATGGTAACGATATCTGATCTAGTGGGTACGTTGTGTATAATGCCATTTGGCCGTGAATGACCACTAGTTTCTTATCATGGCCTCAAATATTTCAAGGGTGTAAGTGCTATTCATTCCCTTCTCTTTACTCGATGAACTCGAGCAAAACCCAAAATCCCGTCAGAACGACGTGAGCCTTGACCACTTCGTCCGAAAATTGATGATTGACCTCGGTGGTTGCTGGTTGTGCAGGATAGGGTATGTGTCCCCATTTCGAGTGGTTTGAACTAAAGTCACTAATTGAGGGTGACGGTAGAATACAGTCAGTAATTTCCTCTTATGAACGTGAATCACCATTGATGGGAGAGATTTGGGTATTATCTAGCACGTACGTGCTTCGTTCTCCAATATGCATGTGTCGTGTATGATTGCTGATCAAACTGCAGTGGGTAGGTCGGCATCCCTCGCCCCACACTATTTATGGGCTTACTCTCCCCTCTGATATCGCATCGATAGTCGGTGAGCGTACATCTTGTCAGGATGTACTGTACAATACTCACCGGCGGTGTATAGTCCGTGAGTTGATCGTGCTGTCACTCCGATGATCAAGAATTTGATGACTGTGATATCGCATGTTCCTCTGTAATGATCAATAGCAAGTAAGTTGTTTTATGACGTCTCCCACCTCATTCTGACAGTTGCCTCTATCTTACATAGTGGGTGAGTGGCATATCTAGTACATCGTCGCTCTCTTTGACTCCCTGTAGATAGTACGTGCCATTCGTTGTCTCTTGCTGCGTGCAACTCTCATTTGTTTCGTTTTATAGCATGTAAGCCCTTGAAGCCTGTGATTGCTGTGACTTCTTCAGTGACGTTAAACCTCTATAGGAAGTAAGTCGGTCCTGGTGTGCCTCGGTGGTTGTGCTTGCTCATCGTCTGTGAATATCGCCTCTAGATCGTGGGTTTCTCTCCGCCGCCTGCTTGATAAGAGGACTGACGGGCTGGAAATCGACGCCGAATATAGCTGGTAAGACATAATCTACCTCCCGGTTTGCGCTCAGTCGCTCACTACTTTGTAGTTTGTGAGTTGAGCCATGCATCGAAGATTCATGCCAAGATAACGTGTCCCATGTTTTGATATGTGCTCCATAGGGCGTGAGGACGTCTGTTTTATGTTTCAATTACAATGCACTCACAAAGCCTTTCTAGGATGTGAGCTGTCCCCCTTGATGAGTTCAGTTTATTTAACTCAATCTATTGTCCTTGATTCTAGGTGTATCTCGAAAAGATGGTGAGCGGTAGTATCTTCGGCCGTGACAACTTCATAATCGTCGAATATCAACAGGCGGGTGATGGACATCGGGTGAATATGGCTGAACAAATTGCACGAGTCGCGACAGGTGAACACTCCTTTTCCACTCTTCCCCGTAGTTCAACACTGAATTAGCCTAGTTACTGTGGTGATGTTGGTGTTCATATGTGATCCAGCAAACTCGTCGATGCCGAGCGACGAGATGCAAAGACGCCTCAAGACGTTCCTCGAAACTTCCGCGTTCGACGCTCTGATTGGGGATATCACCAGCGTGCTGGAAACGCTACGTGGAGAGGCCATGTCGATCACCAAATGGACGGAAGAGCTTAGTAAAGTGGTATTGAGCGATCAGCAGAGGATATGAGGTTTGATGTGATGGAATATACCACTTCTTCGACGACATCTCATGAGTAGCTTGGAGTTTGGACCCGGCGGCAAGCATGGCTGTCAACCACGAACTTTAGCTCTTTTGCTGGCTACTAGTTGAGGGTGGGGAACGATTATAATTACTACGTCTCTGCCTCTGTGGCACAGTAGCACTCGTGAATTGATATTCTCAAATAGTCCGCCCGGTAAAGCGACGAAGGAAGTGGTTGGGTCATTGGTTTTTAAGACCCCGTAGATCTGATCCATGAGTTGTAACCTCCGTCGAATGTAGAACTACTGTCACGTCCTCGCCACCAGTTCGCGTAAACACCGAATAAAAATCATCGTCGCGGGTTTCGCAAATTTTTATGCCCGGAGTACTGGTATAGTAGTCACACCGGTTTCATTTTGCGGGGAACTTGGTTGTATGTCGGTTGACTTACAGGAAGTAAATGAGATTGGGTACCTGTTGGATTTCAGCAATCTTGGCGGTACAGGGGTATAGGGGTGCACGTGACTACTGTAGTATTGTTTCGCGCGCATGTATTATTTTCTTTATGCGTTTGCTGGAGTCCCAGCCAAACACAATATACCTGCTCGCCTACTCTGAATTCGCGCGACCTCATCGGCTTATTTTAACAGTAACCAGTACTCTACTCGTACCGGCCCCTGTTTGTGGCAACTTCGGTCCATTCAGATTCAGACAAGTGCTTTCAAGGTCCGCTTTTTACCAAATATGGACAACGCGTTCTTGTCACTCTCACTCTTCGTTTCTCAAGCGAGATGTACGCGTTCGACCATGACCACGCGGCATCGAACGTAGAACCAAGGGAACCACTTGACGCTATTTCTATTTGCCAATTTGCAACAAGGTAAGTACTTGCTCTCTGTTGCTTTGCTGACTGAGCCCCCGTCGTGTCTGAGTACGCATTGCGCAAATACAGTCCGAATCACTCCTCGCGCCGAATCCTGCAGCTCTCGCGCGATCCTCCTGGACTGCACCCATATCCCGGCATCGAATTTCCTATGAGAACGCTCGTGTCACTCCTCTCCTCCACCATGGGTAGCTCTCGATATCTCAGGGACAGAGCCACCGATAACCAATAGAGCGACGATAATAACCTTGGGTGTATGCGTGCCAGTTCAATGCTAACGGTGGGTGTAATTTTGGTTGTAATCTAACAATTAAGTCTACGGTCAGCTTTCGAACACTTCTGGCGCTGTCGTTTGCGATAGTGTAGTCAAGATCTCGCGATATCAATACCTCAACCATTATGTACTGAAAATGGAGACCATGCCACCCCTTGACTTCTGACGCCTCACCTACGATTTCCCCTGTGACAGTTTCCCTATGAACTCCATCCCTTTGACCATCTTCTCTAAACCTGCAGTGCGCCCTTTGCGTGCAGAATCCTCTCACAACTATGTCGGGTTGAGTCTGTTCTAGTTCTATACTTCCAGGCCCCAACCTCACGAGGGCGGCGGGACGATGCGCCCCACCTGGCACCAATCACCATGTCTCATCCTTTCCAGTCTGATTGAACCCTCACATAGCCACATATTGTACGTCCGTCTGCTATCCATCTTTGTGCCTCTGAACTGCATTGTATTGCAGAACGGAAAATGTGCTAGACGGTAATCCGTGAGTGATTTTATCTACTAGGATCCGATTTCGTCTACATACAACGGGTTCTAGTGCAAGTATTGGGTTCCTCCTACGCCACTCTTGCGGATCTGTTCCATGTATACCAATCAAGTACAACTCCTGAACATTTCAGCTCCGTGCGTAGCGGCTCTTATCTTCTGACAATCAGACGGCCTTCTCCGCGTCGTAGAGGGCAGTTCCACGGCTTGTCCGGATAACTACACGTCTGGAACGCAGTCTATGCCAGTACTAGTCGAGGTCCACCCTCCCAGTCTGTACCTACCGGCGGTACCACACCTAGTAACGCATCACTACTCTGGGGAAACAGGGAAGTTGTGCCGTCGCCTCCGGTTCGCGAAATAGTCGGCGGAGTGCTTGGTGGGGTCATGTTCGTTGCTCTCCTAGGGATAGTGATCGTGTTCCTCCACAGACGTTGTATCAAGTCCATAGTTGTCTCTAGTAAGTCCTTTTACCTTCACTATTCGCTGCTGGCGTCATCCCATTCCCGAAGGCCCAATACACGTTACCGCATTCCTCCGGATGGGCATGGATGCACCGGAGGATACGCGAATCTTGATTCAAGTATCACCTCACTGTCTTCACGTCCCTTCCTCATATACCCTAACCCTTTATCAGACCGTTCTACCTATCTATTGCGAAGGTAAGGATTTTCAGTTTTCATCGCACCGGACTTAAGGTCGATGTACCGATTCTTTCTTATACAGGCAAACTGTCGCTTTCCGCCTATCATACACTCCATTCGTAGCCCTCTCAGGGCTTCTTATTCGATACTTTACAAGTTTCCCCCGTCAGTTGATTTGAGCAATATGCTGCGGGCATCTCATCATCGTCGCCATGCTTCGAGGCTCTCGCTGCTTCTCCGTCATCTGTGACGTTGGTGTCCGTTGAACGTGCCCACGTTTCTTGTGGGTTACCGCCGTTAAACTTTACTTCTATTCGGCATGCTCCAGGAGTTCTGTGGCCATAAATACACGGCGCACTGTGAGCTCATCGTCATATTCCGCCTCCCACTTCTCAGCCAACAACGACCCCCTATTCCACAAGCACCCTGCCACCCAACCCTCAGCCCAAAACCGCTATCGTCACTGGTGCAGCGCAGGGAATTGGCAGAGCTATTGCGATCCAACTTGCCAGCGATGGTTTCGCCATCGTGATAAGCGATATTGCATCAAAGCAAGACTTGATGGACGTTGTTGCGGCAGAAATAAAGTCGAAGAATGCTGGAAGCCAAACCTTGGTCGTACCGGCAGATGTAAGCTCGGAGGCGGACGTCAACAAACTCGTAGCCAAAACCAAGGACACATTTGGTGGTTTGGATGTTGTAAGTTTGTCTTTGATTTCCACCCACGTCTCCACCAAATGCATTATGCATTCATTCAATGCGTAGATGGTCGCCAATGCTGGTATCTGCTTGGCGAACCCTATTCTTGACGGTACGCATTAAGTGGTTCACCCGCCTCGTAACTTTCTCAGCATTCGACAACAGTCACTATTCAAGAATGGGATAAACTATTCTCTATCAACGTCCGCGGCGTGCTGCTTTGCTATCAGGCTGCAGCAAGACTGATGATCGAGCAGAAACGCGGTGGTCGAATAATTGGTGAGGGCACTCCCGTCATGCATTTATTTCACTGTAGATCTCTTTCTCAAGGCGCCTCTTCGATTGCTGGGAAGAAGGGCGGTGGCAATCTAAGTGCCTATTCCGCCAGTAAATTTGCTGTCCGATCGTTGACTCAATCCGCCGGTATGGTGCCTCTGCCCTAACTCTGCCTGATAGCTGGGTACTTAGTTTCTTCTCCGTAGCTTGCGAATGGGGTGCACATGGGATTACGGTCAATGCATACGCTCCTGGTACAATTGAGACTCCCATGCGTGAGTTCCAAGGTCTGTCTTCGTGAATGGCCTCTTCATCAGTGATTTCAATTTTAGTACACGACGCCGAGGCCACGATTATCACGCCATCGGGCGCCGGTCTCATTAGCCAGGTGCGTGCGTGCACTTACGCGACCTCACATGTGCATGGATTTTATCATTTCCTCTGAATCTAGCTCAAAGCTTCCACGGCGCTCAGGAGATCTGGGCAGCCTGAAGAGATAGCGAACTTCGTTTCGATGCTAGCATCGGATAAATCTAGCTGCATGACAGGTGTGTCGAGGTCCAATATATCCCTGGCGGTTGCCTATACTAACAATCTACAGGCCAAACCATCACCATTGACGGCGGAATATGGTTTGACTAGCTTTACCAAAGCCTGATGTAGTAATAGTGGTGCTTTCTTGTCGGGGCAGCTTTGCAAGACCGCTCCTTATCACCGTCAGTACTAGCGAACGCCTCCTCTTGGTTCTTCCCACATGGTTCTTTACCCTGCTGACGCACGAAGTAATGCTCTTTTCTTTTCCAAATCTATGATGAGCCAATTCGGTACGCTGGGAGCTCCACAGGCGTACCATGAACTCAATACACCTGTCAATCAGAGTTGAGCAGATGATTCCGACTCAGAAAAGGCCGGATGTTCTGGTACAGGCTCCGAACTAGATGCTCCCACACAGAGTCGTTGGGATGTTTAAATGCCTTCCAGCGGCAGAGCCACCCTTATCGTTGACCGCCCCCACTGGTAGTAGTCATCATGTCCACTGATTCAACCCCGACCCACAAAGTCGCTATCATCACTGGTGCGGCGCAGGGGATCGGTCGGGCTATTGCACTTCAACTCGCAGCTGATGGCTTAGCCGTGATGATCAGCGACATCGCGTCCAAACTCGATCAACTCAACGCAGTAGCAATGGAAATCCAGTCGAAGAAGGGTCGGGCACAAGTCATGCTAGCGGACGTATCATCGGAAAGTGATGTCAATAACCTTGTAGCCAAAACCAAAGAAGCTTTTGGCGGTCTGGATGTTGTGGGTTCTGGTTGCTATCTGCCCCGCCTAATGGTTTAATACGAATGTACAAGATGGTAGCTAACGCAGGCGTGGCTTGGCCGAATTCTCTCCTCGACGGTACGCACCACTTTTGTTAAATAAAAGGCTTATCATGTTAAAGCTTCCTGCACGTACTCCTTAAGTTACCGTCGAAGAATGGGATAGATTATTCTCAGTCAATGTTCGAGGAGTGCTACTCTGTTATCAAGCTGCCGCAAGGTTAATGATTGAGCAAAAGCGTGGGGGTCGGATCATCGGTGCGGTCGTTGTTCTCCTTTCGCCTAACTTCGATGTTTCTATCCACTCATAACTCCCCCTTGCAGGAGCGTCTTCGATTGGTGGGAAGAAAGCAGGTGTCATGATTGGTGCATATTCTGCAAGCAAATTCGCTGTCAGGTCGTTAACGCAAACCGCTGGTACGATGGCGCCATCGATGATGAAGTTATCCCTTGTTCATCCACTCACTGCACACCCCTTCAGCACAGGAGTGGGGCGTACATGGAATTACAGTGAATGCATATGCCCCCGGTGCAATAGAGACGGCGATGCGTGAGCGCCTTTCCTTTCGGTTTGCAATACACAACAAGGTGACTTTCGATCTGTGTAGTACGCGATTCTGGAGCCGAGATAACGAAGGGTTCCAACTTTGATTTCCTCGAACATGTGAGTGATCCGAACGTCAGAGGGTTCATACAATGCGGTGCCTAAATTAATCTTATCCTTGCCCCACATATGCAGTTCAGAACGAAGACGGCACTCAGGCGGATCGGTGACCCGAGCGAGGTCGCCAGTGTTGTGTCAATGCTTGCGTCCGAGAAATCTAGCTATATAACAGGTTCGTCTTCGCTTGCAACGGGCTGTGATGGTAACTTTAGTTTGATAATTGCTCCTATGTAGGGCAAACTATCACTATTGATGGGGGGATGTGGTTTGATTAAGCTTGTTAGGTTGCAACCAGCACTTCCCCCTCGTCTGTGACACGAGTCACAGTTCGTAGTTATGCAGATGCAACTTTGCAGTGCAGAAAAGGTCTTAGATGTGTATATCGTATCATACCACACTGTTCGTGCTGGAGGCTTTATATGGGTGTCGTATTGATGTCGAGAACTCAACTAGTCAATCCTCAACCTTGATCGTCGTTAACTCGAGGACAGCCACCCGTTCAATATTTCCTTGGGAACACAATGGTCTTTGCTTGACGAAGCGACTGAGATGCGAAACCTGCTCGACAAGAAACTGAGGTAGAATCCTCGTATTTGTATTATTTATGACCCTAGTAAGCGCGAGCGACTGCTTCAGGTTCCCCTGGCAAGTTGTTCCCCTCGTCGTCGTATGACTTCTCCGTTTACCTATCTCTTGGACGACTCGGATCCCCGCATCCAGTACTCATTAGGATGGCAGCGTGGCGGCCTAGCTCCGGAGTTCAATAGTTCCACCACATACACGGACGGCCTCAACGAGACGTTGACCGTTTCATTTGTCGGTGAGCGCCATCTTGCTCACACCGCAGCCTGGGACATTAAGCACATTATGGCGGTCTTTGATCAGGCACATCCGTCAGCGTCTTTGGCTCTGTCACAAATTCTACGGTAAACTCGTCGTATGAGGTTGACGGCACCACGACCTCGAGATTCTCCATGGATCCAAAGGGCGGACGGATATACCGCGTATTGTTCTACGAGTCGCCCGCCCTATCGCACGGGAAGCATACACTAGTTGCGACTAGCAGGGGCGGTAGAGTCGTCGTCGATTACATCACTATCACTTCCACGCTGCCGAATACCTTCTCCGCATGCGTGACGCAGTTGTGTGGCTCTGAGAGCAATAGCGCCAGTGCTGGTACGACGCTGACGTCGACGGCTCGCGTAAACGCAGCCATCATAGTCGGATGCGTTCTTGGAGGACTTGCGCTGGTTGGCCTGTTTTGGATTATATGGCACCTCTGCCGTCAAGCGGCACTAAAATTTGACGCCGCGGTCGCAAGGCCTTATGATATCTATGTTGCCGAGGTTGGTGTAAACTTGCCCCGGACAAAGCCTGGGCTAAATCGTCCGTTTAATCGTAGACATAATTAGTTCCATGTCCTTGACTTATAGCTTGCGTTAAACCGTACGCATATCATAGTCCCATGTAATCCCTTCACAATACGTAGTTCCATCCGAATACCATCCTAGAAACCCGTTGAACTCGGGTACGAATCCCCGTACGGTACTGTACGGCGGGGAGGCGCGGTACTCCGGAACCGTTGCTTCAGGCTGCGCCATATCCTGGGTAGGAAGAGTCCGTTTACTACGAATGATCCATGAGTGGTTGAGGTGAGGGTTGCGTGGATCGAGGGATCAGAGGGTCCCGCTCTGATGAGTTATCTTCGACCTTGTTGTCCCATCTGCATAACGAGCAAAGATGTTCCGTGCAATTATGTCCTTCGTAGATAAATCAGCGCTGGCCATCAAGCGATTCACAACACGATGCTCACGAAGTGATATAAAATCAAGACATACTCCTGTTACAACATCAAAACAGGCGAGAATCAGGATACCGCAGACACTGTCAGATGCAGACATGTCCTTCTCGTTGTGCTCTATACAGAAAGGAGAGTCAAGTCAGCGCTGAACGTGGGCGAGCGCTGAGCGCTCGGCGGAGTTGTTGCGGGGTGGAGAAAGCTCCTGAGCCTCCTGAGGGGTCAATAATATTTGGGAGAAAGCCTCTTGAGTTTGACATCCATATTCACTTCATCCCAGGACTATACTTTTCAACTTATTTCTGTAGCTGACAAAATAATGCGGGCGGACGAGGCCTTGCCGGAGCTTCCAAATATACAGCATCCATAACCGGGGTAAAATGATAACTCCACTTATAATAAGCTTTTCAGAAGTTTTCAGCCTTTCAAGTGCCAGAGCTGTTGTTTCTGCCACCCAGAAGCTGGTACGTATGCTACATATAAGTTGTCAAATCATGATAGACACTCGGAGGGTCGGAACACGGAAGGTCTGATCATGATCGGAACGGATGCGCGTGGGACCGAATTGCCATTTTCAATGTGGCGTTACAATGAACCTCTCCTATTAATTTTAGCGCCCGTTACTACTCCAAGGTTGCCTTCCGAATTCAAATTTTCCCTTTCCTCGAAATAAACTCAAGGCTACTTTATGGAGAAGGATTTTTATTTATCCACCTCCTCATGCCTCTGGACCGGTGAACGAAGACCGCGCTGGACCGCGCCGTGGAGTCTCCTGCCCTTTGAATGAGTTCATCCATCAATGACGGCTCACTGGTGGAGCACATCTCGGCTAGCGAACCCCCTATAAATAGCGGGAGGCTCGGATGAAGATTAATAACCCTTTCATTCCTGCTACTTACCTCCTCTGCAAAAGGGTTGGTCGAGGAAGGCTAGCATACCAGCATACCCAGGCCATACTCGGGCGCGAATTTCGTAGCGATGCCTCTCTTTTACGTGTATGTTCACGACAAGAAATACCCATTATTCACTGCTGATACAATATGGCAGGAAAGAAGTGCCAATAGGTGCAGTAGCAATCATGCTCGCCCTTGTGGCATCTATGGGCGGTTTCATTTTCGGCGTGCGTCCTGTCAAGTTATAATACGGACGTCTAGTTTAATCTATCTTTCAGTACGACACCGGTCAGATATCTGACATCCTTCTCATGGACGACTTTAAATCACGATTCGCCCAATGTGGGACACCAGGAGATGTTGGGACGTGCGAGTTCTCAATGGTGCGAGCAGGGCTGATTGTCAGCCTTCTGTCTATTGGAACGCTGGTTGGCGCGCTGGCAGGTGCTCCCATTGCAGACGCGCTGGGCAGGCGATGGGCGATGATCGTGGAGTGCGGCGTGTTTATTGTAGGGGTGATCATCCAATTACTGTCCTTTTCCTCTTGGCAGCAGTTCGCGGTCGGCAGACTGGTTAGCGGTCTGGGAGTAGGTGCACTGAGCGCTGCCGTACCTATGGTACGTCGATACATGACTTTAACTGCCTTGGGTACTTATGCCGCAATATTTAGTATCAAGCAGAAACAGCACCACCACAGATTCGAGGCACTCTCACAGCAACATATCAACTTTTCATCACTTTTGGCATTCTAGTGGCCTGTAAGTACTTTGACTCGTCTTTTTTGACGGAGATCATTTAGCTTTCATTTGCCAGATTGTATCTCTATCGGTACCCGCTCTGTCTCGGGATCGGGGTCGTGGCGCATCGTCGTGGCCATCGGCATCATCTGGGCGCTCGTACTCGCAGTCGGCATGCTTTTCATGCCTGAGTCTCCTCGTTGGCTTGCCGCGCGTAACCGTATCGAGGAGGCTCGTCGCTCCGTTGCCCTTTCGCGAGGTGTCTCGGCTTCAGAACGGCAAACTAATGCCTTTGTCGTTCGCGAGGTTGAGCAGATCAGAATGATGGCTGAAAGAGAGAGAAAGCTACAGGCCGGGTGGCTCACCTGCTTCGAGTCGAAGGGGAAGACGAGATACCGGACTTTCCTTGGTACGTCTCCTACCCACCTACTAATCGTCTTCGGAGGGCTGAAGGCTGTATTCTTAGGAATGGCCCTTCAGGCGCTTCAACAGCTCACGGGGGCAAACTACTTCTTCTACTATGGCGCCACTGTCTTCCAATCAGTCGGCCTCGCGGACTCTTTTATAACCCAGATTATTCTCGGTGCAGTTAATTTCGTCTGCACCTTCGGCGGCTTGTGGGTCCTCGAACGTGTACGTCTGTCCCTCAACTGAAACGGCGCATCCGTCATACTTATAACATTTCTATGCACAGTACGGTCGCAGAATCCCATTGATGATTGGCGGAATATGGCAATCGGCGTGGTTGTTCGTCTTCGCTGCTGCTGGCACCGTGATGGGTCCTGTCGACCCGAACGAACCTGTCTCAGAGAAGAACCAAAGCTTAGGGAAATGTAAGTCACCTCGCCTCGTGTATGGAATGATGTCACTCATACTCATACTCCAAATCGATAGTGATGATCGTTGCTGCGTGCATGTTTATCTTGGGTTACGCCATGACTTGGGCACCGTAAGTTCGGTTTCAAGATGTGTTCTATTCTTATTCTAACGATTCTTTCACGCCTAGCGGCATCTGGATTCTCATTGGCGAGACGTTCCCGACCCGCACACGGGCGAAACAAGGAGCTTTATCCACGTCATCCAACTGGCTGTTCAACTTCCTGTTGGCATTCTTTACCCCATTTATCGCTGGTGATATCAACTTCCGCTACGGCTTCGTTTTTGCCGGTAAGCAACCTGGACCCACCCTACCGCTATTTCCCGTTGCTGATTGACGATCCACATAGCGTGCAACTTGTTTGGCGCCCTGGTTGTATATTTCTTCCTATACGAATCATCCGACCTGACACTTGAGAGTGTTGACGATGTAAGTCTTTTTTCTTCGCGTTGAACAAAGTTCAGATGAGCTCACTCGTGATGCAGATGTACACCGATCGTCACTGCAAGCCATGGACTTCCAGGTCTTGGGCGCCAGAAGGCTACGCTTCGCGAGAGGAGTATGCCCGTTTGCGAGGCGACGGAGAGAAGAAGACGGCGATTCCTGAAGGGGACAGTCGAGACTCTAGCCCTCATAGCGATGCGAGGACGGGCCCATACGCTGCCCAAGGTGGGCCAGGAGTAGAGAAGCAAAGTGGCAACGAGGCCCATGGTGCGTCAGCGTTTGATCCTTCCGGAGAGAAGCGGACGGAGAGTCTTGAGCACAGAGAACATGCTGTATAATTCATGATGCATGATTCTTGACATTGTAGCAGTTTTGTTTGAGCTTTGTAGCACTACTTGTTTGTTATCGTTGTATATTTGTAACAACCGGCTTAATTATAATGATACTGAGGACGTCCTCGTTCCGATTTTAAAGCTTGAGGAGCACTAGCTTCATCCGACAGGTCCAAAGTGCGGACCATGTGCTGGTATCGCTCTCAAGAGACCAAAGAGCCCCTGAAAACAGACGAAAGTTAAAGGTGGCAAGTCCGGGCGCTTTTCTGATGAGTCTCCTCGTGATCAAGTTGTTTTGTTGTCGATCTCAGATTCTCCTGCGACCTATTCCGTCTGGAACACTTGGAGTCGCCGAATACCTCCGCGTTCCTACATTACAACCCTGACATGTAAAACATTACGCCTATTGGACTCGATGCTCGCGTAAAATACGACTCCCCGGACAGATACCAAGGCAGGATAATATCCAAGAGCCTGTTCAGACGTGAGTACGGACAACAGGCTGTCAGCCTACCTGAACTTGACCTGAAAAGAGAGTGCTAACATACGACATAAAGTTCTCTGCTACTAAAGGGCTTCAAAGTTGCAGTTTAATCGTGATTCCATGCCGTAAGTCCTTCGGGGCTTGCCAAGAGGCGAGTACAAGGTAGATCTGACTTTGTCATGTATTGTCGACTTCTTTTCTGACTTGCAACCCACTGCTAGATGGCCCACTCTGGTCTAAAAGAACCTCCCGGGGCAAGTACGGCACTCGAAATGATATAAAACCGTGACGTTCAACCACTCGATGTATATCAGTTAATCACACATCAAACTACATATCAACGATATGTCTAAACCATTGGTACTCATCGTCGGCGCTACTGGATACACCGGACGAGCCATCGCAAATGCAATTCTTGAAGAAGGCAAATCTGTACGTACGCCCGTGGTGCCACTGTCTGCTCTGTTCTGATTTCCCGCCCAAATGCCAACCTACAGCGCCTCGCGATTCTAGTACGAGCGCAATCAGTCAACAAACCAGTAGTCAAAGAGCTCGTCGCCGCTGGGGCCGAACTTCGAGTGGGGGACACCTCCGATCCTCCTGAGAAGTTGGAAGAACACCTGGTTGGCGTAGAGACGCTGATCTGCACAGTCCTTGTGTGGGTTGCAGATCAGAAGCCATTGTTCGCTGCCGCCAAGAAGGTTGGTGTTGGTCGCGTAGTGCCGTCCGATTTCGGGCCTGTAGCACCCAAGGGCGCCATGTGGATGAACGACATCGTGAGTCATCCTAGTTCATATCCTCAATTAAATGATACGATACTCATTGCACGGCAGAAAATTGGTATTCATGAATATATCAAAGAGATCGGGCTACCGTACACCTTCATTTATGTCGGATGGTGGCTTACGTTCATGTGGCCGACTCCCCATTCCGAGCATAACACCCTCGACACTCCGAAGTTTTACGCTGGTAGTAAGGACCAGAAGCTCATATACTCGACATTCCCGAGCATCGGTAAACTCGTCGCGCGGATCATCGCCGATCCTCGAACAATCAACCAAACAGTTGTCGCCCATGATGGTGAAATCACACTTGGAGAGACATGGGCGATCGGAGAGAAGGTAACCGGCGAAGACTTCTCAGATTATTACAAAGTGAGTTCTTTGCGTGCCGTCTATTCGTGACGTTTAATGCTGTCGAAGGCTTCCGAAGCAGATTTGGATGCAGCCTCCAAGCAATCGATTAACTGGATGAAGAAGACCACTGCCGACTATTACAGGAGTTTATACATTCGAGGAGATAATACCATCGCTAAAGCGGAAGCGGCCGGTGCGTTGATTGCCAGGAAGCTGTATTCAGACGTCCCCTACCCAGACGTACTGGAGGAAGCCAAGGCGCGCTACGCAACATCATTTGTTCCCGAATACGGTGTACCCTTGGAGGAATTACTAGATGTCTACAAGCCAGAATAGATCACAATAGACGAAGAACTCATTTCATGTACATCCTCCACAAATACATATACCGTCGCTTACGCAATGTTGCTTCGCTTGGTTCACCGTGACCGCTTCCCAAGAGTGTCTGCACTAGACGAATCAACGTCGTAGGGCCTGACTCCACCCATAGCGTCAGATCCATGCGCCTCCCTACCACCACGCCAGATGTACCATATGACCCAAAGTAAACCTACAAACGCAACGGCGGCAAGAGTACAACCAACTATGATGAAGTTCCGGTTCGTTGCCGACGCACTATTGTCCTTGGGGACACACGAGTGACCTTCGCAAGGCCCGGGAAAACTGCCCGTCACGACAGAAGGGACATCCAGGGTTGCAGATGAAGAGAATACGTTCTCCGGCGTAGGGGGGGAAGTAATGGCAAGGTAATCGAGGATGATTTTCTTGTTGATGTTGGTCCCGACCAGCTTGTGCTTTTGAAGAGGCAAGGTAGGCGACTCGTAAAACAATATGCCGGGCTTCCGCTGGCCCTTGGTATCCTTCGAAAAATCCCAGGGGCCGCCCTCGTCGATTTCGTAGGTAGAGTTATTGTGACCGTCGACGGTGCCGAAGACACTGATCGATGTACCTGAACGCAATTATGAACTCCATATAAATTGATAGTGACTTGAATTCGGCTCACCAACAAAATTCAGAGTGAAACTTGCATTGGCAGTTGACGTGAGCGTAGTGGTTGTGTTAAACTCATCATCACGACCTCCGCGTCGCCATCCTACCGAGTACTGAATCTGAAGATCGGAGTCGTCTATTATGTAGGTGAATGGAGGATTTGCCATTGTGATTAATGGAGGGATGCGTAGTAAGTAGCCCCAGGTATTTAACCTTGGTTTGAGGGATCACAGGTCTCCACCTCAGTACTCAGTTCCTTGCCTGAGCAGATTAGGAGCGGATAGGGTATCATGTGTATCTCGGTTGCTCGTTTGGGTTGACCAACTTCGGACATAGTCGTATTTGATAGATAATTAGGCATTCGAGGTCATCTTCTTAGTGACGATCAGAGTCTAAAGCATATTGCTCGTCCTTGTGGATCCCGCACGGCAATCTGAAAATCTATGATTTAATGCATACAATGAACATCAAAAGTGTCTCTAGGCAACATAAACATGGACAAACGAAGACTTCTCTAGTTGATACAACATAAAACTTGCTTCAGACCATCTCGGGGACTTCAGATACCTTCCACATCCACCAGGGCCCTGTGGCAATGGGTCTACTATCAGTACGCCATTGCTCGATATTGATTGAAAGGCAAGTATACCTAATGGGTCGGTACGATTATGCTCGGGAGCTGTCCACAACCCGATGACACCAGCAGCCGATCCAATGGAGCCAATTTGTACGCCCTCGGTGACCCATTCCGTTTTATTGCTTGCGCCAAATCGGGTACGCTGAACACGTTAAAATCAGGTTAGGAACACTGCTAGATCCTTGAGTCTTCACACCACATAAATTTGGACTTACCATGCTCCATCGCACGGCGCCGTCGCCTATCATCCTCACTGTCCCACTTATCCTGCGTTGCTCGGAAGAATTTTGGTCGGAGCCGATCGAGGCGCCCTCGATCTTGATTATGGGGAGTTTGTATACGAGGGCGTCTGTGTCGGAGAGCAGTTGACTCGGTGGCGGGGCAACAGGCGGTGGGAGATAGCCAGTAATTCGGAGTGTCAGGGGGAAAGTCCCAATTTGTTCTTCTATGTCTAGATCTATGTCTGTTCCACGGGATATCTGATGAAGAGCAAGTGTAAGTCAGCGACTGAGCGTCCGGGAATACTGGAAAGGGTAGGCGCACGCTGCGATCATGATCTACGGCCCAAGTAGGGGATATGCGTCAATCAATACATGAGCATTGGACAGGACGCCGGAAAGAAGACTTACGAAGGAGATCTGGGTACCCCATCCACGAAACAGTCCGCCTAAGGTTCAAGTTGAACGTTGAAGTAGGACTAGCCAATCGCGGACACGTACAGCCACCTCCCTTCCACTCCGGCCCAGTCCCATCCACGATGTTCTACTCCAAGAGGATCTTGCTCCCCCTCGCCTGTGTCTGGCGCGGGCGTTGCCGTTGCCTCCAAGTATACCTTCTTCGCCCATCCATGCTGCCAGAATCCCGGTGCACCTCCAAAGCGGAGTAAATTAACATCTTTCAACGACTCAACAAACTGTTGGCCCCCGATTTGGCCCCAATCAGTGCCGCTATGATCTGGAGCCCAATGGAGGTCCGCTGACAGGCGAAGATTGCATTCAAGAATGAACCTCGCGGCAGACAGCCAGCTATAGTCGGGTATCAGCCGGTGAGGTGTAGGAGGATAGATATAATGGTTATCCGGAGCTTCGTCGTCTTCGTCACCTTCATCGCTTTCCTCGTCGTCCGTGACATCCCATTCATTATCTTCTCCATCAGAGTCTGAATGCGATGCAGTGCGTGACGCGTTGGCAATGTTGATCGCGATGTGTACAACGGGTGAGTTGCTTCCATCATGTCCCGCGTGCTCTGCATCCTCCCCAGTCGGCGTCAGAAGTACGAACGGACCCCAGCATTGTTCGACAGTCGTATACCGCATGTCGTACACCTTCTGGCGCGCTCTCTTCCGCGCGGCGAGTCTGTCCCGCTCCTCTATCTCCATGACCTTATCTTCGTAGCTCGATGGCGTTGGCATCTGCGAGACACTGGGTTCGAGGCCAAGGTAGAAAGCAAGCTTGAATAGCGGAAGCTGGGTATTTATTAACCGTTGCAGCTCGTTATCTTTGCGTTTGAGCACTTCGGAAGCGGCTGAGAGAGGGAGACCGAGACCGAGGAGCCTTAGCAGGAATACGGCATCATCAGATACCGTCAGAGACGACAAGGGGGAAAGAGCAGGTGCCAAGATGCGGTGATCGGGATGTGGGTGTAGCACCACATCGTTCAGCGGCAGAATCGTGGTAAAGATGGACGCGATTGTCCTCAAATGGTCGATGCTGCAGAGCTAGAAGCAGCGGTCAGTAATCGTATCAATGAATGAGATTACACCCACCGTCCCGTCTTTTATGTGCACTTTGTACGCTCTCGCGGCGCTGATCCGCCGTTTGAACTGGTTTTCCCAAGGGTACGAAAGCGAGGTGCACTTGTCGTCCAAGTTTCCCAGGACGCATCCAGAGTCGTTGGCATATCTCAGGTGAGCCAGAATGACTCGAGGATCATCGAACGTCGTCAGGAATATATGTCGCCAGAGATGGTGATCGTCTGAGTTGTAGATCAGATTGTGGAAGTATTTGCAGGTTTCAGACAAAGCTGCTATAGCATTTGGATAGCCAGCGTTTGCGAGGTGAACGAGCACTTGCTCTATGAGTTCCTGGGGGACGGCGAAGATGGTGGTCGGTAGCGCCTCTGCGGTTGGGGTCATCCTGAATTCGCAACTCGCGATCGGCAAGCGGTCGAGGCCAAGGGAGCTTTGGGCGCTAGTTAGTAATCCCGCCGTACACCCAAATTTGGATACATAGTCTTTCTCCAACGCTTCGGGGTTGCCAACTGCCTGGGCGTAACACTGGGGGTGCATTCAGATGGCTCCTGCGCGATCCCGCGGCAGCGACTACCGATCTTGAGGGCGCCCCCAGGAGATCACGTGCAGGGCGGGTTTCTTCAGGCGCTTCGTTACCTTTCGTTACGTTGGAACGTAACTCCGTTCGCCGTTCACCATGTCGCTTGCTTTCGCCGCTGAAAAGCAACTAGCCGTCTCTGCGGTCAGAAGGGCATGCAATCTCACCTCTTCTGTATTCAATCGATTAGTCAAGTCAGAGACCGTCGTGAAGAATGATAAATCCCCAGTGACCGTAGCAGACTTCTCTGCGCAGGCAGTCATCAGTTCTATGCTCGGAAAGGCGTTTCCAGGCGACCCAATTGTCGGCGAAGAAGATTCGGCCGATCTGCGTCTCGAGAGTGGCAAGGAGCTCCTGGATCGTATAGTTGCACTCTCCAACGAGGCACTGACTGCAGACCTGGGGCTCGGCGAGAATGCTGATTGGGGAATCGGTCCCGGAAACAACAGGACCGCTGAAGAAATCATGGATGCGATTGACAGAGGAAACTATGCCGGAGGCAAGACAGGAAGTGAGTACATTTGCACTCGATCACATCCTTAATGGCTAAGACAAGGACAGGAATGTGGACCATCGATCCCATCGACGGCACGAAAGGATTCCTTAGAGGGGAGCAGTACGCTGTGTGCCTTTCACTGATCGTTGACGCAAGCGTTCAGCTGGGTGTCATCGGCTGCCCGAACCTCCCTATCGACGCTGCATCTCCCAACTCCCCAAAAGGGTGTATCTTCGTCGCCGTTCGCGGACAGGGTGCCCAGCAAGTTGCTTGACAAACCCCCCTCTCGTCTTGCGAACTCCTGACACTTTATTTCCGCAGATGGCGCTCTCAGGTGCCGACCCACGACCGATCAGCATTCCTGCATTTTCGATGGATCAGCTGAATTTCTTGGAGTCTGTGGAGTCAGCACATGCGTCCCATTCATTCCACGATCTCGTTGCGCGGAACCTGGCGCTGAAAGCTCCGCCGACGCGTATGGATAGTCAGGCGAAATACTGCGCCTTAGCTCGCGGAGACGGTGGGGTCTATATCCGCATGCTCACGAGCTCTTCCTACAAGGAGAAGATCTGGGTGGGTCCGAGCAACAATGTTGTGTGGCCATGGTTTCATATTCGCCTTTCTAGGATCATGCCCCGGGATCGGTTTTGGTAGAGGAAGCGGGTGGTGTGATCAGCGACTTCAATGGCAAGCCGCTCGATTTCGGGGCAGGTAGATCATTGGGGGACAACTTTGGCATCCTTGCTACGGGTAAGGACGTGTACCCGAAGGTGCTCGAAGCCGTACAGCGGGCTCTGTCTGAGCGTAAAGCCAACATATGATCTAGAAGCACGGAGAGGAAGAATTGTATCACATTGTAGAAATAACACCTTGAAGCAGCCGCTTCGTGGCACTCGGAGTACTTGTGGAAACTTCGCGGACAAGTCCTATCGGTAGAACATCAACAAATACAGGTTGCATATCCTCACCACTAGCAAGCCCCAACGCAATTTGACTATCGTTACCACTGTCAGTCGATGTGGGCATGAATCTCTTCACCCTCGGCCGGTAGTAACCCAAACCCTCTTACAGCGCCATGACATCTATAGGTCCGCAGTTGCGACTGCTGTGGTACATTGAGAGGCTTGTCGAGCACAAACGAGTTTACAGTCGGATGGTGAGGGCCAAGTTCCTTCGGGCGAATGACATACGGCTGAAACAACAACTTTCCCCGCAGATCGGACACGTTCCCTCTCACCAACAACTCCGAGCCATTGGCCATCCTCACCACACTAAACTTCCCCACTTTCCCTTCCCACAGAAAGGAAATCATGGACGCGTAGAACATGATGGTCAAAGAATAATGCGTAAAGTGGGATCCCATCTGCGTTTTGAGATCCCCGTCGCGAGAATCATACCACCACTGGTCATGGGCATGATTAAAGATGAGCTGGTAGACGTTGACGAGATTAAAGGTGTCGATGATGTAGCAGAGGTCGCGGAAGAAGGCTTGGTTAGCATGAAGCAGCCTCGTGCCTGGGGACTCGGCTGAGAGCCAGTTGGATGGATCGCTTGCGGCAGGGTACTCCTTTGAGAGCCATCCAGAGGTAACCAGGTTTTGTGCCACTCCGTTAATCCTCGCATGAAGACCTTGTGGATCTCTAACAAACTCGTAGTCCGTCTGCTCACAGATTTCCATGGCTATGCCCTTGAGGCGCAAGCCGTCCGTCGCAAGTGAAGCTGTCGATTCATGCACTTCATATGTCCTTGGGGACCACGCCTGTGCAACGGCATCGCCTCGTATGGATGGACCACCCCAGGTGAACCCCTTGGATACGCGCAGCGGATTGTTGGCGACGTGACTTGTTAGGAGCAGGGAAAAATCCCCGCGCAGAATAGCAAGAATGTTGATAATCTTAATCACGTTTGCAGCAACGACCCGTGGGTCAGTCTTTGGCGGGGGGACTGCTGGAAGGTCGACGATGCGAGACGACATATCAACGTGGACCAGATTGCTGACAAGGGCCACTTTGTCGTATTGATTGAAGCAGCCTAAGTCGTGGACGACACCGAAGGCCCAAGCGATGGACTGCTGGAAGTCATATTTCGCGTTGGCTCCCCACGTATTAGAGCCACGAGGATCCGTGAGACCCACATCGTTGATCTGGGGGTCGTATATTCCTGCTCGGTTAATCCAGTGCTTCAAGCTTGCCCAGCTGAAGGACATAGGCTTCCCGTAGGGATCATCCGTGCGATGTACGTATATCGCTGGCGAGCGGCTGAGGACCCATTCCTGGGAGCACCACGCCCGTCCGAACCAACGCGCATTCAGGATTCTCCGGACGATCTGCACATATTCGCTCGAGCGATTTCGCAGCATGGTGAGACTTCCCTGAAGAAGCTCGAGCTCCGCATTGCTGAGTTCCACGTCTTCGAGGAGAATAACGGTGAGGAATGCGTTGCTGTAGAACCTATCCATCAGCGCGACTTGCACCTCTTTCTCCGCGTTGTTGTTTTGATCGATGCACATGTAATCTAACCAGACCTGTTTAATCTCTGTGACTTGTACCGCATCCTCGAACGCCTTTCGAGTGAACGAAGAGAAGTGATTGCATTCGACCGGCGTCGCTCCGCTTCCCCTTGCGATCTGCGTCCCTAGGTTGCTGTCGTAAAGACGAACCCAGTCTTTACCTGGCCAAGAGTAGCTGATAGCAACATATTTCCCATCATCGAAGGGGACAACCTCGTATACATCACCATCCCCCCTGCGCCTCATGCATCTCAGGGGAGTAAACCGGGTAATCCTGCCACCAGTGGTAGTGGACTTGCTATTGCTACAGATATTGAAGGCATCTCCAAAGGAGAAAGGGGAGTCGCTCTTGATCGACAAAGGCATACCGTGTACTGGACGGCTTGATTACTGAGGTATACGTATTTGTTAGTTTCTACTGCTCGATCTAAGACTAAGAGAGAATCTGACTGCAAGGTTGCAACGCAAGAAGTAAGTCGTGTATTTTAGCGCACATCCATCCACTCGTGAGAATTGTCGCCACAGCGCCCCTAATCACGATGGACATTGGAGTTCGAAAGGCGAACACTCATCTTCATCCACCATGGCAGAAACTCAGGATGAAGAGTGGAAGGCCCAGATCTCTACGTTGTTTGAGGTGGAAACTTCCGTTAACTTAGATGCCATGGATCCGGCGAAGTCTTATGCCAGGATCAGTCCAGAGATCACAGAGTATGTCAGCCAGCTTGGAGAGGTGAGTAGTAGTCGAACTTGGACGCAGGCGAGGGGCCTACGCCATATTATTTGTCCCCTATAGGATTTGACTGTGTTGCTGCAACGCCCGGCCCTTATCCCCCCTCCCATGAGTTCCTCATTTCCGTTGACCGACTACTTCATTTCGTGAGTGAAGTTTGGATCCTACAAGCCAATATTACATCAAGTAGACGTTCTTCTGATGCTTCATTATCTAGATCATCTCATAACACATATCTCCTATCGAGACAGCTCGTTGGCCGAGCATCTGCTGCATGTTACTCACATGTTCTGTCTCGCAACGGTCGCTGCGTCGAAATAGACGTTTGGCCTTCGTCCAATGGTCCAATCGTCACCCATGGCTATACTTTGAGCAAAAGTATCAGCTTCCACAGCGTTTGTGCAGCCATAGGTGATTCGGTCGGTGAATATGATTGGCCGACTATGGTCAGTCTGGAGTGCCACGTCGGTGTCGAGGGTCAACAAGAATTAGTGGATATAATGGTACAGACGTGGGGCGACAAGCTGGTGCAGCGGCGGCTTGATACGATAGAAGATGGTAAAACCTCGCCCGGAGACCTCTTTGGGAGAATCCTCCTCATGGTTAGGATGCCATGCCGACTTATTTCTTTTCCCTAACATTTCTTCCGAAAGGTCGAATATTATCCTCTTGGCGTGCCAGAACCTGGGGCCGACTCCTCGTCAGAATCGGAGGGCGAAGACGGCCCTGGTGCCCCCCCAAAGCACACTCGTATTTCACCGTCTCTTGCGGAGCTTGGGTTCTACGCGCGCAGCATGAAGCCAAAGGAGGGCTGGCTACACGAGGAAATTCTGGAGCCAAAGAACATCCTCATCAATATTTCCGAATCTTCCATCTCATCCCTTATTCCCAAATCACTTCAACATCTGATCTCTCATGCACATCGCCATCTACGTCGGGTCTATCCTCGTGGTACGCGGATAGGTTCCAGCAATCTTGACCCCGTGAAGTTCTGGCGTGATGGATCGCAGGTGGTGAGCCTCAACTGGCAAAACTACGATCGAGGGATGCAGATCAATGAAGCGATGTTCGTTGGATCCCCGGGTTGGGTGCTCAAGCCTGCTTCTTTCTTGGGTTTGGAGAGAGGCGGTCCGAAGAAGATCAGCTTTGCGTGTCGTATAGTGGGAGTTAGCGGCTGTGAGTTTCTCCTTCGTTTGAGAATATAGTACGATAAACCGTGGCCGATCGTGAACAGTGCCTACCCCCGAGGGTCGCGAACTTGGAGAGCCTTATTCTGTCTACCTTAAAGCCCATCTATTCCACGCTGGTGGCGACAAGAAATGGAAGTCGTCTTCAGTAAAAGCTGGGGGCAACATGGGAATGGACGGGGCTGACGTGATGTGGAAAGAGAGTTTTGAATGGTGGCTGGACGCTGACGAACTCGCATTTCTAAGGCAAGACGATTCTTTCGGGTGTTCCCCTCGTTCTGACTTGGCGGTAGACTATCGATATATGACGATAAATACGCCGGTGACAGCAAGTTTGTCGTTTTCTGTGCTAAGCTGGACCACCTACAACAGGGGTGGTGCTTCCTTCGCATGTTGGATATGAAGGGTAAATACTCTGGGGCCACGCTCCTCACTCACCTCAGCGTAACCCCCATCTCTTAAGGAGTCAGCGCAGGGAAGTAAATATAACACTAGGGACTCTTACAACATATTTATGTACAGTATTTAATGTACCCAATCAACTCGATAATATGATAATATAAGCACATCCTTGACGGCGTCGACTTGACTATTTGACATCGTTCAAATCCCCGCCTGCTGCTCGTTCGATACCCGTCACCATCCGGTCAAACTTGCTCGGGCCCTTTGGTTGTCTGTGCCGCGCACGGGGTGCGTCCTCGTCCTCCTCGTCGTCCTCATCTTCCCCGGCCATAAACTTAGCTATAAACTGAGCAATGCCTTTCTCCCCGACCTCGCTTTGGGCACGGTTGCCCCAGCACCATTCGTAAGTTACCCCCGAGTCATCATCTTGGGCCACGCGTCCACGTTTACTCTTCCCTTTCCCTTTCTTTGACTCACCAACCTTGCGACGGTCAATATATCCCTGCCTGATCAACTGGGAGAGATACGCATCGACAGTCATAGATTGGTGGGTAGATTTCGCGCTGAAGTGCACATTCCCGTGCGACACGGGGATCTTGAGGCGTTTAAGATATGCTCGCAGTTCAGCTGCGGATTTGGATGAGTCTTGGCAAGTAGGGAACGAGGCCAAGGACGTACTGTCACCAAGAACACGACCATTAATGAGGATCAGCGCGAGGATAACGTATAAGATGCCAGTAGGACCAAGGTCATCACCAGTATTCCAAGCGATGATACTTCCGTGGACTCGAAGAGCTGGAGTGTCTTCATCGTCGTCGACATCTTCCAGAACCATGTCTGCGGTCTCAGCTTCAAGGATCTCTGGGTACGTTTGAGCCGCACAGTCTATAATAACTGGATGGAGAGTAGACCGGAGGATATACGTCTTTGATCCAGCCGCAGCCGATTTCTTCTTGACAGTTGTTGCCTTCTGCACTTCATCGAGTTCGTCTCCGCCACCTCCGCCACTAGGGGCTGCACCTTTCTCGAGCTCGGCTCTCGATCTGAGTTCGACGAGTTCCATACCGAATGTTTTACCGAGGATCTCCTGAGCTAGTTGAAAGACGCGTGTAAATGCACGCCCATTCGAACCCATGACTAGCAGGTTTGATGAGCAATATTTAATCTTCGTCAAGCCACCCGAACTTACCCTTCTTCGAGATTTCATCGCGTCTGAGCGGCGTTCTCTTGTGTTCGTTGAATAACGCGAGGCGTACAAGGTCGTTCGCTTTCCTCAAGAGATCCTGTATATCTAGTCATTTATCCCATCAGTATAGAGATGATCAGAGCGTACACCGTCCGCATCTCCCTTTCTCAGATCAGCATCAACGTCCATATCATCTCCCTCCTCCTCCTCCTCCTCCTCCTCCTCTTCGTCTTCTTCAGGTTCGTCTTCTTCTTGTCTTCCATGTCTCGAAGGCTGGCGAGGACGTTGGCTACCCCGCGGTTGGCGCGACTGGGACGCCTGAGGCTGAGTGTTCTGGGAACGAGTCCGTTGGGTTCCAGCGCGAGCCATGGTCGTCAAAACTTAGGAGATCACAATGGCAAGGCACGCGACGCGACAAGAACGTGACAATCTGCACCACGTGTTTGCGTGATGCCTATCGTCAGCTTTCAATTCAAACAAGGGTATCGAGTGGGGGAGCATAGGGCTTGAATTGTGTAGAATCACATATCCAAGAAGTACAGACAGGTCGTTAAGCCGTAAAAATCCAATATCAACTCCATACCGTATAGATTAGCACACGGCACAACACAGGAAGTCCGTTTCGAGTCCAATAGTTAAGAAAGAACGTGGTGGTATCCGGGTTCAGAACGAAAGGATAATAGAGCAAATAGAAATAAAGTATATATCAAGTAGTTTCAAACTCCAGGTGGAGTGAAGCCGGGGAGCTGTGGCCAGTTGCCCAGCTGAGCGGGGTCACCACCGATGCGAACCCAGTGTGAGTGCGAGGGGGTGGGCCCGTCGAGGATGAAGAGTTGATGCCACCCTGGAGGGCTTATGTGGGAGTTGGGAGGGGCAGTGATTGTGCAGGTATTTCCATTGCAGCTAAACGCTGGGAAGATGGTACGAGAGCCCATAGTATTGCCGTGCGTGCTCGATACAGCTAAGTAATATTTTAGGAAAGTACTTGATAAGAAGCATGAAGGCAACGTACCGGCAACAAGGGATACCCTCATATTTCGGGTGGTACCCTGGAACAACCTAACGTTGATGGTAGCAGTAGCGCCATACGCCCAGTCGGTGTTGGTGATATTAAACTCGGGTTGCCTGAATCCTTGGTTGAGGTAGGGTGGAATGTAAACCTGGTCCAACACATTATGGGTAACGATCTCCGCCTGAAAACTCTGGTTTCTCACCTCAACACGGAACTCTTCTGGGAATCCAGGAGTCTGGGGGTCGGAGCCAGAGACAAGAACCCTACCGTCGGGCAGCAGGATTGCCTCAGAGTGGTACAAGCGCGCCACGATGGTGTTATTCAAGATGGAGATTCTTTGGTGGACCGGTTGTGAAGGATCGTACAGCAAAGCGCTGAGATTAGGATCCGTAGCCAAACCAAAGCCGGCAACTCCTTGGTGAGCACCGTTCAAGATCAGGAATGTGCCGTCAGGAAGGGGAGCCTAGGATGATCATGATACTTTAGCAATCTATGAGCGTAGCAGCCAGTGGTGACCTACGATGCATGGCATAACGCGACGAGAGGGCTGAAGAACTTTGAGTCAGATCAACTTCACCAAGATCTCTCGCCGTACCCACCATTCGTTCCAAGGTCCACGTTGGGTTAGGATCCTCCGGTGCCATGGACACACAGTTATCAATAGCTTGTCCAGCTCCGAGATTAGATCCACCACAAATCAGAATTCGCAATGGGTCGTTGTATGGAGCATGTTGAGGGAAGAGAACGGCGGCACCTTCAAGTGGGTATGTACGACCACCGAGGACTAATAAGATGTGAGTCAAGAGGATTAGTGCTAGACGAAGGTGTATGACTCACAGTTATTTACCGAGGCCGGGATATTGGGCAATTCCTTGATGGTTTGGAAGCCAACCGGCTCCAAGATGCGTGCTTCGTTGTAGTAGCCTTTAGGCGCACGTTAGCTTTACTGAGCGTCATAGAGAATGGGTTACGTGCCAACGAAGATATTGCCACTAGGGAGAACGAAAACGAACGGGTACAGGTTGTTCGGATCGGTTCGCTCAAGCCAGTCCAGCTCAACTACTGTATCGCCACCAGCTGGCTTTGGAAGGATTTCCAAGTTCGGTTGAGGAGAGGCATTACTGCCAGTTTCTCCGCCGATAACAAGAATGGATCCGTTCGAAAGCATCGCCGCAGTGGGGTACCATCTTCCACGCTGTGAACACTATCATCAAAGGAGAAGCAGTGTATGAGAGGATCAATACAAACCTGTAGCTCTAATTCGTGGAAATTCTCTTCCCAGTCAGTCGTGCCGTTGACTCCATCGGATCCACTGGGAGTGTAGAACCGGATGCCGAACGTCGAATCAAGTGACCAGCCTCCGACATTGATTTGTCGGCCCGCTTTGTCTGGAAGGACGATGCTGCCTGAACAGAAGACATCGGTTTGAACATGGAGTTCGCGCCATGCGGCCGAGAAGTCGTCAACAAGGGTGAGGTCAAGCTCGTAGGCGCCAGTTGAATTGGGGAAACTGAAGTTATTGTTAGCGCGAAGCTATCGTAGATACGGAAGATCATACCCAGTACCAGTTTTCTCGAGGAATGTCACCTTGTTATTGATGCCCACAGTCGCTATGAGTGGGACGACGACACTGGAGAACGGGCCCACATTCAGCATAAAAACATCCCATTGTGACGCGATAACGTACCCAGGGACTAGAAAAACACGCCAGATTGACTGATGTCAAACGCGCAACAAATGGAGACACCGCTCATAGAGACTCACCGAAAAACTAGATAAGGTGGTTAAATTAGACCACGCGTTCCTTTAAATAAGACAGATGAAGAAAGAAACTAACCTCATATCGGCCAATGTTCGCCGGTGTGTGCCAAACGTCGAGATTTCCGTCCCAATGGTAAAGCTGCAGGCGTTCGGCGCCGCCGCAAAGGTGTATTGGGTCCCCAGAACAAGGCATGTTGCAGTCAGCATCTGGCGCGGTCACCCCACCATTGTTCTTCTCATCAGCAACGTCACCGCAGTCTAGGTGATCCCGAGTATTCAGTGACAGATGCTTCGAAACTGATGGAAGAGCTTACAGCATTCATCGCTGAATTCCATGCCAGCTGCAGGGTACCCGAAAGCAGCGCATTGGTTTAGGCAAGCCTCGACCGTCAGGTTGGTTTGCATGATGATCTGATAAGGGAAGACACGCTGTGCTCCTGGTTCTCTGTGAAATTAACATCGAGAATCAGCGTCCGCGAACAGAAAATCAATGAAAATAGCTGACTGTAAGCAACCAGCAGATTTCCATTGCCCCGGGAGATCAGTGTCCTTGATGACAGGGACAGGCAGAGCAACAACATCACCCGGGTTGCTGGTGTACACTGACAATCTATTTGGTCCACCACAAGCCTCGCTAGCAGTTACCCGAGAATTAATCAACACCCATGATCGTTTCAATTGAGTTCACATACGTCGCATTGCCTCCGCAGCCCATGTTACAACTCGATTCGTCTCCCGGAACGGCGCCATTGATGAGAGTGTTTCCACAGTCTATTGATAGGCCCGATCAGATCAGATATTCTTAGATATCAGACATCGAGGGATAGGAACGTACAACACTCCTGCGCGAATTCCATACCGGCGACCGTAAAATTCATCCCATTGCAGGTGTTGATACAGGATTCGACTTTGAGACCAGCGTCTATGGGGGCCTCGAAGCCAAAAATACGTCCGTGGGCGTTATCGCTGCGAAGAGCGCCGATCCAGGGGGGTCAATAAGGGGAAAGGGGAAGGGATGCAGATGTACGTACACAAAACAACCAGAATAGTGCCAAGTTCCTGGGAGGCCTGACGTGACCGGGAAGACTGGAGCTCCGCCTGGCGCTGGACCTCCTCCACCTGGGGCTTGGGGAGGTGGCAGGTCAGCCCTATCGGTGAGGTTGTACGCGGTCAGGCGATTTGGGCCACCGCAAAACTCTGAACTATTTCCCGAGCACACCATGTTACAGTCCCCTGCAGGTGCCGATGCGCCGCCACCATTAGCGAAGGCTAAGCCACAGTCTACATCGTACAGCATTAAGCGAGAGAAGTAGATGCCAAAAGTGTAACCTACAGCATTCTCGAGCGAATTCTATCCCGGCCAAAGGGAAACCAGCGTGGAAGCACGAGTCCGTACATGTTTCGACCGTCATGTCGTCCGTAGCTCCCATGGCGGCGGTCAAGGTTCGAGCACCATCTGCTTCGAGGACGCAACCTAAGGTGTCCCAGTTTCCTACTTTTGGTATAATCGTTGGGGGAGGAGGGGGCTGCTTGCCACTCCAGAATACGTTGAGACGGCTTCCAGCACCACAACTTTCCCTAGCGTTTCCGGTACATGCCATATTGCATTCAGCGAGGCTAGTATTCGTCCCTCCATTCCCGATAAAGTTCCCGCAGTCTGCAAGAAGAGGGGCGTGTTAATGAAGCTGCAAATGAAGGACTTCGCGAGGGCGAGCTTACAGCATTCTTGGCCAAATTCTGCACCGGCGAAGACGAAGGACCTAGCATCGCAGAAGTTGATGCAGGCTTCGACTGTCATGCTGTCCGTGCTTGTGAATGCGGCCGACGAGAGAGCGCGGGCCCCTGGATTATCGGTGAAACATCCTTGTGATGTCCAATTGCCAGGTAATGTTGTGGGGACGCTCTGACGACGGTGATGTTGTCTATGAATAAAAGAGTGTGGATGGTTGTTTATTCCGGAAGCGACTGTCGGCTACGATGATACTCAGCGACTAACACGATCGAGAGAGCGCGGGGAAGGACATACGGTAATGAGTGAGGCCGCAGCCAAAGCCACACCAAGGCCCTTGGAGAGAACCATTGCTGACCTTAATCCGAGCACGAAGAGGCCCGTCTTTATAGAAATAGGGTGATCCCTGTTTGTTCAAACCAGGCCTCGGTGGAAGTCAAGTGCTGGAGTTCTGGGCTCCCAAGAATCGGAGAAGACTTTAAGTTGGGCAGCAAATGAGTGATGGGTTATAGCCGAGAAAGGTCCCCAGTGAAAATTTTGAGCACGTATTATGGCCGCCTCGTACCTAATTTCAGTATGGAGTTGTTGTCCCATCACCCTGTTGGCACCAGCGCTCAGTGATCAATTGAGACACCCGGGGCGATCGCATATAATTTTAATCCGTTGTCGACAGCTGACGGCAGCTATGGACCACAAATCGTCCAGACTAGTCGTTCGCGGTATTCCATACTCTTATCAAGTAGATTCATGTGATGATCTGTCTATGTATGTTAACTGGCTGCAACGCAGATCGTTGTCGTTTCACCAGGACAGACAAGTGATATCAAGCCGGGTGCTCGATGGTGACAGTAATAGGACATCCAGCTGGCAATGCAGCAAAGATAGAGATGGTTCGATGATACGGGTGATTAGGAAATGCAGTTGTATTCAGGTGCGTGGCACTCACACGGTTCAAAGGCTAACAAACTCTTCTCATGAGGTACGAATGATCCATTTGACTGTTTATGACATCGCTAAGTCCGCGTTGCATACGAATCATTGGCCTTCTGTGGGAGATCAATATGCTTTCTGCACGAATCGGGGTTCGAGAAGCGCGATGAAATGCCCTGGATCCGAGATAGAAATCAAGCCGACGACACACCATACTGGATATCCGGTAAGGTGCAGACATGAACTTCGGCAGGTTATCAATGCATTGCGAGCCGATTGGTGAGCGCCGGACCGTGATGCGCCTGCAAGGCAGCTCCGAACCCCTCGAGCGGATGAATGACAGGAAGGTCCATGAACAACGGTTCTTGCACGAAGAGAAGACGCGGCCACAGCATCCCATCCCCCTCCCGAACAGCCGCGCCGTTGATCGGCTGCACCTAGCCACGCCAGCATCATGTTCCTTGTTCCTCTGCCACTAGACATACATTTCATCAATGGACGCGATACAAAACGATGACAGGTGTCCTTGCGGGAGCACATGGTGATACCGAACTTCGGTGGTTCCAGACGACAAATTTACCATGCCCATTCATGGAACGGGTAATTTCTTAATCGTGAATAGCGAGGGGTCGAGGGGCACCGAAGGCCCCGCATGTGAGAAGGCTTCCAATAGCTTGCCCCCACAAGGCAGCCTAATCGTTAATACCGTGCTCCTGAATTTGCATCGCGCCGTACACGATGCGCAGTAGAAGGGGATATTCCTGAGAGAAATTATCACTATGTTAGCAAATTGAGATTGCGAAGGCCGGAATTACATACAATTCAGCCTTGGAGTTCAGATTCAATGGCCAGGTGGTAATCTGCCAAGCGGCCAGTAGCGGCGAGTCACCATCGATGGATGAGTAGTGAAGAGCTTTCCCACGAGTTACGTCAGCAGTGGAAGGGGCATGTTTGGCTTTCTTTATCTGACTCTGCAGAGGATGTGGTGACCCGCCACTCTTCCCCCGAACAACGACCAAGCCACTGAAAAAGAGAAAAATAACTACCGCAGCGTATCCGAGAACCAAAATACAAACTGAAACCAGCAATAACGAACATTTGACGCGAATTTTGGCTACAAACAACCAGGCCAGGAGGATAGCCGCGGTGGTACTCCGCCGTCGGATTCTGAACCTTTAGCAATTTTCATCCTCCACCAGCGCAGCGTAAGTCAAACTTTCTTTTTGAACTTTATTTTGGCTCGATACTGCCATCATCGTTGCCCTTTGCCTTGTAATTCTTTTGTGAATTCAGTAATTAACCTTGGGGATAAATGCAGTATCGCGATTACTGCGAACGATGGCGACTGGCCACCACGGAGGTAGCGGAAGTCAGCAACAACAGTCGGGAACGTGGACGGAACCGCCGTGGTCGGGATGGATAGAGACGACGGGGGATGCATTGCTGATCCTCGAGGCTGCCAGGCGCGGCATCATACCACGTGTGACGAGACGCTTGGTCGATTCCGAAAGAAAAATGATCACCTCCGGCTCCGTTTTCGTTTTCGACGAAGACGAGAGCGGGATCAAACGATGGACGGATGGCTTCTTCTGGAGCCCGAGTCGTATCCTCGGCAACTTCCTTTTGTATCGCGAGACGGAGAAGAAAGGCGCGGGACACCGAGGGCGAGCAGCGGCTGAAGAGGTAAACGATGAATCGCAGTATAACGTTGAGGGTGTGAAGGTTGAAGGGCAAAGCCTGAGTCGGCCCAAGTCCGACGTTAGTCATCTGGGTGTGGACAGGCAGAGGGAAAGAACGCTCGTCGGGAGCTTGACGAACAGCTACAAGTTCAAGCCGAATGGTCTGATGAAGAAGGTGAGTGAACGCACCACTTTGTATTATCTTGGCACTGATTGCAAAGGTGCAGACATTTTCCCTAACAATTGAGGGCGTCGCCCAGCATCTGATCTCGTATTACAGAGTGGAAGATGTTGAGAACGGTAGGCTAAGGTCGCCGTCGTCGTTACCTGAACTCGCCTCGCTGGACATCAGTCCGGAATACCTGGACCGCACACATTTCCGTATCGCACCGAAGGTCGAAATTGGCATCGACGGTCGACCAAGGTATCGCGGTGAGGCCGACGACATTGAAACGAGCCCTCAGCCGATAACTGCCCCCCTTTCCTCGGGTCTTCCCCTTCTCACAGACGGTCGAATAACAGAGGGAACATCCGCAGCCAAACGTAACAAACGCTTCGAACCATACGGCTCGCCACCCATGCAAAAACGTGTCCGCAAGTCCAACAAACTCTCCAACTCTGCAGACGGCGAGGACTCCCCTTCTGAAGCTCAACAACCGTCGTCTTCGACCGCTTCTACTTCCGTCGGCCCTCAGAACCAACCGCCTGCATCCGCTTCGTACGCTGACCCCAATAACGTGGCAGCGACAGCACCAGCACCTACGCCTTATCCTTACGGCGTAGGAGTACCTGGGTACTACCAGGTGCCTGGGTATCCTATGCCACCCATGTACCCCCCGGGTATGTACCCCCCTCCCCCTCCAGGCCAAGGGCCTTCGTCGCAGGCCCCGCCTCAACCGCAACAATATCCTTACCCGCCAGCTTACCCACCTCCCCCAGGCGCAGATCCCAATGTCCCAGCTCCTGGTTATTACCCTTACTACCCTCTCCCGCACGGTCCTCACGCTCAAGGTCCGTATCCTGGCTACCACCCAGTGCCCTGGCCATACGCAGCATTTACACAGCAACCAGGGCCTCAGCAACAAAATGCTGATTCCCAAAACAAAGGCGCCGACACACAGCAAGCGACCAATCCCCAGGCATCCAATCCAGGCAATCCACCTCCATGACGAACACAGACTGCCGGCTATGCCATTCTCGCCGTCATTCCATTCACATACCACCTCCATAGTGCCATCCGTGTATTACATTCTGTCCGATCGACCCATGTCCACATCTCGTCGCTGACTTCTTCGTGTATCATCCTTGTCTGTTATGTTCGTCGCTCGTCGTTCCCGCTCTCATTTATCCACTATAATCCTTAGCTGCTGCAGTTTCATCTTTAGGGACCTCGCCTCACTCAGTGCATTCAGGTTCTTCCCTTCATTCGATGTGTATTATCAGTTTATCGTTTACTCTTTACTGGGTTCCTAGTCCTTATGAAGTCTCGATTCTCCGTTTAACCACCTTACATGTTTCCTATGTATCGGGCTTAGTGGTCTCATTAGTTGTCTCCCCTGGGTAGAAATCAGTGCTATCTAGTGCTTGTGTTCTTTCATACATCACTCGGGCTTTAGCGGTTTCTGCTATTGGCATCAGTAAAACGCGTGTTTTCCCGCCCCACCTTCTCGCACTCGAATCACTACGTTCAAGTAATTGGCACATTCCCATACGGCTCGTACTCAGCCTTCCAAATGCATGTGTCTCAGCTCCCACCTTCGTATGACGGTAGATAGTCAATCTAATAAATGTACTGATCATCATACATCAATGCTGTGGAGGCATGAATATGTACAGGTATACACAAGCGTCACGATTACTTATACCAACTAGAGTACGAGAGATGAGAAAAGTCTATTATTCTAGAAGCACTGGTTTGAACGAGTGTAGTAAATCCGATGCCCCAGAGGGGACAGGGGGAGGGGGAGGGGGAGGGGAGAGGTGCGATTGTCCAACTCAATCAAACCAAAGAACAAGCGTAATAGGGGTGGCAAAACATGAGCGATGTAGTACCAATGCGTTGTAGTGAGTATTCATGGACGCGATGATGGTGTATACACGCAATGACGGTAATCGACAAAGTTCGCAAGACCCGAAAACATAGGCAACGAGCGGCGTTTAGTTGGTACAAGAGTGTTCGGGTTGGACTTGAAAGCGGTGTAGAGCAGTACCATGGATCTTCAGTAACTGAATATCATCAACCAGGGGTTTAGCACAATCTAGACGAGAGGAATGCGGTTAGTCCTGGGCGCATAGCTGAGAGGAAAGCAAAGCATACCGGGAACAAGATGTGGCATCCAAGCACAATGCTATGAGGAATTGCATGATCAATCCAGAACTCCGGTCAGCAGGCAATAGATGCACGTACGCGAGGGGAAGGATAACGGCCCATGACCATCCAGGAACTTGCCACACAACTGGCACGGCGTCCGTGGTCAAGACGATCATGGCTATGAGAACGATGAAACATAGGATGAAAGCCAGGCCGAATCGCTTGAGGATTTTGGGCACTTCAATGAAGAAGTTCGACCGTTCGACTGTATACGTATACGAGGTCAGTTTGGATTTCACCCTAGGGTAAGGCTGCACTTGCCTTCCTTTTTCTGTTCGAGGGTAGGTATTACGAGTCGCAAATGAGCGAAGTTAAGGGGTAAGCGGAGGCTCAACTTACCGTAGCACCCCATTGGATGTTATACGAGAACAAGTGCGCCAAAAGGGCCGTAGACAGGTGAATACTGAGGCCACCAAAGAAGAAGAAGCTGAAGTACAGCATCAATAAATCTAGGCCATTGATCGGGACGAGACAATGAGACTGCCTACTCACAAGAAGGGAACCCAAGTCAAGTTCTCCTTCGTACCTGACCATATGCTCCGCAGGCCTAGGCGATATTGAAGCAGCGTAAACGCCACATTTCCAGCTCCGGGGAAGACAACCGTGCAAGCTAGCCAGATCTCGAAGCTGTGCATGAAGAATCCATCGACCCCAAATTCGAAGCCGAGGAGGATGTAATTGAGGACGGAGAGGGCTGCTCCTGCTGCGATACCGTAATATGAGAACATATAGGCCATCATGCCGACTTTGTAATGCACGGGGACAGGAGACCACATGAACGATGCAAGTTGGTGGTTGATCGGGCCCAGGCGCCACCAATGGATGAGCGGATTGAAGATCAACTCATTGCAACCTATGAAAGAATGAATGCACGCGTAGTGGAAGAGGCCAGCAATCCTACCATATGAATATTTTTGCCAGCGATTTAGCTCATCGTCCACTGTGAGCGATACACCTTCCTTGAAACCACCATCGGAGTAGGTAGCCCAACGGATGATGTACCCCCGCAACTACAAATGCGGCATCCCCATGTTATTCAGGGGTTGTCAGGGGTAAGGGGAACGTACCATAAGGCGAAGGGCCATATCGAAGTCCTCAGAGACGTTAGCTTCTGACCACAACTTCTTGACGCCATCAGTGTCAACGAAGGCAGCATCTTGGATGGCTGACCAACGAAGGAAGGCATTGTGCCCAACGAAGGGCGCGACTTCTCCGTTTGCACAGCCCATAGAGATAGACTTGTTTATGCGGCGAGTGAAATGGGTAATACCGTTTTCGAAGTAGTTGTAGGCTACTTGCATAACGTCTACCCATGCGCTCCTTAGTACGATCATAAACCATGCCCGAGGCACTCGCGGACGTACCTGACTCATGCTGTATGATGGCTACTTCTGGGCATTCGGCGAGTTCGCGGGCAGCATCTCTAAAGCAATCCTACAATGAATTTGTGAGTTCGCAAGGTGCTTAACTTTGTATTTAATTTGAGATTCCCTACCTCCGGCACGATCGTATCTGAATCAATAATGAGGATGATTTCACCTATACGAAGAGACTTTGCGTTGCATGCCCATGGCCTGAAACGATTCCCTGTTTCCTGGAACATCTCTTCCACGGCCATATCAAGGGCCTTCTCCTCGAGACTTTTCCCATCGATGGTTTCAATGCCCTTGAAGGCGGCTTCAAGTGCTTGGAGGTGCTTCTCAAGCTTCAAGCTGAGCCTAAGACCGTAATTCATATTTGAGGCCTTCTTGAAACGACCCGCACGTTTGAAGCCATCAGGTGCATTGGAATGAGGTGGCCGGGCGACCCATCCTATGTTGTGGTTTGCATAGAAAGCAATTCGTTTTTGTCTCTCGGCGTCGTCAATGAGCTGCAAGCCATCATCATGTACAAGGATAGATGAAGTCCCTCCTTGGCGGGCATAAGTCTGCATGGCCTTCTTGAGGGAAAACACAGATGGTGCGCTACGCAGAGATACTTGATTAGGATGCCGGACTTATGGATATATATAGAAACCATACATAGTTTCTTCCAAGCTTTCTTTATAAACGGGAAGCTCGATGGTGACGTGCGGCAAATGAGCGTCAACTTCGGGACTGGGGGCCGGTGCGATCGCGGAATAGTAACGCGAGTTCTCATGATACTGTGCAACTGGACCGATTCTATAGGTGAGTGATGGACGTGAGCAAATGACCAGCGTGGAGTAATGTAGGAAACGCACAAGAAGGAAATATTCGTGATGATTTGCAGTGAAAAGAACTAGTAGAGGATGATCAGAAATGGCATGTTAGGGCGGTACTTGGACGTACGAGGGAAACGCAGAACAAAAATGGCAGTGTTGCCAACAGGGCAAATCTTTTGGTATTCCCGTCTAAGCGCCATTCTTGAAGGAGAACGCTAAGTCCGCTGGCAAGGAAAACTGTAATGATTGTCAGGAACGGACAATACCGTCATTCGCGGAAGTACTTACAGAGCGATAGGGCGACACCAAGACCACTGTACATTGGGGCCAAGAGGCGAATAGGCCGGGGGGTACCAAGCGAAGCTTTTTCGACATCATTATTGGCTGCGCCGGACTTCTTCGATGAGACTTTCCATCCGAAGCTCCAGGAAGACTTGGGCTTCGGCTTCTCCCTCTCAGCAAGCGTCACCTGTGCAGCGGCTTCAGAAACAGCGACAGCAGCTGCATTGGTCTTTTCGTTTAGGTTGACGTTTGAAGCCACTGTAGAAGGGGGGACGGATGTAATGGCAGAGGCACCGTCTGATGGAGCGACGATTGAACGTGAGCGCCAAACTAGCTTAATCAACTTGTCCTCGAAGTCCGCGTATAGTGGAATGATAGTATCAAGGTCGTCGGACCAGACGACCAAGACTTTCTCATCGCGCTATAAAATGATCATTTGAGCAAGTTACTTATGGATATGCGCTGCATGGTACAACGTACGATGAAAGCTCCACACTGCTCCTTGTCGGCGTATGGCAATTGAACCATGCTCTCAATTATTTGGATGCGGGTACCGGCATCAACATAAATGGCGGCAGCATCTTCGGCGCTAACGTACAGTTGAGTACCTCGTACGAGGGGGATTCAAACAAATACTTACCAAGTAGCGAGAGCGGCATGTACGGCTGCACTTCTGACTTTGATAGCTACAACCGGGTTCAAGACCTTGACAGCAGCCTCGAAAGGTTCTAGGTAGCGGTTTTCGTATGGGAAGACCCTGAAGTTGCCAGGCTCTACCCTTATACAAACACCAGCAGAAATGTTCTCCTCAGATGGCTTGAACCATGCGTCACCTTGGGTCTATGTCAGAAATTAGTCAGCTAGTGGATACCAAAGCAAATGAAATCGAAGTCACGCACGGTCTTGAACAAATGGTGGAGAATAGCATCGAATGCATCGTAGTCCATGATGGAATTAGGGGGCGACCGACGAAAAGAGTGAACAGTCGAGTCGTATAGGGTAGAAACAGCAGAATGCCGGACCAGTAGGACCTGAGGGGTGCACCTCGAGAGAGCCTGAGCTTAAAAGGAATTCCACTTTTTGGTGCTATATATCACGACCTTGTCATCGGCTTTACTCAATATCTGCCCTTCAAAAGTTGGCATCTTCGATAGGTCCGAGACAGGAAGTCGAGACTCAGATTCGGGGGGAGATCTGTAAACCAGCCTGCAGGCGATACATTAACTTTGAATGCATAGCTGTCATCAATTCTGTGAGGACATTCCATCGGGAGGAGTGTGTTCGATTGCACATGCGGCCAGTGCCTTGAATCAAACCTGTATGAAACCCGAATTGCGTCTGTGTCAACCCCGGCTTGATCTTGAAAAACAATGGGCCGATACCTTTTTTTTAGCTTCGGACGAGTGGGAAATCCCAGGAGTCAGGACGTACAGTGACTCCCAGCGCGTGGGACGAAGGCGCCCAGATTGTGGGGAATCCTAGTTAGCATTCGAAGAGGCCATTACGGCAGCACAAGCACGATGTCGGGGCGAGGCCATCTGGTAAAATCGCTTAGCCAGGTGATAATGTGCGATGGTTCTACGAGAACAGACCTTGCCACTACGGACACCTGGGGATAATCCACAGAACCGTACCGTGTCCACAAAACTCTCAAACGAGTTATGCGATCCCGGATGTCCATCAGTCTATCGGGGATTGGATATCGACAATTCTCACTGGCAGTGACTGGCGTTTGTTAGCACCCTACCTCCGGGAATCGGAACAAAGTGTGTGTTTGGTACTATTGGCTATCACCCTCCGGTATGCAATACGTGACGGCAGTTTGATGGTTTAGACATCGATAGTCTGGGCATTTTACCTCACTTTGTTCCATCTCACGATAATAGGACAAACATAGCTTTCTGTAAGCTCTGAAAGTGGTGGCGTAATGATGGCATGTCGTAAGTTCGACGCTATTGGAGTCGGTCAAAGCATACTGGACGCAATAACGAGATATTGTTCTATGGCCCCAGGTATCGAGTCCCTTCAACGTCGACGAGCGACGAGGTGGGTGTCTGACATTTATAAAGGAGTAGGACAAGCAAATCATGATAGGCGCGTACCTCCTATATGATACCCATTGTCATCTTCGAGAACATACATCACCAGGAGGCTCCATCTAACAATGGAACAAACCGAAGTGAGCTTCACGGCTTCTTCACCCCTGTTCAGCACCTGAAGTAGATATCCACGACCGCCGACGCTAGACGCGGGTCCGATTGTGATTGTGACTCTAAGACAAGGAGGAAGCATGTTCAATAGATCTCCAGCATGCGAACGAGGCACAGAAGGGGCCGGAAAGGGGTGGAAGACAGGGGATAGGACTTCTCTCGAGGATGTCAAGAACCCTGGTGTTATTCATCACCCATACCTATGGACGCTTGATCAACCAATGTAGCCCCGCAAGTGCCGAGTGAGAACGTTTCAGACGGAGATAAGCTGATAAGTGACTTGCACTTCGTCGGTGGAGATGCGGCTTGCTTCTCAAACCGATACGTGGACGACGCCCCAAATCAAGAACTAATGCATCGAACAGACCTTCGAAGAGAGATAGTTGCGAAGGACGAGAATAGAGACGTCGAGAACATCGGATAGTTACACATCTATCAAGAAAGCAAGATATATCAATGTGTCGGAGAGAACTGAACGAGTCTCAGGCGTGGAATCGCGCCGTACAAACGAATGCCGAATTCGAAATTTCGAGGAGGCGGGGCCGGAGGATTGACCGCTGCGTATAGGAATGGAAGATGATGTGGTCGCCTCACAAAACGCTTCCACAGAACCAGCTATTTCGAGGAAAGAGGAGACCTGCCCCGAACTGCCCGTATGACACAATCAATGGAATACGTGCCAGAATGGGAGGCCTTGCTGGATGGTCTTGTAATAAACTCGAAATTGAAATATTTCATCGGTTCGACTCCTCAAAGTTTCACGAGGTGCGCGCGTGCGCCCATAAATGGCTCCTTCAGTGCTGTCGTCGACATTAGTAATTCCAGGGGCTCATACCAAACGTAGCCCGAATCGAAGAAGTAAAATGAATCATTCACCATGCAATAAATTTGGACTGAACTATCAAGTCTTCACGAGATGCTCTCGTAACCTGTTCCTGTCCGTGGCCGTCATTGCTATCCCAAGGGGATTTCATGACCGACGGCGAACCGAATACGGTTGTGCGATGACACCACCGGCACATTGCCTTAAACTTTGGTCCTGATACCGTTCGCCGATAGTAATTGAACGGTCTCCGTGTTAGTGTTATCTTCTTCCATTCTCTTCTTATCGTCCTATCGATATATTGTCGCATGAGTCGTCCTCGCTCCGTTCGCCATCCTGTCCAAGATGTCAGAAAACTTCGTCCAGGTACTGATCCCAACAGACCTGTTCTTTTCTCTCTTGCACTGTGGTGTGAATCTTCTGCTGGGCAAGCGCCGACAACATCCCCGGACGTACTTGGCTGACAAGGGGCGGCGGCACCGAACATGTGTGAGTTGGAGGAAAGACTGAAACCGATTGGTAGCGGTAAGCCTGCCTGCTTATATTTATCATCCCGCACATGGACCATTCCGTCGAGGGTCAGCCGATAACCCAACCGCTCGGACGCTTAAGGCAGTCGGCACGTTTATCGGTTGGGAGCATGAGATGATCTGGGAACAGAGAATGCCACGCAGTTTCCAGCACATGTAGGCATCCACCACGTCGCGTAGCCAGACGCCAACACTAGAGATGATAAAATTGCCCTGATGAGTACAATGGAGCTCAAAGACTGTATACACTGTCACCATGCATATGCTCAGGGCAATGATTGTAATATCAACATCCTGATGCCCTGGTATACGCGTGTGCTGAAGTGGCAAAGTATAAGCTCTTTAGACTGTCGAAATTTCATTGATGTGCCCTGGTACTTGTATTCTAGGCCCGGAGCTAGCAATCCGTTAGCCAAGGACGATCGAAACAAGGACGACGCCAGCACAGAGTAGTAGTGATAGATCGAAGTCAAAGTCATTCTTGACCACTAAACCTTACGATTAGTCAGGGGGCAATCATCCCACGGTCAGTAAACCAGTAACATCTGCTTTTAACTTCGACTACCATCATCAACATCATTCATATTGAGGCGTTTGCGCTCGACTAGCAGGCTACTAGTGTCGACCTAGCAGCGGGATCGTAGTGCGCTTTGCTCGCCGCCGGAAGTTCGAAGTCGGAGGGCTTCGAATCCCAGATCCTGCATGCCCCAAATCCCGGAAATCCATCACTGGGAGCTGGCGAATAGATTGTTTACTCCCGCAATCCAATAAACTCTCATGGGTCACTTCTGGCCTGACAATCACTGTCAGAAACCCGCACAATGCGCGTCTGATCAGTCTTCTCAGTGCCTCGACCTGGCTGAGTGGGAAAGACCACTTGTTAGATGGTATGTTTCGTTATGATGTCTGTCGTTATCTCATCAGTTGCGGGTGGCCTAGATTCGTTGAGGAGAATTGATGATCCCACCTCCGCCAAAATGAATTCAAATCGTGACGTGACGGCTGTGCGTTTCGTTCGGTAAAAAATTATGGGTGATCCTCCAGCTTCTTGGCTATGAGAGACATCGCGTCCCTCTGTTGCCTTCACGACATTGCTCGTTAATTGCTCGTTAATTGCAGTCGTTGGAGCACAGTTCATACAGACGGCTTCGCACTGGGTGTTTCAAGATGACCCCCTCATCCTGGAGCAACCAGAGGATTTTCGAACAGTATACTTACATTTGTTAGTGACAGGTCTGTTGGGCGTTCATGATCGACATGTACATTCTGATGCCGCGCTTTCACCTACTTTTACACCGGGCGTCATGTTTCAGTATCTGTGCCCTATTGTTGGTTCCACGGACACATGCGGTACAATGGCCCGGCGAAATGCCAATTAAGAGTACATTCATCAGCCGCACGAAAGACTGTTCCGTCAAGGGCAAGCTCAGGACGCGATTCGCTTCCACCTGTATGGCCGTCCTTCCCCGAACGGCGGCTGGGAAGAATTTACCCAAAGATGCGAACCATCGGGAGATCTATCATCTGTCCACGCAAACTCGAGGCCAGGAACGTTGGCCTGAGCCATTGTTGGGTAGGGCTGTTCATTTGTGGATCTCGAAGCTCAAGAGTATTTTTTAGATCACTTATAATCTTGGAGGCTCTGACTGAACTCTAGCTTGTCGTTTGCTGCCCGACGTTCCCCCTGTATTTGACGCTTCGCCCGTCCTCGCTGGCTGATGTACTCACGACCGAGGACGTCGTCGTCCCTCGCGCCACCTCGTTCCATAGCGGAATCCATCGAGAGTGACAACGACTCAAAGCCTTCTCTTCATAGTCGTACTCAGTCTCACCCATCGGCTGCGGCCTCCTCCGCAGATTCCCCTCCTGTCACTCCTCGAAGTCCTTACAATGCCCCGATGAACCCCTTCTCCCCTCCACCCAGTGTTCGCAGCTTCAGCAGCCCAGATCATACACCAGTAACCTCGCCAGGCTTGCCGGGTGCACACGCACAAATTCATTATCCTTTCCCCGATTCAACCCCGAGAAGCGGAACCTCATCCGTTAGCGCCAGCAGCTCTGATCTGCCTCGCGCTTCATACAGCCGCCCCACTACCGGCGACCATCCAGGCTCGCGGCCTTCTTCTGCACGCCTGCGAGAGGCGTTCGCTTCGCCTCCGGCACGTCCTATTACTATATATGGAAGCGCCCCCGCCATGCCGAAAATTAAATTGAAGGAACGCCCGAAGTCAACTATGTTGACGGAGGGCGTCCCTGCAGCAAAGCCTTGGCTTACGAAAAGGGACCCATATGCGAAAATAGCCTACGTCGTTACATACAGCATGATCCTCATCGGCATCGCCGCTGGGGCTGTCCGCGTATACTTTGATTACCACTCTGTTCGACTGATGCCCGGTAACCTTTGTCCGGTGCTGGACGAGGATTTCAGCAATGGCGACGAAGGCCTGTTTGGTGAAAACGGCAAATTCTTCAGGGAAGTTGATATGAGTGGCTTTGGGTAAGGCTTCATGCCCGTGTTCACAAGTGATTTTGTCTCATTCTTTCGCAGGAACGGGGAATTTGCAATGGCCACAGCTTCCTCAAAGAATTCGTTTGTTCGTGATGGGAAGCTCTGGATTCTTCCTACGCTCACTTCCGAGGAAATTGGTAACGACGCCGTCTTCGATAATCACATCTACAATATCACTGGTTGTACGTTCAATACCACCCGTGGATGGTCGTACACCGCCTCCACCCCATTGGACCCAAAGACTACCTACTCCACTAACTCCAGCGCCATTGGAGACGACATTCCCTTCGATGAAGCTGGATATGTAAAAGCCTGCTCTGCGGTCAGCAATAGTACCACCGGCACCATCATCAACCCCATCCAAAGTGCGCGGCTTAGCACTAGGAACAGCGCCAGCATCCGATTTGGCAAAGTCGAAGTCAGAGCCAAAATTCCTACGGGGTAAGTTTTTTAAGACGTCTTATCCATCTACCTTCGAACACTATAAATGACACGATGTGCATTGCTTTTCAGTGATTGGGTGCGTTTAGTTGACTTTTGCGCCTTCGTCGGAATGGTAGACTGATGGGATATACTTTTTAGATGTGGCCTGCTATTTGGATGCTTCCAGTTGATAGCGCATATGGGCCGTGGCCTTTGAGTGGTGAGTATATGGAACATGGCGCCGTGATTATTACTCAAGCTGACATTTTTACCTGCAGGTGAAATCGATATTATGGAGGCTCGCGGTAACGGTCCTTCTTATCCCGCGCAGTACGTACCGTATCAATCATAGATGAGCGATAGTTGAAGTGTCGCCACAGAGGAACCAACTTCGTCCGCTCGTCACTCAACTGGGGCCCCTTCAGCTGGCTCAACGGTGTTTGGAAGACCTACGGATGGGCAAGGAACCGGTATAGATCTTACGACATGGACTACCACACCTACACCTTGGAGTGGACAGAAGACTTCATGTATGTACCCCGTCGCTGCACTCCAATTCGTAGCCTCATGCGCCATTGGCTCTAGTCGCATGTCCGTTGATTCGCGCCTCCGCCATATGCTCGAAATCGCGATAAATACTCCCTTCTTCGATCGAGGCGACTTCCCGCCTGTGGTGCAAAACGGCTCGTCTACTATCGTGCTACAGAACCCGTGGATCAATGGTACCAAGGCTGCACCTTTCGATCAGCGTAAGCTTCTCCTTAACTCCTATTTGGCTCACAGGGGTTCTAATTCTATCTCAGGATTTTACCTTATCCTAAATGTCGCTGTCGGTGGCACCAATGGGTGGTTCCCAGATAACAACGGACATAAACCTTGGTTGGATGGTTCTCAGAGTGAGTGCCCCACCACATCGCTCGCCTCCGATGATACGATTCCTTGCTTCTTCTCCAGCCGCTATGCGCGATTTCGCTCAGAATCAGAACCAGTGGCTGCCCAGTTGGCCCACCAACGAGGAGGAACGCGCCTTCGTTATGTAAGCCCCCCTCCCCTCTCTATTCTATTCTCCTTCTCATCGTCCCCGTCCTTAGTGACTCCGTGAAGATGTGGCAACAGTGCTAGAAACTTTCGCTGGTATTCATATTGATGACTGTCGCATGTGGACGATTCACCCTTGCTCTTGTGAAGTCAATATCTCGCGTCTCTCTCACCTGTCCCTCTCAATTTTCGCGGCGTTCACTTGGGGTTTGGGGCTGTTTATGAGTGTTACTTATTCATCATGGACTTTTGGGCCGGCGTATTATTAGGCCTCTGTACGATTAAGTACATCCGTTCTTTGTTTCGTCGAGCTTAGTAGACAATACATAATGTTACTTTAATGCTTTGACCCCCTTGAGTGGTACTTGAGTGGTATGGCGCACCTCTGGAAGATTTGGTCGGCTGATAGCTTCAAAAATTGGTAGAAGACCTGATTAGTAGAAGACCTGAGGAGTCATTGCATATTAATGGCGGGCCCGGAACCCGAACCGGGGGGCGACTCCCGATACGTACGGCCTCCGCTATGCTATCAGAATGAGTACGCCTGATTCTACCTCCCCTGAGCATTAGTAGCTCGTACGCACTACAAAGAGTGGTTCTTAGTAGGCTTCATCTTCCGGGGGAGGTTGCTTTCAATAGCTCGTGGGACCTCCCCCGTGTTAGCACCGTGATATGTCCACTAGTGGAATCCGATTAATTGTATGTTAGGAAGTAGTAATGAAAATAAGAGGAAACCCAAGCTTACGCCAGCGTGCACAGACAATGAGGTGCTGACATCGACCTAACCTGTCGTGCTAGCGGGTCCGGGCTACTTGTCGCTCCGCTAGCTCTTCGTAATCGCCTTCTGGATGATTGCCTATCTGATCATAGCGTACTCCCGAAGCTCGGTGCCCGTTTGAGAAGCTACTATGTATGTCCAAGCTATGGTACATCTAGACACCGGCCATCGAGCTTTTTAAGATTTAGGTGGATGCTAGCCTGTGCAACCCTTCCACAGCGACACCTGGTTGCGGGATTCTGGAGGATTTCATGACGCCTTCGGATGAGATGCATCGAGGTTGAGAGACATCCAAGTCCAGAGCTACAATATCGATAAAAATGGGAGGCGTACCGGAAGGTCGTATGACCTTGGAACCCACTACCCGATACAAGATTCTGACGAAGGAAAGATTAGCTCCACGTCGATCATTCTGTGAATGAACCCCAGCCAGAAGTCGACAAGGAAATATTCCTTGTGGCCAGCAGGGCCAACGACTTCCCGATGAGATTCACGGTGAGGTCGAGCCTGGCACTGTTTCTTTGAGCCCTCAGGACATGATCTTGACTACGGGGCCGGTCCTCTGAAGAGAATCTATAAGTATAATTATAAGTTTGAGCCACTGTGAAATTACACTAGAAAGTCGAGACCTGATGCTAGCATACCAGTCTCCCGAGGCGATTTCGACCAACTAGTTGCCGAGTATCGGTTCCACAATGCTTCATGAAAGAGGGACATATCATTAAGGATGCCGAGCCAGATAACTTGATATCAGCATGATTCATGACTGTAAAGTGGGCATCAGTTACTTGCCGCTTGAAGCTACTGCGAGATACGACCTGCCAGCGAACTGATTAGGCTTCGGTGGAGCCAACGCACCCTCGTCTGATGCAGCGGGCGTTGGCTTTAGCTTTCGCAGATTATTCGGCGGAGGCTTCAGCTGGAGGATATGACCTCGAGAGGCTGTCCTCGATGATATGGAGGCTAGCGTCAGTCCTCAATACGGCCTCAAGGGTAACAGCTTTGTTACGAGGTCTATGTCGAGCATACGGAATACAAGTAAAAGAGTGCCTGTCATTTTTGAACTCACTTCGCTAGGTTTCTTTCCACTTTGTGACCACTCTGCTATAATCGCAGCCAGTCCACTGCGCCCATTCATGAACATCTCAAAAGTCATTGTACCTCCTGGCCTCACGATCCGAATCGCAACTCCATCATCCGCTTGGTCCACGGGCTGGACGAGAATCATTCTCGGTAGATCGCACGAGTTGTACCGATACTCGTGGATATGAAGGCGCGCGAGGGACATGTACGTCGTTGTTGTATCTGATTCAGTCAAAGAACAGTGTCTACGAAGAAACGTCTGCTGGCTTGTGATCCTTGGAGAGCCTGTCGTGCGCTGCAGTCTTCCAAGATGGCTTCGAGTTTCGCCTTGTCCACATCTTCCTGTTCTGTGTCAGGCTCATGATAACCATAAAACTTGTGCAAGATGGCCGGCATCGGCACGGGCAGATTGTAGGCCGTCCACTCCTGTATGAGATACCGCTGACTGCCTGAGTCTGAGGAGTTGTCGTATGTCAAGTTGTCGGGCTGCGGTCTCGCTATCTCCCCGTTTCGTTCGCCAGCGTCGCCGCTTCTTTCGGGCCAGCAATTTTCATGACAACACTAGTCGAGTATTCGGGCGTGTGGGCGAGGAGTGGGATATGTAAATGTAGGGCCGGCGAAAGAAATCAAAATTGTGCTTCCCCGAAGAACGTGCGAGCGTGTACCTCCAAGGCGTCACTTCCAACTTCACTTTTGCCTCTGGATCAGAAAGCGTGCTGCCCACCATCAAGATTTCAAACCTCGGGGGCCAACCCGTTGACCAGGAGTACCTCGGAAAACAGTCTGCTAGTTGGAGTTCCTCGAGCTTGAACCGCGGGTTATACATTCAACAATCATTAGCGCTTTAGCACCCAGATTGCGAGACGGAATGTAATGAATGTAATGTTGCAGCCGGGCTCACTTTCAAAGCCTCTAAAGCAATAAGGGAACTAATCTTCCGACCGATGGATTTGCTGGAGTACGTACAAGCAGAGGGAGTAGGCGCGTCCAATGAAGTTCTGAAATACCGTGACTGCCACTTCTGGCATCGCGCAGCCACACATGCACAAATATCTCCTACTTAAGTGGCTTGCAAATTGCAAGGCACCTTTAATCTGCTTTAAGGATTGATTACCACCGAGACGAGACGAATCATGGGGAGAAACAGTACGTTCGGTACCGCTATCACTCGTTGTTGCATCTAACTCATTATTCAAGGATCGCAAAAGATACCAGTGCCACACAAAACAAGTATGTTCTAATGGAGTTGTTAATTTTGTATCTCTGATGCCCTGCGACAGAGTTGAAGAAGGATCCAGGAGTACCAAGACTTCCTGATCTTAAAGTGAAGAAAGCCGAAAAGGAACGGGCACAACCCGTTCGTCTCCATATTGTTTCCATTGCCCGAAGCTTTCTTAATCATCGCGTAGAAAGTCTTTCATGCTCAATTTGATCCAGATGCTGTAATGGCCTCGGAGCCTACTCTCTCCACCCTCGCCATGATGGCAGAGTCATCTGCATCGGCGCACGCATCGACGTCTCAAGACCCCAGCGATCCCCACGCCACCAGTAGCAAGACAAAAGAACAGGCGCGAAAACATTACCTCCGCACGTTACACAAGGTCGTGGATGACAGCGACATCGTGATACTTGTTCTGGATGCCCGCGATCCGGAAGGTTGTCGAAGCCGCTTAGTAGAGGAAGAGGTCAGACGGCGCGAAGCAGAGGGCAAGAAGCTGGTCTTCGTTTTGAATAAAGTCGGTGCGTGAGGGCGTTTGCTCTTGGTCCACGACGTGACAATCTCCCAGACTTGGTTCCCAAGTCAAATGCACAGCAGTGGCTCAAATACTTGCGACACTCCACGCCTACCCTTCCTTTCCTCTCGCCCTCGTCGGCACAACATCAACGAACCAACATATCATCCGCCACCGCTCCTGCGCTCGTAAAACTGCTGAAGGCCTACAAGCCTAAAGCTGGAAGCGTGACGGTCGGCGTCGTTGGCTATCCAAACGTCGGCAAAAGTAGCTTGATCAATGCTTTGAAGCGTAGTAAGGTGTGCGCAGTAGCCGCCCAAGCTGGTCATACGAGAGAGCTACAATCTGTGCAACTTGAGCGGGGCATAAGAATTATAGATTCCCCAGGTGTTGTCTTCGATGACGATGACCAAGCTGTAGACGGAAAGAGCATGAAAAAGGGGAGTGTTTTACTCCGTAATGTCGTAAAAGTGGAAGACGTCGACGATCCCATCGAAGTCGGTATGTTACAGGCCACCCACTTTTCTTCAATCCGACTGCTTATCGATTCGTTCAGTGGAGGAAATTCTGTCTCGCACCCCTCCGGCGACTCTTCAAAAGCTATATAGTCTCCCAGAGTTCTCATCTACCCTAGAATTCTTGACCATGATGGCGTTAAGTAGCGGTAGGCTGCTGAAGGTTAGTCGGATGTTAATCGCTGAAATCTCCTCATTTATATCGTATCGAAAGGGGGGTACGCCCGATATCCTAGGGGCCGCGCGCCACGTACTCCAGGATTGGAACCACCAAAAGATTCCGTATTACAGCGAGCCTCCCACCGTCCATCCCTCTCAGATACCTTCCGTCCGTAAGTCGGACCATGGTTCCCATTCCCTCTTCTCGTCTCATCCTTCCTTTTGGTTGATAGTCGCCTCATCATCGTCTGCTGCCCCCACCATCGCAGCTGGTGCCGAAAACGTTGGCCAAGCCAAGATCCTGACGGAGTACTCGAAGCCGTTCGAGCTGGAAGGCTTCTTTGGAGCAGCTGATGCGGGGGCCTTTGATGACGTGAAGATGGATGAAGATGGTGATGTATGGTTTGATGCAGAGGAAGGCATGGATGAGGACCAGTAAGTGCGATCAATGACACTTTGGCCAAGTGTCTCAACCCGTTATAGACCAATCGCTCAGGACTCGTCGCCAAATAAATCCCTTAAACGATCTCGATCGCCCTCGCCGCAGGCTGACACCCCTTTCATAGAACCGTCCTCTCTACCAAACGGTAAGGACACTGAAAGATATCAAAGACAACCTAAACGCCAGCGACGGAACAAGGACGTTCCGGAGTACGACGCCCCTCCCGATGATCACATCCTGCAGCGCATGGCTAAGAGTAATCCGTTGAACCGAAGAATGCTGAAGCAGGAAAAGAAGAGGGCTAGGAGAGCGATGAGAGTGAAACAAAGTGCTGGAGATGCGGGTGTTATGGACGTTGATGATGACGGTTTGGCCTTTACTTTCATGGTGTAAGGGAACGCGCAGTCAGTTCATTAACCAATGGGTCGCCACTGTTATAAGTAAACTTTTACTACGCTTATTCGACGATCAGGATGCTTTGATCTTTGCTAGTGATCTAACTCGTGCTTCATATTCAATAATACCGACTTCGGGGGACCACGATAGGACAGACCAGTAACGATTCATGACTTCACTCTCATATCGCTTTGCGATGACATGAACGCCTACCTGCTCACATGCGTCAAACAGGAATTTATAATCGCTTGCGCCTTGCATCTTTCCTAGGTAGCCTGCGCCTGCCATCCGCTCCAGGTGCTCCTTGCCTTCTCATTCGTAGGCCCAGTTAGGTCTACCACGCCTTTACCTTTAAATAAAAATGATACTTCTAGGTAGGTCATTGACTTTGAGAACCCTGTTAATCGTATTATTACTGTCTAGTAGTCCTAATCTATAGTGCCATTTATCTTCCCAAACTTCTGACCGTGGGAAGCCAATTTTACTAGCGTCGCGACTTCTCGGAGTTGATGCTCACTTCAATTCATTTCGCTCAGGACTCTCTTACCTGCAGAAGTTGCATGGTAGAGTGATGCTACCTCGTGAACTTCTTCTTTTCCATAGAGCATGCCGTCGACCCGTGCTCGATAGGTTTCTTTCCTTCACGGTCGGTCTTACGCGGCGACATGCAGCAACGGCCGCTGCACTGAAGGACACACCGGTTGAGGAAGAACTCGAGGCGAATCACCCCCAATACACTCTTAGCGACCAGGATGTCAAGCGGCTTCGGTTCCAGCGAAACATCGGTGTTTCGGCGCACATTGACTCTGGCAAAACTACGCTAACGGAGCGGATACTGTACTACACCGGACGTATTCGTGAGATACACGAAGTAAATCTGATATCTTTTACTGCACCTTCGGCTACTGACAGTCGGCTAGGTACGGGGGCGTGATGCTGTTGGGGCAAAGATGGACAGCATGGAACTCGAGAAGGAGAAGGGTATTACCATCCAAAGTGCTGCGACGTTCTGTGACTGGGAAGCAACGAACCTAACGTCAGGAGGAAAACAAAAGTACGCCGTTAATATTATTGATACCCCCGGTGAGCTCCTTCGGACCCCTTACAATCTCTTGTGCTGAATCTGGGAGTAGGCCATGTGGATTTTACTATAGAGGTTGAACGCGCTTTACGGGTTCTGGACGGTGCTATCCTGGTCTTGTGTGCTGTTGCTGGTGTCCAAGTAAGTTTCTTGCTGTAGCGATCATTGGCGTATTTCGCTCATGTGATGGCAGAGTCAAACTACGACCGTCGATCGCCAAATGAGACGTTATAATGTTCCCCGGATATCTTTCATCAACAAAATGGATAGACCTGGCGCCAATCCGTGGCGGATTGTGAACCAGATACGTACAAAGCTTCGTATACCTGCTGCGGCCGTTCAGGTCCCTATTGGTGTCGAGGATGAATTTAAGGGCGTGGTTGATTTGGTCGCATGGAAAGCTATCTACAACCAAGGTGTCAAGGGGTTCGTGACTGCCTTTATTCGCTTGACTTAGCCACTAATATGAATTCCAGCATTGACGTCGTCGTCTCCGACGAGATTCCCGAGTCTGTTCTGGAATTGGCTACTTCGAAGCGTAACGAACTCATCGAGCAACTGGCCGAAGTTGACGACACCATCGGCGAGATCTTCCTCAACGATGAAGTTCCGACAAACCAGGATATTGCTGCCGCCATTCGCCGTTCTACTATCAACCTCAAGTTCTCTCCGGTTTTCATGGGCTCTGCTATCAAGAACACGGCTGTCCAACCGTTGCTCGATGGTGTCTGCGCGTATCTGCCTGACCCATCTGAGAGTGAGGTTGTAGCGCACGACACCAAACTCCCCCCATCAGCACCACTCGTTCCATTGTACCCGGCCTCGGCCGCTCCGCTCGTCGCCCTTGCTTTCAAACTGGAGGAAGGTCGCTTTGGGCAGCTGACCTACATGAGGGTTTATCAAGGAAGTATGAAGAAGACGAACACTATTTACAATACTCGCACCGGCAAGAAGGTTCGCCTCTCCAGGCTTGTGCGCATGCATAGTAATGAGATGGAGGTACGTATTATATGTCTCACAAGTTCTTGCTAATGCGTATGATGAAGGATATTGAATCCATTGGCCCTGGTGAAATTTGCGCTATCTTCGGTGTCGAATGCTCGTCGGGAGATACTTTCACCGACGGTACCACGAGCTTCTCCATGGTACGCCTCGGGTAACTTACAGGAATTCAGCCTCACAATTTTTATGATATTTCGTAGACGTCTATGTTTGTTCCGGAGCCAGTCATTTCGTTGGCTATCAAGGCTAACGGAATCGAGACACCCAACTTCTCCCGAGCTCTTAACAGATTCCAGAAGGAAGATCCTACCTTCCGCGTCCATATGGATGCCGAGAGCAAAGAGGTGCGACATACATCCCTTACAATGTCTCTATAGTCTCTAACTTGACTGTAGACCATCATCTCCGGAATGGGTGAGCTACACTTGGAGATTTACGTTGAGCGAATGCGACGGGAATACAACGTTGATTGCACCACTGGAAAGCCTCGTGTAGCCTTCAGAGAGACCATCACACAGCGCGCCGACTTCAGCTACACTCACAAGAAGCAGACTGGTGGTGCTGGGCAATTCGCCAAGATCATGGGTTACATCGAGCCCATGGAGCCCGATCCTGAGACAGGAAAGGACGTTGCATTCGAGAGCGTCGTTATGGGCGGTAGCGTTCCAACGAACTTCATCCCCGCTGTAGAGAAGGTCAGATTTCACGAAATTCTGTAGAGTCCCCTCGCTAACTGTCGTTGTTTGATTCATTAGGGTTTCTACACAGCGTTGGAAAAGGGATCGCTGTCAGGGAATGCTATCAGTGGCTGTCGATTGGTGCTGCAAGATGGTGGTTTCCACGTTGTGGATTCCTCTGAATTGGCTTTCCGTCTTGCGACCATTGGTGCCTTCCGTGAGGTATACAATAGTGCGAAACCAGTGATTCTGGAACCCATCATGACGGTCGAGGTTGTCGCCCCTGTTGAATTCCAGAGTGAGTTCTTTTACCCACGTGCCTGTCAATTATGATTCTCAACTTACATGCAATTTGTATGTAGGTGCGGTTATCGGCGGTCTCAATGGACGCAGAGGCACGATTATGGACAGCGAAGTCCGTGATGAGGAATTTGTTTGTACCGCGGAAGTTGCACTGAATGATATGTTTGGTTATTCGAACCAACTTCGTGGCTCAACTCAAGGAAAAGGTAACAGGATTTCTGCCCTCAATGCAAGTACATCACTGACTCAAGTGACTTGATAGGTGAATTCAGCATGGAATACAAGGTACGCCTCCTTGGCCTTTTCTCCCGAGCTCCTATACCGATCCCTTCTATAGAACCATATGCCCGTCCTTCCCAACCTACAAAAGGAACTCGAAGAGGCTTACCGCAAGACTCTGCCATCTTCAAAGAAATAGACCAGCATACGCATATCTTAGAGCTATAGTGCCTACTTTTATATATTGCTTAATTATATTGTTGCTCAGTTTTGAGTACGCTTGCAGATTTTATTCGCAGGGATATTATGGACGTTCGGCATCCTAATACGCACCGATTAGGAGGCCCAGAACCAGTCAGAGAGGTAGCGGGAGGTGGTCGCAGGCTTGGTATTCCAGACCGCCATCACCTGAGCCAACTGCAGTTCGTTAGTTGTCATTTCGCGTTAGACGACCGGCTTGGACGACTTGCAACGACCCGCCCCAGCTTCCGTGATTGCACCCGATGTGGTCTGGGTTTTGATCACCCCTGCTCGGCGTATACACTCTTAAGAACGCCTGCCAAATGGCCCAGTAAACATTATTTCCCCGCTCTCCCTCTTCCAAGTTCCACACGATACATCGAATCCCTCAAGATGACCCAGATCACGGTGGCAGTGAGAAGCGCCCAGCCTGGGATGAAAAGGGGCATACTTGGAATGGTATGGGATCCAGGCCCGGATTAGGCCCAAGCCATTCCACCACTAACACGCCTAGAAACAGGCAGGCCGAACCGTAGGCAACAGTCGACCCCTTACCTTCGCATCGCTATCCAGGGGCCGTCCGTCCATAAAACCATGGGACTATGCGAGCTCATCGTCATATTCCATCTACCCCCCTTTCACCAGAAGATCTCCTTACTCAACAATTACTATGTCTCCTAACACTCAACCCAAAACTGCTATAGTCACCGGCGCCGCACAGGGAATCGGCAAAGCGATCGCCATCCAACTTGCTAACGATGGGTTCTCCGTTGTCATAAGCGATATCGCAGCCAAACAAAGTCTGATGGACGATGTTGCCGCCGAAATCAAGACGAAGAATGTGGACGCTCGAACCTTGGTCGTACCAGCGGATGTTTCATCGGCGAGCGACGTCAACAATCTCGTAGCCAAAACCAAGGAAACCTTTGGTGGTCTGGATGTGGTAAGATCACTCCCTACTATTATTCTCGTTGCAGCCATATTGATTCAGTTGCGCAGATGGTCGCCAACGCTGGCGTTTGCTGGTCCAAGTCTATACTCGATGGTGCGTATCTGGAGGCTCGTACATTCAATCATTTTATATACTTTACACAAAAGTTACCGTCGAAGAGTGGGAAAAACTATTCGCCATCAACGTTCGCGGCGTGCTGCTTTGCTATCAGGCTGCGGCAAGATTAATGATCGAGCAAAAACGCGGTGGTCGGATAATTGGTGAGTACTTTCCGTTGTGTATTCATCACTATTCGCTTTCCTGTATTTACCTTTCGCCATAGGTGCTTCCTCGATTGCTGGAAAGAAAGGTAGCGCGATGATAGGTGCATATTCCGCCAGCAAATTTGCCATCCGATCGTTAACTCAAACGGCCGGTATGATGTCCCTGCTCTGGCTCTGCTCGAGATTCGCTCATTTCGTCTCTTCTGTCTAGCCTGCGAATGGGGTGTACACGGTATTACGGTTAACGCGTATGCGCCCGGGACAATAGACACACCCATGTGTTGGTATCCCCCCTCTATTGAGACTGTCATATTGCTCACAAGTCTGCTCATAGTACGCGAAGCTGCGGGCGCTGTTATAACGCCTTCAGGCGCCAGCATCATTGACCAGGTACGTGAAATCTTGCCACATCCCTCGTGCGAGGTTTATATCTCCTCTTGAATGTAGTTCAAAGCTGCCACACCGCTCGGAAGAGTCGGCGAGCCAGAGGAAATAGCTAACTTTGTTTCTATGCTTGCATCAGAGAAGTCCAGTTACATGACAGGTGCGTTAGAGGTATTGAGACTGCGGATCCTGCTTGTACTAACGCTCACCCAGGCCAAACCATCACTATTGATGGAGGCATATGGTTCGACTAGTGCGCGTTCTTACAATAGCTTCCGGACAACGTGTATTATAATATTCTCGTGGTATTATTCATTTCCGCTGCAAATCATTCATGGATGCTCAAGCAAGCTACCCCCATACCACTGAGTATTTCCTACCCCGACACGTCGAGAAACGGTGGCCCATAAATCTTAATCCACTGGGGCGGACTCCCAGACAATCACGGCGTCCTCCGGTGGTCAAAGGAACAATATGGATGTGACTCTCGCTCAGGTGATGTGACCCACCGTGTCGCATTTATTAAACGCTTCGTGAGTGGCACAATGGTCTGCTATTCTTTAACCTCCACGACAAGTAAAATGCCCAAGCCAGATTCCGAGAAAGAGGAACGAAAGCGAGTCATTGGGCATACCTGGCTGCGCAATCCTGACGGAGGACCCCTCCCTCGACCGCCTCCGAACGGCAAGCGTACCCCAAACGGACTCATATGGGCCTCATCGGTCGATCGCATCTATCGCATCCAACGCTTCCCGAATATCAATGTCATGACAGGGTGGTCAATTAGCATGGTGGCGGAATTCAACGAGAACTACTGGGAGGTTGCCGACGAAATCTACCCAGAGCCAGATCCACAGAGGGTATTGTCGTATCCACTGCTGAATCTGCCAGTAGAGATCTGCCAGCCAGACGGTACCATATGGTACTCTGCTCGTCGCTCGATTCAAGGAGCCACCAGGGGACTGCTGCCAGCGATACCGCGAGACGTCGAGGTAGCCACTTCACCATTCGGGAACTCCTTCGACGCCAAATACAAGCTCGAAGAGCTCATACCTGCTTCTTTCTTCCCCGATATCCTAACGGTGAATGATCCTCAAGGTGCCACCGAGGGAAAGATCGCGAAGGAGGGGGCGCCGGACCTCGAACCCACCCCCAGAAAGTACAAGCGCGTCTGGCCAGTCGTGCATCCTGATGCATCTGGCGAATCATCTGACGGCGACAAGATATCGTTCCTCAACCTCGCCGGCGCGCCTCTTCTCGGGAGGGGCAACCACTCTGTCGTGCATCGCGGTGCTCTCCGTTTACCATCAGGCATCGAGGCCAATACCCCGGACGGCTCTGCAGCCGTGGCAGTGAAGATGGGCTTCCCAACTCGTGGGGCTAGGTCCTTACTAGCGCACGAAGCGGGTGTGTACAACCAGATCTACGGTGAAGCAAACAATGTTGGATTTGACAGCACCGAGGTGAACCACGAGGTGGACGAGGGGGGTCGTCAGAGACATCTAATGGAACATTGGACTGGGGTTAACCTCCTTACGCCTGACATCACTCATCCGGTGCCCGTTGGAGCTGTGGTTCCGAAATTCTTTGGATACTATGTTCCCACCGATGAAGCAGAAGCAGCTACCAAATGCGCTGCAACTCGTGCCAAACTCACCAAGGAAGGGAAGTCAGATGGTGGTTACTGGAAATACTCCTCGTATGATGAAGAAGAGCTTAACTTACCCCCGGAGACGATCCTCAGTCCGATCCTCCTTCTCGAGGACTGTGGTAAGCCTATCAAACCACAAAAAATGAACATAGACGATCGGTGAGTCTTGCTTTCGGAATCATGAGTTACAAATGATTTACCTAGCTTGGTGTTAGAACGGAATGTTTGTCGTTCCTCGTGCGCCTGTATTTGGAGGACATCAGCCATAGCTCTTTCTACCCGCGTAATATCATGGTTCAGCCTGGGCCTCTCACCAAAGCACCGAAAGACCGGACGATGCAACATCCGAGCTTCCGTCTTATAGATTTAGGACGAGCGGACCACTGGAAGATGCACACGAAACGAGAAGTAGAGGAATACAAGAGAAAACACGGCAAGGATTTACCTGAAGAACGCCTGCAGATTGGGCCGGATGGGTACATCAGAGACGATGTAGATTACACCCCGGAGCAGCGGGAGTGGAAGACGATTGCATTGAAGTGGGCACAAGCCAAGCAACGGGAGATTAGTCGTGCTAGAGAGCAATTATTGATGGAAATGTGGGGTTAGGGTTAATACAAGTCTTGTCTTCTTCCACAGTCGTCCCTATGTCAAGAAATTCGACTGTCACACGTTTGGGGATTTGTTGCAGCTCAATGATATCGCTCAATGTCCAACTTCAACTAACGCCGCGATTAACTTGATATTATCAGGTTCTTACTTCACAGTCGCGGCAACATATCTCAATCACTCATGGAGGAATGGGCAGGGTACAACTTGCCGCACATTCAGTACCCTGTGCCTGTGTCGTCCGTCGTGACCAAGTTCTACACGGTTATTACGAGAATGAGACGCTGGAACGCGAGAGCGGGGAAAGGAGAACCCGGAGCCATTTCCCTCTTCCCTGCTGCACTAAGAAACAGAATAACGAACCCCACTGAATTCTGACATCAAGCAATATATCATGAAGCGGTGCGGGAGAAGAATCTCGTTACATACTAAGACGCGAACAATACAGTTATCATGAGAGTAGATTACAATTCAACTCGACTATTCACGGCCTCACCCCCATATCGCTCTGCGATAGCATAACCGCTGGCTTACCCCTCACCCGGCCTTCGAGCAGGAGCTCCTTCAGACCATAATCCGTATCCTGCGCCTTGCACCTTTCCCAAGCAGCTCCCGCATTTTCCACCTTCTCCACGTACTCCCTGGCTTCTTTCTCGTTCGTAGGCTCGGGCAGCATGCCAACCCTGCCCTCTATGTATCCGTACCAGTGGATCATGCGCCCGGCGTCGATTAGGCGGTAACTCTGCACATCGTTGGTACGCTCGTGCGGTGGCAGGTGGAGAGGCCCTGGCTGCGTCAGGATATTACGTATCCAGAAGGAGTTGTGGTTGAACTCGGCATTCTGAAGGCGAAGGAGGAAGGAGTAGCATTCGGTCCTACACAATGTGTTTGTTAGGTTAATGGCACTAGGAATAGTAAGTTAATCTGAGCCTCACCTGTCGTCGATTGACATCGCACGGGGGTTGATGGGCGTGCCGCAGTCCTCCATCAGGAGAATGGGGCTCAGAAGGTTCTTCGGTGGTTTGTTCTTTTCCGCGCTTCCGTAGTCCCGTGTACGCCAGTAGTCTTCTGGGTTCTTGTCGGTCTTCCGTGCTCTCACAAAGGCTTCAGATTCTTCGCAAGGGATGTAATAGCCATAGAGCTTGGGGAGAACAGCGCCGACGGGGACCGGATGTGCCAGATGTGGAGTCATTATGTTGAAGCCAGTGAAGTGCTCCATTAGGTGGCGGTGGCGAGCAGGATCAAGTTCCTCTTTGTCTTCGGCTTCGCCGTCTTTCTCATTCTCCTCATTCTTCGTACCTAGAGCAGGGGAATGGCCAAGGACCATATCGTCGTCGTCCGCAGGGCCGTAGACTCTCGTGTACATTTCCGCTTCGTGATCCAGCATAGCACGCGCGCCAGTAATAGGAAAAGCAATCTTCGCCGCCACAGAGACTGAGCCATCGGTCGTCATCCCAGCGAGCGCGCCGGGGAGCCGCAGGGACGCGCGATGCACGGACGAGTGGGATCCGTGTCCGAGGTGGGGAGCACCAGCAAGGTTCAAGTACGCGACATTCCCTGGCGCAGGCAGAGCAGGATACTTCAGGCGGTCGACATCAGGCCAGACGCGTTTGTAGTGCCGAGGGAGAAATTCCAGAGCGTCAGCACCCTCAGCTGGGTCCAGCACACGTTTACCTTCTGTGATTCCTCGAGGGTCGTTGACTATGAGGACATCCGGATAGAAGGAAGCAGGAATGAGCTCTTCTAGCTTGCTCTCGAAGCCGTAAGTATTTCCGAACAAAGACTAAGCGAAAGCATCAAGTTAGTGCCTTTCAAACTTCCATAAAAGATGAGAGAGCTTACCCCTCCGGTCGCTTTCGCATCCTTGTCTCCGAGGTCCAGTGGCAACATAGGTCCGATGCGTCCACCCCTTATCGAACGCCTGGAGGTATCGCTATCTTCGCCGCGATCTGAGCACGCAGCCACTGGGAGGCTCAGTAGGGGCCAGGGCTCGCACTTCTTCGGTGCTTCCTGATCTTCCAGCCTCTCTAACGCGATCCCTTTCGCCGCCAGCTCTGCAGACGTTTCTTCGAACTCCACGATCATGCTTTTCGACCAGATGGTCATGTATCCGACTTCTGGGATGCGGGATATCCAGTAAAATTGCGATGGTGTCGGGGCCCACATAAAACCATTCGGGGGACGCTTCCCGCGACAAGTAGGCCGGGGGAGCACCTCGCCAGACCGACGGCGCCAGGTCCAAGTCGCGTAGCGCTGACGAGTCTCGAGGTCTGATCCAGCCATTTATGAGATGACAATGTCTTAGGTGGTGGTAGGGAATGAAAAGGAAGATTGTGTGCCACTGTGCCACTGTGCCACTGACGGAATTTCAGTCGCGAAAGTGGCCACAGGAAACGCACGTGCTCTACAGACTGCGTATGTCCTGATTTGGTACTAAGTGCCAGAAACGGCAGTATTCACCTGAGTCTTCTTCAGGTCGATCTTGGGTCAATCGTTCATTCTGTACTGCATTTTTGAGCTCCTATACATCTAACTGGGAGGGAGTTTGAGTGACCCTACAGTACCTGGTACGTGTCCCACAGTGAGCCGCACGGTACCATCGAGGCTAACATAACTCGTGCCAGAATCTTACGAGCACCTCGAATTCATCGAGTGGAAACGCTGAAAGCCAGACTGACAGTATGCTCGATACGTCTCTCTGTTTTCGGTACCTTGTTGCCACAAGGGAATTGTAGTAAAACAGCACGTCCGATGGTACCAGCAGCCCCGCCCCCTCTTCAACCACCCGAGCCAGCATCACTTTTGGGGTCACAAATTCGCATTCTTCGCTGCTCTTTTCCTGATGCATGGCACTCTAATATCGCTGGTCTTGGCGCTTTCTCTGAGTGTATCCGGGACGCCTCAGCAGCCGAGCACAAAGGTCGCAAATGGTGGGTACCCTGTCTTGAGTACGAAGGAGTACACTAACAATTATCAGGTTCCACCGCGAAATGCGACCCCTACGAGGAGGATCTCGTAGAGGCTAACTTGTCCTCTTTTCCACCGATATGGGAGAAGGCCACCATTGTAGACGGCGACAAGGACGCGCAGGCAACTTTCTCCGCCCTAAAAGGCAAGATTCCCAATATATCCATAAAGGTATTTTCGTCGAAGTCGTGAAGTCGACAATGTCACTGACTTCCCACTAGGGTGGTGGAGCGTCAAACATTTCTGAAGCATTAAAAACCTACCCGGACAGCGACCCAGATTGTTGGTGGTCGTTTAACCAATGCACCGATGCAAAGTATCCAGGTGTACCAGACGATATATCGTTCGTGCCCGAAGTAGGTTATCCACATCATATGTTGAACAATGATGGTTGATCAGTACAGCCGAAAACTCTAGGATATGGCTTCGATGACGGACCCAACTGTGCTCACAATACTTTCTACGACTATCTGGCATCGCAGAAGCAACTTGCCAGTAAGCCAAATTCGAGCCCATCGTGCTAGCAATAGCTTACATTCTGAACAGCGATGTATTTCGTGGGTAGTAACGTTATAGATTGGCCGAGGGAAGCTCGGCGAGCCGTTTCGGACGGTGAGTACAGGAGATTTCACCAATATCGTTGTAGCTTAACTTACCGCAAACTGAAGGCCATGAGATCTGCCTTCGTGAGTCTTTATACTTGGCTCACTGCTGTCTCTGTTGACACACCTTTGTCCAGACGGATGGTCGCACAAGTACAGTAAGCCCGTTTTTCGTTGTTGGTTCATCAAACATGATAAACTTATCCCCCCTAGTGACTACGCTTTCCAACGAGGAGGCGTTTGCAGAGTTGTATTACGGTGTGTTAGCTGTGTGCTACCATACCTCCGTCATACTGACTGGCAACTTTAGCTGTATGTCTCTCGCCCTTCTTTGATGGAATCCATTCAACTAACATGATCATATCTGGGCTCAGAGAAAGGCAGTCCAGTTCATCACAGGTGTAACTCCAACTTGCTGGCGGGTAAGATCAGGTCTCTTTGCATAGTACAACTTTCCTTACCGCGCCCAAAGCCACCTTTCGGCGACACCGATGACCGAATCCGCTTCATTGCCCAGAGCCTCGATCTCGTCACCATCCTTTGGCAATACGACACCTTTGACTGGAAGGGCGGCCAAGGCGACGCGCAAGATGACGCTGAAGTCAACAAGAACTACGCTGACATAGTCTCCTTAGCTGAGAATGGTGCATTTGACAGCGTAAGTCAGCCTGGCCGCAAACTTGCGAACGGAATGGGGGTTGATTGTTACGGTTGCGGTATACAGGTGGGGGCGATCGTGCTTATGCACGAGCTAAGTACGTTCACGATGTCGAAAGCAGTAGAGTATTACCCCGACTTCAAGCGGGTATTTGATGTGAGAGTGCTTTCTTTCGTCTCGTGGAGCCAAGTCTGATACGTCACCCGCGCAGCACATTCTCCCTGTCGGCGCCGCTGTCAACACCACATCAAGTAACGACTTCAAACGAAGCATCCCCTACCAATACACTTGGACAGGTGTTGGCGGGCCTTACGATCCATATTATGGTATGTCGGGGTACCCGAATAGCGGCGTCTCGCTGCGAACGAGCAGACAAGATATAGCGGATGTTCTGTGGGTTATGTGTGTTGGGTTTTCAGTGTTGTTGTTGATCTTTAGAGTGGTATAATTGAGTCGGTTGACAAGTATAATATATAGTACTTCCGAACCTAGTAGCGTCGTTCTGTATTATCGTTGTTTGTTTAGATATCTTGTTTGGCTCGTATTGGACGCTAGGGCTTGTTATGCGGTTATTCGCGCCTTCGGCTCTGAGGGATGTCTGCCAATATCGCCGCGAATGGGAGACTTTGTTGACGCACAACGCACCAAGGGGGAATTCATATTCAGGGGCTAACGTGGGGAAGACCGCTTACATGCGAAGCAGAGCAAGCCACATCATGTATTCGAGTTCAGAGTACCACTACCCTTCCAAGTTGACATTTCCCGCGTTGATACGAGCCAGGAACAACTTCGTCTGCGACAAAATTACTAGCCTTCCGAAGCCAGCGAATGCCATATTTGCGGTTCGTGTACCGACGAAGAATTTCCCTAGCAGTGTCCCGTCCGCATTCCAAACCTGTTTCACGCTTCAGTCTGAAGCATAGCCAGAGCAGTAGGATCAAAAGCTAACCTGAACGCCATCTCCGGTGCCTGCATACACGTTCCCACTCATGTCGACTTGCAATCCATCAGGAATACCTGCATCGGTAAATGCCAGAATGCGTCGATTAACAAATCTTTGAGAAACGGAGTCGACATCAAAAGCATATCTACAGCGAGGGAAGCGAGTAAAAGTCAATTCTCCTAGTGCCGTTTACATTAGTACTCACATAGTAGCGGGTTGAGTTTGGAAATCAGATGTTCTCATGGGACTTTGAAGCGAACCTGTGTCAGAGCTAATATGATGCGAAGAAGTGAGTTAATTTCATAGGATAGGGTGAGAGAACTCACATGTAGGCCGTCTTCCCATCGTTGGTGAATGCTATTCCGTTGGGTCGCACGAACCCATCGGCGACCATTCGAACCTCCCCAGTGTCTGGATCAAATCTATAAACTTGGTTGGGCATCAAAGGCGCAGGGCGTATGCCAAGTGAGAATCCATATCTTTGTAAAGCTTGACATTAATGCACGTTGGATTGACGATGTGGGTGGTGTAATGCTTACTGGACGTCGGTAAAGAAGATCTTGCCGCTCTTGGGATGGATCTTCACATCATCTATCGAGTTGAATTGACGGCCGAAGAAGTTATTCAGTAGGACGGTCACATTGTGAGGCTGTCGTGGGTTCACAAGGGTTACAGCTGGAGGAAGAGGGCCTAGGCCATTTCCTACGAATAACAAGGAACCCCGGAACGGCCCAGAACCTCCGTTTGTCGACAGAACAGTCTCTGGTAGATCAAGCTAATGATCATAAGGGTCAAATGGGTATCACCGAGAAGAATAGAAAGAACGAACGGGAGTAACAGTAACATTGACCGTGGATCCCTTGCTAGCTTTCAGTGCTTCCTCGACCTCAGACATTCTCACCCTGTTTACTTTATTGTTCACACTGGCATTTCCAGGCGACGAGAAGCTGGAGAAGAATAGTTCATCCAAGGCTGGGACATATACCGGTGCCTCATTTGCGAAAGGAAGGTTCGGATTCGACGCGATTTCGTGGAACGAAGGGTTATGGCCGAGGATATCGAGAAATCTGTTGTCAACGACTTGAAAGAATGGGGGAGGAGTGGAAGTGGGATTAAAGGACGTATCGAATGCAGACGCGCGAAATGTAGCATTTTGGCCGAGTACTGCGAACGAAACAGGATCTAAAAACTCAAGCAGGCATTCGAAGTGAGTGGTACATCATAGCCTTTGCAGGTACTGATTTACCACTATCTGTGGTGGCGAGGGCGGCGCGACACCACATACTGTAGGTAGAGTAAGAGAAATCATGGCGGCAACGCTGACCCGTTGGCTTGAGAGGAACATATCTCACACAGGCATGGAGACGTTGGAGGCCTTTATATAGTCGAATTTATGCATAGGCACTTCTTAGGATCACGAACCTGGGTCGATGATTCCGTTAGCAAGAAAGGACCTCGTCGCACGACGGGGTTCGTATCATCCGGTCGGATGACAGGAATAGCTACTAGCGAATTTGGGGGTGTTCCTTTATTAGCACGTTTTCGAGGAGGAAGAGGAGGTACTAGTCCCTACGTTGAACAACGAGGATATCCTTCCTGGATGATTGATTATGTCGCTAAGAATACTGCAAGCACGAATGGATGGTAGGTAGATTCAACTACTCGCGGGTTCAAGGCCGCCACCCTTGGGTAAACTAGAAGTACACGAAAAATAAAGACTGGGAGAAAATAGAACAAAACTGGGAGGAACACATATCATGTGAAAATATCGGATAGCTTTCCTATATGAATCTCATTGTCGGAATGCACCGGCATCGCGTGTTGTATGCAACTCTAATGGTTGGAAGGCATCGTTGAACTTTCAACTGAGAGCGCGCAACACGTGGGGTCGTGCTGAAGCTCCGCTCAAATATAGCAACCTGTGAATATACCTCTTGGTTGGTCGTTTGGGAGGTGCCTCAGGATATAGTTTAATGCTTATATGAATCTACATGATGAGCACTACTCGTACGCATGAATTCCCGTGTAGTTGGAGCTGTGCATGTACTCACTACTGTGCGACGTTATGTTCCCCGATGTAGCAATACTTTGGTAGTGGGTTCGGTAGGAGTAGAACGTGACGCTACTTTCGCGAAGAACTACTTTGACCTGCAGCTGTGGTGATGTTTGTTATGAAGCGAGCTCCAGACGCTGCCTCGATGCCAGGGCATCGACATCAGAGCGACGAATATCCGGGTAGGAATTCTTTGTCGTTGTGGCAGGGATGGAAGAACGGTCACGAGGAGGCCTCTGCTTGGGCCCAGTGGCCAACCTGACGCGCATGAGTGGATCGAGCCTATTTGTTTGGTCACAGCGTACACAAGTTGTGGTTCCTGCGCCCTCTACTCTCCCTTCATCAACGCCATCGACCATGGAACAACCATCAAGCGTAGCCCCCGCAATGGATGGTGGGTCGACGAACATGTACGTCCACCTCACTCCAAACATACCTGGAATGGAAGTCGTGTTAACTGATGTTGAATTAAGGTTGATGCGCGGTGCAGCGTACAGCAATTTCGCGGAAGCCGTGGCGTGGTTTGCAAGGGAGAACGCGAACTTAGCAGAGCCTCAAGTACGGGAAGCTGTTGGGGGGCTACCGAGGGAACAAGCGCAGGACGCGAACCAAGAAGCAGCTGCCACCATCTTTGTTGAACAAGGAATAGAGGAAGTCGGAGTAGACCAACTTGCTGGACCGAGTTTCGAGGATCACCGACAATTCAATGACGGTACAAGTGGTCCTATGGCCGACGTCTTTCAACAACAACGCCCGGCGGGGGAACATCAGAACTTCCCAACCGCGGGGTCGTACCAAGCTCCTTTCGAGCTCGCCCGAGGTCACGTCGACTTCGAAATCCCAAGCCTGCCTCTGGAGGAGCTGGACGTCTATGGTATCGATGCGAGAGTCCAAGAAGAATACAACGCCCTGGTCCGTGGGAGCGAAGGGGAATTCGTATGGGAACCCGTAAGAGAGAATCAGATGGCTCCTGAAGCGCTCGAAAGTTCGCCTCAGCCCGCTTTCCGTGGTGCCTCTCCTGTAGGGTCGCTCACCTGGACCCATAGCCTCAACTCCGAGTTCGTCATTTCACCAGCAGAGACCTTCACCAGCAATGTCTACCTATTCTTTGGACATGTTGCTAGTGCCGCGGGGCCCGTGCGGAGCGAGAAGATCAGGGCATATAGGAATGGGTCGTCAGACTCCAGACCGATGAAACCGGAGGACTGGCCTGGGGATAGACACTGGTGAGTTGCGGAATCTCCGTAATGGCCAGGGGTGGATTAGCTAACGTGAGTGCAGGTTTAGGCAAGGGCATCTCCGCGAAGAGCAGAGAAAGCTTGCAGAAGCTGTGGGCGCTGCGTTTGCCACGATGGCTCCGGTGTTGCTGCAGGAGACCGAGGCGCTGAGCTGTTGTTGGGATATGGGCAGGGGCCGTCAGTGCGGCCGCAGGGTCACCAGGGAGGGCCTGTTCCAGCATTATAGTATATCCCACAAGGTTCACGAGGTTGACGGGAGGGTGAGATGCCGTCAGATAGACAGCGAGGGAGGGACTTGCGGGGTTACTCTGACAATCGCGGACATGGAGAAGCACCTTCTCAAGGCTCATCGTAAGCTCGTGGCTCGGTGCCCTCTCTGTCCCTACCAATGCACGGCCCCGGTGGCTATCCTGAAGCACATTCATTCCTGCAAGAAATACGCCGGGCGAATAGGGAGCATCTGGTAAGGAGATAATAGAGCAAAAACGAAGCTGGGGTTCGTTTGTTGATATTATCGGATTCATTCTATATTTTTAAGCAACATATTGTATTGTTAAACCAGGATAGTGTACTCTCGATTTTGCAAACTCACAGAGTCAGCTTTCACGACAAGCTGCGCGTCGTGTAATAGCAGAAACCGGGTTTCGTAAGTCAACCGTGGCGACAGTGCTGCACGGATGGTTAAAAACAGCACTTGCGTAAATATAGGCGTCTTTCAGTTGAGAGTACCTAGAACGGTAGTCAGCGAACAACACGAGGACGAGGGTACGGGACAGTAGATCAACATTAGAAATGACGATGAAGTGGGGGAAGTGGGGGTCTAATTCGGATCTAACATAGATTGACGAAATGCAGACCATGACCTTGATATTCAGCGACAAAATTCTGATGAGAAACATTAGGTTACATCATCCTCGGCGAACACCATATCTCTGCTTAGCCGCATATCGCCTCCATTTTTGTATGTCCTCGCGTTCTAATAAGAGTTCGACGGTGTAGTAGTTTTGCGCAAGGTCTTCCCCTCGTGCAACTGAGTGAACAACATTATGGCAAGGTCTGACAAATCGTTGAGTGATTGCGCATATAAAAGGGCATAGGCCTACTCACCGGCATATCCAAGCAACCGAGTTCAACATGGATTCGGGGTGCCATTTCCTCTTCAATACCTTTGCGTGTGTCGCGCGAGGTATGAGATGATGGTACGTCAAAGGGACCTGCCGTTCACAAATCTCGCATTCCGTCGTGCGCGTCGACGACCAGACGGGTGGAGGTGCAGATGCGTCAGAAACATAGACTTCGATGATCCGCTTCAAGAAATCAAGCGCAGACTCCGTGTCTTCAGAAAGTCCGTAAGCTGTGAGGGTGTCTGAGAATGACGCAGGCGTTGAATCCAGCGGCAAGGTATCAATCTCAGGCATGGAATCCTTCGTATCGTATGTGACCTCCCTGATAGACTGAGGGAGTGCGGACCAGCTCTCGGTGGCGAGAAAAGTCACAAAGTCGTCGAGATCGGATTCCGTGCTATCAGCTGGGGTGTAGTCCTGGCGAGACAGGATCCGCCTCGCCAAACAGTCCTTGAAGAGCCCAAAGTTTTGGACATCGCCCATAGCACTGGTCAGAAGGACGACCGACGCGAGCACCGAGGTTGATGTTGGCGTCCAAACGTTGAGCGCGCCGCTGTCGCTGGGCGCTTGTACTGTTTCCATTAGGGGTACAGGGGACGAGGCCAATATCCAGATATTGAAGGACACGAAATCTCACTTTGTGGTAGAGTGAGTGCACTTTAGCGTGCTTCAGAGCCATAGTACTATACAGAGCGTGTACTGTAACAATCACGATATTGGAAAGTACGATTTCAAGGCTGGCAAATGGGCTTGAAGCAAAGAGCACCATAGTACGCAGGATAGCGATGTGAAGTAGCATTGTATACTTCGACGGTGAGTACAATGGAAAAGCGAGAGTAAATATGAATTGATCAAAGGCTTAGCGCCAGGAAGGTATCAAAGCTCGGTCGGCGCCTCACGGTCTTTGAGGTGGGAGGATAGTGTCGTGGCAGGCGTGTTTGGTCTTGCAGTAGGAGGTGAATTCGGTCTCTGGGCTGGCGCCGTGTTGTGCCTCTGCGCAGGTGGCGTGTTTGGTCTCTGTGTGGGGGGCGCAGAGGTGTCTGTTCACAGCACCAGTTGTAGTGTAGGGATGGCCAGCATGTAGTGTCCAACTTCGAATCAGTGTAACCCCCATGGATTTTCGGCTGTAGGAGACGACGAGCACCAGTCATTGATCCCTACATTACTTAGTTTATCAAGCGAACGAAGTGAGTGTAATATCCATACTGCGAGGTACATGACAGATGTCATGTCACTAACTATCACAAACCACAAAGCTTCTCCCCTCCCCTCAAGTGCGAGAACTCAGCTTGGGCCATGACACTGGCCTCTAGCTCCGCAGACCACTACAAGCCATGATCGTTAGCCGCGAACGCAGTGAGACCGAGAAGACGTACGTTGTTGACACCGACGTCCTTCGCTCTTCCCCAGTCAATCAGCGTAGGGCTGTTGGCAGCAGAATCCCACAAGATGTTTCCCGGCTGGACATCAGTATGCAGGATCCCGTAGTTGTCCCTGGAGAAGCACAACAAATCAGCAACCGTGGACTGCGCGAGCGAAGAGACATACACATAGGCCCTGACTTGTCGGACGACCAATACGAGTTTCTCCCTGATCAATGCTTCACATCTCGCACGGTTGGCCTGCCCCATCATGACCGGCGCCAACTGTGTCGCGAAGAACCTCGTCCCCGTAAGATCTGTCTTGCCCGTGACTCCACGGAACACGATGAAGTTGTTTCCGTCGTAGCTGCCCTCAGCTAGCAGCTGATCCGTCTTCCGCAACCACTTGGCCTCGTCTGTGAACGTTGAGCTGGGTCCTGTTCGACGAGCATCGTAAGCGGTAGGTCGTCCGAGGCCAACATTGGACTTACTTGGACCAGTCTTTGCATAGGCCGTCACCAATGATCCAGTGGATGGATCAGGCCAACCACCGTCGACCCTGTATGTTATAGCCGAATTGCCTTGGTCTGCGACCTTGGTGATTGGCCGTGTGACACCGCCAAGTGTCAGCGAATTCGTGTCTACAATCACGAATTAGCCAAAGGGCGCGCTCGACACAGCAAAGACGTACCACAAGTGGTCGAGAAGGCGCGCTTGCTCTTCCCATTTGACCTGGGGCCACACTGGCCTGCTGCAGGCTTCTGGGTAGGTTGTGCGCCAGCAGTTGTGGTGGGTTTCGGGGCAGGGGTATTTGGCTTCGGGGCAGGGGCGTTGGGTCTCGGAGCAGCAGGAGGGGTGTTCGGCCTCTGAGCAGGAGGAGCGGGAGTGTTGGGTCTCTGCGCAGGTGGCGTGTTGGGTCTCTGTGCGGGGGGCGTATTTGGTCTCTGTGCGGGGGGCGTGTTGGGTCTTGGAGCTGGTGCAATAGGCCGCGGGGCAGGTGCAGCATTAGGCCTGGGAGCAGCCCCTGGCCTCGCTGCTGGCCTCGCTCTTGATTTCTGCGGACTCCTCGCTTGAAGGACAGCAGCGCGATACTGGTATTCACGTGGTCAGCAAGCGTGCACCAGCAACTATCAGCACGAAAGAGCACTTACAATGTCCGCCACATCGTGTGCATTCGACGGATCCCAGTTGCGGACTTCGACGTCTTGCTCGACGTCTCGCTCGATCATGCGCACCGGGGCGGGGGCTGCGAAGACGGCGATGGCGCAGGCCAGGAGGACAGATGCGCAGGTCAGTTGTCGAAACTGCATGATTGTGAAGTCGTGAAGGATGTCGTTGGCAAAGCTGGAGTTGGAGAGGTTGAGGAGCAATGTGGACCAGCCACGGTAGATGTGAGAAGGAGAGAAGGGGTGAGAGACCAGCTGCTGAAGAATTTGGGTGCGTACTCGCTATCTTTTATACGTAGAGCTCACCTGCTAGTGTTCATGATATGAATGCCGCAGTGACATATTACCTAGTGGCGAGACACAATCGTCGCCTGAAACGCCGAAGCTGCGGAGGGAGTTATCACATATCGCGGAGGAAATAAAAAACGTCGTGTTTACCTGTGCTTCCGTATGCCATCGAAGAAAACATACGTCTCGAAGTGTTGGCTGTTGATAAATTGTGTCACTAATTTAGCTCTATGGCACAACGGGACATCGCGTTCTCACCAGGTTGATGACAACATGTCGACGTATCTGTGTAGTTGCACTACATCTTGACACGGTGTCGTCGGCCACGGCACTCCGCTAGCATCAGAAAAGCTCGACTTAGTCGGCCTCCAAGTGCATCTTGTTCTTGTTCTTGACGTCAAGTCGGTTACCAGGGCGGTGCCAGCAGGAGAATACCCCTGGACAATTAAGGAGGTCGGTCGGTGATTTTGGACGTGTCAATGGGATAGGACACTAACTGCGGAAGCTCGGAAGGGTCGAAGTTGAGGCCTTGGGGGGCTCGGGTTTCTGCGAATCGTTGGGAGTCAACTGCGTTCACATTGGCCCCCCTCGTCGAAAACCATACCTCCAGATTCTTCTCGCAATACCTGCATATGCCTGATAGTCGCTAATCTTCTTACACTCACCTCGTGCACGGTAACCCACTTCCGAGCCAGTCGTGTAGAAGAATGGTCACTTGTCATACGAACTCGACTAGCAGCGAGGTCACAACTTTGTTGCAATGATCCTCCAAGAGAACCATCATACCGACGCGTCGATAATGTTCGCAACCGTATCTTTATGGGAGTCGTTATCCCCCCAAGTACGTCAGGAGTCGAACTCGCCGTGATGGACAAGGGAAATCGCTAAACGTCTGGAATTGACATAAAGCAGTCCTAAAAAGTCGGGGCAAGCAAGCAGAGCTTGAGCAGAGCCCCGCCTCGTATTGCTCGTACGGTCTCGTCGCGTTCCGCAAAGGAGATAGCACAAGCGCTCAAAGAATCTGGCCACGAAGCCGACGGAGCGCTGATCGATATATCCGGTGACCGTAGATCCCACCAAAAGGGGTATGCAGCCGCATCGCGCGTTCGTGGCCCCGATGGTTTCTCTGGCGCACCTGGCCAACACTCCACAAACAGAAAGATAAGCACGAGATCATTTCGCAGATCAACAATCGGACGCCGTGTCGTCTATGTCCCCGTAGACACCAAAGGGGATTGCAATGATGGGCGTATCGGCATGCGCGCGTTCCATCAATCCTTTGGATTGCGAGTCGTCTTGCAGCGGTCGCTTAGACCAATAACTCCGGCGCGAATGAAGCCAAGCGAACTGTATTCGAAGCAACCACGAAGAAGAGATTTACTACGTACAAGCGACTAGTCCGAGAGTATATAATAGTACATGCACGCTAATCGTGTCTGTTCTTTTTCTTGAGGCTTGAGTTGGAGTCTGATCGTCCGATGCTCTGTGGAGAAGAGGATGCGTGTCCAAATGATGCGGCGTTCATCGCTTTGATGAATCCCCTGTCGGGTGCCGAAGTCAAAGGATGCTTCGCGGAAGGCGACAGCACATACCTTTGCGTCGCGTCGACATAATCCTCCCTGTCAAACCGTTTCGACGTCTTCACGGATACGCCCTTATCCGATATGTGGAGCCCTTTGTTGGCCAGACTGAAAAGCCACGTCAATCACGATCCCCAAGAGCGTAAGTAGAACGAGCTGCGCGCGACGTACGCTTCTTTGGTTGATGCGACCCCTTGCGAAACCGAGTTCACGAGATACAGTACGCCGTAGATGATTCCGCCGAACACGGCGATAGTCTGGCAAAGAGGGGATGTCAGGAACATCCAATTGCAGGCGGTTCATGCAAAACATACGGCGAAAAGCGAGAACAAGTCAATCCTTGAAGTCCGTTCGGTTAGTGAGAGCTTTGCGGGCGCATGAAGCACATACCAGTTGGCCATGTCTTGGTGGTGAGATGCTGAAGAGGGGGCGAACAGATAATTTATAGGAGAGCTATGGATACAAGGTGCCGGTGATGGGACTAAAGCTGGAGGACTTGGAGTTGGATGTTCGATAACCTTTGGGATTAAGTTAAACCTGTTAAACCTGTGTTACGGCGCTCGGCTGTTTGCGAAGGCTGTCCGTTGTGATTGTGGGAATAGTTTACTGACCGTGGGTCCACCGGCATCCACGGCATGCTCACTGAAACGTTGGTTCACAACTCTGCATCAGCGCTCATCCAACCTCATGCAACGCGCCGGTCTGCACACCAAGGACTGCTCGCTCGACCTCAAGCTGACTCTTCACTCGGCCTGTGTGGGCGTTGTCGAGCATGGATGATACTGACAACCCTTCCTGCGGTTGCTTTAGTAGGTCGCTCCTGGACCCCGCCCCCTTCTATATGGAGATATGTCGAAGTCGGCCATTGCGGCAGTCACGTCTCCCCTGTGTCTCCACCCCGAGATTCTTCCAATGCCGCAATTATCAGAGCTCTGTGCTGCAAGGAACGCACTTTTCTGTCACTGGTTTGGAATTTCGCCGACCCTTCCGCAGTTGCAATATCCTGACCTATCCCGGGTCAAGGTTGCTGGGGTGCTCAAAGACGTGCGCAGGTGTCCAAGCGGCTTCCCCTGTTTGTACCGCCTTGCTAAGTCGTATCCTGACGTGAACTCGAAGGCCGAGTAAGTCGATTGTTCTCTTGGAATGTTGCGGCTGATGTACTGCAACATCGCACAGCGACGCTTGAGTCTCCTTTAACTTTCTGAGTGTCACTGCACATCCATGTCCTCAATGAACTCAACGCGACGGTGGGTCTAGGGAACTGCTACCTAGAGCCTCGCGAGGGGTTGAATCGAACGAATAATATCAAGGCAGCCGTCCTGTAGTGGAGACATATGTTTTTCGGCTGCGATACACGGAAGCAGATGCAAACACGACGTTGATTTCCGCCGCGATATGTGATAACTCCCTCCGCAGCTTCGGCGTTTCAGGCGACGATTGTGTCTCGCCACTAGGTAATATGTCACTGCGGCATTCATATCATGAACACTAGCAGGTGAGCTCTACGTATAAAAGATAGCGAGTACGCACCCAAATTCTTCAGCAGCTGGTCTCTCACCCCTTCTCTCCTTCTCACATCTACCGTGGCTGGTCCACATTGCTCCTCAACCTCTCCAACTCCAGCTTTGCCAACGACATCCTTCACGACTTCACAATCATGCAGTTTCGACAACTGACCTGCGCATCTGTCCTCCTGGCCTGCGCCATCGCCGTCTTCGCAGCCCCCGCCCCGGTGCGCATGATCGAGCGAGACGTCGAGCAAGACGTCGAAGTCCGCAACTGGGATCCGTCGAATGCACACGATGTGGCGGACATTGTAAGTACTCTTTCGTGCTGATAGTTGCTGGTGCACGCTTGCTGACCACGTGAATACCAGTATCGCGCTGCTGTCCTTCAAGCGAGGAGTCCGCAGAAATCAAGAGCGAGGCCAGCAGCGAGGCCAGGGGCTGCTCCCAGGCCTAATGCTGCACCTGCCCCGCGGCCTATTGCACCAGCTCCAAGACCCAACACGCCCCCCGCACAGAGACCAAATACGCCCCCCGCACAGAGACCCAACACGCCACCTGCGCAGAGACCCAACACTCCCGCTCCTCCTGCTCAGAGGCCGAACACCCCTCCTGCTGCTCCGAGACCCAACGCCCCTGCCCCGAAGCCAAATACCCCTGCCCCGAAACCCACCACAACTGCTGGCGCACAACCTACCCAGAAGCCTGCAGCAGGCCAGTGTGGCCCCAGGTCAAATGGGAAGAGCAAGCGCGCCTTCTCGACCACTTGTGGTACGTCTTTGCTGTGTCGAGCGCGCCCTTTGGCTAATTCGTGATTGTAGACACGAATTCGCTGACACTTGGCGGTGTCACACGGCCAATCACCAAGGTCGCAGACCAAGGCAATTCGGCTATAACATACAGGGTCGACGGTGGTTGGCCTGATCCATCCACTGGATCATTGGTGACGGCCTATGCAAAGACTGGTCCAAGTAAGTCCAATGTTGGCCTCGGACGACCTACCGCTTACGATGCTCGTCGAACAGGACCCAGCTCAACGTTCACAGACGAGGCCAAGTGGTTGCGGAAGACGGATCAGCTGCTAGCTGAGGGCAGCTACGACGGAAACAACTTCATCGTGTTCCGTGGAGTCACGGGCAAGACAGATCTTACGGGGACGAGGTTCTTCGCGACACAGTTGGCGCCGGTCATGATGGGGCAGGCCAACCGTGCGAGATGTGAAGCATTGATCAGGGAGAAACTCGTATTGGTCGTCCGACAAGTCAGGGCCTATGTGTATGTCTCTTCGCTCGCGCAGTCCACGGTTGCTGATTTGTTGTGCTTCTCCAGGGACAACTACGGGATCCTGCATACTGATGTCCAGCCGGGAAACATCTTGTGGGATTCTGCTGCCAACAGCCCTACGCTGATTGACTGGGGAAGAGCGAAGGACGTCGGTGTCAACAACGTACGTCTTCTCGGTCCCACTGCGCTCGCGGCTAACGATCATGGTTTGTAGTGGTCTGCGGAGCTAGAGGCCAGTGTCATGGCCCAAGCTGAGTTCTCGCACTTGAGGGGAGGGGAGAAGCTTTGTGGTTTGTGATAGTTAGTGTCATGTCATCTGTCATGTAGCTCGCAGTATGGATATTACACTCACTTCGTTCGCTTGATAAACTAAGTAATGACTGGTGCTCGTCGTTCGCTACGCACAGACTCCTACAGCCGAAAATCCATGGGGGTTACACTGATTCGAAGTTGGACACTACATGTTGGCCATCCCTACACTACGACTGCTGCTGTGAATATACATCTCCAAATAATCCCTGCCACCAAATCATCTACCTTCCAGATTGATATTACCTGCGTTAATCCCGGCAAGAAACAGCTTCGTCTGTGATAGCATGACAAGCCGGCCGGAGCCAGCGAACACCATATTGGAAGTTCGTGTTCCAACAAAGAATTTGCCTAGCAGCGTGCCCTCTGGATTCCATACCTATTGATGTGATGTTTTTAGATGCCAGAGGGAAAGCGCACGGAAAGCGCACCTGAACGCCATCACCAGTGCCTGCATATATATTCCCGTCCATGTCCACCTGTAATCCATCAGGGATACCCGCATCGATGTAGGCCAATACACGTCGATTAAGGAATCTTTCGGAAACAGGGTCAACGTCAAAGGCGTAGCTATAGTCGCAGAGGCGGGGAATAAGCATGGTTCATCCTTTACCCCCGTTGCAACACTTACATGGTTGCTGGTTGAGTTTGGAGTATAGCCCCTGAGAGATCTGGGAGCGCACCACTGTCAGAGCTGGACCGTAGTGTAAACGAATGAGTGTGCTTCATAACGTACACGGGTAGAAGGCTTACACGTAGACAGTATTGCCATCGTCGGTGAACGCTATCCCGTTGGGTCTCGCAAATCCGTCTGCGACCATTCTGAGAACTCCAGTGTCCGGGTCAAATCTATATATTTGGTTTGGCATTAAAGGTGCTGGTCGTAATCCAAGTGCAAAGCCATATCTACGAATGGGAAGGCCGTGAAGGGATGAACATGATCAACAAGTACGTTGACGTACTCAACATCGGAGAAAAATATCTTCCCGCTGGTATGTCGCACTTTGATGTCATCTAGCGAGTTGAATTGCCGTCCAAAGAAATTGTCCAGAAGGACCGTTACATTGTGAGGCGGTCGTGGGTTTACGAGTGTTATCGCTGGAGGTCGAGTCCCTAGGCCGCCGCCCACAAGCAACAATGAACCCCGGAAGGGACCTGTCGCCCCATTTGTCACGGCGACGGCATCCGGAAGGTTGAGCTATCATCGTCACAATTAATCATCAAGGCGGAGGTCGCCAGGTGGAGTCAACGAACGGGAGTAACAGTTACATTCACCGTGGATCCATTACTGGCCTTCAACCCGTCTTCAACCTCAGCCATACTGACCCTGTTGACTTGGCTATTGGCGCTCACATTTCCGATTACTGGAGAACCCGAGAAGAATATCTCGTCCGTATCTGGAACGTATACGGGAGCCTCGAAAGCGAAAGCGAAGTCCGGATTCGACGCAATTTCGTGGAGCGACGGGTCTTGGCCAAGAATGCTGAGGAATCCTTTGTTGAATATTTGGAAGAACGGCCGAGGCGTAGAAGTGGGATTGAAACTCGACTCAAACGCAGAGTCACGGAACGTAGCGTTCTGGCCGAGTACGGCGAATGAAAGGGGATCTACAAACTAGGGCTTCAATGTGAGTGCGACGATCGAATGCCCTGGAAGGTAACAAATACCGACTTACCACCGACTGGGGTGGCAACGAAGGTGACGCAGCTCCGTAGACTACATTCGAAACGAGGGCAACGGCTACAGCAGTGCTTGCTCGCTGGCCCAACATGTCTTTCACATGGACGTCAGGGTGCCACGAAGAGCCTTTTTATAGATGGTATGCATTGGGTATGCAGGCTAGTCTTGGTTCAGCGAACGACCCCCCGACTCGTGAGCAATTGTTCTCGACAGCAGATTGAAGGCAGGAAGACCACGTATCGTGCGGATGCATTAACCCTCTGTATCAATGGCTTCGGCTTGGGGGATGAAAATCGGGTTCGCGAACGGAATGGAAGGCAAGATGGACCTCGTATATGGTTACATTAGTATCAGATCTAGGAGTCTGGCGAACAGCAACTCCAGCGAATTAGTCATACCATACTTCGGTCGGTGGTTCCATCATACTTAGTTCTGCAAGTATTATGTATTTCATCTGTTGGGTCTCAGCTGAGCCGGGGGCTGATGTTCGCGTAGAGTATTAGTGCTGTAAAGTGATTTTGATGAGAGAAAGAAGGACAAGCGAAACGGACACGGTCAGCTGAACAGAAGGGCTACTAAAAGAAGGATATCCTGGCCTAAAATAGTCGATGCCCCCGGTTGACTTACTTCCAACGTCGTTTGTGATTTACAAACGACATTCTGGCGTTGAGTTGAATGGACGGCGAACATGAACATGGACAAGACCACGAATGAAATGGGACGGAGAAGACGGCGACAATGAGCAACGAAGCAAAATAACGGGAGAGAAAGTGATCGTTGCGAGAGGTGTGTACATCGTGTCTTTCACCGGCTATTTCGTTGCTAAAGACAAACAGACTTTGGAGAGAAGATTGGCGCCATGAATACAACGAAGATGGCCCTACATAATCGTGCGAGCCAAAGTGAGGCTTTGGATTGATGTTTTTCGAGAATCATCTGCCCTCCAAGTTGACGTTTCCCGCATTGACCTTCGCCAGAAACAATCTTGTCTCTGATAAAAGGACAAGCCTCCCGAAGCCTGCAAACACCATATTGGCCGTGCGCGTTCCAACGAAGAATTTCCCCAGCAACGTGCCCGCTGGGGTCCAAACCTATGGGAGCGATACTGGTCAGGGGGGGGGAATCTACGGCGGAGTGGACTGAGGGCGCACCTGGACACCATCCCCAGTGGCTGCGTATATATTCCCATTGGTGTCGACCTGTAGTCCATCAGGAATCCCTGCATCGATGTAAGCCAAGACACGTCGATTGAGGAATCTTTCAGTAACAGGGTCCACGTCGAAGGCGTAGCTGTGATTGCGGTGGGATGATTAGCAAATGTCAATATCTTCCACGATTTCTATGCTTACATGGTAGCGGGTTGAGTTTGGAAGGCCGTAGTTCCTGAGAGATCTTGGAGCGCACCAGAGTCAGACCTGGTCGTACGATGCAAATAATGAGTGAGTTGGATAGAATAAATAGGTAGGGACCTACACATAGGCCGTACGTCCATCTTGGGTGAAGGCTATCCCGTTGGGCCGAACAAGCCCATCTAGGACGACTTGAACAACCCTGGTGTCCGGGTCAAATCTGTAAACTTGGTTCGGCATCAAAGGCGCAGGCCGAATGTTCAGTGCGAATGCATATCTACCGAGGAAACACCAATATGAATTAGCTGCAGACGCGGGGCAAAGTAGGCATCGACTTGCGGGACATCAGAGAAGAAGATCTTGCCGCTCGTCGGATGGATCTTGACATCATTCAGAGAGTTGAATTGGCGGCCGAAGAAGTTATCCAGGAGAACGGTCGCATTGTGAGGCGGTCGTGGGTTCACGAGAGTGACGGCTGGAGGTCGAGCACCAAGGCCGTCACCCACAAACAACAGGGAACCCCGAAATGGTCCTGTCCCTCCGTTCGTCGATAGTACGGTACTCGGAAGGTCAATCTGCAATGTCAATGTTAATCAGTAGAGTGAATCCGTGAGGAAAATCTAACAAACGAACCGGAGTAACAGTCACATTTACGGCGGATCCATTACTAGCCCTCAGGGCGTCCTCAACTTCAGACATACTGACCCTGTTAACTTGATTGGACATGTTCGTATTTCCAGGGAATGCCGAGCCCGAGAAGAATATCTCATCTGTGTCCGGGAAGTATACAGGTGCTTCATTCGCAAACCCGAAGTCCGGGTTTGAAGCAATTTCGTGGAAGGAAGGTTCTTGGCCAAGAATATTGAGGAATCCTTCATTGAGTATTTGAAAGAATGGCGTAGGAGTAGAGGAGGGATTGAACCCCGAATCAAACGCAGAATCGCGGAACGTCGCGTTTTGGCCAAGGACGGCAAACGAGAGAGGGTCTATAAACTAGGCGAGCGTAAGTAGGACATCGTAATTTCAGAGGCAAGAATAAATATCGACTTACAACGGACTGGGGTGGTAGAGAAGGTGGCGCAGCTCCATGGGCTACACCGACAACGAGTACTAGAATTGCGACAGTACTTGTCCGCTGACCGAAAGAAAACATGTCTTACACAGACTTGTTAAGGCCACTGAGAGCCTTTATATACTGACCAGACATACTGGATTACAATAGATATCACTCAGAGAAGTAAGCGGCTCGGTCAGCGATTCATGATTAGCGAGCAAGACTGCGTCGCTGCGATGTCTTCGTACTACGCAGGGTTCTGGCCACCGGGTGGCCGCAAAGCTGGCCAGTTTCATGTTGGTTTCTCGTGCCGTCGTTAAGAACATGGAGTAGGAAATTCCCCGGTCTCATTATGTCCATGGGGCGGGCGGTAAGTTGGTTGGTCATCGGGTCGTAATATGGCTCGGCGGGATGAACTACCCGGGGTTCGATTGAGATAAATATTGCCAATAATGTTCGCTAGTAAACGCGAATGGAGGCGGGCGAGTATACCTAACTACATCATTAGCAAAGCAAAGCACTCTTGCGAAGAGCGAGCTACAAACAAGAAGGAAACCGCTTCGGAGTTGGAGGGATCAGGATTTAGGACAGACCTTACGAAAGCTAATTCACTGATCGTCGTATTATTCAGGAATGGCGTCAGGCGTCAAGTTGTATTTATGTAGAAACCATAGCGCCGAGTAGTGATTAAAGAGGTCATCGATACCACCAAGAAGCTGGCGCGAGCATAAGAGTATCCTTGGAATGAGCCCATAGCTTTATCGCAGGTGAAGTAGCAAATAAAAAAGTGCAGAGAGTATGAGTAAAAAGGCAGGAAGAATAAACGCGTTGCTCCGCTTGTTCTGTCGTTCTCATCGGGCAGGTGAACCATCGACGGTTGAAAGCGGCAGAGGCCAGAACCACATGCCAGAACTAACGTGAGACCCAGCGCATCTACCGGAAACAAATGTGTCCCGGATGCAGACATGAATTTGATGAAGAGACCGCAAAGGAATGGTGGGATGGAATGCTGCTTTGGTAGACGCGAGAAGGTGAGTACTGCCAGTAGGTTTCGCGAGCCTGAACCAAGAGAAGCCGGATCTCGTCCAAATTGGTGGCCATGTATAGGGAGCCAGAGGGTATCGTTTCGAACTCCATGGATGCGCTAATCAGCTGCCCAACCAAATCCCATCCTTCAAAGCACAAGGAACACTTTGAAGTGAAGATGCGGCTCGAAAGACTGTGTGATATGGAGGAAATGGAGACATTGGTATCGAGGTTGGAAAATAGGATGGCTACGTCTGGCAGGACAATTTCGCCGATGGCATCAAAGCAACCTATAGCCCTTGGTGGACAACAAAAGTATGGGACAAAGTTAGAGCGTATGGGGGTCCTCAAGAGCGCTTATCAGGCGCTTGTGCCGGGGCATCCGTTAGTACGACCAGGCTCACTACAGGTTTCTACCATATTTTTGCAGTATTCAGCCGTCTTCAAGATTGGAGTCACCAGAGCAAAGATATATAGGGCTGCACATCTCGACAAGAAATACGAATAAGTAGCAAGTAAGGACATACACGTAATATATAGGCACGAATACATTGTACCACAGTGAACCTAATCTATTTCAATAACATCGTCGTCGAGCTTATCGGTTGCACTCTCCATCAACACTAGTCCATCTTCTTCTAGTTTGCGCCTCTTGCTTGGACTGGATAGCGGTGTCTCAGCGGGGCGAATCTTTGTATGGCCATTGGTGATTTTGGCGCGCTTCGCATTAGGCTCAATTTCGGTGATTTCATCGTCATCGTGTGGTGCCCGACGCTTGAGAGTTTGACGGGGCGGAGTAGTTGGGGCAGGAGGGGGTTTGACGATTCGCGGAGGACTCGGCAGTGGAGATGGCAGTATATAGGGCAAAGAATCGATAGGATGATTCGGTCTGGAAGCTGGTCAGAAACACATCATATCAACGAGCAAGTGACAACGTACGGTAGGTCGCAAATCGCAATGGCAATGGTCCCAAGCTCGCCGTCTTCATCGACAATAGTCAAAAACTTGCCCTTGGTAACGTTCAAGCTCGCTAATGTCCGTTCATTATTATCATCCCAGTCGGGATCGCTGAGGACCCTCTTGTCCTCGTATATGCTAACGTCCCTCTCCACCCCACCTAAAATGCCGCTGGCAACGTCTCCAAGTGTTGTGCGCTCGGGATCACAAGCGAGGATAGTATATGTATCACGACAGATTCCGCATAGAGAATTGGGAGGCGAAAGTGATATAGAACTCAGAGGGACGGAGGGTTTGAGTTGTATGTGCACGTTTTTCAGCCGCTTATACGATTTTCGCAAGAAATGGAGAGCTTGAAGGACAATTAGGCCCGAAACAATCGCATTGGTTGTGGCAATTGCTGGGATGATGTTCCCCGCCATCTCTAGGGACGTCGATCAACATGAGCTGCGGAAGGAGAGCTTGATAGTCCGTACCTTTCACCTCCCACCTTGTCTTTTCTTCGATGCCGTAAGCAACAGACCGTAGATTCGACGCAGCTGTGACAAAGTCCAGAGTATCGTCATCATCTTTATCGAAGGAGATGGTGTCTTCGCCAGCTTGTAGTCGAGCGGCGAGACGATTGATACTAAAACATTGTATAGTTCAAGACCGAAACACCTACGGGCGAAGTAGACATCGACTTGCCTTGAAGCGAATAGCTCTAAATTGTCTTTCAACGATAATACTTGCTGGTCCTTTAGCCCTTTCGTGTTAGGAGCGTCACCATTGGGAGACGAGTGCAATAATTCTTCTACCGCTTTGCTACCGCTCGCATGTGCATTTCCCTTTCCGTTCACAGCGTGTTCCTTACCATTTACGCCATTCGCGGGGGTCTTTTTATGGGAAAACGACCCGTCCATGATAGCGTCGAAATCAAGTGGAGTAGGGGGCGCTCGAGATCGCCACATATCTGCCATTGATAACAGGTTTCGGATGTCAGAGTTAAAGACCTGGAGTCAAACGGGTCGTTAACAACGGGACAACAAGGCTTCATATAACTAACCTTCTGGAAGGCCATCCTAGCAGCGTCGCCACCGTTTGAAGACTGAGGGGAGCGTAATGCCACCCGAACAGCCTTGAAAGCCTGGGCTTCCTTCCGGAGCGTAGCTATCTCTTGCGCTGATACCGGGTCAGAGATTGATCAATTCAAGGACGAAGGGAAAGCATACCGTTCTCGCCTTGCTTTTCTGCATCGTCAAGCTCGCCCGAAGAGTCCTCGTCTTCCCCAAACAACTGGCTACATGTAACAAGAAATGAAATATTAGACGTGTGATGGCCGTGGTACATGCAGAATCGACATACCTCAGCAAGTAGCTTTTACTCCATACAATACAGTGTATCGCTTGACTAGGAGTTGAGCGAATTGTGCAGACCGGGAAAGTTTTTGGGGTTGGCTTGGGTAGACAATCGAAGCACTCTGTCCGGTCCTATAAATAGAACGAGGACTGTTATAAGCTCAAGTCGTGATTGATGTGATTCAAATGTGATTGACTGACCTTCAACAATGGCTGAACTTGTCCGAGGTAACCAGCAGTGCCTGACTCCACGAGCGGCACGCCCGCTGCCATGCACATTTTATTTACGTGCCGCCGAGCGTCTTTAGACAAAGCTTAGTACTGTTGGCATGGATTGAGCAAGAAGGGGAGAGTCACCCAGGTTATCGAGAGCGTTGAGCACTATATCAAAGCCCTGGAACCATCTGACATCAAATTGGGGTTCTTTGATATTCGCGTGAATCGGATGTATGTGGACATTAGGGTTAAAGCCTGCCGCTGTCTGCGCTGCTATCTAACCGGAAATTAGTTCCAAGGGTGCAGCTGGGTGTGAGTAGAGGGCTTGCCATGGCTTTACTCTGCTTTACATCCTTTTTCCGGAAGAGAAATTGGCGGTTGAGATTCGAGAGGTCGATGGTATCCAAGTCAAGGAGGGTAATGTGTCCGAATCCGGTCAAAACGATGTTCTTTACTGGAAAAGCGCGTTCTTGAGGAAGCCAAAAAGACGCAATAAGCATCGCTCACATAGTTCGCATCCAATCCCGCCGGCTCCGACTAGTAATACTTTCGTTTCTGGTAATTTATTGTGCAGTTCGGGGCCGAGAATGGCAAGTGCATGAGAAGTTCGGTGGCGTGACATCTGAGGGGAAGGGATGGTTCGAGACGAGTTTCGACGATGAGAGTACGGCGTCGGGGGACTTTGGAGACGATTAGCCTCAGTACGAGCGGGAGCCAGCCGACGAATAGGTCGCGGTCAGATAGAAACCTGTTAAATAAGCGCCGACGCGTACTAATTTCTGTATCAGTGACCGTGTGACCCCGCCCCTTTTACCCTTTCAGTGTAGTGCCCTACATAAGAATGCGTCCACCGTCGCCGTCGATCCCTGAGAAAGAGTTCCTCTTCGCGTCCTTGAAGGCATCACTTAGGCTTGACGGACGGCAGCCGTTACAGCTACGCACCCCGGAACTGACGTTCGGACCCGAACTTGGATGGGTCGAATGTGCCCTTGGTAAAACTCGGGTACTCGCGCAGGTTGATGCAAAAATGGTCAAGCCTCCCCCAGAGCGACCCTTTGAGGGGATGGTTTCTATTCACTCTGAGATATCCCCCATAGCTTCCCCGGAGTACGAGTTTGGTAGGTGCGTCGCGCGTGGATTCTTCTGAGGATACTTTCTTACTTTCAATAGGGCATCGGAGGAAGAAGTGACCATGACGCGAATGTTGGACAAGGTCCTGAGGAGAAGTGATACAATCGATAAAGAGTCATTATGTGTGATAGCTGGCCAACGCGTGAGTCCGATCTATCCTCCTGTTCCTGGGCGGGCGCCATAGCAAAAGTTCCAGGTTTGGCATGTTCGACTGGCAATCCACTGTTTATCTGACGAGGGGAACATGCTGGATTGCGCATGTCTCGCTGGAATCGTAGCTCTCCGGCACTTTAGAAGACCTGAGATTGAAGTTGTCGGCGACGAAGTCACAATAGTAGGGTACTGCCATTCATTCGATCATCGTTATCTGAACCACAAACCAGCATGATCCAACAGAACGAGCCCCGATCCCCCTTGCAATTCACCATTCCCCTTTTTGCTTTACTTTCGCCTTCTTCGCCGATACGTCAATACCGCCGATCCTTGATCCATCGCATCTGGAGCAGCGACTCAGCGCAGGGCTTGTATCTATAGCGTTGAATGCTCAGCGCGAAATTTGTGTCTTGCAGAAGCTCGGGGGCGTTCCATTGGCGCCTGATAGCATCCTGAACCTTGTTGAGATTGCAGTGAGCCGGGCGAAGGAACTCGATCGACTTGTGGACGACAAACTGAAGGTAGACTGGTCCGGGAGGCGTGTCGAGTTTAGGTAGATGAAACACAAAGTAAGTTCAAGAAAATCAAACCGGATAGTCCATGGATCTAACGGTGCCGTCTCAGAAGCGATGATAATGTAGTGAAAAATCTGCATAAAATGCCCTTACATTAGTTGATCTCTGCCCTAATAGTTTTCCGCATTCAGGGAGGCTTCATATGTATCGCGTTAGGATGTTTTCCTGCTCCCGTATTGCAAGCAGCCGGCGACCCCAAAGGGCTTGTCTCATGTGTGCCTTGATGCAGCTAATGTCTTCATCTTACGCCTACAACGCACCAATTTCCCCTTCATATTGACATTACCATAGCCTTGTTGAATGTCCGAGACAGAGCCATGTCCATACCTCTTCGCATCTCAGCAATATTGGCCGACCGTGGCGCATGGTACAAGGGCACGTATCCGCATCCAGCGGGGCCCTTCTGTCCTCCCGGAATTAACCCCGCCTCAAGCCGCTCATTCCTTCGATGCCAATGTAAGGCGACCAATTCCCATTGCTGCACCGTATGACAAATCGACGGAGTGCAACTTTGCTGAGACCAGGTCCCATGCGCGGGGGGCCTGTTCTTGAGTTTCAGTGTCTAGGTGTGCGACGGTCCAGCCTATGCAAAGCGACGACGGTGACTTGCGTCAAGCTCGGTATATTCTCTCTTTCCTCGTCCTTCTCTGACATTAGACTGTCCCACAGAAGTCAAAGGAATAAATCAGGTCCTGAATAGCAGCAAGACCATGAGAGACTTGCACATAGGCACGCAAGGCTCGCTGTCGGACCTCCTTCCCAAATCAAGACGGTTCCATGCGGTCTATCTTCCACGCAAAGCCCATCTCACCCCCATTCCAAGGCGATACTTTGATGGATTCATGAACGGCTTTGATGAGAAGCTGAAAGGCGGTAAAACGAAGGATCTTCACATGCCCCGATGATGACTAACTTGAGCTGCATATGCATAGATTTCCGCGACCGGCTGCTCGCCCGGTCTACGAGTGCTATCGCCACAGGTTTATTTCGTATTTCAACCGTGTGGATCCAAGGCGGGTCTGATACGGGCACTTCCACGGGCGTTTGTCGGTTTGTTTGGTACCATTGAGTGGCCCACGGGCTCATCGTCCCCGCAGGAACGATACGATCACTGTACATCAACATCAACACCGTCCAAGAGCCCACTTTTTTACTATTCGGAATGAGCGAACTGTTGCAGCTTCCCGTGCACGTTGCGTTCCAACCCCTGGTCGAGGAGATCAACGCCGGTCCTGAGAATAGAACCAACTCTGATAGGCCCGCCGGATATGTTATTTGACTTTCGAATGCACTGCCGCGAGGAGAAGGCCGAAACAAACACACACATCAGTGCGAGTCGAAATTCTCGTACCCACAGAAATCCGAGACACTACTACCTAAAATAGGTCTGTGCCTGCTTCTTCTTGCTCCTTGGCTTGCGTGTTTCCCATGAATCACTACAGGGTATTCCATCTTGGATTACCAGTGGTGGCAGTGGTTGGGTCGGGGCTTCTAAGAACCAAGCGCACACTTTGCTTTCTGTCCGGGCTATAGTAACTTTCGGCGTCGAAAGAAAACATACGGAGACCTAAGGGTGACATTCGTACGATTCCTACGACGTTAGGTCTGTTTTCCATCCGCGGCCCGTCACATCAACCCTTCATCACCCTTCACCCAATGACCGTAAGCCTTGGGTAGTCCTTGGGTAGTCCTTTGGAGCTGCCCCGGCCAAATACTAGTTAAATACTGAGTGCTGAGTACCCACGAATATGGCATGGTTGACGGGGTCTGTTGCCGGTAAGTACTAGCCTGCACTACTAACTTGATTCGGAGTAGTGGACATTGATTGCTATAAGTATCTCCCAGGTTTTCTGGCCGTGCAATCACATTTCATTGTTCCCTCGTTAAATTGCAATCCACTGGTTATGCTGTAGCGATTGGAGCTCTTGCATCCACGCTGGTGTGTTTGCGTTGCAGTGCTTGACTAACACTACACGCTCGCCTATCAAGTGTAAAGGTTGCGGAAACTAACGTTACGAAGTGACCCAGGCCTTCATACGTTTTGAGAGAGAGCGTGCGTCGTTTCTAGCTCGAAATGCTCAGTCCTTAATGCCAGGAATCTCTGCAGTCGCTGGCAACGGGCAGTTGTATATGCTGTGAGCTCAGCTGCGAACATGCATCAGATACTATGCATGGAGGCGATGCTTCTATTGAAGGTAGTGTCTGAAATCTCAGCTCTTGACTAGCAACTACATTCTCTCAATTTTATACGGTGCAACAGTATGTCAGACTGTAACGTGGGTACACAGACTCAATCTGGTATTACTCGTATATATAGCAATTGCAACAGAGCGTATATGGGTGGGCGTATCGGACACATATTTGATCTTTTCCCTCAGATTTGGCGCAATAGGGGAAGTATAGGGGAGAGAAACAGCAGCAAATAACGCGTCCTTTGGAAAAATCATCTTGGCGGCATCTCCTTTCTTTCCTCGACCCACTCATTTACGTGCGCTCAAATGGTTGCCCTCGTTCAACGCCCCGCTCCTGCTTTCAAGGCCACTGCTGTAGCAGAGGGTCAGTTCAAAGACATCTCTCTGTCGGACTTCCTTGGACAATGGTACGTCCACCACGCACTTAAATTAGAGGCGCTGGCTGATATACGAGAAGGGTCGTATTGCTTTTCTATCCCATGTAGGTACCATCAGGAGCGGTGCAATCTCCTAACTAAATATTTGGCTGACCGGCGTCTTGTCGTAGGGATTTCACGTTTGTCTGCCCAACCGAGATTTTGGCGTTTAACGACGCTCTTGAGCAATTCAAACAGCTCCATACCACTGTGCTCGGTAAGCCTCCATACTCGTACTCTGTCTATCCTTTTAACTGATGAAGATTGAATCATAGGTGTATCTACGGACTCGCAGTTCTCTCATTTTGCTTGGTCGCAGCAGCCACGCAAGCAAGGTGGCCTAGGCCCTGATCTCAGGCTGCCACTCGTAGCCGACCGGAATATGCAGATATCTCGTGATTATGGCGTACTTATCGAGGAGGAGGGCATTGCCCTCCGTGGTCTATTCTTGATTGACCCCAAGGGTACTCTTCGGTGCGCTGAAGACTGATGCTGCTATACAACTGACTGAAGAATGTTTAGCCAAATTACCGTGAACGATCTCCCAGTCGGCCGTTCGGTTGACGAGACTCTTCGTCTTATCAAGGCCTTCCAGTTCACGGTAAGTGGTTTTTTATCGTGAGGATTCGAGCTTAATTCGAAGATATTTGGCAGGACAAGCACGGTGAAGTTTGCCCCGCCAACTGGACTGAGGGAGAGAAAACCATCAAAGCCGACCCCAAGGACTCGCTTGAGTATTTTTCCACCGTCAGCGATGCTGCCCCTACCAACGGACATACCAATGGTGCTGCCAAGAAGCGCGCTCGCGTCGATTGAAGAATCAAGAGCCACCTAGCCTTCAGTTATGCATGCTCGCGACCATCTAGACGACCCAGAATCTTAGATCCTAGAGGATATATTTGAATGTACATAATTAAACTTACGAACCTCGACTAAACGCAAAATAGGTCGGAGGCTATTGTCAAGAAACATGATTGGCAAGGCTGCTACTTCTTATAGTTCGGATATGGTGTAACGGCTAACATTGCCGCCTCTCACCTCCTGGTAGATCGCGGCAGCTCGGGGTTCGATTCCCCGTATCCGAAAGTTTTGGCCAGCTTCTTGCGACTCCTCGTAGGTATTTTATTTTGCTTTGATCCCACGGCGAAGTCGCAGCAAGTTTCCCGCCTGCTTAGTCGGACGATGTGAGCGCTGTAAGTTCATGTAAGTCCGTTGCATACGGTGATGCTCTGCTGGGATTAGAAATCTCACTTTGAGATACTTCCGCGGGGTTTGGAATTGACATGAAGCGCGCTTAACTCTCAATCTTTCTCACCGCCATCTCTTCGATCACAACATACGCACAGCTTGATTTGATGAAACACCAGAATCTGTCTGCATCACTGTATCAGGGCATCGTTGATCTGACTTCATGCGCTAAGGTAGGTGGCATCGTGTTCAAGCATCTACAATAGCTGGCTGGCTGGGGTTATATATGTGACATTTGATTCAATTGCTTTCTGATCTTCCTCGACGAACATGCCCCTTAACGAAACCCTCACGAATACTAGTCCACGTCTACAATATTCGCCACCATCGGCGTGGAGTGATGCTCTACTTGACGACCCCCTGTTGGTGAGTTGTTCTCGAGCCTATCGTTGTGATCTAGACTGACGAAGGGATAGGATGAGTACTATACACGCAGTTATCGTGCCACAAATTCTTCGGCTGGGAAGGGTACAGTGTCGTTTACCTGGAAAGGGGCCTCCATATGGTATGTGCAGGATTCATTCTGGGCTTTTGTTTCATAGCTAAGTTTCAACAGGATATATGGCGGATATCGGGAACGATTGGGGCCATACCAGATCGCCCTAGACGGCGAAGTGGAGACATTCCCTGGGTATATACAAGGGAGCACCCCGCACGGAAACATTCTTCTCTTCGGACGCAGGGACCTCGACGAGTCGCAGATGCACACCTTTGAGCTCACCAACCTCGGTGAGAACGGCCAAGTGCTTGATCTGGACTACGTAAGTGCACCGTTCCTCTCTAGTCCACATTCCTAATGCATGCTTTCTCAGATCGTCTTAGAGCATCAGGCATTCGTTCCGGAGGAATCGCCGAGCAGTTTTCTGAACAAGCGATCAGAAGGGCACGCAACGAAGTGAGTTTTCCTCAATGTGATTGCTGTCGAAGTGTATCCTCAACGAGAATTCTCGCGTGGTAGAACACCCTTGATTGCTGGAGTATCCGTGATCTCTGTATTAGTCCTCGTCATGGTCTGCATGGTTGTCTGGTGGAGACGCCAGAAGAACTCCCCCAAGGAAGCGGCCAAAGATAGACAGCTCATCCCAGACCCATATCTCTGTTCCCCCGACATGGTATCCGAACTACCTCTCGTTCATTCTCCCACCACTCGGACTTTGTCGCACAAGTCCTCGTTCAGTTATTCCAACTACAGCCAGTCATCACATGGCGTCGCCTCACCCCCTCCCTCGCACCCGTCCTTATCCAGGCACCAGGCGAGAAAAGTCGCAAGCAGCCCTTCATTGCGCACTCACGCCCGCGTGCAGTTCTCACCGCCTCCTTCCACGATATCGCCGTACCCACATCATGCAAATCACCCCCAACGCCACGATCATCACCATAATCACCATCGCCAGTATCCTCGAAGCCACGAAGGACACGGATCCCGTGTCACTCACGACGCTCTGAGACGGTCTAGGTCCGACGCATCTCGTGTCCGTTGGCCAGTAGATGGCCCCCATCAGCCAGGTGCTGAGGGCCCACACCGTCACCGCATCAAACGACCTTCCCCCGCCGTGATAATTTAATTATATTTATTCCCATCATCATTATCATTATTTAGAAACAGACACTTTCATCATTCGGAACAGACACTTTTTGGCAGGGACCATCAGTATAACATACTAGTAGAAAGGACTATTCATTACTCTACGTACTCGGGACAGGATGTAGGCACATCTCTACTCATATTACTCGAAGAAAGACAGTCACTATCTAGAAGAATCGGTCAACCAAGCAGATAATGAATCTATCGTCAGGTATCTCCATGTGTACGTCTCTAGTAAGTAGTACATTCCCATTACATTCCTCCAAGTTATCATCATGCCCTTGCTCTTTTCTCACAGCTTACTGCTCTTCTCCCTGGCCTCCTCCTCCATCATCATTTTGACGTCGTTAGCCGCCTCCGCCAAACACCGTTTCAACTCCTCCGCACTCCCCTTCTTATTGCCCTTCAGACACGTAATCGTCCACCGGATATAATCGTCCCCAATAGCATAGCTCAAACCGTAGCCATCAGGCACGACCTCGCCGTAGCCCCAGCCGTCGATGTATGGGGAGGATAGCTGGGAGGTGGATAATTCCCAGTGAGACGAGTGCGCAAAGGCTGGGTCCGTGAAGATGGACGGAACGGGTTCGTCAGGGAGGAGTGATTTACGGAGCCCGAAGAGATGGCGATCGACGCCTTCCCCGTCCGCTGCCCATGCCGCGTACTGAAGATGTCGCGCAGCGGCCTTCCGGAACAAGGCGGCGCGTCTCACGGACTATTCGCGGGATCAATGTATCAATATGAACTCGCGGGTCAAGCGGAGCAACGGATCAGGATCACTCACGGAAACAAGTTCGTCCATAGACTTGACCCAGTTCTTCGCCTCTCTGCTGGCGCTGCGGATGACCTCCGTTCGGCCGAGTTTGAATTTACGCGTTTGGCAGGACTCGTAGGTTACGGCGGAAGCGCGGCCTGTAAGCTTGAAGAAGGCGAGTTGTTTGACTAGTTGTGCCCAGGCGTCAGGGGAGACTTTGTGGGACTTGATCAAGGATTTGCCATAGGAGTCATTATGAAGGACCTGCGAAGAGTGGATTTAGCGCTAATGGCCAATGGCACAATGCATAAACAGAGACGCACAGCCATCTCATGGTCACCGACGAGTTTGTCAAACCTCGCTTCTGCTTCTTTGACGCTCGTTTTGATGTCCTTGTTAACATTGAACACCAATTCCTCGACTTTGATTTCGGTGGATGGGATGGATGGTGTAGATGGGCCGAGGTCGATCTTGTTGCGTGCTAGAGAGGCGAGAACGAATTCGTTGAGACGGAGAGTCGGGGTTCCGTCCATACATGAGTGTTCGCCAAGGAAGCCAGAACGTCCGTTTTCATAAACAATGACTGATGAGAGAAAGGAAGAGGAGGAATGGGTTAGTGCGGGGTAAATGAGGGGAGGCAACATGTTCCGCACATTGATGCTTGTCGAACCAACGGTTGCGGCCGTTACCCACCCAAGTTTGCCAGGAGATGTCTTCGCGGGTGGTCGGAGCGGAAGAATCTAAGCAGAGTGTCAATAGCGAGGACTCGAGTTTGACGAGGTTCTTTTCGTTTCTGAGGGTGGGGGGAACGTTAACAACCCCTCTGCGGCATGAAGGAACGAGCGATTCACTCAGGGGAGGCAGCGATGAGCTTTTCGCGGTTGTGTGCCCAGTTATCTCTGTTATCCGAGGTAAAGGCACCAATTGGGACCTCAGACGCCTGGGAGGGCGATGAAGCGACATGTTTAACTATGGCGTCGAGATGAGCTTGAATTGAGGCGGCCGAAAGCTCGTTGCCTGCCATAAGGTTAGTCACGATGGCAATGAGCGAACAGAGACTAAAATACCTTGTGCATCAGCTAACGGTACAATGAAGAATCTATTATCCCTCATGACTATGAAATGGTTATACTCCTTCCCTCCGAGTTTATAGTCGAACTTGTGGGCGGTGTCACTAGGGATTGCTGGGTATCTCGAGGCGTGGAACATCCATTTGTAGGAAGCCATGCATAGAGGAGTTTTCGCGCGCTCGGGCTCGAGAGTTTGCGATTCAACCATGGCACGGAAAGCAAGTGTCGCTTTAATGATTGCTGCTGCACGTTCGGTGGGGTTGGTGCGCACGGGGTCATCCACATGCACGAAAAAATAGGATACGAACACGACGACAGGATCCCGATATCCCATATAAGCAGCCTCGTTCCACCATTCAGAGAGCCAGTTGTCGCACTTGCTTGCGCGTGCTATTAGACGTTCTTGAAGGGTTTGAGCGATGGCCGAAGAGCGGAACTCAGAGACTCGAGACAAGGCTTTATCCATGTCTGATGGGGAGGTGATGGGTTCGAGAGTTTCGACGTATTTTGAGAGTGTGTTTGATAGCGAGGGGACCGGGAGGGTTGGGAGGCCCGCCTGAAAGCGCAACATCGGGGGCGCGGCGGGATCGACAGGCGCGGCGGGTGGTGATGGTGATGGTGGTGCAGAAGAGAGAGAGCGACGAGCCATTGTGATTGTCCGCGCTGTTTTCAACCGGCTCAACATTATAGGTCGGGCAGAGGATATGGCAGTAGGCCTATAAGTACTCCGGCCTCGGTTATTCCGGGGCGCGGCTCACGTGCACATGCGCGGATCACGACAACCGGCCGCAATGGCCCGACGCTGTCACCAATTATCGATTATCATGCACAAGTTGCGATCAACTGGTGATAAAGGCCAACAAGACCCTTTGTATCAACAACATTCAAAATGATACACCAATGGGTGATTGATATAGGTGCTGCACGAGAGGAAGCATCAACTTTACTCCTTGCTTATCTCTGCCATCGACGGAAGATGATTCCTTGTGCCACTGTCCACATATCTTCCTCGCCTAGAGAGTAGCTCCAGTCCTTCAGGACATCCTTGTATGTCCTCTCCAGCACCATGTGCTTATACCGTGAATATCTCTTCAGAGCCTCACCACTCCCGATGACTAGTCTCCGATCTACGTCGCCCACGACCATAGCTTGCATCCGCTCGTCCGTTTCAAAGAAATCATCTATGCTTCCAAACATTGAATCTCCCCTATGGAATAACACGAGACACACGCGAAGACTAGCAGGTACGAAGGCTAGGACGTAGGTGATCACATCCAGCGATGCAGCGATGCTGAGGTCGAAGGAAAGATACATAAGATTCTGCATTTCACAGAACCCTTTCCACGACCAGTCGTAGAAGAACTGGGATTCCCGGTACAAGTCGAGGTGGGTCACGTTTTCTAGCAATGGGGCGGAGAAGTCGGGATCGGTGGTGCATTGTAAGTGGTGGAGGGTGCATGATAGCCTTCGGGGCGGGTATTCGAATGAGGATACAATGTTGGCTTCACTGAGCATGGTGAATAGGTGAGGCTGGACCCGGGTTACGGTCGCTTCAACGGTGGTGGTTGGGAGCAGACGGGAAGCGGGTTCGATCCAGCAAGCAAGACTGGACAAACGATCGCAGACGGACAAAATCTTGACGGTATGCCGTAGGCTTATCCCATACGCAAAGCAGATTGTGTGAACATGCGTTTGAAAGAACGACTTGTGTCGTTGTCCGAGTGTCCAGCAGAAAGCCTCAGCTTGCCGGGGGTGTTCAATCACCACGGAGCGGTAGATTATTTGATCTATCCTTCACCGCAACGCAGAGATCAGCTCCGCACAACACAAACGCTACAAATGGGAGCAACTCACCAACTCCTCACTTGACGCGACAGGTAGGCCAACGTCAGCGCCGAGTTGCGATCTTGCTCTGCCGAGCACTCTAGGATGAGGCGTGCAATATCTTGTGGTAGACTGGGGAATATCTCCATCGATGAATTGAGGAAAGACTCGTCATTCTGAGTTGATTCTGGGAATAGGATTTATCTATGTGCGTCCTCGTTTATCAACCAAAGCGACTGGACCCCATCCACGCTGAACTCCATCTTGCCACAAGTGGGTTGTCGAGTTGGCGTGGATTCGGGATTTCATTGGGTTTCTAGTCGACAATCTCAGAGGGTACATTGACTTTCGGGCGATCTATGTCTGTACAGAATGGTCCTCGAGAGGTCTTCAGCGGGAACGGTCCTGTTCAGATCGAGGTCAGAAGTACTAATTCACAGTAAAAAGAGGATTCGGATACGGGGAATCGAACCCCGAGCTGCCGCGATCTACCAGGAGGTGAGAGGCGGCAATGTTAGCCGTTACACCATATCCGAGTGATCTGTGGTCATTTATCTGTCAACTCGATCGGTCACAACCTTTCTTAGTGGTATCGCATTAGACATCCATTCTACAAGGGGACTCTAAAGGCGGAGGCTGATCGGAACTCGTCTAATCGTTGCTGCATGATAGAGCACTCTGGATTCCCAGCAATGATCGCGTACGCTTCTGGTAGCATCGCTTCGAGATACTGAATAGGACGCGAGGTCAACACTTACTCAAAGGCAGATGTTCTTAATTCGAGGAAGTACGCACCTCGACGCGTCGTTCAGTGAGAGGGTGCGTTTGGAGAAACTCTAGCCTGACCCTCTGAGATTTACTTTCAAACTCTGCGAGCCTCGAGAATACCCTGCGCGCATTTCGTGAGTTCTAAGTGACTAGAGGAGAGGACGGGGGACGAGACTAACCTTGGGGCAGCACTTGGGTCATAACACGCTTTGGACATTAGTCTGAGACCGATAACATCCGCTATCCGACGCTTGGAGTTTAGCAAGGTAGGCAAGTGTCATAAGGGATGTTTCAACCTTCTTTTTCCTGAGCCCGCGTATTTGGTAGATCGAGAAGGAAGGTAGTGAACAGCCGAGATATGCCAAAGTCGACACCTACGTATTGGAGAAGGGACGCGATGACGAACAACACTTTCTGTGATGAGATGCGTTCGGGGACGTGTCGTGCGACTAGAATGGAATCAGTTTAAGTGCCCGGTCCATGAATCACGGGGGAATGCTGACCTACGTGACCTATCTCTGCAGAGGAATTGAATGTGCTGAAGGAACAGAGATCAGGGAGAAAACATACCATGCGAGAGTACAGCAGCCAGACCACTCTCGTCCTGGGATATCGGTAGCATCCCAGTGAAGACATATACGAGTCCTAGACATTTCACTGTGATGGGGGGGATGGGGTGAGGATTGGGTTACGCACCAGGGCTGGCCGCCGCGTTCACTATCTTTTGGTCATTGATAACGACAACCTCCCAATCCCGTTGCGCCACTCTATCAACGTCTCGTTCTTCGCTCGCCACAACGCCGTATGCATCGTCGTTGCCCGACCATATACTATCGTTATTTTGATTGGTAGGAGGAGCAAAGTGTGCTTGCGGGTAAGACGATTTGACTTTCCCGAGATTGGAGGCCGTTAGGATGCGTTGTACAATGCCTTGGACCTGTAGGGTCAGCCGGTGGTTCGGTGGTAGAATCCTGGCTTGGTATTCCGCGTGGAGCTCTGCACTCGCAGCCCGACCAACCTGCCGTAGAGTACGCAGACTTGAGCACGCGTAAAAGAATAATTGGATTGCAGGCGCATACACTTGCTTCCAGGTCGGGGCCAACGTCGATGAATCTCCATCGACCAGTCTCTGGTACTTGTTCCAGGCTACGACGTTTTAGTTGAGGTTATAAGATCGGGTGGGGAACTCACTGAGCAACATAATATGCAGTGGACAGTCCGAGGCCCACGACGACAACCTTCAAAGTCCCATCCCACTGTGTCCTTCTGCGAGGCGACTTGGGCCCTGATCCTGACTCACCAAATCGCACATACTGATTTCTGGGACGGAACGTTGATGAGAAGGAGCGCCGAGTGCATATTGTCCTCCCAGACGTCTGAGTTGCCTCGCGAAATAAACGAACTGATGCACCGAACATGTTCGTGTGTTAAGCCACCGTAGCGACCAGGTGAAACGATCTGCAGCAATTCTCGACTGTATACCCGTACCACGACGAGCCAATGAGGTTCCGTGGCCCGGCCCTTACGCGTTGGGCCGGCGCGCTGAGTCATCAAGTGCGAGTGCGCGTCGGGTGGTGCATTTCGGCAGAGTTCTCTTCGCGACGCGATGGTTTAAGGACATTTGCCCACAAACATTTAGTTCAAGGGTTGCGGATGCCACCTTCACCCCATTTTTCGAGGGCACCTGCGCTCGCCCGTTCATTTGCCACTCGTTCCACGCCCCAGCCTCGTTCAAGATCAAGAAAGTTCGTCCGTCGCGCTGGATATACAGCTTTAGGACTGGGAGGAATTTGGGCTGCTGACAAGGAATTCAACGCGTCCGCAATAGCCCGAAGCTTCAGAACGCTATGGACTGTGAGTGCACTCTGAGCGGCATTTCTGCGGCCTTGCTTACTGCCCGGTGGGACAGAGCGTTTTGTTGACGGATTGAACCTAGTGTGCAGTCATCACCGTAGACTACAAGCTCAACTTCACGAAGGAAAAGAGTGATCAGATACACCTCTTGCATGAACGCGTTGCAGATCGAATGTACAACTTACTCACTTCAAATGGAGGGTTATATATCAAATTCGGTGCGTTGTAAGTGCCTCTATTTACCTCGGTGCTCACGGTACTCTAGGTCAAGCAATTGGCGCAAACGCAGCACTGCTTCCCGAGCCCATGCAAGCCAAATTCGCAAAGCTCTTCGACGACGCACCACAAGTCCCGTACTCGACCGTACTCTCCGTGTTCCAATCAGAATTTGGCCGACCACCGAGCGGGCCTGGCGGTGTGTTTGAAATATTCGAAGAGCAGTCCATCGCGGCTGCGAGCATTGCGCAGGTTCACCGGGCGAAGCTGTGGCCGTCAGAAGGCGATACGGAGGAGAAATGGGTTGCGGTGAAGATCCAGAAACCAGACGTTGGGCAGCAGATGGAGTGGGATCTGGGAGCGTACCGTTTGGCTATGTGGTTTTTTGAGAATGCGGCGTTTGATCTGCCGGTGTACTTTGTCGTCGGTGAGCATTCAGCTTATCATCTTGGATACGGACTTTTCTGACCGTGTAATAGAATTCATCAACGAGCATCTGCGTCGTGAGCTTGACTTTGTGCAGGAAGCAGCTAGTTCGCAGGAGACCGCACGCTTCGTCGCGTCGGAACCGCGGCTCAGCCAGAGCGTCTACATCCCCAAGGTGTATCCTCAATTTTCCACCAAACGCATCTTGACTGCCGAATGGATCGATGGGGTCCGGCTTAGCAACCGGCAAGCTGTCCGTCAGCTTATGGGCGAAGAAGCATCCCCAGCGGACAACGTGATGCCTCCTCTCAAAGGTGGGATGAAGGCTGTCATGCAAACGATGGTCGAGCTGTTCAGCGCGCAGATATTCAGCTGGGGCTGGGTGCACTGCGATCCCCATCCCGGCAACATCATCATCCGCCCCCATCCATCCGGCAACAACAAACCCCAGCTTGTCCTCCTCGACCACGGATTGTACGTCCGCCTCTCCGAGGATTTCAGAAGGCAATACGCCGATTTGTGGCGAGCGCTGCTAGCAGGGGATTTCGCCACGCTGAAAGACGTGACGGAGCAGTGGGGGATTGGGGCGCCTGATATCTTTGCGAGCGCTACACTCTTGAAACCTGTAAAATTCGGCGGGGGCAAGGAGAAACAAAAGCAGATAGACGAGCTGGCAAAGTTAAGCGAGTACGATCAGAGTATGTTGATGAAAGAGAGGCTAAGAGGATTCTTGGTCGACACCGATAAAATGCCCAAGGCTCTGGTGTTTCTCGGTCGGAATATGCGGTGAGTTGTTTTGAGGGGAAAACGCTAGCCTTTCTGATCATTCCGCCCTTCTCGATTTATAGCATCGTGCAAGGTAAGCTCGATCCAACGCTATAAACTGGAGGAATGTGTTCTCAACACCACTTCCTTGCATAGGGAACAATCAAGCCTTTGGATCCCCCGTTAACCGCATCAGGATAACAGGCTACTGGGCCTCCCGCTCTCTCACCACCGTCGACCATCACGCTTCGCTCCGAGACCGGCTTCGAGAATCCTGGTTCCACTTTGTATTCAGGAACACCATGCTCATACTGGATGGAATGTTCTACTGGCAAATGGCTGTGCAGAGCGTGCGTCGGGTTTTTGGGTTGAAGACGGAGAATTTTGAGGATGAGCTGGAGAGGATGATGCAGGGGGTGGCGAAGAGTAAATTCGGTATTGAGGTGAACAGCAGCATGTTTGAGGGATAGACCCGTCGTGCCCGGCGCCAGTGGTCTTTGGACAATCTAGACCCTCTTGACGCTCATGTCGGCGACGATGTTCTCCCCCACTAGATGGAGTTTAGACATAATCTTAACACGGGCTACTCTACGTTACTCCCTAGTCGTACTTTCATGCTGACTGACAAAATCTGTTGTTGGCCTCGTGCGTTGTACGTATGATACAATAAGAAACAATCCGCAGTTCACGCTAGTGTCAATGCTGTACCAATGCTTTGGTTCGACAGTTCGACGGTTCGAGAGGCATTGACTTTGCTTGACGTTAGAGGAAACCGGCACGCTGTGAATCCGCCGATGAGAGCATCCAGGAAGTAAAGGAAGCGTGGCGCGTCTAGCGCCACTCTATACACATGATCATCGCGGCCCTTTCCGACTGAACAAATGTGTTTCAAGGACGAACACTCAACATTCATCAGTTTGGTTGCATGCAGCATCGCCATCGATGACCAGCATATGAAACAGGTTAGGATAGTTTCCGGGTGTTAAATACTTGTCATGGGGCTTCGATACTGCCCCTTCCCCGGAGCAACTTGAACCCCTCACAGTGCTGGTCACTTCGTTAAACCGGCTGGACCGAAACACCCAGAAGTCCGCCATCGTATATAAAATTAAAATGAGTTCTGTCATCCGTGAGCCACTTTTGCATCGATTACAAATGAGGCTTGCTGACAATTATATGGACAACTAGCTGCCCCACATTTCCGTCTGGTGCTCTCTGTCGCTGTGTTGTCTCTGCCCTACGCTGTTCGCGCGGAGGACAAGATATGCACGACACGGTACGGCCCTGAGTATACGGGCGAGACCGTTATCTAATGGTCGAATTTAGATCGGGAGTGACAACTTGCCGTACACCCACAAGTGTGTACATCAAGCTGGGAATTATTGGTGGAATCCGTACGTCTCCTTCCATATATCACCGATGCCCGACAAACTGTAAATTGATTGGAATCTCCTAGTCATTCTCACCGGACTCGCCCTCCTTGTCTATTTTCTCGTCAGAAAGCGCCGTCAAAAGGAACTTGATGCGTTCGTGTCTGAAATGGAACCAAGCCAAATCCATGGGCCGCCAGAAACCACGTACCATTCCCCCGTGCCAAACATAAGTGTGATGACGCAGGCATACTCCCCCCGGGGGGCTAGCGTTCCATATAGTGCCTCGCCATATGGTATGGCTCACCACTCAGTCGAGGGTGGCGCAACGCTGGGACCAGAGCATATGATGTTTGCGGGACCATCAGGAACGCCGCATGATTATAGCATGTATGGAAATATTCAACATCAGCAGCCCCAGGCGGCACCTCTCACCCGACGAAGGTCCACTGATGATGCCAGGAAACTCCAGGGAGCCTATCCCTTTGTGGGCATTTCATCTGTGAGCATCTTCTTGTGTTCGGACCTATTTCCAATTTTGCGATGCTAGGTTATACGTTAGCTGACTACTCTCATGATCGCCGTACAGGATTTCTCCCCGAGCCCTCCCCCTGTCGTGTTATCTTCAGTGCCGTCTTATCCAGAAAAGGGTTAAGTGCTGAACATGAGTATCATCCGACGAGATCTTACCCAGTATACTGAAACGAAAGAAGATAAGATATACTGCCGACGGCTAAAAAATAATACGATGGATAGCATAATTACAGGGCATGGTGTATTGAGATAGCATGAAGCGCGCCAGGATGGCTAAGGTGCTTTCGGTTCAAATTGAATACAAGGTTTCAATATCTTTGAAACATACATAGGACATTGTAAAAGTGGGATTGAATATTGGTTCCTCCATGATGTATTCCTGGCGCGATTGCAAGGCTATCAATATACAGTTTGTCAATCCGGCTTCACTTTCTCCCAATATCATTGTGCCCAAGCTCAACGAGTGTTTCTTCGTCAGAACTCTGCGACCATTCTCTCTTCATTATGGTCCCTGAGTGGACAACCAGAGCAGGTTGGGACCATTTAGGCCATTCTACCAATGACAGTCGCTGTTCGGGAGCATCTGCCTTGAGCTTCTTCACAATCGCCTCGAGCATTGTGTCCATTCGTCGCAGCCTGCCGAAAATGTACAGAACAACGGCGCCGCATGACCATTGGTCAGCCTTGATGGGACTGTAAGTCAGCGACCTCACCTCGATCTCGCTACCCAACCCTCTGTACCGCAATGGTCGTCGACTTCCTCATTGTCGTCGCGCACTTGAACAGCAACATCAAAGTCTAGTATCCGAATGTAAATAATTTACGTATTGTTTACATTTTGAACACACCGAAGAGGAATTCTGAAGACTTTTGACATATATTTTCAATGAATTCACGCTGGAATCCCCGACACTTTTGAGGTCACACCAAGAAGCCATGTTCAAAGCAATCTCATCCACCATATTGTCGGCCATATTGGAGAAAACAGGGAAATATAATGGATTTTAATCCTATTTACTCCGTTACTACATTGGTGTTATATACTATACAGGCACTCAATTTAATCACTTACGCCCACGTTCGCGGGCTACGGGGAAGAAACCATGAGCACAAACCAAGATTCAAACAAAATCACGCACCCGAAGAAGTCGCCGTCTGCAACTGTCAGCATGGGCGTGCCAGCGGCGTCAGCGGTGTTGAGGAAGACGCTGTACTTTGGTTAGCGATATCATTCGTGCACGGAAGCACTGAGTACGTACCTATTTCCCCACCATGTCTGGATGTTATTGATACCAATAGTACCGTTGGCGGGATACTGGAGGATGAAGAAAATGAGGACAGCAGAGATGGCTACTCCAGCATCCAAAGCGGCGGAGAGGACGTAGTTGTACTTCGTCCACCAGGAGAAGTGTCGACGGCGCATGATGTATTGGAAGATAAATCCGACAATAGCCCAAGGGACGTAGTTGACAGCGCTTGCAGGTGGAATGAGCCCAGTTCCGGAGAAGATGACCGGGAAACTATCCATTGAAGTTAGCATTGTTCGCTGTGGTGATCCAAGTAAATTTACTTGACGTAGCGGACCCAACTGTTGGGCCACTTCAAGGAGATCAAGTAGGTGATGACGGGGCAGATGAAGCCAACCAGGAAGAAGAACGAGAGCGCTGCGAGGATATGCGTAAGTCCGTAGCATAGGCATCAAACGACAGAACATACCATAGTACACTTGACCTTTGGAGAATTGGCGAGCAGGTCCGATGACACCCCAGATGATACTTGCGGTGCCGAATACTTCTGTGCTTGGGCAAATGAATCCATCCTTCTGATGTGGGTCACACATGTTGGGAATATTGGTGAACATCCAGGCTTGGACACCGAGCTGGACTGTTCCGGCAATGACGGCAGCGAGTACTTGAGCCCAGAACATGTGACGAGGAGGAATCTTCATGTAATGGCCAAGCTTGAAGTCCGACGTGAATTGCAATGCTAAAGGAGATGAGTACGTGGTATCCAACGATATAAAAAACGCGAATACCCTGTGCCATGGTAATGTATCCCCAGGTCTTGAACATCATCATCGCTACGGGTCGTCCGGGGAGGGCGTAACCGATGATCAACTCGGTGATGACGTTGAGTCCAACCTGTTGATTGGTGATGGCTTGAATCATACCAATAGGGATGACATAGGCGAACGCTAGTTCAATAGTTTGAGAACGAAAGCCGAGCTGCCAAACAGAAATATACGAACAGATGACCAACGCCAGGATAAAGTACCCGACGGGGAATGCGGTGGGCCATCCAAGGATGACGGCCAGACCGAATCCAAACATGACCACTATCGACGAGCATGAGTTTAGAACGGAACCTCAAGGAGTGGGCGGCTCTTACAGAAGATGACTGCGTACCACCACTCGGGAACTTGTGGGTAGCGAGACATGAGACGAGCGTGAATGTCAGGCTGCTCGCCAATGGAGCGCCGTGATTGCTTCCAGATTTGCTTTCGGAAGAATAAGAATGCATGGGTAAGGGTAGAAGTGATGGAAGCGAACGACAACCCGTATGAGAGCGCGAATGTCGTGGAGAGGAAGAGCGGGCTGTACGCCTTGTAAGCATCCTCGTTGAAAGTCGAATCTGCGTTCAGGATCTTGGTCACATCGTACTCTGCACCGGTGTTGTCGAATGATCCACGAGAGGAGATACTGAACAATACAATGAGTCTGGATATCATTTGAGACGCCCGAGTCAACTCACGGCATGTACTTGCTGTCCCAAGCGTTGGTGTACTAGTCAGAGATCAGTACCATATCCATAGAAACGATAGATGAACGACTCACGTAGAGGACTGGTGTCAAGAACCCTGGGGACAGACAATCATTAGTTGGTACATCACATACAGAGCACATGAACACTTACAGAAGAAAAATACGAAGCCAGCAGTGACATTCGCTTCAGCCCACCATGGTGTTGCCAACGGGGAACCAATGTATGCGATCTGGGCCCAGTCGAAGGTGACTAAGCTCATACCCATGCCGTGGACATAGCCGAACATTTGGTTGACGGGGACATTGTCTGGCGCGATCCAGCAGACCCATGAGAAGTATGACAGCGCTTGGAAGAGGTATGCCGGGAAGATGTACCAGATGGCAGAAGCCAAGAATGCATAGAGGAAGAATCGTTCACGGGAAACACCCCCACGATTTCCCATACCAGCATAGGTTTGCGCATGGAGCGTGTTGAATAATGCACAAGTCACCAAGTTGAGTGGCCAAACTAGCGCCGACACGTATCAGAAACGAAAGAAGCTCCCATGACATGACACGATGGGAACATACTCATAGAAGGTGGTTGAACCAAGAAGCGTCGGGCGATGCCGCCAATGGAGAAGCCGATAAGCTGCGTGGACATAACAAGCATCCATTGATCTTGGAGAACGGAGATTCGTTAGCATCAATATAGAAGTGACGAAAGAAGCCAGCTCACAGCCAAAATTGTAAATTTGGCCGTAGTACACTCTTTGGACGGCAACAATGTCCGTAGCATAGGCAGAAAAGGCGCCGACAGTTGCCTTTCGAAGAAGAAAGAAACAAAGTTAGATGCCTGTCGAATGAAATGATCGCTTGTTAGTACCATGATTGTAATCAGCACCTAATAGAATTATCTCAGCATCCGAAAAGAAAATAAGGAAGGCATCGCCTCTTACGTGCTCCTTGATTGAAAATGGACCGGGGTTTAGGGAAATGCCAAAGATCTTCACATTTGGGAGAAGCCGTGCCCATGCCCGACCGAGAGGGAAAGAGAGCAGCTGAGCTACAACCTGGAGAAGATAATGGCATCAGCATCGGGCATCCTGAATCAATTATCCTTAGAAGAGGCAACGTACTCCAGTGACGGTGACGGAGGGATACCGGAAAAAGAAGAACTGATTGAGACCCTAAAGGAAGGAGCGAATAAGCTAAATCGCTCGACCATGAGGTGCAGTTATACTAACGGGAATGAGGATAGCCCAAATAATGCCAAGAGTCCACGAACGGAGGGTCGAGACAGGGATGTCCGGGTCATCGGTGTTAGCGACGGCTGATCGTACCTCTGGGTAGGGCGAGTCGTCCTCTGCGGGGAAGATAATAGGGCGGGTGGGGTCAGATATTGACCATGACTGGGCGGTTAACGGTACTCACCCAAAATACCTGCGATGGCAGCATCTTTGTCGATGTTCGGGTCGTCGAACTCAGGAAGGGCGATAGCCTCAACATCGTCTAGAAGTAAGCTTGTGAGCAAACATACGATGTCTTGGCAAGGACAAGGCTGGAACATACGGATGTCGATACCCTTCTCTGCGTCACCAGAGGAGGCGCTGCGCTTGTCGTCCTGATGGAAAGACATGCTGGTAAGCTGGAAGCCGGGGCCTGGCAATTTCAGACTTCTGCAGCCTACTTGTACCCAACCAGAGAACCAAATTAAGGAAGGGGATTTCAGATAAGGTCCAGGGCAACGTTCTCAAAATGGGTCTAACTCCAGGAAAGGACCCACTGTTATCTCTTGGCTGGGAGTATACATGCTAACGGGCACATGCACTCGCGATGCTTCTCAAAGTCATTTTCGGAGATTCTATTGGTTAGCCACCACAGCACGTGGGGAAGATTCTGTCGAGGCTGAACTGCTTCCGCTCGCTGACCGGGTCTCCGAGTCTCCGGCGTTGCCGACCTAGTGAGTGAGTATCGAAGTGACCTAATGATGAGAACCCGTGGATCCTTCGCTGTGACGCAGTGGAAGTAACTGCGCTTGGGCTAACCTACGTGGAAGAGGACGGTAATTGATAAAATGATTGGACTTTTACCAGATGGATATGCGGCTGTTGCCCGTACCAATATGTCACGTCTGAAGGGGAATGGATGGCGTCGGGGCGTCGTAACTTGTGCAACATGAGGTAAAATTAGATCATACGAAGCCATGTTTAGGATTCGAGCATATGGCGCACCGTGGGGACTTGTCACTTCTAGAAGTCATTAAGGTTAGGGTTTCAAAATTCCATCACCAATTGACCAGTGCCACCGAGGAAAGCGCAATTTAGATCGGAAGAAGGATTAAGGGGATGATTCCGGCGCTCAGATCTTGGTAGTAGCGACTAGATGGTATCGACACGGAAGTACCTGCGCCTGATCTGGCCATCGTTAATAGCAGATCGTGTGCATGAAACGAACGACCACAAACCATAGGTCGCACGGCTGAAGGCCTGCCGAAGCCCATCAATGAGCGTTGAAAAACGTTGAAAAGTAAATGCCAGTCAGGGATAGAGTAGTAAGCCAATCGTATGCAAGTGATAGGCAGGTCACATCAAAGTGGGCGGGATCTCAGAGCGATATGTACAATATTGGAGACCGAGATGCCCGTTAGCAGGAAAGTATCACCGGAGCATAGTCCGATTGTCCTATCAGAAATCGAGTAATGGATGGCTGCGACGAGTGACTCGATCGTGGTCAATGGGGGGACACGGTCATCTCTACACCCTGCGCATGCGAGATCTCCGGCTGCACGCGCAGAACACGATTGATTGAGGTCGCAGATAAAACAACCAACGATTCAGGGAGACAAATGTACCACATGAGTGCTCACATTGCGCCTGCGTCCCAAAAATAAGTCTGAGAACGAAACGGCCACGCCAAGGGAGGCCAAGGCGGGATATGTCTAGCTTGCCGTGAGGAAATGATGGCGCATATGGCAGCATCCAGAACACTTCAAGTCGCCGCATCATATCCACCAAAGATAAGTGCACACGACGTAAGTTGGCGTATGATGTTATCGGCGCGATACGTGCATTTCAGCACACTAGGGAATCGAGAGTTCTGTTTATACGACGCATCAACCACGAAACATAGTCCACAATTGGGGATGAGAAGGGGAATGCGAACTGTGGATTCTTTCAGAGGGCGATAAAGCGACGAAGTTTGGAACCTAAATCTCCTTGGAATTGTCGTTGGGAAACAGAGATAGGGTGCGGCACCTAGCGATGACTCCCACCGACTTCCGCCGAGGCTTTTGCAAGTTAGCAGCGGCCTCCAGAACGTGTCCAGATACCGAAATCAAGTGTGGGGCATTCATGATTGTGAGTTCACGGTAGCGGGCGTGGATTAGATTATCCAGCAACCTCTGGGCCCATATAGTGCGACGACGTTGGGAGCCTACATCGCAACGACAAGATGAGCCAGATCAGGAATAAAATCAAGTAAATGCACCTGCCGACCACCCAGTACCACCACCACTGCTCGAGTTGGAAGCCTGAAGTCACTATCAAGGACTTGACGTCTGAGACAGAAGGCGAAGAGTTTACGGGGACCATACATAGGTTTGGCTGGTCTTCGCGAAACAGCGAAGAAACTGCTAGGGTTGAAAAGAGGGCCGTCGCGTCACGGTCGCGTCGTCGCGAGATATTCCCACGGTAACAAGCGCCCTAACGTGGAGGTTCACGAACTCAAGCCACTAACTTCAGGACCGGTACCTTTGCTACATGGTATGTGATGCTTTTTGAGATGTAATTCACGCCCTGACACATGGAACCAGTCTGCACTCTTCAACTTTCAATCCCTTCTTCTCGTAATACTCCTTGTCATTTGCACTTGCACGTATGTGCGCGGCGTGGCACCTCGACTGATTGACAGGAACAAGCAAGGGTGCGCTGCAGTTCGTTATTTTGTTACTTATAAATCTCACACATAGCCAGTTTCCTTGGGCTGTTCTTCATGGCTGCGCGGATAGGTACGTGTCCAGTTCGGAGCGTACACGACAAACTTTGAGTAGGGATTCCAGGCGAACGACTGTCGCCGTATGTCGCCCTAGCGTGCATTGCGATGGCTGTTACGATACTTATCAAGTGAAGAGACGGGAACCTGGGACAGGAAATCATGTAGTAAGTGATATTGGTCGTGGCTTTCGCTCGTGCGCTTGCATTGAGCAGCTTTGTGGTAGCAGAGAAGTTCGCGCTCGCACTTGATCCACAACACATCAGCACCGAGCGAGTTCGGAGCGGGTTCGCGGCGTAGCTCGGAAGTCGATGAAGGATACTGTAATTTATTCAATTCTACTGTTCCCTGTTGCGTACAGGCTAATGCATAGACACTTGCTGTCCACGAGAAACTGGAAGAGTGCAGGTCATGCCCGACCCGACGGACAGCATGGTGCTGCGGTAGGAATTCTCCGCGGTGGCCCGGGGCTGGTTGTATGGAAAACTGGACAGCCGCCTGTTTCCCGAGCGGGAAACTGCCATCCCTCCCAATGGTTAGGGATTATGCAACAACATCACTACTTGCAAGCAATCCTTATGGCCACCAGTGGCAGTCCGACCTAAAATGAAGATTCACCAAGAGCTTCCGTTTATCCATCAGAGGAATCACCGAGTCGACCAGTCAACGTTTGTCTGAGTATGTACCCACTTCATCGCTATTTCACGTTGCTCAGCTGGAACCAGGAGTCCTTCTTTGATTAGACTCGATTATTGGAGCGGAATAAGACTAGGGATGGAAGACATCGACGACAGGGTGACAACAATCGACCGTTAGTCCGCCCAACGCTGGCAGCTCGAAGTTAGACTCTAGGCCGAGTCACTGAGCTCGAGTTCATTAGACATTGCCAACAACGGGCGGGTGCGCACACGTGTGAGGGCAAGGTGTTTTGAACATGCACTGACTACGATAGTTGGTGCTCTCGGCGATTACTTTCGCCCCGAACTTGAACGCCGTCTGCGCGTTTCTGCCCGTGCAATCATGATAACAATAGAAACTCGATCGTAACAGCTTGACTACCTCGTCCACTCCAATGCAAAGGCCTATGTTAGACCAAAGGTGAACTAATGGATGAGCAACTCAACAATTGATTCATTGGTGCCATGCAACTTATGCAAGCTCATCGATTGCACTTTGGTAAGTCAATCTCTGCTCCAAAGCCTGGTGGTATACAATAACAGAGTCGGAGATATGAAACCACTAATTGTACAATACTCTAATATCACAACATAGGTGCGCTGAAATAAATTAGATGGGACAAGCACATCATGAGGCTGTCGCTATTCTCCTTCGTCTTCCGTTGCCAGCGTTCTCGTCGTCTTCCTGCCCGTTGTTGTACAACGCCGACGTGGACCGATGCGCGGTCCTCTCGACGATTGAAATACCGTCGTTGAATCTGGTTCTAAACAGCACATTCGCGTTCGTGAACAGCCCTTCCTTCAGCGACACGACTATAAACTGCGAGCCCTTGAAGCGAGTGCGGAAGAGCTGGCCGATGTGTTGGGTGTGGGAGAGATCGAGGGCGGCGTCGATTTCGTCGAGGATATACATGGGAGCGGGCTTGAATTGGAGCAGGGCCATGATGAGGGAGAGCGCGATGAGCGACCGCTGCCCGCCACTCAGCTCCGTCAGGCTCTGCTTCCAGACACTGCCGAGCCTTACTTTGACCTCGAGTCCGTCCATGAGGTCTTGACCGTCCGGTGGCTGCAGTTTAGCGAAGTTGCCTGGAAGAAGCTCGGCGAATATTCCCCCGAAATCACTGTACCATGCGTATTTCAGCCACAACACACGTCTAAACTGGGACGGCGACTCACCCGTCTACTTTCTCCCACGTCTTCTGTAAGGCGTCACGCTTGTATCTGTCAAGTTCCGCGATGGTGGCTTCGATCTTCTCTTTGTCCTTCATGACGGTCGCTAGATTCTTCTTAAGCGATGTCTCCCGCTTCTCGACACTGCATAGACGTCAGTCGCAGGCAATATGGACCTCTCCGCACGCACCTATCGATCATGTTGAGAACCTTGGGGTTCACTTTCTTCTTCATACCCTTTTGTGCCTCTTCCAGCTTCCGCGCTTCTTCGCGTTGTTGTTTCATATCCATGGACTTGAAGTCATACGGGGAACCTGGCTTGCCGAACGTTCTGCACACACGACGAGTCAGTAGATAGCGGTGTGAACACTCACACGACTCACTCTTTATCCTCCTCGATCCATGGGTGCTGCTGCTCTAGATCGGCGACTTTGTTGGTGGCCGCGGCCTTCTCCTTAGCCAGCGCCTGAAGTTCATGCTCGGTTTTCTTTAGCTGGAGGTCGGCCTCTGAAATGGCCTCCTTCTTCGACCTGATGACTTGATCAAGCTCCTTCAATTCGTTGTCGAAGCGGGAAAGGGTAGCACGCTCTTCAAGTAATTTCTCTTCGGCGGCAGCGTGGAGGGCCTAAACATGAGGTTGAACGATGGGGGTTTGTATAAGGAGGCAGTAGGTAGCACTCACAGCGGTCTTCTTGTACTCCTTGTCGAGTTTACCTATCTCCTTCTGAATCTTCTCGACACCCGCTCGTGCCTCCACTATCCCTGCTTGAGCAGCTTCTATGTCGCCCTCTATCTGTTCTATGACCACCTTGGTATCAGCTTGGGCAAAAAGGCTAGAGTCCAAGTTCGCCTACCGAGCTCCAATTTTGCCGTCTGGAGATCCTTTTGCTGGGTCTTTAATGCCACAGAGTGCTTTTGCAAGGTGCTCTTCTGCTTGGCTATATCGGCCTGAAGACTCCAATAGTCGCGATCAAGTACGCCTCCCCGCTTATAGCAAATCGTACCTTGAGCTCATCGATCTTCCCTTCCTTGTTATCCTTGAACTCCGCCATGTCTCTTTCGAGCTTCTTGCACTCTTCCTTCGCTTCCTTCTGAATGTCGTTGGCAGATTGAAGGGCCTTCTGGAGATCGAGGATGGTTTGCTTTAGCTCTTCGATCTGGGTTCCAAGCTATACAGGTGTATCGCCGATCGGGCATCAGTGCCAGGTTCGATCGTAAAGGAAATGTTGCGTAGACTCACCCTCGCCGCGTTGCTGCTCTCGACTTGCTCGACTAACAACTTCATCTCGTGCTCCTTCATTTCCCTCTCCCGGGCCAGCGCCTTCCACACATCTCTCTTCCTCCGGCCGGCGTCTCCCTCCCACGCATTCCCGGCTACTCTGAACTCTTCCTCCTTCGCTTCCATCTTCCTCTTGCACTCCCCCAATTCCCCAGCTCGTATTAGTATATTGTTGCTTGAAGCGGGGGCTGAACCCCCAGTAAGCGTCCCCGAAGGATCGTAGATGTCTCCGTCAAGAGTGACTGAACGTACGCCGACGGCGTTGTTGAAGGTCAGGGCCTTGGCAGTCGCCGTGTCGGAACAGATGAGATTATCAGAGAAGACGTGTGCAATGGCCGGCTCGACACGTTCGGAGTAATTGACGAGGGACAGTGCCGCGTCGACCTTACCCGGAGTAAGGCGATTGGCGGCTTGTAGTTTCTTTCGCATAGCTAATCAACGCACGCCAGCAAGAGAGAAATCGGGCTACTCACCTGAGCGGACAACCTCATTGGCCGAACTCTGTTCAGCGGGATCATCGTCACGCGCTTTCTCAAGTTACCTTTCTCCAAGACCTCCTTGCCTACGCGTTCGTCTTCCACTACGACTTGCCATAGTTTACCCCCAGCGCAGATCTCTAGCGCGAAGGCTTTCTTGTGCTGCTCAGGTGGGAGCGATATCAGGGATGCGACCGGGCCGAGGACGGCTGAGGTGGGGAAATTGGGGTAAGGCGGGGTGTAGTTGAACGCAAGCTGAGATAAGTTGGAAAGAAGACGATCGTGGTTCTAAGGAAGCAAGATTAGCTTCGGGCGTGCAGGAACGAAACAGGAGATACCTACATCTTTCAATCCTCTCAACTCCCCTTGAATCCTTCTCAAATTCGCCTCGCCCTCGTTTTCTTTATCCGCGTCCCACCCACACGCCGCCAATTTCGCCGTTACCTCCTCGACCTCTCGCCTCTTCTTCTCTAGCTGCTTCTCGCCATCCTTCGCCTCCTTCTCCATACTCTTCCATCGTGCCCCCAAAGCTTTGAGCTCTTTCTCGTGCATAACCAACTTCACGCGGCACTGTTCCTCCTCGGCGGCTGCCTGAGCGATACGCGCCTTCGCGTCGGCGAGCTGCCCCATATATCCACCACCACCACCATTTCGGTTGGATGAAGAGAGCCCTGTCAGGAGTGATTGAAGGAGTTCCTCTGCGCTTGTGAGTTTGGTTTGACGCGATTTATGCTCGTCATCGACAATCTTGAAGGCAGCCGTGATAGATTCGACCTCCTTCTGCTTTTCGACTAGGGAATTCTCAAGCTGGAAACTCAAATTAGCGACGTAGCCAATGTGTTAGCAGATAGATAACATGCTTCTTTGAGTTCACCCTCGAGGGTGCTGATGCGCTCCTCTTCGTCCTTCACATTCCCGTTCTGAATGTCTACATTCGTCTTTAACTTGACGAGGAGTTTGTCCAGCTCCGCGACCTCTTCCTCCTGCTTCTTCAGCTTACCACCTTTCTTCATCTCTTCGTCCCTCTTCTTGGCCACGTTCTGCATCGCCTTGTCCGCCTCCGCGCATTCTTTAGCATACTTCTTCTTGTCCCGTTCAATTTCTTTCCCCAACGCTTCTTTCTCTGCGATTTCCCGACTCTTGCTCTCGATCCTCTCATTCCCAGTGACCCATTCCCAGGCCCTTAGCACACGCCCTAAATGTTCTAACTGATCGCACGCCTTCTGGTACTGGATAAAGGACCGCTTCTCGTGCCGAAGTTTCTCGAGTTTGGGCGAAATTTCCTCGGCTAGCAGGGAAGTGATCTCATGGACGCGCTTTTCCTTTTTGGCCATGGTTCGCTGTGCTTTGTCCTTGCGCTCTTCGAACATACGGGTACCAGCGGCTTCTTCAACCATACCGAGAATCTCTTGCGGTCGCATGTTCAAAACCTACACGATGCAAGATACACGGCACGAGGGATACACGTTTAGGGGACAAACTGGGAGAGCGCGATGACAGTGGCACGTACCTTTGTGATCTTCCCCTGCATGATAAGGAAGTTCGGGTTGTTGATATTGAGTTGAACGGCCTGGAATAGGGTGTGAATGGCCTGCTGCTGGGCTTTATGGCCATTCAGCAGGTATTTCGTGACGTTGGGGAGGGCGATTTGACGGGTAACGGTGATCTGCTTAAATTGCTCGTACCCTACCGGACTCTTCTCGCGGTCCGAGTTGTCAAAGACGATTGTAACGCTAGCCTTAGCAATGCCAGCCTGCCCTCGTTTGTAGATTAGGTCCGGCTGGTTCTGCGCGCGCATCTATATTCGACAAAACGTGAATTACGCGTGCATCGACGCGTTTTGGGGTGGTAATTTAGGAGACTAACCTGGGACATATTGGTCATTCCTAGTACGAAGCATATCGCGTCGAGTATATTCGACTTGCCAGAACCATTGAGGCCGGTTATCGCATTGAAAGAAGGATCCCATCCGGTGATTTGAGTACGTACGGGGTACGACTTGAAGCCTGATCACGACGTTCAGTGAGGAAACAGCTGAGTGAGGGGACAACTGGCCTTCGAGGATAAGTTCCTCAATCCTCATCGCGCTCGTTGTCGGACTGGAAGGAGGAGCTGATGGCAAGTCGCGTGGTTCGCGTTGAACAAAGCAATCACAATCGTTAGCACGTGATGGACGAAAATCGAGACCCCGAGCACCTCTGAACTTTTTGTAATAAACTTGTTTTTCGAAGACCAGCGTGAATTGGAAATGTCCACCGTCCACTTGGTGCACTTGGTGCACTCTGTTACTCGGACTTCCAAACGCTTCATCACCCACTTAGAGTACATTCTGGACGCAAGCACTTACACAGGACACCGGCCAGGCTCTAAATGCTAAACAGTATATCGGAGAATCGGAGATGGATCGTATTACATAAGATAGAATGCCGACGGCATTATGAGACTGATGAGCGCATCTAAAGCGTCCGTTGATCTTACCTTTTGACGCGATGGTGCATTCGCGCCCACCCTGCAGCGACAGACAAAGGACCTGCCTCATTTCTGCTCACGTTTTGGTGTTGCGATGGTCAGTAGGTCTACATTCCGGCTCTAAATATATGGGATATCTCATATTATTTTAATCCAGTAAAATCTGAGTGCCGACAGGGACCCCGCCCTCGCAATATCAAAATGCTAGCTGCCCGACTCCCGCCCTCGTTCCCTACCACCATCATCAAAGCGACACCTTCTCACTCACACACATTCCCTCTTCCCCGCTTCCAATGGGGCACGGCGAGGACTTCGATGATTCAGACTCTGAGCTTACCCCAATCGAGGACTCAGAGAATGAGGATCAAAGGGCAAGGCCAAAGATCTTATTGCGCACGGTGTCATCCGACCTTCCAGAACCCCGCCAAAAGAGGTTCCCGACAGAATCCATCCTTGGTGAGTGCGACGCTTTGTCCCCCGATCGCCAATACTAAAAATCACAAAGCGGCCGAACTGAACAAGAGGATTGACCTTGACCCTCCTTATCAACGAGGTACAGTGTATATCACTTGGATTCCATGCACTGTCCTTGACGTCTTTGATACCCGTAGACATTGTTTGGACTAGGTCACAGCAAAGTTATTTCATCCATTCTCTGATGCACAACTACGGAAGTGGTCAAATACTATTCGGTACGTCGTCGGCTATCTTATCTGGATATCTTGTTTACAAGTTTATTCGATTAGCTGTCGACAAGGTGTGGAGAGGCAATCAATGGGTTGTAGTGAAAACATGCATCGACGGAAAGCAGCGTCTCACCTCGATAGTCCTGTGAGTCTCTCCACCTCACGAAGAGCCGTTGCCTTAGTCCGTATAGATTCATGAAAGGCGAACTCGACTGCAAAGACCCGTATGGCAGAATTTTTCGTCTATCGTCTCGCGGCTGGTATTGAAATGCAATATAGGAAAACCATGGAATCCATCTGGTACAAAGCCGATCCGAACGATCCTTCCCAGCGCACCCGCAAAGTACTTGATGATGAATCCAGGATCACATGGAATGAGAAGCAGGTATGGTGTTCAGAGTACGAAAACCTGTCGGACGCCCAACAGCGGGAACTATTCCAGGTCAGTTCACTCCTTATACGCCCAAATCGGCCTGAATGACTCTGTCTTAGCGTGTGCAAATGGGCATGCCATTGACATGGCCAGGTTTGTGATTTCGCTCATATGAGACAATACATTAACATATTGTGTCCGATTAGAAACCCTACAAGCCATAGGAACGCCGCGCGCTCGATTCGTTCACACCCTCAAGGAGCGGATATTCCAGCCGGCCGGGTTCCACGCAACATGTCCCACCAAATGGGACGTTGACCGGGGTCTCGCTTTCCAACACACTGCATGTGTCGTCTATATGATCAGTATGTATCACAATAAATCACCAGCGAAAGACTTCGAACCTTCGCCAAAACGCCTGGAACCCTGGTTGAGGAACGAGGAACTTCCAATCCCTACGGAACTCATCGAACCGATCAACACCGCCGTCGATATTTTCATGTTCCTTGCTACTTCATCCGAATGGAAGAAGATCTTTTTCAAGGCAAAGAAACAGTTCGGGTGCAGAGAGTTTGGTTCCATCGCCTGTTTCATCTACTATTGGATGGACCGTATGACTATAGACCAACTGGCACGCGGCGTAGGCAAGGTGAGGTGTGAGGTGGGTTCGAAACGAGCCATTTGGAAGTACCTTAGGGATAACAACTCCTGGAAGAAAGAAGTTGGGGAGCTTGACAGCAGCATATCAGCTAGAAAGGCGATCGTGCGGAAACCTACCAGTGATTTGGTTGCGGCTCCTGCCCTCCCACCTGCGCCCGCCACCAATGTCGCCGAAAATTCAATCCTGACCGCTGCATCGCGAGTCAAACGCAAGCTGGGCGCGCAATCAGACACCAGCGGACCGACGGATTCTGTTCCCAAGAGTCTCACCGACAATGAATGCCCGAAGAAACGTGGACGTACGGCCGCGGCAGGAGGACAATCGAAAGAAGTCGCTACATCCAAGGCCGCAAGCACCGTCGAAATGGCAAATGGCCCGCCTTCGATCGCCCCTACCAACCAGCGTCCGCCCAAGCGCAAACGGAATCGCATCGAAAGCGATGGGGAGGAAGATCCCTTGTTCCCGGGTGACGATGGTGATGCTCCTATACCTAAGCATTCACGAACAGGAGACGAGGGCACCACGAACTCGTTTCAGGCGAGCCTAAACTCAAAGACTACAGTCACGGAATCGCGTACGCTGCTCCCATCGGCGCAGATAATATCTGAGAAAGGCCAGGCTGCTGGTTCATCAAATATCACTACCGTACTGAAGCGTCAGGCTGGGCGGCGCTCTGGGACGAAGTCCGCGGCTGCCACGAGATCTAAGGCGAAAGCCAAAGCGTCGACTGGACCGGAGCTCCCGCCCGCTATTCCGAGGACAGGGCGCCCCGCGTCCTTGAGCCTCATGAAAATCCCCAAATACTCTGACACGCCTAAAAGCCCTGCCCCTTCCCCTCAACTCCCAGCTGCCCGTCCACCCCCCATCCACCACACAACAACTACCGCGAACAGCCCAAAACCATCTGCGTCTCAACCCTCCCTGTTTCAGGATCTGCCTTCCTTGAAGGCATCTTCGCCAGCACAATCCCAGACCCCAATCGCCCCCCGGCATCATCCCCTAAGAACTACATCTACACCTTCCCTTCCATCTACGACTCACCCTTCGTCCACCACCCCTCCAGCCCTCCGACCTACGAGTCCTCTCGCACTTAGTTCTGCTTCTGTATCTGAATCAAACGCGAGACAGAGCCCCTCTATCGACGCCAGGATGCCGCAGGTCCTTCCCCGTGGCTCCAATTCCCCTGTCCCAACGGCATCAGGGAGACTCGACCGAGTTCGTAGGAACAGGGACCAGGCCTCTGCTAACATCGCCTCTGCTACCTGCAGCATGCCACCCGGTTTAGTACATGGACACTCCGCCTCGCCTGCTACCATTCCCAGCACCCATCCACCGCGAATCCCAGATTCGGCATCTTCTGCAAGTGCTCCAAGACCGCAAGCTACGACAGATCCGCGTCGTCGAGTCCCGCCTCCGATACAAATACCCTCGCCAATGGGTAAATCTGAATTGTCTTCGACAGTCATTATGACTCCGATGTCTGATCTATTGCAGCGCATGCAGGAAACAGACTACTTCTCCCCGTCTACATCGCCTATACCACATGTACGCCGGAGTCAGACGATACCTCAATACAGCGATAACGCTGCTCTGCCAGCGCCCTACAGACCTTCGTCAGCCGACACAATGCGAAGCGAGGCACACACCTCAGTTCCTACCACCCAGCAGCACATAACCCTCAACGCCTCCCAGGTCAGTGATGATATTGCGTTGTCGTGCACTTCGAGAGAGTAATGGAATCTTGTTAGCCTCCCCCTCGTTTACGACCTCGCGACTTTCCTGTTGGCGCTGGCCTCCCCAGGCCCACCCCGGGGCTGGACCCTTCTATTTTGTGGGAGAAGCACCGGTCTCCGGCGCACAGTGCCAGTAGTACTGACAGCGATTTTCGCAATTCATACTCGGCGCGCCCATTCTTAGTAGAGCCAGGAAGTACCCAGTCCCCGACTGGTAACGCGACTGGCCTTCAACCAGCCCGTGATATGAAGCGGAAGCCTTCTTGGGAACGCTCCCAGGGAAGATTTCACTGAACGCTCATGCACCTGTTACGTCACGACACCTAGTTCTTATGTATTCTTGATGATCGGATCCCCTTCCTTGTTGTATATGTATTACACGTCGGTGCACCTTACCATACCTTTGTTTGTATCCATTAGCAAGTTACCTTTCAGCTTATATCGTATATACTCAGTACCAAATGTAATGTATAATAGTATCATATTAGCTAGTATACTGTATATGCCGACGATGTCCACCGTATCTTATCTAAAAACAACAAATATAATTCTGCATAAAACGAGAGTCTGGTGTTGGACAACGATTAGAGTATTCATGTGAATAACATTAGAGTGAAACAGTGCCGCTAGAAGCTTTGCCCAGCCTTCCATTCAGCACCCGAGAGCAGAAATACAGAAGATAGTGTAGGACATGATCTCACCCATGATGAGATGAAGGAATTCTCGGCATCCGTAGGTGCTGAACTGGGGTATTCGTCGTCATCGAGGGTATAGTCTGAAGGAAACCCGGAGTTGATGGTAGGACGTGACGTGGTAGTATTCATTGAACGGATTGATAAGGGTAGTGAGTCTGTGCTGTTGGCGGCTGATGATGATGAGAACGACACGGGAGGACGACTCCTGGATGGGGTGTAACGAAGGCGGAGAGTACGCAACGAGCGAAAACGGGAGATAATCGATGATACGATTCTGTTGAGCACCTGTAAATGAATGGTTGTCAATTAGACGTCCCAATGGGTTGATGCCAACGACCCCGCGTGCCGCGTATAGATCGCAGCAATAGAGAATAGAATATTTACTTACATCATCATCACACCACACACCCGCGTTGCCGACTTCTACCTCCAGTATCTCCAAGGCGGCAAGGCGCTTTCTCTTCGTCTGAATCTGGCCGAGCATTGATCCGGCTGCACCCAGGACTTTCTCCACGGTGCGCTTGTCCATGTCGCTGCTGAAGCAGAGGGTCAGGACCGATGTCCCTCGCGAAGCAAGGCTTTGCATGAGACTCGATGGTCGTAATCCGGTATACAGGGTCGAATGGATACGTAGAGTTGTATGTTTTAGTGGAATGGTGTGAGATGACTGAGAAGAAGGTCCGCGGGGGATGTCGACTGACAAGGAGTGCGACGAAGGCGGAGGTGTGGGCAATGCTGTCTGGTCACTAAGAATGAACGTGACGAGGTTGGGAGGAGCATGGATAGAATGGAGGAGGGGGAGAAATGCACCCGATTGCTCGCTGATTGTTGAGAGAATGCTAGGTGATGTGAGTGTCGGAGAAAGCGTGTGGAGACGTTGGGAACGCAGCGACGAAGGGTTCCCAGAGAAAGAAACTAGTGGCGGCGTAGAAGGTGGGCTGAGTTCTGGCGTAGCGGGAGCAGAAGGGCCGGGAGATGATGGTGACAGCGTGGAGTCTGCGTTGCTCTGCTTCTCAAAGAGGTTAGGAAGGGAAAGGGATTGCAAACCCGGCTGTGTCCTCAGCCAAACCTTCAGTTCGTGCTGCTCTTCAGGTGAGAGCGAATGATTGAATAACGTAAGTTTCTTGAGGACGGGTGATAGTACATCTTGCATAAGGGAGGCGTTGAAAGAGGGTAACGTGAGGTGCTGTAGATTCTGCATGTTCTTCAGCGCGCTCGCCAACGTTGCGGTGGCTGAGGATGACAACGAGATTCGAGTGTCCCTTGCACGCGACACGCTCTTCCCCGCACGCTGGAAGAACGAGGGATGCCATGTGTGGTACGTGAACTTTTCGACTAGGTTGGCGAGGTCGGTGTGGGACGCGAGGAGTATACAGAGTTGCTCGAAGCGAGCGGAACGGATGAAACGAACGTCAATGTTGCAGTAAAGAGCTACCCGAGCAGCTCTACAGAACGCACGAGAAGTGCGGGCGATAGAGGGGAGGGAGCGTCGGGGAGTGTGGGATACAATTATGGTCACGATGTCCTGCGGGAGGGGTCCTACTACCGCGATTCGTGTGACCGTTGCAGCTGGGACGACTCTCCGAGTCGAAATCGAGGGCAAATCTGAGGGTAAGACGTTGGCGGGCGAGTTGCTCGAGGACTTGCCATAATCTACCGAAGGCGAATACGACGTCGAAACCAAGCTCGACTTTGAAGGTCGGCTGGTGAGTGACCTCGGTATCTTGAATACGGAACTTGTCGGCGAGGAATTGCCAAGTTTCTGGCTCGATTTCTTGTTGCCCGACAGTAAATTGGATACATGACGCATAATCCCGGTTGAGCGAGACGTTGACGTCGATTTGATGGAAAGTGTCTGTTGGCTAGCGAACGCGTCTTCCTTCATGTTGAGAGATTGCAAGCGATGTCGTTGCCTGAAGTTGTGAATCATTTAGGAGGTGAGGGATATGTGCAGAGAGAAAGGGAGGTGGTACAGTGGAATGAGAGCGGCGGTGCGACGTCGATGGATACCCAGTCAGAGCGGCACCATGGGAAGGTCTTGATGTTGGACGTCCTTCATCATGATGGCTGGATAGCCCAAGGTCTCCCATTTTTTGAACAGCGGCAATCTGCGTTTCGTGGCTTGATCCCTGCAATACTTGTAGAAAAGATCGTCTATAAAAGGTAATTTTCCGAATGACAATCTCATGTTGGACCCTCGGCATCTTTTCCGGAGTACGAGCAGGGTCGACAGTAATGCGGGGGTCCTGTTGAAGCCAAATTAACCATAAAATTAGCCCCATCCGCCGCTTCACCGTATTATCGCCCAGATTTCTATGGTAGAAAGAATAGATATTGATGGATGCTGATATGATATGAAGGTCTTCAGTGAGTATGCAAGTGAAAAACTGAGATAGGAACTGAGCCAGGGCACATGTTTCTGCTCACTGTCAACATCCAAGGCACCTCGATCGCCGCGACGGCACGGAACGAACACGAAGCGCTCGAATGGAGGTCATGGGAAGATGGCGTGTTAGTCTTTTGGGAGAAGACCGGAGAAGGGAGCTCATACGCGATACACTGCTTTGTACCTCGGTATCACAAATCGACTGCGCCACGACGCTAAACATATCGCTTGAATACTCAATCCCGAGTCTGTTCGGTTGCCGGGCCAACATGGGGTCGAAATATTCCCAATCCTTATGTGCCGCAATGTGGCCTTCGGTTAGCATGCTGGACTCTTGCTGATAACATCCTGACCGACCCAAACAGTTCTTGCGAGGACCGGAGGGATCATTTCGACTGTTCGAATGCAGTACCTCTTCTTGGAATCGAAGACAGCACAGCCAGGCTTGCCGGCTTGAGTAAGCTTGAGTGACCGAGCCCGTTAGCAGCCGGCAAATGCTTCATGAAACATAGCATTAGCAAGTGCAATAAGATGGATGAGAACCACTAGAAACGCGAATACTACCTCACTGCATCTCATGCCACACGAAACCCTTAACGATGTGGAGCGGCGCCCGGGAAAGGTGTTGAGAACATGGGTCATTGGAACAAGCGCCCAAAAACTCGTTGAACATGCCATTAAGAAATTCCATTGAAAATATAATCCGTAAAGCTGCACAGCGATATCGAAAGAACGTATTGTAGCATAAGGTATATAGATCTATATGTCACGATCGAAAAGACTATATGTATACAACCCAGACAGGGCAGGGACGGAGACTTCAGTGCTTGATGCTCGAAACCGTCGCGAGAATTCATCATAAATGAACATCCTCCCAGTGCGCCCCAGAGGAGAAGGTGACTGCTCGTAATTTTGAACACGCCCTCGCCCAGCTGACCACGTAGCTCTGCTCTGAGTCAGAGAGCGAGCGCGATTTTTGGGGGGCTGGGGTATCAGTGCGATGCATCGCCAGCGATTGCAAGTGCGTGAAACGGACAAGGACGGTACTCATCATCCTGCAGAGCTCCTGTAATACTATTATAAGGATTTAAAGTCCGGAATTCGGAATTCAGACGCAACAGACCTCGTCGTTCGGCGTCGATCCTTCGACAGTCACACTCAGCGTCACCAAACCATCGGAGGCGCGTCCCAATATCGCACCCGCAGATGCCAATACCTTCTCCATCGTGCGTGCGTCAATATCTTCGCTGAAGCGTAAGTTGAATATACGGGTGCGCCTGAACGAGATGGCCTGCATGACAGTCGATGGTCGGAGGCCAGAGTACAGGGACTTATGGATGCGTAAATTGATGCGTTCCAGAGGAGGGAAGGATAGTTTAGCCGAGGAGGTATTTGTAGACGATTGGATAAGAAGAGAAGTAGTTAGGTTCGGTGTGGCGTTTAGCGTCTCCAGATGGGGGAGAATCGGACTTAGAGTTTTTCCTGAAGGGAAAGGGATTCGTGGGGATGGAAGTGGGGAAGATAGTGGGGAAGACTGGGGCGATGTCCGAGGACGCGCTGAAAATTGAGGCGTGGTTGGAGTGGATGGCATTGAAGAAAGGAACGAAAGCGTCGGAGAGACTGGTGTCAGTAAAGGAGTGTTTTCGGGTGTTGGTCGTAAGCTCATTGACTGAGCTAGTGGCGAACACGGATTCTCGCTGGACCGTTCTATGAGTACAGGAAAGGAAAGGTGCCGAATTTCCTCCTGGCATTCGAGCCATGTTCGCAGCTGCAGCTGGTCTCCCACAGACATTGTATGATTGAGAAACGTCGCCTTCGTCAACATCAACGGTGAGAAATACCGCATGAGGGTATATTCGAACGAGGGGAGTGTGAGCGTTTTCAGCCGATGCATGTTGAGTAGCGACTGTGCGAATGACGGCGTTGAGGGGGCTAGCATTGAGATTTGTGTCTCTCCGTCAAGGTAGAAAGACGGTGGCCATACATGGATGGTGAGGGCCTCGACCAACAACGCCAAATCATGGCGCAAAGCCAGCAGGCTCATCAGCTTTACGAAGCGAACCGGGCGGATGAACCGTCCGTCAAGGTGGGCTAACATTGTTGCCCTTGCAGCCTCACAGAATGCTCCTGAGACGAGCGAAACGCGGGGGACATGCTGTCGAGGTAGAAACGACACGATGAGGTTGAGGATTGATTGGGGGACACGGGGGACACTCCGACCAACACCTGCAATGCGCCGCCCTAAAGTCCCCGTTCCACCACCGAGACCTGTTGGGCGCAATAACGTTGGTGTGCTCAGCGCCCGGACGCGTTCGTATGGGGCTGTCTCTGTATCCCCGTTTGACGACAGCGAGCCGGTTCGCAGACGGCCTAGTCCACTCGGCTGCCTGATATCTGATTCAAAGGACTCAGTCGAAGGGGACGGCGTTGTCGACTCGTAGCCCCCAAGTCCCGGGCGCCCTACAGCGATGTGACCAATTGGTGCGTGCTTCAATTTTGAGTCCGGCTTCCCTTTTTTCTCCTTCGACCGTTTGCTTCGCCCGCTGAATATACTGGACACCTTGCGGATCAGCAAGCCAGAGGAAACGAAGGACTGCCGAGGAGATCCATCAGCTCTGGTTTTCGTTGTCTCCTGGGGCTGCTGCTTGACGTCGGTGTCAGCAAGCGATGAGAGAGGCTGCGAGCGGCGGCGCTGGAGACTGGGACTCAGGATGGCCATGATATCCGAGCGACGGGAGCCAACGAGCCAGGGTAGAAATAACAGCGCAACATGAGAAAAACATTGGAATTCACCTAGTGCGATAATAGGCGCCTTGGAGTGATCGGATGAGCGCTTAATGTACTGATCAATCCTTTTCTTGGAGTTGTCGCCCCAAGGATCTCAACTCGACCATGGTGCGACTCATCACCCATAACCTTCTGTCTTGCCACGCAAAAGGATGCACGACCAACAATTTCCCTCTACAATTCAAAGATGCTGAGATTGAGCATCGCGAGGCAGATTTCAATCCTGAATTCATCAGGGGATTGCTGCCGAAGATTGAGTGGAAGGCCCTGGTGGATACCGCGAAGGAGGTGAGCATCACCGGATGAATCCTGTAGCTTTGATCTCATGAAGTTGCTGGTAGCTTGGCGATACATCGTTGCCATATGAACAGCCTGAGATGATGGATGATGAACTACTGAAAACGCTGCACCATGTACTTCTTGAGGTTGGTTCTTCAAAATTTAACGGGGTGGATTGATGTTGGATCTCTGAACATGGTTGTGACAGATGCATGTCGAAGAAGGACAGATGATATGTCCAAATTGCAACCATGTATATCCCATCTCTAACGGTATTCCGAACATGGTACGTCCCCAGAGATGAAATGATAGATTGTCATTGACATATCAAACCAGCTTCTGGCCGAACATGAGATCGCATGATGGCTCGCGCGGAGAACTTGAATATGAATGTGCGCTGCGAGGGCCCGTGATGAGGCCCCAGCTCCGCAACTACGAAATAATCGAGCTCGTTTCGCACAATCTAGTCGTGCAAAGAGACCAAATCTACTGGAGCCATATATGCAGAGCTAGCACGCCCCCTGCTCTTACACGCGTATCAGAGTTGAATGTAATCCTGTTATCGTTTTGCTTACTATCAAGTATGTTAGGGCCTCGCGTATCCTCGGGATCGGCACCAGGGCTCACCGAGGGTGGGTCGCACAAAATAATGGACATGTCCTGAGTTGTCCACCCATCGGCGCGCACAAGACGAGCAAAAATTCGGATACGGGGAATCGAACCCCGAGCTGCCGCGATCTACCATAGGTGAGAGGCGGCAATGTTAGCCGTTACACCATATCCGAATATATAAAGTGTGCCTGAATTAGTCCACATAGTCTGATTGTTCTACGTATATGCAAGACAGACAGAAGATATAGCATAACGTTCACAAGCAGAATAAACACGTCCGTGTGCAAGAAAACGAATAAGTAACAAGTCCTGAAATATACCCCTAGATCCACAGAAGCAAGCTCAAAATCGCGCCTGCCCATACCCACAAACTAGAAGTCATCAAACGCGTCGAACCATTAGACCCCTCATTCACCCAATCTCTATACGCCGCCTCTAATTCAAGAACGAAAGCCTGGGCCTCCGGGCTCCTTGATCCCTCCACTCCGAAAGAGTGCGGATTCACCACAGGCTGCAGCCACCCCTGTGCATTGATATGGCTCTGATTCCCGTTGTCCGCGTACAGCGTCTCCCGACACCGCTGCGCAAACGAGATATGCGAATGATCGCCCCAGTAGAGCGACACCCGGTATACCGTTGCCGCAAGCAAGGCAGTTCCGGCGGCATCATAGAAGTTCCCGCTGTCGTTCACCGCCCGTGAGGCGTAGTTTGGGAAGATATTCGTGTCGTCAAGGAGTGGGTATATGGCTCCGTGGATTTCGCCGACCCAGTGTGCGAGATCGGCCTGTTGATGTGCCATATTTTTATCGTACTCAGAGTTCTGGATGGTGGCAAGTACACGCAGCATCCCGGCGGCCGCCCAGCCGTTGCCTAGTCCAAAGGGGGGTTAGTGCCACCACTGAGTATATCAGTGCGATTAAACGCACCTGTCGTCCAGTGACCATTATCTTCCGCTACTTCGCCTCCCATAGCAATATGCTTCCATAAGTTATCATCATCCCGGAGGTATTGCCGATATAGTCGTATTTGATTGTACGCCTCAGTGACGAGGGACTGGTTTCTTGTGAGGACGCCGTAATACGCGAGGAAGGGCGGGACCATGTAGACATAATCGCTCCTGTCATATCCAGTGAGTAACGTTCGGCCGCGAGCACCAATCTTACGTACCAGAGTTGAACCTCTGCCTCACGATGCGATATCGCGCCGTCGTCCGTCCTCGGCACCCGTTCCAAGAGAAAGTCAAGCTGATCTCTTGCCGCCCCAGCGTAATCCTGTCCGCCCTGACCGGTCCAGTTGGCGAGGAGGACGCTAACGCCGTTGGCCGCAGGATCCGCGGCGCTTCCATCGGGCATCAGCGGCTGAGGCCCCTCAGCATTGCTATTCAGTCGAGAGCGATTCCCGACAATTTCTTGGGCCAATGTGAGCACAGGGGCAACACTTGATTGCGCTTCGGAGGGGACTTGCTGGGGTGGCGGCAGTGAATTGCGAGAGAAGACTGACCAGCTAGGCGCATCAATTTCTAGTAGTGCCTGCGCAGCTGTTCCGAGCTCCCAACTTCCAGAGGGAGAACCAGACATCAGATCCAGTGAAAACGAGGATACGCGGGGGCTCACCTTCTGTTCGCCGACTCCTGGAGCCTTGTCCTCACCAAAGATAATCGGTCATCCGCAAGATTTTGGCCAATGACGACATCCATGTACAGGGTGAGGCACAGGGCCCTGATAAGCGTGGTTCGTATCGACGAGGGCATGAATATCGAGGAGAGAGTCAAGGAAGGGGGATTTCGTAAACGGTAAGAGACAAGTATTGAGGGGAAAAACTGGGACAACGCGACTGTGGGTGTGATATAATTTGCTTGCCAAGTAGCCAAGGATGTTGGATGGAGTCCCCAGCCGCCTTGACGGATGTAGCCAAGGAGTCGTGGTGGTGGCTGACCACGGTCGAGATGATTGGGGGGCTGACCGGGCTCGCTGAGGCACTCGGTTCCCATGTTTAAAAATGGACAACATTTGTCGCCTGCGCATTGGGCCCCAAGCCGCGACAATGTGGGTTCGGGAGATCTATTAAAAGAAACATGATCAAACCCTAACCACAAATTGAGGTTCGACAGACATGAGTCAGCCTCAACTGTCTCATTCGGAGGCTTACTGACGACAAGCACGAGCTGGGTCCTCAAGTTCGGTGGCTAATACTAAATCTTGAACATGGCCGCGGTGATTGTTCCTGGCAAAGTAGAGTTAAATGGAAGTGAAGATCTTCAGCGGGATTTAACGGCAGTCACCTTGTGTCTTCTTTTATGGAGCAACTGTGCATCACCACCGATGATTCCTGACTTTACTACGCAGGTGGCAGAGTTCAGCGACATGAATGATGGCTTATATGTAGACAAGGAGCAGTCTTGAGTCCCCTGATACAACTCCGCGCGTCGGCCATTATTCCGAGGGTCCGCTTTGGGTAATAGAGATCGGGAACGGCGCAGAACACCCTTTGGACTCCGAACACCATGTCGGTGCTGCAACCCGCACACATCGCGCTATTAATCTTCCTGGAATAATTGGAGTTGCAAACATTGGGCTGCTGAGAACCCACTTTACTTGTTTCGTTTGAGCTCGACACATTAGCAAAACATTCAGGTTATGACAATGACTCAGTATATTCCATACATCCTCCCAGAACAGCCCCGCTGTGTCCCCTTCATTAGGTAGGAGTGAATTTCGATTCTTTATTCTTTACCAGTCAAGGGGGCGCACCACCCCGCCGTTAACAAGGAGTATTCGAGGGCCGAGTCCCGCCATTTGCCCAATTTGGCATTAGGTGCCAGAGAAACTCGCATTACCCAATATCCGAGTTGTATCAGGGGACTACATACTCGACAAGGAGAGACGCTTGCAGTTGATTAGCTTCGCCTTCTCTTAGGTAACATCCTTAACTTACTGTTGAATAGGATGAACCTGGCATAGTAGCTGCCTTGTATACACTCGCTGGCTTTGTTGGAATCACCAAATTCCTGACATGAGGACACCCTACGATGCTGGTGCGCCCCTTTGATATTTCAATGGCCGTCCAAACTGACAAGTATGACAAGGGCGGAATTTGGAGGGTGCGGCTTTTCTGGTTCGTATGTACGGCGGACTCAATATGGACCCTTGACCCTCCGAGCGGTTACCATCGCACGACCCATGCTGGTGAGCTGGCAAGGTCGAGTATCCATGTTTGTTGTCAAACGTCCCAGCCCAGGATTGCCGGGCCAACATATGTCATATTCTCCTAGAGCTCTCTGCGTATGTCCCCGTTAGAGGTCAAGTGAGTTCTTCAATTTATCCGCACCCGGGGCTGAATGTAGAGGACGAGTGAAACGGGACTTCGTCGGTGGATTTCTCGCAATGTCGATCACGCTGCCCTGGATGTCTTGGCCGTTTTGCGGGCCCTTTGGTCCTCCAAGCAACTTTTCACATAGAGGCGCAAGGCTCAAAGCTATGGAATAACTCAGGCCCACCGCATACTAGCTCATCCTCTTGGTATCGTAGCCGGACCGTCGGGGACCGCCTTGTCTCCTTAATCCTTGCGACATGCATCACAACGCGTATTGCTAGAATTTTTCGGAGTATTTCTACTCATCACCAGCGGTCACCAGGGTACTTTGCTGGAGTATAAAGGTGGCTACGATGACCAGAAAGAAACCATCCCAAACTCCTTCAGTGTCCTACAACATTGATGTTCTCTCTGAAAGTCTCAGTCGTTTTATCTCTTGCTGCTTCAGCAAGCGTCCTTGCAGCCGTCCCATTGTATGGTCAATGTGGGGGAAGTAACTGGTCCGGTCAGTAGTTCCTCCTCCTCCGTTTTCACAACAATTCATTATGGGTATACGTACAGGCGAGACATCATGGTACCATATTCCCTTCCGTACGCTTGATCGTTCTACCTAACTAATGACATCATTGCAGTGTCTCCGGTGCCTCATGCGTGTTCCAGGTGAGGAATATTGTCTGTGGCTTTACGTCTCGTTCTAATCAGTATTGTAGAATGAATGGTATTCACAATGCCTTCCCGGAAGCGGCGGCGGAGCGACTAGTGCAACGAGCTCAACACGAGCGACTAGCTCTACTCGCGTAAGCACCACCGCACCCGCGACTACGCAGCCACCTACGACTGTGCAACCTCCTTCCGGTATCACCACTACTCTGCCTGCCTCTGCTGTGCGTATTACTAGACCACGCCCAACGAGCATCCCTTGCTGATTTATTACATACAGGGCTACACCGCCCTCCCTACCGCTAGAGTCATATCTAGCTCCTTTGATGGAGGCATGGTGCGATTCGACCGTGCCGGAAGCAGTAAGCTTGCCGCCGCTCAATACCAGCGCGTGGTTGTCTGATTGAGTTTTGTGTTTAGGCGGCGAATGTCAGGGTCAAAACGAAACTGGAGAAGAAGATGCTGTGTTTATCTTGGAATCCGGAGCGTCCATTTCGAACGTCATCATTGGCAAGGATCAAGCAGAAGGTTAGCCCCCCACCCCCGCCACTACTTCACCAGTATTCTCATCTTTATGTACAGGCATTCATTGCCGTGGCCCATGCACTATCACCAATGTTTGGTGGGAAGATGTTTGCGAAGGTATGTACTACGTCTGGTGGACTAGCGATAAAAGGCTCATATTACATCCGCACAGATGCCGCCACTGTAAGTAACCTCAAATACCCATACCTATTGTTAAATAATTCCCGCTTTCCAGATCAAACAAACCGGTGCCAACGATGTCACTACTATTAACGGGGGTGGTGCCTTCCACGCTTCCGACAAAATCTGTCCGTCTGATCTTCTGCCACTGTTCCTACGATGCCTCTGACCAAGCCATGTTAGTCCAACACAACGGTGCCGGGACAGTAAAGATCAACAACTTCTTCGCCTCCGATTTTGGTATATCCTTTTGCAAATCCGAACCTTGCACCTTGCTGATGCTGGCCGCTATCCTCAGGTAAACTCTACCGTGGCTGCGGAAACTGCGCTACCTCGCATGAGCGCCACGTCGAAGTCAACAATGTCTGCTTCAAGGACGGGAAGGAAGGTGTTGGCATCAACGCCAACTGGGGCGACACCGCCATCCTCTCGAACGTCAAGACGAACAACAAGCCCACCGCCAAGAATGTGTGCTGCGCGTACAAGGGCGTTGCCAAGGGATCCGAGCCCTCGAAGATCGGGTGGTGAGTGATGCTCTGTCCCTTGAAAACTAGAGCGTCAGCGTTAATTGTGGAATCATTAGTGGCGACTCTCAAGCTGCTTGCCAGTTCTCGGAGTCAGCTGTTGGGACGTGTTAAATCGCCTCCCGCTATCCTAGGAACACGCAAGACAAGATAAGACGGCAATTATGTGCACACTCTTTCGCAAAAAGATATTTCTCTCGTTGGACTCCATGTTTACTATCCATCACTTATCTTTGTTGTTGTTACAAACCATCAATAAAGTGAAGTGAACCACTTTGTTTAACCTATTTCGCTTCGGGAGCGTACTTCCTCAAGACATCATTCAGCCCTTCCCTTTTTGCGCAGTTCTCAAACGCAAACGACTTCGCCAACTCCTCTAAATCCCCTTCATCTAGCCCCTTCATGATACTCGCCCATTCCCCCACAAGGTACTCAGCCACCAGCGTCTGCCTAGAATATCGAGCCACCCTCTCTTCCAGGCTCCAGATAGGTGGGTACAACCTCTTCGTATCGGCGTCTGGGCAAGCTTCTTTGATCAATCCGACGATCGGCTCGTAAATCTTCTTCACATATCTATCGTCGGCACCCCAGGAGTCGACGGCCATTCGGTACTTCTTGGCGAGAAAGTCGCGGAAGCGCGTCATATAGGGGGTGTCTTGGGATACGTAGACCATCCCTTGGAAGCCTATGTCTTTGTAAAGCCAGATAGACCAACTAAGCCGATCCTACAAACCCGAAATTAATATGTAGCCCTGGAATACCATCAATATACAAAAACTTGCCTTGTTATATATTTCTAGTTGATCTTCAAGGACGTTGTACCTTCGCTGGTTGATAGCGTCGGTCGCGTCACCGTCATATGGAGGCCTGGCGTACACAGGTCCCCACTCCCCATTCCAAACACACAACCCCCTCGCATCCATCCAAGCCCTCTTGCGCTCGTAGCTGCGCCTCATCACATCTCTCTGTCCTTCTGTCCTGTCATACGGCTCCGGACTCTTAGGAAATCCATAAACTGAGTAATCATGTATCGAAAACGCCGTATTCTCCCACTTCGCGCCCGCATCGTCCGGAAACTTCGTGAAATCAGTAGCATACGTGTTCCCGTCGAAGAAGATGATATGGTCGGTGTCGATGGCTCTGATGGCGTTGTACGCCCGGTCGTAGAAGCTGAGCAGCCGCGCGTGCTGCGCGTGCGGATCGGCGGGCTCGTTGAGGACGTTGTACCCCGCGATCCACTGGTGGGCTTTGTAATGCGCGGCCACCTGCTCCCACAGCCATATCAGGCGATCTTGAAAATCTTTATGGATCCAGAACCGCGCGAGGGGGGAGCCGTGGTCTGAGTGCCAGCCCCCGTTCTGCCCGCCAGGCGCAGTGTGCATGTCGATGATGGTGTATATCCCGTATTTGGCGCACACGTTGATGACGCGGTCTAGCTGCGCGAAGCAATTGGGCTTGAGCACGCGGGGCGCCATATCGTCTTCGAAGTGCCGATAGCTGATGGCGATACGGATGCAGTTCAGGCCGACGGAGTGGAAGAATCGGGCATCGTCTTCGGCGAAGAAATAGTCAAGAAACTGGAAGACGAACTTAATCTGCCGTGGGGGAACTGGGAGACTTGAATGAAACCTTTTGGAAGAAGAATTCTGCCTTTTCCTTGCCAATCGTGTCCGCTAGGCTTTCACGTATTTGATACTCACACCCAGGAAATCCTAAGAGCGAGGCGCTGTGTACTGTGCAACACTCGTCCACGTCACAGACTACTTACCTGAAATGAAGTTCTCCATTCTGATCGAGCAATGTGAATAGCTGGCTGGAGGGTTCAGGCGAGACTCACGTCATCCATCCACCGAGACCAGCACCGCGAAGTATAATCTCATTCCCCTCATCATCAACGATCTTCGCTCCTTGAACAGCGAGCAGTGGCATTAGTGATGACAGTCGGTGTGGGGAATCAGCGGAAGGCCGGACCGACGTCGATCACACATAACTCAGATTCCCGCAATGGCTAGAAAAATATGTAATTCATCGTCGGGCAAAGCGGTGGCTAGCCTTTTGGTTACGCCGGACGTCTTCGTCTTTGAGTTTGGCATTCAAAGCTGTATAGATCTCCCGAGCATACTTCTCTCCGTCCTAGCATGGACATAAGCACGAAATAACCCGAAGAACGTTGTTTGCGCACCTCGATCCCCTGCTTCACCGTCTTAGCGTCCAGCTCGCCGACACCAAGCACTCGCATGCCCTGCAAAGCCGTACCTGAAGGCGAGAAGGAGAATGCTAGCAGAAGCCTTAACGGAGTCGCGGCCTCTTCTTGCGCCGAAGCGTCGAGATAGTGCATGGGCGAGATCAGATTCAACGTGACGGAAACTGGCCACACTTCACGGCCCTCGAGAGGCTCCCCCTCGTCCCAGAAATCATGCAGCTCGAAATCTGCCATCGAAGGCTGCTGCCGCGTGTCCAAACCGCTCGCGTCGTCGATCTCCATGCCCCCCGCGCTGCGATTAGCAGCAGCAGCCTTGTATTCGATGCTGCGCGTCCGTGGCACCTTGGTGTCCCACAGCGCAGCTCTGGCAGCCATGAACAGCGCATCGTGCACGTTCCCCGCATCGGATAAGACGACGAGATCGAGGTTGAGTAGCCAGGACTTCTGACCCTTGACGATGCTGAGGTTCGAGGGGTGCAGGGAGGGGTGCGAGAGGGTTTGATTGATGATCATGGTCATGTCGTATTGCAGGTCTTCGAGTGCGCCTGAGGACAGATGGGGATACGCTGCAGGCGAACTGTCTTCAAATAACTCAGTGCGTCAGGATCGCGAGTCAATGGATATCGCGTACCAAGTCACCGAGCAAACGATGCGTCCTCCGTCAACGCCACCAGCCTTCATATCTTCAACCTCCAGCTTTGTCGCGGCGAGAACTTCGGTCCCCCCTCCTCCGCGAAGAACTCTGCCGATTGTGAGACGCGCGCTCCCGTTCGAGAGTGGTGCGACTCCAGTTTCGAGAGCAACGGTCCGAAAATCGTGTAAATCGCGTCCGTCAGACCGATGGGGAGGGTCTCCAAGTATACCGGCCTGGATGTAGGACTTTTCGGCTTTCGACAGAGAAATCATGGTGGAACTAGGCTCGTAAACCAGACTCGATTATGGTAAGTCGACTTGCCAGCTTGGGTTTCACGTGACCCTATTGTTCTCACGCTTGCCACAAATTTCGTTGCAAGTCCTCAGGCGTTTTCCTGTGCAGATCCTATGGCGCGTCTCCGAAAGGGCAAGGACTCGACATCCAAAGCATCAGAGGTGCCTCGGAAAAAAGTCAAGAAATCCTCGAACCATGACGATCAAGAACTGAAGTCGCAAATCATTGCACTGGGTGGTAACGAAGAGGACTTCGAGCTGGTGAAAGACACAGAGCACTCTGGCATTGACTCTGGAGATGGCGTGGTTGATGTGAGCGGCGAATTTCTCAACGCCACTCTGTGACTGATCCACAGCAGCCAACTTTAGTTGGAGATCTACATAAATTCGTCAAAGGTCTCGGTCTGAAACAACCATCGGACGTCAAACCCTCTCCGAAAGTGGTCGAAACACCTCTGAAAGTCATCAATGTATCGAAACAGAAGAAGAAGTCACAAAGCTCTGTCGAGACATCAGCTAGGACGCACAACACGGAGGAAACGGCGGTTCCTGCGACTACATCTACGATTAAAAGCACAGACCCAGTGAAACTGCCTTCAAGAGTGTCGTTGAAACCGGGATCACGGTTCTTGATTACGCCTGATGCTCTATGGTATAGCTCAATAACACCGCTATCAAGTCCACCAGTTCCTTCTAGCTCAATAACCCCTGGTCAACTATCCACCCTGGCGTCTCGCGCGCAAGACATTCACAACAAGGATATAACCACCTACCAAACCTCTTCTTCGTCGACTTCCGAAGCCAGCTTTCTTACTAAAATCATATCATCTGGCACCTTGTCGGATCGACTGAGTGCCCTTACGCTTCTCGTTCAAAGCAGCCCACTACACAACACGAAGTCTCTGGACACCCTGAAATCTATGGCCGAACGCGGCAAGGGAAAAGGAGGGCGAGAGGAGAGCTTAAAGGCTTTGCGCTGTATTGTCGATTGGTGGGTTGGTGGTGGAGCACCTGACCGCAAACTGAAGTACGAAGATAACGTCCACGGATCCTATATATCTCTCAATGACTTTCCGAAATGTAGATACTTCCGAGACCAAGCCCTCCTGCATCCCAATGTGACCGATGAACATTTGGTAATATGGTATTTCGAAGACTGGCTCAAGAAGTACTTTTTCTCGATTCTGCAAATTCTTGAGGTGTGCTGGTGTGATTGTAATGCCTCCTCGATCCTAACCGTCATCCAAGACACTTTGCGCAGATACTTTGCCGTACGTACGAACACAATCTCTCAACCTCATCTCAACTCTACTTCGCTCGAAGCCAGAGCAAGAGCAGAATCTCTTACGGTTGCTCGTCAATAAACTTGTAGGCCTACGCTTCTTAACGTAGGATGGTTCATCCTCTCATCCACCGTTGTAGGGCGACCACGAAAAATCTATCTCCTCGCGGGCTTCATATCATTTGCTCCAGCTCCTCCAAGCACATCCATCTATGAAGTCTATCGTCATTCGAGAAATCGCTGCTCTCGTCTTCAAACCTGCTGCTCAGACGCTGACCAACCCCTCAGCCGCCGTGCCCAATAAGCACATTAGGTTTACCGACGAGACTCCCAAACCCAAATCTAAGGCCCCCGAAAAGAAGGAAGTTGGAAACCCTCATGCCAGATATTATGCCGCCATCACGTTGAATCAGGTTATCCTAGCAGGCAGTGACAAGGCCGTTGCTATCCAACTGCTTGACGTATACTTCGAAATGTTCAAGGAGTTGCTCGGCGATGGCTCCCTTGCAAAAGAGGAAGATGCGCCGGTGAAGAATCAGGATGAAGAAGCCGAAAAGGAGGTTCGCAAAGACAAAAAGGGAAGGATATTCAGTGACGACAAGAAGCGAAAGGGAAAACACGCAAAACAAATTCAAGGCGCTGCTGGATTCATGGAAGTCGAAGATAGTCAATCCAAAATGATCTCAGCCATTCTTACTGGCATCAATCGTGCTCTCCCGTTCGCTAAGATCACCTCCGAAGATGTGGGGTTCGTAGTGCCATTGTGTCATTTATCCAGCCCTGACAATGCGCCTTAGATTGCAAAAGCACATCGACACGCTCTTTATGGTCACTCACAAATCGACGTTCAACATATCTTTGCAGGCGTTGGTTCTAATACAACAGATTGCTTCTTCTTTGTCTACTCCAGTTGATCCGTCATCCGCAACGTCTTCGTCAAAGCTGGCTCCCTCTCAGATATATAAATCGATCGTGGATCGTTACTACCGTTCCCTATATGCCTCGCTTCACGATCCTCGCCTTCCACATTCGTCTAAACAAGCGATGTACCTAAATCTCTTCTTCAAGTCTGTGAAAGCCGACCACGACCTAGAGCGCGTCAAAGCTCTCATCAGACGATTCGTCCAAGTCCTTGTTAGCGGCGGCAGCGGTGCAACTGAATTCGTTGCAGGTGGTTTGTATCTCCTTGGTGAAGTATGCTCCTTCCCTTTCCGCTTACCGAGTCCAATCTCACCTTATTATTGATAGTTGTTTTCTTCTATCCCCGGTTTGAGGAGCATGGTGAATACCCCCAGCAAAACTGATGAAGTCTACGATCCACGAAAGCGGGACCCACAGTATGCCCATGCTTCGGCTTCTCCTCTGTGGGAACTTGTACGTGTCTAAGCTTGCATAGCTTGTTTCTTCTGAATGACTTTTCTTGCCTAGACACCCCTCCTGAACCACTACCACCCTGCCATATCCTTGCACGCACGACAGATCCTGTCATCGCAGCCCATTACGGCCTCTGCTGACCTCTCGCTGAACACGCTCTCCCACTTCCTTGATAGATTTGTTTATAAAAATCCCAAGAAAGTCAAAGGTGACAATGATGGCGTAGGCATACGAAGCACCAATAGTAGGATTCACGTTCTGTTGACGGCGAACTGCGGCTAATTCCGCATCGTAGGTGCGAAGCCAAAGGGATCAAGCGTAATGCAACCTGCGGCGACTACAATTGACGGGGCTAGCGGTGTCAAATTGATGAAGGGTGAAGTGGGAGACCCTGGCGGTTTGGTCAATGAGGAAAGCTTCTTGAGGAGAAGGCCTCAAGATATCCCTGTCGACCAGGTCTGCTCATTTCCACTCCGTAAATTGCTCATGTTGACTCCGCCTACAGCTTTTCTTCCACAAATACTTCGTCCGCAAACATGAACAAAGCAAAGGAGTTTCAAGGCCCAAAGATGCAGAAGACGACGACACAGATGTCGATTCAGACGCAAACCAAGGCACGAAGGATTCAGGTGATAGGGTAGATGGTGCTGCGGAGGGGGCACCACCTTCCGAAGAGGGGACCGACGATGAAGAAGAAGCGGAAATATGGAAGGTTCGTTTCATTCCATTTAGTGTGCGAAATGGCGCAGCTGACTATGGTGCTCCTAGGCCATGAAGGCGTCCATGCCCAACGTGGCTGGTGATGAAGACGAGCTTGATGATAGTGATATCGATAGTCCTCTCGATCTCGATCCCGAAATCGACGACTCTGATTCTGAAAGCAATGTCTCGGGTAGCGAAGATAGTGATGCCGACGACTTGGATTTGGTTGAGGACTCTGATGCCGATGACCTTATCCCTCTCGACGAAGTACCTGATGGTCTGATTGAATATGATGGGTCAGACTCCGGAGGCGAAGATGAAGAGGGTCAGGAGGATGAATGGGGTGGGGTTTTGGACACCAAGAAGCGAAAACGAACGGATGACAAGCAATCCCGGCGGAAGAAACTGAAGAGTCTGCCGACATTCGCGAGCTACGAAGACTACGCGAAGCTTATTGAGGACGGCCCGGAGGATGATATATAGCTAGGTGTCATGATATTGTATCTCATATTTAAAAGGCCATGCTTCCTCTCCATCCCCAAATATAACACAACGAGATGCAATAGTCTATTGCTACAAAGTAACGGCTGCTCAATTGGTTGCTCTTGGATGGTTTGCTGACGACATGGCCGTTCTGCAAAGGAATGTGGGCTGTGAACGAGGACCTAGATAGGATCCAACGTTGATGAGACGTGCACATGTTCCCCGAACTCCCACTCCAAAATGGTTGCACTAAACAGCTGAATAATTGAGTGCACCCTCGCCGCCAATGCTTGGTTGTGAGTTGGGCTCTGCCCCTAGGCAAGGATTGTAGCTACATGATGTACCCCCCCCCCACTTGTTGCGGTATATAAATGCAGATATATATATCATGCTAAAAAGACGTGCACATGTATCTAGCTTGAACGTTCACTACATTCCCAGTATGGCTGCCTGAGACATGATATACTCTATTTTGTCTTTCCTATAATCGCCGGGGATCATCCTGAGGTCCTCGCCATTGAGATGCAGGATGATCTACGTTCAGAGATGATCAGGTATGATGCAGTACAAAATCACAACCACACGTACTGGAGATTCCAACGTGTAAGGGAGCCACTCTCGCCCTGGTTAAGTTGTCTGAAATGTTCTGAGGTATGATCCCATACTGAGAAGACTTACTGTTGTGACCGTGGCCGTCGTTAGGGTTGCGTTCATACGCGAACGATAACCAATAATCCATCATAATTGGGGCGAGTTGCTGCGATGAGGCCGAGACTGGCGTGGGTGGCTGCCCATAGGCGTAAGCAATGTTAGCACTATGAGCAACTTGAAGAACTTTAGAATGTGTTGGAGCTTTTCGGAATGATGTACGCACCGCCCCAATGAGGGGGGGCTGATCCTGGCTTCTCCGTAAACAGGTAACTGTATATCGGTACGTTCGCCAGTGCCAGCGCCTTTAGATGCAGCCTGCCTGGGGCAACAAACATCAAATCACCCACTGTCGGGACCATGAGTTCAACAACGTGTCACGACGAAATGCAATGCTCCTACGCACACAAAGCGGCCATACGTTTGAATTGACTGCTTAGCCCAAACGTTTCATTTCCTGTGTTGTACGGCGACCCAAGGGCAGGGATATCTGGATAAAGGCTCATCAATGTGTCCAAAACTTTGTCCAGAGCTACTGAATCGCTTCCAGAGCTCGGGTATGATTTGCTAAGGTATTCTCTGATCTCTTGCGAGGAAGCGACCTTCTCAGGGGGGAACATCGTCCCTACAGAATATATTATTAGATACTGGCGGGAAATCCCTGTTGGTAGAACAAACCTTCGTCAAGATTGAGACCGGAAAGTACAGGGATTTTGGCGAATCGACCCTCTTCGTAGAGACGGGAAGGATGATCCGGGATGAGACCAGTAGGTCCGTCAAGCGCTGGGGCAAAACTAATGGGATTGTCCCACTCAATGACGGCCTCAATCGCCTTCAGCGCCGTGGTAGAGTCCACTACCTGTAAGCAAGTCCACGAGTCCTCCACTCTGCAACCAGCGGCTGTGACAAATTTCTGCCAAATTGCGTCCCGCGACTCAGCACGGCCTCCAGATGGGGCCCCGGATTGCAGGATCTACCATAATAATTCAGAATGGAGTCAAAACCAGCTCCGCCAGTACCCACCACGCCGCCAATCAAGTCCTCAATAACTGGGTTGAATAAATGAATGGACGTTGAAAAAGCACCAGCACTTTCGCCGAAGAGAGTAACCTAGGAGCGATCTGAACACAATGAACTGGTAGGACTGATTTTGGATAGAACTTTTACTTTCTTGGGATCTCCTCCAAATGCAGCAATATGGTCGTGTATCCACTGGAGCGCGAACAACTGATCTTTCAAACCGAGATTGAGCCTCCCATTATCTGCTTGTGTACCTTGAGGGAAGCCAAGTGGTCCTAGTCTATAGTTCAAGTTAACATAGATGATAGGAGTGCCCTAATGCCCACAGTGAGTGCGGAGAATTAACTTGCGGAGGGGTACTCACCCTAGCGACGCTATATGAAATAAGGTTGGTTGCATTGAATTCTGGACTTGATGATCGCCCGGCTGAAATCTGTATTAGACGATGAGATAATGGTTTCTGAGTAGTTACGCACCAAAAAATCCCCCGCCGTGAAGCCAAACCATTACTGGGTATGCAGAAGCATTACTAGCACCTGCAGGACGTTGAATATTTAGAGTTAAACAATCCTCAGATATCTGAACGCCTGGGAGAGCAAACTAGGCCAGCGGTCAGCACTCACTTAGATATCAGAACGGCTAGTGGGCACCCACTGGTTGCAGACAAGCTGATCCAAATTCAGTAGCATCGAACGTATGAGATAACTTTGACCAAATCTTTGGTTGCGGTGGGTGAAAGCGAAGTCTGCCTAGGGGCGTCTCAGCGTATGGGATACCTATGAATGAGGTGGTCCAGTCAACAATCGATCAACAAAAGAAGACATGGTCATCGGAACCTCTAAAAGCCTCCTGGTTAGCGTACTCGAGCGCTCTTCCCAGGATCGAGGTACCGTTGATAACAACGGATGGGAGCGCACAGCATAGGGCTGGCAGCAATGTAGCGAGGACAAACGCTAGCATCAGTGTTGGGGGGCGTAACGGGAATCATCCCGATTATAAGTGTAGCGGCTAAAGCTTGTGTAAAAGATTCCGTTCGACGCTCCTTCAAGTTCGCGATATCACCTGGACACACCATGAGGGTTGTGCCATGAGTTCGAAGTGATCAGGATCACGCGCGCACGCTCACCTCGAAGAGCGTGCTCCTGCGTTGCAAGGCCGAGTTTGTATGTTTGCGACCGTCCGACTATATTTGCTGTAGACACAACGTGATTTGAAGCCAGTACTTAGCATGATTGTCAATATAGCGACTGGCAAATGCCTTCGGAGACGGCCATGGTTCTAATCCCTCTAGATATCTCTGCTCTTCGCTCAAATCTACTTTGGAATGGATATGATCGATTTAGCTACTGACTGCTGCGCGATCCGCATGTAGATGACCACCTTGCGGTGTCGACTGACGGTGGTTCGGATGAAAGGAAGTCCCGCAAGAGAACTGTAATTCAATTGATGTTCGTATCATGTTGGGGGTAAATAGGCCGTCGTCACGAGACCAAGTGGCCATGAAAGGAATCGTGGTGTTACTTTCCACTGTAGTGGAGGGGTTCTGGCAAGGGGCAAGAAAGGAGAAGAGGTGTGCGTTTTCAGCGGACTATCCATTGATGTAGTGGCCCTATAGTCCTAAGACGTCTGCTTTTGAGATGATGAAGTTTATCTGTTCTTCCCGGTAATTATCTGGGATCATCCTGAGGTCTACGCCGTTAAGTTGCATGAGAACCTGTGAGAGAAGGACGTCAGATTCCGCAGGAGTATCGAGGTAAGACAGTGCCCACCGGAGATTCCTCCGTGTAAGGGAGCCACTCTTGCCCTAGTACGATTAGTATGGAGTTGGATGAATGATGATTGTAGACTAACGATTGTGACCGCGCCCATCGTTGGGATGGTGTTCATAAGCGAAAGAGAGCCAATAATCCATGATCAGACCTGTAAGTCGTGCTGACGAGGGTGAGACCGGTGCAGGTGGTTGCCCATAGACGTAGGCGATCTCGTCGGTATGAGCAACTATGAATGCCGTCAACAGTCTGCGATGATCTATGGACAGGCTCACATACTCCCTTCCTGAGGTGGACGTGCTCCCGAATCTTCTGTGAACAAGTAACTGTAAAGCTTCACATCCGCTTTCGCCAGCGCCTTCAAGTGCAATCGGACTGGCGCAACGAACGTCAGGTCGCCCACTGCCCAAACCATTAGTCCAGACACGACAAAATGACGATGGCATGCGCACATAATGAGCCCAAGCGTTTATATTGACTGCTGAGTCCGAACGTCTCGTTTCCAGTATTATATGGAGATCCAAGGGCAGGGATATCCGGATAAAGTTCCATCAACTTGTCCACGACTTCCTCAATCTGGGCCTGGGACTCGGCTCCAGAGCTTGGATATGTCCCGAGAAGGCGAGCCCTGATCTCTTCGCTCGAGGAGGTGCTCTCAGGAGCGAACACTGCACCTGTGATGAATGGTTGGTTAATCGCCAAAGTTCAACAACTTAGGGCACTAACCTTCGTCAAGATTGACTCCTGAGAGTACAGGCACTTTAACAAATCGACCTGATTCATAAAGACGAGATGGGTAGTCCGGGATGAGGCCGTCGTCGCCGTCGATCACTGGAACAAAGTTGATCGGAGCGTCCCAGACGGTCACCGCCTTGGTGGCCTTCAACAACTCATCTGAATCTGCTCCCATCAAGCAATCCCATGGATCCTGTTCGTCGCAACCAGCGGCTGCGGCAAATGTTTGCCAGAAACCCTCGCGCAGCTCAGCGCGTGACGCCGCTGCGGTACCGGATTCTAGGATCTATCCAGTACAACATCAATACGCAGAGCGTCATCTATCCTTGGAAGTTACGCACGACGCCGGCGATCAGCTTCTCAATGGCCGGGTTGAACAGATGAGTGGCAGCTGAGAATGCACCAGCACTTTCGCCGAAGAGGGTAACCTATCCGCAGTTACTCGTTAAGACGCGTAGATATGGAAAGGAATGGGTTTACTTTGTTGGGATCTCCACCAAATGCGGCGATATGGTCGTGGACCCATTGTATTGCCAGCAGCTGGTCTTTCAGGCCAAGATTGAGGGAGCCTCTATCGACTGCCCTCGCACCTTGGGGAAAGCCAAGGCCCCCCAGTCTATAGTTCAAGTTGACATAGATAATAGGCGTCCCCTAATGGGCAAATGATGTCAATTAGTATTGATCATTTAAGAAAGGGTGCTTACTCTTGTGACACTATACGAGATCAAGTTAGATGCGTTTAAATCAGAGCCTGAGGATCGTCCGCCTGGGGGGTACTTCGTTAAGGTACAGCGGATGCATTCATAAAGATACGCACCATAGAATCCGCCTCCGTGAATCCAGACCATTACAGGATACGAATTCGTCTCATTGGTCCCCGGAGGACGCTGGATGTTTACAGTTAGGCAATCTTCAGACATTTGCGTGTCCGGCTTTGCGAACTAGACTACCTCAATACGGCTGCTATTGGTTTGTAGAGTGAGGGTTATTTACCGGTTGAAGGCAAGCTACGCCGAACTCGGTGGCATTTATCAAGGTAGGTAGCTTCTTGGGTCTGGGAGGTTGGAATCGCAGTTCCCCAATGGGCGCCTCTGCGTAGGGGATACCTTTACGGGCGAAGATCTGAGCCTCTGCATGGGATGATAAAGAAACATCCTCACCTCTAAAGACCTCCTGTCTGGTATGCTCAAGGGTTTTTCCCATGATGGCCGTTCCATCGACCTCGGCGACTGGGACCCCGTAGCACAACGCTGGTAGCAATAAGACGAAGGAGAGTGCAAGCATCGGGTCAATACTGAAGCAAGGGCCTACTTCTCTCAGATCCTACGCCTACACTTATATACCCAAGCAACGGCTCGTGTAAAAGATTCCGTTCGATGAGCGTTGGTTTGGAATATCACCTGGACACTTTCCGCGAGAGGTATATCCCATGAGACGACCGCCACTATCACGCTCAGCCATTTCTTGGAAAGGTGTCGTCTACCGTGTTCGCATCCGACTATTTGTGACGCGAAGGAACCAAATTCCTGAAATCGGCACATGGATCACAAGGTGCAAAGTAGTCAGCACGCTCGATAACATGATTTCAGGATGATTGTATATAGCCTGTAGTGACCAAGTGAATGCGTGAGCACGCCCGGTTGAGATGATAATTGCAATAACTTACTCTCTGAATGTGATGTCGTGCAGCGGGCCTGATTTTCTGAATTTACGGGAATCGGAATAACTGGCTTCCAGCGCAAGCGTGTCATAAATTGCATCCTCGGCTTGTCGCAACCCATGTCAGGCGACTTTGAGGAGATTGATGTCGCTTCGTGATCAGTCAGGCGTGTTTGGCGTTGGTATTGCAGAGAATTGTTCAGGCCGCGAAACTACACCAGTAACGAAGATATGGAACCAACCGTCGACGACTTGCGAATGAGCTTCGGCCTTCTCCCTTGATCGCGTCTAAGGAAGGAGCTCCATTACGTGTGGCCTTGACCAACGATAACGGACCCGGAAGTGCCTGGGCTGGGCACGCACGCTACTTCACTCCATCCTTCACGTTGATCGTCGGGGAAGTCTGAGGTCTGAATCGACACGCCCAAAGTGCGGACCACTCTCGAGCCGTCAGCTTCTCGTATGTTCATCGTGCACGCGTGTGTCTACCGTTTCATATCCGAGAACTTGCATTTGGTCCCGGAAACCAGCCAGAAACGTACACTGACAATTCCTTCGCTATCGCTCGGTGCACGCTGACACTGGTGACACTGATCGACACATTCACCGCCAACGTCGAGGGTTGCCATCCAAGCGAAGAGAGTAAAAAAGCAATAATCGGCGGCTTAGCTTTAGGTTTGAAATATATATGCCTTCTGATGAACGTAACAATTACCAAGTCCAAGAGAAGATTGACGACGAAACTCACACGGGCGCTTGAAGATTAAGGAGCCTTCCTCCCCGTACTCTGCCACCGCGGGAGCAAAATTCAAGTTAGGTACGCACTACCAATGGCAATGGCCATACTATGTACACGCATTATGCTCATTCTGGTGTTTTGCGCTTGAAAGGAACATGCTAAGCGCAGTACGTGTATCGGGCAACCCTGTCATGTTATTTGATGTGGGCGAATGCCAAGTACCAAGCCAGAAGTCCCTGGTTTTAAGCCCGAAATGTTGCTGTCCCACCTCCAGTCTTCTTCTCTCTTTTTAAGAGTGCACGTACACCAAACTACTGCATTCTTTCTCTTTCCCTTCTCTAATAATGTTCCCCCACGCTCGTTTTGCTGCTCTCGCTCTCGCTTCTGTTGCTCTCGTGAAGGCACAGGACCCAGTTGCTCCCCCCGCTGCCATTGCAACATTCCCCACCACCCCGTTGGCCGAGAAGCATTTTCCGTATCCTTCTGGCATCGTAAGTAGCTTCGCTGGACAGAAATTTTTGCGTTACGTGCTAATCGTTCGCGTAGCCCTATCAAGCGGACACAGAAAACCTCATTCGTGGCAGACAGACTGGTTACAACCAGTGCAACTCTACGACTGAAAACCAGGACTCCCTCTGCCAGACGGCTTTTGTGAACGCCGTCGATGGTAAGCCCAGACTCCCGCTTCTCTGCGCGCCCTTGCTCACGAGTGGTTTCCATTAGACTTCTGCCTGTGGGCTGGAAACAAGCCCGACTCTGTAGTTGGTGATACTGAGGGCGAGTCAGTCGCGTGGTGCACGAAGCCAGGCCATGGCACGCGCCTCATCCCCGAGGGTGCTATCAAGGGCGTGCAGTTCATCCGCACCCCCGACTACCTCCAAGTCGTCGGCTTCATTGACCAAACACGAATCAACATCAAGGCCGGTGACTGGGGAGGAGAGCTCGACCCCCACGGTGCTGACTTGGTGAGGACCTACCGCGTCGCCGAATTCTTGCCCTGAGCTAACTCCGTTGTTACAGCGTGGCAACCCTCTTGGAGGGCTGATGTACTCCAACGGTTGGTCCAACGGCAACAGCGATAGCTATGTCCAGGTTATCGAATGGCACAAGTAAGTCGCACCCCCTGTCGAATTCGGCTCGCGAATCTCATGTGAATAGTTTCATGGGTGGTGACCAGTTCTGCATGAAAGTCTGCGACCCGTCCAAGCCCAACGCCGCGCGATACTGCGAGCACATTCTTGACCGTATCGGGTGCGCCTTCAATGCCCCACACGACGCGCAGCCCAATGTCTTCGAGTACTGCCAAGGTGACAACCAGGACTTCCCTGGTATCTACGTCGAGAATGGCGTCACGATGACATACACGCAGCCCCCCGAGTCGCTCGGCCCCATCACCACCATGCCTTACACCGCCAGAGTTCCCGCTAAGAGCCAGTGCGTTACATACGAGAGCGCGAACCTCTTCGCCGCTATTGCGACCGTCTCCCTCCCCGCCCCTTCTGGCACATGGGCACCAACCGGCAGTGCGTCCGGTTCAGCAGCTGCTGCCACTGGGACTGGCTCCGCAGCGAAAGGTGCTTCGAACGCCAGCCGCAGCGGAACCGGCACTGGTACCACCGCCAACGCAGAATCAACGTCCAACGATGCAAGCGTAGTAGCAATTTCAAGCTTCGTCTCGATAATGGGCGTCGTTTTCTCCGCACTCTTCCTCTCATGATGATGTAGACGTTTATTGTCCTTCATCCCGTGACTCTATACTGGCTTCGCTCCCATATATCTAGATACATTATATACTCAATGATGGGTTATTTTATCGATTGCCAATCGAATACCATTCTTTTAGACCATACCCGCAATATACAACTGGATTGGAAACAATATTGAACATAATGGATGTGTCGGATCTACGTACTGTGAGGAACATTTAAGTGGTAGTAAGATATATCTTATAACGAATGCACGACGGGCAGCCTGCCACAGCGATCGTAAAGGAGCGATAACAGAAACATGCAAGATAAGTGACTATGGGCTACGAAGGAGGGACTGGTGATGCTGGAGAAGGTAGAGTACTGGAAGACGGAGAAAGAGGTTGCTTTCTTATCGGCCGGACGGGAAACGGCGAAATACGACCTCGTATCTGTTGTTTAGGCGAAGGTGTTATTGGAGACGGGGATAATGTAGATGATTTCAACGCATCCATAGAGACATGACTTATCGTAATAGGCACGCGCGTCGTTGTCTTTGGAGGCGGTGAAGACAATGCTTTGGCGTTGACTGTGCGAGATGCGTATGGAGAGGGCGGAGGATACAAAGGGGATGGGTGTGAAGACGGTGGAATCGGTGGTAGGTCCTTCCCCGATCCAGCTGATGCTACCGAGTTCTTCGACTTGCGTCTGAAAGATAGTCGGCTAAAAAGAGAGGTGTAGGGCGACTGAGAAGGGGACGATGGTGTGCTATTAGGAGTGGGCAAAGGTTTCGAGGGAGACAGCTTGTTGCGAGCTGAGCTTCTGTCGCCTAGTTGATCTTTCGTCCAAGGTAACGTCGGCGAATCAGGCGATGCTGCGGAATAGGGAGTTGGGGGAGGGGATGATAACTGTGATATCGACGAACTCGGAGTGATTGGAACGAAGTGCCCGGACCCAGGTGAGGTGGGGTGGTGTTTCTTCACGACCAACGGAGGGGTAGGAGGGAGCCTAGGCGTCGTATCTTCGGAGGGAATGTTGATTGCAGGAGGGGGGACCCTGCGTGCAGGGGGAATAGACACTTCAGCTGGAGTGTGGAGCAAAGAATTGTCCGAAGACGTAAATGAAGCATTTGTGGGAGAGGCGGAGAGAAGAGGCGGCATCCGCGCGGGGTTGTGCAAGGAGCTCTGCGACGACGAAGCAGAAGGAAGCGGGGGTCCCCTGGACAATGGCGAATTCGAGACCGGTGTGGGAGGCGCACTCGTCAGCTCGATATCGTAAGACTGCAGCAGCTCTTTCCCCCAGATTGTCGAAACGTAGGAGACCTCTCGGTCGTCGTCGTCGTGTTCGTCGTCGTGTGTCACGGTGATAAATGGCGCATTGGACTTTGCGGGATCGATCTGCAGCGTCGTCGGTGAGCGGGACGAGAATGTCGCGCTTCGGGCAAGGGTGCTCGATGATCCCGCTACGGCGTCCTGCCTGGAGAACGAAAGCACCTCGCTCTGTGAGGCCTGGTGAGATGGACCAGTGCGTCCCCCCTTGCGCGTTGCCGCACGGGTCAGGCGGGTTGATGCAAGAGCCGTGTACGCCTCCTCGAGCTGCTTGACCTGCAAATTCAGCGACGTCGACGAACTGTTTGCAGAGCTCATGTCGCCTGCCATCCCGTCCCCTCCTGGTAAAACCGAACTCTCTTGTGGAATTTCCTCGCCCCTCCGTTTGTCAACCTCCCCCGCCCCGGGATTTGGAGTCACGACCCGGTCATCGAAGATCCATTCCGCAAAGCGGTCGTCGCGCATGAGACCCAACTGAAGAGCAGCGTCCAAGACAGAGGCCCGGAGTTCATTAGCAGCTGGCGGCATTACTAGCGTCGGCTAAGCCAGTACGTAGCGGGTTCGTGGAAAGAAAATTAGATGCAGGGGCCACGTAGAAAAAGTCGACGGCGTGCTTGGCCCATCTCGGGGGCCGTTCACACATGATTGCATCTTCTAAGTACACCCTGACTACCTGCTGCATTGAATCTGCCATATCGACCAAGTGAGGTGTGCTACCAAGCTGACGCTGGAAGGATGGAAGGTGCATCACAGCAAAATGTCAGTTTGCGCTGGTGATGTGTTCCGTACGGTTGACAACTTGGTGCTCACGCTATCACTTCGAGGAAGGACAATAATAGAATGTATTTATTCGTGACCCAACTATCTACCAATGAATCAACGCACTTCCCACAACAATCTGATCGTCTTCCTGCGACTAGCAGAGCTGAGGCATTCCGATACCTGGCGATTCCTGCATCTCGGATCATAGCATGCAGAGACCGGAGAAGCGATGCCATTGCGCTGGCACTGGCCGGAATCAACGCCTGCCTCCCTCCCCTCCAAAGTCAGTGTCTGGCGTAACCGGTGTATACGCAAAGTCGTTGGCTATGTGTCTGGCTTGGGTTCTTTTATAGACAGTAAATAGGATGTAGTTGGTATGATATGATAATAAATAAAATGACCGTTGAAGATTGAGATCGCGTTGGCTCTTGGCTTCATGGGGGTGTTACCATCGTGAGCATGAGACGCTGCACGATAGCAGAGACTGTAGGTGAGCAGGCAGATTGCGGACAGAGATACTAGGCCGAGGGCTTAAGTGTGACCTCGAAGGGAAGCTAGGGCGGCCGTTATTCTGACAATATGGCAACGAGAACAATGGTTTAGTAAACTATGAGTTAGATGGCCACATTGAATGGGCGATAACTACAGCCGTAGAGCTGCGAGAGGCTTGAGGCTTTGAAGGTTTGTTGTTATCATCATCGTCCGGGGTGCATCACCAGTCACTCATTACCCATTTTAATCCTGACCCCCCCTTGCCTCGAACCCGCAGACCTCACCGATGGTGGCAGACTTCGAGTATCATGTTGTTCTGTGACTGAGGGGAAGGCTTGTTAGGCATTCGTCGGTGTCGAAATCGAGGACCCTTACCGTTGCAGCAGATGAGTTGGGCACTATACCGCCGTCTCGTAGGAGCCCGTTAACGGTTCCGCTCCATGTCCTTTGCCCGTATTGCCTATTCACTCGTATCCCTGCCCTATCAGCTCCGTTCATCTTCATCCCTTACTCAGTTCACATCCCGTTCGCAGCTGATTGAACCCAGATTTTACGTATGACGGTCGGAGTGCCACATTGAGCTTTTTGTACTCTGAAATGATCAATTGTGATACTTCCTAATCGAGGCCTCGTCCCAATTCGCAAATCCGTCAACCTGGTGATGGGACGGAGGTGGAAGAGGTGGACGCTTGCGATACTGAACTGCGTAACTAAAATCGCATCGAAGGGTCAAGGTGAAGTGGAATACACGTATTAGATACAACTCCAATGTGAAGCTCGGACTATCGGCGCACCATACTAGGAGCGTCCGAAGAGCTCGTCAAGGAGCTTCGCAATGTTCGCCTTTGTTTCTTTCGCTTCTTCTTGTAAATCTCGGAGCTCGGCGTCGCGACGGTGAGCTATCTGTGCTTCGTCCGAGACGAGGAGTAACAACTTCATCGAATGGGTCACTGCAAGTAGTGAATTGGCAGCTCTGACCTACAAGCCATCAGTCAATTAGACCAGCCTGTTCACGAAGCGGCATTCTATTACCATAGATTCAGCACGGCTCTCAGCCTGGAACGATTCTTGCGCGACTTTGAACTTGTCTTTGTCTCCAATCTATGGTTAGTTCATTGGGGGGATACCCCAGGCTGAAAGAGGAGTAGCGTACCGATGCTAAGCTGACCAAGTCCACCATGCCGTCCACGAGTGTCTCCACTTCGTTGTCGATCTTCTTGTTCCATTCTTCTTCGATAGTATTGAGGTATTCGTCGGAATTCTGATCCAGGGAAGCCTGAGCAGCGATGTTTCGTTGACGTTGGAGTAGGTTGGCGGTTGGGAGTGCTGAGGGACGGGAAACGTCTGTTTGTGGTTCGGACATAGTCGCAAACGCTATGTAGGCTCGAGAACCAGCCTATATACTAGAGTCGAGTAGAGTCACAAGCAGAGAGCGTTGATCTTAATGATGTGCTCCTTTCTCACGGCAAATTTTGGCTTTACTACCAGGTTCAGTGCCCTTGGCAAGGTACCACGACGACTACGACGATGGCAACTCAAAATGAACACCTACAATGCAAGGATTGGCCTTTGCTTCCTACTGCTCCCTCCCGCTCATGCCCATTGAGTTTTTCCGCGCGCGGAGTTCAACAGTCACCGGTTCGTCGAAGGCCCAAAAAGCCTTTAAACTCGGAAGTCTGTATCGGTTCTCAACGCAAAAATCAATGCTGATGGATCAGTTTACGCTACTGGGTCGCGAAACATATGGGAAGTGGTTATGTCTCGGCTCTTCATCGGGTGTCAAGGTAGCGTCTGATACGCTGAACGCGTTCAACCTCCCAGTGGTAATCTAGGTCTCTCATTCCGCGCCGACGGGGACAATCATAACGAGGGCAGCCGTCCCAAATTAAAGAAACAGGCGTCGAAACCGGGCCGCTTTCTTTGAGGCCATCTCCACAAAGCATTTCTCTTCCTTTCGAAAGCTGTTAAATGAAGGACGGATGCGGTTTCTCCGCAAGCTGTTAAGCTTCGCGTGTTGTTGATCTCATACGACGAACGCGTGTCATATGAGAGAGAAATTTAACGACCGGCCCGCCAAGAGCTCCATGCACGCCGTCCGGAGGTTGGGATGAGGTTGGGCATCTAACACTTCGGAGTAACATACGAATGAAAGCCGACATACCGATACATTCTGGAGGTATAAAATGGATGGTTGTGAGGACGGAAAAATCATCCTCAGCAACTTGAAGAACTCAATATGTTCTCTTTGAAACTCTCTGTAGTCCTATCTCTTTCTGCAGCGATGACCGCAGTCGCGGTAGTACCCGCTTACGGCCAATGCGGAGGAAGTGGTTGGACAGGTCTGCATTTGTCTAACAACCTCAGACAATGGGCTTACGCTGACATCTCTTACCTAGGTGAAACCAGCTGGTACGCTCCACGCTGAACCTTCCTTTTTTCGATCCTTACGGTCGAGCCATCCAGCGCTTCTGGCTCGAGTTGTATATCCCAAGTACGTCTACCTACGTGTACCCAGCCTGGTCATAGTTTGACTCCTGGACAGAACGAATGGTACTCTCAATGCATTCCAGGAGCGGCTGCACCATCTTCGACCGCTACCACTGCCTCGTCTACTAGGGCTACGACTTCAACCGCGAAACCCTCGACTACGGCTGCACCTTCGAACACTCCCGCTCCGCCCGCAGGGATCACTACTACACTCCCCGCCTCCGCCGTACGCCACTATTTTTCTCATTCACTATGGCACTAACACACCAGATCTTGCCAGGGATACACCGCTCTCCCTACAGCTAGCATCATCACCGGCTCTTTCGACGGGCACATGGTTAAATTTGATCGCAAAGGAAGCAGTATGTTCAATCTTCTATATCCCTCGGTTATTTACTTACCATCCCCTTCTTGCTTTAGGCGGCGATTGTGAAGAACAGACCGAAACAGGTGAAGAGGATGCAGTCTTCATCCTCGAATCTGGTGCATCAATCTCCAACGTGATCATCGGGAAAGCCCAAGCAGAAGGTAATACTCAACGGTTCACAAATGGTCATCCTCACTTACAGGCTTATTTTAGGTATACATTGCCGAGGGCCTTGTACTGTGACCAATGTGTGGTGGGAAGATGTCTGTGAAGGTACGATTACTTGGACTTCCCCGTGATCCTATCTCTGATCGCGTTGTCCATAGACGCTATTACGGTCCGTGCCAAACAGGACAATCAGTGCTCAAAACTTTCATACTAACACAGTTTATAGATCAAGCAAACGGGTGCCGGCGATGTTTCCACTATCAACGGTGGTGGCGCCTTCCACGCCGAAGATAAAATCGGTATGTTGTCACAACTCAAAATATGCAGGTCTTCCACTTAAAGGACACTCCTCCTTCCTAGTTCAGCACAACGGCGCAGGGTTGGTGAAGATTTCGAATTTCTTTGCCTCTGATTTCGGTACTTTTCTATCTCGATGTCAATTTATCCGGGGATTCTACTGATAACAATGCTAGGTAAACTCTACCGTGCATGTGGGAACTGTGCCACATCTCACGAGAGGCATGTCCAGGTCGATAACGTGAGTGCATAATTGTGGATACCGATAAGAAGCTCAATTTCACTTGTGTTTCTCCTTTGCAGGTTTGTCTCAAGGACGGAAAGGAGGGCACGGGTATCAACAGCAACTGGGGAGATACTGCTATCCTCACCAACATCAAGACCAGCAGCAAGCCATCTGCTGCTAATGTGTGCTGTGCATACAAAGGCGTGGCGAAAGGCTCGGAGCCTCCTAAGATTGGATGGTAAGCTCTTTTTGATTGAAACATACGCAAATCCTTGACCGGGCCTTCGTAGTGGTGACTCGCAAAGCGCTTGCCAATATTCGCAGTCATCAGTCGGCACTTGCTAAGCTATGTGACACGACAAACGTTTCTTCCAAGTAATGAAGGTCATCCTTTCCGAATGTTGTATAAGAGATCTCGTAAATGTGGGCAGTTCAAATAAAGTTGACTTTCTGTTTGTGCCAGCTTAAGCGTCTCTCGTGCCACTGTCTCCCCATCAATTCACTTGCATATTTGTCACAGGACCCTTCGCCATCTTCCAACACAGTTATCAATTCATTTATTTCCCCTTGAGAAAGGATTCATATTCCGCGGACGAGAGACCTATGTGAGTATGTGGTGGTGATTGAGATGGAGCTGTGGCTGATGATCAATGAGAACTTTAGCAGCGGAAGCATGATGCATCCATCAACCCAACAGACACTCACGGCTGTTGAGGTTTTGATGTAACGTACGAACAACTTGAATGCTCATGGCACTAATATTGGGAAACAAGTACAGCTTCCTCACAGGCTTCATCCATGTCTTGGGAATTGAATTACTTTATAGAGTTGTCCCGTCATAGAACTTTGGTTCATCGGCGCGCTTACACCTGTATAATATCCGTTCTGCCCGGGCAAACGAAGATCTGCCTGGGAAGGAAACCCTAGGGAGCGTTCCATGTGCAAGGTATTCGCTATTTTCGTGCTAGTCGTCTCGAGTGCTGATATGTGCCTCTAGGAAACTTCACCTGGCTCTAGGCTATCCTTAGAGAGACCACTCTATTGTTGTGTCCGAGACCATCCAATGCCCCCATAACGTAGCACATAAGAACCTGAAGTTGAAGGCGGTACCGTTCGGGCGCCTGAACTATTCTTTACCATCACTCATCCTATCAGTTTTAGATGCAGGTCGAAGCAGGTCGAGCGTCACGCCGGTGCTTGAACATCATATAAAGTGAGTATAGGAGCGGCTTCCAGGACCCAAACACCCCCTTCCACACCTAACTACTTCCACCATGTGCGAACCTCGTGTTAAGCGCAAAGCTCTTCTCATCGGAATCAGTGACGATGGCAGCGGCCAGCCTTTGCCTGATGGCCCGAAGAATGATGTGTTTCAAATGAAGCACCTACTCCTTGGTATGCTAGTGCTTCGACCCTTTGGATCTTCGTTAACAATGTCATTCAAGACAAGTACCAGTATGAAGACGCCGATATCGTGCTCATGTGTGACAGCCAGGAGGAAACCCGACCGTACCTCGCTCCTACAAGGGAAAATATTGTATGTTTTTCTTTCCCCACCAGTCGAACATCCCTCATCGCAGCGTACGTCCCTCAGTTACACGAAATAAAAAACCTTGTGAAAGACTGTCAGCCAGGAGATCGTTTCGTCTTTCATTGTGCGTCCATCATACAGTTCAAATACACTCTCACGTTGATAGTAAGTCATCAACAGATTCTGGTCACGCTGGCCAGCAGGAGAACCTCGATGGCTCAGAATTAGACGGATGGGATGAACGTCTGGAGACCGCGACCGGCCCAATCCTTGACGACGTAGGGTTCCTTCTCTTTCTATAGCTCGCAGGCCAATTTTTCGACCATAGGAGTTAAGGACTGAACTCGTCGATAAACTGTGCCCTGGGAGCCAACTTATTGTAAGCCGCTTTCGGTCGCAATCATGTTTGAAACAGCTCAGTTTGAGAGTAGGCTGTATTTGATGCCTGTCATTCGGCAACATTATTAGGTATGAATGCTTATTTGCAACTGCTGAACACCGTTCTCCCGTACTGACTACGCACGTCGTAATCAGATCTTCCTCATGTTGGATGCCACGGGTTCAATGCGAACGAAATTCTTGAGGAAGATGTACGAGTTCCCACCCCTACGACCATCTGTGAGTGTGCTAGTGATTGCTCTATGAAAAGGAGCTCATATTCATATAAGTCGGACAACGCACAAATCTACCACCTGGGAGGGTCCGGGGTGCCACTTTCTCATTGAAAAAGCCCCATCTTACATTGGACACTTCTTTTTCAAGGCCCACAGCAATATCCACCTCTATGACGTCTATCCCACCCGATAAGACTGAGATTTTCCCTACACTGGCAGGCCTGACGTATCTATCCATTGATGAGAAGGCCAAAGAAGAAGACATAGTTAACGGTCCATCCAGTGCGGCCTTCTACGGACACCGGTGCTACAATTGCCCTTTTCCTCGGCAGGATAACGTATCAGGGTCCGACCTACCGAGAGTGGTTCGTCACGTCCGTAGCATAGAGATTCGGATCGGACTGATTGAACCCATATCTCTCTGTGGGTGCCGACTTTAGCTTGCCATCTCAGCATGCAAAGATTCTCAAGTCTCTTACGAGGATGAACGAGGGAACGGGATGACCGTGGTGCGTGCAGTTCCTATATTTAGGACACAAAACTGTCATGCTTCTCCACGCTCACGTAGGCCTTATGCGACTACCTAAGTAAGCCTACCTTTTATATCAATTAGCAACAATCTGACCTGTCCCCTTCGAAGACGCCAACCCAGACCATTCACTGAATCGACTTTTCAATGGTGTCAGGTAGTTGTCAGTTCATTCTCTGCAGTCTCATCTACTGACATATCACCCAGCTTCAAATTATTCAAACCTGCCTTTGACCGAGTCAAGTCTGATGAATGGAACAAATATGTCCATCAGAATGGAGGCGGTTTTCCCAACGCGTATCAACAGCTATCGGTAAGCCAAGCATCCATCAGATGCATCACCTATACTTACATACTCTACTTAGATCTCAAGCCTTCAACGTCTGGTAAGGTGCTGTGTTCTCCGCCCAAGAATCTCCATCTGATCTCTCCTTCAGAATCCAGATTACAAAATCACTTTGTGAACTTGTTACATATATGTACTTTCTGATGTATGATAAGATCTAGCTAGCCATTGACCTGTAATTCATTCCCCGTGTATTCTTGTGCTACCCCGTAATATGAACGTTATTACCAAACTTTGAGCAAACTTCCAAGTCGAGCCGCCTTAATTTCCATATTTAGTAAGAGGGCGGTGCAGGGCTTCTGGGGTCACGAGGTTACTACGGTCGCCCTCATGTCTTGCCATCTTTTCACCGTTATCTTCGTTCTTTATCCCAATTTGACTCCATGCTTCCCGAAGCGCTGCTTTTGCTGCTTCATTCCAGCATTGTCTATGCACAATCCAGGCAGCAGCTTTTGCTCAATAATGTTGCTCGAATCGCGACTCTCAATCAACCCTTCTTCGTGATTCCGAGTGTCGCAACGCAGGCGACGGTGTCCGTAGCTTTATGCGCCGCCGGATCTTCCCCTCGCTTTTTCGTAAGTAACAGCTCGACCTCTGATAGCCCGGGGTCTTCAGGAGGGCCGAATGTGTTCGAGATACCGCTGGACGAAGGGCAGGGTAGCTGGACGGGAGGGTTTCCGAACGGAGGCGTGCTCGGTGTTGAGAACGTAGGACAAGCTTCGTTCGAAGTAGGCCTGTCAGACAATGGTGACTATACTCTCGTTCTTCAAAATCGGTTCTGACGGTTCTCTAGGGACTCTACATGAACGAATGTCGTCGCCGCCGATGCTGGGGGATACGACCTCTAACCAGGCGATCATCTTTTCTCATGTTTTTAGCAATTTCTCCCTCGATGAACCGTCCTACCCCAACTACACTCTTCCTTCCGCGAACGCACCTGCGCCCACTCCGCCTGATACTACAAAACTCAATTTCACTATGTTCTTGTCTCCGACGTCTACCCTCCCCGACATACCCAAAACAGGATGTGCATTGCGTGCGCAAACCTCAGCTGGGAGGATCGATAGAGAGGTTCCATGGCTAAAGGACGACGAGGGCTGGAGACACCAATGGTTTCTCACAGGACTCACACCGTCTACCAATTACACTGCCTACGTGGTGCAGGAAGGCACTCGTGTGAGCGGTCCAATCATGTTCTCCACAAAATCAGGTGAGTACCGTATCTTCGATCCATTCCAGCACCTGACATGCAACCCAGCATCGTTCTCTTGCCCCCTTGTCGCATCCCTACCCTTTTGCCCTGGTATTGCTTACCCCGTTCCCCTGCCACCACCACCCGCTGCTGCGTCGTTCTACGACGCTTCAACGATCCCCGACGCTATATCAGCCCCTCTCATATCAGGTTTAGCGAACTTTACGGCCTCACTGCTCACTTTCGCATGTGGCAAGGACTATTACTCGCCTCTCGCCTCGTGTGCAGACTGTCAGCGTGAATACCGCAAATGGTTGTGCACCATCAGTTTCCCTCGTTGTAGCGAGCCGAACCCAGGGGACCCAGCCTCGTTCACGCGTGTGCCCGCCTCACCGGGTGCCACGGGCCTGGGAGCTCGTCCAACCCTAGGAGGGCCCCAGCAGGTATTTTCTGCACTCCTCCCGCAACCCACATCAGCTACTCCTCGGAACCCCAACTTTCCATCCTTGGGCCGCGAATGGACGATGCTGCTTCCTTGTCTGGAGACATGCTACGCGGTAGACCGTGCATGTCCTAACTTTTTGGGATTTCGGTGTCCATTAAGACGGTTCAACGCAGCCGCAACATATGGCGTTGGATATATAGACACGGGCGATCATGATGGTAAGCAAGGCACTGGCGTCACAGGTGCTTCGCAGGATCGGTGGGGTAATACATGGTGTAATGCTGGATAATCTGTATGGAACATTATTATTATTATGAAGGTTGACTTCTACTCCATATATTAATCTACAGGACCATCAAAATCCAAATCTATAGGATATCAATGTTTAGGTGTGGAGGGTAGTTGATGCCGACGCGCTGTGGACCTCAAGTGATCCCGCACGTTGCAAACGCCGGGCAGTGATGATGTTTTCCGCCTCTGCCCAAACATCCGTACCAGCCGGAGAAGCCCCACTCCAATCTAACAAGAGCTTCGAGAAGGACCGCACAAGCAGATAAGGCACGGAATCTAGTAACTCTTCCTTGTACGACTCTGCGCCTATCACGACTCTTGGATCAATCTCCTGGTTAGATAGACTCGGGATCAAAGGCAGGTTTCTGCCTTGGTTGGGGGAGGACGCGTCATGGATAACGCAGGCGCGTAAATTAGTCGGAAGGTAGGCAGGGATATCATGAGCTCGTGTTGGGATAGATAAGTAGTGGTCTTCACAGAAAAAGAGGTGGGTGAGGTTGGTGAGTTGCGAGAGGATGGAGTATAGCTCCGTTATGTCTGGGCTGCAAATGTCTAGATGGGTGACTTGTAGGAGAGGGTGTGCAGGGGGAAGCTGCTGGTCAAGGGCGGCCTGTGGAATGATATGTTTTAAGTCCATAGACAGCCGGCGCAAAGACACGCAGCCTGATAGATCAATGAAAGGTGTCGGTATAGCCTTCGAGCGACTCTTCCAATACGCGATGCTGACGACATTCTCACAAAGGGATATGACTTGCCCGACGACCTGTGTGTCTACGTCGTTAGCGAAGTTGAGGACACGGACTCGGTGTGCAAGGCCAAGGGGCGGCAAAGTAGGAGCGCCGGAGGTGAGGGATAGTGTTGCGGCAAATTTCTCAGCCCTCGCAGTGGACTTCAATGTTGCTCTTCTATAGATGATGGGAGAAATCCTACAGAATGGAAGGTCGGTATGCGTATCATGTCGGTGGGAGATGACTGACCATTCGCGATACAAGTGACAGGCAAGAACTAGCTGACGTCCAGTCTGAAGATGGAGTTCAGCGGTCATCTCGACGATGAGACGCTCGATATCTTCCGGAAGGTAGGGGAATTTGAGTGCGACGCCCCCGGAGCTGTTTGCCGCGACCGCACACTGTGGACGCTCGCGGAACGGTATGTTCGAGTCCATATTGTGCAGGACGGAATCTAGTTATCGAATCGGTCAGGCTGCAGTATGCCTGCCTGAAGGTGAGTTGTACGCTGAAAAGAGGGACTGATAAAGTCGCCAGCTCAGCGGGCTTTATCTTTATTTCAGCTGTGTCCATCGCGCCTGGTGTGTGTTTTTCGGGCTTTCGGCGAACATTCCATCACGGAGACGTGAGAATGCGGGGAAAGGGGCAAGTCGAGACCAGTCCATTAGCGTCCCTGATTGTGATTCTCGGGGACTTGATTTCCATCGCAAGTTGGCGAATCGCCGATGGGCATGTGTCAGTAGATGTCCGTATGTCTGCATGAATTCAAGGAGATGGCCAAAGATATAGACAGTTACTATGTACTTACTTCAACTTATAGTTATGCGGTAGTTATGTAAGTATGTTCCCACGTCACTATTTACTAGATTGACTGGCAAAGCCAGTCTCCGACCAAGCGCTCGTCGTTCGAGACGATGTAAAGTACTAGAGCAAGTAATAAGGTATATAAGCAAGGTAACATATCAATGAAGAACTTGTGCTACGGACTCACTGATCTCACGGCTCCAAGACCTCGAAAATAGCGAAACACTGGATTCAAGAAAGTGCTGCAAGTAGTACTTGCTTCTCTGCTCCGAAAGCAAGGACGGGCGTCGTAACGACGACTTGGGTGAACGGCCAGCTGTATACGGAGATGTGAGTCTCTAATAACCTTCCGTCTTCTCTTCATAGAAAAATTCGTCTTGAGCAGTGAGGTATGTGGCAATGATGGAAGTCGCTGATACCGGTATGACCACTCACGAAGGTTCACGAGTCTCCCCCACTTGCCTCCCCTAGAAGAATTATATGACCATTCGTTGTCGCAGGTTTCTAAATGAGGTTTGGTCTGGGCTGGGTGATAGGTCGACGCCTCCTCCGTTTGGTATCAAGGTGTGCTATGTTCCCTTTTGCATCATTATTGCCACACTTCCCCACAGATATTCCACGCGATACGACCTTCTGGTAGATTGAACCATCCATACGAACAATTTGCAACTGGAGCTGGCCACTATTGCTTTTTCAGCCGTCCATACAGGCGTACTGCAGGCACAACGTCCCCACCGCCGAGGTTACGTTTGGCCACGGCTCAGGCGCCAGTCATCGACCAGCCAGGAACGAGGATACGCTGGTATACTTGGTTTAACAAGGGTAGACATCTGGACACTTCCACCATTTGAAATCCAAACGTAAAACCTCAATTGTACATCGAGCCATGATAGCCAGCTGGCCTGATTCAAGCGCGCGACCCCTTCAAATCGCCCTGATTTCTACCTCTGTCAACTGGTTCCCATTCTCGGATACTCTCGCACAGATGTTCGTTCTCCACTCTTCAGTGCCGATCGCGGGGAAACTTCGGTTATGACACAGTGGGTAATCTGATGATGAGCAAGATAGCGTCACGAGTACTTGCGGTATATAAAGCAGGGCGCACTAATCATGCAACAATACTTCTTCATCCACGAAACCCCCACTATCTAAACTATGTCGCTGCTGAAAGTTTCGGGCACCAAGATCGTTGATGAAGGTGGAAAAGAAGTAATTCTTCGCGGCGCAGGTTTGGGTGGATGGATGAAGTACGTCACGGATCATATTATTATGGATTTTATCACCGTGCTAATTCGTCGCTGTAGCATGGAGAATTTCATTTCTGGTCAGCCCATTTTGCCTTACTAATAAGGCTTCTTGCGCCTAAAGGCTTTCTTGCGACGCAGGATATCCTGGCTGCGAGTATCAGATTCGTGAGGCCCTTGCAGAAACTATTGGACAGGAGAAATCGGAATTCTTCTTCGACAAGGTATCGCAAGCCTCCTTCGTTGCTCCCAACCGCATTATTAATGTTCGTGTATAGTTTTTAGAATATTTCTTCTTGGAAGACGATGCCAAATTCTTCAGAGGGTTGGGCCTCAATTGCATTCGGCTTCCCTTCAATTATCGCCATTTCGAAGGTTTTGTTGACTCTGCGGCTGTGAAGACACAGCTTACTGAGACTCGCGTTCCATCCAGATGATCTCAACCCTCGCGTCCTGAAGACATCTGGTTTCAAGCATCTAGACCGCGTCATTGATATCTGCGCTCAGCACGGTATATATACGATCCTCGACATGCACACCGCGCCTGGAGGCCAGAACACCGACTGGCATTGTGATTCTGGTACCCATCAGGCAGCGTTTTGGATCCACAAAGACTTCCAGGACCGTTCGATCTGGCTTTGGGAGGAACTTGCGAAGCATTACGCTGGAAATAAATGGATCGCTGGCTACAACCCACTTAATGAGCCCACGGATCCTACCCAGACCCGCGTCGTGGCGTTTTATGACCGCGTATACCAAGCTATCCGTGCTATCGACCCAGAACATGTTATCTTTTTTGACGGTAATACGTTTGCGTCCGACTTCTCGCACTTCGGAGATATCCATAAGAAGTGGAGTAATACTGCGTATTCCATTCACGATTATTCGTTGTTTGGATTCCCTGCAGCGCCAGAGCAATACATCGGCAGTTCGGAGCAGAAACGGCGACTGAAGCGCAGTTACGAGAAGAAGAGGGAATGGATGGACCAACGAGGTCTGTGCGTTTGGAATGGAGAGTGGGGGCCGGTTTATGCTCGCAAGCAGTATGAGGGCGAGGCTACTGACCAGATAAACGAAATCAGATACAAGGTCCTTAAGGATCAATTAGAGATATACAATCATGTAAGGAGTTACTTCATCCTGAAGAATTGGGCGACTGACTCGCGATTAGGACCGCCTTAGCTGGTCAATTTGGTTGTACAAAGATATCGGGTTCCAGGGGATGGTGTATACGTCCCTTGACACCCCGTATATGACCTTATTCTCCAAGTTCCTCGCGAAGAAACATCGCCTCGCTGTCGACGCTTGGGGGGCAGATGATCAACACGTTCGACGAATTTACCAGCCTCTCATTGACCACATCATCGAAGAGGTCCCCCAGGAATTCAGGAACCTCTACCCTTATCCAGTATGGACACTTAGCGGTCGCGTTGGTCGGCTGGCGAGAAATCTGCTGGTCAGCGAGTTTTTGGTGAAGGAGTGGGCAGCTCATTTTGTCGGCAAGAGCGAAGAAGAGCTCGACTCCATCGCCGCAAGCTTCAAGTTCGACGCCTGCCTTCATCGCGACGGCCTCAATCGAATTCTCACCGACAATGCGAAAGCCGTCAGCGAGTAGTGAACATAATGTCAATATTCAATTGTGCATGTATTCCGTATGGGTGTACGTATTTCAATCCAATGATCTCCTTTTGTCCCGGCTGGGTCAAAGTTGTGGTAACATCATGATGGCATTTGGCGGGGATCCTTCGGATGACATTTGGCGGGGACCCTTCGGATGGCCGCCTATAATTTTGATGGCGATGACTCACCTTCGATGCAGGCTATAAGAACATCCCAGCTTGTGTGCAAGCCTCTTTAAGTCCGGCGACATCCAGGATAGCGAAACTGGTGGCTGATTATCGACCCCCTATTTTCTGGCTGATTTCACCTCCAGCGAGTAATCATGATCTCAACTGTCGCCACTTTCCACGACCGGAAAGTTACTGAAAGTTCGAAAAATGTTTGGTCGACCTTCACCACACCTGTCACTGTTCAGGCAGACGAATCCGTTAACCCTTCGCCTCGCGATACCTCACGTCGACAAAGCATCGAGGATGCCATAGTCGACAACCAGGACGTTGAAGTTGAAGACTCGGAACTCAAGCTACCGAAGTTAACGTCTTTGATCATCGTTATTTTGGGCAACTCCTTGCTTCAGGCATGTCAATGTTTTCTGTATTGCGGTCTCAATACATGTTTTGACTATTGAATCAATAGTTATCGTTCTTTAGCATCGTTTCATCCGCCAGCGCGTATGCTGAGCATCTAGGAGGAACTGCGACTTTCTCTGGGCTCGTCATCGGAATTCCTACTTTGTTTTCTGGAATTGCGTTGTTGCCTATGACCAAGACAGATAAAGGTGCGGCAAATTTTTGAATGCATGACACATTTCCTGACAGACGTCACAGGAAAATACGCTCGTCCCCTTATGTTTTCGTACGCGTCCATGGGCCTGGGAAGCATCCTGTATGCCCTGGCGTATCGCGCAAATTTCCTTTACCTCATCCTCATTGGTCGCATCGTCACTGGCTTCGGTTTTACGGCGTTTATGTACTCCAAACGTTACTGCTCTGACCCACGGATTGTTGGTGTGCGTCGTCGCACGATGCTTGCTAGCTGGCTAGTAATCGGGGCAGGCTTTGGGTTCAGTGCCGGCCCGTTCTTCAGTGGTCTCCTCTACAAAATCGGATTCAGCAACAGCGTTTTTAACGGATATACGAGTCCAGGATGGATTATGGCTGTCATATGGGCTGCGTTCGGTGTCGCAGCACACTTCCTGTTCGAGGATGTACATGGCCCCATTCGACCGCAACGTATCACCCAGCTCAGCAACATCTCGTCGCAACCACATGCTGCTGCGCCCGCCCAAGAGCAACGGCGACCAACGCGTCAGCAATGGGGACCGATCATCGCCATGTGTTGGTATGCCATGACATGTTTCTTCATCCTCGGTGCTTGGGAGGCCAACATACCTGTTTTCGCTGGTGTTCGCTTCGGATATTCGCCCTACGCATCAGGGAACCTCATTGCCATCGGTGGGGTTGCCGCCCTGCCCTTCCTGATCCTCAACGTAATCTACGCCAAAAGGTTCCAGGATCGCACAGTTCTTGCTCTAGGCTCATTCATAGGTCTTCTTGGGCTCTTGATCATGCTCGCAACACTCCACCTCGGTAAAGTGGTTCCCGCCAGCCTGTGCGTCTGCTGGTTCTTGGTCGCGTTAGGATTCAACCTCGCTACTACTTGTACTTTGAGCCTGCTGTCCAAACAGCTACCACCGTCGTGGAATGGCTGGATTAGCATGGCCATCCAGTATAGCAACTATACGGGACGAGTTACGGGTGCCGTTTGGGGTGGTGCTGGTGTGCAGGTAGGGATGAAGAACTTTATTGGGCTGCAAATTGCAATTGTTGGCATCGGGAAACTCTTACACTTCACGTTGTGGAAGCAGTTGAAAGCGAAAACTGGGTAGTCTTCCACCCTCGATTCCACCTGTCTTGCGGAGGGGAGGTCCGCGTTGATCCTCAATATCACGCTTATCCCGACGACGCTGCTTTCTTCCGCTTCCGCAAGTAAATTCTGAATGGAGTTTGGGTCGTAAGGGTTGCACTTGCTACTTACACTATAGTTACAGCTTTGTATTAGAATTAGAGTCTACAATCACGTTCAGCAGCTCGCAAGCAGGCTGGTAAGTGCAGCTTTCTCTGCGCTATCGATCGTGAGGCTGTAGAATTGTTTAACCTGCACCCACGCACGAGCGTACGTGCATCTGAAACTAGCGAGGGGTGGCACCCATAATGCAGGATCTAAGTGAATAATAATCGTCAGGCAGCGTCACCCTGGGAGACATTCAAAGTCAATATACCTCTGTCGCCTGCAGGCAATAACATGCCAGTCAGAAATCTTCGGGAAAGATTTAGGCTTGTACTCACCCTTGGATCGGTTCGAACTTGCTGACACTGCGACGAGTTGAGGCCGGGTTAAGTCATTGGCAAATGCTTCGCGTTGTGCTGGGGTCCAATTACGTGCGCCGGAAACCCAAGCCTAAGAGCGAATGTAAGCATAACGGGTGTACCACGATTATAAGATATTACCTCTTTCAATGGGACAACATGATCCTGATGTCAGATAAACAAGGGGTCAGATCAATCGTGCTCAGTCGCTTGAGGGGGGAAGGACTGACGATGTCCAGTTGACTTGAGACCGTGAAAGAGATGCCGTCGTAGGGAGATACCCATGTCCCGGAAGTAGCCTTTGACAGTGTCTCAGCGAAGACGAGCAGGAGATACCGTGCGTCGGGTCTTACCGCACATGCAGTACTCGTCACAACGTTTGTCCCATCACGCTTGAGGACAGCTAGAGCCAGCAAGTTGCTTCAACGAGCTTAGCGTGCTGGAATGGGTATCGTACTTTCTCTGGTATCACACGTCCCGGATATGATATCCCATGTCTTGAATAGGTCTCGGTCGTAAGCTGGAGTGTTTACTTCAGCAGAGACGGTCACTGAGAGAAAAATAGTAAGGAAAGGCGTAAAATGGAGGACGAGAACACTTACGAGAAGCCAAGGCCGTTCTGGCGGAAGCAGCAGATATAGGTCCTGGAAGGGAGCGTTGCACAGGCGCCGCGAACGCTGCGGGCAAGAGCAACAACAAGCCGACCGTCAGACCTGAAACCATGGCAGAGTGATAATGGGATCCAGCGGATGCCTAGCTATGTCAAAGGAACGTCTCTTCATATACGGCCAGAAGATTGGAGCTCTGCCATCAAGAGGGAAGAAAGTACGCGTGGTCTGCTCTCAAGATATTAGCTTATCTCTTTGCGTGCCATGCGACTGTAGGAAGTGTGTACCGACAAAAGTGGTAAGCCTATAGACATTCTTCTATGCGTCGACGTATATGTTGTGATTTCCACATGCTCCCCCCAATGCCACGTTTGAAAGATGCTGGGACGATCTCCATTTGATCAATATATCGCTCTCGGTGTTTCCAACGTGCAGTCCTCTTTTTTGGGTGAAGTTCCGGAAAAAGGGAGGCCGAAACCGATAGCCAATCAGACGGTGGCGGGAACCGGGAAAGTGGGCCTTTAGTTCCACCAGTGAAACAGCGCTGATTATCCCATAGCCTGCAGGACGGGATCCCCACGTCGAGGTCAGTATGACCCTATTGTTAGCGTATGTTAGCGGGGCTGAATGGGTGCTTCAATCTACATACCCGATGGCTGAACGCGTGCGCGGCAACAGTTGCTGCAACGACGGCACTGCCACATTCGCGGAAATAGGTTTCGAAGAATGTGTAAGTCACCTGCACTAGGGGGTAACACGTTATAGATAGTTGGAAGGGGTGGATTGAGCGGAGCACCAGCTACTATGAGTCTAGGGAGGGCAGCTTGGAGCCTGAAGCTGAAGCTTGAAGATCGGGCTTAAAACTGATATCTCCAAAGACATCAGCCTATCAGCCTCAGGCCGGTAAACCGAGCGCATTTCAAAACAAACAATCGGTATGTTTGCGGTGGATTCATCTTCAAAAGTACGCTTTGCGACATCAGTGCTGAAAGAAGTTCATGATTCTAGATGTGGCTCACCCCCCAGCATTTATCAACGTCTGGCTCAACAAGCGGGTGTTAGTAGGTGACAAATTTGGAAGTGGTAAAGGTTTCCGTATTATATGTCTTTGTCTTCGCGAACTCGACATACAAGCTGTCGGGAGACGGTCTGACAGAATCATGTCCGCCTAAGATTTTGTGAGATCAACATAGTAAAATAGATCTATGGTGGTCCAATGGAAGTGTGCGAGTGACCCTGAGTCACAACACAAACTTTGTGCATGTCACATCGTGTTACCGTGATAGCTTCCACCTATATAGTACCTCTCCGACATGTTGAGTAGATGTCAGCAGACGCGACTGCAGGACCTCTGAAGAAGGCAGAGTGTTTAAAAATTCACCATGTAGAATCTGTCTCGGCTAGCTCCATGGAATGATACACCACGCGCGCTCTCACTGCACCATCTGGATTCTGCTCCTCAACGAACCACGCATCGTCTACCGTCGTCAAAGTTGGCTGCTCAGCACCTGTCCGATACCTGACATGGATCTATCCAACTCTACTTTGCGGTACTTCCGAAAAGATTGAGCTTTGTCACTTGATGCACAGATGTTGAATTCAGTCTAAGGTGAGTAAACGCACTGCGTCCAAAATTTACCGCAAGCCTGGAGTGCATCCTGTTGACAGCATACGCGGTAAGACAGTACGGTGGAATGTATCGTCGGTTCCAGTTGAGCCGCTTGTTCCGTTCATGACTTGGTGCATGGCGGTCGACTATATTTGTCACACATTCAATTTAGTGGAGCACCGCATGATTGATCCTTCGATTGTAAGTGCAGAATGTCTTACCACGATGTAGTGGCTGTTCTCACTGTTTATACTTGGAACATACTTTTCATGATCATGAAGGTAACATGTCGTGAGGTTTGCCGCTACGCCTCCTGGCTCCGAGGGTGTAACTGCTCTCCGACTGTAGAGTTCCTACTTCTCCATTATCAAAGGTTGTGCTTTGCACTCGCTTTCTCCTCGACCAGAAATTAGGAAGCGTCTATTTTCTAGCGCTTTCCTTCCGAGCCAAGCTCTAGAACCTTTAACAACCGTTCTATCCCAGTATAATTGGTATCTGCCTGAGAAAAGGGTGCTTGTCGTTGCCATGTTAGGGTTTATTGCCTTGATCAATGCCTGCTCTCTCTGAAATAAGGGGCCCATGTGGTCCCCCAGGCGTCTACTCTATTGATCCACATATAAAGTGAGCGTTGCACGGAGATTTCGATGGGATTCCTCTGACCTAAGTACCTCCCAGATGACCGGCAACGGCAACGGAAAACGCAAGGCTCTTCTCATTGGCATTAGCGATGATGGTTCAGGCCAGCCCTTGTCCGTTGGCCCAAGGAACGATGTGAAGAAAATGAGAAAATTACTTCGCGGTATGTCGGCGTCCCTCGCCTGGCTGCAACCCTCTCACAACCATGAAGAAACATACGCGTATAAGAACAGCGACATCGTGGTTATGTACGACAAGCAAAGGGACGCCAAGCTTGTACCTACCAGAGAAAACATTGTAAGACATCTTCTCGACTAGCTAACGACATTGCTCAGCAGGGCAATCCATATCACAGCTTCGGGAAATCGATAATCTTGTGGCGGGCTGTAAACCTGGGGACCGCTTTGTCTTTCACTGTACGTCTCGGCCTCTTCCGATGCGCAGTCGATTCCGTTAACCTTGCCCCTAGATTCAGGACACAGTGGCCAACAGGACAATTTGGACGGTACAGAAAAAGACGGCAAAGACGAGCGTATAGAGACGAAAACGGGACCCATCCTTGATGATGTAAAACGACACCTTTCCCTCAGCAAAGTTTGACTGACTTTACCTTTACACCAGGAATTGAGGGCGAGGTTGATTGATCCACTATGCCCTGGTAGCCAATTTGTTGTGAGTCTCCCGATTCCTCAGCGGCGCAGATATAGCCAATTACAGTGGCAGGCTGTTCTGGACACCTGTCATTCGGAAACTCTGCTAGGTATTCTTACTGCCTATTATTCTAACCGTTCAACCCCCTTACCAAAGCATCAGATTTACCCCATGTGGATTGTCAACTCCCTCCCCTGTCTCCCGACGAACATACCGTCAAGGAAGACGTGCGTGTGACGATAAACGACCGTGAGTCTATGCTAGTGCCCAGCATCCCATCGGCAGAAGTTGATGTTGGCATGGAAGTCAAACGGTCCTTGAGGCGATCCAAGAGGCGCCCTGCCCGTCAGCCCTCCTCGAAAGCTGGCAAACTGAAGAAATCCCGTCTCTCGCTGAAAGTGCTTACGAGGTCTACAACGCGAAGCTTCAGGGTGCGAGGCCCTCTGACGGCTCTTCTACCCAAGACGACTTCGGCGTTCTCGCCGGACTTGATCCAATCTAATTTGGATTTCTACGGAGAATACTGCTGTCACAAAGAGTGTTCTCCCCTCGAGAAGGATCAGGTTCGAAAGGAAAAGTCGGAGCTAGCGCAAGTGGTTCGTGTCGTCAGTACTATACATTTGTCGTTGGTGGGCTGACAGACTCGTCTGTCTAGCTAGCCATCTCTTCATGCAAGGACTCTCAGTACTCTTATGAAGATGCCGAGGGGAAAGGGATGACAGATGCACGTACTTCTTTCCATTATCCGAGCCGATTCTGATGTTTCCATTTTCCTTCGACAGGTTCTATGTTGCTATCTAAGTGAGCATGTCTTTCACATCGGAGGAGCGGAGAACCTGCTCTAATCCCTGCGCGCGAAGAAAACAACCCTCACCCCACTGTAGAAAAACTCTTCAATGTCATCAGGTTAGTTCAGTTTTACATAGAGCGTAACCGAGGGAGGCTACCATGCTTACCATTGCACAGCTTCAGCCTATTTACTCCCGCCTGGGATAGGATCCATTCAGAAGGTTGGGATGAATACAAGAGAGAATTTGACGAGGGTGCTTTGCCCAATGCATACCAGCAACCTTCGGTAAGCATTGTGACGGATAGGAGAAGTTCAGCCATGATAATTCCGCCCGTATTATTTTTAGCTCTCCAGTTTACAGCGCTTGGTATGTCGTCGTTTCTCATGGATTCGTCATGGCCGTGAACTCACCTTTGACCTTTTTCAGAATCTCGAGCACACGTTCAGTCTATAATTCTGCCCGTCCACTGCGTCGTTGAAGTTAATGTATTGAAATCTGCAATCGCTTGTTTGTACTATGTATGCTGTATCAAGGTATCTCTGGAGACGAAATAGTTCAAAGAGGTTGCCATATCTCTCACTGGCGATGATCATCGATTGATGCTGCTTCACAAGGCTAAATCAGTTATACTAACGAACGATTATTACGACTGTGGCAGCATGCTCCGTAATCAGGGCGAAACATACTTCTCTGCGTCGATACTAAGGAGGTGTTCGGGGGGACGATCAGGAGTACTCTTCATTCTAGACTTTGAATAGCTTTGAATTGATACGTAATTACATAGTTTGATATATCATGCAAATAAGGACGATTCTAATATACGTGTCCGAAGGTGGATGGTATTACGGTATTGCGACAAGAATGCTAATATATAAACGGCTTGGAATCACAGACTAAGCTTGTGGTTGGGGTTCTGAAGGAGATAAAAGGTCAGTTAGACGAATGGGCGCCGGAGATGAAGCCCTTACCAGACGTTGGAGACTCGAGAGCTGAGAATGATGGACAGCAAGTAAGTATGTGCTAGTTAGCTGATAGTGGTTGCGCTGTACTCACCGAAGGATGTTGGTACGCATTCGGCCGAGAACCACCTCGACATTGGGACCGAGCCCATTCGACCCAGCTCTCGGATTTCGCGCGTTTGTACGCTGGACTAAAGAGGCTGAAGCTGGGAGTGGGTGAGTAGGTGACACTACACCACGTTAGAGGTACAACGAACCTTATGTCATTGAAGAGTCTGTGGAGGGGAGGGTTGGGATTGGCTCCTGTAGTGACGTGATCGATAGTTAGGTTACATTTGATGCTGGTGTCGAGGAAAGGCTTACTCAAATAGTTACATAGCACCTGGACAGGAGCAATTGAACGTAAATCGACGTGTTGGGTGAGAAGAAAGGAAAGAAGCGCGTACCTTCGTCATTCGGTTCCCGTCCTCGTACGAGACTTGAGAATCCTTGCATGACGAAATGGCCAACTAGAAGATCACCAATGCGTCAGGGCAAGGTTCGTAGGGCATGCCAAAAGGGACTACGGACAACTCGCGGCAGCTCTAGTTTGTCCTTCTGGGATTCGTCTTTCAGAGTAAGACGGCAATTGCAGCACTTTTCCGTATCGTAGAAGTCCACGCTGGAGGTGGATGGACTGCTTGTATCGATGGTTCCTTTGGCCTTGATGTAGTCAGGCGCGCCATCGTTGAATGCAACCGGTGAAAGGAAACTTGACGCTTGCGTCTGGGGGGGAATGGAAGTGAGAGGGCCAGATGATGCGAAAGATGGCCTCGGGGATCGTGTGATGGTGTCCAGCGTGAGGCGCGGCTTCTTTGCTCTCGGTTGCTTTGACGATGACGGCTGGCGAACGAGACGGTTCTTGCACTGACCTAGGGGCCGTTTGACTTTCGAGGGTAAATCAGCCTTGGACGATGGCGCTACAGTATGGAAACTCACGGTCAGCCAATACCACACGGGGATACTCCTTGGGTGCCTCATCTTTGGTGTTGGATAACTGGCAATCCACGTGTGGTAGGTCTTAGTGGTGCGAGTGTCAGTCAAACGGAGGGCTAGATGGTTATGAGATGATGACATACCGAGTAAGGTTGCCGAATGGCACGAGTCTAATATCGCCTACCCTCACAATAAGTTAATCTGCAGCAGGAAGAGCTACTATGATAGGACTTACGACAAGCTGACTGCCAGGGCGTAGCGGATCGACTAGCCTTGTCCTTAAGACCTATCAACGAACATCAGCTCATGCGTAGAATCAAGTAATCGTTGCTCTCGTACATCGTCAAGAATTGGGTCCGTCGTAGTCTGGATGAGCTCGTCCAGGCCATCGACCTCCGTACCATCTAGATTCTTCTCTTGTCCGGTATGGCCAGAATCTGTCAAACGTTATCAACATTACGAAACCTGAAATGCGGGGGCGGGAGTTACAATGGAATACGAAACGATCTCCTGGCTGACAATCCCTCACAAGATTGTCAATCTCCCGTAGCTAGCAGTAATGGCATGATAAGGCGCTAAGCGTAGCGAGAGAACGAGACAGCAACGTACGATGTTATCCTTGGTTGGCATAAGCCGTCCTATCCGTTGCTTGTCATGCATGAGCACAATGTCAGTCTTCTTGTACATGTATTTGTCTGTATACTCGATCGTTAGAATGGTAGCATGACGGCAATCAGATGGAAGAATGCGGACATACCCATGAGCAGTTTCTTCACTTTCAATGCATCGTTCCTCGGACCGGGCCTGTTGGGCTCGCCGATGCCAATGAGAAGGGCTTTGCGTTTACCAACGTTGGGGACAGAAGAGCACATATTGGTTTGGGAGGGATTTAGTGAGAGAGCAAGGAACACATACGAGATCCTTATATGCCAAGCGGCGAGCCCTGTTTTGATACCGACAAAACCGGTGGTGATACCTGTTCGAACCTAGCACTGCAGCAAAGAACAGCCGCATAGACGCTCGGAGGCGTCCATGTGCCCTTCTATTCCCATTCATGACTTCTGATCAGCGCGATCAAGTCTTAAAGTGGTTATATGTTTCTCATGGCGTGCTGATATAGGACGGACATTCAAGGGCGGACTATCAAGAAGGCTTAGTGGGATCGCATGTGTCGGACCCAGGGAGAGAGCGACGTGAATCCCCAGGAATCAGGCGTCTTAATCTGGGGGAAAGACGGGGTCAAACCTGGGGGGATGATTACATGGTTTACAGGCGTGGACCTCACGGTACCATCGGTGTTATTTGCAGCTGTCCTCCGCCTGGCCGCACTTGCTCAGGATGTAGCAGCAACAATGTGCCAACCTCGTGCCGTCTTGTCCTTCAATTTCTACAGCATCCTAACGCAAAGCGGTTCAACGATAAGAATAGCTATAACAGCAAGGGATTGATTCAGTGATGCGATACTCACTGATGATGATGCAGTATAAGTCCTGTGCGGTAGACTGCATCGTGCCTTGCTGCTGCCAGATGTGCACATCAAAGCTGCATGGATGTATAAAGATGTTTTATCTAAACAATGTTCGACACACTGGCGCTCTGAGCAATTGTTAGGGTATTTTCGGCAAAAGCTTTCCATGTTTGACCCAAACTCCGGGGCTTCTCAAATAGGGTGCTACTAGCCATCTAGTTACAAGAGTAAGGTCGGCCGTCCGTGCGGGATCATTGTGACGAGGCGAGGGTAGTGAATGCGTGTGTACTTCATGTTGAAGATGCAGCTGTGTTCTATTTCGCGCGTGTATCGTGGAAACCAAAGGGTCTGAACGAGGCTGAAGTTAATGTTGAGGAACTATGTGGAGGGGTGGTTTTCAATCCTGGGCCATGTGCATGAGGCCCTGTGAAGGGAATGTGAGCCGTGCGGAGAGTTGAAGCGGTGCCGCGGGACTTACTGAGGATGCCAGGACGAAGGTGAAGAATTTGACTGTGCTCATCGCCAATGACTGTCTAGAGGAAATTCTGAACGCGAGTTCTCACTGAACATGCTGCCATGATCTGGCGGTATATTGACGCGTCGCGAATATTTCGCAGGGGGATTGATGACCAATGCGGGAGACATTGATGGGTGATGCATTGATGCGGTATGTGTGCTACCAATGCAATAAATCGCATAGGCTCGGCCACACGATTCTAGATATACGTGAGAGTGGTCCAGGTTTCTCGTCAATGTCGTGATCGCCCGAGCCGTGGTAGACGTAGTTCTCGGGCGTAGTTGCTCCAGTCATTACAGCACAGTCAAGTCCGATGGAGGAAAGCCGTATGAACAGTCACGTAAGTCGAATGTCGACGCGCGTTCATTGACCGAGAAGCAACGGTGTAACAGTGAACGGCAAAAAGCGCCAGGCCTCGACGTTGCGATGGAAGCCGTCAATCAAGCCGAACATGACCTGCGCTCCGAGTAGAAGGCTGTTTGGGTTCCTGGAAGAAATCCATAAGCCTGAGCGCCAAAACATATGATTTTAGCGCTCAATGGAGTTCGCGAAAAAGAAAATTAAAATCGCTGCTCCATGGGCATCAGATTCAGCAGCGCCCGGATCTGGCGTAGATCGACGCCCATGGCGAGGAGATCGGTCGAGAGAAGGTATTTGCGGAATGTCGGGGGTCCCCTCGACTGCTTCGGGCTAGAAGACGAGGTTCTTAGGGGGGAGTTTCTTTGACTTGTGGCGATGCTTTTTATCGCAAGATGTCGACGCCCATGTGCATGTGCATCATTGTCGCTGTGCTATGAATACACCAAGATGGTGACGGTCATTTGGTACCGGTGATTGCAACAGAAGAATTCAAAGAATCAAGAGGTTATTTGTCTGTGTTTGACCTGGATGGCGTCCAGGCTAGGCACAAATTTGTACTTGGCCTTTGCATCCTCCTCGTCCAAGGTGCAGAGATTTTCTGCGAAGTCGAATGCACAGTCTATTCTCTCGGTCACGAACCAATTCGACGCCAAAAAAGCCGCAGGTCGACGAATTTGGTGCCATCTCCTCGCCGTCCTCCAAGAAGTCGAAGAAAAAGCAGGCCAATCTCCCACCACCACCTGAGCCTCAACTACCAGATAACTCATTTCTTCCGACACACCTCGACCGACCGCGAGACGAGTTTGGAGGGTTTCAACCCCCAAAGGATCACGACTATGGCTACCTTTCCTATGAGCGACATGTCGTGCTAGGGATCCAAGACGTTGCTCGACTGGTCGAGGTCTTGACCCACGAGCTCGTCACGCGGGGCGGCATAACGACGCCATTCATATTCAGCAGTTCTGCCTTGGACATTTCACCGTCGGCAGTGAAGAGGTTGATTTCCTTGTTCTTGGAGACGTGTAAATCCGGAGTTTCGTTAGAGAAAGCGGACAAACGATGGCGAGAGGAGGCGCGTTTCGCCGGCCCTCATGACTTAGGGATGTGTTTGCGTTGGGGGTTGGCCCGAGCAATGCGAATACAAGGTGGTCAAGAGGTTAGGGGGCTCCTTCCTTGGGATATGTATCGCCAATTCAAAGAAACGGAAGCTGGTGCGTCTGTTAAGTTCACAAATTCTTTCCTCTGACCTCTGGATCCCTGATAGCTACGGGTTATTCGCCTTCTCATTTCTCAACCATCCTTGACGACCTAATCCCTCCTCTTCGCTCTGTCATCTTGACCACATTCTCCCTGTTGACTCGCCTCACTGCAAATAGCGCTTCTTCAGGCCACACGCCACCCACGCTTTCTACCCTATTCGGGCCACTATTCTTTGGGCTAGGTCCCCAATTGCGATTGCAAACATTTCAAGGCTCGTACACACAATACCTCGAAGCCGCCAATGCCACGGAACACCTCATTCTCGCTTTTATCCGTTGGCAAGACTTTCCTTCAGGTCGTCCCGGTACTGCAACTTCCACTGTTGACTTCGGCGGGGATTTGCAGGCTCGCGACCTTGCTAATAACGCTTCGTTTGGTACACTTGGCGTTCCAACTCGCCTGAAAGAATGGATCAAAGGATACCCCTCAATGCTGAACAACATCAGCTTTTCAAGTACTAGGAATGGACACCCTCAAGCTCGACGGGGAGCTCGCACTGTACGCGTTGTCAGCGTTCGTCGGAACGTCAGAGTGTACAGCGCCGATTTGGTTAAGAGTGGAGCCTCATGGGGATACGTCCCTCCTTCCGCGCGTCTGAACCCCAACTCCTTCAACGCCCTAGCATCTTCCAAAGAATGGCAGAGAATAACGCCGCCGGGCATGAAGCTACCTCCTCGCTATTCGGAATCCTACAAGAAACGGATGAACATGCACTCCAGTGTCGTTCCCGAATTTGGACCTGGCCCTTCTTCCTCAGCAACAAGCTCGCCGACCTCGATCTCAACTACGCCTTCATTTGCATCCACGATGTCTTCGGCGACGTCAATGGATAGTATGAACATATCACTTGGATCTAGGGAGGGTGAAGATCGATTTCGATCTCTAACGGACCTCAAATGGGGCGAGTTCGAGTCCATGGGCTTCGGGGGACTCGGCGCAGACGGGGAGGCTGAGAGGAAGCTTCAGTTCGATTTAACCGAAAGCGCTCGCATGGTACGTCTCCCCTCGTGCTCGTTTAACTCTCGTCATTGAGTATACATCTCCTTGTATCTAGTCCCGATCGGAAAAACGAGCTACACTATCATGGACAGACTTTTCATCTGCTGGATTCTCTCGCGCGGACGATCCCCTTTCCACCACACTGCAGTTCAGTACGCCGATTGTTAGCTCAATGTCCTCTTGGTCTGTCCGTGAAGCCGAGCTGACGAAGAAACTACGGAAAGCCCAGCAACAAAGCAACAAGAATATGCCTGCCTTTGACTGGGATACGGAACCTATCCTAGGTGGAGAGGAAGTTGTGGAAGAAGGGTTCGTCGACGTGTTCTGTGATCTTGTGTGCGGAAGTGGTTGGTTAGAGGTTGAGCTGGAGAGAGCCGCTAGTGAGTCATTTAGTCCGGTCTCTGGGGCTACCACAAGAGAAGGAGACTGGAGTCTTCTTGATCGAGAATGCAACTGGGCATTAGTAGGTTTATCCGTTGCTGCAAGTAGGATACCTTGTTCATTCGCGTTCCCCGTTCAAAGGTCGAGTTCAGGTCGTTGCCCCATTCGCGCTCTCCGGCCACAGATTCATCCCCGTTATCTACATCACTCTCAAGCTCCACCCAGTCATCTTCTTTGGATCCTCGTTCAGCCGCCACCCTGATTCTCTTTGAAGAATTCATTCCGCTTGAATACCGGCAGAAACTTCGGGCAGCCCTAGGGTCGTCTAGTCGACGGCGCCTGCCTTCTCTATTCTCATCAGCGTCACAGGCTACTATCTCGTCGCCATCGAAGAACAAACAGTGGAAAACGACACCATCGGTGGCAAATGGACGTGGATACGCTGCACCCCTAACCCCTTCACGCCATGACGCTGAGTTCGACAGCATGCTTCGCGGAGGCTCAGTGACGAAGGTTATCTCTCTGAGTGGCGGTGGGGCTAGGACAATAACAACGAGCCCTCTGCCTGTGTCCTCAACTGACCGTTCCTCGACGCCCAGACCGCAGGGAATCCCGCAACTTTATACCAGGGATGAGGCCCGTGACGGTGAATCGCCTCCCCCTCCACCGCCTTCCTCTGCTAAGAAATCACGATTTAAGTTCTCCACTGGTCTTCCCGTTAGTCCACACCCGGCGAAGAAGGGGACCTACCCGCCTGCGGAGTATTCGAGCGTTGAATTTGAGACAAGATTAGCGAGTTATAGTGACGAAGAACGGAATAGTGGAGGCGACGGTGTGACGGACGAGGCTGAGAAGCAGAAGAGACGACAATCACGAGACGATGCATGGGTGGATATACTGGTAGCCACTCACAATCGGCGAATGGGTGGGCAAGAAGCTGAGATGCGGGCTCCAGGGGAGCGACGACGGCGAGTGGGCCCAGATCCGGAGCTGGCGAGCTTGGAGGTAGCCCAGGTGCTAGCAAGCGTTCAGCAAGAGCGCTCCATGTCCCCGCTATCCGATGACGAGTTAGAGCGTCGATTTGGAGCGAAAGAGGAAGAAGCATCTGTGTCCCAGCCCATTTCAGTGTTCGAGTCTTTGCAGGATGCAGATGTGGACGAGATCCAAACTGTGCCACGCACCCGGGGCACGCTCGTCGAGAGCATCGATGATCGGGATACTTTAGAATACGCATCTTCCCTGGGCGCAGAGCCCGTTATGGAGCCCGTCATGGACCCGACGCCCGAGGAAGTCGTTCTACCACCACGGAAAGGATTAGGCTATTTTGACCTGCATCCTGAGCGAAGACCAGCATTGAACAGTCCTGAAGACGACGAAGATCCTAGACATCGTCTAGCTTACATGGATAGTGACGACGAAGGTGGAAACGACAATGAACCTGTCACACCCCCTCAAGCAGCTGAAGTCTTGCTACAACCCGTCGCCCCGCTACGACCATTACCCAAAGTTCCCCCCGTCCGGGCTGTTTCGCCTGTTGCCAGTCCCGCCGTCTCTCCATTGGTTCTTAAACCTAAGCCAGCCCAATCCGAAATCCCCACGAGTATCAAGGTAGAGCAAGCAAACCTTGCACAACGCGATCCCTCCCCGTCCAAGGTGGAACTACCCCGCATACCAGCGGCAATTCCGATTACCAATGGCCAGCATCATGGAAATGGCATCAGCAACGGACATGCAACTGAGGTCGTCGCCGATAAAGCTCCACTTGGAACCAAGACGGCCGCCTTGATTGAAATGTATCGCGAACGTGAACGAAGTGTTTCGCCCAAGCCTTCTACGCTGCCACCCCCCATCACTGCGCCAGTTATCCAACCTCCATCGCGACTTCCGGTCCCTGTGAGGGCTCCTGTTCTAGCTAAGGACACCGTCCCTGCTGCCATCCCCATCCCCACCATCTTGGCGCCTCAGCAAATAGCCATCCCTGCGCATGTTCCAGTAGATCTCTCCCCCGTGGAGCCGCCTCGCGTGGTCATCGAAGAAACTGGCCGCGCTAGTCCAGCCCGCTATGTACACGGAGCACCTCTACACAACGTCATGGAAGAGGAGGAGGAGGAGGATGCTTAACGAATTCCATGAAGTTCCCCGGTTGTCTATAAACTGCATGCAATCAGCCACGTTGGATAGTGGCTGACGCACCGATGCCTCCATTCATATATCAATCTGCCTCACACTCATTTACGCATACCAGATTCACTCGTTCGTCTCATCGCCAAATAGTAATACCCCTTTTCGAAGCTGGACTACTCTTTGATCCCACATTCTCTCCCGGTTCCTCTTATATGTATATGGGTGCCCCTCTCTTACTACTATTCGTACCTATGTCCTTATTTACTTACTCTCCTCTTTGTCGGTATTATCTCGTAATCACAGGATTTAAACAACTCCAAGTCAAGAAGTCCCTAGCCCTCAAAGCTCCAAATTCGAAGCTTTGACATTCAATATATCAAAATTACAACTGAGGCTCATACTCTGGATATATTGACGAAGTTCATGTACAACCTCACAAAGACAACCAACCCATTTCCTCGTCATCCATGCTCACGACCCTCACACCCGCCTGGCGGAGTTGATCATCGACCTCGTCCAGATTTTGTTTCGATGCATCCACAGCTCTGGTTCCGTCTTTCACTACAACAACCTCGAAGCCCTCGGTCCTAGCATCCAACGCGCTGGCCTTTACGCAATAATCATACGCCAGGCCAACAACATACACCCAAGTGACACCCTTCTCTTTGAGTGCCGCCGTGGCCGTACTTTCGCTGACTTTGAATGGGTCATAGAATACAGAATACATCTCCACCCGTTTATCTTGCCCTTTCTCGATAATCAGATCGACGGCGTCTATGTTGAGCCCATTGACAAGTTCGGCACCGTCGGTGCCTTGGACACAGTGCTCCGGCCATAGCCTCGTGGTGTAAGACTCCTCCGTATTGTTGGGGTTGATAACGCGGGCAAAGCTAGTGAAAGGTACGTTGTCGGGCGCGGGATGATTGCAGGCAAACGATATATGGTCGGTGGGGTGATAATCCTTTGTCGCCACTCGTAGGGCGAAAGCGGGGGTAGAGAGTAGTTTATTTATGCAAGGTACGATATCTCGTCCCCCGGTCACAGCCAGGGAGCCATCCTTCGAGAAGAAGGTGAAGACGACGGCTGAATGTCTGTGGGAGAAGAAGCGAGGCGTACCGGAGGACAAAAGTCGTTTTGCATGTCGATTACAAGCAAGGCGGGGTGAAAGTCTGCAGGGATGGTGCCGGTGGGCATGTCTGTTTATTGGGTTTGAACAGCTTGTATGTACAAAGCTAGCGATGCTCAATCGCTCAATCGAACAACAAAACGAGGGCCACGTGCCAGTTATCTACTCATTTACTTCCAGGAACTTGCCCTTCAACCAAGCTTTCAATATAACAATATAACTATGCTTCGACAGAGAAGCCCTTCAGGGAGGTTCTGGTTGATTGCAGTGGCGGCAAATCTTGCTCGAGGAGGTATTCTGCCAAGTCAAATGCCTTGTAATTAGGAAATCGGTGTATGCACATACAAAATCGTGATAAAAAAATAAAGATGGTCGTCCCCTACGTCAATGTGAAATAAAAGCATCTCCGCCTCATGAAAAAGCAACAAACGTTAAGATATATGTGAAGGTATAAAAGTGTGCATTCACTGCCAAGAGTGAAGCAAAGGGTAAATGTAAAAGGCGGAGCGAAGAATAAATGGCTAAGTCGTCGATGTCTAAATTACTTCGTCCTTGTCCTTAATGTAAACACGAATAAGCATCAAAAGGCACAGAAATGATGAAATGTCCAAATGTATCGGATGAAGGGAGAGGAGTTTAGGCCCAGATCCAGTTGATCAAGGATCGGCGGACTACTTCGATGACCTCCTCTACGACCTCCTCCTTATCAGCATCGGCGTCCTCGGCAAGGAGGGCACGGGCGAGGCGGGAGCCCTGAGGAATACATTAGTATACAGATATCGACAGGCAGCCGAAAGAGTACTCACATAGGCACGGCGGTGCTTGGTAGTGGTCTGTCCACCGTTGGATGACACAACAGAGCTCGAAGAGTTGGAGGTATTCGAAGACGAGGAAGACGAGGAAGAGCTCGAGGACGATGAGGAGTTGTTGCTCGACTTCACCGTGGAGCTGGTCGACTTGCCCGTCTTGGGATCCACGAAAGAGGTCACAGCGGCTGACGAAGAACTCTTGTCCGCAGAAGCAGCGCTCGAGGCAGATTCTGCGGCAATGGAAGATGCAGAGTTGGACTTGACAGTAGATGAGGTGGTCGCGCCGGTATGGGGGTTGGTGGATGAAACGACCTTGGTGTCAGAGTTGGCAGTGTTGGCCGAGTTAGAGGCAGCAGCAGAGGAAGATGTGCTGGAGTCCGAGTTAGCACCAGTGACAGATGATGTGAACACTGCGCCATTGCCATTGACGGACGTCTTCACCGTGCTCGAGTTGGCAGCGTTGGCGTTGGCAGCAGAAGCGGAGCTTGCGGCACTCTTGGAGTCTGCGGAGGCGGAGGACGCGGATTTATTTACATTGACCGCTCCATTGGCGCCTTTTGTGACAGACTCGTTAGATGTAGAGGAACTGTTCGCGTTGCTCGATGCCGAGTTGCTGTTGTTTGCGGAGGATGAGCTGCTAGACGAGCTAGACGTAGCAACAGAGCTGCTTCCTTGCTGGAGCTGTATAAACCATGCATATAAGATCACCCCAGCGTCTAAATCAAGTAAATCATACTCACAACAACACAATTACCGAACTTCTGGTAGGCAGCATTGGTGAACTGCGCGAGGCACAGGTTGGCTGCTTGTCCGCCTTGACAGATCATGCCTGCGGGTAGCTTAGCTTGAATCGTCTCCTTCTCGTTCTTGTACGTGACTTTCAGGCCGTTCTTCGTGATTGTGCCGGCCTGGAACGACTTGCCCGTACCAGTGGCATCGACCTTGAGCGTGAACTGTCTGGATCCGTCGATTCCCCTATGGACAGGTCAATTCCAGTTCAGTTAGGATACGCGAGGACACTAACCCATTGTAATTCTCCACTACTACAGAGAAGGTGCCGTCAGCAGCAACTTGAATGGTTTCTGCCTTCTCCAAGTTGGCAGCGATATCAACGCCAGTACCACAAGGGTTCTTGGCATCGGGGCGTCTGACATCGGGGCGTTTCAAGGGCTCCTTGATGCCCATAGCAGGGTGGGCGGCAGCATGTGCGTAAGCGGACGAGGACAGACCGACGACAACGACCGAGGCAGCGATAAATTTGGTGAAGAACATTATTAAATGTGCGATGAAGATGAATTCGAAGGACGAAAGATGAAGTTGACGCGAATTGCAAAGGTAAGAATTGCAAGAGGAACCAGTTCCGAGAAGGACGACTCAAAAGACGTGAGGGGTAATTGGCGTTAAGTGTGAAAGAAGAAAGCCCGAAGAAGGGGGAAGGAGAAGGAAGTAAAGGTGAATGATTCCAAGAGGAGACTTGGAGGGGGTTTTATACACTCGTGGACAGGCGGGACTGGTGTGTCCTCTGGGCCCTCTTCAGGGTTCGATGTTACCTCAATTCTCGATTGACATTGACCGTTGAGCGACATATGAGGCAGTGCGCGTAAACAGCGCGTGTTGAGCGTCCGCAGACAGTAATGCAAATGACAGGGATATCAAAATCGCGGACCCGTGAATTCCTTCAAGTAACGACGGGACTTGATGGGGCGACAGGATGCCTGAATAGCTCAGTTCAACTGACATCATCAATCTTCAGAATGAATCATCAAGATACTGTTAATACCAATGCTCGTGCGTGAAGTGGTTTTCGGCGAAAGGCTTAAGCTTGAATATTTGAATACCATGATATTACTGGATTGAAGCAATATCGGGTGTTATGATGCATGCTGGCAACGGAATGCAAGCGGGATGATCTTGACATCCTGCCAGTCATCTCTACATAGGAACGCACCTAGGTTCGGCATTGCTCGTAATCGACCGCAAGTCGACTAAGGTAATCACGAGCAGGGGATGTCGCTAGCCAGACATCTGTGACTGTAGGCAAGGATGGGGCCCCTGGCCCTGGCCCTCCCGTAAGGTACTGGTAGCTGACTCCTGCGACAGTAGCTCATACTCTCTCGTTTCAGTTGCCTCTCCATTGATCATTTGGCCGTCAAACAGACCTGTTAGAAGTCGAAGCTCGCCAGGACTTCGAACTGGAATGGAAGGCAGTCCCCCGTGCCACTCGCTAGACGTTTGATAGACCAGTGTTTTGCGTTAGTCTTCATCAAGTTGACTTTTTGCGAACGGCTTCTAATCAAGCTCAAGGGCTGCGAAGTGCAGGGGTCGAGTGTTTCGAGTCGACGATGTCAAAATTACAACTGTGTCAATAGACGCCTGAGACTCAGCTTCAGCGCTTAGCAGACATCGCGAAAACAGAAAACTTGCTCGGCTGAACAATACGGTAGACTGAGGGCGAATTCATCCCAAGCTAGCCATGGCTAGATCTACGCACCCTGGACGCGCCGCCGAAATCACATTTTCCACTTTCACTCCAAGACCGTTGCAGCGTAGAGGGAGTGCCCCCGTCGCCCGGCAGCTAATAGTTTCTTTGGCACCATACGACATGACCCGCTGATAACAATCAGCGAATAAAACGTCCGCGCTTGTATTGCACTTGAGATGTGTATCAGCGTCGGTGTCGTAGGCCTTGGAACCGTGTCGCTAACCGAGGTCGTCGAGAAGTATCGTATTGGTGCACTCGATCGCGATTCCTGTTTCGTGGGTGCGATACTGGGCTACTTACCACTTGAACGAAAACACCAGGATACACTCAAAACTACAACCATTCGATACTTGACTAGTAGCGACTTGGGAGCGGAATCGGGAGGGAACTCTGCTAAGTATACATGTTCACCCCTTTTGTCAGTCACGATGTCAGTACGCGAGGATGTTCCGCGAGCTCTTCGGGATGTTGTCAACCGCGTACCTGTCCTCCAAGCCCGCCGGCGCTGTCACCAAGTAGCCAACCCACTTCACCCACTCGTTGGTGGATATGACGACTGAACAAACGGGCATGTAGGTGTGGGTCAGCCCGCCCTCGACATCATGGCTCCGAGTCCTTGAATGTATTGGGTCAGGTATTCTGCCAGGTACTTAAGGCAGCTCGACAAGGCACTCAAGCAGCATCGTATCATCCTCTTCAACTACATTCATATTTTCATTAATCAACACTACGATGAAGTTTCAATCCCTCGCAGCCCACATCTCCCTAGTCCTCTCACTCCTATTGCTTCCTTTCGGAGCCTCAGCTGCCTTGTACAAGAATGCGGCTGACTTGCCAGATGTTTCTTACGACTTCGTCATTGTAGGAGGTAAATGACAGTTCCGATGGTGACTTCGCGGAAGCTGATCAATTTCCTAGGTGGTGTGGGCGGTAGCGTGCTCGCGAACCGTCTGACAGAAAACCCATCAACTAAAGTCCTTGTCCTCGAAGGAGGTCCTTCGTAAGTGCCCCCTAATGCGTCTTGAGTTTGCTCACTCATTCGTTGATCAGAAACGAGGATGCTTTCGAGACCAAAGTCCCATTCTTTGTCACCAGAATCCCCGCTCAATATACATGGAACTACGTTAGTAATTTACCCCCCGGTCGTCGTATCGGTTCTGAAAATATTATTGCAGACTACCACACCCCAAGTCGGGATGCACAACGCCGAGGTTCCGTTTGCCAGAGGCTTTGTCCTGGGCGGTAGCAGTTCCATCAGTGAGCTCCGCATAAAGTCACGGTATAATCTGAACGTGCTAACACACTGGTAGATGGAATGTTCTATACTCGTGGTTCTTCCGACGACTTCGATCGATACGCCGAAGTCACCGGCGACTCCGGTTGGTCATGGAACAACGTGCAGACATATTTTGCACGGGTCAGTGTTGCTACTACCACTACGTTAACCCTGTCGCTTAACAGCACCTATGCAGAACGAAAAATGGACGCCCCCAGCCGATGGTCACGACACAACGGGCCAATATGATCCTTCCGTCCATAGCACCACTGGCATCAACTCGTACAGTCTCTCTGGTCACCACCAAGCGCTTGATCCGTTGGTGTTCCAGGCAGGGCAAGAACTTGGCGGTATCTTCGACTTCAAGCTCGACTACAACGACGGCACGCCTCTCGGATTGGGTTGGCTCCAAGCTGCTATCAATGGGTCGCATCGCAGCAGTGCAGCAACATCCTATCTCGGCCCACAGTTCATCAGCAGACCCAACCTCCACGTCCTCGTCAACGCTCGCGTTTCTCGCATCCTCCAAACCGGATCTAGCTCCACTTTCCAAGGTGTGGAATACACCCAAGACATCAACAGCGGTCCACTGCGAACCGTTACCGCGACGAAGGAGGTTCTCCTTGCTGCTGGTGTCATCGGTACCCCCCAGATCCTCCTCAACTCTGGCATCGGCGACTCCAGCTACTTGTCGTCCATTGGTATCCCTCCGCTAGTCAACTTGCCCAGCGTTGGCAGGAACTTGACCGACCAACCTACAACTGGCTGTCTCTGGAATGTTAGATCGGATGCGGATACGTTCGATCCCGTATTCCAAGAGCAGAATGTGCTCGATGATGCTATGGATGAGTGGAACACCGACGGAACGGGACCATTGGTCGTCACGCCCATCGGCGAGGTTGTCTTCTTCAGATTGAATGAGACTGAGAGGACGAACCTTGGGCTCCCTGCTGGCGTGGATACCGCCGCTGGTCCCAACACACCGCACTTGGAGCTGGCTATTGGGGTAGGCGCATTCATAAATCTCTGCAACAGGCATACCTATTGACTCTATATAGAACGGCTTCGTCTCGCCAGCACCCCCACCAGGCAGATGGCTAACTATATCCACCAACTTGGTGTCCGCCACTTCGCGTTCGTATCTCGCTCCTCGTTGATTATCTACCATCTAACCCTTTCTCAGGTGGCTCTGTCACTCTCGACACGACCGGAGGCTTCAATGCCTTCCGCGCGCCTCACATCGACCCCGCATTCTACACCACCGATTGGGATATCCGTGCAATGCGTGAAGCAGTCAAGGCGGCGAAGCGCTTCGTCTCTGCGCCAGTCTTCCAAAATTATATCGTCGAAGCCTTGGGGTCGCTCGCCACCGCCGACACCGATGAGGAGATTGAAGAATATGTGAGGAGCAACAGCGGGACCACGGCTCACCCTGTTGGCACGGCCAGCATGTCTCCCAAAGGCGCGCAATGGGGTGTCGTAGACCCAGACCTGAAGATGAAAGGTGGTATCAAGGGTGTTAGAATTGTCGATGCCTCTGTCTTCGTGAGTTTTATTTTGATATCGAACTGATCCAAGTTGTACTGACTATTACGCGATAGCCCTACAACCCGAGTATGCACACAATGGCGCCGACGTATGTGATCGCAGAACGGGGATCCGACTTGATAAAGAGCACTTGGAATTTGTAACTTACTGGACTTCTCGCCGGACATTTCGTAACTTATAAACTTTCTATATGATACAACCTTGTAATCTACGCCTCAGTTTTCCATATTGTACACTACTTGTCATTGGGCTTGACGGCGCACAGCCCGAAGAGTGACCTGCCATGATTCTCACGACCAACTGTGGCGCGAAATTCCCGGTCGCATGCCTTGTTGCCAGTGGAGGCCACTTTGGTCTTGACTCTTACCACAGGCCACAGTTGAACCGTCACGATGGCATCCATATTTCTAGAGCTCCTCGCCATGGGATCTTCAATGACTACCCAATTCTTGCGACTTACGCGCCTGGAATGGACTCATTCTATCCTCCTTTGGCATTTGAAGACGATCCTCTGGCAACGCCCGAAAACTCTGAACGACATGCCCTACGACGTTGTTTTCGTCCTATCGCACTACCTTTCCGTTCGAGACCTATGCAATTTGCGAGAGGTGGGCATCTCGTGTTATGTAGGGCATGTTTTCACTTCTGAATATACCTACTTGACCAGACTTCGAAACAACTTTCCAGTCTTGTGCGAGATAGGTCGATCTGGCTTCTGGCTTTGCGCGACATCTTGGAAGTTCGGCCGATTCCACGACTCAGTTTCAGCCTCGATGAAATGGACTTGGATGAAATTATGACAGCTACCTTGCGACTGACTACCTTGGACCGTAAACTTAGAGGGGTAGACCAGATCATGACCTTCAAGATCGCTCGATCTTTTGACGCGAACGGTCTTGCACCCGTGCCTCTTCCCGGTGGCCACCATTTCGTCACTTTGCAAAACTCCGAACGCAACTTGGTAGTACATGATTGGGATGCGGACACTCTAACAGATGGCCGACTCCTCATGCCACCTTCTGAGCACCCCATATACTTATGGCGTGCGGTTCCCGTCAGTTCCACCACCGTCAATGTGGTTGTCGTATCGTTGGAAGAACTGGAAGAATGCGATGACCGTGGCGAACCATTGTGCGTCTCTTAGCTTGTCTTTTCTTTCTTGTTAGTTTCAGTTGTCCTCCCAGGCCGCGTACACATATTACAATTTACCACTGCAACGCCGACGAAGGAACGTCGAAGCAGATAGATTACTTTTCAGTGAGTCCCAAGATCTGGGCGCTATTTGTCGACACAACCCACTTGGCAATCCTATGGGATGACCCCGATAACGGTCAACACGCGTACATTCGTATGTACACCAAGGGGTTGCAGACGGATATCATGAGACTCAAAGATCCAGTGAGTAACATCAAAGTTTGTCAAGCCCTCGCTGATCTGGTCTTATCAGCAATGCCCCTGTCGAGGATCCATCACCATGATATCGCAAGGTCATTTCCTTGTTGTAAATGGCAATGGCACCTTTCATCGGATCTTCACAATACCACGCATGCAGCCAGTTGGTAGCACGTACATCGCCGATGCACCCGTGTACCATCCATCTATTTGGCGCTCACTTCAAGGGGGTGATTGCCTACAGACACCCCGAGTGGCTTCTCTTCAACCGATATCAAGCGACAGTCCTCCGTCTAAATTCATCGTATGGACAGGGCGGTGCCGACACATTATGACTCTGTCCTCCCTAGACGGTGTCAATGTTATCTATAACGTCGACAGGCAGCGCATGTGGCCTGACGTGCCGTTCAGTCTAGGGAACGATGAGACAAGTTCCATGGGTAGATTTTCGGGGGTTCACCTTTTACCGGATAGGTTGATCAGGTTATTCGCTCTTCCTATCACCCACCCAACAAGTCGTGGATTCATGCGCCTCGATATTTGCCCATCTTCACTTCACATTCAAGTGACAAAATTAGTTTGTTCGGGCCTACTGGAGAATGAATTTGTCTACGAGCTATCTTATGACGAAGAATCTGGGCGTCTCTATATTGCATATGAAGACAAAATCACTCCTGATAGACGGATATTATTGGCTCATTTGTGAGCGTTTACGTAGTAAATCATTTGTATAAGCAATTCCATCCAGTGTTGGCCTTACGCTGTAAGGTGTAAGTTACGTTACAGTGTAAGATCACCGTAAGCTACACCGTAGCATCAATCCTGGGAGTAATTAAGGTGTAACTACACTCAAGCATAAATTAAAAGTTTATTTGACAATTTTCAAAAGGGCTAGTTGTTTCTCATAGTAGTTCAACTAGTATTACTTCTATTTCTACGAGCATGCCGCCGTCGCGAGGACCTCTCTGGCAATACTTTTATCAAGGCCCAAAGAAGAACTCCTCTCATTACGAGGCTTATTGTTTGGGATGCCTTGACCATCACCGTCCAACTGACCAACCACCATTTGTAACTCCATCTGGCACCATTCCAGCAAACCTACCATCGGCAGAGGACTGGTTTGCTCAGGGTAAGTGCAATACTAACCTTTATCCTAGTACTGATGCCAAGTTAACCGCAACTAGCATGCCAGAAAGCCAAGCATGTGAGAGGCGAGAAGAAGTTGATGGGGAACCATCTCAAGTCCTGTCTGTATGTGTCGAAGAAAGTCAAAAGCTCCGCTAAGATGCTCGCGGGAGGAAAGGCAAAGGAGGACAGTGATGCCGATGATGAAGCTATAACGGACAGTACTCCTTTTGGAACTAGCCCGGGAAAGAAATCACAACAGAAACTAAAGGTTTACCGTGGGGTGGATATCCCATTCTCACAAGAGCAGCTTGTAGCAGTGGAGGAGCAGACTCTAAAGGCCACCTTATCCGCAAATTTACCATTTCGATGGATTGAAAATGACGAAGTCATCAAGCTCTTTGAGCTTTTCCGCTCGGCTGCAGGCAGTGTGCTACCTTCACGCCGGGTACTGTCTGGCCGGCTATTAAATGAAGCTGGGGAAGCGGTTGAGCTTGAACTCAAGCATAAACTTCAGGGGAAATATGTGGTATTATCGTGAGTTATTGTGCCTTTATACAACGTGGTGTGTAGTTGAACGGAATCAGAACAGATGGGTGGAAGGATATAAAAAGAAATGCCATCACAGGTGTACATGTTTCGGCTGAATCTAAGGTATTTGTAATTTCACATGGTGCGAAGCAGGACTAAGATCGGTGGCAATAGTCATATCTGATTTCACTAGCCAATACAACCAAGGATGGCAAGGATGGTACTGCACTGTGTGTCAAGTTTGCGACAATGATTGATGAGGCCGAGACTATTTACGGGTGCATTGTTGTCTGTTTCTGTACTGACAATGACGGTGGAAGAGTGCGCGCAAACAGTTGATTGTGGAGCGGCCATGGCTATTTGGCCCACCGTGCTGTGCACATCAGGTAAGTAATACTATACTAAATAAAATAAATGACCTAATAACTCACCTTCATCGATGTTCAAGTTTCAACTGATCCTTGGCGATTACTTCAAGGAATGCCACGAAAGCTCTACAACAGCCGAGGAGGCAACTGAGCTGATTGGCTGGATATTAAACCATGGCCGAGTTCGTGTGATATTTGACGAGGCACAAACCAAACATGGGAATGGCAAAGTCTTGGCATACCTTGTCGCAAACATTACTCGATGGACGACCCATTTCACAGCCTTCAGCCGCCTTGCTCAACTCAAAGACCCCCTTCGTCTTGCCGTTTTATCTCAACGTTTGCAGATCGTCGCGGCACAGGTTGGCGCTGAGCGAAATGCAAAGAAACGCGCCAAGATGGAAGCAGCAGCAAACTCACAATGCGACATTATCGACGACGCACGCTTTTGGGTCCGCTTGCAGAAGCTTCTCGACGATATTGAACCCATCTGCTACGCAACAAATATTAGTCAAGCTGACAACGTTCGCCCCGATCAAGTTTTACTCGCACTCGCTGGGCTGTACCAGTACTTTGCACGGGACGTCAGCACCGCACTGTCGAAAGGAATGATCAAACGGTTGGAGAAGCGGTGGAAAGCATTAGACCAGCCCATGTTCCTATTCGCGCTCATTCTCAATCCATATGAGCGACTCACTAGGTTCGGGAATGACGCAAACTTCAATGTATTTTCTTTGGGGTCTATGTTTACGGAGGTACGTGCCCATCATGTAGTCAATTCTTCTTTCTAACAGGGTGGAGACTTAGCTTTACATCCGAGTCAAGTCACGTCCTGCGCCAGCTACGCTCACAGACGAAGAGCAGCTCCAGCACAATTTGCAGAAAACTGAAGATACTAAACAAGCATCCGCCGCATTCATGCACTACCTTTCGGGAACGAGCATATTCGCAGACTGGGAGGAAAACAAGGAAACATTCATTCTTAATATCAGCCTTAGTTAGCTACATCGGGCGTTTCTGCGACGGGCTTGAAAGGCCAGAGTTTGCGTGGTGAGTTCGTATCAGCAGCATTCCACACCTAGCAAAATTGAATCTGACGTTAGATGTTATTGCAACACATCCCGATCAAAAGTACTCACCCATTCGTCAAGAACTGTAAGAATCGCCTCTTCTCCATGCTTGGCGACCGTGAGTGTCTCGGACAAATAGTACGTCCTCTCCTCCACCCGGTAGACACAAAATTTCCATTGCGTAGAGTCTGTCATGATGAATCGTTGGTTCCATCTAGTTGCAAGATTAGCCAAAAGAGCAAACATATATTGCTAGCACCTACTTAGAATGGCCGCTTGCCGTCACCGCCTGCGCAACAGCCTCTGCAATGTGTTGGGGCTTGAAAACGGTCTCGAAGCTCTTCACCTCCACAATAAGCAATCTGTTCCCGCAAAGACGTAGTGCCGCTTTCAAATCGTTGATATCCCTATTGTCCAAGTTGACATATTTGTTTACCAAAAATAACACATAATCGGCCGCTCCGTGGAATGTGTACACCGTGCTCGAGTTTTTATGAGTACCCGCCGGAAATCTCAACTCCGGAGAGAACTTAGCGCGAAGTATGCTGAGATCGGTGCCCGGCGCGTTGTACATCGATTCAAATAAGTAGTTGATCGTTGCAATAGATGCCAGTTGTTCTTTCTGGAACGGTTAGCAGAGTAACAAGTTATCATCACTACGGAAGGACTCATGATAGATGATGCAACACACCACAGATAATCCTCCATGTTGGATAAATGACAAGTCCAACTTAAACCTCTCGCTAACGGCACGACCTTTGGCAACTTCCTTCAGCTTCTCCGCGTCGAAATCAAACCTCGCTGGACGTATATTGAGCTCCTCTAACATAGAGATGTTGGCAGAAGAGAATCCAATCGGCTACTCATAAGTTTATAGCGTCAGAATCACTCATAATGATCATTCAGTGTCGGAAGAAATAAGTCCTACTTGCCTTATCTGCTTCGTCTTTTTGTGCAACTATATAAGTTTCAATGTCCTTGACGATTTCTTCCTCCTCCTCGCTGATACCTAGCCTGCTGGCCAACCTTCGAAAGGCCGGCAATCTATTGAAAGCCTTCTCCAGAAGTTCCCTTGCTGTCGATTTCCGTCTAAGGCTGGTGGCACCTGTGATGTATTGCTCGATGGCTGTGCTGGCTTTGAGCTCAACGAGATGATTTTCTTCTTAGCCATTTGGCGCGGTGAAGGATAGCAAGATCCTGGAGTCTACAGCCCCCTTTTAACATGAACGATACGAGTATATCATCAGCGTGTCGGCAGTAGTTGATCTCAGTGACACGGGACCCATGGCTTCCTTGTGTTCTTTCCGGTAATGGTAATCAGCAATCAGTACACGCGTCGATTGGGGTGAATCACCTTTTCGTATATTACACATATATTGTACACTGCTTCTACCTGCCTGCTACGATTCTCACGATCAACTGTGGCGCGAAATTCCCAGTCGCGTGCCCAGCTCAAGTTGTCTTCAGTCTTGACCGCAGGCCACAGTCGACCGCCACAATGGCATCCGTTTTCCTGGAGCTTCTCGCCATGGTATCTTCAATAACATCCCAATTCTTGCGACTTACGCGCCTCGAATGGACCCGTTCCGTCCTACTTCGACATTTGAAGACCATCTTCTGGAAACGCCCGAAAACTCTGAACGACATGCCCTACGACGTGGTCTTTGTCCTATCTCATTACCTTTCCGTTCGAGACTTATGCAATTTGCGAACGGTGAGGATTCCATGTTATGTGGCGCATGCTTTTTCCTTCTCAATAGACCCACTAGACTTCGAAACAACTTTTTAGCCTTGTGCGAGATAGATCAATCTGGCTGCTGGCTTTGCGCGACATCTTGGAAGTTCGGCCGATTCCTCGACTCAGCTTTAGCTTGGACGAAATGGATCTGCATGAGATCATAACAGCAACTCTGCGACTGACTACCTTGGACCGCAAAATCAGAGGAGCGGACCCTATTGCTGCATTCACTCCCTGCCGCTCCTTTGACGTTAGTGGTCTCGTTCCTGTACCTCTCCCAGGCGGTCATCAATTCGTTACTTTGCGAGACTCGAAACGGGAACTGGTAGTGCACAATTGGAACGCTGATATCCTTGGGCAGGGGCGACTCCTCGTACCAGCTTCCAAGTACCCCATATACTTATGGCGTGTTGTTCCCGTCTCTTCCACTGCCATCAATGTTGCTGTCGTATCGTTGGAACAGCTGAATGAGCGTGATGACCGTGGCAAACCATTGTAAGCTTCTTATATTCCCAAATTCCCCTCTCATTCTCTCCCAGACCGCGTACACATGTATCAATCTATTGTTGCGATGCCAACAAAGGAACCTTTGAACAGATAGATCACTTCTTTGTGGACACGAAGATATGGACAGTGTTTGTCGATACAATCCACCTCGCGATCCTGTGGAATGACTGGGAACGCGGTCAATTTGCATACATACGTTTGTATGCGAAGGGGCTTCATGCACCAGTCATGGGTCTTAAAGATCCAGTAAGGATATCGACGTCTAGTATGTCCCTTTACTGACCTAATTTATGAAGCGATGTCCACAGAAGGGTTCCATTACTGTCATATCGCGAAACTACTTCATCGTGGTAGACGACAACGGTACCTACACTCGGATTTATAAATTACCTGATGTGCATCCAGTTTACAACGCTCATGTCGCCGATGCGTCGGTACATCATTCATCCGTTTGGTCGACAGTTCGACCTGGCGATTACTTTTGAACTCCTCGAGTAGCTTCGGTGGTGATGGGAGATCCACCTTACCAACTTCCACGCAAGTTCGTTGTATGGACCGGACGGAAACGATTCCTCGCAACTCTTTCTTCCTCCTTGGATGGTGCCGATGTCGCATATAATGTTGATGCACAACCCATGTGGCCCGGCTTTCCGTTCAGTGGAGGATGCGATGAAGGAAGTTTGATGGGCAACTTCTCAGGGGTTCATTGTCTAACCAACGAGAGACTGGTCATGTTATTCGGCCTTCCTGTCACCCACGCATCGAGTCGCGGGTTGATGCGCCTTGACTCTACTCCATGTTCGGATGCTATTCAAGTGACACAGCTGATCTGTCCCGGATTGCAGGAGGCTGAATTTATCTCTCAGCTGGCATATGATGAGGAGTCTGGTCGTCTATTTATGACATATAATGACAGGAACACTCTGCAATCAAGGATAGTATTGGCTTTCCTGTAGGGCTTTCAAACGCAATAGCCTCTAGGATCAATGCCATAATATTGTAGCATGCTCAACGACATATTTCACAAAGGAGGGCCTATACCTTCTGCCTTCGATTGAGTCTGAGCTTCCACAGCTCCTTCCTCGAGTTCATGTTGTTTGAGTACCACACCTAGTTAGTATTTAGAGTTTTGTGTTAGCATAAAACCTATGCCATATGCCATTGTCCAGACATACCCATTCCTCAAGCACCGTCAGAATAGCCGCAGCTCCATGAGTCTCGGCCTTGAGTATTGGCGAGAGGTAGCATGTCCTGGTCTCAGGTTGGTAGAGGCAAAACTTCTAGTGTTCAGAGTCGGTCATGATGAATTGTTGCTGTTCTCTAACGACTAGATGAGAAACCGACGGAAGAATAGGAACTACCTAACTCAGACCTAGTGTGTTGACTTGCCATTACCGCCTGTGCCATAGCCTCGGCCAGATGAGGTGCGTGGAAAGCAGTTTGTGAGCTCTTTATTTCGACGACCACCAAGTTCCCTCCAGAAATAGCTTCCACGGAGAGCAGGTCTTTGATATCCCTGGCGTCGAGGTCTTCTGTTTGTTGGACTAAGAAAGTGACAAAATCGGCTACTCCGTGGAACGTATACTGAACTCCGGTTTTGGGGCTTTTGTGGATACCCTCGGGTATAGTCAACTCCGGCGAGATTTTGACATCGAATGAATTCTTTAGTATATTTGACAAGTCCGTATGGAATATGGATTTGAAGAGGTAGTTGGCAGATGCAATTGAAGCGAGTTGTTCCTTCTGATGATCATCCATCGTTTGTCAGTCATCTCTCCCACCTCTATCCAATAAGCCGCACCGTAGATAATCCTGCGCTTCGTACATAGGTCTGGTCCAACTTGAACCTTTCACTAATGTGACGGGTAGCAGCGATATCCAATAGTTTCTCCATGTCGAAGTTGAGGTGGCCTACACAGATATCCAGCTCATCGAGCATATGAGGTTTCACAGAGGAGAATCCGACGGGCTATTCAATAGTCAATAGTGTTAGGTATGATTCTAAGTTCAGTAAATCATCGCCAGTACTGGCCTTGTCTGCCGCCAGTTTTTGGGTGAGTATGAACATTTCGATGTTTTCGACGATGACCTTCTCCTCCGTGCTGAGGACTAGCCTGCTGGTCAAATTGCGAAAGGCTGACAATCCATCAAAAGCCCTCTGTAAGAGTTCCCTTGCCATTGACTTCTTTGGCTGCTCGTCCGATGGTGCCTGTGGTGTATTGCTTGGTGCTGAAGTCGGCTTTGAGCCCGACGAGGCAGCCTTTTTCTTAACCATTTGGTGGTAAAGGATAGCAAGAGCCTGAGATGTATAGCTGTGTTAAGAGCCACACTCGCAGGGGGCTCAGGATATGCGGACCCGCATGTGCGCGGTTCCACATAGACGCGCGGGGGGAAACGGGGAAGCGAGGACGTACGGGCTTGGCTTCAGCTACTGGCTGCGCCTCCCACACTCTTGCATGCCCTGTATTTCCGGGAGGAGTCCTATGCGGGTACCAAGGGTACTGGCGGAGGCAAAGGGATGCGACAGAGGGAGAGTGAGGGTGCGAGTGCGGAAAGGAACTAATATTCGAACTAAGGTAGCTGTTAGGGCGACTAGTCTAGGACTAACGTGGCTCCTACAAGAATACTAAAACTCAAAAGAAAGGTGAAGGGCTTATTGACTTAGGTCTCACTATTACTAGCGGAAATCCCAAGAGAACGAGCTAGCGTTCTCTGGTATGTTATTGGTACTTAAATACTAAAATACATGCATAACCCTCGTGTACTACTACATGCCTACTGCAGCCGTCTTTCCATGGAACACCCACCGATTCCATGAGGAGCTTGGTAATGTACTGCGGACATGCGTTAGACGTGAGGATCTTACTAAGGTATGGTAATGAGAATTAGTAATAGGCGCGTTTAGATAAGATATAGGAAAAGATGATCGTTCGGGTCAGACCGGGCCATAACAGTAGCTGTATGTACGATACAGGAATATATACTGAGGAACACGCGGCGTCCGCGCGTTCACGAAACAGCAATGAGTTCGGTCGTAGTAACTACAGTGTGCTCGAGTATGTACTTAGTCCGTAATTCGAGAAGTCCGCGTGGCCGCATGTATGCGCGGCCCGAGCCCATAGTCGGGAGACACACGTGGGTACGCCCCTAGTAGCCCCTAAGGGGTTCCTTGGATGCGCCTATAACAAGCTGCCTTTTAACGTGAACGATCTGATCATATCATCAGCGTGGGCAGTGGTTGATCTCAGTGACACGGGGCCCATGGCATCCTTGGGTTCTTTCTGGTAATCAGCAATCAGTACACGCGTCGATTGGGATGAATCACCTTTTCGTATATTTCACCCCTGGCCATCCCTGGCCCCTATCTACCTTGTCCTTGTCTTGTCATTTCAATCCGACCCCAGAATGTATGCCATATGTACTCGCTATCCTCTTTATTAACAAGGGAGTCAACTTACTCAAGACCAAGGGCTCCAAATACTGGCAGAAAGCTATAGAGATATACTTCCTTGGGTGCGTGTATCGGTTGATCCATCAAAGAATCTGTCCCGGACGTACTAACAGCGATCAGTGTGACTGTTCAGCTCGAGTCATATAATGTTAAGGTGTGAATTGGGGCCCACAACACGCACATGCATTTGACAGCTTATGCCTTGAGGCCATCACTGAGTGGGCGTAGTAAGAAACCTTGCCCATCTACACAACATGATAGTACATTGAAATAGATGCACTAGACAAGGTCGTGGCAGTGATCTACTGGGCAAGGAGGGGACCACAATAATCGATTTAGATTCCTTACACTAGATTCTATACACGGAACGGGGCAAGGACGGGGTGTTCTAGAGATTGATTAACAGGAGGAGAAAGGGGCCTTCTTCTGTCGAGAAATCCTGATCCCAGCGATCATTGACATTGCCAGTCTCCGAACGATGCACTGACAAAGACACAAAGAAAGCGCCGAGCGCACTTGCAGGAAGACACTCTGATGTCAATAGCCCCCGGAAGGTATTTGCTTCTGGGAGTGGGAGAGTGTGCGCTATAAGGTGTTTATTTGACAGCTGATGTCAAAATCGTAGACACTGCCCGAAAAATCAGACGTCCGCCACCTGCCATTTTGGGCCGTTCGGCATGGAGTGCCGAGCCTCCGATCGTCAAGCTGCCGCCTTGGCCTTTGGCTCGAGAGTGTCGTAGAAATTCTAGGGAATTCACAGAAAATTAACATTGAGCTTCTTCTGCTCGGGGTGAATGAAGCGATAATTCCCCATGACAGCAAGAGAATGTTGTTGCACATTGTGCGGCGCGTTGTGCTTGGACGCGTTCAATCGGAGTTCAAGTTTGCTTATGTCATTTGCCCAAGATGGCAAGTGGCTGGATGTCCGGTTTTCCGGGCAGTGTCTACGATTTTGACATCAGCTGGAACAAATCAAGCTCCTACAAAATGTACTTCATGTATTGGCGAGGTCTCGCTAAGATTCTCACAATCATTAGAAACTGTGGCGCGAGATTTCCAGTCGCGCTTTTTTGGTTTTGACTCTTGCCACACCTTGCAGGCTACAGTCACTGTAACCCCGTCCGATGACAAACTTATTTCTAGAGCTCCTAGCCATGGGACTGTCAATAACTACGGAGCTCTTGCGACTTATGGGCCTGGACTGGTCCCATTCTATCCTGCTTCGACACTTGAAGACGATCCCCTGGCAGCGCCCAAAAACTCTAAGCGATATGCCCTACGATGTGGTCCTTGTGATATCGAATTATCTTTCTGTTCGGGACCTGTGCAATTTGCGAGAGGTGAGCTGTTATATGGGGCATGTTTTGACTTCTGACTGACTATATCCGTTTGACCCAGACTTCGAAACAACTTTCCAGTCTTGTGCAAGATAGATCAATCTGGCTGCTGGCCTTACGCGACATCTTGGAAGTTCGGCCGATTCCTCGACTCAGTTTTAGTCTAGACGAAATGGACCTGGATGAGGTTATGACAGCAACCTTGCGACTGACTACCTTAGACCGCAAAATCAGAGGAGTGGACCCAATCACAACCTTCAGGATTGCTCGGTCCTTCGATGAAGATCTCCTTTTTCCCGTTCCTCTCCCAGGTGGCCGTTATTTCGTTATTTTGCAAGACTCGGAACGCAAATTGGTGGTGCACGACTGGGACGCGGATACCCTGAGGGAGGGGCGACCCCTCGTGCCGCCCTCCGCGCACCCTATATACTTATGGCGCGCGATTCCCGTCAGTTCCACTGCCATCAACATCGCCGTCGCATCTTTGGAAGACTCCAAAGACCATGTTCAGTCATTGTGAGTATCTTTCGTTGTACTTTCTTACCCACACGATATTGAATTATTCTCCCAGACAGCGCACGCATATCTCGATCTATCACTGCAACGCCGACAGTGGAACCTCTGAGCTGATAGATTACTTTTCCGTGGATACGAAGATATGGACCCTTTTTATTGACACAACTCACCTCGCGATCCTGTGGAATCACTGCGACCATGGCCAATTTGCATATATACGGACGTACGAACAAGGGACTCATACACCTATCATGAGTCTTAAGGATCCTGTAAGGACGCTAATATCTATATTGTCCTCTCATTGAATCAAATTATCCAGAAATGCCCTCAACGAGGTACTATTACTATAATATCGCAAGGCTACTTCATTACAGCGGCAGGCGGCGGTGTCTATACTCGGCTCTTCACCATGCCTGCTATGCATCCGATCAACGGTACCCATATCGCTGATTCGCCCGTGTACCATCCATGCATTTGGTCCGCTGCCCAGGGAGGCGATTATCTACTCAATCCTCGAATAACCCCACTCTTACTTGGACATTCTCTTTCAAGTAAAACACCTCCGCCCAAATTCGCAGTATGGGCAGGACGACACGTCACGATATACTCTCTGTTGGATGGTGCTGATGTCAGATATGACGCCAACTCGCAACATATGTGTCCTGATCTGCCGTACTATATAGGAGAAGATGAAAGAAGTTTCATGGGTGAAATTTCGGGGGTCCATGCCCTTTCGGATAGATCGCTCAGATTGTTCGCCCTTCCTGTAACCCATACAACAAGCTTCGGGTTAATGCGCCTCGGCTCGGCTCCGTCTGCAGATGCAGATGGCTTTCAAGTGACGAAATTAAATTGTCCCGATATGCGGGAGCACGAGATAATCTTTGAAATGTCTTTCGATGAAGAGTCTGGCCGCCTTTTCATGATCTACGAGGATGAGAAGAATCTCAAGTCCAGGATTGTATTGGCCCACTTGTAGAGTTTGTCAAATATGGCATATCTTGTTCAAATAATATCTTTGTGCTAAATATTGTCTATTCCAAGCTTCCAAAGTCCCTGAGGTGAACGTACGTGATCTGCGAACCAGAGCTAGTTGATATATCAGCATTTTGTGGGCATATCTGTGTTGCTTGACATACCCATTCGTCAAGAGCCGTTACAACGATTTCGGCTCCATCGTCACTAGCATCCAGTATCGACGAAACGTAACATTTCCCGGTCTCTCGTTGGTAGACGCAAAACTTCCATCGCTTCGAGTCGGTCATGATAAAACGTTGGTCCCCTCTACATGACGATGAGATCTAGGATATGAGGTAGGAAAATGAGCGAATACTTGGTATGAAGACTTGCTGTTACTGCCTGTGCCATAGCCTCAGCGAAATGCTGATCAGAGAAGGCAGTTAGTGGACTCTTCACTTCGACAACAACCAGATTTCTGCCAGAGTAGCCCTTCACGGCGACGAGGTCCGACCTTGACTTGTGTGGTGTCGACATGTGTTTGATAGTTGACCAGCCAAGTCACATAATCGGCTGCCTTCCACGACCAGCATACAAGGAGTTGAGGCCGTCGCTGAGTGGACGTAGCATGAAACCTTGCTCATCTACACACGGCAGTGTGTCGAAACAAATGGTGTACTAAACAAAGTGGTGGCAGTGACCTACTGGGCAAGGAGAGGGCCACAATGATCAATTTAGGACCTTCTTCTGTCGAAATCCTGATCCCAGCGATCATCGCCAGTCTCCGAGGGTCCAAATACGCCATGCCATGTATGTGAAGAAAGCGCCGAGCGCGATCGCAAGAAGGCGCTCCGATGACAATAGCCCCCGGAGAGTATATTGTTCAGGACGGAGGGCTATGAACATAAGCCTGCACGGAGAGTAAATGAGTAGCTGTCATCGCCGTTGTCCTGGACACGGAGAATGTAAAGGAAACCGTAGAGCGGAAGCAAGCCCTCAAGCCCTCAAGCTCAAGCTTCAAGAGACGTGGTGATTGATGGCAGAGGACACTTCTAGCCTGAAATTTGCTTCTGGGAGACCAAACGCCGTAAGGTTATGGAAGCAATTCATATCGGAGGCTTGACAGATCGTCGGGGGGCTCCAAGGGTGTACTTGAGTGGTGGACATGGTGTGAAAAACGTACTAGCTGCTCTGTCGACAACCATTACACAACCTGCAAATCAACAACCTCCACAACTCCTGTCTCTTTACCAGTGCTCTCATCTGAATTCACCAGATACAAACTTAAGACACCTTCGGATATCCGATACCGATCGGCCAAAGGCTCCCATCCACAACCCCCTGCAGAAGTCCACGCGACTGCCCAATCTTCAAATTGTCCTTTCGAAGTGCTTTGCAGGATGGTCAAAGCGCTGGATTGCGTGGTGGCATTATTGGGAGAGGGTGCGTTGGAAGGAAGGATCGCGAAGAGAATGTCATCGCTATCGCCATGATCGTTACCTGGTCCTGAGCTGCTCTCCGACGGCGCAGACGTATTTTGATGCGTTGATGAACCGCTGACACTAATTAATTTCCCTCTTTTCCCAATGACACCGACGATCCCTGTTATGTTATTCGGATCGCCTGGAATGGAAAGTGGGAGCGATGTGCGAATCCAATAACCGCTCGTGGACTTGTCGGATGTGGGCGTTCGCCAGTAGTGGAACCTAAATAACATCAAAGCATGGTGAATTGGTATCGAGGGAGAGAGAAGTCACCATGGGCTCACCATTGCTCAACGCCCGTACCATTCTCCCGATTCAAGACGTGGACCCTGCCTGCCGAGTCAACGGTTTGGGCTTCTTGGTTGAGGATCCCACTTCAAGCCGCAACCGTCAGAACGAATGATATAAAGGTGGAGTCGCTTGAAACTAGAGTATTCGCTCACCCAAATTTGGGAATACCGAATACTACAATGCCAGGTGAAGTCGGGGCAATCGGGGTACCTGATGGCACGGCCCCAATTCGCCCCAGTTTACTGCTCCCCGCAGAAAGGTTCGCCGTGGCGGGGACATTGGCGACGTCCTGGCCCCATGTGTTCTTCCATGTATACCCTCCATCTGGCGAGTATGCGTAGTTTAGGTCGTGGTTCTGGATAGTTTTACGAATGGGTACGGGGCGGGGGGTTAGCGAGACGACCACATTTAGATGTTAGATCGCTACCAACATTCTCGGGCCCGTTAGGTCCTGCCTGTACAGCGACGTCTTTACCTGTGTCGTTGATGAAATCGCGGTACGTCCTAGATATCATTTCAATCAAACGGTTGATATATATGCTCGATTCGTGAACATACCAGGTGGTGTGCAAGTTCCCTTGCAGATCAAAATCGAGCCCGTTTATGTACGGGTTGTCTTAAATACGAGATGCGATTGAGTAGTGCTGAATGTGTAGACAAACTGTACTCACTGTTCACGCCCTGTAAAACCAGGCATCAATCGTCACGGAATTGTGATGAACATGCATCAAGATAAATATGAGAAGTGCTCACCAGCAAATATTTACCAACTTCCACCCACCTCCCGCTTTGATTTGTCTCTATATCGGCAGGATAATAATGATATAACCAATCGTCACCCAAACCAGAGCGCCCTACGCGGAGTTCAAGGAGTAGGTCAGGGGTACCCACTGTTCCTATTGCAGGTATGAGTTTCTGAGCTTGGCGAGGGATGTCCAAGAACCTGGGATAAGTGACGTTCGAGAAGTGAGTGGATTTTTCAATCGATGAAAGACCAGGGAGGAAGTTCTAAGATCGCTCAGCGCGGAAGGGGTAAGTACATGACAGGTGAACGCACCAAAATAGAGGAAGTAAATACTACATCGGCCGCCCATATTGTTTCAGTCGGATTTGTCGCGACTCCGAGGGTTGAGGAGCGGTAACGGAGGTCGTTATCGTGTTGATCAAATATCAGATGCAGGCTGCCATCCGTTCGAGATATTCCAAGAGAGATGCTGTATTCCGTTGCAGGCGTGACACACAACGTGAAGGACTCGATCGACTTACACGTCGTGGCCGTCGTCTTCAACCTGTCCGTAGTCGTCCAGAACCAATTTCTCGAACTCTCCTCCCACAACCCTTCTTGCAACAACTACGTGCCTAATAGACATATTCCGTTCGCTGACCTCCCAGAGGACCGCGTACTGGTATCCATTGAACGTGGCAAGTGCGTCTTGCTGGAATGATTCGCCGTTCAACCGATTTATGGTTGGGGGATCGAGTCCAAGCTGGGTCGTTTGGATGTGTCGAAGGCACGCTGCAAGAAGGCAGTAGCTAAAAACGGAGAAAATCCTGAGGAATGCCACCATTTACATATGACAATTGCCTGCTGGCTCACCTTGCTTTTATCCACGGAATGGTTGAGACGCGGCCCGTCAGCGGTACGTCGTGGTAGTCATGATCATGTGTGTATCTGGCTCTGTGAGAATATTTCCGCGATTGTTGTTCTACCAGACGTCTATAATTAGATCCTTCCACCTCCGAATGACACCTTGGCCTTAGCGGTGTCGGCAAAGGTTTTTGCTGGTCAATGGCGAAGTAACATGACCACAAGGGCCGATGCGTATCGCAGCTGATACACTTGTGCCCGTAAATGCTATGCGTGCTCTGCTGCGCCTTCGTTTCCGTGTCTACCAGTGCTGGCTTCGAGAATAGTCGTGGCTGCAAACAGAGACATCCCGTAGAGTTAGACTCATCTTGAAGAAAAGTAGAAAAGCTCCTTGAAAGCGCTTGCATTTTAGCAGCATACTTTCGGAATTTGGAGTCATTCAACGTGTCGACTTCTAGAGTTCCAAAGGTGTCGGTGTTATTTCCAGTCTCTCAAGTGGTTTACAAGGCGGGCTAATTCATTTAAGATGCAAAGCCAGCCTTATTGGATGCTAGCTCAGCACCAAGTTTGTACCCAAGTACCTATCATGGACGTCAACAGAAACTTCAAGAACGAAAAGGGGAGAGTCTACCTTATCCCAGTCGATCTTCTGTCGAGTAAGGGGTAGGGCACGTCGAAGGGCTTTAAACGTCTTCTCGCCCATCTCCTGATATGTATCGTTCAAGGATGTCTGATACTTGCCCTCCTCGTCGGCGATGAGCGCAAGCACTTTTGACGCGAGGTCGGCAGGTGGTCGAGAGCCAGTGGGAAGCGTGATTTCTACGTTATGCTCGCTCGCGAGTTGGACCTAAAGCAGCTCAGGCTAATATGTCTAATGGGAAATGTGTATCTTACGTTGCCTTGCTCATAGTAATGAACATTTGCAAGAATTCTCCCGCTCAGAGTGCCCGCTTGAACTGCTACCTTGTATTCCGATCGCCATCTCCCAGACCTGTGAGAGTAAGTACACACACCAAACGTGCGCAAATGGGCTGACCAGTAATTTGTAGGGTTGTACTTATTCGCTACAATTTGTATCACCATGTCTGGGCTGTCTGGCACTGCGTAGACACAGCCTACCCCTTCCAGGTAGTGGGCGGCCAGATAGGATAGCGTAGATGTTTCAAGCGCGCCCCTAGTCATCCTCAGCGACAAGCGTATGAAGAAAGAAGATATATGGAGTACCGAAGGGGTTCTGATTCGGCATCAGGTTCGTACGTCTGCGGATCGGAGGCCTCCTGCACCACGACATTCCATTCGACCTACACCTCTGATGACGGAGGTAGAACACTCACCAACGTTATGTGGTCGAAAGCAAAGCTGGTCTTGGATCGTGGGTCTAGGAATCTATCCTTACTTGCCTCCGAATCCGACTCCGATGGAGGGGCTCGAGCAGCAGTGCTGACGATCGACTAGAAGACACAGAGTCATGAGCCATAGTTTCAGTCTACATACCATCGAGTGGAGTACTTGGTGTTTGGTCCCAGGAACGTCTGCAACGATGAACTGCGCGAGATTGTACTCTCTGAGAGCTGGAAGAACTCCTTCCTGGAGCGATTCGTCGTCTGAGATGATCACCCTTACATCTGCACAGTACTCAGACTCACAGCCAGACATCTGGGATCATGCACGGACCGTTCAAAACGTCGTTGATCTCTCCAGGAGGCGATTGAAGAAGGAAGTTAGAGGCGATTTGAATACGTTCTGAGGAATCCATCTGGTTACACTGAAAGGGGAAATAAGCGCCGACGAGATTGGCTAGCCTTGTGCCACAAGCGCTGCTGTGGCGCCGCTTCCACTGCTTCTCAGCCCGTTGTCTCTTCAAATTCTTGCGATACTGGTATTGACGAGTGTTCACTGCCAGTTCGAGGAGCATGGATCGAGCCTGGACAGTAGAATACCATGCATGCCATGACCCAGAATTGAATCGGAAAATGGCTCCCCAACTTAACATAGCAACATCCGGCAAGCGGCCTTCACCCTAAGCCCACTTCGCGCGCTAGCCCAGAAAATTGGAAAGAATGGCGGAACAGCCATCATTGCCTGGTTCGTCGCAACAGAACGGCGTTTTCCCACCAGGCGCCGTAGGACCAGTACGCTTGCCCCCGTTGAACCCATTCTGCGAGTACCTTGTTGCGGGAGACTGCACGCCATCCTCATAACCTATGCTGACATTGTGCTATGATCTCAAGGTCCTTTGTCTCAGAGTTCTCTTTGTCTCTTCCAAACGCTTCACGCTAGCATACAGCGCTGAGTGCTCCTTATCACCCAGGCGCTAACCCTTTTCGCTAGTATTGGCTCGCTGTTCAAGAAAGGTCAAAGAATGTACGTACCTTGCGTCATCTCAAGCGCCACTGCCACGAGGACGCTCACGTCTGTGGAAGAGAAACATATCTAGCAAGTCTGCAGTGTTTAGGGACCGCGCTTATCCTTGTTCATGATTTGACCCGATAAGTCACGCCATCGTGGCCTACTGTTCGTACATCGCGAAGTTGGTGAAGTCCTTTGAGATACTAACCTCCAGATACGATCAACCAGGCGACTATAAATACGGAAACCCCAACTGGTTCTGTACCTAAAGTCTTCCTTCAGCCTTCGACTCAAATGGTTGTAGTACCCGCCACTCCTATGTCCATGATCACCCGTGTTCCAGATGTGAGCACCGACGATGGACCGGAGGATTTCCCCTTCCCAGAACCCGAAACTATTTCCCGCACTACGGTTGCTTCGTACCATGAAGACCCGCTTCCAGGCATCTCAAAGACCCCCAGCGCGTTCCATCATCACGGCGCGTCATGGAAACTCACTCTCCCCATCCCCGTCCCCACCGACATCCTCAACCCGACTCTCGTCGCTTCGTTACATGGTCAAATACGGCACTAAATTCGATGATGGGAACTCAACGGTTCAGACTGATGTCGTTCTCAGCACAAAGGCCGTGCCAGGCGGTGTGTCCAAGATCGGAGGTGATATAGATGCGGTGGCCAGCGTATATCGAGCTGTTGAAAGCGGATATGCACCGCGGATTGTTACTGATGGAAGTGGTGCCCCCCTTGTCACCGTCTCGGCAGTCAAATGCAACGGTGGATCTGAGCAATGGAGCCACTTCGTTGATGGACAGGAACTTCGCCCCAACATCCGTCTTGTCGACCCTACCGCTCGACTTTACTTCATCTTCAACGTTGCTGAATACCCGACGAAGGACACAGAGAGATTCCTTGCTGTCGAGATCGCAGCATCGTGGTTTGAAGATGATGAGGCGAGAGCAGAGAAGGACGAAGCAGATAGGCTTGCAGCGGAAGAGGCTGCAAAGAATCGCACTCGGTCCGCCATCAATGCGACTCTACAGAAGCAATGCCCTCAAGGTGTCGAGCTTCCTAAACAAACAATATGCATGAGATTGAGGAGTGGGCCGAGGACGTGTGGAGACATTCATTGCTTGATGAAGACAGCACTTCGAATTCCAGCACCGGCGGCATGACCCTCATTGACCCTTCAGAGGAGCGACCCAGTGTTGATAAGGTTCCAGTTGTTGCTGTCAGTGAAGGCGAGCCCCATCGAGCCGTCAGCTTTCAGCGACCATATAATCAAGAGCTTGCCGGTTGATGGGACCTTCACTATGTGCGCTTCTCATTACGATTTGTTCGCCCTGATGTTGACACCACTCTAGTGACCCCCCACAATCTTGTCAGATCACTTATAATACCCAAACAGTGGATGAGTTGACACGCGCAACATTCTAATGTAAATACTGTGTTCGCCTATCATGTATCAGAACCCAAGGACCTGCCTGTTTCAACTGACCAGGAGGATAGCAATGTCGGGGCAGACATCGACCTTCAGTGACATATAAGGTTGGGAATGATAAATATGTACAGCTTACATTTGATTTTTTTCTGTTATTCAAACCGAGACTCTGATCACCACTTTGCCTATATGAGCTTGCGACTCAAGATACTTGTACGCCTGTATAGCCTCCTCGAAGGGGAAGACTTTGTCCACAACCGGGTGCACATCGTGCGTTGCGATCAATCTGTTCATCGCCTCGAACCTGCCAATGCTAATTCAGCTACATCACACAGAGAAGTAATTTTGCCCACATGGTCCCCGGGCCAACCCAAGTACCCTCCATCTTGATGGCTTTGCCAAGTATAAGAGGGATGATGTTGGAGTCGTATTCCTTATCCTAAAGACATAACCATAATGGAAGTGAGTTGCCGCAGGAAACACCGAGAAAGGCGTACATGGGCGAGGAAACCGATTAGATGCACTGCTCCACCAATTCGGGTAGATTTTAATGACCTAGCTACAGTCGCCGGTCCGCCGACCTGCTCGACGAATGATTAATGAGTGTTTGTATCTTCAGCTGTAAACAACGAAATGAACCTACCTCGATAACATGGTCCACACCTCTTCCGTTTGTCTGGTAGTACGTGCGAAAGGGCATGGTCAGTTTTAACTAGACAACGAGACGTCTTACTGATGTAACCTACAAGTTCGTTGACGGTCTCGTCCCAATTGGGTGTTGTATTGTAGTTAATGACGTGTTTTGCTCCAAGCTTGGTAGCTAGTTCCAGCTTTTTATCGGAGGACGACGTGACGATTACGGTTGCACCGGATGCCACGGCGAATTGCAACGCGAAGCTATGAATGCACAGTTAATTGTAAAACAACGGAATGAACCCGTTCTACATACATCGAGACACCACCAGTGCCCTGTACGAGTACCGTTTCTCCCGACTTGACGCCTCCGCAGCGCTGAAGAGCGGTGTAAGCTGTAACAGCAGCACAACTAGTCCTCCAGTTAGCTAACAAAGGGTAGAACAGAGAAGGGAATCTCACGGCAGCGTCGACGCTTCTTCATAGCTTAAATTGTCTGGAATCTTCACTAGTCCCTGAACACGCATACTATATCAGGCTACTGGGATCGAATCTCAAGAGGACAAACTACTCACAAACGCGGGGAGAACGACGTACTCAGCCAGAACGCCTTGTTGGGGGGCACCGAGGGACGAGTGGATAATCCCAGGGTGTGGTTCTCCGGCTTGATAATCTGGCGTGAAATTGGCACAAACACGATCACCGAGAGACCATCGCTGCTTGGCATCGTCAGCGACAGCGACAACTTCTCCAGCCATGTCAGAACATGGCGTAAGGTTCTCCTTGATTCTGCGCCAAGTCAGTGAGCGAGAGTGACCTCCTTGGTGGTCAAGCAACGCTCACAGTCCAGGCAAGAAGTATTGCCCAGTTGCGACCATCAGGTCGCGGAACTAATTGACCAAAAGTTCTTCAGAGAGGCAACGGGTAGCGAGTGGAATGCACTGACTTGTAAAGAGACGGCATGGACCTTGACCAGAACTTGCCCAGGACTCAGACTCGGAACAGGACGTTGCACCACAGTAAGATTGTCGAACAATCCCAGCTACGGTCAGCGGTCGTGAGTTCATATCAGTGTACATTAGAGTTTCGACTCCGAACCTGCGGGAGGACATAGCTACGGGCTGTCGAGGGAACGCTGGTCGTCATCGTGGAGCTAATCAGAGGTTGATGATTATACTGGATTTGGGTGATAACCTGCGAGGGGAGGGGCAACCGAAAGATCAGTTGTACTTATACTCTTCGGGTACGGGTTCTCGCATGTTCGCCAAAGTGCAGTCCTTGGTAAGCACACCTATTGTATCCGAAGAGTTATCCATGCCCACAAAACGATTACTTGCCGTCAAGGAGATAGCCCTTCCTGTCCTTTCGATAATGTGACGTTGTAGACTGGATTATACACCAACTATGATCCTTATATGCTGAATGGTTGAGCAAAACCGATGAGCAAAAGTACCTTTCAATGTTATCGTACCATCACAAGGTTCTGATAACCATCTGATACAGATGTTGCTACTTCGGATTAAACTCTTGGGCCGGGGCTTTGATGTCTATGGGATCACCATCAGCTTAAAAGGAAATCCAGGCATTGTAGACGTCCCACCGGCTACCAGCTTGAATTTTATGGGCAACTCTAGGACGGACTCCCAAGAAAATTGACCGACACTTAGTCTAGCTCGGATTCACCTTCGTTTTAAATATACCAATGTGTGTACAAAAGTTCGTCCTCATGATCACCATTTCACCATTCTCCTCAGGCTCTCCTCTCTCCCCACGTTCCATGCAGGTGTGTAATCTTGTTGATTGCCCCATATGTGGTTTGTGCGTGCGTAGTAAGCAGACCACTCGTTGGGCCCTTCCAAGGGGTGCAGTAGGAAAACACCATTTCTGATGGATGCGAGCGAAGGAAGACAGTGCCATCGACCATTCGTACATAGATTACAGTCAGCGTGTGATGGTCGCATACCCAAAATTGGCTCCTTCAAGCCCTCGGGCTACAAGGGTAAACTCATTTGCCGCGTCTCTAGTTTTCTTCATTGATCGTGACCTGCAGTCCCTGTGAGATGGAGGAGAATGAAGGGAGGACCGTACTAACGACTGAATAGCTTTGATGAAACGATCCTTCGCCTCTGGACCTGCCTTTGATTCTACGAAATCATTCTAGAGGATATAAGAATATCGATGAGCGGGAGGGGTCCAGCGGAAGGTCAATTGCTTACGGAGTACAATATCTCCCGAACCCACACTCTACACTCCTCCGTACACCTCGATAGTAAAATCGAGAGCAGCTCCGTTAGGTTTGGAGTAACGCTCCGAGGGGCTACTCCGGCAAACCCGCACAGGACAGCCCGAAATAGAGCTTTAGCATGAGTCTGGAGGAAGCCAAGTCTTGCTTCTTCGAGCTCTTTCCGTATGAACAACTGGTTCAGCAATGTTCCCTGCAGATCAATTCCTTCAGCCCGTGTTCTGAGGCCTAAGGATGGCGACGTAAGGTCCTATCACCCACCAAGAAGTTGCATACCGACACCAGGGAATACCTCTCCTGCAGCGCCATCGATGTAAGCGAGCATTTCATCAGCGAATCCAATGCGCCCGCAGGAAGAACGAAGAATGCCATCGGGAAATTCTTCGCGACTGTATCAACGCATCCAAAAAAGTCCGTCACCACATCTGGGTTGTCCTCTAAGGCCTGGGGTTGACTCAAAAAGCTGAGTGAGGCCTGTAAAAGTATGGGGAGAGCCGCCGATACCCTTGATGTGTCCTCGGGTGTTGGCTCTGCCTTCAGGGTAAGGAGCAGTGACGGCGGGTTCATCTGCGCGATGAGTATCCCAGCGAGGGACAACCAGATGGACGTAAGGCGTCTTTGAGCAGCTAGGCAAACAAGCTCCAGGATGGGACCAGCAGGAAGCGATAGAAGGGTGGTATCCACAGGGAGAGCGGTCATAGCTTTGAAAAGCTCGCTCAACGTCTATAGTACTCTGCTGTGAGTACAAGCCGGTCTCGCGGGAATAGAGACTCTTCGAAGAAAGAAGACTTACGCTACTGACTTCCATGTCCGTAGACCAAACATCTACCACACCGGATAACACGTCGAGGACATCCTTCCGAAGTCGTACCATACGCGGCTCTTCCCTCGCCCTCTTCATCTTATCCACCTCAGCTTGTACGTCGGGGCTATCCTCGAACGCAGCCATACCATCATGGGTCCTCGTCAACCCCTTCGCAACACCCCTCAGCGTCTCGATCTGAATCACCGCCAGCGACTTCGAGTCTTCGGGCAACTCCCTCGCATTTTGCAGAGTCTGTGAGAGTTTCTCCACGACAGGGCGAACAATAGCTTCGAGAGACGGAATTTCAGCTTCTGGGGGTAGTGCCTGGATGACACTCGAGATCGACTGCAAGACTTTACCGCGCTCGCTATCTGCAACATTCACCAACCCGGCATGCAGCTCGCCGAATGCAGCTATATGAGGAGCGAGAGCTGTCCTATTTACGTCACACAGTTCTCTTAGCGCGTTTGCGGCTGCTAGGCATAATGTTGGCTCGGGAAGGGCTGCTACGACGTATCCAACGACAGTCATCAGCATCCCGGAGCTCTGATTCAGAGGTTGGGCGGCAAACCACGAGGCGTAGGTTCCTATAAGACTGAGCATCGTGCGTCGAACACGGTCGCGACCCGAACTGGGTAGACGGCCGAGTATCTCGGGCGTAAACAGGCGAGCGAGCTGCGGAGTCTTCTCGAGATCCATGGACTCTTGGATAGATACGATGCAGTGCAGAGTCGCTTCAATATCCTGCGGTGAATTAGCTGTTTGGTCTTCCTCCATCATGCAGTAGAATGGTGCTAACCTCCCATCCACCACCGTTGGTCACCGCTGCAAGCCGAGACGAGACGTCATTGAGGTAAAAGTCAAGCATGTCGTCACGCAGCACGTAGTAGCTGTTTTTGAGACCGAGGTCAATAAGCAAGCCCAGTGGCTACGCTCCATCACGTACGCATTGATCAAAGTGTCACCAACGTCCCGCCGATATCTACACATTCTTAGTCTAGACAACAGCAATGAGGTGAAAGTCAAGATGACTCACACTTGAAATTTGTCGATCTGATCTAGAAGGGATTATTGGGTAGGTTCGCGGATTCGAATATCAACGAAGCAAATTAACTTGCCTCGAGTCCATCCGGACATAGGGGCAGGCCAAACCATCTTCCTTCTTAGTACCTGCACCAATTGACTATACACGGCCCTTGACACGGCTACGACTTCGTCTTCCTTTGAACCACTTACCGCATCTTCGTCATAGTCTATGCTCCAGAGTGTCTCTTGGAATAAATACCAGAACGACAACGTCATCTCGCTCTCTTCCTCATCTACTCCGTGGTAGCCTGGAAGCGCGGTGAAGGCGAGTAACATTCGAAGAAAGTTCTGCGTGAGCTGAGCTCGAGTAAAAGGCTGTTGCGTGCTCCAGGGGAAAGTGACCGCTGGTATTGATACAGTAACCGTCGATGCAAGATTGGCAGCAATATACGAAGTCGAATGGTCACCGATGGCGGTGATAAGTTTACACAACGAGTGGGCGCGTTCGTCTATCGCGCCGTTCGCCAGGGCGCTGTCGAATGCTGGAGCAGCCATAGATATCAGCCATATCAGCAGGGGCTCTGTGAGTGTCCGAGTACCCGCCCCGTCAGAGAGAGCCGACTTGGACATGACTTCCTGAAGCGTATCGGAAGCCGCAGTAAATATATCATCGTCATCAATGGCAGCAGCGAGCAGGTTGATGAGGAGCGGGATCAAGGGCGTGATGTCGCTTGTAGGGAGAAGAGTGAGCCACGCCTCAAGGCACTTGAGCGCGGACTGCCGTTGGCGGACTGTGGTCGATGAGTTAGTGATGGTGGCCCTAATCGCTTGGACGACCATCGGCACTGCGTCTAGCAGCGATTGATTGAGTTGCATCCTGGGTTAAGCATCAAAGGCGCGCGACAAAACCGACCCAGCGTAGAAACCTACTTGCTAGGCCCCCAGATGACGGCTGTTTCTACCTCTTCCGCTACAATGGCCAAGAAATCGAGGATGTGCTCCGATGCACCTCCATTGGCAGAGAAGGATGAAACGCACGCCTGAATCCACCCTGGCCACCGAGAAGGATGTTTCGGTACAAGAATGAGGGCGAGAGATGTGAGCTGGCAGGAGAATGAGGACAGAACGGAAGTACTGCTTCAGCTGTAACGCACCGCGACATATAGCTTTCGAAGAATGACTTTATTGCTGGAGGTTGCGATGGCACGCGATGTGAGTTGAACCAGCAGGTCGCGCAATTCTTCATCGTTCTCGTGCGGAAATGCTTCCCTGCGCTGGGTAAGTCGAAAATGCCGAAGCTGTACTGTCGGTGAACATACCAGTCTCTCGCAATCTTGACTTGGGCTGTATGCGCGCCGAAGAACTGCACATTGGGGTCCGGATGCTCAAGGAAAGGGATGACAAGGCCCCATGCTGCGGGGCGCTTCTGGATGTCGAAAATTTCCTGCTGCAAACGCTTCTGGGTTTCCGGCGAGAGTCCGGCCGGGGCGTATGTGGTTTGAATTAACTAGCCAAGAATAAGCGAGCTGGTTGACGACTTGCGACGCAGACTGACTTGTGTAGCTTGTTCGATATCAGGCGTGGAGAGGACAGGCAGAAAGGACGCTGCCATCAAGTACAAGGAGAAGACAAAGCGCTGATAATAATAAGGATATTCGGCGCCACAAGGAGAACGTGATCCAAGCGTGACTCTGGAGCCATAGGAGTTGCCAGGGGTGGGCCTCGATGATCGCTGAGATCAATATTTCTCGACAGATTCCTCCAGCGTCCTTGGCCCGTTCCGTATAAGTAATCCAAATCACTATCGTGGTACTCTCCTTGCCCTGCTACGACCTTGTCTAGTATATCCATTTCCACACCTGCCGTGTATAGATGAGCATGGTTTCATGCTACACCCACTCAGCGACGGCCTCAAGGCATAAGCTGTCAAATGCATGTGCGTGTTGTGGGCCCCGATTCACACCTTAACATTATATGACTCGGGCTGAACGGTCACACGCTTTTAGTACGTCCGGGACAGATTCTTTGATGGATCAACCGATACACGCACCCAAGGAAGTATATCTCTATAGCTTTCTGCCAGTATTTGGAGCCCTTGGTCTTGAGTAAGTTGACTCCCTTGTTAATAAAGAGGATAGCAAGTACATATGGCATACATTATGGGGTTGGATTGAAACGACAAGACAAGGAGAAGGTAGATAGGGGCCAGGGATGGCCAGGGGTGAAATATACGAAAAGGTGATTCACCCCAATCAACGCGTGTACTGATTGCTGATTACCAGAAAGAACCCAAGGATGCCATGGGCCCCGTGTCACTGAGATCAACCACTGCCCATACGCTAATGATATGATCAGATCGTTCACGTTAAAAGGCAGCTATACATCTCAGGCTCTTGCTATCCTTTACCACCAAATGGTTAAGAAAAAGGCTGCCTCGTCGGGCTCAAAGCCGACTTCAGCACCAAGCAATACACCACAGGCACCATCGGACGAGCAGCCAAAGAAGTCAATGGCAAGGGAACTCTTACAGAAGGCTTTTGATGGATTGTCAGCCTTTCGCAATTTGACTAGCAGGCTAGTCCTCAGCACGGAGGAGAAGGTCGTCGTCGAAAACATTGAAATGTTCATACTCACCCAAAAACTGGCGGCAGACAAGGCCAGTACTGGCGATGATTTACTGAACTTAGAATCATACCTAACACTATTGACTATTGAATAGCCCATCGGATTCTCCTCTGTGAAACCTCATATGCTCGATGAGCTGGATATCTGTGTAGGCTACCTCGACTTCAACATGGAGAAACTATTAGATATCGCCGCTACCCGTCACATTAGTGAAAGGTTCAAGTTGGACCAGACCTATGTACGAAGCGCAGGATTATCTACGGTGCGGCTTATTGGATAGAGGTGGGAGAGATGACTGACAAACGATGGATGATCATCAGAAGGAACAACTCGCTTCGATTGCATCTGCCAACTACCTCTTCGAATCCATATTCCATACAGACTCGTCAAATATACTAAAGAATTCATTCGATGTCAAAATCTCGCCGGAGTTGACTATACCCGAGGGTATCCACAAAAGCCCCAAAACCGGAGTTCAGTATACGTTCCACGGAGTAGCCGATTTTGTCACTTTCTTAGTCCAACAAACAGAAGACCTCGACGCCAGGGATATCAAAGACCTGCTCTCCGTGGAAGCTATTTCTGGAGGGAACTTGGTGGTCGTCGAAATAAAGAGCTCACAAACTGCTTTCCACGCACCTCATCTGGCCAAGGCTATGGCACAGGCGGTGACGGCAAGTCAACACACTAGGTCCGAGTTAGGTAGTTCATATTCTTCCGTCGGTTTCTCATCTAGTCGTCAGAGAACAGCAACGATTCATCATGACCGACTCTGAACACTGGAAGTTTTGCCTCTACCAACCTGAGACCAGGACATGCTACCTATCGCCAATACTCAAGGCCGAGACTCATGGAGCTGCGGCTATTCTGACGGTGCTTGAGGAATGGGTATGTCTGGACAATGGCATATGGCATAGGTTTTATGCTAACACAAAACTCTAAATACTAACTAGGTGTGGTACTCAAACGACACGAACTCGAGGAAGGAGCTGTGGAAGCTCAGACTCAATCGAAGGCAGAAGGTATAGGCCCTCCTTTGTGAAATATGTCGTTGAGCATGCTACAATATTATGGCATTGATCCTACTAGAGGCTATTGCGTTCGAAAGCCCTACAGGAAAGCCAATACTATCCTTGATTGCAGAGTGTTCCTGTCATTATATGTCATATATAGACGACCAGACTCCTCATCATATGCCAGCTGAGAGATAAATTCAGCCTCCTGCAATCCGGGACAGATCAGCTGTGTCACTTGAATAGCATCCGAACATGGAGTAGAGTCAAGGCGCATCAACCCGCGACTCGATGCGTGGGTGACAGGAAGGCCGAATAACATGACCAGTCTCTCGTTGGTTAGACAATGAACCCCTGAGAAGTTGCCCATCGAACTTCCTTCATCGCATCCTCCACTGAACGGAAAGCCGGGCCACATGGGTTGTGCATCAACATTATATGCGACATCGGCACCATCCAAGGAGGAAGAATGAGTTGCGAGGAATCGTTTCCGTCCGGTCCATACAACGAACTTGCGTGGAAGTTGGTAAGGTGGATCTCCCATCACCACCGAAGCTACTCGAGGAGTTCAAAAGTAATCGCCAGGTCGAACTGTCGACCAAACGGATGAATGATGTACCGACGCATCGGCGACATGAGCGTTGTAAACTGGATGCACATCAGGTAATTTATAAATCCGAGTGTAGGTACCGTTGTCGTCTACCACAATGAAGTAGTTTCGCGATATGACAGTAATGGAACCCTTCTGTGGACATCGCTTCATAAATTAGGTCAGTAAAGGGACATACTAGACGTCGATATCCTTACTGGATCTTTAAGACCCATGACTGGTGCATGAAGCCCCTTCGCATACAAACGTATGTATGCAAATTGACCGCGTTCCCAGTCATTCCACAGGATTGCGAGGTGGATTGTATCGACAAACACTGTCCATATCTTCGTGTCCACAAAGAAGTGATCTATCTGTTCAAAGGTTCCTTTGTTGGCATCGCAACAATAGATTGATACATGTGTACGCGGTCTGGGAGAGAATGAGAGGGGAATTTGGGAATATAAGAAGCTTACAATGGTTTGCCACGGTCATCACGCTCATTCAGCTGTTCCAACGATACGACAGCAACATTGATGGCAGTGGAAGAGACGGGAACAACACGCCATAAGTATATGGGGTACTTGGAAGCTGGTACGAGGAGTCGCCCCTGCCCAAGGATATCAGCGTTCCAATTGTGCACTACCAGTTCCCGTTTCGAGTCTCGCAAAGTAACGAATTGATGACCGCCTGGGAGAGGTACAGGAACGAGACCACTAACGTCAAAGGAGCGGCAGGGAGTGAATGCAGCAATAGGGTCCGCTCCTCTGATTTTGCGGTCCAAGGTAGTCAGTCGCAGAGTTGCTGTTATGATCTCATGCAGATCCATTTCGTCCAAGCTAAAGCTGAGTCGAGGAATCGGCCGAACTTCCAAGATGTCGCGCAAAGCCAGCAGCCAGATTGATCTATCTCGCACAAGGCTAAAAAGTTGTTTCGAAGTCTAGTGGGTCTATTGAGAAGGAAAAAGCATGCGCCACATAACATGGAATCCTCACCGTTCGCAAATTGCATAAGTCTCGAACGGAAAGGTAATGAGATAGGACAAAGACCACGTCGTAGGGCATGTCGTTCAGAGTTTTCGGGCGTTTCCAGAAGATGGTCTTCAAATGTCGAAGTAGGACGGAACGGGTCCATTCGAGGCGCGTAAGTCGCAAGAATTGGGATGTTATTGAAGATACCATGGCGAGAAGCTCCAGGAAAACGGATGCCATTGTGGCGGTCGACTGTGGCCTGCGGTCAAGACTGAAGACAACTTGAGCTGGGCACGCGACTGGGAATTTCGCGCCACAGTTGATCGTGAGAATCGTAGCAGGCAGGTAGAAGCAGTGTACAATATATGTGTAATATACGAAAAGGTGATTCACCCCAATCGACGCGTGTACTGATTGCTGATTACCATTACCGGAAAGAACACAAGGAAGCCATGGGTCCCGTGTCACTGAGATCAACTACTGCCGACACGCTGATGATATACTCGTATCGTTCATGTTAAAAGGGGGCTGTAGACTCCAGGATCTTGCTATCCTTCACCGCGCCAAATGGCTAAGAAGAAAATCATCTCGTTGAGCTCAAAGCCAGCACAGCCATCGAGCAATACATCACAGGTGCCACCAGCCTTAGACGGAAATCGACAGCAAGGGAACTTCTGGAGAAGGCTTTCAATAGATTGCCGGCCTTTCGAAGGTTGGCCAGCAGGCTAGGTATCAGCGAGGAGGAGGAAGAAATCGTCAAGGACATTGAAACTTATATAGTTGCACAAAAAGACGAAGCAGATAAGGCAAGTAGGACTTATTTCTTCCGACACTGAATGATCATTATGAGTGATTCTGACGCTATAAACTTATGAGTAGCCGATTGGATTCTCTTCTGCCAACATCTCTATGTTAGAGGAGCTCAATATACGTCCAGCGAGGTTTGATTTCGACGCGGAGAAGCTGAAGGAAGTTGCCAAAGGTCGTGCCGTTAGCGAGAGGTTTAAGTTGGACCTGTCTTTTACACGGCATGGAGGATTATCTGCGGTATGTTGCACTATCTATCATGAGCCCCTCTGTAGTGACGACTCTATTTACCGTTCCATATTTTAGAAAGAGCAATTAGCATCTATTGCAACGGTCAACTACTTATTCGACTCGATGTACAACGCGCCGGGCATCGATCTCAGCACACTTCGCGCTAAGTTCTCCTCGGAGTTGAAATTTCCAGCGGGAACTCAAGCGAACTCGAACACTGGGGCCGCGTACACATTCCACGGAGCTGCCGATTATGTGCTATTTTTGGTGAACAATTCTGTCAACTTGGATGACAGGGATATCAGCGATCTGAAAGCGGCACTAAGTCTTTGCGCGAAAAGATTGGTTGTTGTGGAGGTGAAGAGCTTCGAGACCGTTTTCAAGCCCCAACACATTGCAGAGGCTGTTGCACAAGCTATCATTCCAAGTAGGCGCTAGCAACATATATTTGCTCTTTTTGGTTCATCCACTCGAATCTTTCAACTAGATGGAACCAACGATTCATCATGACGGACTCTACGCAATGGAAAATTTGTGTCTACCGGTGGGAAGAGAGGACATACTATTTGTCTGAGACACTCACGGTTGCCAAGCATGGAGAAGAGGCTATTCTGACCGTTCTTGATGAATGGGTGAGGACTTCGATTGGGATAAGCTACAATCACATCTGATGACTACTAGGTGTGGAATGCTGATAATACGGACTCACCATTCGAGCTTTGGTCTTTCAAGCCCGTCGAAGAGACACCCGATGTAACTACGCAAGGTTGATGTAACTACTTTACAAACGATCTACTACATAAAGTCACAAATAAACCAATACTATTCGTCTATCGAGAGTTATTTTGTCTTCGTATGCAAGACAGAGACGCCCAGATTCCTCGTCATAAGATAGTTCATAGACAAATTCGTTCTCTAACAGACCGGGACAAGTTAATTTTGTCACTTGGATGTGGGGTGAAGACGGGAAAATGTCAAGGCGCATTAATCCACGACTTGTTGGGTGGGTAATAGGAAGAGCGAATAACCTAATCAACTTATCCGGTAGATGATGAACGCCCGAAAACCTGCCCATGGAACTTGTGTCATCGTTCCCTAGACTGAACGGCACGTCGGGCCACATGCGCTGCCTGTCGACGTTATAGGTAACATGACCGTCTAGGGAGGAGAGAGTCATGATGTGTCGGCACCGCCCTGTCCAAACGATGAATTCAAGCGGAGGACCGTTGCTTGGTGTCGGTTGAAATGAGGCAACTCGAGGGGTCTGTAGGCAATCACCTCCCTGAACTGAGCGCCAGATAGATGGGTGGTACACGGGCGCATCGGCGACGTGCGTGCTGGCAACTGGGTGCATACGAGGTATTGTGAACATCCGATGTAAGGTGCCATTGCCATTAACAACGATGAAGTAGCCTTGCGATATCATGGTGATGGATCCTCGGCAGGGGCATTTCTTACAAGACCAGATCAACGACGGCTTATCAACCTTCAATGTTACTCACTGGATCTTTGAGTCTCATGATATCCGTCTGCAGCCCCTTGGTGTACATACGGATATACGCATGTTGACAGTCATCGGGATCATCCCATAGGAGTGCCAGGTGGGTTGTATCCACAAATAGCGCCCAGATCTTGGGATTCACCGAAAAGTAATCTATCTGCTTCGATGTTCCTTCGTCGGCGTTGCAGTGGTAAATTGTAATATGTGTACGGGGCCTGGGAGCACAACTGAAACTATTAAGAAAGAAGGGACAAGCTAAGATACGCACAATGGTTCGCCACGGTCATCGCATTCTTCCAGTTCTTCCAATGATACGACGACCACATTGACGGTGGTGGAACTGACGGGAACCGCACGCCATAAATATATGGGGTGCTCAGAAGGTGGCATGAGGAGTCGGCCATCTGTTAGAGTGTCCGCATCCCAATCATGTACTACCAGGTTGCGTTCGGAGTTTTGCAAAGTGAGGAAATGGCGGCCACCGGGAAGAGGCACTGGAATAAGACCGTCCGCATGAAATGATCGAGCGATCTTGAAGGTTGTGATTTGGTCTACCCCCCTAAGTTTACGGTCCAAGGTAGTCAGTCGCAAGGTAGCTGTCATAACCTCATCCAGGTCCATTTCGTCTAGGCTAAAACTGAGTCGAGGAATCGGCCGAACTTCCAAGATGTCGCGCAAAGCCAGAAGCCAGATCGACCTATCTCGCACAAGACCGGAAAGTTGTGTCGAAGTCTGGTCAAGTAGGTATATTCAGAAGTGAAAGCGTGCCCTACCATGACACAAGATGCTCACCTCTCGCAAATTGCATAGGTCCCGAACGGAAAGGTAATGGCAAAGGACAAAGACCACGTCGTAGGGCATGTCGTTCAGAGTTTTGGGGCGTTGCCAGAGGATCATCTTCAAATGCCGAAGTAGGATAATAGAAGGGGTCCATTCCAGACGTATAAGTCGCAAGAATTGGGTAGTTATTGAAGATGCCATGGCGAGGAGCTCTAGAAATATTGATGCCATTGTGACGGTTCAATTGTGGCCTGCAAGGTGTGGCAAGAGTCGAGCCTTGAGCAAGGTATGCGACTGGGAATTTCGCGCCACAGTTGATCGTGAAAATTATGGGCAGGCAGATTCTTGAACTTGATTCTCGGACTGTGCGACGTCAAGACTCAAGAAGAATGACAATAGAAGCAGTGTACAACATATGTGTAAAACTGTGGCATAGATTACAAGGTTGTATCATATAGAAAGTTCATAAGTTACGAGTAGAGAGTTGAATGTCCCGAGAGAAGTCCAGTCAGTTACAAATTCCAAGTGCTCTTTATCAAGTCGGATCCCCGTTCTGCGATCACATACGTCGGCGCCATTGTGTGCATACTCGGGTTGTAGGGCTATCGCGTAATAGTCAGTACAACTTGGATCAGTTCGATATCAAAATAAAACTCACGAAGACAGAGGCATCGACGATTCTAACACCCTTGATACCACCTTTCATCTTCAGGTCCGGGTCTACCACGCCCCATTGCGCGCCTTTGGGAGACATGCTGGCCGTGCCAACAGGGTGAGCCGTTGTCCCGCTGTTGCTCCTCACATATTCTTCAATCTCCTCATCAGTGTCGGCGGTAGCCAGAGATCCCAAGGGTTCGACGATATAATTTTGAAAGACCGGCGCAGAGACGAAGCGCTTGGCTGCTTTGACTGCTTCACGCATAGCCCGGATATCCCAATCAGTGGTGTAGAATGCGGGGTCGATGTGGGGCGCGCGGAAGGCATTGAAGCCGCCGGTTGTGTCGAGAGTGACCGAGCCGCCTGAAGGATCGTTAGAGCAAGATGGTCAGCGATGAGCGAAACACATACGCGATGTAGCAGATACTAAGTTAGTAGAGATGGTGAGCCATCTACCCGGGGGAGGTGCCGGAGAGACAAAGCCGTTCTAGAAGAAAATATGTGTTGGTGAGAGGTAGGAGCGGAATGAATTATCGGACGTACCCCGATCGCGAGTTCCAAGTGTGGTGTGTTGGGACCAGCGGCGGTATCCACTCCAGCAGGGAGCCCAAGGTTCGTCCTCTCAGTCTCATTCAATCTGAAGAAGACAACCTCGCCGATAGGCGTGACGACCAATGGTCCCGTTCCATCGGTGTTCCACTCATCCATAGCATCATCGAGCACATTCTGCTCTTGGAATACGGGATCGAAGGTGTCCGCATCCGATCTAACATTCCAGAGACAGCCCGTTGTAGGTTGATCGGTCAGGTTCCTGCCAACGCTGGGCAAGTTGACTAGCGGAGGGATACCAACAGATGTCAAGTAGCTGGAGTCGCCGATGCCAGAATTCAGAAGGATCTGGGGGGTGCCGATCACGCCTGCAGCGAGGAGAACTTCCTTTGTCGCGGTGACGGTGCGCAGCGAGCCGCTGTTAATGTCTTGGGTGTATTCCACACCTTGGAAAGTGGAGCCAGATCCGGTTTGGAGGATGCGAGAAACGCGAGCGTTGACGAGGACGTGGAGGTTCGGTCTGCTGATGAACTGGGGTCCGAGATAGGATGTTGCTGCACTGCTGCGATGCGAGCCATTGATAGCAGCTTGGAGCCAACCCAATCCGAGAGGCGTGCCGTCGTTGTAGTCGAGCTTGAAGTCGAAGATACCGCCAAGTTCTTGCCCTGCCTGGAACACCAACGGATCAAGCGCTTGGTGGTGACCAGAGAGACTGTACGAGTTGATGCCAGTGGTGCTATGGACGGAAGGATCATATTGGCCCGTAGTGTCGTGACCATCGGCTGGAGGTGTCCATTTTTCGTTCTGCATAAGCACCGTTAAGTAATAGGGTTAACGGAGTAGTACTGGGAATACTGACCCGTGCAAAATATGTCTGCACATTGTTCCACGACCAACCGGAGTCGCCGGTGACTTCGGCGTATCGATCGAAGTCGTCGGAAGAACCACGAGTATAGAACATTCCATCTACCAGCGTGTTAGCACGTTCAGATTACGCAGTGACTTCATGTGGAGCTCACTGATGGAACTGCTACCGCCCAGGACAAAGCCTCTGGCAAACGGAACCTCGGCGTTGTGCATCCCGACTTGGGGTGTGGTGGTCTGCAATAATATTTTCAGAACCGATGCGACGTCGAGGGGGTAAATTACTAACGTAGTTCCATGTATATTGAGCGGGGATTCTGGTGACAAAGAATGGGACTTTGGTCTCGAAAGCATCCTCGTTTCTGATCAACGAATGAGTGAGCAAACTCAAGACGCATTAGGGGGCACTTACGAAGGACCTCCTTCGAGGACAAGGACTTTAGTTGATGGGTTTTCTGTCAGACGGTTCGCGAGCACGCTACCGCCCACACCACCTAGGAAATTGATCAGCTTCCAGGAAGTCACCATCGGAACTGTCATTTACCTCCTACAATGACGAAGTCGTAAGAAACATCTGGCAGGTCGGCCGCATTCTTGTACAAGGCAGCTGAGGCTCCGAAAGGAAGCAATAGGAGTGAGAGGACTAGGGAGATGTGGGCTGCGAGGGATTGGAACTTCATCGTGATGCTAGCGATGTTGATTAGTGGAGATGTGGATGTAAAAGTAGCGAAGCTAAGTAGATGGGAAGGTAGGATGCCATTAAGTGCATTGTCGACCTCCCTTAAGTACCTGACAGGGTGCCGTCTCATTGCTTTGAAGGATTCGGAGCCACGACATAGAGGGTGGGCTAACCCACTCATCCCTGCTCAGTTGTTGCATTGTCGTATCCACCAGTGAGCGGTCCAAGTGGGTTGCGTATGCACCGTCGGCCTTGGGTGCGGTTACCCGCTTGACAACATCCCGGACGAGTCGCAGACCATTGTCGCGTAGTGGCATCGCGCCAGGGGTCTCCTCCGCAAATGAACATAGATGTGGATGCCCTTCGTTTCAAGTAACCGGCCAAATCGCTAAAGAATTCGGGCCCAGTCAATAGACATGTATCCCTGAAGTGATTACTAGAAATAGACAGCGTCAGTGCACCAGGATAGACCAGGGAGACTTGGCTAGTCGCTCGCTACCTAGTACGCGTTCTGATACACATCGAAAGCGTGTCCTGTGTAAAGATGATTGTCAGTGGACCGCCTCCGTAGGACATACCAGGTGTTGACCAGATGGGGGAGACTAAGCAACTGCTGGTTGTACGGGACCATAGCTTACTTAAGTCTGTCACGAACTCAACCGCCGGACGTCGCCCCAAAAATTCAGTTAACCGATATTGTGATAAGTAGATGAATAGTGGCATTCCCGAAGCGGATGTAGAAATACAAAATCATACTTTGTACCTCCGTCCAGTTTTCGTGAAGAAGGTCTGCAGCACGTATACCTGGAGGCTATTGAAGTCATCAACAATCAGATCGACTTGTCAATTCTCAGGGAAATGCACGCACATAGACATTCCGACTACAGCTAGACTCTCTATCACAGTATACCAGAACAGGCGGCTGGTATGTCTGTTAAGCAACCGTATACCATCAGGGAGCGACAACGTACTTTATAGTCGATTTCACTATTGAGAATCCACGGTTTTCGCGAGTGTGATAGCTAGCATCACAGCAGTCAGTACCGAAGGAAACGCGAAACGGTGGAAGCAGAACGCACTATTTCTGCGTGCGCTTGATATTTTGCAGCATCCCATTCAGCCGGAATATACTCTCCTCCAGCGCGCTCGTCTGCTCGGAAATTTGCCCAGGCTTAGCCGGCGCCTCTCGTCTCGGCTCGCTCTCCACCATGATATCGAAGTCAACTAGCTTCTCGGTGAGGGTGGACATGTCATTCTCGAAGCAGAAGGAGTATTCTCCGACTGTGTTGGCCGTTAGGACGTAGTCCCCTTGGCGTTCACGTACGCCGTCCAGGATGACTTTCTCCGTAGGGTCTTTGACTTCAAAGTCTATATCGAATGAACCGCCGGATTGAACCTAGGGCAACGGTTGAGAGACGGATATTGGTCATATAAGTTGGAGTAAACCAACTGCAAAGTAGAACTAAAATGCACACATGAGTGCATTGCCGACGGGGTTGAGTTGGTAACACGTACACCAATCTTCTCTCCGGCCTTGTCGACGTCGGCGAAAAAGCAGAGTCGTTCGTTAGCGCCGATGGCAGTCGTCAACGCCGATGCATTAGCTGTTCGTGTATAAGCTAGGACGTAGAGAAATGAGGCCAGAAGATACTGAAGAAACATTGCGTCTCAGGCGTTGGATGATGGTGACTTTCGTGGCTGTCAGTGTGTGATTTGGTGTTAGCAGTCACAGGATCGTGTGAATCTCTTCACATACCCCTGTGCATTTCATCTCCTCATTAACATTTTGAGGCGGAGATCAAACGTCAATACGCGTCGTAATAAAAGGGTTCAGGGTATTTACATCTCGGTATCCCATTTCTCTCCCTGACTCCCCATGCATCCTTCGCTGTTCAATATGTCCACTGCTGAATTGTACAGGCACGTCCTACATACTCTGACCTCCCTTCTTCATATCTAACCTCTCCGAGCTTAGTCAATATTTCGAATCTTGTCACTCATTTCCGCTTATTTGCCATTCTGACGCGTCAGAGCTCTCTGGCGATTCTTCTTACCACCCCTGTTCTGTTAACCTCATGACTGCGCACGATGAGGACATCTGGGAAAACCTCTACCGCGCTTATACTGCCGACTTGGGACTGAAGACCCACTTTTACTACCCGACTGGGCTTAGCGATCTATCAAAAACTCCTTCGCCCGGCTCTGAGGCGACGGCCTCTGACTCTAGTATCCTAGCTGGGTTGCGCTCTGAAGCTTCGTATACACTCTCTCCAACGATGACGTTGCTCAACGGGGCTCCGCCTTCTCCTACATGTCTGGCCTCCCCATCGACGCGCGGATCGACGGCCGCTCTTCCCTCTCTTTCTCCGATTTTTGCCGCTGAAGCTAATCCTTTTGAAAAGCCATTCGAAGGGTCGCTTCCGGCTCGCGATTGGTCGCGCTCCGTTTCTTTGGTCTCTCCAGTAATTCGAGCCGCCCCTCTGCCTCCCTCTCCCTCCGTACCGGCCCTGTCTGACATCTTGACACCTTCGCGAAAAGTGAATGGACAAAATGGTCAAGCGTTCGAACCTTCCTCGAGCACTGCGGCTATCAATGACTCCCCGGAAATACCCCTTCGTGACCTCTTTAGCCTATCCAAGAGAATACCTAATTCTGTCGTCAGCCCTCTTCTCCAGTACTCCACGCCGACGGCTATGCAGTTCGACACGTCTACTTCTCCCCTTACCCCCATGAGCGAAGTGTCGGGTTCATCTGGATCCTCCAATGGAAACAAGCGAAAAGCTACCTGGCCCGTCTCTCCCACTCCTCCACCTCGCAAAAGATTGACGCGAAGCAACAACAAGGAAAATATTCCTCCGTATGCCACTCCTCCTGCTACAGTGCTCTCGGCCTCCCCGCCCAGCGAACCTCAGACTCCTCCTGTCCACTCGGCTATTCAAAACGATCAAGATGGTCATCCACAAAGAACCTTCCCCGAGAACATCGAGATATCGAGCAAGTTTCCTCTATTCTATCGCCGCTTCCCTGCAAGTTCATACTTTCATACTGATCCTCTCGAGTTCGTCTTCCCCTTTTCCATCAAAATCGCCGCTGATTGGAACATCCCTCATAGTAACCATACTGCTGTCTTCAAAAAATCCCACCCCGGAGGGATCTATAATCCGCCTCGCGATGCTTTCGATTTGTATACCCCGCGATTTGTCAAAGGAAAAGGTCGAGAAAAGGTAGGCATGTGCCCCGTATGTGTCGAAGATCCTGCTCGTGGTGGAGAAGGGAAGCGGGTCTGGTTGTCAATGAAGTTCTCCGCGCTCAAGTAGTATGTCGTCGTCGCTCTTGCTCTATTCCTTGTCTTATGCCTCGCTTACAGAGTACAACATCATGGATTCCCTTGCTTGCTAACACCCCGAAGTTACCATATGCAATATGCGCACGGTAGGTCGTCTTATTCCAGGGTTTCTTATCGACTCACATGATGCTCGTTGTCTAGGTATCTCAGCGATGTCGGGCAGCCCATTTTCTCCCCCCGTCGCCTTGCGAACTATTGCGCGACAATCTCCTGGTAAGAAGGAGAAGTCCACTCTTCAGCAAGGAAAATGCCACAAGTGCCGCAAGTGGGTCCCTATTGAAGGTGTACGGGAAACGGATTTAAAGGTACATCCTCTCGCCTCTTCGATGATCTTCGATCTGACTCGTGTCATTCTCTGTCAAGGTCAAAGAGATTATGTGGTACGTATAGCTTCCATGGCGCACCATCGCAAACATATACTGATCCCCAATTTTCAACGCCGCTTTTTACCAAGGTGGAAGCATGCTGCAGCGTGTCACCAGGGCGGTAACCTTGAAGGCGAAGGGGATGTTTTCGTAGAAGATGAAGTGTTTCGCCAGCTATCCTTATTATGATTCTGTACACGTTCGTCGTTCCTTAAGTTAGATGCAGATACAAGATACTGGTTTCTATTCTTTCGGGTTTGCCGGATGTCGGCGGTAGAATTTTATCTGTTAGGACAAACTACCTCACGTTTACTCGGAGTGAAAGGTACTGACCTCTGGTCGATGGTAGCGTGGCCGAGTTGGTCTAAGGCGTTGGATTTAAGTTATTTGAATCCCAATGGGCGTGAGTCCGCGCGAGTTCGAACCTCGCCGCTACCATAGTGTCTTTTTCTTTGTCGCATTCGCTGCTTATTACGTCAGCCAATCAACTTCGTTAAAGTGACTTCCACCTTCACGCCTTTCTGCTTCTCATCATGGACGCTTCTCGTCGACCTGACCTCAAGCGGAAGCTCGTTGTCGTAGGCGACGGTTCGTGGCATCCCTCCTCATAGATCTGCCCCGTGACGCGCCCGACTTTTCTAGGCGGCTGTGGAAAGACGTGTCTACTCATTGTTTACGCGGAGAACCGCTTTCCTGAGGTGACGCTTCCCTCGTGTGTATATCCAGAAGGAACCTGTCCTGAGATTCACAGGCGTATATTCCGACAGTGTTCGAGAACTACGTAACCCAGGTCCAATTTGAAGGAAAAGACATCGAACTCGCGCTCTGGGACACGGCTGGTCAGGAAGAATACGATCGTCTACGACCCCTCAGTTATCCGGAGAGCGACGTGATCCTCATCGTATTCTCCATTGATTTCCCCACTAGCTTGGCTAATGTTCAGGATAAAGTGAGTGTTGTCCATACCATCCGATTGCGCGCGCGTCTTGCTGAGGGATAAACCTAAGTGGTACCCTGAAGTGGCCCACTTCTGCGAAGGCACACCCCTCATTCTTGTAGGCACCAAGACAGACTTGCGGAGAGATGAACATACACGACGGATGCTCGGAGCACAGGGGCAGGCCCCGGTGACGCCAGAGCAGGGTGCGGAAGTGGCGAAGGAGATCGGAGCCAAATATGTCGAATGTTCAGCGAAACTGGGCAGCGGTGTACACGATGTCTTCAATCTAGCGTTACGGGAGAGTCTCAAGGGCAGATGGGGCAAGAGCGTTATAAAGAAACGGTGTGTTATCATCTGAGTACTTCGTTGCTGGAGTACATATCCTTCCTTACGATGACGATGAACGATGCTTGTATACATGCTTTGCTCTGTGGACGTTAGGTTTTCATTGATGTATTTATCTTATCTGCGTACATTTCACAGACAGAGCAATTTAATGGTAACGAAGCGCGACTGCCTTCGTCATTTACACAATAAACCAATAATGTATATAAAATGAGACGGCGATGCAAAGCCGTAGTACAAAGGCACGAAGTCGGATCGTTACTTAAATTTGAATACTGCATCATCGTCGGAGTCGTCATCCATAATGGCAGCGCGGCCCCTCGTCACAGCCCTCGCTGGTGCTTTCCTGACACCACGTTGACTGGCACGGGATTCAGGCGCGGGCTGTTCTCTGAAATCCTCGTCCGACTCCAGGTCGTTTTTATCTTCCTTGATTTCATCTGAGTCCTCTAGGAACAGTGACGCCTGGGACTTCGCCGCCTGCGATGGCATCTTGCTACGACTACGAGGCTTCTGAGTCTGTTTTTCCTCAACAAGAGTAGATGTTTCTTGGGATGGATTACGATGTTTCACAGCGTCGTCCTTCCAATACTCTGCGGGGTGTTGTTAGCGATGGTAATGACACGACCCAAATTGTGAGCGTACCTGGAGCAACTGCATGATCGCTACCACCAACTGCCTCCAAGACAATCGGTGCTTTGCGAACAACATCGGTCTTCTGAATCAGGAGGATTAATCGTGGAATGGCCGATGGCACCACCGAAACATAAGTACCTTTTTCTTGAATTTCTTGAAATTAGGAACACCCTGCCATCGAGCACTCGCGGCTTCGGCCTCTGCGCGGCGTTTGGACAGATCCTTTCTGTACAGATCCATTTCGACGACCACCATAAAGTTGCCTCGGAGGTGAGAATCATCACCAAACTCCTCCAAGACTGCCCACGCCTTTGCCTCGTTCTCTCGATCTTCCCCTGCTACACGAAGCTGCCGGAAATCCTCGTCCAGCTCGATGTCGGCATCCGGCTGGTTAGCGGCGGATGCCACAGCCTTGAGGAAGGCAACATCCTGATCCAACTGACTTCCAGTCCCGGTGGATTGTGTCTCGGTCTGTCGCCTCTTTGAACTGCGGGGCAGATCGGCCGGCGGTCCAGTGGGGTTATCGTCATTTGTTGACCTCGGTGGAGATTTGCGTTTGATACCCCTCAATCCAACGCTTGGAGGCTTCGCGACAGGTGGCTGGGTCTCTTCCTCCTCTTCTCTCACGTCGGCCAAGGCAGTTGGGCGTTGAACAGAATCTCGAATGGGGTCTGATGTGCTTTGAGTCTGAGTCTGACTGAACATGTCCTCTAACTTGTCCGGGTCGCTAGCATCGAAGAGGGCTTTGAATTTCTTGAGAGGTGGCTCCACGTCGGGGAGAGAGGGCACGGCAAACAATTGGGACTCTAGTGTGTTTGACGCTGCACCAAGTCTTCGTTTCAGCCTCGACGGACGGCCCTTTCAAGCAAAGTTAAATAAATCTCTCCGAGTTCGGGTCAAATTCGTAGTACCTGGGTACCCGAGGGACTCAGCGGCGTTGGATTTGAGGAGGATTCAGGAAGCGAATCTATGACCATCGAAGGGTCATCAATGCCCAAGATCAGCGGCGCCCCACTTTCTTTGACTCGGCGAGTCAGAGCCTACGAGTTCACGAATTAGTTGGAAGAGGGTTAGCATTGGAAAGAGGGGTAACTAACGCGACGCGGTCGAGTAGGGGGATCGGCGGGTATTTCAGGAGGTTGAGAGGGTAAGGGAGGGGTTGCTACATTTGAAGGCTCCTGGGAGGGTTGTCGAGACGTTGCACGGCGCGTAAGTCTCCTTGTGGGCAGGACTTTGACCACTTCCTCTGCGTCTCTGGGAGGCGGCGAATCTTGCATGCGATGCTGGGAAGCGGATGGCAGTTGCGACGGCTCATCAGCAAGCGTATTAGGGACGATGCTTGGCAAAGGAGACGAGCTTGCTTGCGGTGCTATTGTTTAGTTTGTGGGTGAGAGAAAAGGCACGCTGAGAAGGACGCCCACTGACATCTACGCGTATCTGATGTACGTGAGGGTGGGGCGTTTGCAATGTGGGAGACATCCGATGTCATAACGGCATCAAGGAGGTCGTTGACAGTGGTGAGGGTGAGCTCGGAACTATGAGCAGAGTGAGCGAACGACTCGGAGGAAACAAGACTGATAACTTGCCTTTCCAAAAGGCCGTGTATTTCAGTCCAACCAGCATCGCCTATTGCAGCTTTGATTGCGGCTTCATCTCCTACAACCAAGAAACGCTGACCACCGCCTTTGACACGAAGTAGTCCCTTTGTGATTGCTTGATGCCACTTCGTATGTCCTGCATTGACGGGGATCACTTCGTATTCGCCGCCACCCCTGGTTACCATCTCCCTTGTATTGTTATCAACCTCTCTCCCTTTCTCGCCAGTGAAAAGGAAACGAAATCCCGTGAACATATTCACTCGCTCTTCATTGGGGTCCCATACTTTGTACTCCTTGAGGCGCGGAGGTAGTTGAGGAGAGAAAGTAGGTCGGTATTTTGAAAGGAGGGGTAGAATGAAAGTTTGCTCAAGCGATACTCCATTTGTGGGCGAGTTATTTTGAGGTAGCTCACCGAGGCGTAGAATTTCATTGAGCCAGTCAACTCTAGCAAACTTGCAAAGCGATAACAGAGATAGGGCCATAGCTACTGAGCTCGTAAACGATGGTGCAAGGTGGTGGGTTACGTGTGGATTGTGAATTTGGGACATGTGTATTCCTGTGCATGATTTACTATTTTGATATGCAGACGGAGATTAACCAGCTACTTACCTAGAGGCGCGCAGGCAGCCGCCGAGGGAATAGTCTGGCCTTTTGCAGAAGAAATGTAGCAACATATCGGCTCCCATTTCACCCTGTCTTTCTATCAGCCTTCGTGTTCTGCAGACCTCAGGGACATTGCGCACCGTATTGAAATATCCGTGACGATGGTTAATATGTCGCCGTCCTCCAAGCCCGCACGTGCTCCCGGGTTCACAGCCAGCTCTTTAGGTCCTCGAAGGAGCTTGACAATCTTATTTCGCTTGTTCACAAATTCCAGTAAGGGTCGCCGCGACACTTCTACCTGCGAAACATAAGACCATCAAGCGCTCATTGTCCGTAGGGACATACGCACGACGTCGTCAGGACCAAATGGCCCCGTAACGAATTCGCAATGCTCTTGAGAGACCTTCTTGTTGTTGATGAGGAGTGGTTGGCCCTTGCGACCCAGAAGGTATGAAGTGCCTGTCTTCAGGAGCTTCGATTCTGACGCACGAAACTGAGCCAAGGGCTCTTAGACAGCATGAGTATACGACTTACTTTTGCATTGAATGTCACCAAGCTCCCCATCAAATGGCCCTTCTAATATCCACATGTGAGGTACTGTGAGTGTAGAGATTGACTCAGGAGTGACTGAGGAACGAGAACCACACTCACGCGTTATTTGCTCTTGTTTTGTCTATATGACCGTGACTGAGAAATCATGCCGATCGCCGATCTTTGGATCTTTTGACTCTCTCGAACCATGGAATCTCCTTGGGATGATAACCCAAGCTCAGACACAACGCGGGACACCGAGTGGACCAAGATCTCTTCCGAGTTTACCAACGTTAGACCCCATCCTATGTGACGCAGCGGACCATTGAAAATGCGCGTTGTTATTAGGCCGGTTACCGCGAAGGCATCACGGCGGGGAAAGAGGCTGCTCTACAAGAAGGATTTGATGCTGGCTTCGCTAATGTCGGCGCACCTCTTGGTCGAGAGCTCGGGATCCTTCGAGGCTTCGCGTCTGCTTTGCTAAGCTACATCCCGACCTTGTCTCAACCCGGCGCGATAGATCCAAACGGTAAGCGATTTCTGTATGTTTATAAACGGAACCTTGACTTACCTAATTATATAGTTGATCTCGAACAGATGCTTTCATCGGCCAGACATATTGCATCGAGCTTGAGCAAAGTGCGATTTACAGATATTGCCCCGAGGGATCTAGAGGCCGAGGAACATGCAAGAGAGCATCTCGATGCAGAAGGTATTGATATGGAGCAGAATCCTGATTTAGAGGAGAAGCGGACCATGGAGGGGCTGGAAGATTTACTCTCTTCAATGACTACATCAGGAAGCCCGAGTCAAGCTGGCCCCAAGCGGCCCACTATTGAAGACGTGCGGTCCTTGGAAGAACAACTACAAACCATAGCACACTATGTACAACTTGATATACCGAACGACCTGAATTGACCAACTTGTATAGCATATCTACCTCATCAGTGTCCGTGCATAGATCTTCTTTAATTCGCAGTCTATTAGACACCACCTACACTACACAGTAGTCATGAAATACAATTTAAATATGTGCCTGAGCAGAATTCAGAACGAAAGTCAACGGGGTTCGACAGATAATAATGGGTATTGCCGGAGGCTGCTGTATGTGCTATGAGAACGACACTGTACCTTGGACTTTGTGTCTCTCGATAGCAGCAGATACAACTTCTCTCAGCGCCGGATTCGTACGAAGGATGTCAGCGAGTTGCGTTGGGTGTAGACTCGAAAGGGTGTTTAGATCCAGCATAGCTTTCTGAGCGAGCTCCTTCAGCAACGTTGAATCGGCGATAGATGGGATGATATCCTGTGCCTTAGCCAACAACTCTGCGACTGGCGGCACGGGGACGGGGACAGAGGCATTCGCAATCGGCGTGGGGGATGCTTGGGAAGGTGGTTGAGGTGTCGAGTTGGGGACTACGGGATCTTGCTGCGAAGTAACCTGTGGAGCAGGGACGCCCTGCACAGCCGGCCTTTGCACAGCGTATGCGTTCAGCATTGGCCCTTGATAGGGTTGTTGCCACTGTAATTGACCGGCAGCGCCACCGATCGGCGCATAGTAATATGGGAGGGGAGGGAAGCCAGCCGGGGGATGCTGGTAGAGTTGCGGGTAGGCGTATGGGGGATAGTGAGCTGGTTGAGGGGCATAAGAGCCTTGCTTAGGCCAGTAATCGTGCTGCGAGATACCTCGAGGCGTGAGTTGCAGGTATGGAGCTGGTATCGGTTGGGGGATTTGTTGGGGATGAGGAGGGGCTGAAGCAGCGGGTGGAGGGGCTACTGGTATTGTTGTAGCCGACGTTGCAGCTGACAATGAAGGGTATGTGATCACGGGCAACGTGGATGTCGAGGCTTGGGGAGTGATCAGTCAGGAAAAACGGAAGTATAGGGGAAAGTTGTTACCTTGAGGCTCTGCCACGACTTCAGATGGCTTTTGGTGTATTGGCCCTTCTGTGCTGCCAAAGACGACGCTCCCCCATTTGAATTCGCGTTTCATACCCCTATCCCACAGGACCTCCACAGAATTGCTTTCTTCGATGACACGGATAAGGGATACCTCGAACACCCCGGCGCTGACGCGTATCTTGATGCGCGCCATACTTGGGAGTGCCAAGAGCTCATTCCGAATCTTGTCCTGCTTGTTCGCCCGTTTGGCAGCAGCCACAGCCTAGAGAAATTGATCTCAGTACATTCTATCAAAGGGATGCACAGCCAACGTACTGGGTTGTGCTGGGCGCAGAGGACGTTGACCTCAAACTTCTTGATGACTTTCAGGACATCAGGAGAGGAAGGGGGTTGGTCCACATCCATGGGCGACGCAGTCGGGGTCAAAGAGGGATTCAGGCTACTTTGCGGAACGGACGATGTTAGATCGGCGAGTACCACTTCCTTCTCCACGTCTCGAATGATGGTAAACACTACTCCGTGCTCTGAACCGCCCTGGGCACAAGAAACGTGGAAAGCCTTTGGGCATTTCCCTTTGGTGCACTGTATGGGCGCACCATGCGTTTTGTCTCTGGTTTTCGAGCAAGCGGAACATTTCTAGAGCACCAGTTGTTTGATTCGTAGCCTCGGAGATCTAGCACCGTCACTCACCAAATTCCATCGATCTTTCACTATCCCATCCACCCCGAACACAGCTTTCTCTCTTGTGGTACCATCTGGGCTGCTGACTTCGTCTATCCATGTCTCAGGGATGACGTTAGCACAGATCTCATGAGCCATCCACCGTTTGGGATTATGAGCCGCTTCAACTGCGTCCCTCCGCTGCAGCGGGGGTTCATGTACACTTAGCAACCCATCCCTCGACATCGATGTACAGAGGCAACACGGGAAGTCCTCCGGTTCTGACGGTTTTGGACCAAGTTTCAGCGTAACGTGGATTTTCCTGCTTGGAGCTGACGATCCTGACGGTCCAGCGACTGGTTCGGATGGTGGCGTCGGTTTCGTCTTCGCTTTCTTGGATTTAGAACTAGATGGGTTGTCGCTCTTGCGCTTCTTCGATGAATGTCGGTGGCCATCCCTCGAAATGCGCTGTGGCTGAGGCGGCGGTGCGTAAGCTGCCTCTATGGCACGATCCAGTAGAAGCTGTGTGACGTCGATGCGGACACTGATAAAAACATAGGTAAACGTCCCAGCAAGAGGTAACACAACAGAATTACTAACCTGTCGCTGACGCATTCACAGATTTTTGCGCGCTTCCCAACATCGAGCCAACTATCAAGCGCAAAATTGACGCTCTCGGCACAATTGAGGCCCAGATTGAAGCCCGCATGATACCCTCTCGGAAACGTTACTACAATCTCGCCAGCGTGTTGAACGAGATGATTTGGCCGGCAGGCGGATTGCGCAAGGAGAGTCGGCGATGCGAGGAATGATTTATGGCGGAGGAATTGGGGGCACTGGGAAGTATCCTTCGGGAAGTACCCTGTGAAGAACGAGATGAGGAACAAGAACACGTCGCATCCGGACAACTTACCACGCATAGTCTGTTCAAGGGCTGCGGCTCGTCCTTGAGGGACGGCATACCAAAACTTCGGTGCGCCGAAATGAATATAATTAATGCTGAATAGGTCCATATCTTCGACATGCCACGCGAATGTCGCCCTCCACATGCCGAAATAGAGGTAAGGCGTGTTGACACCAGGCAAACCTTTGTCAGAGGACGGTAGCAGTCGAGAAAGTGTTGACTCTAAATGACCGACATTCCAGTGCTTCGTCTCGTCGGTAAACAGAGAACCTGCACAGTCATGAGATCCTGTCAACGAATATCTGAACATCTAACCGACCTTGGGAATCAGCACCGTACCATGCAGGCTTGGAAAGCCCGCAATTTCGCCAGTATTGCCGTTCCAAAGAGTGGCAAAATTCTGGAGTATAATCGGTCGCTTTGGTGTTTGGTGGTAGCCAATCTTTGTGGGGATCGAAGGTTTCAAAGAATTTGGAATCGCGCGCCGCTTTATCTGCAATGCTTGCCTCGCGAGCTTCCTTCGTTTGAGTATTACGTTTCGGTCTGGGTTTAGATGATGTGTCCTCGGCAGTTGTCGGTCCGCTAACTAGAGATTCGGCTTCAGGGGTAACTGGTGTGCCAATATGGTGCGGAGAGGATATAGATTGGTACGGCTGGCCAACAGAAGCACTCCGTAGCGTTGAAGCATCATCTCCGCCGTTATCAGGTTCTTCCTTGACCACGATTCCGTCGCGTTTATCCTCTACCTCAACGGAGTGCACTCGAGCTTCATCAGCTGGTTTCTTGCGACCGCGTCTCGGCTTCTGTTGCATAGTAGCAGATCTTGCATGAAGCCCGACTTCTTCGATGGCAGGAGCCCGAAACTCGTCCTTACTACACAATTCGACCCACTCCCGTACGCTCATATGCTTCCGTTTCTCGACATTCTCTTGACGAAATAGGCCACCGCGTCCGAGCATATGTTGTTCGATGGGTGACTTAATTTTAACTTGCTTCAGTGGTTCGGTGACGGATGGTAATGAATCAGTCCTATAATTGTTTCTGCGTTAAGTAACGAGGGTTATGTCTCAGTGGATCTAACTAACGCACCATTCCTGAGGCGGTATGATCTTTACAATGCCACTGCGTGCCCCCCAACATTCCACTGTCCTCATATACGCTTCGAAATCCTTGAACTCCTCCATTGTTGGCTTGAAGACGGGTATTCCGCGATGAGCGAGAGGATCGTCTTCGGGAATGAGCCAGGCTTTCACATCAGAATGCTGAGAGAGGGGATTTGTGGGATCAGCTCCGTAGAAGTGGTCTGGCTGAGCGATTGCCAGTGGTTCTGGCGACGGTGAGCTTGAGGGACTTGGTGTTAGAGACGGCGTCCGGCTCAGGCTCGCCATGGATGCAGGTGTCGGAGAGCGCTCAAGAGCTGCTACGGTATGTGGTCTTCAGTGATCTTTGCGGGCAACGTGACGTGAATGAGAATTGTCGGATGGTAAATGTGGCGAAGAGATTAGAGTTGGCTCAGCACCACCATTGAAGACGATGAGCCCCAGTCACGTCGGAGTTCCAAACGTCCTAATGCGGTCGAGGCCGCGCCTAGATGCCGGAACCGCCGTGGCCCGTGCACAAACGCGTCCTCCAGACAACCTTTCCAGCGCGTTGAACATCCCCTGCAACCGACGGCTTGCCAACAAAGCCACGTCGCCCGCCTCATACGATCCATACGATGCTGCATCCTGGTCAGTGTCGATGGCACTAATTTCTGGAATGATTAACGAATTAGACGATCCAGCCTCACTCCATGCCCTCAAAACATTTCAAGAGCTTGTAAAGCTCTTGCCATCAACAGAACAAGCCAAGGTCAGCAAGACTGCAACTTGCCACTCTTTACCTTCTGGCGAGCTGGACGATTGATTACGGATCTCTAGCCTCAAATACTTCTTCTCGCTGGAGGCATTTTAACTTACCGGGATGATACCGGCACGTTCCTCAGGCCTCAACTCCCGCGTCGTTCACGGGACTGATTCATTGATGCAGACAGAGAAATCGTGTTCAGACAGGAATCTAATTTCTATTACTTATCGGGGTGTCAAGTTCCGGGATCGTACCTCGTCGTCGCGTACCAGGCGGGAACATCGTTGGCGGAGACGCCGTCCGTAGATCTCTTCATTCCGAAGGCCGAATTGGCTGATATGATGTGGTCTGTTCCTCCGCCTTCTATCGAGGACGCTGCCAAGATACACGACGTTACCAAAGTCGATCACTCAGCAGCACTTCCTGGCGTGTTGGAAACCTTAGCCAAAGCCTATCCTGATGCTTTGTGTCATACCCTTCCGCGAGGATCACCTCTCTTCCCAAGCCTTCCGGGCAAGTATACTGATATACTGCTCACCTCCGGAGACAAGACGCTCGCCGTCACCGACGCATACCTATTGCCAGCCCTTCAACGTGCTCGCTTAACGAAAACAGAGGCAGAGATAACTGCTATCAGGCAGGCCAATCAGATCTCTTCTAGGGCACACGAGGTGGTCATGCGAGTCCTTGGAGCGGCAGTTCGAGGGGCGATCACCAAGGCCGAAGGTGCAGGTGTTAGCCGACCGCTACTCCCTGGAGAATGGCTGATTGAGAAAGAAGCTGAAGCTGAAGCAATATTTGTAGCGTCATGTCGAAGGGAGGGGTAAGCTGGATATGGATTCCCCCTAAGGTCCTCATTGACTCGTGTACGCAACAATAGCTCGGTGCACCAAGCCTATTTGCCTATCGTTGCGGCATCGACTCGCGCGTCAACGCTCCATTACTGCTGCAACGATCGCGAGTTTGCGTGGGGTCCAGTGAAGCCACATGACCACCACAATGGTAATGACTTGGCGCATAGCGACAAGCATTTGGATCCTCAGGTGCTACTCATCGATGCGGGCTGCGAATGGAACTGTTACGCATCCGATATCACTCGCACCATGCCCGTTGGAAACGGAGGTAAATTCACACCGGAAGCCCGGGCGATCTATGAACTAGTACTCGAAATGCAGAAGGTGCGTAATCTATGTCACTCTATGCACATCTCTCGAAAGCCAACATACATACAGGAGTCCATGAAGCTTCTAAAACCAGGTCTCCATTGGGACGATGTACAGCTCCTCTGCCATCGCGTCCTCATTAAGGGCTTCCAGGCTCTTGGCATATTCAAGAGCCCAAGTTCCCCTGGTTCGGGTTCATGGAACTCAGCTGAAGCCATTCTAGCTTCTGGTATCAGTTCAGCATTCTTCCCTCATGGTGTTGGGCATTCATTGGGGATGGACGTACACGATGTCCCCGAAGCCAGCAAGCCAGCTGTCAACCCAACTATCCAAATTGAAGAGACCAAAGGCCACGAGAGCTTCTATTCATTCCTACGACTTCGATTGCCTCTCGAAAAGAATATGGTTGTGGTGGGTAGCACTCGTTGTAAAAATACAGACTCGATTTACTGACCCCCATATTATTCTAGACGGTGGAACCCGGTTGTTACTTCTCACCTCATCTAATTGCGCCCGTGCGCGATTCAAAGCAGATCAACCTCGACGTGTTGAAGAGGTACGAAGGAGTAGGCGGCGTGAGGATTGAAGATGTCGTCCTGATCACGGAGGAAGGATATGAAAATCTTACCACCGTGCTGAGCGACGTTGCTTGGATTGAGGGCGTATGCTCCGGCGAACTCTGAAAATAGGAAGAATATCGTACTTGTAAGTTGAAATGGTTGGTCAAATTCAATGTATAGGTCTGTGTTGCTATGGGTCTTCTACCAAGGACGGGTCCATGCCAGTGGGTTCTATTTTACTGAACGGGAGCATCCGTCTCCGACACTGATCTGCACTGGTGCTATGGACCCGTGCTTTTGACGCGTTCTCGACACGGGGACGAAATATCCCTCCGTGAATAGCTAGCATGTCCTTATACTCGCGGACCTCTCCGGTGGCAGCGGAGGGACTTTCCTTGCTTTCACCCCGTTCCATGCTCCGACGCTCATGTAGGATGATAGCATGTATCTCAACTATACAGGGTCAAGGATTCCCTCTGAAGGCTTCAGGTACGAACTACGTACTTGAGGTCGGTTTCCATCTCATCGCGTCCTCTTAACAGGAAAAATCGATATGCGCTAGAGATGGCGCATCCTCGTTCACATCTGACTTTCCGAGGAATTCGCTACGCGCGAACACGAAGATTTTCCTCCGTGAATATATGGCGTGTATCGATCCTCGTGGAGGTCCTCCGGTGGCAGCGGAGCGTGCTTCCACCCCATCCCATGGTCCTTCCACAACGAAGTCAGCCCCCGCCTTTCCAACTCGGACAAGCGTTCCTTGAGGCCCGAGGCACGAACTGAAGTGCCAAAGGTCGGCTGTGCCTATACGTCACAGCTTGTCCTCAAGGCCTCAATATCAATGCCAACGATCGCCTTCCCTCTGTCCTCCAACCCTTCTATGATAAGCGATGCACTATATCATGGGAAGTCAACCGTACTCGTCCCTAGAGCCGCCCCCGCCAAGTGTTAATTAACCAGCAAAGCAAAACACTGTCTTGTAACGGCCAAGATACCTAATCTCAGTGGCCTCTCAGCCAGTGACTCATCTCAATCCAACCAGTATGCAATTGTTGGCATAGCCATATAGCTAAGGGAGTCTCCCCGGGCAAGGTGCCCCAGGCCGCATTCCAGCCGTCCCTTCACAGCGCCCATGAACACTCATTCATCTCTGAGAGTCTTGGATCGCCCCGCGCCACGAGAATCCCTGGAACTGCTGGAACTCGATTGCTTTCCATGCAGGCTTTGACAAGAATCGGCCGCACTGTGCGCGTTTGACAGGACTATCTACATAGTACGAACTACTCTCCGCCACTTTTGACCTACGCATGGTTATTAATCTAGTTTATGGGTCCTATAGGTCAGATATTTTCAAATACCTTGCACAGCCCCGTGCGATGAGCGATCGACGATTACATCCACAGCGATCATTCGTATCCGCTACATCATTTAGCTCCCTATCTTCGGAACACAGTCACCGTATGTCTTTAATCGTCATTTGTTTCAAAGCAATCATTCATACAGACCATAACTGCCGCATCGTGCCAGCCTTCTCCGCAGGATAAACTCGACTTCGTCGGATGAACTCGTTGGAGCATTCAGGAGTCTCTTGAATAATCAGAACGCACCCTTGTCTGAACTTTGTCGAGGCATTCCGTGAAACAGCCAGATAGGCGTTCAAACTATTGTAAGTTAGCGCTCTTTGTTGTATATCGATCTCAATGCACGTCTTGACGCCCAATTTTGATTGTTTCTGTACATCGGGTCGTGCCCAAGAAACGAGGACGTTTCATTGGATGCTGTGCACATATATCTAGCACACAATTACCCGATGGATATAGACTGGAATGAACATGCACATAAACTCTCCCAAGGCAAAGGTTGTACCTCGATGTAACAACAATACAAGGGCATTCAACGAGACTGGCACTGACTTGCATTTTTATTTCCCTTAGAGCGCAAGTTTATCTCGGAGTCCAAACTCAAGCGGCTCCTAATACCACGGAAAGTGGCTGTCCGACAGGCACATACCGGTTTGACATGCAGGACAAATGGCCAGGCGCCAGCTGATAGAATTCCATCCAAGGATCCGTGCGAAAGTTCGAGGTAAATTGTCAGGGACCTCCGAATGTTCCATCCGCTGTACCTCCTCCAGTGCGCGTCAATATCGCTTCTACTTGGTATGACTTGACTCATGCTCTCCATTTCCAGCCTCAATGCACACATCATACCCGGCGTACGTGAATGCAAGAAAACAGGCATGATATATCAAAGGTATTTCGGAATCATCCACAGGTGTGGGTATAGCCGCTAAGCTAGTGCCTCTGCATCCGATCATGCTACCCCTGATTCACCCAATCCTGGATTTGCTTTTGAATTGTTTGCAGTTTCTGTCCATGTCCGCGACAAATGCGCATCGCGATCTTGATTCCAGATTACACGTATCCTGAATCCAGTGATCAATACTCGTGCCCCAAGGAGCCCTTCCCGACGTAAACCCTTGAATACCGCGCTCTGTCCACGCTCTTATACCTTGAATCATATTTAGTCGAGGCTGTCCAACCCTTCACTTCACAATTAATGCTCTAGCTCTTTAAAACCATGTCCCTCGTCGTATCTCCTCCATACCATTCCCGCCCATCCTCGAAAGCTTTCATCGAGGGCTACACATCTTCTATACGTCCACATCTAGCGTACAGTGCGCCCATGGACCCCTTCGCCCCTAATGGACGAAACTACCCAGGTGCGCGAAACCCGTCTTCAAATGCCCAGAGAATGCCTAACATTGTCGCCCTCACGTGTTCTTTCACGAAGATTCTAGCGACCAACAGCGCCCAAAAGACTTCACAGCTACAACCACCACCAACGTTATGTGGGATTATATGGCGTCGAATGCTTCACCAACATCGCCTCCTCTCCAGTATCCCGATCAACGCCGGGTCCGCGACGGTCAGTGATCATCTCTTCCCCTTCCTTCGTCCCCGCTAAGCAGATCGTACAGATAGGCTGTGGTCTGCACAACATGCGATCCCTTATGCATCGACAGCTCGCCAAGGTATGATATAGCTCGTTCTATGTGCTGCATAGGCCTGAACAGGGATCTTCAGGAAACCATTCAGCAAGCACAGGTCCTGACGCCGCCTGGTCAAACCAGAACTTTTCCTCGTCTAACGATCACGGCCTAGTCTTGTCTCCAGATATCCCATCCCCATCGTCTGGCAGCTCATCGTATCAGGGGTGGGATTTTGTTGATTCACAAGGTCAGTGTTAATGAGATTCACGATGGATTCCCCTCATGTCTATCTCGTAGCATATCCCTCTCCCTCCAGCGTGGGGAGCCACAACGAGTTCTTTGTGGACTTTGACTTCCCTCACACTCTTTCTGCTGAAAACTTGACACTGCCTTCGCCTGACCGCCTTCTGGTGCCACCAGCTCCTTCGCCCAAGCTCAGTAGCTCCGCTCCATCCTCGTGCCTATCAACTCCAGCATATCGGAGCACACAATTATCAGATCCACCCAACGAGAAATCTCGTGATATGTCACCGAGTGGGAGCATGGATGATCCCCAAAATTCACGTCGGCGATTCCCTTGCATTGTTGCCGGCTGTTCGCGGCGGTTTACGAGTCAATACACGCTGAAGGTCCACGTTGAGGCGCACAAACCCAAGCCTCGCGTTTCCTTCCCTTGTACTCTGGGCTGCTCTGAGCGGTTCTCGAGGCAACACGACAGGCTGCGTCACGAAGTCGCTAAACACGGCAAAGTCTGCGAATTCTCGTGCAACGAATGTGGACGGTTCTTTTCCTCTCAAAAGACGCTTGGGAATCACAAGTGCCCGGTAGCGCAGGGTGGGACCCGATGGGTCAACTCATGACGGATGCTTATCTTACACAAAGTCCGGGAGAGTGGCAGATTAGTGCTATTCGATCTGGTGGCGGTCGCTGATTGGACTTCGCGGACCTAGCTCGCACACCAACTCGGATACATACACGTTGAACTAGTCACCGTTATTTAAGAACATTTTTGGTTCCGGGTTTTAGCCATGGACAAGGGTAATTCAGTAGCGAATAAATGTATCATACATAGGCCTTGCTAGCACCGATATGTACACCATTCAAAAATGCAGGGGAGACAAGGGAAGCTCGATGGAGTTCGGCTAAGAACGGAAGAAAAACAAAGTAAGTTTTCTGATTTTCAATACTTGCTGGAACAGATCATCTATATTTAGTATCATCAACAGCTCTCAAAATATTCTGACGAAGTCACGAAGCTAATGGTCCATCATGTCGTGATGAGTCCTGGGAATGGGTTGTTATCGACGACTTGACTATGGATAACGTTGACAGGAAGCTCTCAGTAGCTATTGTGTACGTACGCATTTGTTTCTAGCGCAACAATTGGTAGCTTATGTCCAAGACACTAGGGGCGGTGGTATAGGTGGATTGACGTTCGCTCTCGCGCTAGGCGATTGTAAATCGCTTCAGGTCGACCTATACGAAGCGGCTCCAAGACTTGCAGAGAAAGGCGCAGGTATGTGGAGAGGTTCCGTAACAATTCCGCCAACAACATCCGCTGTCCTTGTTCGTATGTTAATTAATGTAACCCTGCTAGGCATCACCCTATGGGAACGTGGTTGGCAAATTATGAAGCGTCTCGGCGTTCAGGCCGACATGGACGGCCTGCTGCAGTCGCCCCGAAATGACACAGAAGGTGGATGGGGTCACCGTGAGCTGTTAATAGATCACTGATCAGAGTGTACATCTCTTTAGCGCTCACCTTCGAGTTTCGTAAAGGGGATCAAGAACCCGGAGAGTCCTTCTACCAGCTCTTCCTCAAGGGTATGTACTCCCCAACCAGATGCTGTATCTCCACGCTGATTGAATGGAACGACGTCAGGCGGTCCGATAAACTACCACAGAGCGGAGCTTCAGAGCGTTCTTCTCAAACACATTAGCCCTGCCTGCCGCTTCCACCTGTCTCGGAGGTTATCGTCTTACTCTGAGCGGGAGGACGGGGTCCATCTGAAGTTTGAGGATGGCACCACGGCGACTTGCGATATTTTGGTGGCAGCTGATGGTATCAAATCTGTGGCCCGAGGAAACATGATGGAAGATCAGGCAAAAGCTGCTGATGCCCAAGGGGATGATGCATCTCCCTACCTTCAGTGCATTCAACCGTTCTTCAGCGGGTCAGTTGCCTACCGCGGTTTAGTGCGAAGCTCCATTCTACGTGAATGCATGCCCGATCACCGCACTCTAACAACGCCGACCCAGGTTAGCTGTTGTCAGTGCTTTCCTTGACGTATGGCTAATATTGTCTTGGGTTTAGTACTGGGGAAAGAACAAGGTACAGCTTCCTCTATCTCCGCAAGTTCTGCCTCACGGTTTTGATACTTAGCACCTCATTGTCTACCCTATCTCACAAGGACGGTTTGTGAACGTGGTAGCCTTTTGTTCAGATCCAAAAACCGAAGGAACTGTGTACGATAAACCTTGGACAAGGGTTGCAGAGAAAGATGAGCTGCTCAAACAATACGAAACTTGGGAGACTGAAGTCAAAGTCCTCCTGAAGGTACGTCGTACCTTCCTTTCAGCTTCCTCAAGTTAGTGAGGCCTATCTCTAGTGCCTCGATGATCCGACCATGTGGGCTATCCATGCGCTGAAACCCCTGCGAAGTTATGTCTCTTCTCGAGTTGTTCTCATCGGTGATGCGGTACGACTATGTCTCCGTTTCTCATGTCGCGGTCGTACTCATCGACCGCAAGGCACATGCAATGACGCCTCATCAGGGCGCCGGTGCTTCGCAGGCGATCGAGGTTTGACACCGTCACCTCTGTGCTGACATACTAGGTGACTCACGATACGTTCAGGACGCCTACATCCTTGCTGCTCTCGTCAACAATCCCCGTTGTACAATAGCCTCTGTCCCCGACGTCCTTCGCATCTACGATAGTATCAGACAGCCTTTCGGAAACCGTGTGCAGGCAGCCTCAAGGCACCAGGGACAATGCTATGAACTCAATGGACCAGGATTTGCCCATATCCTACCAGGGGATAAATCAGTAACATCCGAAGCTCTTAGAACACTACTCCAGGACCTGATCAAAGGATGGAATTGGCAGTGGTCTTGTTCAGCGGAAACGGACAAAGAGCAAGCTTTGTCTAAATTGTGCGAGATTGATTTAAGACGAGCAGGGTAACTTTGATTGTCTTACACGGCCGGATGGAGGATATTGTACGGTTCTGTTGTACCCGAGTACATGCGCTGAGAAGATTCCAATGACAAAATGAATAAACCAACGTCTTCACCGAAAGCAATCAACTGCCAAGTCGGTCCCTCAGTTACGCGGGACCAGCACACGTTGAGCAGTCTGTCCCTATGATGCACGATCCGATCAGGCTGGTTGGGCCATACCACACAGCCCAAAACCAAGATACTTCCTATGTGCAGCGTTCCAGCCTGACAGTCAGGCTGATCAGGGAAGACGGAACTCGAAAGTATGTTTGTTACTTACTATAACCGATTCCGACGAGTTCCGTCGGTTATGAATTCCAACACAGCATGGGCTAGACCACCGGACCCTATCGTACTCCATCATTGTCTCGAGGCGGGACCAGACCAGGACCAGCGTTCTTCGACGTAGCTAGAGCATGATTTAAATTACATGCAAAATCATTATGATAATCGTCAGCCACAACCACAGCCACTGTGGAGCTCGCTGTGCTAGTATTTGGCTTTGATCTGAACACCAAACAAGTGCACCTGAGATTTTGATCGAGACTCACTCTGGCAGTAAATTCCATCTTAAATTGAGGTATTGTTCAAACTGACCGTCGTAACATACATAGAGCCCTAAGGCTTCGGTTATGTGTCCCGTGAGACTCTAGTGTACCTTGGTTCTTCAAGTTTCAACCGCTTTGGGACCTGGGTTGCGCGGCGGCGGCGGCGCCACTGTGCAGTGTCAATGGCCTTTATTCCGTAACAAATGATGCCGAGGAGGTTGAGCGGCTCGATCCCATCGTTCACGACTCTTGTAGTTTAGATCTTGTGAAGGTACGTAGTGCCCACCATGGCGTTTGGACACTTGGTGCCCCCCCTCCTCACATACTGTACGATTTTTATAAGTCTCCCTACTCCTCGAGTCTAGCCGTATTGACTGTGTGTCAGGTCTCCAAAACAACGGGTACCCGTGGTGCTATCCTCTCGGAGGTGCTCTAGCTTCCGGCATCTGAGGAGCCAATCGTACGTACCTGCTCGATTTAATTCACTTTGGTAAGTTTCAGCGGGAAATATGGCAGTATAATACCTATTGGCCCCTCTGGAACCAAATTTCCTGCTTGATGGCATCCAATGCAAACGAAATTATGCCATAAAGTGCAACGTGCATGATTGGCCCTATGTACCCTACATTTGGTACGGTAGTCAGGCAGCCAATTAGACTTGGGCGCAGTACGTACAGCATGGAGCCTACCAATCGTCCGTCAGAATGTTCGACGAGACAATCGCATTGAATTGGAAACTTCAATGGACCTGAAGTCGAGTGGCGGTAGCCTATTTGATCACCGGGCTATCGGACTTAGGGGCACCTCGAGCGTTCACCACGACTTGTCTTGGACTGTTACACACAACCGGGGACCTGAGGCCTGTGCACAGCATCGCTTCATCATGCCGTTGAGCAAGGAGGACATGAATTCCTTGTACGCAGAGCTGCTCAACCGTCTCGTTGAAAGCGGCGAATGGGATCGGTAAGATTCCTGCATTAACGGATGGGTATTTGAATTTTATGCGGATAACCGTACGGTGATTAAATTCAGGATCAAGGCTGTTTTGGAGGCGAAGCTGAACGAAACTGGCTGGAAGGATCAGGTGAAAGATCAAGCGAAAGGTGATTCAGATATTGTTGGAGGTTGACCTGAAGGCCTTCTGAACTGGCGAGTTTGTTTTAGAGCAGGCTAGACAGATGGAGGACCTTTCGTTCCAAGTATTGCTGGACAAGATCAAGCCTACGGCAGAGGGTAAGCCGGGTTTCGTTCCTCCAAGATACGTTCTCAACGATATGGAGTAGGTATGGTGACACCAGCGGTAAAGCGAGAAGTAGTCGCGATGCTTCGGCAACAGGTAGATAGGCAATGTGAATAGATACAACACATATCGTCAATGCGTCGCATACTAGCTTATTTCGTCGAGACTGGAAAATTGTAGAGCAATAGCGCACTCAAGAGCGGCAGAGGTGACAGAGGTGACATTGGCGCGTCGGACGCGTCGTGAGAAAAAAGTATTCTTGCCCTCCTCCGTCATGCTTCGGGTCGCCTTCAGAGCTCCCATACGTGCTACGACCTTATCTTTCCGTTCATGGCAGCGCTTCAACTCGACCCAAACTCCGTACGGTCACTCCCCCCCCTTTGCGACGTCCCATTGCTGATATGTTTGCAGGTCAGCGACAAAACTTGGTTCGGCACCTGCAACTTCGGGTGCTAAGCCCGGAGCGGCGGCTACACCCATAGGCAGAGCAGAGGCGAGCCTGGCGTCAAGCGTCTCAGCGAGCGTGGATGTCGAGTACGTCCTTGCTTGCTTGTGTCTTTGCTTCGTGACCGACGTATTCTAGGGTTTCTTCCGATGCGAATGAAAGCATTGAAGAGTGCGTTTCTGCTTGTCTCTTAAAACATTCCTGGGGTTGATATTCTTCGAAGTGACGAAGACGCTATAGACGAGTCCCTGTTGTTTGCTTCGGAGACCGAACCCGTCCAGTAAGACCTCCCCCCATACTTATTACAGTGACTTGAATTCGGAATTCGTCCCTCAGACCAGCGACATCAGAAGAAGAGTTATTTGGTACTAGGTGCGACTCAACATGGAGACTTAAGTACTTTGAGGTATTCACTTTCGTGATAGAACACCTGGCTCCCAGTTGGACTCCGATTCTCTTCCTCGACCGTACTCGTCCTTGCCCGCCAACCCCACTGAAGCCGAATACGCCTCGGCTCTCATTCACGGGAGGTCTATCCATCTGCCCTATTACCACCCCCGAACGCATGATATCCCCGCCGCGTCCATCCAGTTCCGCTCACACCACCCTCGTCTCCTGGATCTCTTTACCCACTTCGCCTCCCACGCCGCCTCTTCTCTCGGGATACCCATCTCCCGTGTGGCTTACCTCCCGACGCAGCGCTCGCTCTGGACTGTCCCCCGCAGTCCCTTTGCTCACAAAAAATCGCAAGAGAACTTTGAACGACGTGTGCACAAGCGCGCTATCAAGGCGTTCGATGCGGACCCCGAGGTCATTGACCGGTGGACACGATATCTCAGACGGCACGCGTTGGCTGGTGTTGGGATGAGGGTGGTAAAATGGGAGAGGATGCCGCTGGGTGTTGGCGCCGACCGATTGCTCTCAGCCATGTCGGGTTTGAGCCAGAGTGCGGTCAATAAGGAGAAGATCAAGCAGTTGGGAGATCAGATCGTGCGCCAGGAGATGGCTGTGTTGGAGAAGGAGGCGGAACCCAAACCGATTGAGACCCCTTCGACAAATTGACTGCGGTAGAGACGTTATTGGTATTTTATACGCTATCGTAGGAACATAGTTGATATCTTTCTGCAGCGTTCATCTACGGATTAGATAGTGTGCTGCTCTGAGCTCCTTTTACAATGTCATACGTTGGTGTAGGCCCACAATTCCTCGCTCGGTTGAATCTGTGTACTGGGACGCCGTTTTGCGTTCGTTCAGCAACCGTCATGACTACGAGGTCGCAGAGGATACGGAGTCATCTTGCCCGCGACAAGGCTTAGGAATACTTCTATATAGCTAAAGTTTGCAAAGAATAGTGTCCCGATACTGCTCACATTTGAGGGGATATGTATCATTGATCTAAACTGTGGACATTTGTGAAGGAAAGTATATTGAAGGATCGAGGGGTGGCTATTGTTATTTACTTCCTTAATGAAGCACCACCACTCTACAGTCACCAGTTATAAGCGATATATGTCAGAGCTAAGAGACACTCACCAGAATAGCATCTATCTCAAAGTCTGGTACGTATCGAACCCGCGGTTTCCAAAAGCGTTCCGGGGCTTCCCAGAATTCGGAATACACCTGCTTGCCAGAGCCAGATGACTTAGACGACGATGAAGATGGTGAGGGTGACGATGTCAACTGAGAAACTGCTTTGGATATGATAGCAGACTTGTCCCGTAAGTCAACGGGTGCAGCGGGATGGAAATGAGGGATCTCCGGTGCTTTGGGTAAACGAATCTTCAATAACTAGACAACGCAGAAAATGGGAATCGATACTCACTTGAAGGCCACTGGCGACGTCCGATGAATTTGATGAGAGGCTGGTGCACGGCCGCAAGGCGTGCTCGTGTTAAGAACATAATGATGATGGAAAGCTAAGGCCTCTCCGCTCCGCGCCAGCATCGGCAACCCGCGTCGCTTTGGTTGTGTTTGTTCTAGGGGACGACACCGTTTCTCGAAGTGAATCAAGAATAGCATAATGCTACCATAGTGGGTGTACCTTCTAGAGTAGATCTTTTGCTAGATAGAGTGGAATAACAGTATAATTTGCGTTTTCAGTTGTCTCTCCGGCAATACTTTCAGAATTCCCAAATCCTATGGTAAAAGGGTACAGGGGCTACGGGTGGTCACGCGGGCTCGCGCGTCGCCGAAGTGTACTCTTCCTCTCCATGCAGTACTCTACATCATCCCACCATTGCGCATTGAACATCGCGGTGAGATCGGGAGCTATTTCCAACATAGCTCTCTTGTTTTCACATCAACATCTGGTGACCAGCATAATAATTCAGGGAAAGTTGAATTCCATTCCTAGGAAGGCCGATGTGTGAAAATATTACGTCAGGAACGCGAAAGGGTTCCAACTTCCCTTGGTTTCACTTCACCTTCGTCACTTCCCCCCGGAATTCCACCATGAACGACCAATACACGTTTGGTGGCAAGTATCGACTGGAACAAGAGATCGCGAATGGAGGCTGCGGAACCGTCTTCCTTGGTGTCCACACCGTCGCCGGCAAAGAAGTCGCCATAAAGCTCGAGGCCGCTTCGTCGAACCAGTCCCATCGAAATGTTCCGTCCCCGTTGAAGCAGGAGTCCAAGATATACAAGTCGCTCATGGGCGGTCCCGGTGTACCTTGGATAATGTGGAGTGGGAGAAAGGGAGACTATAATGTTATGGTCATTGATCTACTTGGGCCATCGCTGGAGGATCTATTCAAGATGTGCAACAGACATTTTTCGCTGAAAACTGTACTTTTACTTGCTGACCAGCTGGTGAGTGACTACCCCACGTGTATGGCGCGTAATTCAACTGTCCATAGATTTCTCGCATTGCGTTTATTCACTCGCGAGACCTTGTTCACCGAGACATCAAGCCCGCGAACTTTGTAATGGGGACAGCCAAGTCTGCCCACCTTGTCAATGTAATCGACTTCGGTCTAGCCAAAAAGTTTCGCGACCCCCGCACGGGCGCACACATACCGTACCACCAAGACAGCATACACGGCGTTGGGACTTCGTTGTTTGCCTCTATCAATACGCACATGGGAATTGGTGAGTTACTTGAGTATTGCTACTTTCTTGATTCTGATGAATGCCGGCAGATTGTTCTCGCCGTGATGATTTGGAATCGCTGTCATACATGCTTATATATTTTTTGCGTGGCACACTTCCGTGGCGCAAAATAAGGTACCAGCCGCCCTTGTCGACGCCTAAACCCTCTCCTCCGTCTCCCCCCAACATCCCTTCGACGCCTTCAAAGTACTCTATGGACGGTCCTTCGACGCCCCCGATCCCTATGTCCTCTCCCCCCCAAATTGCACTCTCTCGTTCTGGGTGGCGATCATCGTCTCAGTCAAGGACGCGCTCTGATGACACTCCTGGTAACAATGGTCTAGTCCTCGACCTCGACTTTGAACCTTGTACACCGTCACCTTCGAATATCCCCCGTTCTCCTCCTCACCCCATTCCACCAACACCACAAAAGTCTCGACCTGTGCCGTCTATACACCGGCCCAGCCGACCTGTTCACAACCACCCCCTCCCCCCACCAGACACTCCCGCTACCCCTTCGACTCCCAAAAATCTACCGATGCAAGCTTCGGCGAAGGATGCCGTAAACCCCGTTACGGCCACCTGGAACTTAATTCTTACCGCCAAGTTATCTGCGGAGGCCACTCTCACGGCTGGCCTACCCGCTGAATTCGACGTCTTTCATCGCTACGCGCGTTCGCTGGCTTTTGACGATTTGCCTGACTATGATGGGCTACGTAGGCTGCTCCGTGGGCTTGGCAGACGCATTGGGGCCTGCTATGGAGATGTGCTTGAGGGCGAGGAGGGGGTGGATGAGAATGAGAGGCTGATTGACGGTGACGATAGTGGACTCCCTGATAAGGAAGAATTGCGTGTATGGGACTTCGACTGGTCGGTGGGAACCGTCGGACGCCAAAGAAGAGGCAGCGTGAAGAGTGGTGACTCCGGAAAAACCAAAGGTGGTCGACATTGCGAGGCCTGCGAGGCTAGAAGAGCTAGGCGTGCCGCATCAGAAGGAGAGTTTCTGAGATGATTGTGTCAAAATTCATGTCCGTTTCATGAAAGAACCGGCGTGGCCTCGCGCATCAGCACATTAACACTTCCACTACCACCCCCCCGCTTCAATTTATCACTTCCCTGTCCCACCACCGTCTCAGCAACCATGCACTCTGTATTATGATCTACCGCGGCAGAGATTTGCCAACACCCTTTTTGTTGTAGCCCACAGTATGCGGTCATCCCCTCCTCGGTTGCGTGAATGCTATTTATTTCACGCATTCTCGAACTCTAGACATATCTCCGCAACGTCGTGAGTAACGGTTCCTTGTGAGTTTTCCCTTCTCTCCCCCATACTCGTCGTGATCGCTGACATTATGCAGTATTTTTTCAATAGGACCTCCGCTCCCATGTAGTCCCAAGGATGTCAGTCTTTATGCTGTATAGCAATCGTTAAGCATTATTGATCAACACATAGTACTTACCCCCACTCGGAACATTCTTGCTTTCCTTTTGCTTTGATCTGTGTTCAATCAGTGCTACGCTTTCAATTATATGGTGCTACGATATTCACGATTCTAATGTATATATGTACTTTACTACCCACGAAATGGAACTGTACTTGGACTGCAAGTGCTTAACAAGTCGACGTTCAACTCCAACTGCAAGTGTTGACGTTGAGTACTTGAGTGCGTAGGTTTCACTGTCGGCGTTGAAACACCGGTGAGTCCTGGCGAGTGACCAACTTGGGCATCTCACATAACGACATTTCCACGGTCCGTGCACAGCGCGCTGGCCCAAAGCGAACTTACCACTCACGCATCACCACCACTTCTACTTACCAGCTTTTGCGACCAGCCAATTCAGAATGGACGGGTGGAACAAGATTCAGGCCAGCTTTTCGGGCATCAATATCTCGCAGTCTGCAAACAAGTTTGCGAAAGGCTTCAACTCCAGTGTTCAGGCGACGAGAGAGCGGCTTGGTCAAGTTGCACCCGACGAAATCACTGAATTGCCCCAAGGTCAGTTATATCAGCTGGGAGGGCCCATTCTACGCGCGTACATGAGGCAGCGCCGCCGCCGCCTCCGACTGACTGATGAATTATGCCTCTAGAATACAAAGATTTGGAAGCTCGCGTCGATGCTCTCCGCAACGCTCATTTATCTCTCTTGAAGTGAGTCGGCCTTGAATCCATACGTTCGTTATCCTGAATGATGCATACGTACAGGATTACGAAGGTTTACGAATCCGAGACATACGACTATCCGACCCAAATTCAGGAGTCAATCTCCGAGTTGTCGACTTCAATTGGGTATGGGATAACGAACTTCGCCGCCGCCAACCTTAAGGGAACCAACCTTCCTGCCCCGGCTCCCGCTGCGCCGCCTGCGCACCAGCATAAGACACTCCCCCACGCCTTGGGCCGCGCTGCCACGTCCGCTGCCCAAGCTGTTCAAAGCGCAGTTCCAGCTGGTGCAGGCACGGAAGATAAGCTTGGAAGTGGACTTGCTTTGTACGCAAGTGGTTGGGACAAGATTGCGTCCGCTAGGTTGCACCAGGATGCTTCCATTCAAGCGAATTTCTTGCACCCGTGGCAGCAAACTTTGAACACTTCCATCTCTGTCGCGATGAAGGCCAGGCAGGCAGTCAAAGTTAGCCGTCTCGAGCTTGATGCTGCTAAGCAATCGTATGTACATCTACATGATTATCAATTATATCCTGCTGAAAGCCCCTCCGTTTCAAGGTTGAAGACGGCCAGCCCTGCGCGACAAGAACAGGCTCGTCTCGAAGTCGAGAATGCTGAGGATGATCTTGTGCAGAAAACGGAGGTGGCAATCACGCTTATGAAGACCGTCCTTGAGAACGTAAGCATGATAATTGTTTCCGCGTCGGAGACTATGTTTGATTGACGTTGTCACCGCCCAGCCCGAACCCCTCAAGAACCTGAACGAGCTTGTCAAGGCGCAGCTGATGTTCTTCGCCACAGCTGCGGAGGCCCTGCAAGGCGTGCAAGGCGACATCGAAGACCTCAGCGTAGCAGCGGAAGGCGAATACAGGTGCGCTTCTCCGTCACTGCCCCTTGGAAAGCTCAGACTGATATACGTTCCCCCTAGAAAGTCTCGCGACCACTGAAGTGCCCTTGAATTAATACCATAGGCTAAATGAATATCAGATGTATCGACGACCAAGCTGTATGATTACAAGATACTCCTTTACATCCACGAGTAGGATAGCCCCTTCTTCCTTCTTTCATCCCTGTTGTTCGTTTCCTGACTGTCAAGGACTCATGATCCCGTTACTGTGTTCTGGTTTCCGTATGCTACACACCATATACACTACTTCTCCACCTGGAAAGTTGAGTGTGATGGCTCGAAGTCGTGAGCACCTCGTGGAGACTGCTATGTTTACAAGTTTACAACAGTGTCGAGGCTGTGTTCGTGGCGCATGTGCGCGATGGGCGAAGTACAAAGTGACCTTAGCTTATGCTATCTTCCATGGGGCTTCTAGGTCACTTCGTGGCGTTAGGTTGTTGAGTTCAAAAGCAGTTGGTGCTGAACTGGTTCTTATCGTGTTGAGGGTAGGCATTTCGTACTCTTTTGTATGTTGTCGGAAGCTTGCTCGGACTATTACGAGGACGAATGATATGCCCTGATATAATTCCGCAGTCAGAAACATGAAACACTAGGAGACGGGAACTGTGCGCACAATGATGGGGGTAGACTAAGATTCCGGGCATGTTGTGAGCGATGGACTTGGTGGACAGATTTAGAAAGAAGACTCACTGCGCCCAGTGCAACGAGTTGAAAGGGGCTCTTTAGGATGAAGGCGATGTTGTACGCGATGTGGATTGCGCTGAAAAGGTAAATGCGTGAAACGGGGATATGTTTCGGGTCAGTGATGGGACGCACGAGTATAGTACAGCGCTTTCGGTCAAAGCGTGGATTACCGACTGCACAAGCGAGAGTGACACATCAGTTGAATGATAGATGAACAGAGAAAATATAGACACAGACGCCGACATCGTTGACAACGGGCAGTTGAAACTTCTGAAGCACTTGCCGCAGGGAGTAGATGCGCCAGGTGATCAGTCCTATCGGCGGCAGGTACTGTTGTTAGATTCCTGAAGGGCTCACCCAAGTAAGTTTGACATACCTGTAACATAAGCCGTTACGCTATCGAAAGTAATGTTCAGTCCGCCTTAGTCATGGCTTGATTGCGCCACGGATATACCACTCACAAAAGAGAGGATATGAACATGATCATGACCCATACAGTGATGGGATCAGTGCTTGTGAAGAAATTGCCGCCTTGTGGTGCCAACTGGGAAAAGTAGTTGATCTCGACTACACCGCCCACTGTAAACGACGGATGATGTGTCAGAAAACGCCATCATTCAACGAAGTACCGCGACGTACCAAAATATGCCAAAACTGCCAACAGTGGGAGGATGGTTACCGGCCAACTACGGTTCCAAACAACGTATAGTCTGTATACCTAGACCGATGGATTTGACATTTTGAGCATCTGCCTTCACGACCCAGGATGTAGATTACTCACCATTGTTAAGTCCCCAAGGGTGGTTTGCAAAAAATACAATGCACTTTTCGTGACAAATTTGGGATCGCGAACATTTGAATAGTATACATCCGATGAGGTGAGTGGTAGGGAATATATGAACGCGTCGAATAAGCGGACAATTTGTAGAATCCAGTGCTGGAGATAACGATAAGCACCTCTGCTAAAAGGTTAACCGAAAGACTGACTGAGGATATGAGAATTAGCATGAGGATATTGATGCCTAGGAGGGTAGGGGACCGTGTGCCACGACCGGTTTTGTAGGCGTAGATGCAGCTAGCGAACAACAATAAATAGATACCTAATGAAGAGGGTAAGCAATCAAGTAACTTCGGTTTAGCTCGAAAAGTACCAAACAATGTACTCTCCACCAGAATGCCTGCCAACTCGGCGGACGGGATAGTCAAAGGATGCATGATTGAGCGGGGAGAAGCACTCGATAAGATTTTCCAACATTAGTGTATATATAGGCCGGCGATGCGACGTCCATTGATCCTGAGTTTCCGCAAGGGAACCGATATCGCTATTGCATGCGTGCGAGGCTGTTGCGATGCGGGAAGCCTTCATGTTACATAGAGATCACGAGGAACGATGACTGAAACAAGGCTGTATACATTGTGCCTTTCATTGTGCGCGAACATGATTATGGATGATCCTTGGATAATCCCTCAAACCTGACGCAGTTTGTGCTGCGGGGGTTAGTGTGCCAAGATGGATGCAAAATGTCAGCGACGGACTCAAAAGCAGGAGCACAGGAGGCAGGGGAGAAAGTCTCACGGTCTCCTGAGGAAGACGCGCAATAACAGGCGCCTGTTGAATTCAACTTTGACTTCGACCAATACGCACGATGTCTGCCCCAGAAAAGGACCCTTTCTATCTGAGGTATGTGAGCCCATATCACGGGTATGGCCGCGATACTGACTAGACGCGTGCAGATACTAGTATGTCCTGCAAGGCATATCTCCAGTTTGCCCTGGTTGATCTTTGAACAGCACTGGCCATTCAGGCAAGCATGGCCACGAATTCCTCGAGTTCGAGTATTCGCATGGTCGCCTTCGCTATGCTAATAACTCGAACTACCGGAATGACAGTCTGATTCGCAAAGAAAGTACGTGCAATCCCTGACTTTGGTTTCGCGGCAAAGAGACTCATTATCGCGCAAAGTGTGGGTTGGACCGTTGGTGGTGAAGGAGCTGAAACGCATCGTCGAATCCAGCGAGATCACCAAGTCAGCTTTCCTTCTTGGCCTTCTTTGAAATCACTTCTAACCGTTGCGAACAGGGAAGACGATACAAACTGGCCAAAAAAGAACATCGTTGGAAAACAAGAGCTGGAGATTCGAGTCGGAAACGACCACATCGCTTTCGAGGTTCAACGCTATCTACTTTGAAGACACACCACACTGACCAAGGTCGCTTTTTAGACGGCTAAAATCGGTTCGTTGGTTGATATCCAGGACAGCGAAGATCCTGAGGGCCTAAGGGTGTTCTACTACCTTGTTCAAGACCTCAAAGTATGTGTTTGATCACCTAATTCGCGTAGCAGTTGCTAAATACGTAACCAGTGTCTCATATTTTCTCTGATCTCTCTGCACTTCAAAATCAAGCCTATCTAGTCCTCTTTTGTGACCTTGTTTCACTATCGTATTGTAAGTGATGCATTCGCTGCTTTTCCGCTGGGTCGGTCTCTGACTCTTCGCACGATGCTAGCTATCTGTGCTCTGATGTCCCGCTCCCCGTGGGACGGCGTGCTTGTTCTAAAATAGGTGAGCTGCCTCGTTCCGACTAGACGTTCCCACCATTGACGGTTTTCATAGTCAAAATCCAATTGCTTCTCGATGAGCGATCCACCGCTGCCTCTTGACTCAAGGTCCCAAAGCCTCGCACATTGTAACCATATAAGCATACTGATTGAACCCCATAACGCCCTGAGTACATAACAACACCAAAACCAGAACCTAATCGGATCCATTAAAGAAGCTCTCCTTCCTTAGGAGTGGGAGGCACTGTTGGCCACGCATGGTCAGCAAATACGCCGCAAGATAATGAAGATACTGATGGACCCACCCAGCAGCCCAAAGTCCACCAGAACCAGTGCACCATCCTTGAGGAGAGAATGGCTGGTGGGGCGGGAAACAAGCTGCCCCTGCTGTAGCGCAGGTCGTGGCCTACAAATATACTAAGTGTTGGTTCTGATTGTGTTTTACGAGCCAGATGGTGCTCACCATATCGTCCCAACAGTATTCCAATCGGTCGTTCGAAAAGTTGACAAACAGATACGAACATGTTCCAAAAGTCAGTGTCTCCATTGTTTGGGGCTGAGCGACAAAGCTAGTAGACCCTTTGCCATTGAAAATCTATCGTAGATCGGTCGTTTTGTGATCTATTTTGTGATCAATATGTGAACCCACCTCAATCGCCTGGGCGATGACATTGCAATCCTCGCTGATTGGAGGGAGAATTCCACTGACGTTGCTGCAGGACGTTGTACCTGGAGGCTAGTTCATGAAGTTATCCTCATCGCGCAGCATGGCTTTTATAACGTACAACTTTGGCCGCAGACGTGGACGGGGTCGGTAGCGACGGTCCCCTCAGATGGTTCGCGAGCCGCCATCCCCTTCAGCGTACAGGACAGCCCAGTGCGGGTGACTTGTTTGTTTCCTACCAGGACATGGCTGGTGTGCGTGATCTTGGCGTCATTGCATCCTGCGTTGACCGCCATGCGATCTGTGATTTGAGGCCCAATTAATTCGTGTTCCCTCCAATTTGCGTCGTTTGTACGACGGTGTATACTCACTGACGGCAGCGGGGATGTTTGCAGCAGATACTGCTACTGCCAAGGCGGCAATTACGAGGACATTGCTGAATGCACGCATGTTTGGAAGGAAGAGATCAGGAGAGCAGAAGATGCGCAGAGGTATAAACCTGAGGAAATTCCTTGGATTTATAGGACGTTCGCTGAAGTTCCCTTAGCTTTTTATACTCCAGTCCACAGTCCAACACGCGGCGATGCAAGTAAACGTTGAGGCTCTCAGGTCGCATCGTTCGATCCCAGGGACAAACGCGCATCAACCCCATTGTCCAGACCACAGAAGTATCTTCCGTCCGGCAGAATAGACTTCATCTTGAAGCTTGACTGCCTGACGGCATCATCCCATTCCACCGCAGACCGCGCAAGGTACTGAGAAGGCTATTTACTAAGTGACAAGCATGGCCATAATTGTCCGAGCGTCTGGGCTTCGTCCGTTCTAGCGCCAGAATGGTGAGCGGATATGCTTCCTCTCGTGTATCGGCGGGTAGTTTCTTATGAAAACCACGCAGGGAGGCAAGAAAGGCGTGTTGAAAACCGGGAGAGGAAGAATCGCTGCGACTCAGCTGGAGAGTGCGCGTCCACGCATGTGTCTTCTCTCCGTCTTCGTGTCACCGTGCCTTTACGCGCGGACGCACGCTTTCATTCTGTCGTTCGATGACAAGACGCAAGGCACGACATCAGGTTTCTTCCAGAGACACCCCATAACTGTAATTCAGGCCAAATGCTTTTTGTGACAAATCTGGGAGAAAATTGCACCGGACCAGAATGCGGGTATGTCAGCGTTGTTTGCCATGTGCACGTTTGACTTCGATGGATGGTGCCTCTCCTGCTTGGGGGCATGTAGCGTGTAGATATGCATGGAGTAAATGGGTATGCATTGTATTGTGTGCGCGCCTTGTATTGTATTCGCCCCTCGCTTACACTCACCACTGTCATCGGTGCATCATGCATGTGCACCGGTGTTCGGTCTGTCCGTGGAATGAGTTGCGGATGTGACCTCACCATCAATGGAAGGATGGATATATTGTTCAACATGACAGACATGGTAGGTAATGCGGATCAAATTGTTCGGAAGCAACAGGTACTTACCACCGCTTTCCGTGATGACCAGACGCGAACAACTTCGATGTCCGAACAGCAATTATGAATAACAGTTTTTTGGCACGTCGATGGAAAGATGGGCCATTGGGTGCCTTGTTGGCCGAACAGTAACGTTCGATGTCTTTGTTGAATTGTTTCGGAGGGACACGTCTGGCGCTACTCTTTGCTATGGGCGACAAGTTTGCTGCACTTCAATCCAATGCGACGCGAGACTTGTGCGGCTCGAAACCTGCGACGACCTTTGCGGTCCCCGATGTCCCTCCTCCCTCGGACCTGCGCATCGTACGATAACGGTATTTATAGGTGCAATCTCGCGAACGTGTCCACAGCGTGTTCATGTTCTATCAATAGCATAATTGCAAAGGGGTTAGAGATCATTATTGGGTGAATATTAAGTATTGAAGTTGTACTGATGTACTCTCAGAAGATCATCGGCTGTCGAGGTATTTCGAGACCAACCTAACTTAGGACTACGCTGATAGGTTTTCTTTAAGACTTGGCCATTTCCCCCAGCGTCACATAGGAGAAAAACCAGTCTGAGTCAGGGGTTCGAGGGGAGGTCAGGGATGGGATGGGATCCCCTTCGCGAGCGACAAAGGCTTTTGCGCTTTTCATGGAGTGTTGATGCATGGAACTCACGCGTAAGCATGACCGATTGGATATGAGCCTACTCGGTTCCAAGCCGTTTACAATAATGATAACCACATATTCCATTATAAATAAAGAGCACCAACATGTACGAAGAATCACAACCCCCCAGCTCCATACCGCATCTTAATGTCCCTTGTAAGGGCTTTCAACATATCCAATGTCACAACCTTTTCCGTACTGTCCGGCCTGCTGTCCGCCATGTCCGCTACCTGGCTAGGTGCTTCCTTGCGGACACTCGGTGCGAAATGCGTCGTGTTCCCATTGTATTTGACCTTGGAAGACGTGTGTTCCGCAGACCGGTTTGCGTCCTTCATCCCATTGCTCGGACCATCACTGATATTGTTGTCTTCTTGACGTCTCCGCTCCCTTCTGGTGCTTTCCACCCTTCTCCTCGCTTCTCCTCCCTTCCGCTCGGCAACCAGATCAAAGTCGTCTTTCAGGGCAAGGAGCTCTGATTTAGGGACATAAAAAACAGGCTCTTCTCCGCCTGTGGATGAAGACACAGTAGACGAGGAAGTGGTAGATGGAGCAAGTATTCCTCGCTCGAGTCGGTACCGCGCGAGCTCGGCTAGATGCTCTAGGAAGGCCGTGCTTGGAAAGTCTAGAATAGAGAAACAAATCGGCAGCGGTCAATAAAAGGAAACTCGTTGAAGGTAGAGAAGAAACATTGAGGAACTCACCTCTTCCCATACTCCTGTGGGACGCAAGATCGGAGACAATGTTGTCAGTTTCTCCTTTCTCCGTTGGGGTGGACCCGATGGTCGCGCCTTCCAGCCATGATATTGTAGATACGTACAGGGACCTGCGGGGTTGTAAATGATCAGTAACAGAGGAAAGGGTCATGAACGTTGAGAAGACAAGACGTACTTGCTGTCCTCCTGCTTATTTGCTGACATTGGTATTGACGTTGACGTTGTCGTGGGGGTGGATGCTTCGTAAGGAGGGAGCAGCTTAATCGTTTTGTCGACCCCAGTACCAGTCAATCTCCCAACCAGTTGTATAAGGTCGTTGAGGAGCGAGATGAAAACCGAGAGAAGTTGTTTATATGATATCCAGTCGACTTTGGGGAATGGGATCGCGGGGTCGCGTAAGTAATGTACAAGCACCGATACGGAGAAATGTTAACTTACATTCGCCATCTATCCAGCACTTTTCGAGACCGTTTACCACGAATCTACTCAGCGCGGGCTGGAACTGTTGGAAAATACCTACGCAATAAGGAGTATCAGCCACGTCGAGAACAGAAGAGCAACACGGAATGCCCTGGTAAGAACAGAAACCCACCTCGTACACTCAGTCTCTGTACTTTCTCTCCTACCACGTCACACCCTTCGATCACCTCCTGGACACATGCGCCGAATTTGGCATCCACGTCGTCTCGGGTATCGGAAGTAAAAGAAAATGGAAAGGCTGAAAAGCTTTTCAGTACTGATGCGTTAATGTATTCTTTGATCTGTGATGCGTGGTTTGTGGGTGGGTAGAGATAAGTAATATGCATGTTGGGCTTACCATGGTATCTAAATCGGAAACGGGTTCCGAAGCTGCAGTGTCTGGCCGACCCGCTTCGAGCCACGACAACACAAGTAGTGACGGAACGAAATGGTGTTCTTGAGGTAAACTCTTGATGATATCTCTTAGTCGTGAGCAATCGTCTAATATTCGATACTTCCTTTACACGCACAGGGTAGATTAGCATGTAAACTCAAAAAAATGATAACAACAACGCACCGTTCAATGTCGTCTGTGATATCGTCCAAGGGCGTGCGTTCGAAGATAATCAATCCCGGAAAACCCTCTCTTTCGGCTGCGTCTCCCTGGGCGGATAAAGGGATCTCAAAGATCACCTCCGAAACCCACTTCCCTGAGTTGGGGATGTCAAACTTCCGCTCCAACCAAATGGCGGTAGCATCGCTCTCGGGGTTTAGCGAAATCCATGTACGCCAACTTGGTAGGGGTTTGTGTAACCCGCACGCATGCGCCTTCCGCCGGACTTGGTTGGATATTACGTCGAGGAATGACCCTCTGGTCCAACGTCGTTCGTGTTCTTCCTGGTTCTACGCGTGTATTAGAAGGCTAGTGAAGACATAGCGAGGTAGACTTACTTCTTTCAATCTTTGCGCAAGGTCTGCGTCAGTGCGTGGAGGTTGGTACTTGTCTGAAACGCGTCGTTTTACCCGCTTCTTAGCGGGGGATGACACTCGTGTTGACGTATCAGATATGTCGGAGCTCCTCCGCCGTCTCTTCTCTGAGGGAGACCCATTCCTCGCCGCCTCTCTTTCTTTTTTCTTCCTCTTGTTTTCCACCTTCTCCCTGTACGCCTCGCTCTTACTACACGCGTCTCTCCACGCTGCTCGGTCAGCTGTCCGCCTAACCCATCGCCTCAGAGATTGCTTTACAACTTCTCTTTTCGCAAAGCCATCAGCCAACCCTACAGCTGTTTCTTCGTCAAAGGAGTGTGTCCTTGCGCCCACCCTGGCCTTTTCCTTTCCTTTGGAGGAAAGAGGTTTCACAGTGTCCAGAAGCTGAGGCGGAGTACCTGGAGCTACTGACGGAACCGACGGCATCCCTACCAGTTTCCTCAGGGACCCTAAAGAGGATGATGATGACGAGGCACCTTGGGGGGTCGATCCAATGTCTTGCATCGTCGCTTGTCTCGACACTGTCGGTGATTGAGGCAGCAAAGGACTCAAAGGCCCTTCACCTATGAACCCCAAGCTCGAAGTTGGGGTCAAACCACCACTTCTAAGAAACCCTAAATGCGACCAAATCGCGGAGGGGGTTGCTGCCGTGGTAGTGGGAGTGGCAGGCAGGGATATAGGTTGTTTTCGGTCCATGGGAGGGGGAATACGCGGCGAGAGCTCTGAGCTGACGCTAGTGGTAAGAGTGGTATTAAGCTTCGGGAGTGTGGGTGTTATTGGGGTCGGTAAAGAAGGGGAAACTGTTGGCGCCGTAGCCGCAGCTGGAACAGACGTTGGTGGTGTAGGAGAGGTCCACGACGGCAACGGAGAGAGCACATTCACGGACGTGGCTAACGCGGGAAACGTAACAGGCGTCGGATGCTGTTTCGCCTGGGCCTTGAAAGGTGTACCAGCCATTGTCTCGCCGACCTCTGGGGTTGAAGCAGAAGTGAGTGACGGCGGATGCGACGGAATGAACGCTGGAGCTGCAACATTGAGCGCAGAAGGCGAAGCCTGCGTGCTAGCAGAAGCTCCTTGTAGGGGTGCTGCACGCGAAATATCAGTCCACTGAAAGGTTCGACTAAGAATAATTGAACGGAAGACATACCCGGCGTCCGTGCCGAACCAAAGGGTTGTGATTGAGCTGGTGCTGGCGGTTGACCAAAGGTGCCAAACGGACTTGAATTCGTGGTGCTCACTACATTCCCTAGTCCAACCTGCACCTGGCCATTTCCTACGTCCGATGACGACGCAGGTGCAAAACCAACCGGAAAAGTAGTCCCAAACACTGATTTTGGAGGAGTTGCCTTCTGTGTGGAAGAGCCGAAACTACTCCCAAACACCGAAGGAGTGCCAAACGGGTTGGGAGCACTTGTGAGGCCCGCAAAAGCAGACAAAGGTGCTGTTGGTCCCGGAGAGGACGACGTCGGCGGTGGCCCTTGATTTATCTGCGTTGGTTGGGTAGACGGAAAAGCAGTTGTCGAGGACGAAGCAGTAGTTGCGGGAAAAGCTGAAGGAAGAGGAGGTCCTCCAAACGTATTATTCAACCATTCGGTCGGTCCGGGTCTCAGTGGACTTGGGGCATGCATCCCCGCCCCTTCCTGATGCTCATCTCCCGCGTCCGCGTCGTCGTCCATCCCGTCGTCGTCCATTCTTTCATCTTCTAACCCGTCATAGTGTCCCATCCCGCCATCACCGTCCTCATGTCCCATTGACTCTTCTCCACCCCCACGCCCGTCACCCACCTCGCCATCAATAATCTGCCAAATTTCCAGATTCCCTCTAATATCCTCAATCCCGTCGATCGCCTCCTTCCCAAACAACCTCTCCAGTATACACGCCACAAGGTATACCATGACCACATTGCCACCTCCAGCACCCTCCCTGAGCACCCTTGCCAACTCTCCGAATATCGCCATTCCTTCCGCATCTACAGCCAACTTCGATGTCTTGGTGATCGGCGCACTGCGCTTCTGGACGTGGAGTCGAAAGTCCGTCGTCAGCTTGAAGACCGGATGTTCGGTAATGTGTGGCGGTATATCATCGTGCCGTTCGCGTTGATCCCTGATGTGAATTAATCGGTGGTATACACGCATCTCGAGCTCGTGAGGGGACTGATAGTTGTCCCTCTGATCGGCGTAGAATTCTTTCAAACTTTGTAGGGCTAGCATTTACATTCAAAGATATACATGCGATAGCGAAGGAGGAGCAGAATAAGTTTGTCAATCCTCCTACTCGTTCATCTACAGAAAGGCGGATGCTACTCACCGTACATCAACTGCTGCTCCTCCATCGGAATGGAAAAATCCGTTTCGTCTCTTTCGAAGTGCAAAGCCAGGATATGAAATCTTGCACATCTCTCATGGCACTCCATTGCCAGTGGGCCAGTCTCGTGTTGCATAGTGAAATCATTGCGCACGGCACGGGAGCGATCGCGAATGAAGCTGAAAGTACGGTGGAAGCCTCCAGTAGGAAGGAGTTGGCGGAAGAGGTAGTCGAGAGTTCTCTGCGAAAGTAAAGGGGGCGTGATGGGAAAAGTTAAATAAAAACGAGGGACGGACCTTGAGTATTATAGGTGGACGGAGATCGGAAGGCAATGTCTTGTCGCCTGCGGCGCGTTCGTACATTTTAACTGCTCGTTTGTGGTCCACACGTTTTGTTCCCGGGATTGTCTCCCATTCCGTGAGGTTGTTCTCCCGCTCGCGTCGATACCGCTCGAACCGAGGGCACATGTCCATGCAAGTCCCTACCATGCTGATGGCATCTTCCAGCCGTTTGGGTACGAGGGGGTCGTCCATCTTCCCTTCTGCAATTGCTTTTTTGCGTTCCACTTCTCGAGCTTTGACCAACTGAGCAGGCGTATGAGCACACATCGACGCGCACAGTTAGCACGCACATCCTGGTAGAACTTTTCTCTTTCTTCCTGCGTCTCCAGCACCGGTTCGTCGATGTCAACATTTCCGAAAAAGGGCAATTCGTCGTTGCCACTAGCGGTGGTCGCGGTGGGTTTCGCGACATTCAACGTGCGGTTCGGGAACTTTCTACCGCCTCCCGCTGAGCCTCCTGCTCCTCTTCCACCCGTCCCTCTCCCTCTCCCTCTATGTCCGCCCCCGCGCTCCCACCTCTCCCCATCGCCACGTTGATTCGGAGGTGCACCGTTGGGATTTCCCGCTGTCCATTGTTTGTTTCGCGACTGCGAGCGATGAGCATCTCCGCGCCCTCTGTTGTGCGAGCGGGTAGGGGGCGCGTCCATGAGCAGAGTTCGTAGTCGAGGTACTTGAGGACGACGGGCAGTGGTTCGGACGACAAAGGCTCAGACCTGTTCAGACGCGCACTTGAGTTGGGTGAATCAGGCGGGGTCATGTGATGGTCAGACTCAGTTGCCACACTAGATCACAAGTCACGACGTCGACGCACAAGTCCTATCTCTACAGCTACATCCTGGTCAGCAGAGGTGATACATATTCTTGACATGATTGTATAGTAAGATGATCCAGCCTCGCGCCATACCCTGAAGACGCTCCGGGAGCTTGTTCAGTCGACAGAACAAACCGACCCCGAAACTTACTGCTCTTTACCATCTAGTGAGCTAGTCAAACTGAAGCTAGTCAAACTGATCACGGATCTATGATCAGCCTCAGAAAATTCTTCCATTTAGACGCTTTGTAGCTCACTGGGATGATACCGGCACGTTCCCTATTTCCTTCGTTGTTCCGAGACCGATTCGTTCATGCAGACAGAGAAATTGTGTCCAAGCAGGAATCTATTTTCTATGATTTATCGGGATGTCATGTCAAGCTTCGGGATCGCACCTCGTCGTTGTGTACCAAACACGAACATCGTTGGCAGAGACCTCTTCCATTTTCCAAACATCCCCTCATTTCGACGGCTGAATTAGCTTAATGTAGTCCGTTCCATCGAGGAGACCGCCAAGACGCACGACGTTACCGAGATCAATCACTCAGCTGCCCTCGCCTGTGCGTTGGCAATGTTAGCAAAGCCTATCCTAATGCCCTCTGTCACATCCTTCCTCTAGGATCACTTCTCTTCCCTAGCTTTCCAAAGCCAATATTACTTCCCTCTGGAGGCAAAAGAATTGATATCAGGCAATCTTTCAGGGCACACGAGGTCCTAAGTATACTCCAGAATTTTGTTGCCAGGTTATTGCATCCTCAGCAAAAATGAGCGTAGCACGCTGGCTCACCGATACTATTGGTCACGAAGCTGAACCATTGGGTGCGCCGTGCTTCCATACCGCGCCCTGCCTCATACCTGGGCTCTAAGGCTGTTCACAAACCATAATAGCTCCCATTGAGCTTGATGCTGATACTGTGGCAACACTCAAAATAGGCGCCAAGATCAGTTACTTCCCGGAACTACTCAAGAGCCTCTTGTCACGGCGCGCCGACTCGACTTGCGAACACAACTGGTCCTCAATATCGTTTGTAGTGAAGCACTTACGGACGATGTCACTTCTATAGCAGTCTAGATCCCCACCATGGGTCGTGACGGTGTGCGGCTGACCGACGACTGTGGGAAGTCCAATGGCTGACATCCGAAAAATAGTAGAAGAGGCTCGCGTCTCTACTTCTCCTAATTATCATCTCTTTAACTCGAACCACTATCATCCCCGCTTCAACACATACTATCGACATGTTCCCTGCCCCTCAACAACCCCAACAACCCCGCATCGTCCCTCGCGACCATCGACAGAACTTTGACGCCATGCATCGGTATCCTTGTCTCAAGGAGAACGTGAGTATTCCTCTCTTCGCTGTCTGATACTCCTGCTAATGAGGCACCCCAGTTTCCGGTCACTGTGAAGACGACCCCCCGCTGCCCAGAGCTCATCCAGGTATATACATCTCTTCTTTCTAATGCAACCTCTCTAATGTGTTTGACTTTACAGAATGGTATCGTGATGGAGGACGTGTTGTACCGGCGCCGCAACAAGGCCCCCTATCCGTCCAAGTCAGCCGCCGACCCTCCAATCCGCACGCCGTGCGCCATGGAAATGTTCATGGTCAAGGACATCCTTGGTAAAGGGGCTTTCGGAGTGGTGTATCTCGCCGAGGACCGCGTCCGTGGCTCGCGACACGCCATCAAGACCATCAGCAAGCAATGCTCGCCTGTAGAGCACGAGCTCGTCCTGAATGAGCAGCGGCTCATGCGTGAGCTAGGCGATAATCCCTGGTTCGTCAACCTCGACGCTAGTTGGCACGACATCAAGTGCTACTACCTCGCCATGGTAAGCCTCACTTTACCTACTTGCACCGAGCCCGAACTGATCCCCGCCTTTTAGCCGTTCGTCTCTGGTGGTGATCTCGACGGAGAAGTCCAACGGTGTGGACGCTTGGAGCCTGCTCGAGCTCTCTTCTACACCGCTGAACTAGTAAGTCCGCCCCGTGCTTCAACTCGGGTGGTGTCCTCATATGTGTCGTTCGCTAGGTTATCGCGCTGCAGACCCTTCACGGCCTCGGAATCATGCACCGGGACATCAAGCTCGCGAACATCCTCCTCAAAGGCGACGGCCACATCGTCCTCAGCGATTTCGGCCTGTCCAAACGCTTCGCGAAACCCTCAGTTATCGGGGGCGCCGTTCTGCCTTGGTCGTGGATGTCACGCCCCAAGACCCCGGAAGAGCGGGAGATGTACTACGCGCATGAAGGCTGCGGCACGCCCCAGACGATGGCCCCAGAGATCATCCAGGGCAAGCCGTACACGTTTGAGGTCGATTACTGGGCGCTCGCTGTGGTCATGCACCTTATGCTCATTGGTCGGGTGAGCCATCCCTCTCGTTTTCATGTTCGTATACGATGCTCATTTGACGACAGGCACCTTTTGAAGGAAGAAGAGCCGATCTCATTCGGCAGATCCTATACGGACCTCTCGTGTTCCGGGACAACGACGTGATCTCTCCTTCTGCGAAAGGGCTTCTCCGCCGGGTACGTCCGCTCCCACTGCGTATCGCCCCCGCGTGCTAATGACCCGTCCCAAACAGATGCTTGAAAAGGATCCCGATGACAGACTTCTGCGGACCTCCATCAAGAAGCACGCTTACTTCGCTGCAGTGTACGTTCTTCTCCCTTCGTTTGATTTCTATGTGCTGATGCGTATTCGTTAGTGACTGGGATAGACTTGAACGGAGGGAGGTCGCTCCTCCTTATGTTCCTCAACCATATGTTCCTTCTTCTCGTGCCGCTCCAACTGGATATGCCCCTGGAATCCCGTTCGCCCCTCACGAGGACCCTGCGCCTGGTTTCAATTTTATGTCTGCTACGGTTCGCTCTGCTATAGCTCTTTTTACTCGCTCTCGCTCCCGTGTTGCCTCGACACCTGTTCCCGCTCCTCCTGCTCCTCCTGCTCCTCGTCAACGGGTTTCATCAGCGCCTACACCTGCTCATCCTCAGTCCCGGTCCCGGTCTCATTCCCGTTCGCGCCCTCATCAGCCTCACCCTGCACCCCCTCTTTCTCGTTCCCGTGGCGCTTCGACGTCTACCCGTCCCCCTGCTGGTACTCGCTCCCGTTCTCGTTCTCGTTCCCGTCACCCTGTGCCTCCTGTGCCCCCTGTGCCTCCTCTTCCTCCTCTTCCTCCTGTGCCTCCTGTGCCTCCTCTTCCTCGCTCTTGCCGCACCACCGGTCCTTCGCCCGCAGCGTCCGCCTTGCCCACCCCGCCCGCCTCGCGGAATGTCAATGCCAAGGTGGCCGGACGCGGCACCGCGACCGAAGCCGGCGCCCGCTCGTACGGTCCCAAGGTTACCGCGTTTCTCTCGCGCTGGGTCAGGCCGTCGCGCGCTGCAGGCCAGGCGGGCGTGGGGGGCGCTGGTGCGGGGAAGGCGTCCGTTCCGATTTGGCATGCGTGGCATTCTGCGACGTCGGCTGGCTCGTCGCACTCGGGATCCGCCTCGGGAGCGCCGCGTTCTGATGATCCTGCTGGAAACGCTGCGCCTTCACCTACTTCGAGCGGGTTTATGTGCCGGATCCGCCTCTGGACGCGCAAGATCTGGTCCGCGACGGGGTCGACTTCTGCTTGAACACTCGCACTTGCACTTGCACTCGCACTTGCACTGGACACTTGAACACTGAATGCGCGGATGCTTGGACGTACTCTGGAATCTGGAATCCGGAATCTGGACCAACTCGAATACACTCGAATCGGATCGAACCAACTTGCTCTTGCTTTTATCATTCCCTTCAGCCCTCTCTCTTCCTCTCTGCCTCTCTGCCTCCCCCAATACCCCAATACCCTAATACCGACGCGGCGCTCGAGATCACCTAATTCCTTCGGTACTTGGTATGCTTGGTATGTCGGTAGGTGCGCTGAGCAGGGTAGGGCCGGCGCCTCAGCTGAGCGGGGGCGTGGCTGGCCACCACTCCCCGTGACTCTGGGCGCCGGCTCGACCAGGCGAAGGCGTGCCATATACCCGAGCCATATACCTGTGCCTATACACGCATACAGGCATACAGGCATACACGCATATACCACTCGCGCCGCGTCGGCAATACCAACCACTCTCGATTCGATCCGACTAATGTGTACACTATAATCAAGCTCGCACTACGCGTCCGTCTCTGGTCCGCAAGCACCCGCATCCGCATCCGCATCTGCATCTTCGTATTATTCCGATATCTCTCGCATCACTTCGACGTTATTCAGGACCGCCGCTGCATCATGCATCATCCCCTAATTCTCGACTCGCAACATCCCAGGCATCTCAAGCATCTCAAGCATCGCATATATATATAATATTCTTGCATTCTTCCATTCCTGCGTGACTCCCGCCCTCAAGTACAGAGTATCCATTAATTCTCCTGGCTATCTATAATATTCTGGCCAATTGCTCGTCTCGATCTCCCCTGTGGTCCTCGCAAGTATCTGATACCGATACCCCGCCTTCCCATCATAATCTGGCACCTTATACCCTGCATACCATACCCTGCATACCCTGCATACCGATACCCTGGTTTCTCCCTCCCTCCCTCGCTTCCCCGCAATAGACCCCCCAATAACACCCCCCCATCTCCATCCCTCCATCCGCCTTTCAGATGTCACAGGTAAGCCCCGCCGCCCGTCCTCCATCTCGATCCTTTGCCTTTCCTGACTTGCGTTATTTCTATGTCTAGATATCCGAATATCCGAATATCCGATAGACCCAATGCCCGACCGTCGTCGTCGGAATCGGGAATCGGGAATCCAGGAAATGAATTATTTTATCCAATATACGGCGATGGCGATGGCGGGTGGCCCATCGAGTTGGATGGGTGGATGGGTGGCCGGCCACCACCCATTCACCGCCGACGTACGCACCAAACGCGCCATTACCCATTACCCATTACCCATTACCCATTACCGAGGACCTGCGATTCGCGCCTCCGGCCTCCGGCCTCTGTCCAGCAAAAGCGGTACGGTAAAGCGGTGCGCTGGGATAGTCAGTGTACCCGCGCGCCAAAACCAAAACCAAAACCAAAACCGAAAACCACAACCACAACCAAAACCACAACCAAAACCGAAACGCGGAATACGGAATACCGCGAAGACCTGCGATTAACTTCGACGGCCTTCGCTTCGCGGTGCTCGCCCCTTCTGGTCTTCTGGAGTGACCGGCGAAAAGGCGAAAAGGCTGTCCCTCGAGATGTGCGCGCCGCCAAGATTCGGGGTGCGGGGTGCGGTGATGACCTGCGATTAAGTTCGACGGTTGTCATCGTGCTCGATGGATACTGGGACCTGCGATTAAGTTCGACGGTCTCTGTCCCCCCGGACCCACGGACATACCCAAGGACCTGCGATTGAGTTCGACGGCCTTGACGGTCTCTGTCCCCCCCCCCCCGGAATACGGTGAAGACCTGCGATTAAGTTCGACGGTCTGCGGCCTCCGTACCCAAGTATACCCAAGTATATCCAAGGACATACCCAAGGACATAGCCAAGGACCTGCGATTGAGTTCGACGGTCTGCGGCCGCCTCTGGAGTCCGGAGTCTGGAGTCTGGAGTCTGGAGTCTGGAGTCTGGAGTGGATTTGTGGATTTGCTGGATTTGTGATTTGTGATTTGTGATCTGTGGATTTGTGGATTTTGATTGCGATTTGTGATTGTGATTATATTTCGTCTCTCTCTGTGTTCGTTCGTGTGTGTGTGTGTGTGTTTGTGTCTGTGTCTCCCTGCCATGATAATGAAATGAAATGAAATGCGTACTCAAATTCAGAGTTCAGATCTGAGAGTTCAGAGTTTAAAGTTTAGTGAACATCGCGTCGCGTCGCATTGATGCGACTCGGTAAGTGATACATAAGTAATGAGTGTGAGTGCGAGTGGAAGTGCGAGTGCGAGTTGAAGTAATGAGTGGACGTGGAAGTGGGGTGGAAAGTGGCAAGTGATTTTCGGTTGGATTTGGGATTGGGGATTTGGATTTTGGATTTGGATTTGGAGAGAGAGATTTGGAGAGAGAGATTGAAGCGAACGGGGGATATTGTAATCAAGTCGGAATGGTGACAGAGTACGTAGACGGTAGACAACAACAGAGTAGTGACAACAGATTGCGTAGACGAGCAGACGGTAGACGGTAGACGGTAGCGACAGAGCAGTCGACGAGTAAACGTTAACATGAACAGCCAATAAATAAAAACAAAAACAGCAATGGGGCAACGAAATCGATGAATACCTTTCGAAACACAGAAACATAGAAACATCGAAGCCTCTCTTCCTTTCTCCCTCTCCCTCTTCTCTACTCTCTTCACGAATGCGCCGCGCCGATGCCCCACGACCCCGCACCTCCGCCACCAGAACCGGGGAGGGAGAGACAGAGGCCTTCGGAGGAGAAGGGCTGCGCGGGGGGGAAGCACGCGGCGCGGATGGCGGGGGATGTGCGGGTCTAGAAGGATAGTGTATTGATATATTAGAACGTTAGTTTATGGAGGGGAGGGGAAGAGGGAAGAGGGAAGAGGGAAGAGGGAAGGGAGGGGAAGAGGGGAGGGGGGAAGGGGAAGAGGGATGGGAGGAGAGGACGCACAAAGTCGGACCAGCACGCCTCGACGTCTGCGCTTGATCCCGTGTTAGTGAGGGCGGCGGGTGGGGCGTTGAAGTTGACGAAGAAGTAGGCGCAGGAGCCGAAGGTGAGGGTCTCGACGTGCTGGGGGGCGACGACGAAGGAGGCGGGCTGCTGGGCGGCGAAGATCTGCGCATGCGGGGCGGTTAGTGGTTAGTAGGTGGGTGGGTGGGTCGGAGTTTGGGAGGGGAGGGAGAGGGAAGGGAGGGGGGATTGATAAAGGGGAACGAGGGATCAAGGGGAGAGGGGAACGAGGATCAAGGGAAGGGGATGAGGAAGGGAGGGGAGAGAGGCACACCTGGATAGCGATGTCGATGGTGTCGCAGTCCTCGTCGCGCGGGGGGAGGATGCCTGCGTCGCTGTTGCACGATGTGGTGCCTATGATATTAGCGATCCCATGTTAGTTGAGAGTTTAGAGTGAGTTGGTGGGTTGATAAAGGGAAGTGGGATATTCAATGCGAGTGGAGAAGGGAAGAGAAGTGGGAAGGAGTGGAGGGAAGGAGAGGAGGAAGAGAATACGCACACGGGGCGCCGCATACATGCACGGGCCCTGTGGGGGTCGGGGACGGGGCGGCTGTAGTGGACTTGGTAGTAGTGGTGGACTTGGTGGTGGTGTGGGTGGTGGTGTGTGTTGACGTGGAAGTATGTGTGGAGGTGTGTGTGGTGGAGGTCGAGTGTGCTACGCGTACAAACGGCGGTCAAAGATGAATGAGCATGCTGAGAAGGGAGACGTACATGTGCTATGGGAGGTGGACGTCGTCGTCTTTTTTGTGGTGGTGGGCTTGGGCTTGGGGGGGAAGGGGAAGGGGGGGAAGCAGGCGTTGCAGAGGCCGCAGATGGGGGGCGCGTGCCACACGCTCTGCCGGATGATCGGGGCGGGCACGGCCTTCGCGTTGGCGGTGGCGGTCAAGTGGGAGGAGGGCGCGAAGGAGGCGCACTGGAGGGTCGAGAGGACGACGCACTTGTTGCCCGGGACGACGATGGACGTGTTTGCGATCAGCGTGGGCCCGATGCAGTTCGTGTTTGCTGCGAGCTGGGCTGCAATGGGCGCAGGCGTTAGCAGTGGGCAAGGAAGGGAGCAGGAGGCGTACAGAGATCGAATGCGGAGACGAGTGTGCCGAGGATGAGCAACATCACCAGCTTCGTCATCGTCTGCGTCATCGTCATCGTGTATACTCTGACTGTCTGTTCAACACCGCGTTTTATAGCTGCCACCTAACCATCTAACCACCTTGTTCCTATTCTATTCTATTCCCGTGCGTTGTATTCATAGCCGTGATCGTTCCTTGCAAATCGAGGGAGATCAGTTCATCCTCGCTTTGGCCGTTATATACGCGTGATGGAGATGCTCGCCGACGATCCGCACGGTCCAGGCGTCCATAGCCGCGTCTGTCTGTCTGCCCGTCCACCTGCTCTCTATTCAGCGAACCACCAAACGTCAATCAGCGTGCCTCCCCCTCGTTCTTCCATCGCCCAATCCCCGCATCAGCGTCCATGTCCTTGCTGGCAGTGTCCTGACTGGTGACTTCCGTGCCTCTGGAGGTACGTACCTACCGGCCCCCGTCTCTCCTTCTAATCCCCCATCTTCTCCCAACCATTCAACGACTAGCGCTCAACAGCTCAACAGCTCTACGCCTCTAGACTCCATCTTCTCGTCACCTTCATCTTCAAGGGACAAGTCACCTTCCGTGCGTGTTGGACGCGCTATGCACGTGTTCGCGTTCGCACCGCGGTCGGCCCTCGCCGTCCTCACGCTCTGCCCACTCTCGCCCGTCGACCCGCCGATCGGCAATGAGTGAGTGAGTGACGCCGAATCAGGTATCGCGAGACATGGATGATGGATGATGGATCGCGAATCACGAATCAGGGCGGGTTGGTGGTATCAGGACGGGTTGTTGGTTGGTGTTGGTGTTGGTGTTGGCGTTGATGCGTAGTGCGCGGTGCATGATGCATGATACACGGCGGATGGTAGATGGTGCATGCCGGTCGCTCGCACTGCTAACTCGCACCCTCAACCACACCAATATCCGCTAGACGCTAGATACCGAGCACCGAGCACCTCCTGGTCTGCACAGCTGTATACCTAGTCCCTCGCCCGATCGATATTCGATATCAACGTTCAACCCCGTCAAGTCGCCAACGTCCAATCACATATATTCGAGCCTGATAATCGATCCTAATATTCGATCCTAATATTCAATCGCATAGCGCATATCGTGCATTCTGTCGTGCCCCGACACCCAACACCCAACAGTCCGACACCCGACACTCTCAGCACTTCCACGCACCCAACACCCTCAGAAGCGCCCAGTACCCCGCATCGTCCACGTTCACAGTAGCGTCGAGGAGGAGGGAGTATGTGGAGGACGAGGTGGAGCAGGAGTCAGAGGAGGAGTAAGAGGAGGAGTAAGAGGAGGAGGTAAGAATCAGATCGTCCACGTCTGTCTATACCATCTATACCATCTATACCATGCGCCCGCCTTCCATCTCCATCTCCCTCTCCATCTCCATCTCCATATCTCCATCACGGCGCTGCGGCGGACTGCAGGGCAGGGCACTGTACACTGTACTGCGCGTCTGTGCGTTTCGTTCCGTTTCGTCCGAGTCCGAGTCCGAGTCCGCGTCTGCGTCCGAGTCTTTAGCTATTCAACTATTCAGCTAGTATTCGTCGCGGCTGTGTCGTTCTCGCATCGCGTCTGTTCGTCTACGCCTGTTCATCTGAGTCTACGTCTACGTCTGCGTCTATTCAACTATTCGGCTATTCGGCTTTTATCTGTCGCGGCTGTTTTGTTCCTCGCGTTGCATCTGCGTCTGTTCGTGCATACGCGAGCGGGACCTGGCTGTTGCGATCCCAGGCTGGGCGGTGGGCGTTGGGTGTTGGGCGTTGGTGTTGGTTTGTGTTTTATCCCGAGTTGGACGGTGGACGGCGAGGAGGTGGCGGAAGACGGAGTGAGGATGGAGGGAGGGCGTCCAACGGTAACGGCACGACGACGACGACGACGCGACGGTGCCCTTACCTATCTATCTATCTATCTATCTATTTCTTTATCTGTCTATTCATCTAGCCGTGAGGCCTTGAGGGAGCGCTCCCCCCTTGAAATAGCCCTTGAAGCTTGGGCCTTAACTCGCCCTTCGGCTCGCCTTCGGACTCTGATACCAAATACTAAAATACTCATACTTAGATACTTAGATACTTAGATACTCAGAAACTTAGATACTCAGATACTTAGATACTCAGATATTCAAACTTGAACGTTTGAACACTCATACTCAGATAGTCATACTCAGATACTTAGATACTCAATTTGATCGGTATCCAATATTCAATATCCAGTGACCGTGTGCGCGCGCGCAGACCGTCCTCCGTCTTCATGCTGTTTTGTCCTGTTCTCCCTGTTCTCCCTGTTTGTCTTTTGTCTTTTGTCTCGATCTTGAATCCCGATGCTCGATGCTCGATGCTAGCCCGAGTCGCCAGCGTTCGACGTTCGACGTTCGACGCGTGGGCGGCAGGGGCGGGGCCGGGGGTAGTACCGTACGCTGCACTGTCACACTGGAGCGGAGCGGTGTGTTCGCGCGCGGGGAGGGGGGGGGTAGATGCACTGACACGACGGGCTGTGAATCTCAGGCTGTGAATGGAATGGAATGGAGGTTCAGATTCAGAAGATGAGAGATGAGAGATGATGGGGAAACTTGAACGATGAGAAAACGACGAGAAAACGATGAGAAAACGATGAGAAAACGATGGGGAACAGCGGGAAAGAGCGGGAAAGAGCGGGGAAGAGGGGGAAGAGGCACGATGTATCTTATATGATATATGATATATCATGTCGCGCGCACATATCGGGCATCGCTTTCGCCTGCATCGTGCATCATGCAGATGCGGTATCAGTTTACGCCATACCTAAGAATTAAATACCTACAATACCTAAAAATTAAATACCTAAGATACCTAAAATACCTAAGATACCTAAGACTAAGATAACCGTTTGACAATTGGATTTGGAGCCCGGGCAAACGAGCTCACGAGAATGCCAGGACTGTCGAGCTGACTCCTGAGTAGTACGGGTGGCACGACCGCTCTCCTCTCATCTTTGAAGAGGCGAGGCTTCTCCACCCGGATCCAGGATCCGGGACGTCGCAGCGCCGCTGCGTCTACGCCTTGGGTGCCGTAAGGTGCCGTACCCAAGTCGACAACGACAGGAACCGGGGAGCGGGTCGGGATGCTGCGAAGTTCGAACAGGCAGGCGTCAGTTATTATTATCATCATTATTATTATGATTCCCTGCGTCAATTACATAGATAATCTCAATTTGCAGCTCGCGAAACGCACGCATGCCCATCCTTATCCCACCAGCTCCGGGGGCGCGTGCGGAGGCTTTGGCGCGAGCGGTGTACTTACGTGTGCACCACACTGCAGATTTGCGTGAAGGAGACCGGCACCGTTCGTTTGCTGACGATGTACTTAGGGGAAGGTGAAGTCCGTGGACCCTGTGATGCGCGCAGCGCTTGGACTGAGGAGACATACATATGATGGTGCTCATTGGCAGGGCCCGTAGAAGTCGCTCGACGAGGCCGAGTTGTTCAATGACGCTGTCTGACCAAGTCATGGCTTGCTTCCTGCCAGCCGGTATTGCGGTCAGTGCTGGAACCAACGCAGAGGAAAGCAAAGGGAATACGAACCGACTACGAGTGAGAGGGCCGCGAAGACCCGAACGTGGGGAGTCGTGCTTCGGGGGGAAGGTGTTTGAGGCCCTCGCATTCGAACTGGACTAATGGCGGAGACAGCGAGCGAATACATATATTAGTAATACAAGCATAGGGAGCAGGTCGGTAACTCCATGTAAGGCTAAGGCTGTACCCATACATCTACATCTACATCTACTCGTCGTCCCCACTGGCCATACTCGCGTCCTCATCCTCATCGCTGTCGCTATCTTCCCCTTCTGCCACCTCCACCTCCCCGAGCGAGATATCATGGTCGGCCCCCATATACGCATCGCATATCACGTACAGCTTCAGCCCGTGTGTCCCCTTTGGCAGCGTGAAGTCCAACTTCACGGCAAGTGTCTTGGTGACAGTGACCTTTTTGATAGAGTGGAGTTGCTTGGTGGACGGCTCCCCGACGACGAGCCACCAATTGGCCATTTTGGTGTGGGGGTAGAACGGGGCGACAACAGTTTGCTCGTCCGTGGAGGGGGAGTCATCGTCATCGTCGTCAGTGTCGCGGGAGAGTGAGACTTTAAGAACGATGGAGGAGCCCGCGGTGTAGTCTCCCTTGACAAGATCGTGCGACACGTCTAGGGTTGGGTACGAGTTGACGAAGGTCGCGACATCCCGCCTGAAAAACGCGGGTTAATAATGTTGCTTAGTATCACAGGAATATCAACGTACATCTGTCGTGCATCCATTTGAAGGAGTGAAGTACGCTGATCGTCTTCCATCTCCATAATGTCGTAGACGGACTCGACACCAGCATCCTTGCATCGTTTGATGACCTGCACATATTCTTAAGCGACGAGCTGTGCGAAGAAGTAGAAAACAACGGACCTCAGGTTCGAAGTGTGGTATTTGCTTCAGTGGTGAGTCGGTCTCCCACATAGCCTGGACACACATTTGTGACAGATCCATGGCTCCGAGAGCGCTGAGCCATGCGTTAGAGGACATCACATCCACACACGCTGAGAGTAAATTGAGGACTTTCTCGAGGACGAGGGCTTGGTCGGCGACAAGATCAGGTGGGAGCTGCAAGCGAGAGAAGTGGGCTTGGAGGAGGAGGAAAGTCTTGAAATGCGGGGCCTCGAAATCAGCACGCTCCAGCTTGACGGGAACGCGGTCGTAGATGCGGCGGAGAAGGGTATCTTCGTGCCGCCGTATCGGTATTGTCTCGAATTCGGCAGACGAGGAGACGACTTCCAGTAGACCCTTCAACTTCGTTCGCTCCTTCAACGACAGCGTGTAGACCTCAACCGTTACATCTGCCACACGTTTAGCAAACGAGTAACGCATCAAGGGGGCGACTCACATGATATGTTGTAGTACGCGGCAATCATACCCAAGTTCAAAGCAGAGATGTCCATCTCATCCTCTAGAGTCACCGTCAGTAATTGATACTAAAAAAAGCCAGACAGGCTTACCGATGGAGATACATTTGGAGTTCACGAGGTCCGCCAGTGTGTTCTCGACAAGTTCTGATAGATGATCGGACAAGTGTGCATGGCTAACGTTATGAAGATTGTAGTAGTTGGGGTTCTGCGTCATGCGGCGATAATAGTACGTCCAAGTGAGGATATCCTGCAAGCTAATGTTAGCATTAACGTCGTAGTAGTAACAGGTATTATTACCATAGCATCTTGCTTGTTTTCAATCGTCTTTACAGCGATTTCGGCAAGGAAATAGTCATGGAGGAGCAGAGTAGGAAGGTGCGATTCTATGGGAAGACCCTCCGCAAGAAACTTCTTGAAGAAGTCTTTGCGTGTCTGTTGGCACATTAGCACGCATCGGCTACGTTCGTCTTCCAGCGGACGACATGCTTTGCCCATCATTTGGAGGACGTCGACGATGGGGTAGTCGATGTATCGATGTTCCTTGCCTTCGTATGTTTGAACGCCCATAATGATCACCATGTAACTCGCGACGGGAAGACTCCAGGCAGTGTCCTAGACCGTGTAATCAGCGTACGCAACATACGGATGACGTTGAGGCCAACAAACCTTCGATGCGACGAGCACCTGAATAGCGCCAGATTGGAAGAGACGTTCGACGATTCGCTTGTCTTGTTTATCCAATGCTTCGTGGTAAAAACCTATGCCGTGTTTGAGCGTCTCTGCCAAGCCAACATCCTTAATATGATCAAGGTGAGGTTGCAAATCTGACATCTCGATGTTCAAGAATCGATCTGGCTTGGCATCCGCAGAACAGTGGGTCAAGATATCGTCTACGGTCATCCTACACTGCCGCCTAGAGGGGACAAAGACGATAACAGGCTTTGTTGGAGAATGCTCAACAATGGCAAGATAAGCCGGTTTGGACATTGCGATCATTAAGGATGGGAAATGAGGAATGGAGAATGATTGCAAGTGAATGTCCATATCAAGGGGTCGCGCGCTGTAAGGTATTCTCAGTTTCGATACCAATGTAAGGAGAAGTCAGACATACCTTGGTGAGAAGTTAAAGATAGCATGTGATGGGGCACCTATCCACTCTCCAAGATCACGAGCATTCGCCAGAGAAACACCGCAAGCAACGATACGTGTCTTAATCTCGGTTTGCGCAGACATGTATCGCGTGCGCGAGACGACCACCTCATAAGTTGGGCCAATTTCTCCACCAACGAGCTGTATCTCATCGGCGATCAACAAGCCAATATTCTGCACGTTCTTGCGTTGACGCCAGCGACGAGATATCACATCCCACTGTAGAAGTAAACATTACTAAAGCCATCATCATAAAGGGAGCGAGAAGACTAACCTGCCCAGGAGTACACACAATCACATCACCCTTCTCAAGTAATCGTAGATCAGCACTAGTCTCGCCAGTCAGGCTCACTATCTCCTTGCCACCTTGAAGTTTGCTAAACTTCTGTTTCCATTCGGTGACACGTTGGTCTACCATTTCTTGATAAGGCTCAATGCATATCGCACGGGGTTGTTCACGTTGACTCCACAAACGCAACAGGGCAAATTCGGCGCAGATGGTTTTTCCGCTGCCGGTTGGTGCTCCGATGAAGACGTTTTCATCTGTTGTGTACAGGGCCTGGAACACCTGCGTCTGGATTTTATTGAAGGTTTGGATCGTAGATGAATAGAGTGCTTCGAACTCTTTGTTATGGAGGGCGGATAAAGGGAGTTGTTGGAGGTCAAGAAGAGGGGTCGGGGGAGGGAACTTCTCAGGAAGAATGAGATGTCTGAATGAAATGGGTAGGCGGGTTTCTGCGTGAAGCCAACGATCGGAGACAATAGTGATGTAGTAATTAGGAGGGACTGGTTCGAACATTGGCACGTTAATTGTCACGATGTGATCGTCTTCGGCGTAACGCTTGTAGAGGATGAAGGAGTCATGGAAAAGGATGATTTCGCCATCAACGTCTTCCACCATGATATGGAATGTTTCGGCGGATCCGTGTATTTTTTCCTCCCACCTGAAGTCCGGGGTGATAACGAGTTCGATGTGTAGCAACGACCGAGTGATAGGTTTGACTTGAGCCTGAAGCCTGTTTAGACGGTTAGGTGTAGCTTTGTTTGAGGTCAGCGGGCACGACGCACTGAAGTTTTGGGAAATTGTGGACTAGTCGATGGACGAGGCGACCGGCATTTGGTATTCCAATTAATTCACCGATTTCGGGCGGGCTCTGGAAAAACCGTCAGCCATGCATGTATCAAGATTGGGAAGCAATATGTACCAGGTCAAAGTACCGATACCATGGCTGGAAAAGTACGATGTTAATTCACGGAAGTACGGGGAAAGAAAGTTCACTCACGAATTGCTTTCCCTCTGCCTTGCGTATAACGTCAGCAGGAACACCCTTAAATTGGCGTAACGGAGTCATCGAGCCCCACCTGAGGAAGGCCAGTCAGTGACAGATATCTACGGGTAACAAAACACATACATTCGCTTCTCTATCATTTTGCATAGGTCCAGAGCAGCCTTCGCCGGAATTGCCCAGCCTCGTTTCAGGCATATTTCAAACATGGCCCGAATGATACTGAATGGTTCTCAACATGAGGTCAGGCCGTCATATAGAAGGAACGCACCGTCCGGCTGATTGCTGTACGTAGACCATGTCCGCAACCAAAGCAAAACCTTGAAGCAAAGATATCAATATCGGGTGGAGGACTGAGATAATCTACGAACCGTCAAGTTTGAGTCCAGATATGTACGCTTGAAGAAGAACATTGATCTTCGCGGCTGGTTCTTCAACACCTTCTTTGACTGGAACGGGTACTCGCTCCAATAGTTTCCCGAGTTCCATTTTCTCCTAAATCATGCGTCAGATTTAGTCAGATAACAAGGACAAGTTGGGACCCACCTCCTGCCTAACAGGTATGAGCTTGAACTCGTTTGAAAGTGCAAAGACACGGAAGAGCTCCAGGGTTGACATGGTAGGTTTCAGATGCTGATTATAAGTCGCCATCGAGTTGTAGGTAACATAGTAGTGCGACGCAATGCGGCCCAGTTCGGTGCTTTGAAATCGGCCAGTGGAACGTTCGTACTTCAGCAAGTTACACTTTTCCAATAATACGGCGGCGGAGTGAACAATGTCGGCCCGCTTCTGTATAAACCCAACATCGTCTTCTTGGTAATCAACACCAATGCCATAAAGTCCTGGGGACCTTAACATTCGCACATATCTATAGGAAGGTTATATGGGTGATTCAAAAGATCTACAAAACCACTTACAGATACGTATAACCGAGCCATTGAACCGCTTCGTCGCGATTTCTGATGGTACCAAGAACGATCTCAGCGTTAAGATTGTCCGCAAGTTTGGCAACAAATTGCGACTCAATAGGCAATTGCTGGTTAAGCAAGCTCAGATAGTACTGCAGTTCTGAGTGGTTGGTGATGATGATACCTTCACCAAATGTATCAAATTGAGGGCGACCAGCACGACCGAGCATCTGCAAAACGTCCTGAGAAGATAACTCAACCCAGCGACCTTTCTCTGGGTTGTATATCTGGGTACCCTTGATGATAACGGTATGGGCAGGAAGATTGACACCCCAGGCCAGCGTGGCCGTGCAAACCAATACCTGCACCGAGCCATCAGCAAACAGTTCCTCGACAAGCCCGCGATCTTCTCGGCTCATCCCAGCGTGATGAATAGCAAACCCGAAAGGAAGAAGATCCCGCAGATTGCCGTCTTTGACGTTGTTGGCTTCCTCGGTCAGGATCTCGCGAACTGCGCCATCCGGTTTCACGAACTGAGTGATCGTCTCCTTTTCGATGGCCATATCACGGAGGAACTTCGCCGTCTTCGCCGTTTCCTTGCGCGAATGGACGAAGACTAGTGTCTGATTTTTGCCGGCTTGGTCGAGGACCTTCTCGTAGCAGACTTCGTTCATGATCTGGTAACGTTTGATCGCTTTCTTCTCCGTTACTCCAATGAATTGTTGCTGCAAACCGCACGGTCGATATGAAGCGTCGAAATAGAAGAGGCCTTTCGACTCTTCTACGCGGAGGAAGGAGGCAACGTCTTGATAATTAGGTAGCGTAGCAGAGAGTCCTACCAAACGAACGTATTCGTTCGTTTGTTCCATTCGCCGGATTGTCCGCGCGACGACACTTTCTAGGACAGGACCTCGCTCGTCGTGGAGTAGATGGATCTCGTCGATGATGATGAGGCGGACGAGGTTGGTGTAACTTGTGTCCGTGCTCTTACGAGTGATAACGTCCCATTTCTCCGGCGTAGTGACGATGATTTGAGTCTCGGAAATTTGTTGTTTGGTCATTTGCGAATCACCAGTCAACTCGCCAACTTTCATGCCGAAAACGCCCAGTCGAGAGGAGAAGTTACCAACCATCTCTTGGACGAGGGCCTTCATGGGGGCGATGTAGACTATCTTAAAAGAGTCCAGATCAAATTGACCAGTTTCCTCGTCACGCCACTTAGAGAGCTCGTTGAGAATCGTGAGCATAGCTACGTTAGTCTAAAGATAGTGTTAGCCACCGGGCTGCATGTAAGAAAAAAGGGAGATCGTCACCTTCCCCGCCCCAGTAGGCGCACAAAGCAAGATAGGTTCATCGGTCCCAAATGCTACAGGATACAGCTTGCTTTGGATTCGGTTCAACGTCTTGACCGTAAAAGCTTCGCGAGCCCAAGCCGGGAGGTCACTAATTGGCACAATTTCTCCTTCGACAACAGGTTTCTTGGGAGGGGCAGGAACGTGGATTTCTTCAAAGCCCTTCCTTGCGCGCTTGAAGGAGCCGTCGGGGAGCTTACACTTCTTGTTCGTCATGAGATGCCCTCCCTGGCTGAACGCCATGGCCTCGAGATCAACTGTGCGTTTGGGCTGAACTGTGGAACCCGGGGCAAGAGTAGCAGTCTTTGGCACCTGCTTGGCTTCATCGACATCCATGGCGTCGTCTGGTCTCTTCGACTTGGCCTGCCTATCACCAGCGAGCTCCCTCAGAATCCAACCCACTCCCTTCTCCCTCATGGCCACCTCTACGTTTACCCGTTCGTCGGCGTCGCTTCGAATGAGCTTCGTGCACCAGACGATGACTTCTCGGTTCTTCAAGCATTTGGTGATGATGTGGAAGCTTTGGTAGTCGAACAACTCCATCAATTGGTTCTCGCAGTCTCGCAGACTGGATTCGGAACCAAGGATGGACAATACAGAGGCTGCTTTGTCGGCTGCCGTGACGGGATCGGGGTAGACTTCGGATATCTGACGCTGTACCCAGAAGGCATCGATGGAATGCGGCGAAACTATGTCTTTGTCTACTTTAACCTTGTGTTCGGATGTCGAACCACCGATGACTAGTTCTTCGTCACCCCCCTCTACGCCTTCAACACCGCCCTCGCCAGCTTCCCCTTCTCTGGCCTCGTCTTCATCGTCGTCATCCGACTCTTCTCGAACCTCGTAACCTTCCTCGTCCTCTTCGTCCTGCTCCTCTTCGTCAAAAACCACGGCGACGCCAACCTCGTCATCTATCTCAGCCTCCTTTCTCTCCAACGCTGAGTCCGCCATGGTCTCATCTTCGGGACCGTAGTCAGTAATCTTCTTCGACAGACTGAGGAGTTGAGAGAATTGATCGTTAGCTACGGGTCCGAGTATCTCCTCGAGTTCGCGCTTCTTGTCGACGTCCTTCATGTTTTCGTTCTTTAATGACTCGAGAACGGTGTCGGCCGCACTGCGAATGATATCCTGAGCCTGGTCGCCGAGGGCTTGGTGGACAGATGAGAGTATGAGTTCATAAACCTCGCGCGTTTCTGCAGTGCGAGGCCGGTATGTGAGACCTTCAACATCCTGGGTCGCCTCGATGATATCGGCATACCCAAACCCTGCGGTCTCCGTTTTTCGCTTAGCGACCTGGCGTTCACTGGCATCTTGCTTGTCGGAGGCCTTCTTCTTCTTCTTATCAAGGTCCTTCGGGGCTTGCCGCAAGACACGAGAGCCCATTTCCCGGGGGTCTATTCGACCAGCCAGAGTTGTGGGAGCGCCATCTGGTTCCTTATCACGTCGTGGAAGAGCAGAACGGTCTGCGGTCAGGACCAGCGAGGATATGGCGCTGTAGTTGTAGCCCGAGTAATCTATCTTTCCCGGTTTTCCGGCCATCTTCGCCGTCGTTGGGGTTAGTCGTTGAGTTTGGGAAGAAAGGTTTGAGAAACAGGCGCCCGAACGCGTGACATATTGGTACTCTGATAATTCGTTCTCCGCGTCGGCAGTACCGTGTTGCTAAGATTACTTCGTAAGATCTCAGGGTATGTTTGCTCTTCGAGCTGCGACATGAAATCTTTCTCCGTATATAGCCTGAAGTACTTGCCAAGCCGTGTGCGACCTGCTCGTCCCGCGCGTTGCTGAGCTGAGGCTGGCCAGTAAACTCTCGACTCGTATTCGGGGGTTGTACACTTTCTGCTTGGAGAAACGTAACCAATGCCGTCGATTAGTGACGTCTCGGCAATATTTGTAGATACAACCACTTTTCGACCAGGCCGTTGCCCGTTATACGGTACGGTTGGCAGCCCTGATGTCATTGTCGCAAAGTATGCATTTCTCACGTGCTGAGTCAAGAATCCTATTTAATGTCCAACGCCGTCAGTATTGTCTTTCTCTTCTCTACCCTCACCAATGTCGCAACCCATCTCACGCGCAACCCTCGATTCACTTGCCAAGAAGATCACAGACATATACCTACTCATCGAAGTACACAGGACGGAGCCCGCTTTGCCCCAGATGTTGTACAATGTTTCCAAAGAGCATGCAAGCAGTGGCGAGCAATCCTTCCTACCCCTCCAAGTCCAGGTGACCCCGCTTTTGAGGCTGGCACAAAGGACTTTTTAAGGTTCTGCAAAGGATTCTACGACCGTCCTACTCCCTCAGACCCCACACAGTAACAATCCAGCGATTAGTACACATCTAAATCAAATTCACTGGCCACCAGATCCATCATTGCTGTGATACTATGCTGCCTCTATGGCGAGATCCGCTTTCGATGTTTCCGTCAAAGCTAAACTTAGTGAAGAAGATTACCTCTATGTTGTCCTCGACTTAGTTGTTGCACCGCTGACTGTACAATGCAGCTCCCAGGCTGTTTTAGCCAGGTGGGACAGCTTCGGCCGTCCCAGAGGCCAGAGAATCCAGCGCGCGCCAACCTCGACGCACTGAGTTCGATATTGGCGATGTGGTTTTGATACACAGGGGTGAGGAAGTCAGAACCTGCGAGGTTGTCGGGCATGGCATGCATCCGAAGAAGGGGGGATGGTACGAGCTCATGGACCATGACAATGAGGGAGAGTTCCGCTTGACGACCGAGGAACTGCTCGCTGCCAATATGGCGTAGAATTCGCAGAGTTCTACGTAACGTATAGAGATTAGGAGGAGAAGGACCTACTACCAACTCGCTATGTATAGGTTGATATTTGGGCCGGGGTCCCCGTTGATATCCCATCGTCTTTCTCCACCATCCCCGAAGTCAGCAACTTATTTTCTCGTATTCCAGCACCCCTCGGTGCCTCATTGTCTCCCACTCCACATCATTGAACCTGGCGCTAACTTACTTCCTGACTGTCGGTTTCGGTTTCGGTCCTCTTTCGGTTTTCGATTATGCACCCCCACGAGGCTCGAGCTATCATATCATTGGATCAGACATACCGGCCCTAGACAATCAACACCCCCACGAGCTATCATTGACACGACTTGCCATCGGATCGTTTGACATCAACACGAGCGCATAGCTATTTAGTACCCTCGACCTATTTTTGCAGCTTCTTCCCATCGATTTCACAACGTAACACGTCCTTCGAATGCCTCACGATAAACGCACCACCAGGAGTCGTCAAGGGAACTTTGCAGCAGCCTCCTGAGTGCATGTAGGCTTTACATATAAGTGCCCTTCTCGGGTTCTCATGGGTGGGTACCTGGTAGAAGCTGGTAGACTGCCTCGACGACGAGGCCTCCTTCGCACCTGCGCACTCTCGAGCTTGCTCTCCCCCCTCCCCTCCTTCGACGTCTCCGTCTCCTCTCTCTTCCTCGTCTACGCCTCATTACGTCCGCTGCCTACCCTCTGCTCCGCTACGACATACAACGCGACCTCGGCAGAGCCATCAGCTTAATTACGCTCTGCGCTTCCATTCTTTCTATTCCTCGCCAATAAATAATCGAAGCTCGAAGCTTATCGTAGAACGTAGAACCTACATGGATATGCAAACTGCGCCCCTGTCCCTGGCACAGGATCAAGTAGAACAGTTACCTATGAACCCCTCGGAGGCGCAGGAGAAGGAGGAAGTGGAGGACACGGAGGCACCTGTTCCCCGGGAATCTGAATTCGACTCGTCGGAGAAGGAGGATATGAATGAACTAGAAATGAAGGAGGGCGTGAAGGAATCGTTCTCGTTGGAGCCCCCCATTTCCCTAGAACCCCTCTCGCTTATCCAACGACGAAGTATTGCCCCTACGCTACGCCTTTCGATCGTTGACGTCGTGGCTTTGGACCTGGACTTGGCTACCATCCTGTCCGCTCGTCTCCAGCAAAGTAGTGCGAGTCGTAGGAATAGTCTAGTCGATTCTGGGGTTGGTATTCCGGGGGAGACGAAGGCGGCGCCTCTCAGTGAGTTGTCTCTTCTTGTGCGTGGAACTTGGAACTAGGGGATGAATGGCTTCATTAGCCCCGCACGAGGCGAGCAAGCCCATGAGCGTGATCGGCGTCGACGCTGCCATGACGCTCTTTAATAGGTTTCGCAAGGAGACCTCCGCTGCGTGCTCCGGTGTTTCCAATGCTCTCGGTCCGAAGAGAGAAGTTTTGGGAACCAAGAGCAATACGGAGCGCCAGCCTGGTGGGCGCGGAGATGGGGAGGATAGCATCTTCGAGATGGTCCAGTCGACTCTGAGGAGGAGATGTAGGTGTTTCGCCTATGTTTTATTGTATTCCACGGAATATTGAGTGCTAACCAACGTTACTTTTATACAGTTACGATCACATCTCAGTCTCAAGCAGGCGCTGGCGTGACGACGTCCAAGGATACCAAAGGGCATAGGCGAGTCGATCTTCCGTAAAACTTCGCTTGTACTGACACGCTTGATAGGGTGAGAGGGAAGGAACTGCTACAGCCTCTGCGGAAAACACTGAAGCGTATCTCCGTGTTTCCTACGATTAAGTTGACAATACCTAAGGCACATCCCTCTGATCGCAGCTTAGCGGAGACATGCGCCTGTGCACCGTCGACGCCATTTTTGCTGATGACACAGATGGATATGGAGGGTATCAATCGTCCCGGGAGGCGGGACGCAGATACGGAGTCGTATATGGTGATATCGGAGGACAACGCGGTGCTCGATGTTCTTCCTATGTCTATGAACTCCTCGGACGAACCGCTGGTACCTACGGGGGGATTGTGCCGAAGGAAGAGTTTGCTGAAAGCGTCTTGCGCTGTGCGCACGTTCCTCACATTCGGAGGGGGAAAGACGGCAATGTCGACCACAACCTCGGACCGTTCGTCGTTCTCGGAAGACGAAGACGCAGGATCTTCGGACGACACGGACACGGACACGGATAGGGACGCTCCGTCTATCCAAACGGTGTCTCCTGGGAGGCGTGGCCGAGACCCGCCGTTTCCAATTCGCCCGATTATACCCCGACGATTATCTGGGACGGTACCCGCGACGTCTGTGGTGGTACCGCCTCCATCCTCGGCGACATACACTTACACTTACATGCCTCCAATATACCCCGTGGCGGAGGAGGAGCTCGAGGAGTCTGACACGGATTCGATGTCTGTGTATTCTGATGATATTTCTGTTTGTGATTAGGTTCGCATCTGTAGACATAGACTTGGAGTTATTGTGTATCGTTATTATGTATTGCTTGATTGTATCAAGCTCCAGAACGGTACCCCACCCATGAGAAATTCGAATCGTTCTTGCTGGTGGTAATATGATTATGGTTCCGATTTGTGCCATGGCTGGTGAAAAGAAGAGGGAGAGGTCCCAATGCAGAGCTGATGACGTCATCATCTATCCAGGTAGGGTAGCGGTTGGTTGAGAGCATTTGACTATCAACCACACCATCATCCTCGTCGCCATGTCCCTCGACGACAAACGCGATGTCCGCAACCATCTCCTCTTCGAATGCGCCTGGGAGGTCGCAAACAAAGTCGGCGGCATCTACACCGTCATAAAGACCAAGGTCCCCGTTACTGTCTCCGAGTACGGCGATAGGTATTGTCTCATCGGCCCGCTCAGCTACAAGACCGCCCCCATGGAAGTCGAGGCGGAGGAGCCCTCAGATCCATACATGGCATCGACCCTCGAAGGAATGCGAGCGCAAGGAGTAAAGGCGCTGTACGGCAGATGGCTCGTCGAAGGGAACCCCCACGTCCTGCTCTTCGACACGAGCAGCCAGTATTCGCGTTTGGACGAGTGGAAAGGAGACCTGTGGAACCTTGCGGGCATTCCTTCCCCCCCGAATGATCACGAAACCAACGAAACGATTGTATTCGGCTATCTGGTCGCTTGGTTCTTAGGCGAGGTGCGTTGAAAATTTCCGCCAAGCTATATACGCGCGCTTTGGACGGTCAATTCACCATCCATCTTGTTAGTATGTTTCCCGCCAATTGACGACAGCGGTCGTCGCACATTTCCACGAGTGGCAAGCGGGACTTGCCATCCCTCTATGCAGGAAGAGGCACATCGACGTAACGACCGTTTTTACGACCCACGCAACACTCCTCGGTCGCTATCTCTGCGCAGGTTCCGTCGACTTCTATAACAACCTCCAGTACTTTGATGTTGACCATGAAGCCGGGAAGCGAGGCATCTATCACCGCTACTGCATCGAACGCTCTGCGGCACATTGCGCGGACGTCTTCACAACCGTCTCCCATATCACAGCATATGAAAGCGAGCATCTTCTCAAGAGGAAGCCAGATGGGGTTCTGCCGAACGGCCTCAACGTAGTCAAATTCCAAGCTATGCACGAGTTCCAGAACCTTCATTCGACGGCCAAAGCCAAAATCAACGAGTTTGTCCGCGGCCATTTCTATGGGCATCTCGACTTTGACCTGGATAATACCCTCTACGTGAGTGATGTGTATAGCCTGCGGAACCGTCTTCTGAAGGGACCAGTTTTTTACGGCCGGCAGATATGAATATAGGAACAAGGGTGTAGATATGTTCATCGAGTCGTTGGCACGTAAGTTGAAACGTTAAGAGGTTGTGTATGAGTGATGGAATCATTTCCACTAGGTCTCAACTACCGTCTCAAGAAGGCCGGCTCGACCATTACTGTCGTCGCGTTCATCATCATGCCGGCCGCGACCCATTCATACACGATCGAAGCCTTGAAAGGACAAGCCGTCACTAAGCAGTTACGCGACACCGTGACAGAAATCCAGCATCGCATCGGTGCGCGACTTTTCGACCATGCGGCCCGCTTCTACGGCGATTCCAAAGCCATCCCAACACCCACTGAACTCCTCTCGGAGGAAGATCAAGTTCTGCTGAAGCGCCGCATCTTCGCCTTGAAGCGAAACTCCCTGCCCCCGATCGTCACTCACAACATGGCCGACGATGCAAGCGACCCGATTCTTGGGCAAATCCGCCGCGTACAGTTGTTCAATAATACGAGCGATCGCGTGAAGATTGTGTTCCACCCCGACTTTTTGAACTCCAACAACCCAATTCTAGGGATGGATTACGAGGAGTTTGTGCGTGGATGTCACTTGGGTGTGTTCCCCAGTTACTACGAGCCATGGGGGTACACCCCCGCCGAGTGTACCGTCATGGGTATTCCGAGCGTTACCACCAACCTTAGTGGGTTCGGGTGCTTCATGCAAGACCTAATCGAACGGCCGCAAGACGAAGGATGCTACATTGTGGATAGACGTATGCAGAGTGTCGAGGAAAGCGTGGAGCAGTTGACTAGCTGCATGGAATCCTTTGCGAACAAGACACGCCGCCAGCGCATTAACCAGCGCAACCGTGTCGAACGCCTTTCGCCGCTGCTTGATTGGAAGAATTTGGGGATAGAATACAGCAAGGCTCGTCAGCTTGCGTTGAGGAGGGCATATCCGGATGCGTTCTATGGCAATGACGGCAACGGTCAATTTGGGGAGGTAGATGATGAATGGGAGGCTGGCGTGGAGAGGATGCCGCCAAACAGCATGCCAGCAAGTCCAAGGCTGCGAGGGATGGCGACTCCGGGGGATATTGGTACGCTGACGGAAGAAATGCAGGCACTCGGGACCAGCGACTATCGTGGATATAATTGGCCTGGGGATGAGGAAGATGGGTATCCATTGTAAGTGCCTTGAGATTGAGTAGATGTCGATCGATCGCTGATCGTGTTTTCTTCTTCGCCTTCGTTAACAGCCCGTTGGTGATGAAGGTTCGATCCAGGTCGGGAAGTGTTATGAGCGGAGCTAGCACGCCAGGAGGAGGTGCCTTTAAGAGCCTGAGCGAGAGAGACTTGGAACAGGCCGACGCGGCGCTCAGTCAGGTTAATGGGACTGTAAATGGTGCTGCGAATGGACACAAATAGATGGTGCGATAAATGATCGTTATTAGTTTTCGTCGTATGTTTCTGTGATTGTTGATAACCTCCATGTCTGTCGTTGTACTTCTCCATGGAAAAGATATTGCTACAATTTTGTTCGCGATATAGTCTATGTTGGCTAGCTCGGCGCTTGATCTCCGGGGCGTGAAGACTACAAGTCAGAGAACAGGCGAAGTAAGATTAGACTCGACACAACTCGGTATACTATATCGGAACATTCAGTCATTGGCATTATCGTGTAAGAAACCTGCTAGGGTAGATATGAGATATATACATGATGAATTCCGTTTGATTCCATTTCCTACTAGGATGAAGAAGGATGAGAGTGAGAATGTGTATGGCACGGATGTTGGTTAGCGGACAATGTACTATGTAGTAAAGGGGGGACGGGAGAAGGAGTATGGGACGAATAAACTGATCTCCTGTATTCATGCGAAGGGAGTCGTGGTCGATGGTGATTATTTATGCACAGCGACATGGATATAGAGGTCTTTCGGCACTGAAAGACGCAAGTATTGAGCGTCGATATCACAGGTGGATGCATGCAGACTATTGGTGGTGATCGGCGGGCTTATGAACGATTGCAGGACCCAAAAGAAATTTATCAGCATGACGTCCCGGAAAAGAGATGGAAGAGTAACGCTGCACGAATGTCAATGGATCGTGTCGTCGAAAGGTGAGTCATGTATGCCAAGTCCATGTGCCGAACGAGGCATATAGTATGTACGTTGCGTTGAATAATGTACAGATGAATTCGGAATACAAAACATATAAAGCCATAAAGGAAAAGACATAAGATATCGAAGGATGACGAATCGGCGCCACAGCGCGATGTGTATCCATCCGTAAGCCTGTCTGTATCCGTATCCATAAGAGCAGGATCATATGCAAGACCACAATACAATAACTTATAATTAAAAAGGAAAAAATCGACAATGTGAAGGTGTATGAAAAGGGATGGGTTCGGGATACAAATAGATCCAAATTAAAATCATGGGCGAGAAGAGAATATATCTCAAGCATCAAGCAAGAAAGTACTCTACATCAATGCAAAATCAACGATGCAAAATCAACGTGGAGAAGGTAAAATTTAGGAGCAACAATGAACGGAAGTAACATTGAGAAGGGAAGTAAAGTGTATAGCGCGTACTCACTGTTACAAACACATAGAGCACATGCATAGAATGCGTTACGATGGAGCCCTGCACAAAACAAGACACGAGAGCTAAGAAAACGATGTGATGAAGTGACGATGCGATTCGATAGTGATGATGGTAATTGAGGCTTGTAGGATAGTGGTGAAAATGGCGGACGATGCGATTGGCGGAGACGTTTATTAATACGACATGATGAAATCCGAAATCCATTGGCATAGAAGAGGAGATGAGGGATGCGGCTGGTTGATGAAGGGTAGGAGCGCTGGGACTCTTGCATGGAGAGGAGAGCGCGAAGGGGGACCGGACCTGCAGTGGTCGGGCGGAGGGGGAGCGCATACGAAAATCGAGAGAGAAGGATGAAGGTTATAGTATCCCCGAATCCTTCAGCGCATTTTGTAATATCGTCTCCTTCACTGCCGCGAATACAAGCCGTATATTCGTCGTGTCCGTTGCTTGTGTCAAACTGGTACATGACCAAGTGTGAGCGTTACTCGAGAATAAGGAACGAGTAGGAACACAAGCGTACTGAGGATAAACGCTCAACCTTGCTCTGTTTGCCTGCATAAACTTCCACAATATGTATTTTGCCGCTTTGTTGATGTCGTGGCCGCCTGCGTATTCAGGAAAGTAACGCTCAAGTGGGACCTGATGTTTTGATGCTTGATTCTAGGTCAGGAGGGTCAAAGAGATGGTAGCACACCTTCGGCAGCTTGTTCTTGAAGACATCAATCTTATTCAAGAACAGGATTATCGACGTCCGTAGGAACCATCGGGAATTTATGACGGATTCGAAGAGGACAAGAGATTCAACCATGCGGTTCTGTGAATAGAGTGAGTGAGTGCGAGCTAAACGGTGGGGCAAGGCGACAAAGTAAAGACAATGAATGACATGGTTGGCAGGGGGGACTGTGCTCTCAATCTGACATGCATGTGCGGATGGTATAACACGTAGATTATATGATGCAGGGGGGAGCAGGGGTAGGAACTGCAGCACTAACACCCCAGGAGCCAGACTCGAGAAACTCGATCACAAAGAGGGAAAAGATGCTAGTAAGTCACAAAAAGAAACACACCTGATTCCTCTCCTCCAACAATACCTGATCGTACTCGCTAAGGGCCGTACAGAATATAATCGAGGTGACGGATTCGAAACAATGGATCCATTTTTTGCGTTCAGAGCGTTGGCCGCCGACGTCGAACATGTGTATTCTGCGCAAATGCAGTGTTAGTCAAGCGATTCAGCAAAAGAAATGCTGCAATAGGGGACGGAATGGCTGTGGAACAGGTATGGGGATGAATGGCAAAGGACGAGTCGCAAGACTCACGACAACTGCCCCATATTGAATCGAGTTTCTGTTATGCCGGTACTCTTGGCTCGCGCACGGAGGACGTCTTCTTCGGTGGGGAGATAGCCTGGTGAGCCGATTCGTTGGACTGCTGAGAAGAAACTGGAGAATAAGGTCGGATCTATGCGCAATGGACAGAAATACAGGGACCTACTAGCTCGCACTATCCATAAGATAAAATTCGCTGCTGTGTTCGTCCATGACTTTAGGTATGATGGGGTCTTGCCATAGTTGATGTATAGCGTCTGCAATGTCTTCAGAGAGGGCTGCGGTGGATGATGTCGGCGCTTCGAGGTGGTGGTCTACGATCCTGTCCGCTAGGGCCTGTGATGGGGTTTTAGCGAGTTGCGCGGGCGGAGAGGGGGAAGACTGACTCTGTTCGAATAGCGCTCTGGCTCAACACCGATCTTTCGCATTGCAAGGACTATTGCCTGAGCGCTGTCAAGAACATTCTTGTATATTATCGGTCTATATGACTCAAGCTCGTCCTTCGTAAATCCGTTCTGGTGTATAATCTTCATTTGTTTCACGATCGTCGACTTCCCTGATTCACCAGAACCGAGTAGGAGAATCTTGCACTCCTTTTTGAACCGTTTGCTGTCTTCTTCTATCATTTTGTCGATTTCGTCGGAACGTTGTCGCCCCGCCCGGTCTGATGTTGACATACAACCACCCATCGTGTGGAAGAAGGCCTTTGTTCTGGTGAACGGTTGAGGGCGGGTAGGTGTTGAGGGCGGGGAGCGGGTCGTAAATGTCGTCGTCGCCGTCGCCTTCGGTGTGGTGGAGTGCGTCGCGGTAGATGTCGCCGATGTGTGTGGGTGAATAGGTCGACGGTGATGAGAGTGGGAGAAGGAGAGGTCAATGAGAAGCTGAATTGGGTGAATCCCTTGTTCCTTGCTGATGTAATATATCAGTGTCCATAAAAGGTGTTATTGAAGGAATGGCGGTCAACGCCAGTCCCATCTTCTCATCAAGTGACTTGGCAGGAGGCGTCTAAATAAACACATACTTTGAACAAATTAGTGACATTCAAAGTAGAACTGAAACGGAAACTAAAAGTTGTAATCGCTGGAACGTCGAAGCACTGTTGACATTGCTGAGCCGTCCACGGCGGAGATCACAAATCACCAGTGCTCCTATTGGCCCCTGTTCTGTATTCAGCCTCCACTCAGTGGGGAGTGTTGCCATGCAGTTCAGTTCAGCGGAACTGCAGTTTTCAGTGCTGAGAACGAGAAGACCTATGCCATACCAAGTGTGGAGATATTATTTGTAGTCCCCCTGATTTTTTTTGTAACCCCCATGCTTTTTTGTAGTTCCATCCAAATTATTCAAGACTATGTAGCCCCTCCAGAGAATTTCTTTTCAAATGTCAGTTCATTCCCCTGAAAGGTTATTGAAGTTAGTATGATGTTTCCCCCTGAAATGGCACTGATAATACTATTATAATTCAAGTTTATGGAGTTACTGTCAGAGAAACTGTGAAGCACTTATCAGATTTTTTTATGACTGATGGTGTAAGTGGACACCTCTATTTTCTCCTATTCCCTTGTCCCCCTCCCTTCCTCCTCGTTCCTTTCTCCTTTCCTTCATCCCATGGACTCTTACTTACATCCCTTTCATTCCCTTTCATTCCCCTTTGTTCCCTTTCCTTTCCACTTCCTTTCTGCCCACTCCTTTTGCATCCGAGTCACGTCCGGTGACTCTGGAGTCTTCCCGCACTTCGGACTTGCTCAGACTTGTATATACACTTCAGGGCTCGTCCAGGCTACCTCTATCCTCTTTCCCCACTTCATTACTCTTCACTCTTACTCCTCCAAGTCGCTGGCACGACTCCTGTGCATTTACCCTCCACTTCATTATCACATGTTTCCTCATACCTTGTGATATTTGTTTGGACTTGCAGCTGGTGTACTGTACAGTTATCCTGCATTCCTCTCATGCTACTACAGTATATACTTTGCTTCCTAGCATGGAGAATCCCTACCCTGTTATCTTTGGATTCTCCCTCTGCTAGGTGAGCAGCTCTCTCATGTATTGTAGTTAGTCTTATTCATTATCTTTGGATTCTCCCTCTGCTAGGCCTGCACTGTTGGCCATCTTGAGGTTGCCCTTACAGCAGAACAGGATCTCCCATCCTGGCACCAGAGCCCTATGGAAAACCTCCTGCGCCACTCCGGACTCGCTCCCAACGTCTCTCCGGTTTTGCGGACATTCCAGACGCTCTCCTGCTACTCCCACCCACCTCTGAGGACCCAAGGAACTCCATCCCTTGCTCCCCTGACAACTCCGAAATGACGGGCGCCCCCAGCCAGATCCCGCCATCCGAGCCAGTCGCTTCAGGACCGGACTCCGAGACTTTGCAGACCTTGTAGGCTCAGACGTACGAACACCAAACCCAAATCAGTTCCATCCATGATACACTTGCCCGTACCGAAGAACTCCTTGTCTGATTACTCCGAAAACGAATCCGGACTCCAAGCTGAGGGGCACCGAAGCCTCCCAGCACGCCCCGAGCTGATCTGAAAGCATTCCGCATTCCCGTCTGAAGCCTGCCTCTCCCCCAATCTTTGACAGAAACTGCAAGGATGGCCACGCATTCTACAATGTGTGCTCCATCTACTTCCAGCTCTGTCCGGATCACTTTCCGACTGAGCAGGCCAAAATCCTCTGGTGTCTCTTCTTCTTCCAGAAGGATCGAGCTAAGGAGTACACAGACATGGTGCTCCGGAGTCCGAAGGATCTGTACTTCAAGTCCTGGGCTGCCTTCGCAACCGAATTCCGGAGTCGCTTCCTTCTGGATCGGGAACACGAAGCCGCCATGCTAAAACTGAAGTCCACCCAGCAGCCAACTCCGGAGTTGCTCGGACTCCTGTGGGTGTACTTCCCGTGCCTCGGACTCAGCTCCCGCCTCTGCAACCCCGTTTCCAACCTCTGCCTCCTCTGAAGGCTCTCTCACCTGGCGTCCCAATGGACGTTGACCACACCCGCTCCCGGCCCGCCACTTTGCAGCTCTGCTACTGATGCGACAAACCTGGTCACATGTCCTGCGAGTGCCCACTCCGGTACGATGTCCGGTTCATGATCACCGAGGAGTGGATGTCTGCCATTGAAGATCTCTTGACCGCGGCCGATGTTGTAGAAAGTACGGGGACTCTGGAAGGAATAGATGCTGAGGTAACAGCCCCGGTTGAGGAATTGGACATGGCAGATTTTGTCCAGACCAATGAGTGATCAGTGCGACCTCGTTGGTGAATAACCGATTTGCTTGTCTTCGCATAGACGAAATAGACGATTCCAATCACTCCGATGATTCGTCTGACATTAAGCAAGCAACTCTGGTTACAATCTGCACACTCCGAAGGTTTCGCCCGCAGTGGGAACGGCGGCTACCCAGTAGCTATAAGATCTCTGCGCTGCCTGGCAAGCTTTCGCTAGATATACCTGTTGAAGTGCAGAGCACGGATACCCAACACAGATGCACCCTGCAGGCCCTGGTGGACTGCGGAGCCACCAGAGTCTTCATGCATCCGCACTTCACTGATGCCCATGGTTTCACCCGACGCAAGCTGTCCGCTCCGATTCCGGTCTTCAACGTTGACGGATCACCAAATGAGAACGGATCTATCTCCGAAGTCGTGGACCTTGTACTCCGGTTCAAGGATCACACGGAACGGATGCTTTTCGCAGTCACTAACATCGGACGGCAGGACATCATCCTCGGATACACCTGGCTTCGGAAGCACAACCCCGAGATTGACTGGCAGACAAAGGAGGTGACCATGAGCCGTTGTCCGTCTGGATGTGACACCTGTTGGAAGGAGTTCTGCCATGACAAGCTGACCTGACGCAAGGAGTCTGTGCGACTCCGGGAGTGTTGTATGGGTCCAATGCCAAGGGTTGAGGAACTGCACTCGGACGATCTCCCAGAGCTTCAGGACTGCAAGGATGACAATGAGGATGACAATGCTACAACTCCGGACGACTCTGGACTTGAGAAGGGTGACCGTATCTTCACAGCCATTCCCCCTCCGACTCCAGAGTACCTTCAGAGTCTTTGGGAAGAACATATCTGGGCTTTGAGTCTCGCAGTGCCTCGCATTGGCTTTCCAGCGCAACAAACCCCATGATCCTTGGAACAGCGCAGTCCCGGACTTCCTCCAGGAATTCGAGGACATCTTCGCAAAGGAGTCCTTTGATGAACTGCCCATGCCGCGTCCATGGGACCATGCCATTGAGCTACTGGACGGAGCGGAACCGACCTCTACCAAGTGCTATCCGCTGTCCCCAGCGGAGGGACTGGTCGGATCCGCCCCAGCAAGTTGCCCATGGCCGCCCCAGTGTTCTTTGTCAAGAAAAAGGACAGATCACTCCGCTTGGTCCAGGACTACCGGAAGCTCAACAACATGACGGTCAAGAATTGGTACCCACTTCCGCTCATCTCGGACTTGGTGGACAAACTCCGGAATGCTCGCTACTTCTCCAAGCTTGTCGTCCGGTGGGGTTTCAACAATGTCCGGATCAAGGAGGGCAACAAGTGGAAGGCCGCATTTCGGACTACACACAGACTCTTCAAACCCTTGGTGATGTTCATTGGACTGACCAACAGTGTAAGTTCCATAGCTTAAAACTGTATGATAATGTTCAAATTTCGAGTGTAGGGCCTGGGAGGAGTCAGAGAACTTCTTACCTACCTTCGTTGATGCCATCACAAAGAAATTCGGAATGAGTGTGTCACTATTGCTGGTCAGGCCACTAGGGTCTGAACAAGGGAAGATTGAGATGAGAAGGTATGTGTATTGTCACATGATGCATGAACTCCAAAGAAATCTCATGGTTAGTTTCAGCGTCCACTCCAACAATGCAGGCAGCATGACCTCGCTCATTTGGCCCTAGTATGACAAGACTGGCTTCACAAACATGCAGGCATCACTCATTCAATATGGTGTCATACTCCAAATTTGTAAGAGCAACCTCAAGATGGCCGCACAGCAAAGATAATGAATAAGACTAACTACAATACATGAGAGGGCTGCTCACCTAGCAGAGGGAGAATCCAAAGAGAACAGGATAAGGATTCTCCATGCTAGGAAGCAAAGTATATACTGTAGTAGCGTGAGAGGAATGCAGGATAACTGTACAGTACACCAGCCACAGGTCCAAACGAATATCACAAGGTACAAGGAGACATGTGATAATGAAGTGGAAGGGGAATGTACAGGAGTCGTGCCGGCGACCTGGGGAAGTGGGGACAAGGAGTAATGAAGTGGGAAAGGGGGATAGAGGTAGCCCGGACAAGCCCCGAAGAGTATAGACGAGTCTGAGCGAGTCCGAAGTGTCTGAAGTGCGGGAAGACTCCAGAGTCACCAGACGCAGCTTGGATGCAAAAGGAGTGGGCGGAAAGGAAGTGGAAAGGAAAGGGAGCGAAAAGGAACAAAGGGGAACGAAGGGAATGTAGGTAAGAGTCCATGGAATGGAGGAAAGGAGAGAAAATAGGAGTGTCCCCTTACAAGATTGGGATTTGTAGTAAGTGACATGAATATTAGTGTTTTATACCTTCCTTCATACACTGCTATAATCCATAGACATCACCTTGCAAGTTGAATCAAGTCCTATGGATCTTGTGTTATGATCACAGACTTATTTTACCTTACATTACCCTTTTTCAAAGCCCCTTTAA